GATCGACCAGTTTGTGCCTTCGTGCGGCATAAATTTTTATTCAGGTCAAATATTTATTTTTAAAGCAACATTTAAAGTAAATTTTTTAATTAAACAAATAGAGTATCCATTCAATTTTGTAATTTTTTTAAAATGAATAACACTCTGTGAAAAAAGGTTTTAGATTTTTGCAGGTTAGTAATTAAATAAGCATTGTAATATTGACATCCACTTGGGAAGTCTTATTGATTGATATCGTAATTATCAATGCATGCATAAATCTCCTAATAGTTTTAGTCTTCAGAGCTATTTCAAAAACAACCTAAACAATGTATCTGTTTGAAGGCAAAACTTCTGTAGTTGTTGTTTTACTATATCTTTGCCTACCTTTTATGTACTTTTTCCTAATGATTTCGGCATTAAATTAAATGTATATTTTTTTCTCATAATAGCGAAATAAATAAAAATGAGATGGATATGTAAATAACCTTAAATCTTTTGAGCACTTTATTATTAGTTTTTTTCATTTATGAGCCAATCGCTATTTATATAAGAATTGTTATATACAGACCGTTTCTGGACGGTATTAACCGCTATGAATATAACCCAATCAGCCATTTTGTTTATTTCTTTATATATCATAGAAAATCAATAAAATTTACGATTAATTAAATATTCGATGAATTTGATTAAATTTTTATATAACAGTTTGAATAAAAATCTGGTAAAAGTTTTTACATTTGTATTATTTTCTTTGTTAAGTACTTATTGATGTTCCTCCTCATATTAATTGAACAAAATCTTAATTAGATTTTTGTTGATTTTAATTTTGTTTTTTATTTGATCATTTTGTGGGTGTGTTGATATAATTATAAAAATAAATCTTATTCTTTTCGAAAATTAATAATTTATTTATATTCGTTGCTTTCTTGGATAAAATTCGATTTTGTCAAATAAATTGGAAAGTTTTTTTATGATAAAACTATTTAATTTATTTTATTCTAAAATTCTGATTTTTGAATTATAGGAATTAATATTTTTGTTTATTATTTTGAATTTTCTTTTTTGTTCAATTACTTTTCAATTAATGAAAAAACGAATCAGATGAAGGCTGTTCTGACTGATTAATTACTTTTGTAAAAATTTTCTTTGATATTTTATCATTTATAATAATATTTATAATTATAGAATATATTAGAAATTTTATAATAGGTTATTTAAAATAGAATTAAGTTTTATGTTATAATTGAGGAACAAAAAATATACTCAACTTTAAAATTGTATATAAATTTTTCCTAATCCTTTTAGGTTAGATCAGTACTTTATCACATCTTTACTTTTATTAAATGCTGATTGTATAATATCATTTTATGTTTGATCATTATGAAAATCCAAAATTTACAAATCCCATGTATTTTAATCCGATTTTATCAATTGTTTTATTTCTTAAATGAACTTTAATTTTATTTTTTTCAATTTAAATTGTAGCTTTGTTTAAATTTATCTCTATATTATGGTGAAACAATGAATTATAATTCAGAAAAGTAATAGAATAAATTACTAAATTGACAATAAAAAACACATTAAATCCATCCTAAACAGCTTTTTCTTTGTTATAAAAGCCTCAGATAAAGAATTGATGTATATTCTAAAGCGTCATTGTAATTATCATTGAAATAAACATATTTCTGTGGGATATTAAATCTCTTATGATATTGACAAGTTTTATTCTATGCTTGAAAAATATGCATGGATTTCGAAATTTCTTTCCCAGTATTTATTAATTTCACTGAATCAGAATTATTTAATGGATTAAACTCTGTTGAAATAATTAAAAAGTGAGCTAATTTAAATTTGCACCATGCTATAGCATGATATTCAATCAAAAAGCTTTATTTAGCTACTTCTCTGAATTTATAAGTGTACATCCAGCTTCCACTATGAAGTAGAACACACAAAATGATAGAAATAAAAAAGCAATTCACATAGTATGTCTCGTCATCTGAAAAATGATTGTAAGACTTATAACTTAATTAAAGTTAAGTTCAAGAATATTTAAGATATATATAAATAGCTTAGTATTTCTAAATGTTCGAGCTTCTTTAATGATTAATTAAATTATATATCCATTATATCTTCATCAAAGCGATTTTATTCACTCTTAAAAATCTCTGTACAAACTGTTGCCTATATTCCCTTATTAAATGAAGTTCAGGGGAAGGTGACGCAACTTAAAAATTGTGAACACATTTATTTTATTTAAATAGCAAGCAGAAAAATAATATCTTTATAAATCATGTTCATTCAGAATTTGGCAGAAATAATTAAAAATTTTATTTTATGAAAAGGATTATTGTTTATGATTTCAAAAGTTATTCAAATTTACTTTAAATGTTCAAAAAACACATATATAGATTATTTGAAAAATATTTTCTAATTTGTAAAAGTAAAATTTGAAGCATAATTAGAAAACTGTAAGTTTATATTTTTAATCACCAACCTTTATGTACTATCAATATAATTCAGTTATCGATTTGTTAATAAGTCTCTATTGGATAGGAGGAGATTTTTACTTCTATTTAATATTAGATTATTGGCTCAACTGATGACAAACAAGATCCAGAATTCTACGGATAGCTAATTGCATTTATCCCAGAAATTCTTTATGAAATTAATAAATGAGTTATTTAAATAGAGCTCCAATAATAATAAAGCTAATTCTTGAACATAATTCAAATTTAAAATCAGCTTTACATAATTGTGCAGAAACTACAGAATTCGATTCAAAAAAAAACCAATGAGATGCATTCAAATACTATTTGAAATGAGTAGAATAACAATTTATTGAAAAAATTGAAATCTCTTAGTGTGTCATCAATTGCGATATTAACTAAAATTAATACTAATCAAATAAATAAGAAATAAAATTATTTAAATTACAATTAAATCTAATTAATTCCGATAAATATCCATTGTCGAATAATTATTAATTTAAGTTTTTATACTACTTTTGAATTCTGTAACAATTATAAATTAAATTAGAAAATGTCTACACAACAAGAATTACCAATCATGAATCAGTAAACTCCTTAGCCATCAAGCTAAATTTCAAAAGTTTAATACCCAATACTGAGTAATGTAGTGCCAGCAGCCTAATATATTCAATTGGATGATGTTTAACAAGCAGTAGCCGAGAAGTCAGTTTTGATTGATATTAATTCAGATAGATCAACATTCCTAATTGAATACTACAAAAAGATATTACTCTAACATACAATCATATTTGGGTTGTTTTTATTAGGATTGACAAAATGGTTTAGTTCAATAGTTGTTATTCATCACTATTGGTGGAGTTATTTTAGATGGACTTGGTATGTTATTTTAGGATTGCTGATTGCTTTAGTATTAGTACTTCCAATCTTGAGAAAATATAGATGCATTGTATTCTATATTGTTTATCAATAATTAGGTTTCATAATAATCCAAATTGTTCCATCTCCAATCAGTATTAATAGCATTTCTTTTAATCGGAGTTGCTGGAAATCAAAGAGGAAATAGCAATCACAAAACAGTAAATGTATGGATCATCTTGGTTTTGTTGATTTTGATTGGTCACGATTTACTTCAAATTGTTATAGTGAAAACTCAAAGGACTCATTATTACACTGCTTTAATGAAATTTACTATAATGGGATCATTGGGATTAAATTTCATCGTTGGTTTGTCACATAAGAACCTTGACAGAGCATTTCCAATTTCTGAAATAATCATCATCTACGCTCTTTATTATTTCAATTAATTGAATGATTAATTATTGAAATAGACTCATGAATTACCAGAAGAATTATCAATTTTTGAGAGAATCCAATAGCTTACTTTGATTAGAAATTTATTTAACTAGGAAGCAAGATAGAATCAAATAATCGAATAAATATAAGACACTCATTGTGTGATTAGCAAGCATCTTGTAATAGTGATTGGATCAGGTGTTGGATATATTGCAGTTTTAGTGTTGAGTATTGTAACTGGAAATGGATTTTTGATATTTACAGTGATCTTGGGATCCATCTCAATGTTGAGTGTGATATTAGAGACCTAAGTTGCTTCAAGAGTAAAATTTAATTCAATATTTTTCATAGAGTTTAAAACCAGAAGACTCTCATTATGCAGTTTGCTTGACTTATCTTGACATGGCCAGTCCCCTTAGATTATTATTGAGAAGTTTATTCAATAAATGAATATCAAAATATTTATAATCATACTTTCATAAGTTAATATATTTAATCTTAAAAAAAGAGGAAAAATAATTTATATTTACAATTGTGAAATAAAAGGATTAAGACAAAGAACTTAATCTAGATTTTAATTTCATATTTTGAAGTATCATAGATGAAAATATTAAGTAGTTTTGCGTTGGAAAGTGTACTTAAATATAGAATGAAATTTCTTCCGTTGTGGCCTAACTTCATTGAGTCTAATGAAATGAGTATTAAATGATTTAAATTTGATGAAAATAAATATCATATTAATCAAAAATACAAAATATTATGTTCTCTCTTAATTAAATTAGAACTCCGAAATTTTTATATTGCTTGAGAAACTATAGAGTGAAGAATTAAATTTTAGTGATTTAACTTTTAATATTTACTGTGATTATTGCCTTTTTGACGATAGCCTTGGTGATTAATAGAGTAATAATTGAATCTGTGATTGAGAAGGTCTCGCTATAATTGCTATAAAATATTAATCAAAAGGCTCTTCATAAACAATCAACGTATTTGGAGTACTAAACCTTCTTAACTTTTAATTTTGGCTTTGGCCTGCTTAATAAAATTAATAATGAAAACTTGTATTTGCTTAAACAATAAAATATTATGTTAGGTAATACACCCTTTAGTTGTGTTGATTATAATGTAAGAGATATTCAACCCTTCCAGTATTATCTACCGCAACTCTGTTATTATTATGCTAATCATATTGATTTTGCTTTAATTCCAAAAACAGAAATTGATTAACATTTGATAGTTTTGATTTAAATGTTAAACTAATAATTATTGTTAATCGGTTATAGCGAACTGGAACCAACAATTTATTTGACATAATAAGGAGATGGGCAGTTTTTTGCCATCATTCCATAAAAAATGAGATACCCCATGTACAGACCAAAAGAGAGACAGTGGTACAAGGATCATATTGCAGCTCTGAACAATAGTAATCAACCTGAAGTGATATCCGAAATCTACAGGAATTACGAAACACAAGAATTCGAATTTACTCTCACTGTTTCATTGACTGATTCAGAATTAGAATTTGATGGAGTCATTGCTTTGGACAGCAATTTCCAAGTGATCAAGCCAAAAATAAACTATGATTAATTAAATATTTATCTGGTTGATTTAGATGGTAGGATATTGATTTCGAATGTTTACCCCAACATCAATTTTGTCTAAGAGTTGAAGTTCTTTAATGACACTTCAATCACTGGATTTGACAACGAAGACTGGAATGAAGTCCTCAATCAAATACTTAATTAGAAGGGATAATCAAATTGCCAATTCGACTACAAAAATTTTTGTAGGTACAATAAGCTATTTGAGTAAGATTTGTTTATTCGAGGATTTGGTATCCACAATAGATTCTATCAAATAGTGTAAGCATATTCAAATATCATTAAGATTCGTAGATTACAAGTTCATGGAGTAGAATGATAATGATACTCAATAGTTGAAATCTGAATTGCTAAGCTAAGCAACTGCTTAATTGTTCTATTATAGTATCTACAATATTTCAGGCATTCTTCTTTGCTGGATAATCATGCATTTCTTTCTAAAACCTTATTATGAATTAACTAGGTTATTTTAATAGACGACTCAAACCAAGTTCAACTAGAAATATGAAATAGCTTTAAGGAAGGTCAAACTATTTAAACAGAACAATCTCATTCAAACTGGACTCGATAATCTCTGCAATACTTTATCTAAAATAAGATCCAAAAAATCAAGGGAGTGTCATTATTTGGAAAATTACAAGTACCCAAAGAATTTAGCCAAAAACGCTTATAAATTCAGATATTATATCAAGCAATTTCCAAAATGATTCGTTAATCTAAATTTAGAAATCCCAAATACAATAATTAGAGAGATCAATTAAAACAATTTACAAGGAGGTGTTAGAAACACTGGCCGTAAACAACGATGAATTTTACTTTAAATTGATGTGATTAGTATTTTAGTTAATGTTTTTCAATTTAACTTTTACTAAATATATTATATTAAGTAAATTTATATTTTAAATATAGTATAATTGGATATTAATATATATTGACTTAAATTAGATTTTAAGGTAGACCACTCAAATGCTAAAGTTGATAGTTAACAAATCAACAACATAAGTATTTGGTGTGTGTTTTTTTTGGAGAAGGTCTCAAAAATTACAGACTTAGACAAAAGGATGAGATATGAAACATTAAAATTATTGACTTTCCATAACTAATCAAATTTGAATTTATATTTATTGTCAAAATATATAGAAATTTTTTTCACATTATGTTTAATGTTATTCTGTATTTTGCAAAATTAAATAAAAAAGTGATTAAATTAAATAATGGGATATATAAACACCTTGATAAGCATAATGATTACTTCAACGCTCTTGGGGTTGATACTATTTTTTAGGGGAGTTTTCATAGATAGATATTATATTAGGGATAAAGCTGAAGGAAAAATAGAAAAAGCAGATCCTGTTGTATTGATAGTAATAGATTCATTTAGAATGGATCTAGCAGTTAGCTACAATTTCAACTTTATCTAATAAAGAAAAAGCGATCCTTAATCACTTATTTTTTTATCTTTAGCTGAAACTCCCTCAGTCACTGGACCTCGAATTCAAACCATGACTACAGGTAACTTCGCTCCATTAACGAAGGTCTTAGATAATTTTCATGATTCAGAGGTAACATCTTGCATTGATGTAGATTGTTGAAGATAGTTTCATACATTAAGCAAAAATGGGTGGGAAGAAAACATTATTCATCGGAGATAATAACTGGCTTGGACTCTATCCTAACGAATTTACTTAGGCTCATCCTTTAAATAAAATGAGAGTCAACTCCCAAGCAATGTACGTGGTTGATAAAAAGTTTGAAAAATTATTTCACTAAAACTTTAATTAGAAATTCGATCTGACTGTCATCCACTTTTTAGGAATAGATTATGTGGCACATGAATATAATAGAATTGTTTAAAATAAAATCCTTGATGAGCAATTAGAATAATTGAGTGATATAATAACAAGAATTTATTAAAGGTTATCAAATGATACCACTCTAATTATAACAGGTGATCATGGTATGTTGAATGATGGCAATCATGGAGGTAACAGTTCATTAGAAACTAACACTGTATTCTTTGTAACTAAAAAAAATGCTCATTATGATAAATACTTTATGAAAAAATTTGATGGATTTCGAGATGACTATGAAACAACGTTGGTTTCAAAGGATTCATATATAAGAGCAATTAAATAAGTCGACATAGCCCCAACCTTGGCTAAACTAATTGGAGTTCCAATCCCATTTAGTAATATTGGAATGATAATCCCAGAAATATTTCCAAGTGATATTGTCAATGATTATTGTGTGGAGAATTTGAAGCAGATGTTTCACTATTCAAAAAAGGTCAAATAAGAATAAGGCCTATTTACTAAGGCTCAAATTAAGTAATGGAGGAATAAGATTGACAAAGTTTCGAATTGTGCTGAAGCCATTCCAATCATGGAAGAAATTCATCACGAAAGTAGAATTATATGGAACAATTACAATGAGCTCTTGATATTCCTTTCAATTATCTTCTAGGTCCTCACTTTGGTGCTCTATATTACCACTTTATTGAATATTAAATATGTTAAAGACTATTCGCTTTGGATTACACTCGTAAAATTAGTCAAATAAAAATATAATATTTATAGTAAGCAAATATTCATAGGACTATTTGCATTGTCAAGTTTGATTTTATTTTTAGAGGTAGAAGTCTTTATAGCAATTTTATTAATTATAGGAATTACAATCATCCTGATTTTTTCAATAGTTTAATTATACCAATGTATGAAAGAAGAATCTGCTACATATTCATCCTTGAACAAGGATCCTGTGAATCATAGAAAAGAATTCCAATACTTCAAATTTTTTATTTTAGCCATATTTTTGCATAAAGTGTACCGTTAAGGATCTCTGTTGTTTTCAATTGATGCTGAAACTATTGAACATAACGAATTGTTTGATTAGATTTTCGATTTGTTATTCATGAGTATTGTCCTAAACATCATGGTGTTACTCAAAACCTATTATGATTCTGGATAATCAAAGAGGCATTTTATTTAATTAGCTAAGTCTATTGGAGAATAGTTAATGATTGGAGTATTGGCTTTGATTCTGCTCCAATTAGAATATCTATATTATGAACTCAGTCTTGAACATTCTTTCAAAAATTTAAGAAAGAAGAAGTAATTAATTCATATTTATTTCCCCTGTATTTTGCAACATGCTCTATTGTTTTACTATTAGAAATTGGGGAACAAAAATAGATTTACTAAGGTAGTAGCCCATTTGTTTCTATTGATCATTCAATTCTATTTCGTTGTACCTTAGATATCTTTATTTGATTAAAATAGAACTCTTATACAAAACTCCCTCAAAGCCTTAATCTTTTGTATGCCATTTTTTTACATCTACGCTAAGGACTTGGTTTTCTTCTTAATTCCCACATAATTGGCGACATCCTAATATGGAATTGCGATTTATACTTACTTCATAATACTGATGTTGCTGGTCTATATTTTATCGAAACCATAATTGAAGGTACTATATATAGTAATACATTTAATTAGTATAACAAATTGATTTTTGTTGCAATAATTTCATTAATTTGCTAATACACATGGTTTATGATAGGCAATTAATGTTCTATATCGGCGGTTCAACGTGCAACAAAAAGAATAGGATTTACGACCACTAATGGTGTGGAACTGCTTCTAATAATAGTTTATCTTCTTATAGGCCCATATGTTGGGGGTTGCTTAGTCTTGAAATTTGTAGGGAGTATGCTGAAGGAAGAGAAGGATGAGTTAAGAGAGTCAGAGTAGGAGAACACTAATAAGGAGATAAAACTATATTTTCTGCTTAACTTTTATCTTTAGATATTGTTTACCTAATTCCACAATTATAACAATTTGGGCGGATATACAACAATTTAATTTAAGTATATCTTTGATGTGGTTGGATATATGATAATTTGTTTATTAGTTTATATTTAATGAAATATATTAATGATTTATATAATATCCCTCAATAGTCTTCGATCTGTGCTTTGTCGTTGAAATATTTAGCATGGTATTAAGGATTGCGTCCATAGGGCAATTCCTCAATCAAATATCTACTGGTGAAGATTCCGTCTTTGACTTCACCAGGTGCTTTTGGTCCTCCCATGTCAGTTTTAACCCTACGAATAATGAGAATGGTAGCAATACCAGCCAGGATGAACACAAAAGATGGACTGATTGGGTTGGACTAAGTCAGCTAAGACGTGCCTGGCATAGGCATTAGTCAATACTTTAGAGACCTTATAGAGTGGTTAAATGTGGGAAGACCAGATTCCGTAATTGCCCTCTTTGTAATTGTGAATCAAATCTCTGGCGAACTATAAAATTTATTGTTTTGTCAATTTCTCTTATAACAATTTTTAGGTAGAGGGTGGTTATAATTTTAGCTTTCCGAGCATAGAAGAAATTAAAATGATCTAAAAATAGCATAATGCAATTACCTTTCCATCTTGAGTGAGTTAGGGTAATATAGTTTCTGTTAGATTAATTATTCCGAACAAATTAGTATTCATAATGTCAAAGGCCTTATTTTCTAATTGATTTTCATCATTCACACCAGCATTATTGACAATTACATCAACAGTGGTGTTGGTTGAGAGCATCCATTTGTGAAATGCCTTGACGCTGTCAAATCTGGAAACATCTAATTCTTGTGTGGTGATGCTTGCATTTGGCACTATGGCAGTAATTTTACGCTTGGCTTCATTAAGGCTACTGAGATTTCTGGCTGTCAAGAGTATATGATGCTTTGGGGACAAGACTTCAGCTAGTTTAAATCCGAGACCTCGATTTCCTCCAGTGATTAAGACTTTTCTCATTTTTTTAAAATATAAATGTTTATAAATAGTATATAAAATCTTATGAAGTAAAAAGATTTATTATAATTTTTGATAAAGTAAAATAATTTTATCAATATGAAATTAATTCTGAAGATAATATTAAATTAAAAATCCACTTTATATAAAAATACTTAGTAATTAGGTATTAATAAAATAATACATTTCAAAAATGCTAATAACAATATTACAATTGCTGTCAATTGTTGGAGGAATCTACTTCTATCATTTCGAATTTGGCATTATCTAAGTGCATTTGTAATATAAGATGACTCAAGAAATTATTTAGGTAAAATGAATCTACCATCTCCAAAAATAGAATACTCATCAGTTTTATTCCTTTTCTAAATGAAATTTAAGATTTATTATGTGTTTGCAATGAATATTAGTAATAAAGTTCAGATTTTATTCACAATATAAACAATGATCATATTTAGCATTACTACAAATTTAATCAACTGATCAAAGTCTTGAGTATAATATAAGATATGAGCTCTTCACTTCCAGAGTAATAGTATTAATTTTCTTAATATTATTGAACATATTGTAAAATATAAGAACCCTTAACAGATTCAATAAAATTCATTAATACATACCAAATTGAATTCTTATATTAGAAGTACAAGAAATATTTGGTTTAACTTATTTTATTATCATTTATATCATGAAGGCACAACAAATCCATTATTGAATTAAATTTATATTTTATTGTATTAGATTTTTGGAATTACATGCTTATTTTTTAAGCAAATACTTGATGAAATCTATGTTTAGGAATTTATTTAAAAAGAATAGCAATTTATGTTTAAATTATTTATATTGATTTTTCAAAATTTTGTACAAAATAATGAACAACTTTATTTTTCATGATTTTTTTTGATTTCCTTCTTTTCTTAGATTGGCAGATTGCTTTTATATAGTTTTTATTCTTCAATTTGATCAAGAATAATTAGAGCATCAAATTTTAATGTTAATTCAAATACTTTTTTAATAGGTAGAATATTTTAATTATTAAGTAGTTCTTTTATATAATTGTACACTTCTGAATTTAGTGTTTCAGCAGCAATACTAATATCGTTATGATTAGCCCCTTCTACTTTAATGAATGCAAATAAATTCTAGCAACATTTGGATAATTGTTCAGAATGATTAATTTTAATTATGGTATCTTTGGTACCATGGAAGATTAGGATTGGAGCTGTTATTTTGTCGATAATAGATTGATTGGAAAATTTATCATGTTCCGAATAGAAAGAATTTCTGTTGTCTATGATTCTTCCCAAAGATGCCAAAGGAGCTTATAGAATGATTCCAGAAAGTTGAAATTATGTTGCAACTTCCACAGTGGGATAGGAACCAATGGAGTATCCCCACAAAAAGATGTAGTCATATTGATGTTATGCAAGAGCCACGACATTAGAGAGATCTCTTGAGATGCCATATCTATTAGATAACAATAATACTCTGATGGTTTCATAGTTTTTTTTGTGATTCCATATCCTGAATAATCATAACAAATCACGTCAACTTAATACAGCTCGCAAATTTTGGCACCCCACCTGGATGTCAAAGTCAAATCCATCGCATTGCTGTGAGAGAGGATGATGACTCTATCTGAATTGCATGAATAATGAATTATCGGAACATATGATACAATTACATTATTTTCAATTTCTTTTAAAATGGAAACCCTATACTGGATGTTGTAACACTAATTTAAGTCAATCCAATTGTCATTCACTTTCATACTGAATTCTAATCCATTGAAATCTAAACTGTTTTTTATCTGGTAAGTTGGATTTGGAGGTTAAAAAATGAGATTATGTTCAATGGCTTCAGTCAACCCAAATTTATTGATTAATGACATCTTCCAAGATTCTCTAACTTGTTTATTATTGTTCTACATGTAAATTATAATATATATATTATGTGTAATCACTTTTTCTAAGTAAAAATGTCCTTGATCACTTTGAACAACAAATCAATATTGTTATTCTACTGAGCTGACACCTCTATATATTGATAGGATCTTTGTTTGGCCCAATTGTAACCTTCGTTCTCCGACATACTTCTCTTCTCCTTCTTATTGCCCACAACCAAAATGGGGATATTGGCAGCACCATAATCATTGGCTTCTCTAACCCACATGTCCAAAGTTTCCAAAGTTTTACGAGACGACAAATCGAACACCAACATTATCATATTCGCATCTTTATAAAATTCATTTCTAACTTCTACAAATTCTTGTTGTCCACTGAAATCCCAAAAGTTCAACTTTATTAATCAAAATGTAATAACTTACAGAGATGTTTGATGATGGTTGGACATGTTTGAAATCAACTGCTATTGTTGAATTGTATTTCTCTGAAAAATCACCATTGATGTATCTGTCCAAAATTGCTGTCTTTCCAACAAATGGATCCCCAAGTACTAGGATTTTGTATTACTCATAATTATCTTTATTCTTGTTTATCTTGATCGTCCCTGGTCTAATGTGAAAATTCAATTTACTTCGTTATTGTTCGCATTATAATAATAATCAAAAATACTTGTGATATACAAATTAATACCACGCATTCATATTTTAAAAAATGAATAAGAAAGAATTCAGAAAACTCAATGCTCATATCGACAAAGAAGTGCTCAATCTAACAGGCGGAGTTTATCCTGTTGGTCTAATTACTTAATAGAAACCTATCAATCATCAGAAGTGGGCACAGGAAGAAATTTTATTAAATAATTCACTCGTCAAAAGAATTAATGCTTGGGTACCTGAATAAGAAAGAGGCAAGCTCTTTCCAGGAGAAAAGTTTAATATTGAACCTGAAGTTGTTGAATTTACAGAGAATGAAATTACCGTGGATGAAAATTGGGATTATGAGGAAACCAAATACCTATTCCAAGAGTTGAGACATTTCAATTATAATTTCATCATTCTTTATGATAGATATCAATATCAAAACAAAAACAGAGACATCTATCAGTTGAAGGATAGATATTACAGTGTCATGAGGGAAATCTTATAAAAGAGAAGTCAAACTTCACATTAATTATATAATTATGTCTATGATGAGGAATATGATAGATTTAGAAACATGGAGTTAGAGAAATATTTGAAAAGGACTAAATAGATTTGTGATGATGAAAAAAAAATATAGGAGGATCTCAGAAAATTAGATTAATTGATCAAGAAACAAGAGAAAGAACATCGAAGTATCACCAGATGTATTGGAAGTGCTCAAGAAACTGATGTAAATTAATAATATCAATATCCTTCTAGGAAATAGATGAAAACAGATTACAAACCATTTTAGAAGTTGGCCAGAAAAATGAGGATCTCAAAAATAAAACCCAATAACACATAGTGTATCTCAGAACCAAGTGGGTGAATGATGTCTTGCCTATTCCAAGCTCGGTCAAAGATAAATTAGATAGACAGTTAAAAGACATCATCCCTCAAGCTAAATTGGTCTTAAATCAAGAGTTAGAGGCCTCATACTCACAACTAAGGAAGTTCTACTTGGAAGTGTTAATTAAATAAAGATTGTAAAAAAAGAGAGAAGCAGATAAAAAGTAATTGGAAGACAAAATTAGAAAAATCAAAGCATAATTTGATTCATAACCTCCAAGTGATATTAAATAAAAAAAATGATCAAATCAAATTTGTATTCCTTTTTTACACTCATTTTTAATTGATTGTTTAATTTGCATTAATAAATGTGAATTAAAAATATATAATAATTAATATCAATTTCTTTTAAACATCGCTTAAATTGTCTATTTGATATCATTTTTTAATGTAATAATGCTCTACTTTACTTAAACCCCTTGCATCCTAATACTCTATCCAACTATTCTAAATTGTTCTGCAATTGCATTCTTCTATTGAATTAGACTTTCCTTAACTTATTACATTTATTAAGCAATCTGAATTCTTATTGAAATCAATTATTGCTTTATTGAATCATAAATGCTTTAAAGTATTACTTTAGCAGCTTGGAATTACTCAATTATTGATTATTTAATTTGATTAAAGATTCCTATCATTTTAATTTATATAGCTTATGCTGCCTCTTTCACTACTATGCATTGAGCCACTATCACTCCTCTCAAAAATTACATAAAATCAACAATCGTATTTTTTAAGGATATGAATACTTAGACGACTTAATTCTTCAACTAGATAAGAGGATCAATCATGATACCATACACATATTTAATCTACTACCAAATTAATTGAACTAGTTCCTTGATGACTTTTATTAAATATATGAAAAATTCAGTAATTTTGGCTTTAATAAAGAGAATTTAGTTTTTCAAAAATATGCAAGCTTATTTTAACTTATCAATTCCATATTTTATAATTCTTATTACTTTTTGTTTGATTTTAATATAACTATTCTTTACCTTGACTCCAAATAATCTTATGCTTGCCCAAGCAGGTAATACATAATTATATTTCATCATATCTTTGAAATTTATTAACGATTAGACAATGGCTAGGACTGCCTTTTTAATTACTCTATAGCAGCCCATAATAAATCTAAGAACTGGGGTGATGAGTTTGGAATTTATTATTGAGGCTATTTTCTTAGCTTACTTAAAAATCAGTACTAGGAGTCCTTCTATTTTTATTAGTAATTTTATGAATTTCACAATTATGTAAACTATCCAAATATACGACTTATTTGGGATTCGATATATAAAGAAATCAATTCCTACTTCAATTACTTTGTTAAATTACAAATAAGGGAACGATAAAATGACGAACATTATATCAAAAAATTTTTCTGTAAGCCATATAATTGGTTTGAATATTCTAAACACCAATATAAATTTTACTAGAATCTTACATTGTTATTCAATTGTCCATTTTATTGATTTCTTAATTGATCTAAACAAAAAGATTACAAAATTTTTAATTTTCTATCCAGTTAATTTTATTATTTTCTTGATGAATTTATAGGCTGCCTTGATTTTTAAGATAATGTATTTTGCAATAATCAATATTTTCTGATATAAGATTTTCGCTTTTTAATATATAATATTAGCTAATATTTTCAACTTATTTTGAAGTTTCTACATTAAAATACAGAATTTTAAATATCTTTTAGCGCTGTTCTCCCTCATTTTACTATAGATTAATTTTAATTTCAGGGCCAGGTTTCTCCCTCTTTTCTAAAGTATCTTAAATACTTGATATGATACTTTTTATCCATTTCTATAGTATTCCATAAATTTTGTTTTTCCTTTTATAATGACATCATCTCTCAAGAACAATAAGGCCACTTTAATGAGATCGATAGTCTTCAATGAGATATCAATTATTAATCTTTTAATCTTTTTCAAAACTTCATTAACTTTGAGATTGAAAGGCGAGATTACATTTTGTTTTAGTTACTTGTATTTTCCAAGAAGGTAATCGATTAAGAGAAGAGAATAGTGGATTAATCTATTTTTGACATACTTCAGACATCTTCCTACTAATTTAATCTAAACCAAGATCCAATTCTAAAATTACAAATATTTGGCTTTAATATAGTATAAGATTATTGGAACATAGTGAGTCAATGCACTTTTTAATTTGACCATTCCAAGAGTAGATTAATCCTACAAATAGTAGCTGAATTAAACAATTTTATTCTTTAATGGAATGAGCGTACGCTAATAGATGAAGATTGAAGCCTTTTTAATTTATTAGTACAAATAAGTTATCAAAAATGTGATTTTTTCTTTAAGATATAATGTAAATCGTTTAATGGCTTTATAGATAATTAATATGAGTTATTTTGTTTTGTTAAGGATATATTTTATCTTAGATATCGCAAATTTCATCCCTTTTTTACCCTGTCTTTTAATAACACTTGATATTCTTTAGTAGTAATTTTTGCAAATGGCAGTTACAACTTTGATTTTCTTAGCTATCCATATATATAAGACGAAAAGATAATTTTCAATAAATATTAAAAAATACTAAATGATAAACAGTACCAGCTGTTACCATTTTTTAGTAATGTATTGTGAACATACTCTTAGAACATACTGCAATTTTACTATAAATAGCAAACCTTTCTAATATATCCAATTTTTGACAAAATAAAAATTAACAATAATATATTACTTTGTGCTTTTATATGTTTGAGCTATGAAATGTATTAAGGAAATAAGAGATTCCCAAGTGTAAATGAGTAAATTTTTTATTCCGATAACTAATTCAAAAATAATCATGCAAGGGAAAAGTAAAGCAAACAAAATTACATTAATAATGTTTTTGTAAAGGGGATCTCCTTTTTTAATTATTCCCCCAAATAGTTTTCGTGATGCCTTGATCTATTAAATCTTGGCATCATTAAGTTCGTTGATCTCTGCATTATGAGCATCTATATCCATTTAAATTTATTATATTAATATATTTCATTTAATAAGTTAATTGAAATAGGATGGGCATATCCACCGTGTTCATATAGAAATAAATGGCATAAATCGTAATTAATTAGAAAAGTTTCATTTTAAACAATATATTTATACTGAATATATATTGTTGTTGGGCCGAACAATAAATAAGCAAGAGCATATCTTCCCATCTTCTCAAGATTTTTTAATTGAAAAAATATGATATGATCAAATTAATATATTGAATAATGTAATGTATTATATAAGTGTAATTTTAATAACCTCTATTTTTATTAGGCATAGTTTAAATGGATAAATTGTATTAATCGATCTCATTTAATATGGATATAAGAATTGATCCAAATGATCATTTTTATTTTCTAGTAGTACTTTTCAATAATTTTAATACTATTATTTTTGTTATTAAGAATTTCAAATCATAACTTCTTTTTCAATCACTTTTCTAAAGCTCGATTGAGAATTGCTATTGGAAGTGAAGGGTAAATAGTGTTTACCTAAAATAAAAGGTCCTAATTAAATAATAAGATTTAATGAAATCGTTTTTTTAGCATTTTTAAATCATTTTTGTTTTGACTAATATTGATTTAATTTAAATAAACCTAATCTCTACTCTCAACCTCTTACACATATGTAATCTAACGAAATTCTTCCAGTCTAATCAAGTATTACTTTTGTCATCTTTAGATTTTCTATAAACTCATAGCCTGTTACCTTAAATATAGCACATCGAATTGCCTTTTGAAGATGTCCACGATCAACTCTAACTAAGTAAATCATATTAGTAATTATGTAGTCGAGAGTGTAGAAACATTCAATTTTAATGAAATGGATGCTGAGGATGATTATTATAATCCAATTTAAAAATTACCCTTGAAGAAGCCCAGAAAGCGAAGAAGAAGACAAGCATTTCACGATAAGAGAAGAAAAAGATCCAGCTAAAAGAAATCTGTAATAATATCTAATTTACTGTATTTAGAATAGGAAACCTCAACCGATTCCATTTAATTATTAAGAGGATAGACAGATTCTTCTCTAAGTCTTAGAAGTGGGGCCCAAATTCTATAAAATCGCCAAAGGCTTTCAAGGGAGAACTTTGAGCATGGTCAAGAACAGATATTACAAGACTTTGCGCTTCAAATGGGATGTCATCTTGGGACAGTATCTAATTATATTAAGTTTAATAGGGAATATGGATATATGAACGCCTCTGTGAACGACATCTAAAATTAACAAGGTCTTGAATATTTAGAAGAAGATTATGATCATAATATCTATTCATAATTTTTATTTTGAAATCTAATTATAGTACTTACATATTATTTTCAAAAATATGACATTGTTTTAAATAAACTATTAAAATGAATGAAAAATATTAAAAAACACACTAAATTTTTCAAAAGACTTCTGATATTAGTTCACTTTGTTTTTGTCCACCCACAAATTCATATTACTTGAAACTCATTGAGAAATATGCTTCTCCTTGAGAAATAGATCGAATGGCCGTGGAATATCCAATGGTCTCCTAGGATGGAATAGTGGCTGTAAGAATGACTCTATTGCTGTTTTGAGATCCTGCTCTATTTTAATCTTGTTTGATTTCAATGATTTTTCCCCTTCTATGGGAAATCAAATCATTAATGATTCTCTACTACAATGAATTGGGACAAGAGATCTCAAGATCCATGATGGGTTCTAATATGATGGGCTAAGATGCATAATGAATAAAAGTACTTTGAGTAAGGGATGGATTTCTGTCATTAATTTTTGGACTGCTCTGCCGATAGCCAAATCATTGGTCCTTTTAACAGAGAAAGCACCATCCAAGATTGTGGCATTAACGCCTTGCATTTAATAGGATTTCAAGAAACCCCTATTGAGAGATGCCAGGATTGACTTTTCCAATTAAAAGAACATGGGAAATGGCAAGGAAGATATATGATAGGCCTTTTCTTCCCCATGGTCATCAAAGATGGAATCTACTTCTATGTTTTTACAAGGATTCTTGATATATTTGATTGAGGATTCAATTTTTTGATTGGGCACCAATCTGAGTTAACTTTCTTTGAATTGCTTATATAGGATGTCGAAGTCGTTTTCTCTATCAAAATCAAAAATGACTTCATTCTCCTGCTATTCACTTGGTTACAACTTCAACTTCAATTTAAACCACAAGGGTCTTCCTTTAAGGATATCCTAATATTTGACTTCCAAGACTCCTTCCTCACTAATGCTCTCCTTGTATTCGACTTGCATCTTCTTGAGTTTTGTGTTTAAGCCAAAATCTTCTTTCAATCTTTACACAACTATTTCGAGATGTAATTCTCCTTGTCCACCAATAGTAATAAGTGACTCATCAATTATGGAAATCTTCAGGCTCTCATCCTCCAATTGCAACTATTGCAAAGCCTAATCTAATTTGAGTTTGTCCTTGGCTGACTCATATTCTAAGTTGGCAAAGAAGACACACTGAGGTAATTACAATTACTGTAATACAAATCTACGTGAATCAGAAGGATTTACCTCTCATCATTGGGTCCAATTATGGTAGACCCAGCAACTGCCTACTTGGATTGAATTGCAATGATATCTCCAGCTTGAACACTATTGATGGGAACATACCTGTTGGCTCTGACTCTATAGAGATTGTTGACCTTAATAAGTTCATCCTTGGTGCTGTTATTATAGTTTTATTTTTAAGTCATTTCTCCAGAATAGATTCTAGTAAATCCAAGCAATCCCAAGTCTTGATCCTGTAGAACCTTGTACACATAAGCAGTCAGTTTTTCACTCTTTTCTAGTTTCCTTTTGTTATTTGGATTGTTGATGTCAAAGATCAAAGGTCTTTCACTAGGTCCTGGCAATAGTTAATGGACAGCATCCAGAATTGGTTAGATACCCCTATTTTTGAGTGCTGATCCAACGTAGATGGGGCAACATTGGTTGTAATTTGTATTAATAATTTGTCTAATAGAATGAAGCAGCAACTATTGATTGAGCAATTCTTTAGAGTCTTCCAAATAGAGTTCGGCAATCTTATCATCATACTCAGACACAGTAGACAACAGATCATCTCTGGCTTAGATGGCTTTATCATAATAACGATGAGATTTATCGACATCTCTGAATTAAACTTCTGAGCCGTACTTGTCTAACCAGACAATCTCTTGGAGAGTCAAGAGATCGATGACAGAATTGAAATAATCAATTTCACCTACTGGGATCTGCATTCTAGAGTAATGAATTTGATGGAATACATAAAAGGTTTGATGTGCAATCTGTCTTTCATAGATTGAAGAGTGTAGTCTAATGATGCCCCTTGTCTATCCATTTTGTTTACGAATGCAATTTTGGGGATGTTGAACTTATTGGCTTGCAACCACACAGTTTCTGATTGTGTTTGGACACCTGAGACTCCATCAAAGATTGCTATGGCTCCATCTGCGAAAATAGATATTATATTTGTACCTAAAACTCTGAGGGATCTTTCGACTTCAGCTGTAAAATCAATGTGTCCAGGAGTGTCGATGAGATTATATTGATGATTGGCCCAGTTGAAGGAGATGGCTGCAGATCTGATGGTGATTCCCCTTTGTCTTTCTTAGGGCATGAAGTCCATGGTGGTGGTACCGTCATGAACTTCACCTGGGAATGTGATGGCTCCAGAGTAGAACAGCATTCTTTCTGTGGTTGTTGTTTTGCCTGCATCGATGTGTGCTATGATTCCAAAGTTTCTGATTTTCTCTTCTGTGGTAGTTGGCAAATTCTTCAATCTCTCCGCCCTCTCTTGATTGATTCTGTCTCGAATGGAAGAGAAAGTATAGATTCGCTTCTTTAGACAAGTTCGAAGCATAAATTTAGATAATAAATAATGTTTGTAAAATGAATGCACTCAAAATAACAAATACATTATTAAACAAACCATAAATAAAATATTCTCATAACACTTTTGGCATTAATTGTGATTCCAATAATATGTATGTAGCGTATTCTTAAAGCAATTGTCTTTTGTCAACTCCTGTGTTGTAATAGCTTAACATTAAGATATGTTGTAATCGTATTGACACACTTGAATTTGGTATCCATTCTCCAGAGTAGAATTTATGATGTAATTGCAGAAGTACTCAGGCAAATATTGACATTCTGCATTCACACAAGCATTATTATTGAGAATGCAGTAAAATGGGTAGAAGGCACATTGGTCATTGTCTAAATCCTTGCATTAAGCCACTGTGCACACTCCATTATTCCAAGCACAATACCCAAAATTATATAGACATTACTATTGGGTCAATAAAGATTCGCAATGAGTTGTGGATTGGAGTGTGCAATAATCGCTGTTTGTTTAGTTGGTGCACCACACATTTTGATCGTAGCAATTGCGAGTACCATTGGATAATAAGTGAGAGCAGAAATCCTCGGAATCGCTGCTTGTGAATAGTTTGGAACATTTTGGATCTTGAGAACTTGTGAAGTTGTTGAAGCATTTCCTCGATGTTTAACACAAGTAAGGATTCAAGTCTTCGCATCTGATGTTCTCGCATTTATTCTTCGACCAAAAACAGTAGAGATCTCTTTAACAATCTTATTGTGTTACTAGTTCATCGCAATTGCATATCTCTTTGAATGTGATGTCAATGAATTGCTAAGTCCACACTAGGGGAATACTTAATAAGAGCAGCATTTATAATAAATAATATTTCAAATCCACGCTTAAATTTATATAGAATAATATTATTTTCTATATATTATCATTATCATTTAGAATCGGTGGGGAGCAATACTACTTTGGTGGATCCTTACTGTCCCAAAGTGGTGATTGTGTCTAGATACCGTATTTACATGGCTGCCTTGGAATCCAAGAGTTCTGCTGCCTGTCTCATGAGCTTGGCCGATTGAACATCCCCTTAAGCAGAAATGACCTTGGCTTGAGCTGCTCTCTGCTCCTTGGCTGCCATGGATAAGGTGTTCTACAAATCAGCATTCAATTAAATATCTTTAATCAACATGTTCTCAATGTCAATTCCCCATTCCCAGACATGTTCATCCACGAATCCTTCGATTTGCTACTGCACTTCAGCTCTCTTTTCCAAGAGATCTTATAGAGTGTGAGATCCAGCTATGCTTTTGATAGTAGCCAATGTTAATTGAGTCACTGCTTGATGGAGATCGTTGATATAAAATATGGATCTTCTTGGTATCACTATTCTATAATAAACAGTTGCATCAATGCTCACTAAGATGTTGTCCTTGGTCATCACTTATTACCTAGGACAGTCGATCATCTACACTTTGCAATCGACCTTCTAAATGGTATCGGTGCAAGGATTGATGTATATTAATCCAGGTTGAACTTAGATAAAAGCCTCGTGTACCTGTCTTAATGTATTTTCCAAAGCGCAAATATACTCCAACAAAACTTTGCTCCACTTAGACATAGGGATACTCGACGCAAGGATTGCAAGGACAGACAGCCTTGCAATTTCCGCAGCACTCTCCACAATTGTATAAGTAGGATTAATATGAACCACCCAAGTCCAGATTCTGCTCTTAATTTTCAGGCAACTCTTCCCTGGGATAACGAGGAGCCTTATACCCTGAGATATAAAATTAAACTCTTCACTTACCAGGTGGTGGAATGTTGTAATCCCGCTGTTGCTGGGGTGGAAGTTGTTATTGTTGATACATAACTTAGTTTTGTTATTACATAATATAATAATATATATAAATAAATATTATAAACTAAAAAGAAATAAATCACCTTAAACTAATGACTACCGGTCCAGAGTAAAATGGAGCATATCCTAACGGTAATTCCGACCCCTCGATGATCATGTTTCTAAAAAACTGCTCATGTGTCTAAATAGAATATCTATCTAATTAATACTACCATAAATACCGTTCTTCATCGTCATTCGTAGCAAACAACAACTCCATCTGTAGATTGGCCTCTATCCCCCTAACAACCTCGCTATCGAATCTGAAGATCTGGCAGTCAATATCAGTGTATGAATGTCGATAAACTGTCAATTTGTTCTTGCCAGAATCGTAACCCAAAGACCACAAGAGGAGATTGCTTTGCATGGCTGTTTGCCATCCTTTTTCATTGCCCATCCCAATAAAACAGTCAGCACTGTTTTTCAATTCTTCTAACAAATCTGCATCACTCATCTCCAAATGACCCTCAACGCAGTAAAAGTCCAAACCCAACTTCAAAGCACTTCTGACAGCCTTAGTGGCAATCTCGGATAGTATTTGATCCACTCCTTTCATTTGTCGTTGTTCCGATAGAGACTTCGAACTCTGGAATAAATTGAAGAGACCCTTCTAATTCAATTTGCTCTCATAGTTGAAGTCTAAATCCCCCAAAGAAACCTAGTAGATGTACAAGATGGCTCTCTAAACATGATTGTAGAGTTTTCCTACTGGCTACTACAATTTCTTAGTTTATTGGGGAATATCTTATGTATAATCATCCAACATTTTCATGATATCATCTTCTTCAGGTTTAATTTGAGTTTTAGGATTTGGTTTGATTTATATTTAGATTTCTGACTGTTGATCTAGACTATTATTCTTAAAGGATGAAAACAAGTCTTTCAATTTGATACAATCTGCGAATGAATTCGGAAAATAACTTTCATACCCTTCAAATCTGTTGGATAAATCAACAATTGATTTTTAATGACTCTCATTTAATTCTTAAACGTAATAACATAGTGTCCTTAAATAAATCTTCTTGAATCCACTCACAAATTCAGATGCTTCTATCGTACCAGTCAAACTCAACTAATTTTCCTCGTAACTGGAGATTTGGAATTTTTGCTGCAAAGTCAAAGCACTCCCACAAAATGATCCACAATCCTTTGCATCCACCAATCTATCGACTTCTCTTGCTTCTATGCCATGACAACTCGTGGTCTCCTATGATTCCAAACCCTTGAATTGGATAACAGCATATCCCCCTTGATATTCCAACACTTGGATGATTCCCAAGTACTTCCCTATTCTTACCAGATAATGACTCCACAAGGGTTGAGAACTCAGCAATTTATTGTATGCCTTACTCAAATAGGCATTGTAAATTGATCCCTCTGATGAGTTCTCAATGTGTTTTTGAATGTGGATAGTGTTTCTGAAAGGTCTCAAGGATGCAAAGTAAAATAGGGGTAGTCCCAAGAATGGCATGTAAGGACTATCCAAAATGCTGGAAATAAGCATAATTAAGAATGTTATTGGACACATTATCAATTGCAATGTGGTGATACATGCAGCTCCCTCTACCTTCTGCTTCTTCACTGTCAACATCTTCTAACTAATCTACTTGAATTGATTATTACTTTGCTATAATCCATATTAAGAATCGAGACTTCATTCTAATTGCAAATCTCAGAGCTATTTATACCAAGAATCCAATCAATTAGCAGTAAGCCATCGAATAACTGGTTTTGAATGAAACTATAAAGCATACCAATTATTCGAAAAACAAATAATTAGGATTCGAATGGATCAGACTGTACAATCTGATTATCGTTGTGCATTCAAACAACCTTTGTGAGAAGATCCCTTCAAAATTGTAATCCATCATGGATATGCATGCACATTCAACTGCAGCATATAAGATTTTGTAGTATTTAACGTATGATTCAAATTTCAATTGAAGTAGGATGTAACCCAAAAATAGAGGGATAATGGCATAGTAGAGTTCTTTGTAATGAGAGGAGGCCAAGACCCCGCATAGAATTATTGAAAATGCATTCAACAAAGTACTTATCAGGTTAGCCAACAGATATGGTCTATCCAAGTAATTCTACTTGTAAATTTGATTGTCATCCTTGGGCAGGGACCCAAAAATGTTGAACATTTTAATGTTCACCAATATACCACTTACTATTATTGCCACTCCACTACTATTATTCATGTATGATAATCCAAGACAGATGGCAATAAGGACGACGTTTAATAATACAGTTAAATATGTTCGTTTCTGAGTCGATTGGTATGATGATCCCATCAGGAAATTGAATTGCTCACCCACATATTCCAAACTAATTCAAGTCGTAAAATTTATTTACAATTATGAAAACTGCCCATACAATCCCATCCATAACAGAATAGGTGTGAAGTAGTAAATGTATCTAATGATGTTGGCTATGATCATCCTGTCTACATGAGTGAAAATCAAAATCAATTTCAAAAACAAACAAGCATATCTAGATCGAGAGTATGCCTCCAATTGAGTATATCCGAGTTCTACATTTTATTCTCGAGGAAACAAGAAAAAAAATACTATCGCATCCAAAACTGTCCCACCATATTTGACTGCTGAAGCAGTTCCTAAGGTTTGAGGAATCAGTATTCCAATTTACGATCCGATCTATGCTCTGGTCTTGCGATGCTCCTCGTCTGTAAAGTAATTCAAGCATATCTAAAGGATCGTGTTGATAATGGCAGGCACTATCAACACAACAGCATAGTTGTCTACAAATTTCCCAATTATGTAGGTTTGAATTACAGATACGAGTTATATAATCACCTACCCATCAATATAAATTCTACCTATATGATATATAGCTTTGTTGGTAGGTGTAATGAGTGTCCTCCAAATAGAGAGGCTAGACAAGCTTTGAACAAGTAACTTCTTTTCTGCAAAGTGAGAACTGGTGCAGTTTAATTCATTTTTAATTAATAATAATATGTATATATAATAGCAATCTAAGCTATTAATAGATGGTTATTTATATAATTGAATTCCCCATGTTCAACCTATTGTGACTGTTATATTTTTGTTAAATAAACTAACTATATGATTATTGAACTTTGTTTGAATTTTATTTATATTGAATTGCTATAAATATGAAAATTCTTTTTGTCTCAAATATAATAGGGATTCTATAAAAATCGAATCGAGGTAACTAGGTTAACCAAATTCAATATAGATAAAAATTTAGATTTTAAAGATGATATTTAATAATATTTTGGATTAAAATCTGAATATCCTTACAGATCTATTCTTTTCAGCTAAGAAGATATTTATATAAGTACAAAATACATATAAGAACTCGATTTAAATAGAATAAATATTTAAGTTTTTGTTGTTTTTTTAAATGTTATCTAAGGTCATCTTAAATATGATTACATATTCCTAAAAATAATTAATCTGCCTCCATTTACGAGAAGTTAAACGTGATTAATGTGCCGATTCTAAATGTCCATTTGGAGTAATCTGTTTTAAGTGATTATTGAAATAGTTTTGTCCTGGATAATGAGTATGGTTAAATTCCTGATGACAGAATCTTCTTAAATACTAATGATATATCTTTACCAACTGAACAGCATTATTAAATTTACAATTAATAATAAAGACTTTAATAATATTCAAATACATAAAGATTTATAATTACTCAATAATATAAATGGCTATGCAGTAAAAACTAAATCCATATTAAATTTAATGTAAGATTGTAAGGACGAACAAAATTACCTCAACTTCCTCTAGTTAGAGAAGACTGTAGGATCAATCGATGACAATTCTACTTCGTTACATCAATTGAATCATGAAAATCTTTCTCTAACTTATAACATGAACTAAGAAGTTTCTCCTCTAAATCACCAAACCAAGAGGATAAAGAAGAAGAAGCGAGTGATCTTCCATTACAAGAAGAAGAGAAGAAATACTAAACTAATAGAGATGAATAACAATAACCCATTCACCGTTGAGGAGGACCAAAAAATCCTATCACTTGTGCTCAAGCACGGTCCAAAGTTTGGCAATATAATCAAAAACTTCAATGATAGGAACCAAAACGCCATAAAGAATAGATACTATAAATACCTTCGATTCAGATGGGATTCAATATTGGGGAGGTATGTACTTGTTTTTAGTGATTAATAGTGACTACAGGAGGCTGAATTGCAAGCGAGACAGCGAGAAAGTGGATTGTAGTGATCTAACTTAAATCATAGATGAAATGACGATCTTTCCAGAATTCAAAGATTTATTGTCCCAGTTAGTATACAGAGTCCACTCCTATTTTAATTGACTATTCTTTTTTATGTGTTGTGTATTTAAAGTTATTGTGATTTGAATTTTTGATTGAATGAATATCAAGTTGTTGGAGTTGTTGGAAGAGCTATCGAATTGGAATCATGATCCCAAAATACAACATTGAGTATTTAGAGACTCTAGAGAGTAGAAGACTAAGGATATGGAATGGTGAGAGCAAGAGATGATTAAATTCGATGCCTGATAAATGTAATAGATGTAAATCTGGTGAGAATGAGATCATGGGTAGTTGAATTAGCGGTTGAATGATGAAGGAAGATTTGAGAGAGGGGAAGAGGTGAATTTGGTTGTAATTATAATATTTGGGATAAATTATGAAAATCTCAAGAAATGTATTGGTATTTATGTATGAATTATACGTATATATTTATTTAGGAATTTGATTATTAATTAAATGCAAGAGAAATTAATAGCTGGACTCACATCGAGTTATGGCAGTTTGTTGGGTCAATAGTATTTGAAGTGGTTGAAGATGCCTCCTTCTTATTTACGAGTGATGCAATCCATCGATTACAGAAAGGGGATGTATGGCAGCTTAGCAAATAAAGGCAAATCAATAGATAATGCTTATATCGACGGAGAAGTGTTTCACAAGTGTGGAATTCGTCGGTTGTGACAACAGGAAATCTCAAGAACTTCAGGTATGTAGTTGCAAATCAATTAGACCATAGCATCACAAATAGCTCACAAAATAAGTGGTGGAAAAGTGGAATAGTAGTATTTGGTCACAGGGTTGCTCAAAATTATTCTGCAAGTGTTCGTGCATCAGAAGGACCAATCTCTAACTCACTCTCCATTTGCAAATATGATTCAACCTCCTAATACTCCTCTTTTGTGGCCTCAAACAGTGATTGACTTGATAACCTCTAGGAATTTGGCCTCCTTGATTGAAGGCACTCTTCTCCAATGTTAATCGATGTATAATGAATTGCAATTGAGCAAAGTTTACGGTTTGACAGCCCTTGAGTTTTTGAAATTGTTCCAATCAGTCAGAGCATCCTTAATTTGCTTCAATCCACAGTATTACCAATATCAATACATTCTAGAAAACCTAAATACTTTGACATGCAATCAGTCTAAATAGTATGTCCAATAGTTTATCAATTTGATCACTCCTTCGACCCAAATTGCTACTTGGATGGCTGTTATTTGAGCCATGAAAACATGAGTTTCGTTGATTTCAGTGCCAAAAAGCAAATCGAACCAGGCGACGTAAGATATCCTCCCCTATCTTAATAGAAATTAACCATCAATTACGGTAATTTGAGCAATCACGATCTACTAATGAGACATGGAATTATTGCGGATGAAAATCCTTACAATGAAATGCCCATAGATTTGGATTTCACCACGGCCATTAATTACACTGAATAGCTCTTTGAGTAAAAGCAAAAGTGGTTGAGACAAAGCGAAATCACCAACATTGAAAGATAGTCCTTGTATGCTAACAAAATTAATGTGCAATTATTACAGTAACATTTATACCTTACTCTCTTAGGTATCTAAGGATTTATTTTCTGACTGAACAAGAATTCTCCAAAAATCCACAAATGGAATTCAATTCATTCCAAGAAAAAGTCAGTGAAGAAAATGAGTTGTTGGTCAAATAGTTTATGATTCAAAACATCAAGAATATCTTATCCACTTACAAACAAATTTCTAAACCAGTTGGCAAAGAATTGCAGGACCTTTACAAAATTCAAAAGGACGAGATGACCATACTATAAAATAATCTAACTTTTTTTAGTAAATGAGTGCAAATGATAAAAAATGTTAAAATTATTTATAATTAACAAATTGATGAGGAAATCTAATAATGAATAGACTCTTCCCGCTCAAGGAAATGCCATTGATAAACAATTCTACTACAATCTCCTATCTCTCGAGAAGGCCATCATTAAAGAACCACAACTGGATGCTGTACAATAGGCCTTAGCTATGTATAGGTATATTTTGTTGCATATTCGACAATAGAAAGTGCGTGGAGTACTTTGACAACATATAAGATCCCATCAAATATTATTTTTTGGACAAGATCCAATAAGCCTTGAGTGAAACCAAAACACTTATGCTCATCATCAATTCCAAATCTGAATTAGAGTCCTCCAAAACCATTAGTCCAGTCAAACGATCCTCCATGTCTGATCTACCCTCACCTTAATTATCTGATTAATAGGTTATGGATAAGAAACTCAGATCAAAATAAGTCACATTATAAATTAAGTTGCATGAAGCCTCCGATTAATAATGTAAAGTCTACTCACATACATTCTAGCTGAAATACTCAATACTATGGTCACCGACTTTACAACTAATACAACAAGTACGGATTAGAAGGTTAGGCAGGATTTAAATTAATAAGCAGACATAATACAAGCCAGATTACTTAAGAGATAGTAAAGCACAAAAATAAAAGGTTGTTCATCGATGCAAACCTTGTTTTGATAAATATATATAAATAATCAATTGTATTTTCAATTAACTTGGTGATATCTAATATAATTAGAATAATCAATATTCACTTCAATTTAGTTATGAAGAAGAAAAACCTCACTTTTTCAATACACAAAATTTGAATATATAATTTTTAAAATTTATACTATCATACATCTTTTTCAAACATGGATTCGGTGTGGTTTATGCTACAGTAGAATAAAAAATTTCAATTATGAATTATGTTTGGGTAAAGTAGATATAGTACTGGGATCATAAAACATTATAAATAATTCAAGTTTAAAATATTTAAGTAATTAAAATGATGGAGTAAATCCCTAACTACTTTTAGTTTCAACAGTAAAATATGAATGATAATATTCCAGTAATATTATGTATGATTTGGATGTTCTTCTTTTTTTAATACATTAATGAGAATAATCCATTATAAGTACAAATGATTTTGAGAGTCAATGACTGCTCATGGAAAATACTGCTGGAATTGATATCAAATGTCTAGAATCATATGTTTTATTTAAAATCTCTTGCTACATCTAGATTTTCATATGATTATGGGTAGACTAACAAGTCAAATTCAGCTCCAAAGACAACTAGTTATCTCTTTAACAAATTCCTTGAACATACCACTTGCAAATGGTATGAAAAATAATTTTATTTATAAGATCTCTCTGTCTTATTGATTTACAACAATAATAATTTTAATAATATTTAAACCCAATATTATAATACCATTCAATATTCAATTACTCTTGATCACCTCTGTGACTGTTTTTATATTTATCAAACCAAGGATTCCATAGTATAGGGCAGTCAACACTAATAATTAAAACCCTTCTGTTAAATATTAAAAAAGGAATCCAAGTAAGTAAAGGATCATGAATTTCGGCATTATTGCATTCCATTAGATTTTTATGCCTTATTTATTAATGATTAGAAATGACACAAAAATTCTGACTGACATTGATAAGATATTTGAGATAATTATGCCTGATGATCCCATTTGAACCAAGATTACTAAAGATAAACTAGAAAGGTAGGTGATATGGAATACCTATATATGATTGTTTAAGCAATAAGCAAGTATCTGTACCACCACATATCTTTTGTGTCGATTGTAGAATTCACATAGCTTTCAGTGATTCCATTAATGCCCATGATCCAAATGTAAATACAGTAAAGTTGCATAGCCAAAATACAGGAATCAGAAGTCCATTGGGAACCATAAATCTGTAAGAATGCAGATGCACAGGGAATACCAGCACTTACGATGCTTATTCCAACCAAATTCAAGAACTTCAGATATTTTTGCAACAATTAGGTTTATTCTTCTTGATTGATTTTAGGGAACAAATTAAATGCTATTTATTCTATGTTAACATAGATAAAGCGAGGGATTATGGAGCCAATGTGACTGACTAAGGTAAACTCTCCTGAGATGATGGGATTGTTGTAAATCACCATGACTATTTTTTCAAGTTCTTATAATAAAAATTTCATAAAGGCCATTAATGTAAATTGATAACCCACTTATTTCATCTCAGCCACAACATACACTCCTTCTTTATTCAATTACTTAAATTTTGATTGATTGGAGAGTGAAAATATATAACCGAATATGAAAATGGAATAGATGACTTGAGCAATTCCAAACCCAATAACAGTTTCAATCTAGAATAATTCGCGTGTATATTTCCCCAATAGTATGTAGAGCACTATCGTCTTCATAAAAACTGCTAAGCCTTCTGCTTTGGCCACCACGTTCAATTTTAATTAAATGATCCATTAAACAGCATAGGGTTCTGAAGCTCCATCAATTACTAAAATTCAAATGGCATCATTACCTGCGGAGATTCCATAGAGAAAGGCTGTTTTGGCAAATGCAACACTTTGATTGTAACTCATCACCAAAACAGTGATTGGTGCAATGCAGATTGTGATGAGTAATCCGAAGTACATTAGATTGACAGCCGATTAGGTTTGTTCTTGATTGGGGTCCTTCAATCTGGAGTAGGTTTATTTCAGGACGATCTTTAAATAGAAGAGAGTGATGTTGGTCAACAAATCCAAATTAGTTGTGAGTCCTCTTTATATATCAACAAATGGACATACCATAAATGCCTGGTTCTAGGTCTCGGAGGACCAAGATATTTAAAGACAAATCAAATATTCTTGATAATATTTTTAAAGCAAATAACCAGGTTAATTGTTTGCCTGCTTTATTAATCATTTAATTATTTAATGGAGTACATCCAAAAAATGATAAGACCTTTTACAGATCGCTCTAATTACTACGTGTCTCAACCCAACTCATTCAAGAGGAAAGAATCAAAACACACCCATGATCCACAATCAGTGTTGCTGTACATCAAGCAGATCTTTTTCACTCTCCAAACACAATAGGTAAGATTAAGTGTTCTGATCATTTTAGAACGTGAACATGTCGTTTCTAAATCCGAATTATTTTTCAGATATCCAATCTGATCTCAATCCAGAGATGAGAGCCCAGATGGTATTCCTCCGCATATAACCTTAATAGATAGACGAAGTTCATAAGTTATGCACAGCTCACAAGGCTCAGCGAAGGACTTTCCATCAAACCATTTATTTGCTCGATGTTTATTTAAGTACAAATAGAATATTTACCGCTCAAATCGATTCGATATATAAGACATGTTATTTTGTGGCATCCAAATATGAAGAAGTATTTGTCTCTCTCCTAACCTAGATCTACCCAAGCCCATTGTGGAGGTACACCTATGACAGAGACGAAATGCAAGAGATCTTTTAGATTGAAAAAGAATTGCTCTCTCTCTTGGATTTTAAGTTGGTTACAGCATCCTCTTACGTGTGGTTAAACTATTATTGGACGATTATCAACATAGCAGAGAAGACTTCGAATTGGCTAACCTATTCCTTACTCTTATTGGATGTTGCTGTTTACAATATCAATATCATCAAATACGAACCCTCCAAAATTGCATGTGCTTCTCTCTATACCAGTGCCATAATGTTAAACATTTAAATGAATTGGAATAGTTTTGCATCACAATTTGGACTGCATTTCCAACATGAGATTAAAGTAATCATTCGATTTACTAAATTAGGAAATTTCAAACCTCATCATGATAACATTAAAAGACAGTGTAAATTAAAAAAGAGAAATTGTCAAGCATATGTAATTGTAAAAAGAGAAAGAACTTTTTTGAACTAACTTGTTTATTACTATATTTTCATTGTTTTTCATTCATTAATTTTCAATAATAGATATCTACACAGACATTTTTAACTAAATATACATAATAGATATTTCTATAAATAATCGCTTAAATTGATATTTTGATATCAAACACATGAAAATTTAATTCATTTAAGTGGTGCTGTTTCATTTCCTTGCGTCAATATGATTTTCTCTATACTAGTGAAGGTGTTTCGATGTTAGGAAATGAAAAGCATTGATCTACTGTCCTTAGCTTTTACTTGATCTCTTGCTGAGTCTTTAGTTGGAAATCTAATGATTTTAAGTTTCAAATAGTTTTTAATTTTATAAAATCTTTCCAATATCCTTTATTTCTATTGCTTTCTTAGTTTTAAGATGTTTCTGAGAGATGGACAGATCTTACAAATATTGGGGAATCTCATTAAAATAATTCCTCGAATTGGATCCAGCTATTCATCCAATCTCTTGAAGAAAGCAATGAATATCTTTTCAATGAACAAGAGGATCAATTTAAGGATCAAGTAAAGTATCAAAATAATTAAGGAGATTTCCAAATAGTATATGTCCAAATTTTGGATTTAGTATAAAAGTAAGGATAATAATATAGTCATTGAAACATAATAGGAAATTGTTTATTCCAGAAGATTAAATTATGACTGCCTATACGGTCTAAAAATAGCAATGGATTGATAATAGAGGATAATGATAATATAGATTAGAATGCCTTTGATTAAGATCTACTACTCCAAGAAGTTGATTATCACTATGATCAGCAATTTGTAAGCAATCTTAATGAGTTCCCAGTAATATGACTCATCACTGTATTCATTGATCAAATATGATAGCACCTTTCTCGCACTCTTATTGTATAAGTTCCCTTTATGGTAATATAAGTAATATAGCAGCAACAATGGGATCATTATACCCTGAAAGGCGACTATTGGGATAACAAATTTGAATAACCAATTGGCGTGTTCTTCCGTGTCATAATAATAAAAGACAGAGGCTTAGATGTAGTCATACCCTGAAATCTTCCTCTTTGAAATTAAGGAGGTTCCCCTAAAAGAATCATAAATGGAATTACCAATTTAAAATTGCTTGTTGATTGTAGATGTACAGGTAGATGATGGTAGTAAAGATGAAAGTTTGTGAAAATCTTGATACCTTGGCCATGATCGAAATGCAATAGATAGCTGTGGATAAGGCGAAGTTAAAGAATGGAATCAGGAGCATCAAAATGAAATGACTATAAATGATTGGTGTGTTGGTGATTTGAGAAGTTGTGCAATCGATTTGATAAGTCACAAAACTAGAGGCTTCTCCCAGAAATTATAAGGTGTTTCTAAGATTGGTGAAGAAGTCAATCTAAAAGGTACTAATAACCATCAAAATTTAGAAGTAATTGTTACTCATCTTAATCAATATACTGGTCTAATCCAAACTAAAAGTATATAAGGTTTGATATTTCAAATAGAGTACTTTTAATTAGGCAAGTTTTTAAAGAGAATTATGAGTACTCTTAACTGTCATAATAATCAAGAAGGAAGACCTAAAAGAATGAAAATCAAATATACCAAAATGATGAAATCAATAAGAGCATAACCTAGACACTCAAATGACCACAGAAACTGCATTGTGTCTATCCAGAGTTCAGAAAATAGCCGTCTCCTCTTATGTTATATATGTCACATTCTTCACAAAGTGCTCCTATGCTACCAATAGAACAGGAGAGCTCTCCTGGAAACCACCCTCCCAAACATTTGGATGGATACTTTTAGCACTTCTCAATTAGATCAGATCTTAAATGGGGTCTCCAATAAAATGGCTATAATTGAAGTATTGCTCCATTGGTTTGGTTGATCAATTTGATATCAATCCTCTTACATGAAGTACTATTATATGCTACTGAGTAATATCCCGCAGCTGAGTTGCATCTTAGACATGCACCCTCATAAAAATACTCACCAATTTGGCATTTCAATGTTTCAACTGAAAATCTTAAATGATAATCGTCTGTAATACTGTCGCACTTAATGTCTAGCATAATAGATTTTTGGTCATCATATGGATTGTGGACTATTAGCAATTCATTCAAATCGTAGTATTGTTTTGTTGAATTAAACACAATGATCTAATATGAAGCTAATGAATCATCTTAAAATGAGGTATTAGCTTATTAGTTGTCATAGGCAATTAGACATTTGGTGTCATCCAAAAACATGATCTCTTCCTTAATGTGATTGTAGGCTTTCAGTTGAATTGAGTATTATATTGAGCTAAATAGATTGGATGTATAGTTGAAGAATTCATATTACGATAATTTGGATCCAGTTGGGAAATAGAGCTTTTATTTTAAGATGGGATAATCAATTACTGTTTAATCTATGATTTATCTAAGGTTGGAGATTTCTTAATTATTAATGATTAATTACAAGAACTTAGGTTACTCAGCCAAATTATCGCCAAAACTTGTTGCTGAATTCTATGTGAACTAGAGTGTGCTCTAATTCTAAATAAGTGCATTTGATCCTAAAAATATTGCACCTCCTGTTGATGCCTTATTCTCGTAAAAGTAGCAATCTTAAATATGGATATCTTTTTGACTCCAATAAAAGATTGCTCCTCCTGAATTATCAGCCTCATTTTGTAGAAACAATGTAGACATAACTTGGAGCTGAAGATTGTTAATAAAAATTGATCCTCCATCATTAGCAATATTATTGATAAATTTGCTTTTCTTGATTATGAATACTTAATCATTGGCACTTGAATTAGACAAGAGATTAAAGCATCCATTTTAGCCACAAAGATTTCTATTGAGAGTCAAACCTTAAAATCGAATTCTTGTAGTTACATCCTTCGAATCTGTGCTGAAGGATAATATCCCACTTTGACACTTCTAACAAGTTATATTGTAAAAGTTCATATCATCAAACTAAGCCAATACGCAATTCTTCGATAGGAATAATTACACTATTGCTGTTTGTTGACGGTTGTTCCCATAAATATTGAAATGGGATAAACGGTCAATATGAATATATGTCGGTGTGTCTGAACTTATATCTTATAAAAACAATAAAGTTTAGCCATCAAATAAGGAATTGTACACACTTGCCCTGCTCAATTTAAAGGATTTTGAATATTCAATATGCAATATTGATTCGTAAAAATACCCTTCGGCATTTAATCTGCTAATGGTTATCTGAGTTCCTTAGATCGTGATTAAACCATATAGACCCTCAGAATTTGTTAAGCCATAGTATTCTAAGTAATTTTTATATTGATTCTTCTCATTTCTTATTGTAACATTTCTCAAATTGATGGTAGAGTTGCTTTACTACGAATACATTTAAATGAAGGATATGATAGATTGTTGAGATGAGAATACATTAAAGAATTCAAGATTTCTTAGGTTCATAACATTTTAATATATGGATGGTTTAACATATAAGAATCCGCCTATGTAATTAGAACTTGAATTGGTCACATACACATCAATGATATTCAATTGAAGGTAAGAGTATTGTGAATCAATGTATAAGCATCCTCCCATTCCTTAGGCAAAAGGACGTCTGAATGTTGAAATGTTCTCAAATCTTAATCCAACAATATTGGCAATACCATTGAATTTTGTGATTATGTAGAAGACTCCTCCATAATACCCAATTGAGTTATAAAATTAGGAATCCTTAATCGTTAATTCTTGGACTTGCATATAGGCTAGACCACCATATGACATTTACTGGATTTAGGAGAGATCTACCTCAATTTTCATAGTTTTAAAGTAAGATTCCAGATTATTTGTCATGTTCGAAAAGCATAATTGGAAGTCTAATGTCTTTGAATTGATTAATATCAATGAGTCGGTGGCATTTGAGATGAGGCAATTAAGTATTTTCAGATTTTTAATCAATACAGAACTTTAAGGTACGTTAAGAACAATAAGACTAGCAGTACTGATTTCTGGATCTTGCAATTCTTGGTTCTGCCAAATATTCAGGAACTATGAATCCTAAATTGAGATTGATTACTCAATTGAAGAAACTATTTGAATGATGGAGGAAGGGAACTTGTATTGTTTCTTTATCATTTGTATATTCATTATTTGGAGATTACTTATTTTCATATAATTTTGTCTGTTATTTACCCCTTCCTATACTGAAATGAATATTGAATCTTCTGACTTCTGATTCTTGATTATGAAATAATTAATTATCAAAGTGGAAGCACTGATATCAAAGATTTGACTTACAATTTGATCCATGTTTGAATCGGCCACAATGTGATTCAACTCTAAGACTTCAAAATTTTCTAGTTGAAATTCAGTAACACCTCTGAATCTAAACATAGTAACATCGCTCAATTTAAAGGAAAAGCCCTAACAATAAAACACCTTCTCGTAAGTATTGCTCATCGAATTCGATGCCAGAATACCTCGAATATCAATATTTGAAACAACATAAAATATGTTCTCGCCGATGATTTCAATCAGGTAGGAAGACTCAAGGTTTACTTCTGAAAAGACCATCTAATTGAAATTCAAGAATATCTAACTAGAACTATAGATATTGGATGATATCAAGTTGGAGTACACGAAATGGCAATTTGATATTCTAAATTTTTGAAAAGTGGAATTGGATCTAATTCTTAGACCTGATGAGCTCTGGAACTTACAATTCTGAAAGGTAACACTGCTGATATCCACCAAATTTGATTAGGGTAGTATGAAAAGGATGGAATTTATAAAGATAGAATTACTGAGTTAGAGATCCTAAATTTTCAAATTCCCTTTAAAGTAATAATCACTAAAGTGCAATATTGATCCATTATTGAATGTACAATTCTTAATATTAAAAGTGGTTATTTAAATATTCTAATATAGAAGATTTTGAGTGAGTGCTAGAAAGTCCGTATTAAAAAAGGAACAATTAAAAAATGTTAGGTTTTAAATGACTATCTGATCTAGATCGACATAGTTGGAATTTATTAAATTAAGAAAAGTGGTATTGAGCATACTCATATTCGAGATCATCACATTGATTATTGAAATTATTTAAGGATTCTGTACTTGGATTTGATATGCTCTTCCAAATTGATTGTCATTGGGTGCAACCAAATTTATATCATATGTTAAATCTGGTTTCGAATAAGAGTCCATAATAGTCACATTCATTAAATATAATTGGAAGGAATCTATGTTGACAGTCTGTATCAATGAGTCACGGTAGATAGAAAAGTTGAGTTGTAAGTTTTGAATGATCATTTTCTGCATATTTTAAAATTGGACCTACCCAAAAGTAAGTGAGTAGTACTTATTTACGTTAAGTCCATTAAATACGATCTCAGTTGTTTGTAATGTGATCACTTGATATACATATTGATTAGACAGGATATCTATTTGATGGAAGGATAGACTAAAGGTGATGTGTTAGGAAACATTTAATTGGAATGTGAGAATGCTGACCCCTTTTAAGATCATAAATTCAGTTTGAGTATCATATATAACGGATAGATAATCTCTTAAGCTAGCTAAGTTGGTAGTTATCTAAACGATATGGAAAATACTATACTAACGATATCTGGGTTTGACATTTAGGAATGGTTGAATTGCATTGTCGAACATGGCCGTAATAATTATCAATAAAAAGAGATGCCCTATTTGATTTCTGGAGACACTGATATCCCTGGTAGATTCTACTGGAATTGAAATAGGGGTTCAATAAATTGATGGGTTGTGTTCTAATTTAACAATATTCACAGTAAAATGGGCATTCTTGACATGCCATATTCATAACAGTCAATCGTTTTGTGCCGTATTAATCCGAATTGCATGAGACGCATTAATCACTAAATAAAGTACAATAAGTAGTATTAACCAAAATGCATTCATTGGCGATTACTGAATAGCCATCAGCACAGGAAAGTGGATACAACCTCTCAATTGCACTGTCTTTTAACATGTTGATTGGATATATCCCTGAGAGTTAGAATGTGAATCCTAGGATTTAATTGTAAATTGTATCCTTCTAAGCAACATAAGAAGTTGAGCATTCCGTATAGACTTCATTATAAGAGGAGCATTTCAAACAGATACCCTTCAATCTATTATAATAATAGCCCTTTTGACACTCTCCACAATAATACTAATTAGAAGCTGGTTGAATGCACTTATTGCAATTGAGCATGAAACGTTGGCAATTATGGATCATAGTTCCTTTAGAGAAGTCATCTGTTGCAGTCTCGTAACATACGGCCTTTCCATTAAAATCAATGTATCTTTTCAAGCAATCGGTGTCTATTTGTTGGACGATCTCACAAATGCCAGTAGCAAAATTAAACTAATAGCCCTGATAACATAGGGCACAACCAGTGACTAATTGCTCCCTGTTAATTTATTTGTTAAGTTGAATGACTGAACTGTAGCTTACATCATCCTGATAATATTCAAAACAGAATTTGCACTTCTGTATTGAACAAGGCAAGCAAAGATCTGAATCATAAGATTAAAAATAGTTATCTTCGCATTCTTCACATTTTTCTGTCCGATATAATAAGCAATGCTATATTGAAGATGATTGAACACTAAAAGTGGTGCATATATATTCTCCAAAATAGAATTTTCCACTTGAGCAACCTAGGAACGCCCTTTTACATTTGCCATCGATCAAATAACTTTTAAGTTGACAAACGATATAAGTTGGTTTTGATAAGTGGACATACTTAGATAATTTACAATCTGTGAGAAAAGGTAAAGTTAAACATAACTACCTACAAAACTCGCACAATATGAGTTCTAAATCTTGAAAAATATAAACATCATATTAGTCATCCTAGAAAAAAAGTAATTACACAAAGTTATCATTAGGTTTATATGGGGAATTATCATCATCCTTATTTATTTAAACCTAAGTTTTTAAACATTTTGGTTCATAAACCCAAGTATTAGGATTTGCAAGGCAAAGAAAGCATGGGTATTTCCTATTGACTTTTGGACTAGCATATAGCAATAGAACAAATATATTACCATTGATAACAAACATTCTCATATCTAAAATATCCAAAGGAACACACTACATTAGGATACTCACTATCGTACCTTGGATCAAGAGACAACGGTATTAACTTCTCCTATCTTTAAGGATATCCATCGATGCATGAACTATAACCGATCTCCAAATATCCAGTTTTGCACAAGCATTCATGGGTTCCCACATAATAATCCCTGTATCTAGATGCCTAACAACTCAAGCATTAATTGGAATAAGGGCCAAAACAAGTTAGGCAATTTGTGTGGCATGATATTGGCAGAGGAGAAGCACTCCCCAAATTTGAAAAATACCTTAATTAATTAAATTATCCTGGTGTGTTACTGTAATAGGAGGTTTAATCGTTGATATATCCTCCAAAAAATATTGTTTGGTTTGTATCTGAGTATAAGTAAACTTATTTCAATACTTACACAACATTGTCTTGAGGGTGTTATGGAAATGACAGTGATATGGATACTTAGTTTTGTTGATAAGCAATAGATAAGTGATGCCACTCATACAATGATTTGGGGATTTAAAAATGAAGAGGTTTTTAGATTGAGTTTATGGTATTAGATTACAGAACAGGGAATGTATATGAATGACAATCTAATTTAATTGAAGTTGAATCTGTATTAATCTAGTATTACAAGTTAATTAATTCATTTGAATCGCCAATATTGGCATTTGGACTTGCTAATATTTTTAGTACATTAACGACGTCATACTCATTAGTCTTATTCACCTTAATCCATGTAGCTATTCCAAAGCATTTGTTAATATTCGAAGTAATTTGGTGGGTTTCAAAATCTGTTTTATCGAATGTTCTTAAAGCCATAATTTCATAATATGAGTTATAAGTGCAAGAAATGCTCTAAGGCCAAAACTTACTACTCTTATCCAAAACCTGCAATCTGATTGGTCCTTGGAAGAATAAATGGTAATACTGCCCAATCTATGATTTATTGAATATTCATACATCTTATGTCTTCCCAGCTTACAATTCCAAATATTCTGACACTTCAATGTTATATCCTGAATAAATTTTGTTTAACAAATTTGTCATATTCTGATTTTGATAACATGTGACGTTGACTTACTTCAGAGCCAAGTTGTTTCTTAATTCCAAGGTGAACCAATTGCCTTCAATCAACAATGGATCTTGGGGTAATTCAAATACTTCCAAAATCCTTGTTTAAGTTACATCATTGATTAAGTGCACTTCCATGCATATTTTAAAAGCTGAATCTATTGCTAGGTAGGCTAGGACAGCTATGGATTTATCTGAGGTCAAAGAAAATATAATATATTTATTTTGGTCGGATTGGAAATTGTTGTAATATTAGTATGACAACGGAACGTATTTGAATTCAGCAGTAATGTAAATGTACTATTGGAGGTAAGTCAAATTTAACTACTATGTGAATTGCTATTGAGTTGGGTTGAGGGTTTGGGTTATTGTGCTTATGGCTGATCTAACTTCTTAAATCACGCATAATATGCCAATAAATAGTAACATATTTTGGATTTATTTTATTAATGAGCACTAATAAATGATATTTAATAGTGCATTAATAATTTGTTGTTAAAACCAATTATTAATTTTTTTTGAAATACCAAATGTCCAATAAGTTAAATTATTTAAAATATATTGAATTTTAGAGGAAAAAGCAAGTACATTTTGGAGTTCTCATCATTTCAATTGATTACTTTTGTATTATTTATTGATTATTATTCATTCTTTATAGAGAATTAAATAAACCCCATTAATTTAAATAAGAATAAAGGTGAAATAAGAATCAATAATTAAAATTAAATCTGACTTACTTTACACATTAATATAGATCTTGTTAATGGTATTAACTTTTGAAGATCCTATTCCAAAACAACCTATATGGAAACCAATCTGCTCCGACTCTCTTTATCTCTAATTTCTTAATTTATACTATGCTAAATTAAAATCAAAGTGGCCTATTGGTCTATTTTTATGTAATTAATATAAATAAAAATTATGTAAAAATTCTCTAATTCCTTTCTTAGATTAGCAAAGGTACATTCGAGATTCAGTGGTTGCGGCAATTGTCACTGTTGTTAAAATAAGGATTGTAAAAATAATAAAAACAGCGAACCGATTCCAATCACTAAAAAATACTCTCACTTGATCAATTACAAAGAGACTGATTAAGTCACGGAAATCCTAACTGAAGTTACTTAAAATACTGACAACAAGGAATTTGAAAAAGGCAATCAACCTTTTTAAACATTTAATAAGAAGAACATAAACAAAAGAGTTTGAATTAATTTAATTTATCAAATTATTATACAAAGCATTGTTGTGCATTCTAGAAATGTATTAATTCTATAAATTTGAGTAAGTATATAATATAAATAAAATTCATTAAGATGAACAGAGAGAATCTAGGAATTCCTTTTGAGCTGGACTGAGCTTTGCTGAGCAATTAATCATCTCTTTGTATTTGTTTGGAGCGATTAAACAAAATGAGACTGATTTGCGAATACTTGAGGTCTGTACAATATGAGAATTGGTTGTTGTTTTGAGAATGCTTTTAATGTTTACACCCTAATCAAGTTTTTTGATCATAGAGTATTTGGATTAGTTAGAATTCTCTTAAATCTCTTCAAATGAATGACTTGTTAGTTATATTTCATCATCTGAACATACTGATTCATCTATTATTTTTAGTATATCCTTCTTCTATTAGTTACTTTAGTTCAATTCTTGAACCACTTCCTCATTTAAGTTGATGTCATTAGTAGTAATAGGGATTTTTAGGCAAGTTGATCCCATTTTTGGTAATTTAATTACAAGTTGATGTGAATTCTTTAAATGCTATTAATACTCAAACACCTAATAAATTCTGATTCCCATTTGAGACATTGTGATAATATTGAATATTCTATGATTTATATAATAAGTCTCACTTTGATACATTTTAGCATATACCTTAACCAATTGATGTACGTCATCATGATGGCAATATTTTGTATTGCACAACTCTAAGGCTAATTAGGAACAAAAAATATTTAAAGAAAAACTCTTATGAAGAAGCCTAGATAAAAACAAATTCTATTAATCAAACTTAAAACTGTAATCGAATGATATACAAATAGTATTCAAGTCTTTACTAAAAACTCTCAGAACAACTACCTTAGAAACAATAATAATATTGATTGTCACTAGTTAATCATTTAATAATGTTAATGAATCTTTTATTTCAATTAATACAATTAAAGTTTTAATGATGAATTAATATTATCTACTATTTCTTTCTGAGTGGAAGTTTAGAAGGTTAAACTGAAGGGACAGATTTAAATGTTCAAGATATAGGAAATTGTAGAGAGCACAAAATCAGACCTTTGGTAATGATTTAAAAATTTACTACTCCATAAATCCCTAAAAGAGTGTTAAATTCAAGAAAGATTAGTAAGGGTAATTATCAATTCTCTCTGGGCTTAATTGTTTTTGTAATGAGTATAAAATTATCCAAAAAGTAAATTAATTTAGAAGTAAAATATTTGAACTAAACCAAATGAGTGGTGTTGAGAAACCAATAATTTTAATTTGCTGAGCTTTATCTTCCATGTTCAGAAAATTGTTCTTACGGTTTTGATTCTTGAAACGAGTTATTATGAGTTACCTTCAAGTTTTTATTATTGTAAGGCTAATTCGTATGCGTATGTTGATCTGATGGATTAGAAGTCTTTAATCCCAGGTATTTCTCATTTGTTTATTACATAATTGGATTATCAATATTATATTAATATTGTTTAAATGATAAGAAATATCCTGATACGAGGGAAAAATGTTCCGTTTTTAAAAGGAGAGAATGTTCTGATGGATCATTTCAATAAGGTGGAGTAGGCCAAGAAATTTTAAAATTATTTAAACTCCTGGGAACAGTCAAACGTTGAAGTCAAATAAATAGAGGTATCTTACGTGTACATGTTTGGATAAAATGTTGGTTTTGTCAATTTAGTAGTTGATGCATATTTGAATGGAATCAGGTTGCCAGGCTTCGTATTTCTGAGAGGAGATGCTGTAGCAATTCTCTTGTTAGTCAATAAGAAGATGGTGCTTACATAACAATTTAGAGTGCCAGTTGGTAAATTTACAATAGAAGCACCTGCTGGCATGATGGATGAGCAAGGAGACTTTGGAGGAGTGGCAGCAAAGGAGATAAAAGAGGAAACAGGAATCAGCATTTAGCATAATGAGATGCAGTATTTATAGGATATGCTTGTATCTCCAGGAGGAAGTGACGAAGTGATTCATTTGTTTGTTGTAGAGAAGAATATGGAATAGGCATAATTAGATGAGTTGTGTTAGAAGACACATGGAGAAGAAGGAGAAGGAGAATAAATAAAGTTAGTAATCCAAGATTTTACATGGGAAAATATATTAAAGACTTAGGATTCTAAATTGATAGCAGCTGCGGCAGCTTATTATAGTAAAAAACAATGAGGCATATATCATATTTATTAAAAATGAAATTATGTGGTCTAAACAGGAGAATCTAATAATATTTTTATTTCAATTTATTTTATATTGTAATGTATTGGTTATAAAAACTAAATGAGTTAGAATATTAAATTTATATTACATCTATTCAAATTTTTTATTAAGTGATTGATATCAATTAATATCAATTATGAACAAGACAAGAAATGTTAAAGTAATCAATAAAATATGTAGGTGAATAAGTAGTATGGAGTAAATTCACTTGAAAAGAATTGAAACTCACTTTAATATAGTTAAATTTTAAATGTACTGATCCATCAAAAGAATCATGAAATTATACCTAAATTTTTTTTTTTTAAATTTTCATGAATTATTATTGAACTTAAGTGGAGAAATCAGGAAATAGATTTGGTAATTATGGTTAATTTATCTTTTTGCATAATTTTAAGTTGATAAGAAATATTTTTAGTAAAAGTTAATTACTAGATTTAAATATCTTACCATTTCTATTTTCATATAATATTATATTAAATGGTACGCATTGCCAGACTCTAATTATTAAATGAATCAATAATCGATCATCTGATTTTGAATCATGGAACGAATTAGTTTACTCGAATGTTGTGGCTTCTAAGATATCATACCTTCAAATGAAGAGTTGAAAACATTTTTGTACTTGTTATTTACTCTTGCCAACAGATCATAAACTTAATCTCTAATTTGAATTGTTAAATCAAAAGTTTAAGATCCTGATAGTTAAGTTTTTCTTCTCCTTAGATAACTATTTAAATGTAGACCTTTGTCCAAAGAGAATTTATGTTCATTTCATCAGCCAATCATAAAAATATCTCGATATTTCCATCATCCTTTCAAAAATGATTGATTTATTAATTATGGTTTCAAGAAATAAATTAATCGAAATTGTAAATATAGACCAAAATGTGTCAGGCTTTAAAATTGATTTTAACCCATTCGGTTTGAGTCAGGACATTAAAAGTGGATGATTACTGATGTTATAATTGTATTTAAATGTAGAGCAGATGATGGGGATTGGCTTAACTAAATTTATAAGAGTTGATAAAAACTATTGAATTTCTCCAAATTAGAGCTTTAGACAGATCTGAGTAGAGATACAAAGTTTTCACACTGACCATTAGAATTTAAAAAGTTATGCTTAATATTTAATTTAATTTTAATGGCAACACACAAGAAATAAGTTAATTCTCTCTTCAACGTTCGGTTTTTTCCTGACAAAACTCCTTCGAACAATGTAGTCAAGGCACGAAGCCCAGTCATTTATCCAACTCACAGATTATAATAATAGCGAATGGCGACAATAAATCTGAATTAATAGAATTAGGAGGCACCACTGAAAAAACCTCAATTATCACGTTGTGGGAGTATGGGGATGCAAACAGAAATGCCGTGCTCGGAAACTTTAACAAAACTGTTGGAAATAGAAAATGACATTCAATCTACTGAAGTGGAGACTATTAGCATTGACAAATTGTAGAAATGGAGGAAAGCTTTGGTGGATCAATGTGAACTGATGGAGGAGTAAGTGGAGAAGCAGGAGAAGGATGCTCATCAATATGCATTCAAGGTGGTGCCTCACACTCAGATGATAGAAAGGAGGATAGCTGAGGAAATTCAAAATCGGGAAAAATTGTAGGCTCAGACTTCTTAGATGATTAAATATTAAGAATAAGAAATTAATTAATTACTTTAAAAGATCTAGGCGTTGCAAGAGTCCTTGAAGTGATGATATATTCTTATTTTTTATGTAATTTATATTTTTCCAAGGATTATCATAAAAATAATTTTTAAATTTATGTAAGCTTTATCTCTATAGAAGCTTGTGTATTAAGCACAATAAATGGCTTAGAAGGAACATTTTGCTGGCAGTTGGGATGCCTTGGTAGACATGTTCGACAAACGTCTCCAACTCTACAAATACAACCGAGTTGCCCTAATAACTGAATGCAAACCAACTATTGGTATTGAGTTTTATCCGGCTATTAAAAATGAAAAAGATCTTTTGAATCACATCATGCGACTTCACCTCTATTTGCCCTAGGTTTTTTTTAATTAGGCGTAATTTTACGAGTTTAGCACAGCTCTTGATGACCGGAACATATTTGATAGAAGGAATGTAGGGTATTTTGTTATTCTAATTGAAGTTCTCTCTTGGGCATGGCCTTTATGGGTATCGTTGGTTTCTTAGCCTTGGGTTTTACGATCATGGGCATGATAGCTGGAGGAGTTCTCGGAGTTATGCTTGGTAGGTATGCAGGTCGCCGTATGAAGAAGACATTTACATCCCAGAAGGTCTTATTGGAGTTCGACATCTATTCGATCAGATTACGTTGCTTCATCAAATGGGCAGAAGAGAGAGGTAAGACCTACAGATGCAATGTCAATTTTGTAAGGTTCATAGCAGAAAAGTTGTTATTGGAGACAAAGACTGCTTTGCATTACAAATAATTCAATGCTGATCAGTAAAAATAAGCAAGAAAGACCATACTCAAGGTAGCTGAAGTCTTCAATGAGAAGCATTTCATACACGCTCTTATTCTGTCTCTTAAAATGTCTCATGAGTACTTACGCATCTTGAAGTTATTGAGTGAAAATAGTGAGTTGAATCGTGGAGACATTGAAGAGTTTCAGCACTTCAAAAGTTTTAGATCTGAACTTGAGGTTTGTTTAATGAAGGCCATAGACAATGTCTTGAGGCCTTTGGTTAGGTTGCTGGAGGACTCAGATCCAAAATCTAAAGTACTGAAAAAGATTAGAGACTAAGCTAAAGGTTTCCTAATTCAAAAGGAAATCGTTCAATTGACTAAGCAATTTCCAGATCCACAAATGAGGATCACCTACATTAAGATGTTGGCTGAGAAGATGAAACAACCAATCAAAAATGACAGTATAATTTCATATTTGAAGAAATAACATTTCAGAGATATTGAGCAAATTGGTATTGTAATAGATCAGCATGTTGACTAACAAGTCGAATAACAGTTGGGTGGAGATCTAAAGTAAATTGAACTCGAGATTATTCAAGAAGAGAATGATCAAAACATGTCTCCTAAAAATTAATTGAAATCTCAATTGTCAGCCAGTAGTGAGTCTGAGTTTTAACCACTCCAAGAGGAGTATCCAAAGTCAGCACAAAAGCAATAAGAATTATAATTAAAAATAACTCAACATCCAAATTTAGTGTTTATAGATTCTAATTAAGGTGACTTGGTTATCCAAAATTCTCTGGCCTAATCTTTGAGTTCAGCTGATATCAAGCAAATCCTTGAACCTGAGTAGCAAATCTCTTTGAAACAACACTAATCAGTTGAAGTCAAATAATAACTTGTATAATATTCTGAGGAGACAACAACAAAGTTTGATCTCTTTCTCCAATTTTTTGAGGAATCAACCGACACTTGGGAATGTGTTACTACTAAAGAGGACATCTACATATACAAATCAATGAAACCAGGTTGTGGTAGTGTCTTTCTCAAAGGCCATTCATTTATCTACGGCCACGATAAGCAAGTGGTCTTCAATGCAGTGTACTAGAAGGAATTCAGGACCAAGTGGGACAAAATCATGCAGAAGTTCAATATAGTAAGACACGAACGAGAAGACATCGATATCATGTATTATGTTGTGGTTCCTCCAATACCAATAGTGAGCACAAGAGAATGGTTGTAAAGGAGAGTCCTGAGATATGACTTCCCTTATAAGGGACAAATTTGTCTGCTGTTCTACTCAGTAGATTTACCAGAATTTCCAATTTCAAAGAATCCAGTACGTGCGCATACTGAAATTGCTGGTATGTTAAATTTACATTATTTTAAGGTTATGTTTTTGAGAACACTTCTTCTGGCACTAAAATTACATTTGTCTCTAATAATGATATCAAAGGCTCAATTCCTAAGTTGTTGGTTAATCACGCTAGCGCAAAGGGTCCATTTGGTTGGTTTGGCAATTTGCGCAAGGCTTGTGATTTATACAGAAAACACAATGGTGATCTCAGTAGAATAGTTATATCATGAATAAATTTATAATCAGTTATTATTTGTTGTTATTCCCTCATTAATTATAATATAAATTTGCTGTTAAATTTTTATGTGGTAAACTGCAAACTCAGTTCTATCGATTATTACAAATACTTACGAAAACACAAGGGGAGTGGAATGTTTGGACAAGAAACCTCAAATCTAGGACCCAATAGAAGAAGAAACTCGAAATAATTACAGTGAGAATGAGGATTTCAATCAGGCAGATAAAGGTATTAGTCATGTCTAAAATAGAATTCGATCCTACTTAATGGAATTTAAGAAACTTTGAAATGGGTAGGTACCTGGGAAATGGCAAATTTGGACATGTTTACTTAGCGAGGTAATCATTATTTTATATCCGATTAGGGAGCGTGAAAGTAAATTCATCCTGGCTTTGAAAGTGATAAGCAAAAGACAACTGAATCTCTGTTAATTGACTGGATCTCTAACCAGAGAAGTAGAAATACTCACACATCTCAAACATCCTAATATTATTAGTTTTTATGGCTTCTTTTAAACAGAAAAGCGTGTTTACTTGATGCTAGAATGGGCTCCATTGGGAGACTTGTATGGTTTAATGAAGAAGTAATAGAATAAGAGGTTCAATGAGAAAATGGCATCAAATATTATCAAGCAAATAACAATGGCTATCGGATACATGCATTCGATGAATGTAATACACAGGGATTTGAAACCTGAAAACATTTTGTGTTTCAATGACGATGTGTTCAAGATTTCAGATTTCGGTTGGAGTGTTCACACACCATCGAATAGAAGGAAAACACTATGTGGTACTTTAGACTACTTATGTCCAGAAATGATTAATTATCAACCTCATGATAATAGAGTGGATGTTTGGACAATTGGAGTGTTAGCATACGAATTAGTAGTTGGTAATTATTAAGATTATGAATAGGGAGACCACCTTTTGAATCCCACAATGAGAATGACACAAAAAGAAAGATATAGCATTTGTAATACTAATTTCCGTAGTGGAGTAGCTCAGATTTTCAGAATTTCGTAAAGGGAATCCTTCAACACGATTGCAATAAGAGACCCACAATCTAATAGATTTTAAATCATCCATGGATTGCTTAATGAATTACTAATATATATTATAATAATTAAATAAATAAATTTGAAAAATCATGGTACGAATATATATAGTTATTCATTTCAGATTAGATTTATCCTGTTGTAGAATAGATAGGGGAAGACGAGACTTTCGAAATGGTATGTGTATTATGATGATGCTGAGAAAGTAAAATTGCAAAATGAAGTTCATCGATTAATAGTTTGTAGAGACACTAAGCACACTAACTTTTTGGAAGTATTGAGAGTTTCATCATAATTAGTTTAGGAATTATAAAATCATCTACAAAAGATATGCAGGGTTGTTTTTTGCCTTGTGTGTTGATGTGAGTGACAATGAATTAACAATGCTAGAATTGATACATTTGTATGTCGAAGTATTAGACAAATACTTTGGAAATGTTTGTGAATTGGACATAGTCTTCAATTTCAATAAAGTAAATTAATGACACTACTATTGCAAGGCATATTCTATTTTGGATGAAATGATTGTCGGCGGTGAGATTGTTGAAACTTCAAAGCAAGTCATAATTAATGCAGTCAAGAATATTGAATTATTAGATTGATACATTATATATATCATTTATTTTTCTTTTTTTCAGCAGCCTTTGCATCAGCAATCCATTTCAATTATTCATCAACTTCCTTCCTGTATCTCATTTCATTTTTCATTCTCTTTATTTATTGCACACTCTCATCCACAAATTCATGATTCAAATTAAGCACCTCAGCCTCCTTCAACAATCCCTCCAATCCTAAGATAAAAATCTAATATGATACCCTTGATATTCTCATCCAAAGACTTTACATCATTAGCCCACTCTGGAATCACAAACTTGGGTTCCTTCTTCTTTTTCTTCTTCTGATTCTACAAAGCCAACTTCAAAGGATCAATAGGTTTCCCTGTGATTGGATCGATGGGTTTCTTGGTCTTGGGATCCCATTTAATAGGATCTGGGATCTCTCTGGCAGGATACTCATTAAACATCTTCAATATTTTCTTGGCTTGAATAGCCTTAGCCATCTTATCCCTTAATTCCGAGGCCTGATCTATATATTACTTGTCCACTCCCTTATCTGTTGCTATAACTACTTTATCATTCAACACAACCACCTATTCAGGTGTTGACAATCCAATATCCAAATTATCTAATTCAAATTGTAGATTTCTCTATCGATAATATTTAAATTTACCTCTGCTCTAAGTCTCTCCATCTCCTTCTCAGCTTCCTCCTTAACATGCGCATCAATCTTAACACCCCTATTTACTGCATCGTCTAACATTGACTGAATCTAGTTAACAGATTTCAAGATAGTCTTATAATTAGGCACATGTTTCAAAGTACTCAAATAATCCAATATCACATTCTAAGTCCTCAACTTTTCCTATTCAATCAAGGCAAATTTATAATTCTTGGGATCAATTTCTATCCTTTGGAATTCTTCCTTTCCATTCTCATTCTTAATTACAATCCCCTTTTCAATCTCATTCAATTTCTCTGTCAACAACTTATGATCTTATTTATCAATTATGCTCAGCAATTCTTCTGTGTGTTTCTGTATTGTGGTCCAACAATTCACACATCTCCCCTCTGGCTTTTCCAAATCAGTCGATTCAGCATTCTCATACACCCATTCCATTCTATACTCCTCCTGCTTCCAAAATTTTCGACAAGTCATACAAAAATATTTGGCTGTTTAACCACTCACTTCCAACAACTTAATCAACTGCAAAATAAGGGCATTCGTTGCCAAATCCTTTGCTGTGTGCCCCCTTGTATTTGGTCTATCTACAGCTACTCCGTAAAACAAGAGTGTCTAAAACACCACCTAGTTCCCTCCTGATGCTGCCAAATGAACACTATTGTTCCCGAATTGATCCACATCCTATATTAAAATCTCTAATTTCTTATACCTCCCAACTCAATCCTGACTTTAATAATAACCATACAACCTGCACATGTCCTTTGAAACATGCCCACATCAATGGCGTCGAGCGCACTTATTAATTTATAACTCCCTAGACCACCTTCTTTGATAATTATTATGGGAAATTAAACACTGCAGACTATGCCCCACCTCCAGGACTTCCTCCGAAATAAGTCGACTTGCTTGGAGATGATTAATTCATTGGACTTGAATAAATAGGCATTGTCTATGCAAAGTTCTGCAATATCAAAGCCATTTCTGGAACATATGGTGCTGCTGCTTAACGAGACAATAAAACACGCACTATTTCCGTATACCCTCTACATGATGCCCACATTAATGGATTCCATTTTTTCTTGTCTTCATACAAAACATTTGCTCTTTTATCTAAACAACGCTAGACTGCTGTTAAATCTCCTTTTTAACATGCAGTCAATCTAATCGGCTATTATACTTTCATACAATTGTTAATGCCAATCCCCCTTCTGTCTCTTTTCATCTTCATCCATATCAGACTCCTCCTCTATCGGTTAATCCATCAGTTATTTTTCTGGGTCCATTATTTGATATTAAATTTTATATTATAAAATAATGTCCCGAAGCCTATAATTCTTTATTCTTTTAAATCAGAATAACGACAGATTAATTTCAATGAATATTTTATATATCCATTTTTATCCCTCCAATGTCACCGCTCACTATTACCACACTCATCTTATTCAAACTGCTTTAAGTTGTCCATCTTAAACTCATTAACAATACTTATTTCATCTTTGAAAATGAATACATCCAAACATCTTTTCCAGTTTTATCCATCCCCTTAGATTTTGACATTTCCAATCAATCTCAAACATAATCATTAATCCAAGAATACAACCTCACAGAGGAGTACAAATACCCAATTGCACCAAAAGCAAAATTGTTTTCATTTAAAAAATCTAATAATGAAGATATAGATATTGTTTAATTAGAAGATCAAAAGCTAACTTTGCTATACTAAATTAAGAACTATCAATCAAATAATTAGTTGCTAATTCGTTCCGGCAATTACTCCATTTCATTAACTCAACGAAATTGTTTCTCCTTGCACTACCTATAAGAGGAGTCTTACCTGTTAGCATGCAAACTACCAGAACACAAGATTGAAATACAAATACTTAATTTGAATCAGCAATCTAGCGAAGAAGGCTTTACAAATAAAACCCTGAATATTTTAGACTACAATCCCCTTTGTGAATTAGAATCCAATCTAGCATATTCATTGCTTGTGATATTTGAGAAAAATTGCTCCTATTCAAAATTGGAAACTATTTTCATCGATGCAATTAATTAGAAAATCATCAATTAAACTAAATTTGTGATGGATGAATACAACAAGTCTAACGAATTCATTACTAAGATTCAAATTTGCTCTACAACTACTTTAATGATTTACACAAATAATGAAATTCTAAAACTAGACCTTGAATAGTAAGATTTTTCAAATTTTCTATTTTTTAATCAAGAATAATATTTTAATGCCAAATAATGTACAGATATGTCAATAGTTGAAGTTAGAGATAATTAATTGAAATTTAATTAATTTTCTTTAAATGTAAGTATTGAAGGCTTCATTCAAGGTTTTCGTTTAAATATAATATTTATTTTGCAAAAGAAGGATCATGTAATAGTTTATTATAGTTATAATTTGCAGTTAATTATAAGAAAATCTTTTTAGTAGCTTTTTAGTCTATCAAACTTACCCTATATCTTAGGAGTCACAGAAAAAGGTGAGCATCTTATATATAGAATTAAGAACCCTAGATTCAGTTTTACATATAAAAATTCAAGTAAAATTCAGATTTTGGAGTATGAAAAATAACCCAAATTTCAAAAATTATTGCTTGATTAAATAATTTCGGATGTTGAGATCTTATCTGAAAGTTCGCCATAATTTCTAATTTAAAATAACACCTAATTCTTTGGGTCATTCGAAGGATCTAGATTTAAGATTCACTAAAATTAGATATAAAAATCTCTTCCTTTTAAGATAAAATAATTATATATAAATGATACACTGATAAATTTTAAGGAAGAAACAAAATTATTAGGTTGCAATATCGATATTCGTAATCTAAAACAAATTTCTATTCTTAGTTTAGAAGATGATTCATTTCTGATTCTGTTTATTTAGAATGATGCAACTCAAATAGTAATAGCAAGATGTACTGAAAACAAGTTGTAAAATATTAAGACAATAAAAATCTAAGAAGGTTTTATATAAATAATGAATTTTAATTTACCCCGCGTTTGTATTGTTCAAGAAAATTCATTAAAGATCTATCAATTCGAAAATTAGTAATTGCTTGAAAGATCTTATGCCTTCAATCTTAATATAATTGCTGCCTATAATATGAATAACACAAATATTTTGGGTCTTGTATTCGAAGATTGTAATCAAAGAACCTATTTTATTGATAATCATAATTTATAAATCCATCAAATCATTTCATAATAGTTAGAATGTAATGGCAATAAATAAAAATTAACTCCATTGTTCTTTATTGATGAACATAAGATATTTTTTAAGAACTAAGTATCTTATTAAGAATAAATAATCCTAAAAGAAACAATTATTAAAGCTGAAGTTATGCTACAACATCGAAAAATTCTTATCTTTACACAATATCAATAGAAGCTAAAAATAAAGTTTTACAGTTTTATCTCCTTTGAATTATAATTATTATATGATTGTCCTTTGTATAATTTTAATCTGAAGGTCCCATTAAACTATAAGCTTCAAAGCCCCTTTCTATTAGTATTAGCAGAAAATTCCTAACAAAATTCTGTTTTATTAATTTATAATCTCAACAATTAAGCAATTAATTCCCTAATTTAAATTATTGAAATAGATTAAGAACACTTCCATTTTGATTTCATCTTTGGGACTCTGAAGTCTTTTTATTACTATTATCAAAATGACATTTAAATAAGAGATTTCGAAACTTATACATTATTTTTAGAAAATTAGATTCCATAAACATCTGTGTTCAAAGTATTACATTTTAGTTTCGCTTTTTAAACTCCAATCCTTAATGAAATAATCAATTGGAATTTTACAGAAAAATCTATCAATAATGATTACACTATCATGCTGATTTAGAATGATACTCTAAGTTTGAACTCAAACAATATTTTGGATATGTCAAATATATTTAGTAATATTATTTCAATTGAAGTCATCCAACAAAATTATTAATTAATTCGGCCTTTAAGATTTACTCATGAAAAAATGACTTGCAAATTTTATTAGAATAAATGTTGTCTTAATGATCATAATCTTGAATGTTTACAAAATAATTAAAGACTTTTCTATGTGTTTCATTACGTCTTCTAATTTGTCCATACAATTTATTTTAATGATAATAATTCTGAATGCATTATTATTAGCACATATTAAGAAAACCTGTAAATGATTATCATATCATTCCAAAATTATTCCTCATCTATTAAACCTCAAATATTTCAATATGAGATAATAACAGATCCTGTCTTACATAAGGGAACCGATTTATAGATTATTTTTGCAGATAGAGATCATGTGATTTTTTTGCCAGACAAAATCAATAAGATTTTTGTTTACTTAAAATTGTAACCAGCTTAATAATTATTTTTTAATTACTCAAATCAAAAGAATACATTACTTTACGGTAGTAGAATCAAAGATGATGATTATGTCTTTTTATACTAAAGTTAAGATGATATATTTTATTCGATAGTTACCATTAGTATCAACAAAAAAAATGAACAGTAAAAAATATTTATTAAGAATCAAATGCAAGATTAAATATGCATTTCTAATAATGAATTCATAGAGCCCCTTATAGGATTCAAAAAGATCTTTCCAAACAATTTTCAAAAGATTTAGATTATTGAACTTACATTAGTGGATGATGTTCTAGTTATCGAACTACTTATGCTATTTGAGATATAAATTGGCTTTGTTATTCAATTAAGAATTGATATAATAAAATATGGAAAGTGTGAGATAAATATTCTATAGACCTTAAGGTATCCACATAACTCCCTGTTGAGTCGACCATTTTATGTTAATAAAGATTACATAATAATTTCAACTTGCAGAATTAATATTGAAAGTTTAATTCTTTATGATAGATTCTAAGGCTAAAACATATCGCTGATTCATTCAATTGATGTGTTTCCGCAGAATGATTACTTAAAGATAGGTAAAATAAATTATTATAAAATAGAAAAAATTAACAACAGCCATGTCGCTCTTGTTGCAATTCCTAATATCTTTTAAGAAGTTTAAATTATAGCGCTTTCATAATATAAGTTAGAATGCCTAAATAATTGTAACTCAACAGCCACTTTAATATTAAAGAATGAAGTATCAAAATTAACTATTACTGTTCAAAATATTAATAATGAAATTCCTCTCTAATATAATATAAGATTAATTACTTTAATAACTAACTTGCTAACAATATAATTATTTTTATAACTTAGAAACAAAAAAAACAAAAAATGAATTGGATGACATGAAGTTTAGAAAATGATTATATATAATTATAGTATTTTTTGAGACTAATTCTTGCCTTCTCCTGTAGGGACTAAAAAATAATTACTATATCACATCAAAATTGTAATAAAGCATTAATGAAAGTGTAAGGGAATAATCTCAAATAATAGTTTATAATGTAAGTATATTTTTTTTAATTACAATTCTCAATATCTTATTTATATAATTTGAAAAGCCAGTAATCATTCTTTAGAATCTGAAAATTAAAATCTGTTTACACAAGGAAAATTAAATTTTGGTCAATAAATCAAAGACGTAATATTAGTTTTTCAACTAAATTTTATCTTTTATTATTGATATGTAATCATTATTTTATTCTTTATTTATGATGTTAACAATATAATAATAAATACAATTATTCTTAGAAACTTGTTAAACTAATTTTTATTTAAAATTTTATATTTCTGATTGAATCTGTTGATACACAACATCAATCAAAACCATTTGTAAATTGTATAAATATCTTTTTAATTTATAATATAATCAGTAAATTTCAGCATAAGCCTCTTACAAAAACTTCAATGCAAAAAGCTACTAAGCAATCCCCAATACATTAAAATATGAGCCCATTCCAAAAGCCTGGCTAGGGTTTTTGTTTTTCTTCATTGATTTAAGGTTAATCAAGAATTTTATAATGTTATTCTTCTTCTTTTTATGTTTCTTCTTCAATTGATGGTTTTAATTCCCAATATTTATCATCGTTTATTGGGTTGTGTAATAATTGCTCTGAGATATCTTAAACTTATTCAGTCATTAAATTAATGAATATTCATTAGTTTGAACTTTGATTTATATTAAGAAAAATGTAGAAATTTATGTGTTGTACAATTAATAATTAAAATTAATGTGTAAAATATAAGGTGATATAAATTGTAAAATTCTTCATATTCTTCTGTTTTTGATAATATTCTAATATTTATTACAGATAAGCAAAATTAGTAGGAAATTCCCCATCAATAAATAAATGGTTGTTTGAGATTCATTTTAGATTATATGAGTCAGAAATACTGGAGATATAAGGCTGGATACATCATTATGTAAAACCAATTCACAATTGTTTTCCAAATGTACTTGATAATTATGAATTTAAATAAGTTATGCAGTTTTACTATTTTCATTATTTTTGATTAAAACGAAATGTGTTTCATTATAGTAATCGATATCTGAAAATTCTTCATCTTTATAATAATAATCAATAATTTAAATTGGTGAACTGATATTGATTTTATAGAAATAAGCAGATAAAATTGAATTTTCTTATTTTCCTTTCAAAATGAAATTAGTATCATTTATTTTTATGAAATTTTGGTAATTAACATTTAGATATCTGATAATTTATGATCTCATTAAGGATTTGATAATTTTAGACTCCTTTAAATCAAAACTAAATTCGAAAGTGTACGCTATATCTTTTGGGTTAAAGAGTATAAGTATCAAATGAATCTGTTAGTTTTCATAAGTGGAATTCAAAATATAAAAAGACACTATTTGATGATTAAATCCAAATTTTTTTTATTCTGCATTTTCATTTTCTGACCTAGGGCAGTATTCAAACTTAAGCAAAGAGTCTAAAGTTAAGATTAGGAAAATGAATGAAGAGTCAACCTTATATAGAAGTTCAGTTTATTACACTGCTTAATAATCAGTGTTACATAATAAATTCATTTGATGATTTTCTGATTCCCTATTTATCAAGTATATAGAATAAAAATTAACAGTTTCTAAAGTTACAAAGTTATTTACTATATTTATTACCATTTCATTGGGGTTAAAATGATTTGAATCCAAATGTATATATTCAAATTTATTATTGATATCTTTTTGAATTAATTTATTTCCTGAAGCGCTAAAAAGATGAATTTATTAATCAATACTATTATAGACAATGAGTAAGTTATCGCTAAATTTTATGATTTTATTTAAGGCTTCAACTCCATTTAGGAATTTTAAGGTTTAATTTTAAGAAATGTAATCGACAATTATCATAGAATTAGATACCAGACAAAATTGTTGATAAATGTCTATGCAATGATCTAGTTCGACCCTTTTTATCAGTTAGATTGGACTACTTAGAAATCCCTTACAGTTGCTGCCCAAATGTAAGTTGTTAACACTACCATAAATAGAATCCAAATTTGTTATTTCATATTAATTATTAACTTTCAAGATCTATTGTTAAGCATCAATTTTAAATCTAAGTGAATTCTCTGAATTAATTAGATTCAAGTGGATACTAAAATTAGATGGGATAGAATATATAAAGGAGTTAGCCTGAAATTGAACATCAAAGTTTATCGTAGAATAATCAGTCTTTTTTGTTTATTTTAATTTGATGCTATAATATGGATAATTTATAATTATTTGGTCTGGCAGAATTTAACTTGTAATTCCTGTGCCATCAATCAAATTGAAATTTTCGTAATAATCATACATTTTGGTAATTGATTATAAGCAAGACTTTGCTTATTAAGTGATATCATATGTAAATAAATATTCTTTCTCGTCCTTTTGAGTTATTATGCTAAATAATTTGTATAAAAATTTGATTTCAATTGGAAAAATGATGGTAAATTAATATAGTGGCATTTGATATAGATGCAGAATTTCATTTGTGCAGAAGTAATAGAGCTCCAATGATATCAAATTGTCTTTTTGTAAGATTAACAATATTCTTTGATATGGTACAAATATGTGCGAAAGAAGTATTTACCCATTTGCTTTTATTAGGACAAAATGCTAATAAGGTTTTAATGGCATGATTTTAATAGTGCAAGTTTTATGATCAATGTATAATAATGGAATTCTGAAATCATTATATTTGTTCTATTGTTACTTCAAAAATTCTTGTAAATGCATGGTTGTCTCTGAAAAGTACTTATACCAATTTTAATATTGATAAGCATAGACAGTATAATCATCAAGAAGACAAATAAGTTTCTTTTGATCAACTTTACATTCTTATATATCAAGTTAAGACCTAGAAGTATCTAACAGTACTATATCATTCTTAGCAACAATTTAAAATTACATGATTTAATGCTTACATATAATAAATATAGTAATTTGATCAATAATTTCGTATATAAATTCAACTTATACATCAGAATTTTTACTCATTATTAATTTGTTCTATTCGATTTCATTGTTTTTTAAATGAACATAAATTTTACCAAACTTATCTTCGTAAATTATAGCAATAAAGTTAATTTCAAGCGAAATAATTTTCAAAATCTTCTTGATTGGTAAATCTTTGTGATGAGTGTATATTGTGTAATTTCTAAAGTCTTAAAACACATCCTCCTAATTAGATTCTAAATCTAAATAGAGAGGTATTGACTTAGAAAGCTTAATATAATTAATAATTAAAGTATTCCTACTTATTTTGTCGTTTGTAATATATAAATCTCCAATCAATTCAATTTTCATCGGATAAATTATAGAATATTAGTTAATTGAATAGTATGAGAAGAGTTTAATGCTTGAGTGTCTTAATGATGTTTTATACGATAATCCAAAAAAAGGTAAACCTTAGTATTTGATACCCTTGGTTAAGAACAAAACTCTATAAAATTAAATCTTATTGTTTTAATCCAGTGTCATAAGGAAAGGCAAGGTATTTAATTTACATATTTGTTTTATGTTTAGAATTTTTTCTCCAAAAATGGTTTCAAAAGAAACTTCTGCCCAACCCTCGTACAAAAAAATAAAGTTTCTCTCAGCCTAGTAAATGCATTTAATTTAAGATTCTAAATTAATCTTTGAATTGAGAAAAGGATATAATTAGATTTCACTGCTCGATAAATGCAGTTATCCATTCATTTTATAAGGAAAGCAAGAATCTTAAATATATAGAAACCATGGTTGATATGAACTCTCTATTATATTTAAACTCTGATTCTCTAAATTATAGGTACATATGAAAGTGCTAAAAATCAAAATAATCTAATCCTACTCGCATAGTTTAATGTCAATCAACATACTATGGGTTGGAAAGGTTTCTTATTCATGCACATTTGTGAAATTCTTATTGAATTACAATCTCCCTTCTAATTGATCTATTTCAATAATCAAAAATATAGATACTGAACAATTCAAAGAGTTTATTAATAATTTATTGGATTTAAATTTAGAATCTAAGTTGCAACTAAGAGGTTAATTAACTGTGATTTAATCCTATATTTCACTTTACTGGTTTAAAAGAATATACTCAATTTAGTTATTGGGATTCAGACAATTGATAAGGAAAGCTTCATCTTCAATATAGAAGGCATTATAACATGAATTAGATGGGAGAGATATGTAGCTTGAATTTATTTAATTTACTATTAAACCTTCATTGTATAAGGTATTATTTATTCTTATTCTACAATCTATTGATGAATGTTATAAGAAACAGATGTCAATGTACTTTCCTTAGTGACTAAAAAATTTAAATGTCTTTGCATTGTCATCCAAGCCTAAATCAAACTCCTAGTATTTTTCTATTAACTTTTAAGAGGAGTAATTAAAAAATTTTTGTTTTAAATCTTCATCGTTCTCAAAATGGATGCCCAACATATTTTCTTCAATATAATGCCTTTCGTTTTCCAAAAAATATAAGTATTGTTCGTCTGAAAATTGTACTTTTGCGACTTCTTAGCAGATGAAACAAAACCAGACGCTTATAAACAAACAAATAAAATTCATATTGATTAATTGGTATATTAATATTATGGTTTTTATTATGGTTAAATTTAAAGTTAATTCTGGTCGATTGTGAATCAATTCTGAAAGTATAATATAATTAGGGATAAACATGAGATGTGATGTGTTAACTTTTCTATTTTTTTTTAAATCTTTTGATATAATTTATTAATATCAAAGGATTAATTAGTAGGAATTAGTGAACTATATATTATTATTAATAAAATAGAAGAGTAAGAAGGAAATGGATTTACACTTCATACCCCCAATAAATAACAATAAATTATCGCAATTATGAAAAGGATAGTAGATTAATTTCTCTTCATTAATTTATAAGTGTGAGTCATTATTATAAAGAAATCAATTTAATTATAATTAATCTATATTTATGTACAACAAAATGGTAAATTGTTGATGATTTTATTTAGTAGCAATTACTACTTATTCTCCTATTGATTGTAAATTCTACGTTTGAAAGCGAATGCAGTTGTGATCAACTAGGGGAGAAGGATTGTAAAATAGCAAAACAATGTAAATTCGACTAAAATTCATGTCAATTAAAAAGTTGTTAGGATTATTCGATATCTGAGTGCAACTATATTCCCAACTGTAACTCAGAGAACAATGTATGTAAAGATCATTTTTGGTCTACCTGTGCAGATATACCATTAGAAGTTTGTGAATTTCGTGAAAATTGTGCAATAAATAATGAAAATTAGTGCAAAGAATTTACAAAGTGTGAAGATTATTAATTTAGTGGGAATGGGAATTGTAATTTGAAAAATGTAAATTGTTATAATGGATAAGATGGGCATTGCAAAAAGAAAACATTGATTGGGAACTGTTCAGAAGTGCATGAGGATTGCGAGAAGTATTAAATGTTGGATACGAAATAATGTGTAGTATCAACTGACAATAAATGTGTAAGTATACAAGTTACTCAATGTTCCAATATGAATGGAACACCTGCTTGTTCGTTTTATCAAGAATGCAATTGGGATATAACCACGAGTATTTGTAGTGAAAAAAGATGCAGTGATTTGAGTTCACAAAATTGCAATGGTGCAATAAAGAATTTGAATGGAGATCAGATGGTTTGCTATTGGGATGGTGGAGTATGTCAGAAGATGAATTCGATTGAAGATTTATCTGAAACGAATTGCTACTAATCCACAAATGGGTAGCACACCTGGAGAGATGGGGAGTGCCAGGAGTGCAGCTCATTTGGGGGATTAGTGATACTGATAAATTATTTAATATATTTATTTTGAACAGCTAATATTCGATCATGAACTACAAGTATCAGATCATAATAAGGAATAATGCTATGATGAAAACAAATAATGTTTGAGCATAGCAGGATAGACATTCTCCTCCAGCAGAAGTAGAGACCCATCTAGCAGTACCTAAGGTGGTGGCGTAACAGTTTCCTTATCCTAATCCTCCATAGTTTTGAGCCATCGAGCATTTTCCTGCAGTTGAGTCCCAACTACATAATTGATATTCACCTTTAGTGATGGTCTACATGACAAAAGTGCATGTTTGTTGAGTGGTGTAATCAGAACACAATAATTGGGAACAAACATTGTTTGAATATTTGCATCCATATTTGGCTGAATTACATTCTGCTAAATTTAAGGGAGCACACTCGCTTGCTAATGAGCACCCTGTGGCATCTCTCCACATGCAGATTCCATCATATGAAATATATCCCTCACAATATTGACTGGCAGTGAAGTGGGAACAAGAATGAAGTTGATTTGAAGAACCACACTTTGTGCCATCAGTGAATGGGCAATTGGCAGAAACTTACAAGCATGCAACTTAGGTGGCTCCTGTCAATTGACTACAGAAGGTGAAGGTCTTGCATGAACTTCCACCTTAGGGGTCTGTGGTCCACATACATTTCAAGTTTGCAGCACATGCAGAAGCAACAGTTATCAAATTACATTCTTAAGTGGAACAGGAACTTCCATCCCATATGCATTACGGTCCCATTTTAGTACAATCACTCTCGTATGACAGTTAATCACATGTGCATGAATTTGTTGTATAGAATTATCCGACACTTTATCCACTGCTTCCCAAACATCCCACAAAGAATAAGGCGAAGACGATTTTGATCATTCGATTTAAATAAAATAATTTATGTTCTGCATTTAATCAGAGCTTCCCTTTAAACCCATAAAACTAGATAAGATACCTCAATTAAGAATCTTTGGAATCATCTAATCTCGACTATCCCCATAAATCAATGAAACTGTTTGATTGTTGTCCATAATACTAAAAATGAATATAGATATATATATTTTTATATCAATCGATTGAATATATTTTAATTAAACTGGAGTCTGTACTCAATTCTTGCAAGGCTTCTAATGCAGAAAAACTGATTAATTTGTCAGAAGGAGATTCATCTATCACATTATACAAAGTAGTTGCAATAAATGACATTTGCTAAAAGAATCCCTAGAATTCCTCATCCTTTGGAACACTCAAATATTGATTAATGATATATGAATGTTCCAATTACTACTTGAACGTCTTTTCATCATCTTTAAAATTTTATTATAATTGCAGCACTTCCTACTTACTCAAATCACTATTCGCTATTATTATTTGGGAATCCTTGGGTTTCCTATCCAACACTGCCGCATAGATTTCTGTTGCCACTCTCTCCAACACATTCTCCTCATGCAAAGTGTCATCCAATGCATGTATCAATTCCTCCAAACTCAATCTCTTGAAAAACCCCTCCAAAACAAATAGAACACTCTCTCTCATCCTTGTCTAATACTTCTTCTCTATGAAATTGTCGTGATTCTTGAATTTCACCAGTATCCAAATTAAGGATCTCAAGTAATCCTTTGCATGTTCATTCTTCAGATATCTCACCAACTCCACACAATGCATTTAAGCCTTTAAATTATCTAAGGATTATTCTATTCAAATACCTCCTTTAGTCAACACATCCAAAATACTCTATCTAATCTTTGCATTCTCCAATAACTCTTAGCAATTCCCCTACACTGCATTATGCAAACTTGTAGAAGCATTCCAACTAATCTTAGGATTCTTAGATGCCAAAGCATTTGCATAACAATTTATCAAATCTTAATTTATTGTTGCCTACTGACATTTCATCAAATAATATCCCAATCCACGTAAACCATTTGTTGAAATCTTCTCCTTAGTATTCATTGCGAAATTCAAAAACAACTGATAAAACTCTTGATTCAAATTCACCAAACTGCTCAAATTAGCTGCTGCCCAACTACTTTTCTCCAAAACATGGACATTATTCCCCTGCAATTTGTTAAACATCTAAGATAACTCTTGAACTGCCATTGGATTCTGCAAAACACTATTTGAACTGCATAAAGTCCCTATTGCCTTATAAAATGTGATTTTTAAACTCGACATGTTAAATGGAGTATCACTGAACAGTTATCCATGAATGTAACTAATTTGTTTGATCAGCTTCTCAATCACTTCTTAACTCTGCTTCTGCCAAAACTAATCCTGAAGATTACCTATGATGTTGAATCCTGCAGGAACCAATTCAACCGCATTTGACTATAAACATTCCAAAGCCACATCAATTAAGATCTCTTGATATCCTTGTTCAGCTACACAACTAATCTCCTCGAAGATCCTGTAATACTAAATGTTTGGCTGTTTGATTCTTTGCAATTCTTAACAATTTACTAATTCACAGAATTCCTTATGGAAATGCGACTAACACTTTTGCAATAACTAATAGCATTCTTAAATGAATAACTCATTATTATTATTGTTATTTTCATTCCTCTCCTTAATTCCTTACAGACATTGCTTAATCAAATACTTTACATCTATTGTCTTTATGCCCTCATAAACCAAAACATTCAAAATCTACATTGCAGATGTTTTCACAGTTGCGTCATTGATCAACTACAATGAAATCTAATATAGGGGAATCCCACCCTCCTAATCCTACAATTTAGTAAGGATTCTGCATTCCTGCATCAGATAAACCTCTAATTTGCATAATTGAATATTGAATTGACTATCATTCTATTTCCATCCAGAAAGTAAAGCAAGTGCTGTTTCATGAATCTATTTTACACCCTAGAATAACACATATGCCTTGGGCTAAAATCCATGTTGATGTTTAACTATCTCAATTCCTTGAATCCACTTAGAGACATTCAAGGTATCCAACAGTACTATTATTAAATGAACCAAATTAATCTTTGTATTCTTTCTAGGTTCATGTTGCAGTAGTTGTAACAATTTCTACAAGAATAGTTACCAATTGCTTTAAAAATACAGTGGGAATTCCTTGATTAGAGTCTTTAACACAAGTATGCTGGTTGATCTTATTTTCGAATTAGCCTTTTGGGCTGCATCACTCTACCCTTCCGAATCACTAGAGAGGTCAGTTACGACATGTTCGGGTTGAAGATTGCCAAACTGAGGAATGCCTGTAAAGCAACATCGGAAGACTAATCTGATGAATTGATCTGGTGTATCGATTTTGAATTCTTAAAGCAATGCTCCGATGGCTTTTAACAAAGTAATATTGATTGGTTAGGTTAGACACCTTTGGATTGCCACTTGTAAGGTTTACGAATTGAATTCCTTGGGTTGGAGCTGAATGAGTTTAGCCACCAATCTGATGGCTTAGTCAACAGTTTTGAGAATCTCAATCAAGACGGGTACCATATCGTGGGTCACTCTATTCTCCAGATGTTTGAGAGTATGCATCAATTACTCTTTATTTTCGAGTTGTTTCCTTAGTGATTATGCTGTGATATGTTAATGCATTTGATTATTTCTTTTATAATGTAATTATTTGAACAAGAAATGAAATTAGACCTTAATTTTAGTTCGCTTTTTATGAAGTATTCGAGATTGATCCCATACATAAGCTTGATCAAATTGTCCATCGAATTCATTATTAAAAATGGTACTCTCAAATGACGAGACATTTGAACTAACTTTTGTCGATCCTTTTAGGTAATGCAAAGGAAAACCTTTGGAATACAAGCACATCATGACACCTGAAGGGATCTGTGTCATAGGTGAGGTGGATCAACATTTCATACTCAACGTAGAGTGCAAGGACAAGGGAGTCTATGGCATCAGGGTAATAGTGGATGGCTTCACTCTCCCAGGGAAGAAGACTTTCAAGAGCAAGTGCAAAGTGCAAGGCTTCACCAATTCCGATGGCAATATTAACTGCTTCAAATTCTAAAGGCCAAAATCAGACCCAGAATCAACCAATGTGTTCAAGAGGAATGTGTACAGACCACCTTGGGATATGAGTTAGAATGACTATCGTGACTATCCTGGAGGTGCAGGTGAAATAATAGTCAAGATCTACGAAACCAAACAGGAGGAGAACACACAAGGAGGTGGTGGTGGAGGAGGACCAAGAGGAGGAGGTGCAAAGAAGTCACAGGATCCCATGTTTGTTGAAGTGACTAAGAATGATAGCAAATCAGCTGAGGATCAATGTTTAGGCATTTCTTAAGGCAATGTCATTGAGTTGCCCCCTAGACAGGCATTTGATGATTCCAGACCACCAAAACCATTCAAAGATGTCATTGTCTATGAGCACATTGTTTAATCCTTCAGAATCATTTATTTTGATGCTGCAAGTCTGGTTGAGAAGGGATTTGTTAAATTGAATTGTCATAATCACATTGCTTATTTGACGGAGGAATTCTTCCAAGGAAACGAGGCTGCTTTGATCCAGGTCTTGCAGACTCTTATTGAGAGTGGATAGAAGGATAAGGAAGAGTCGGATATTCAGCAGACGGCGAATGTGTTGGTTGAAAGATTGGATTACTATTTCTCTGGAGAACTATTGAATATATTTTTGAATAAGGAGAATCAAGAGTAATTGCAATTGGATCCTGGTTCAAGGGCCTAGTATTTGGAAAGTGAACTCATCAAATTAATGGAGTCTTGGCCTGATTTCTTTTTGAATTTGGGAATGGGAGCCTTTGGAATAAAAAACAAATATGATTAGAAACTATACATTGAGAAGATTCAAGAGAAAGGGTTTGGGTTTGGGTTTGGGGTTTGGGTTTGGGGTTGGGGTTGGGTAATGATATAGGTTTGGGATTACGAATCTAATAACATCCTCTATCTACGCATTAGATTTCATACAATTATCTACTATTCAATGTTCATGTGCATAAATGATAACTAAAGATGATTGCTTAAGATTCAATTGCAAAATAGCACCCTACACATTATCCTCATAGAAAATCAATCTTGATAAAGCTTCTCTAAAAAATAAGACTGCACTATCATTGGCAGTCCCAAAATTTAAGTGTTCAGCATTATTTTGTACCGACATCAAGACCCAAGAACTTTGTGATAACACAGGCGAATGTGTCTGGAATAATAATGGCGCATGTGAACTATTTTCTGGATGTGGATCCTATTAAGTTGATAAAAAAGAAGATTGCTTGTTAAAGAGCACATAAACTAAGTTCTGCACATACGATGAGGAATAGCAGAGTAATGGGAAATACAATTGCATCAATGATCTATCAAAATCAGGGGGTAGTTTTATGACTTGCTTCACATTAAATGATGAGAGTCTGTGCAATCAATACGAATATGCTGTATGCACTTGGAGATCTTTTTAGCAATGCTAGGATGAATCTGATGAAGTTAATTTGTGTTAGTAATATCAATATTGTATTGGAGAGGAGAGTAAGGATTGTGCAGATCTCTCAGGATTTGAAGATAAGTGTGATAAAAGAGCAAATTATTGCAAATGGGTTAAGGATAATAGTACGTGCATGGAGAAGGAATGTTCTGATTATACATCAGAAGCTGATTGCAAGAGTATTTTAACAGATGATTTAAAACGGGCAAAGCCTTGTACATGGGAAACAGAATAGTGTATATAGGGGTTCAATTTAACTAAATTAAATAAGTACAATTGTCTGATTGATTCCTTGAATACTTCGATGTGGAATGAGGTTGAATAGAGATGCCAGAGTTGTAAATTTGAAAAACTATTGAATTTTATTATTTTTGTAATGTTATTATTATAATGAATTAATCATATGATTTATTATAATTAGCAAAATAAAGAATCCATGAAAAAAAAGTGCAGAAAACTTAAGACATATTTTGCACCCAAATTAAGTAGAAAAAACAAATCATAACAGATGAAGAAGTTGAGATTGATCCAATTTCATACGAAGACTTTGATGATCTCAAATAATTGCGTAGGATGATCAGACAAACTGACCACTCAATTAATTAATACGGAAAGGAAGTTAAATAGCTTTAAGATAACATTAAAAGGTTAACTAAATGATAGCACTTATCAAATTCAATATATTTATTTAAATTATTATCTATCTCGTTTAGATAATTTACAATAATTCTATGTGATGAGAGTTGATTTCAGCATAATCATATCAACTCTTCATTCATAATTCAATAAATTAGAATTTAGCCATCAAATCCTGCACAATACAGCTTCTATATAACACATATTTCTGAGTTAAATTGTTAAAATTAATTATAAAATTTCTTCAGAAACTGATTTTTAGATTGAAATTAAAATTATAGTCCCTTTTGCATTAAATAAATGGATAAATGAAGTGCTACAAAATAGATTTGCATTTTTTGAGTGATTATAAGCAGTTCTATTTTAGTAGCAAAGCAAATCTGTATAAATTGGATTAGTAAGACAACGGTTTTTTCTCTGTAATGTGATTATAAAATTAATTAAAAGGGACAGACAACATAATTTCTGTTTCATTGTTTGGTGAAATGGATATGTTATTAATATATATACAGTTTCAAGAAGATTTAAAAATATTAATTCAATGGGATCCATTTGTGTAGCGAGACACCAAAATTTGGCTTCTATCACTTAGAGTGACGTAGAAGTTGCTGAAGAATAAGCCATTAATGATCAGGTCAGCACTATTTCCTGCAATTTTATTTCAACTTTGGAACTTCAGTTTAAAAGCACAGCTTCATAAAATCAGATTGAACATCAACAAACCCAAAGAATTTCTTTGGAGTTATCGTAGATTGGTCAATAGATTGAGAGGAAAGGAATTCTTAAGAACACTAATCCTCATTATGAAGAAGAATTAAGAATACTTTCATAGACAATTAAAATTAATCAAGAAGAAATGCATTATGAGAAACTAGTGAACTACTTAAGGGCTCGTAAAATTTAAGGGTCATACAAAATAAATTTATGAATTAATTCTTACTATAATATATATATTTATATATTGCATTCATTTAATCATTATGCATATTTTTTGGTTTACTCTCTTGCCAACTATTCATATTTATTTTTGTCTTATTTGAAGATATTTGCAATCTCTGGAACAAGAGGGTCGTCTGGATTTGGATCAGTTAAGAGGGAAGAAATACTGAGCAACACTTATTATTCTATAAACAATTTAAATACCTTTGCTGATAGTGAGTGCAGGTGACCATTGATCTTTTAATATGTCTAGACAAATCGCACCATTTTAATTAATGTTTGGATGATAAATTCGAGTAACAAAGTTTATTTTTGGAGGTTTAAATGGGTAATCTGTAGGAAAATGGATGTTTAAGAAAAAGACTCCTCCTTGATAGGGTGACCCTTCTGGCCCCATTATAGTAGCTTGCCAATGAAAATTGTCTTTATCGTCAACTGGACCAGCAGAGCAATTAGCAGGGGGATCCTTGGCTAAGTCTGATAATTCCTTTTGAATTCTCTTAAGAGCCATTAATTAATTTATATATTTTATATATATATAAATCACATCAATCTATGTCTAATAAGAATGTTTTCTATATTCTCAGTACTACACATTAAATTAATACTTTGTTTGTAATATTGGCAAACAATTGCCTCACTTACATCTGGTGTCTCCTTGTAGAAAAGGACAAAACATCCCTAAATCAACTGCTCGAATTGTTTCTTCAACTCTTCATGAGTAAAATCGACCATTCTAATATTTCGTTTTTGCAAGATCTCCATAAATTACTCCTTATTGCATTCAACAACTCGTTTAGTCAGATATTTATAAATGTATGGCAGTCCTTCTTGAGTGATTTTAAAGGGAGTTACCTAGCCACCAAAGCTTTCCTTGCCCCTCTCAAATAGTTTCTAGCCAATGTTAATAAGTTTAAGGTTCTCTAGTTTAATACAAATATTATTTACAATTTTTGGGATCAAACAATATATTTTTTACATCCTCACTAACATATCTAAATTTCTTGTTGACTTACATGATGATGTCAAGCGATTATCCAGTACCTAGGACTTATCCTTAAGGAAATCCACTGATACCATAATAATCACAAATGACTTTCCAATCATAGTCATTGATCGGAGTATAAGGTTCGAGTAATGCAGCTTTATCTTTCTCATTTTATTATTTGCCATCCTATTCATTGCTTTACTTTAAGATGTCCTTAAGATGATCTTAATTGACATCAATATCTTAAATAAATTATTCTTATTAAACATCTTCTGATTAGATAACTTCTTATTAAGCTGATTATTAAACTTATTCAGGCTATTATTATTAATTAGGTTATTCTGGTTTATCAGTAATTTATTCAACTTCAATTTATTATTATTGTTATTATTATTATTATTATTATTATTATTATTATTATTATTATTATTATTATTATTATTATTATTATTATTATTATTATTATTATTATTATTATATTGGTTACTCTTAAGATATTATTGATTCTTAATAAATTGGCTTTTTCCAAATTACTGCTTACTTTTTCTTAAATAATGCCAAATAGAAACCACCAGTGTCTTAATCATGTGGTAGTACTCTCAATGTCTTCTCTATACCAATTTTATTCATAAACTCTTCAGTATCTGGCCATAAAGAAGGCTTTAATGTCTTTAAAGCATTAATCATTTATCCTTCCTATTTTCTAGAAAACTTAGAAAACAACTTTTTAATATTCAATTTTTGATTAACATTATTAACTTCATAGACTAAATCATCTTCAGTGACACTTTCAAGGAAAGTCTTTTCATCTTAGTCTGGGTTTGATTCTCTTTGAAGATACTTTTAGGTTAGAAAGTCATCAGTAACGATAACCTTCCAATCCTTGACTCCTTTTCTAGTTTTGAATCCTTAGAGTGTATGTAAATCAACTAATTCAAAAGCATCAAAGCCAGCCCTTCTAAAGACTTCAGCCACTACAGCCTCATCCTCAATTGGATTGAGTGAACATGTGCTATACATAACATATCCTCCAATTTTGCATAATTGAAGTGATCTCATCAAAATACTCAATTGCAAAGGATGAATGACATTGCCATCTCTTGCTGACCATTTGACCCATCTTGTAGGTAACTTACGAGCAGCTCCATCCCCAGTGCATGGAACATCACATAACACTTTATCAAATTGTAATCTCTATCCATTGATATATAAGGTAGGATAGAATTAAGCTGCATAATTGGTGACCATAACCTATGCGGTTGGCATACGAGATAGTTGATGCGATAACATATATGCTCTTTTGGCATCTACATCATTTGCAACAATCAATCCTTTAGTTACTACCTCCAACAATTGACAAGTTTTTGATCCTGGAGCTGCACACATATCCAGAACATAATCAGTTGGTTGAGGATCCAATAACAACGGAGGAAGCATTGACACAAGTTCTTATCTAGTCAAAAGACCAGTCGAATTGCATTTTTATATGAATTGGTGTAGTTTAGTGAGGGCAGCTGATTTTCTAAGACTTTTCTTAGGCACCTTAGATTCCCATACCAAATGATTTGGATACCATTTAATTTCTCTAATTGGCTCTACTATTTCTTCTTCATTGACCATGTCTTTTATCAAGGATCCATCTTGTAATCTTTCAATCAAACTCTCGTATTTGTATTAGGATGGATTAATTCTGAAAGTGACAGGCAATGGAAGAGATAAAGATTACCAGAAGATCTGAAACTCTTCAGAAGTTATTTCTGGTAATTGGATCTAAAATATGGGTAATGATGATATCATACTTCATAGAAACGACGAAAGATGGGATTCTCAAATTAGACGACACAAATTTATTGATTGTCTTGATCCCAGTGATTTGTCTTAACTTTCTTCTGAGGAGCATTTTCATATTTGCTTTAATTCTTGTTTCTATGTTTTCCCATATATTAAAAGATAAATTAAATTAAAAGAAATTCATTATGAAAGAATATTTGACTATTTATTGTTATGAAAGAATTGATAAAATATGTTGAATTGTAATTAAGTAAGATTTTCAAACTTCTAGCTCATTTTTACAAATTGGGCAATGTCTGCTCTTCTTGAGCCATTTGTCTATGCATTCGTCATGAAAATAATGTACTATACAGGTATAGGAATATATTATATACAGCATGGAATAGTCTTAACTTGATCTTCCTCTTCGTATTCACAAAGACATATTAGACATTTCATGTGGTCCTCATCCAATTGTTTAATTTACTCTAAATTGATCCTCCTTACTGGCAATTACTATATCTCATGATCCTCACATCCCAGGTGACCCTCAACAGTGCCATTTTCATTTAACTATATGAAAGTATTCAACAATCTGTGCAAGGATTCAATCTAGTCCTATCTTGTGTTATTTCCATTATTAGTAGATCTGTTTATAATATTATAACTTTGATTTGATTGCAGTTGCTATAGATTCATTCGCTAATCAACTTAATCTGTGATTTGAATGTGTGTTTAATTTGGAATGACAAAGCCATAATCCTCATCTAAACACACTTCAAAAATGAAATCTCCAATCCTCAAAATCTAGCCTTTCTCCAAATATCTAGTCAATCCTGAAAAGTACGGATGGATGACTTGGTTAAGTACTTACTGAATTGCTTGATTTCTATTGCTACGAGTGAATTCTATGGGTTGCTTCAAAATGATGAATTAGACTGAAGACAACCTGGGAACATTCGAAATGCATTCCATTTTTGTGTATAAGTGCAATCTCCCAGATTACTCAGTGCATTGCAATATAAAATATTCTTGATTGTTGATTTTTATATACGAATCTAATAATAGTCCCACAAAGTCATACCCTAAATGAGCTGATTTTCTTTCGGATGAGAAAAGAAATAATGGAAAAGTTCATCTTAACAGTTTTTTCTTTGGGTGTACACCTTCAATCTGTACAGGATTCTGTCTGTATATGATTCATAACAGTAGATCTTTGTGCCAGTACCCACAATACCTTGGAGTTGGGAACCACATCCAACCACTCGGAATTCAAACTAGTCGATATTGAAGCAAGCCCCTGATGTAATTACTCTCTCTCTCGTCTGGAAGAAGGGCAATATAATTTGGGTCATCAAATGTCCATATGAGATGTGATTAATGCAAGTCCTATTGTGATTAATGGAAATACTGATTAACACGCAGCACAACCTAATCTAGATATTACATTGGGAAACTATATGAGCAGCATTGAACCTCCTGACTCTGATTCAAGAGAGTGATCACTCCATCCTTTATGACATAGGGAATTTGGCATTCTTCACATTTGTTAGTTCTGCCCAATCCATCGTCGAAGAGTAAAAACTCGCACCTTAAACAACTTACTCTTGAAGCTTTGTAGTCGGGCTTTTTGAGAATTGATGATGGAAAAGTTGAGCAGCCTAATCATGCATATTTAAACATTACTCTAGGTCAAATATTTGGTCAATTCATCTTCAGGTTTATTCGGTTGCTTCATTTGTAAGGAAGATTGATTCCCCTATTAATTTGGGTGTTTGGAACTATTTCCCATTTAGGAATTAATAATATATATATATTTGAATTAAAATCCGATCTTACTAGAGTGTGAGTAAGTTCCATTTCCTATAAAGAATGATTGTCCGACTTGAGATTGATGTTTTAGATGACTCAAAACCAGTTGTTAGGATTATATACATTAATTTATTATGTTTATTATTTTGAGTGTTCGATACTAAGTAATGTGAATAGAATTCTAAATTTATTGAGTTCTTAAGAATAAGCTATAAAAATTATTATGCTATTTTATAATAATTAAAATTTAGAGAATGGCAAATTACATAATTAAATAGGTTTAATAATTTGAAAAAGAACATAAAACATTGGTTCCTACTATATACCAAATTTTGAGTAGTTTTTTTTTCGCCCTTAACCACTTTAGTGTAAAATTGTTTGATGGCATACCCGTAACTCAAATAATTATATGGAGATGTTGCTTGACATTTGGAATTATCAGATTGCTCAGTCAAATATTGCCATTGCAATCCTACCCAAAAAACAAGAAGATAATGAGCAAACTCTTGATTAGAGGTGCGATAGGAATGTTCGGATTCCTGGCCTGCTTCTCCTCACTGAAATTGGTTGCCGTGTCAGAAGCAGTAGTACTGATGAAGACCAATCCCATTTGGACTACTCTCATTTTGGTGTACGTGCAAAGGAAGGAGAGGATCAACATTAGAACTTCATTGGAGATACTGACTTGTATTATCGGTGTAATTTTCATAACAAAGCCTCCCATAATATTTGGAAATGAGAATTCAGAATATTCGGTGTTATATTTAGTAGGTCTTTGTTTGGCACTTGTAACCGCATTAGAAACAGCTGTGGCATAAGTGATTATTAAATCATTAAATAATCAAGTTCATTCATTCGTCATATTGCAATACTTTTCCTTATTCGCAATGGCAGGTGCAGTGCTCTTTCAATTGTATTCGCCTTTCGAGGATATGAGATTTCTCTCTTGGAAGGAAGCTGCAATACTCTTGTTCAGTGGCTTCTTGGGCTGTTTGGGATCGATGTTCATGAATAGAGCAATGATGTTGGGGAAGGTCACGCAAATGGCTCTTATAGGAGAGACTCAGATAGTGTTCAATATTGTTTTGGATTTGTTGATTTTGAAATAGATGATCGGGATGACCAGTTGGATCGGAATCGGGATGATAGCCACAAGTCTCACCTCAAATATAATGTAGAAGAACTGATTATTAAACAAATTATTTATGTCTAATTAAATATAAATATGGCAAATTTGCTAATAGGTTTGACACAATAACTTAAAGTGTTAGAGAAACAATACCCCACAGGGTTGCCTGCCTTTTATTAGTTGATGTCCAGTTTGACATTCGCACTCCACACATTTAGTATTAAATTTTTTGAAGGAATTCCTGCCAGCTAGATCATAGTTTGGAGGTCTGTCCTGACCTTGGTTATACTCTAAATCCTAATTTAAATGTTCCCTTGTTAATCATACCCAAAAAGCAAGGGGACTCTGGTAAAGTTGATTGGAAGAGGAGTTTTCGGAGGCATTGGGTTTATCTCATTCTTTCTTGCTTTAAAATTGACGACTGTGTCTGAAGCAGTGGTGCTGATGAAAACCAATCCTTTGTGGACAACCTTATTGGTAGTTTACATTTATAAAACTGAGAGGATGACATGGAGATCGATGATGGAAATACTCTTCTGTCTTTTTGGCGTGGTTCTGATTGCAAAACCACCTATTATAATGTCAGTACTAGGTTATGAAACTCATGAATTAGAATTCACTTACTTGTATTTCATAGGACTGTGTCTCTCGTTATTGACGGCATTGACTACTTCGATTACATAAGTGCTGATCAGTTCACTTTCGAAAGAGGCTCATCAATTAGTCATATTACAGTATTTTTCATTATTCGGAATAACGATGGCTTCAATCTATCAGCTCTATTCCCCATTTGAACAATTTCATTATTTAAGTTTATCAGAAATGGGTTTAATGATAATCAGTGGGTTCTTGGGTTGTTTAGCTTAGTTGTTTATGAATAGATCAATGATGATAGGAGATGTAACACAGATGTCATTAGTTGGACAATCTCAAATCGTATTCAACATTTTGTTGGATGTCCTCATCATGAAGCAAAACATAGGAATATTGAGTTCTTTAGGTATATTTCTGATAGCAGCCAGTCTAGTTTCCAATATCTATAAGAAAAAGAAAAAGTGATCGAAATACTTTGGATTGTTATTATTAATTTATTTTTGTTTTTCAATAGTATTCATCATTGATTCAATTAATAGAATAAATTTAGTTGTATGGATACATAAATTAATCTTCTAATTAATGATATTAATAATTGATCATATTTTTCCACTTCTTGTTAATCTTAATGGTTGGGATCTCTACAATAATTGACCAAAGGATTCTATTAAGTTGAGTTGATGAGTGCTTTGTAAGGTGTCCTCATTTTCAAATCCGAAGTCTTCAAAACATTGTTCTAGACGGAGAATAAGAGTGTCAGCATTTGGTCTATCCTAAGGATTAAAGGACAGACAATCGGCAATTAATCTCATAAAGTTATCTTCGATATTCTTGTCAGCCAAAGTCTATTAAATCTTCTCGAATGTGCATTCATCTCTGTACATTTCATCAGTCCACAAGAGAGAAGAATGTTCCACTGGATAGACTCCTTGATTAGCTATTTAATAAACTAGAATTATTATATAAATTAAATGATTACATATCATTCCAATCTACCAAATGTCTGAAGTAAAGGTGTAATTGGATTGTCCAGTCTCAGGTGGTTCATAATTAGTAGATGACGTCAGACCAGTGAGAATTTAGTTACAGAATTCAGGAGTATCATCTAAGGTAGTAGAGTGATCAAAGTCTGCAATTTTCAATTGAGCTCTATCTAGATCCTCGTGACTCAAGAACAGATTCGAAGGCTTTAGATCTCTATGCAAGATTCGATGTCTATGTAATTAACGAATAGCTAAAATAAGAGGTAATTGGATACCAAATGCCAATTGACAACAGAGATCTTTAATGTTCCTGTCATAAATTTCAGAACTCTCAAATGCCTTCTATAAATCAGTTGGGTACATTTCCATGAATAAGTACAATTGATCCTAAATTCTAAAATAAGCAAAATAATAAGCGAAAGGTTCATATTTTCTAAAGTTTTCCATGATCTCCAGTTCTCTCTAAGAACACAATATGAGATAATCCCTGTTATCTGCAATGTCTAATTTTGCAGATTTCATTACAGTCCTGTTGCTGATTCCAGGGATGGTCTTCAAGAAATCAGGAGTGTCGAACACATAAACGAATGAATTGGCTTTTTCATCAACTATACTTAAATCATTTGTAAATGAAAAGATTTTTTATAAAAATTCCACATAGGGCAGATCTTCAGTGAGACCTATGTTCACATCCTGTAATTCTAAGAGATAATCGATGATTTCTTAAAAGTCAGAGCCTTAACACTCTAATCCCATGTTGGAAACTAAAAGTCACTTCTATGAAAATGAATACCTAATTCTATGAAACTAAAAAAAGATTCATCAGGAGTGATGACTCTATTGAATTCGAAGTCAATTTATTAAAGACAAACGTGAGAACCAATAATAATGACTTTCTCTGGTGTAATCAAGAATGGTAGTTGTCTCTTACACAATTCCTGCAATGCTTATAAATTCGTTATCATCCATACTTATTGCCACCAACGAAGCCACGTATATTTTCTCGTCTGAATTCATATGCTCTAAATTGTTCTACAATGAGTATTCCTAGTAATCTGGACCAACCAATGAATTTTCTGGCAAATACAAATCCAACACAGGCAATAAGTTATACAACTTAATTTTCCTTAGCATCAAAAATCTCTCATTGTTGATTTCGTGTGTTGTGAATCTTCTTATTATATAATTGTAATCATTTGTCCTTCTTCTACCTTTGTATTCCTTCCTATCAACTGATTCAAATTACCATAAATTAATCGGTTGTTCTCTTCAATTCTAACTAGAAATAGGAATCCTCGAGTCTCTCCTCATTGAATTATGGCACTCGTTATTACATTTATTTTATTAATGTACTATGTTCAAATAGAATAAACATATAAATATCAAAATAATTAAAAATAGATAGAATTATTCAAAAAAGTACATGATCATTAAAACTCTTCATTATCAAAAGAGACACAACTATTTCTATGTGGATTCATCAATAATGATTACTCCATTTGTTAAATCAAATTCTCCACTGAACCTAATTCTTTCTTTAGCTCCTCGATCTCTCTCTGTAAATCATTGAATTCCATCAAATTGAATTCCTTAAATCATCATATAAAAATCTATACCTTTGATTTGACAACCCTCTCCATCTTGTGCTTGATCTCCTTGATTAGAAACTCTCTCTTCTTTTTTACCTCCTATAAGTTGATTTCAATTTCTTCATTGATTTATTTAGGCTGTTAAAATTATTATGATTTGATTTCCTTCAATTTTCTAGCAGTAACTGTTTAAAATATATCCTTAATAATTTACACAGCAGTCCTAAGCTATTTCTCAGGTATCTGATTTAAATAATATTCATCATTTTTGGTTAAGTATTCGTGTACAAATTGTCTTAACTCTGGGTCATCCAAGAAATCTGTATTCGTTTAAAAATTCTGTTCTGATTGCTTCTTAGAAGACAATGATCGACCTTAATTATCGAACTCTAAGATTGTTGTCTTCAATTCATCGTTCTCCTGAATTAATTAATCATTCTACTGACTCAACTCATTGTAAGTTTAAGTGAACTCTTAAATAAGCTTATCGCTTTCAAATGACCTAAGATCCTTTTCTTACTTCAACATCAATTTCAATTCGTTGATCTCCTTCTCTTTCTATTTTAATATCTTTTAGAACTTCTCCTACACTGTTTTCTACTCTAAAATCTCATTGTCTTTCTCATTCAACTTTTCCTTAAACTCTTAAAGTTAACTCGAGATCTATTTGTATTTCGTTTCATTTTACTTAGCCGACTATATGTGTTTCTTCAATTCATTTTCCTAACTACTCTCAATAACACAATAATTACTCTAAACACTTTTATTATAATTGAGTACAATTTCGATCAGTATCGCATTTCTTCGTCCTCTGCTTCTCTTATTCCTCCTTCAATTAATCATATCTCTTAGTGATCGCTCTTAGATTATCCTCCAAATTATAAATCCTTTAAAACAGTTGTTCCCTTGATTCTTAACGAAATGGTGAAGTATTCTCATAATATGGAAATTGAGGCTATAGATTTTGGTTTATGGTTTGCTGGACCTAAGGGTATCCCACATTGTATTTAATTGGGGTCATCTACTGTTTGTCGCTATGCTAATAGAAAATAAACTAATCTATTGTACACTGTATCCTTTGAAAGGTGATGTGTTAATCGCTTTTTCAGGTGTTTTAGTTACATAAGTGGATGGAGTTTATATCAGTTTTAGAGGTTGTTTTTGCATTAACGAATAATAACAATTAATTTTTATATATAAATTGATTTGTTTGGTAGTTGATTTTTGTTTAACACAGATTAACTTACCATGCATAGAGATGTTCAATTATGAATAATATTTATCGATTATATCAAAAATTGATCTAATTATCACAAATATATCAATAACTATTGTAGTAAGTTTAATAAAATAAGTAAAAGCTATCTTAAAGTATGTAAATAAAAATAATATAATATACAAACTATTCTTTCATCTTAACCTTATTTTAGAAATATTAAAATTAGACACAAAGAAATTTAAATAGTGAAAAATTAATATTCATAATTATTATTTTTCAAATGAATTTACTTGAAAAGATCACTTATATCATAACAAGATTACTTTTCTTTTAGATTAGATGTTTTGCAATTACTCTAAATGATTCATTACCAATTTAAAAGTATAATCTCCTTGAAAATGAGAAGATTTTCTCTCACTATCAGATTGGTGCATTCCCTCTTGATAATCAAACTTAACAAGATTATACAGATATTGAGTTTCCATTAATAGATTACAAACAAACAATAAAAACTGGAAGCCTTATGGTGAAAAATGTGCAACCTATTAATATTAATGATTAAGAGTTAGCTATTATGACTATTATTGATGATGAAATGATCTGCTTATTACAATTAAATACATATTCAGTTAATGATGAATTAAGATATTTAAATTGTTCGATTAGATTTAAATTTGAGTCAAACCATTGTTTCTAGGTCTATTAAATTTCTAATGATTAATTATTAATAATATGTTAAAAGGATGCTAACACAATATATCTTTATTTATAGAATTTTGATAATTAAGTAATCAATTAGTATGAACTCAGCATTATATAGAATTGCAAAGTTAACTCAGCGTTTTAAGACTCATTCATAATTATTTATTAATCAGATTGTATAGATTCTAGGGATTATACTGATTGCTAGTAAACAGAATTAGTTATCCTAAAGATTGAGGAAGGTTAAATTAAGTCCTATTATAAAAAATAATTAGCATAAATATCAGCAACTAAAAATATAGATATCGAAAAAACCGGAAAATTAAGAGAAATTTAAATTTGCTTTACCAAAAATCTAGTTTTTGTATTTACCAAAGGAGTTTACTATTGTAACGTCTTCAATTAGGATTAATGTTATTAAATTAAATCTATCTATTAATATTCAACAATTGTCAAAGTATATAATTCTTGTTCTAAAAGTAATGTTTTAGAATATACAGATAAAGGAGAATGTATTTTAATTAAATAATTTAGGGTATTTTAAAAGATTTCTAATTGATTTAAATAACTTAAATTATAAAGATTATGTAAATTCAGGGATAATCTAAAATAAGTTGCTAGTCTTTTCAAAGGATGACTTATATATCATCGCTAGTTCTAGGATCTACAATAAAAGGAAAATTTAAGTTCAAACTACTATCCCAATTGCTAATTTATCTTATTTCGCATTATTAGATGTAGAAGGGAAATTGCAAATTTATTAAATGAATTATTAAAGGTATTACTATACTTATTCTCGCTAATTATAATTGATAGCTTTCCTGCCAAATAGCTTCTATGAAGTGAACACTAATTTGATAATTATTTAGATGGAAAAGTATGACTCATAAAACCCTCCATTTTTAATTGGAGATAAGGAAATAGAGATTTATCATAGAAATTTCGAAACTAATTTAAGTATAAACAGAAATTAAATTTAAAGATCTATTCCTTTTTAGATATTGAAAATTGAAAGAAATGGTAGGTTTGTGAATTATTAATAGTAAACAAGAGGATTTTAATGTAAATATAACAATAAAGTAACTTACATTAATTTGTGGTTTTTTGAAAAAATGGATCTTCTTCAAATCTTAATTCTTGAATTAAAATCGACAATATAAATAAATGTCTGCTCTTAAGGAAGGCTAATGAATCATTTTGCAATACCTTTGCATTAAAATTTTATAGGCATAGTTGTTAATGAAGAGTATCTATAACTATTGATAGTTTATTAAAATGAACTTAATCTGTATTAGTTAATTGATATGGAACTAGTTAGTAGGTAAATCAGATTAGAAGAGAAGATTATTAAAATTTTGAATAATAAAAAATCAATCTCATTAATTTTGGATGATTGTAAGATTATTTTATTATCATCCGACTCTATAAACTCATATATAGAATATTTTTAATATAATGGTGATAATTGTACTGAAATTTAATTTTTAGCCGATAAATAACTTACAATAACTCATGACTAAATTATAAAGTACAACAGCGAAAAGATCATTTAAATAATAAATTTACCGTATAAGGTATTTCAAGTGAGTTTTTGTGATAATTTATAACCGTCATTCTTTTTAATATTTTATGAGCTTTAACAAATGGTTAATATATCCTTATTCTTTGATTACTAAGAAAAAGTAGAAAAACTTTACGATTTGCCATTGCATAATTTTTAAATAAAAATACCACTCAACTATTAATATCAAAATTCTTATTTGATGATATTAGCATATAATAATGAATTCGATGACGTTTTATTGATTTATAATTGTAGGGAAACTTCAATTGAATCTTTAGTGTGGATTACATAATTAGATCAAAACGAGAAGTAATTCTTTGGATTTATCAATTCAAATCTAGACTTTTTTTACATAAAAAATAAGTCTATTGTTATTCAAAATATAAATCACATCCAAATCATTCTTGAAGAGTATGAAAACAATTTTTAAAGCTTTATTCCCTTCTTAACCTTTAATTTTATTTTAGAATCATAATTGTAACACATAAAAAAATAAGCAAATATTGAAGTTAAGTAATATTTTATTAATAGCAATTAATCCTTGGCTCTTTTAAAAGAGGATTTCATTGAAATTGATTCAAAAGGATACATAAACCTTATCAATATCTATGGAATAATCAATTATATTGCGATTCTTGAGAATTCAGAATAAGGAATAATACATCCCTTAACTCTCTCTAATCCAAATGAAATATTAGAATGTCTATCCTACAGTAATAATTTGTGTTTACAATCTGATTCTGTTTTTATGTTGAGATACTAAGAATAAATCTTAAAGCTTTAACTTGATAAGGCTATAATGAATGATTGCTTAATCTTTTTTGATAAACAGTTAGATATATATAGTATAATTGAACTGTAGGATTTTTAAGGCTGGATATCAATTAGCATAACCAAACTTAAATTTGAAATATTGCAAACTAAAGGGTAAGTATCAATAAATAAAACTCTTGAACAAACTTCAATTATTTTAATGGCATAAGTTGTTCAAATCTTAAATGTTGAAGGTCTAATTATTCTTATTTAAGATTACATTGATGGCTATCTAGTTATGGAAGGATAATATCATTCTTAAAAAATAGAATTTAGGCTAAGTTTTCCTTATTTTACATGTGATACATTCTTCATCACAAATGGTACATACTTCTTTATGGCTGGAAATAATTAATATCTCCAATTAAAAGTATTTTCCTTTAAAAATATCGATTAAAATTTAACATGTTAAACTCTTTTTAGTTAAGAATTAGAGATGTCATAGATTATGACAGAGCTACATTTTTCTGAATTGCAATTAGAATTAAGCATTATAAAAATTTTAGCAGTTGATTTTGATAGTCATTCACTTAAATTTTAAGCAATACTATTCCTTACAGATTTTTTTGCCTTTTCTTTTTCACTTCATTATAATATTGATTAATAAATTGTAATGGAAATGTAAATTTAATCACTCTTCAGATATTCTAATTAATCGAAATTTAATAATATGATATATCTTGATTAGAATTTCATAATTATAAAGGTGTCAAATACATCAAGTTCTTCATTATTGATTTACGATTTAAATTTAACCTCATAAAAGAAAGAACTTGATGCAATCTAATTAATTCCGGATTAAACTTATACTTTAATTGAAAAGTTCAATGAGACACATCACGTAATTCTTTAACATGATAAAGATATTCTATAAGTTCAATTCATTTAGTTGTCAAAATATTAAATTAAGTGTTTTAATCAATGTAATTTTGCAATGACATTACAATTATAAAATGATTGTTCAAGTATCATAGTTAAAGCTAAATAATAAAATGATATGGCTTTAGTAAATTATAATTATATTATTATTTTATTGATTTGTTTTCTATGCATTATTAAAACAACTTTACATAGAAAACATTGAAAATAAGAAAGAGTGTGTATAACATTGATTAACTTATATATCATTTATTATCGTTATAACTTTCTTAGGAGTATTAAAATTTTAAACATTTAATTTATTGATCATATTTTATTTAGAAAATGGGTTAAATTTAAATTAAATTCATAATATCTTTAAATTCAATTTTATCATACAAAATAAGGCTATCATTTGATTTAATGACGGAATCTTCTATTTTTAAAGGTTTTCAAGAATAGAATTAAGAGTATCAAATTGACTAAATTAATAAGAGAAATTCGCATGTTTGAAAAATTTATAATATCATTTCTATCGAAACTAGGATAAAACACTAATGTTAAAGTAGATACTGAATTATTTAATTTAATAGTTTCAATTGTTTATTTAAATGGATTTTAGGGTTGAAATTAATATCCTTAAAATTGTACAAAACTCAGTTGTTAAGTAGTATTTACACTTTTTATTTAAACAAAATGTGATTCATTAAAATATTCTATAGTTGTATTTTGTTCTACATATTGATAGAGACTATCAAGAACCTTTATAGAAGATAAATTATAAAAATATATGACAGTTTCTTCATCCATAAGCAAGGATAAGATTAAGGTGTTTTAATTTGCTAAGCAATACTATAATTACCCTTTATTATGTTAATACCGAATAAAATTGATTATATGGCTATGCATTAAACTTTGTTAAAAATCTATAATTAAATTGATTCTAAAGCAATTTTATGCTATGAAACATATAATGATATTTGTTTCAAATATCATATAATTTAAAGTGTGATTTAGAATTAATAATGAATTTACATGTAAAAAACCCAAAGAAAAGTACTCCGTAATCATTTAGGATATGTCAATTTCTAAAGTCTTGTCATTACTGTAATTTTAAGTTAACAATACAACATGAATGAGATGATTAATTTTATTATCATAGCAAAATATTACATAATGATTTTTTACATATATAACTTATACAATCTAAAAGTCAATACGATCTTTATATGAGAATTGTTTGAGATCATTTTCTTAAAATAGTAGAATTTAATATTGTTTTTTATTCATGATTTTGATTATGGCAATATTTTCTATGAAAATTATACTTTAAATTCTATCTGCATAAAAATCAATTTAAAGACTTTATTAATATTATGATTTCTTGTTCAGTTAAATTTGATTTACCTCATATTTTTCCAAAAACATTCCAGAAGCCAGACAAAAAATTTCTTACATGCTGGATAAGTCTTTTATAAAAACTAAGTCTTTGCATGACTGGGGGAGTTTTATCATGATTTGATTCACAGAATTGAATAATATTACATCTGTATCTTTATAACAAGCCTGATTAGAATAGAATCCACACTCAAGAAATGGAGTTATAACAATAGGAACTAATTTTTGAAAGTCATTCTCTCTAAGCAAATATACATTATCAATTTAATTAAATACATTTTCAAAATTTATTTTGTTTATTTATTTCTGCTTGTGATAGTGTTATAGAAATGGAATTTTATTATCTTTTATTTTTAAGGTGTAATTGAAATGAGATATTACAATATCGAATTAAACTATTTTAGACAAATTAAATATATCGGTTTTAGCTTCTAAATAATTTAATTCATGTTTAAAGTCAGTATCAAAATCTAAATATTGATCAGTAAATTTTAGAAAAACTTATTTTAAATAAGTAACCATTAGAGATGAGTTATAAATAGAAACAATTTGATGAACATTTAAAAAAGTGAAGTAATATTAATTTTGGTCGATATTAATTACTTTTATCAATATACTAATTAGTTAATTATTGAGATTATAGACAAGAAGAACTTCCTGTTAATTACTAGGATTTTTGGCAGCTATGGCTAATTAATCCCAAAATATTTCATATCTTAGAGGATATATAATTGTGAAATCATACAAAGGGAGGTTAAAAAAAAAGTATAAATCTTAAAACTATATGCTATACAGTTTTAGAACAATCTTTTTTTCAATTACTTCGAAAATGACTAGCCTTTCCTAGTTTACAAAATAGATATAGTCAATGATCTAATCAAAATTGAATATAACTTTATTTGAAAAATAAGGTAAAATTTCAATTTCTTTATTAGATATTCTGATTTCCTGTTGATCAAATGGTTTAAATTTACAACCAAATTAAAGTGAATTGTTTATTTCTTCATATTTTAAAATATCTATTTGAATAAAGATCTCAAGGCAATCCTATAAATAAATACTAACAACTTGATTATTTTATATTATTTTATTGATCTCTTTAGTTATCCTTAGAGACCACTTCAATTCTATGATTTTATCATAATGAAATGCTTTTATGATGTTTTTAGATATTATTATGAAGTTTTGTTATTCGATACAAAACCTGATTTACGAGTTTTCATAATAATCACTTGGTTTTATTTGATAACTTATTGCATTTTTACTATTAATTATAGATATTGCTTTTTTGTTAACTACAAAAATTGTATTATCATTAATACTATGTTCTATTAAAAAAACTTCCTATCCCCAAACCATATCTTTATATTAATTTATAAAAAAATGGTTCTTTGCTAATACTAAACTACTGTTTTGCTATTGTTTGAGTGTAATTGAAAAAGGTAATCCTTATTGCATTTAGAAAATATTAAAAAGATAATATCCATCCTGATTGACGTATATGGTTTCAAATTTTACTGTCTAAATTAAAAAATAAGGAGCTGATTACTTTATTATTTTTACAATAATCGGCTCTTATGAGACCTTGAATTATTGAACATAAAAAGCCAATATATTTTACTATTTTGTTTAAGGTATGTATCTAAGCATATTGTTAATTCTTAGGAATTCTAAATCTCTTTATTATTTAAAACTTATTATAAAAGGTAATTATCCTAAAAATAGAATTTAGGTGTTGTTTTTCACTTCATATTTTAGTGAGATTATATCATTGTTATAAATGTATAAGGACTCATTACAATAAATGATAATATTTTCATTAATAAAATTAATTGAGAGCACTTTTTCGCCTTTTGGATTAAAGTATACTATATTTTCAGATATAAATATTTCAAATTAACTACTTTAATCAATAATTACAAAATAATCCCTCTTTAAGTAAAAAAAAGAACCAATATACTTATAATTTCCAACCAAATTGTGTAAAATCAATTCAATCTTTCCAGAATTTAAGTAATAATCAAAGATCTTCTACTGACAAAATATTCTTAATTAATCACTATTTTTTATTTGGATTGAGTTGATTTCACCAATTATATCGTTATCAAAATTACTCAAATTAAAGTAGTGTTTTTTCATTGTTAATTTTACTTTTTAAATTTCTACAATATAACAAAAAAATAATAAATTTGTAGTTTCGATTAAGATTAATTTATTATCAACTTCCTAAGAATAGAAAATAGTATTGAATTATGATGTGATCTCTAAAATATCTAATAGTTAGTTATGTAAGTCTATTAGTTTGAAAATTTAAATATTTTGATTCCTACATTCTAATATAAACAAATTCTGTACAATATTATATAAGTTTTAACAATTTTTTTGGCTAAAATTAAAAAAGTCATTCTAAAATTTAATTAATTAATTATTGGATAAATAATTCATAATTTTGTAATTACATTCTATAGTAGATGCTTTAACTAAGCAAATATAAATCTCATTCTATTCATAATTTATAAAAGTCGTAACTTTTGAAACACCTTCAGTTAAAGTATAATGATGGTCACGTTCAATCAAGTTATTTGATATTTTAGAAATAACATTCGAAAACCTTGGATTCGTAATTGAATTATTTTCTGAAATCTGCGATTCTATTATTAATACTCTCCTTGATAAGTAATAATTTTCATTCTCAGTCATTATAATCTCTCTTATTGCTTTTGTTAAAATAAAGCAAGAGAAAATAATAATATTCCACATTATTAAATAACTTAAAAATATAAATTAATTATAATACTAATATAAATAAACCTTCAAATTTCATACTTCAATTATCAATTATAATGGTTATAATAATTATCATATAATATTTATTATAATTAGTTTATATTATTGGAATTATTCTACATGAATTATTTAATCAGAATTTTTAATCTAATTCATTCAATAAATTTAGACATGTTTTCAAACTAATTAATGTTTATTTTGTCTCTTTTCTGGATTTCTAAATAAATTGATTTTCTTGCAGTAATTCATCAACAGAATCCGATTTGTATAATACCCCAATCAATTCTCTCTCGCATAGATTTCTTGATTGATTTACAAGAAATGTAATTATAGTTTTTGGAATAGAATCACAAATATTCTTCTTTACTAAATTGAAATATGAGACGATAAGGTCTTTAATCATATCCATCTCTGTTTATTCTCTTTTACTTGGTCTATCATTTAATTTAATAACATTTGGAACACAAGGCAATTATCTTTTTGGATCGTTAACGTAATACTATTAATTAACATAGGCAATTTTATTTATCACTGATTATTATTGTAATATTTAACTTTCATCTATCTATTCCAGCTTTTTTGGTTTTAAAGTATTCTATTTCCTTTTATTGTTTAAAATATCGAGTTTACTATCGTACAATTCTGTTTGCTTATTATTTTTAAATGGCCAAAAATTTAAAAATTTACCAGATTCACTTTCACTCTAAACAGGTGATTTTTCTCTTATAATTTATTATGGTTATTATCTTTATTCCTCTCTATTAACTAAATCCATTCCAGATACAAAATCTGGGTGACTAGTATTAATATATCCAATCTCAATTTCTAATAGATTTTAAATTATTTCATCTGTTTGAATTAAACATTTATTTAAGAGATTTTCAATAACTTCTTAAATTCTATTGGATAATACATCAAACCTTTCAATTTCAGGTATTGAAATTTGATTGATTACTCTTCTTAATTCTTCAAAAATTATATGAGAACATTCAATGGAAGGCATGCGTAATCTTTAGATTTATTGTCTAACCAATAACTCAAATGCTCCTTAAGGAACAAATAAACTAGGTCTAATTCCATTAGCATTTTTGATAGCTGTTCTTATTTCATCATCGCTTAACACATCAAATGGATTCATTTTTTAAATTGTTCTTCTGAAGGTTTCGTTAAATACATAAATTATTCTTGATCCACCAATCAACTCTTTACTGGTGATATCTAAGCATCTTCCTTCCAACATATCCTTATAAGAGTTGGAAAACTTAGAAATTAAGGTTAATACTAATAAATTCTTTGTTTCTTTAGATTCAAGATTGTCGTAATCACCATATTGTTTTAATTCATATTCCTTCATCTAAGCCAAACTTATTATTGTCTCCCTTATTACAGGTAGTGCTCTCTTAATATGTTAGATAAAATTCATATTTAAGGTCTTTACCAAATAGCCAATACCCATCTTCTCTGAGTATTTCTTATATATTTTGTGACTCTCAAAAAATTCTTTCTCGTCCTTCAATTAATTTTAAATTGTTTTATTTTTTTGTATGTCCTTCTACCCTCTCATGATTACACCAACATAACCTAATTGCAAAGGATAAGTCTGATTGAGCAAATCATTCAATATATCAGATCCTTCATCCATTAAATCTAATTGAGTGATTACACCTATTGTTCTTAAACCATTAGGATCTACACTTCTAGCCAATTTTAACCCATCTGATGTTGCCAAATCATCTGAAGCCTTTGAAACTGCTAAAATCAAACTATTCTAGTTTTTAATGAAGGGCAAAACAATATCCAAAACCTTTTATTCTATGTCTTAGGGTTAATCTCCAACAGGATTCTTTGTAATTCCTGGTAAATCAATCAATTGTAAATTTAAGATATCCTTTGAGAAATATTTCACCTTTATGGCAACTGGGGATATCCCTTTGTTCTTTCCAGCCACTTTGTCCGTCTCCTATTCAATTAATTTTCTGATCTCATCTGACTCAAAAATTTTCTCCCCTCTCTTGTCCATAAACTCAAACCAACTCTATTCAGCATCAATAACTTAATGCAATTATATCTCTATCGGTCTCCTTGTTACAATTCCTTTTCCTCTTGGTAGAAATTCTCTCCCCACAATACTTTCAAGAAGAGATGATTTTCCGACAGATTAGGATCCTATCACTACAATTGATGGCAAATTCAACTCATTACTCAAACCAGCTGAACTTAATATATCCTTGTTGATATCGATATATGAATAGTACATGTAAATCATTTATAAAGGGGATCAATTTCTCCATAATTAAATATTAATTCTTATAAATAAATTATTAAAAACAATTTAAAATCAAAATATTTTGTATTTCTGTTGTGTACTTTTCAAATTCTATATCATTAGTAAAATATTAAAGGTAGTCTTTATCAAATTTTAAATTAAATTTATTGTTTTTAATATAACTTATATGAAGAAGAAAAACCTTAGTATAATCATATATAATAATTCAGTTTATTTATCTAATATTAACAAAACAGAAATATAAATTAATGAAAGGTTTAAATCAATAAACTGAAAAGAAGATTGTAATAATAAAGATAATTCAAAGAGGATTTCTTAAATTTCTATATCCACATTTATATTATTGCAATCTAATATTAAAATTATTTATTTATACAATAGTTCCTGTTAATAAAAAAAATAAATCATTGAGATTAATTTATTCTAACTATCAAATAAACTAAAACGTTTAAGATACTTTTATATAATAAATTTACAGATTTGTCTTCATTAATATAATACAAATCATCTTATCCTTCTTAAGAAAAGTTATTTATATTTTGTAAGATTGATTTACGTTTTCTCAAATTTTAAGGTTTATTATTTCTTACTTAGGTATATTTTAATTATGAATGTTATAATATATTTATTAAATTCCAGAGTATTTGGATATATTTCTATTCAATATTATAATGATGATTTATAAAATAATTATTTCAATCAAAAATTGATGAATAATAATCAACATGTAGATATATAACATCACTTTTTTGAAGTTTTGATTTTTTTTTATGATGTAATTTGAGTCTTCATCTCAAAGAGTGCCTTTCGAGGAGAACTCAATAAATAGACAGAAAACTTATTTTATTCTTTTTTTGAATTTATTTATGGCAATTAAATTTGTTTTTGTGGCTTTGGAGTGTTGATTACCTTCATTGAAGTGCAGGATGATACAAATTATTAGACAGTTTTATTGACATTTGTTAGCATAATACCTTCAGTAAGTTTGCGATTATGCATAGAAAAGTTTTTAGTTTTGATTAATGGAGTCTTAGATTATAGAGGTTTTGATTCTGAGACTTTTTGATTTTATTCATCGCTTGAACTAGTTCTTGATTCGTTGATGATATTTTTAAAACTATTAAATGCAAAACTTGGTGATTTTGTTAGATTGACAAATGAGATCAGAGCTGTTTCATAAGTTTAAGAGTTTTGCGATATTTCCATGATGCTTTTTGAATATTTTAATTCATTATTATAAAAGAACTCATAATTAATTTGTTAATCATCTTTTGTTAAAAGCCTTTTACATTTTGCAATGGCTTCTGATGTTTTAGTATTCACCAATATGGATTTGGTTTTTCGTGATCTATAATTGTTAGTGATGATGATTGTATTGTTTTATGAATCTCCAATATTTAAACTCGTGGAGGTAACATAAGTACCTTTTCTTCTTTGCATTCTTCGTTTCCTCTTTTTACAATGATGAGCCCTTATGTAGGTTTATGGATGCAAAGCATTTTATCTATCTTAGAAGGCACCTACATGTCCACACTCTGAACATCTACAACTTTGTCTTCTGAAGGGTTTATTATTAGATGTTCTTTTTGTGGGAGGCGAGAGAAAACTTCGTTTTTTGTTAACTAATTGTAATAATTCTTATCTACGAGATCTATTCATTATTTATATAAATAAATGGAAACTATTATTAAATACAAAGAATCAAATTAAGAAAATATTGTTATGTTACTACAAAATTAATTATCAAAAAATTCCTTTTAATGTAGATGGAGTATTTTTTCTAGAGTGAAATTGGTGTTTTTGTTATTTTTGTATTAGTTATTCAGATGAAATACTTTTAATGATGGTTCTGGTTGAATTTTTGAATGAAGTTTGAATAATACTATCAACCTGATTTCTAGATGTAATGTTACTAAAATATGGAGATTGGTGGTGTAAGGAAGTTGGACTGAATTCAGTTTAAGGAGTGATTTTAATTTGTGAAGAAAAACGGGAGGATTTTTGTTCATCATTTTTTGAAAATCGTAATGGTTAAATTGTGGTAAAGGAGTTGATTGCTATTTTATGAATTTTGGGTAATTTCTATTAATGATCTAATGTAATGTTAGTAAAAGAATACCTTTTTCATATAATTTCTATTATAGATAAACTCTGATTGATTATCTTTGTTTATGTTTGCTGTCAATAATTTTGGCTTGAATTGATTGCATATGCTGATTTCTATAATTTTATTTGTCATCATGTTTTTCATTTTGGACCTGTTATTGTTATGTAGGTATGATCGGAGAAGCATCAAAATTGATTTTGGTTTTAAATCTATACATTTTTTTCTGTTTTTCTTTTTTCTTTGTTTTCTTCTATTTATCTATTAAATAGATAATGCAATAGACAGCATTTTAGAATCTTTTAAGTAATCTGAAGTTTCTAAGAATGGACATTTGGGTGTGAAAAACAGTAAATTTCTTTTAAAGACTCTTAACTTTTTTATTGGCTTTACCACATTGAGAACAACAACAACTCTCATTAACATTAAATTAAGAGTTCCGTGAAGTTTCCGAACTACTTTAGTCTGGGAGGTTACTACCTATCCAAAGAATTTAAATCGAGATTGTTGAAAGACTTGGACATATGATCTGAATTGGAAGGGTGTATGGGTTTGGAATAATATGGTGTGTTTAGATGATTTAGATGTGCCATGAGACCGGTAACTCTTTGAAGACAATATGCTTGCAAGGTGTCATGATGATCCATGAATATTAATTATTATTAATTTTGATATCTTAATTCGTAAACAAAATATATGCTATAATATATCATAATCATAGATAAATGTTCCATAAGCATACAGTTCCATCATAACTAGTTGTAATAACTTATTTTTGATCACTTGTCCAAGCAACTTTCGAAACTCCAGAAGAATGTCCTAAATATTTACCCAATATCGATTGAGTTAATATAGAAATCAAAATTAACTAACATAATTGATTATCAGTTACCTCCCCAGAATCTGACCCCGTAGCCAAGATCTTGCCATCAGGACTAATGGCAATTGAATTCAATTTCGTAACGTCGATGGATTAGACTGGCTCAACAATGTCGATATCCCAAAATTAAATGGGCATATTAATACCACAAGTGACTAACATTTAATAAGGAATGAGAATTACTTAGTTCTAACTCATTGTCCTTTCTTTAAGTCATATCAAGAAGAACTCCATTTCTAGATTAATGTTGAATAACCTTTTTGTCTGTTTTGAGATCATAAGTGTAAATGGTTTTATCAGCTGAGCATGAATGTATAAGATTAGGTTTCATAAGATCTGGGAATACTTTTGTTATTTCTTTCGAATGGATAGATATTTGAGTAATTAATTATCTAGCTGTCTTTGACCAAACTCTAATAATACTATCCTCACCACCAGAGAGATAATAATTTTGATCACTATACAAACTAGTCACAGCTCCTTTGTGAGCATTAACAATCTCCCATTTAATTGGAGATACTGGTTTATTAGTTATCATATATGCTCTAATAAATCCATCTCTCCACCCAGAGACAACAGTCCTATCAGGATCCAAATACACAGATGACCCCTTGACTCTGTTCATGTTTATTGGAATACATCTAGTAATTACAAGCATTTCATTCATATCCCATACCATAACTACACCTTCATAATCTATGGAAACAAAGAGATCACATGCATTTAAAGGCACTGATAAACCAACAACACTAGATAAGTGTCCTTCAGTATGAACAACCGAATCTAGATTTGCAGTGTTGATTCTATAGATTCTACCATTGGATGTTCCTGCCAATAATTCATTGCCATTTGGATCAGTTGTAATTGAATTCATCCTGCCTTCTAGACAGATTTCTCTTTCTAAATTCCATCTAGTATCACTTCCAGTCAACTTCTTCACTTTTCCATCTCCTGAACCAACAAACAGATTCCTACCAAATATATTTATACTCAAAACTCCATTATTACTCACTGGTATTGTTGCTTTGAATATTCCTCCTTGTTATGATGATATACTGAAAATACAGATTTCACCAGCATGAGTTCCTACATATAAATAATCCCCATTTTAATCAATTACTGCTTTAGTGTAATTCCTTACTAAACCACTACTAGGTAATTGACATGGAGCTTATTTGAGTTGATATTGCATAGAAGCGACATCAAAATCCATTGTATTTAAGAAGATGTTGGAACCTTGAGAAGTGACAATTAAATATTAAGAATGTTTAGTTGATGATCTTCTTGGAGGACACCAAGTAATCAGATTTATTGGAACTTCCAATAACTTATTATGAACAATGGTATAATCTTGGCAATTCCATATTATTAGATTATTGTTAGAGGCAGTGGCTGCTAAGAATTTATCATCGCTTGAAAAGGAAAGATTTGTAATTTCATCTCTCAAACCTCTAAATATTTGCATTGGTTTTCTTGCGTTGAAATCCCATAGTATGACTGGTGCTTCTGGTGTCTTAGCATTTCTAGATCCCATTTATCCAGATGCTATGTATCTGCCAGTCTTCGATAATGTCAATGCACTAATGTCCATATCATGTCCTCTCAAAAACAATTGTTAATGTTTGTCATTCAAGTTCTCTATTACAATCAACCCTGCCAATGCATAGACTATTGTCGACTCCTTTTGAGGATGCAAGTGAATCACATCGCGATATCTCCCAGAAAATCCATTCATGTGATCTAATTCTATTGCATCGCTCTATAGAGGCAGTTTCTATCCTGCCTCTGGCATACTCTGCTATACAACTTATGGAAGAGTTTAATTATAATAAGGATTCTGGTACTGTTACGGATTTTGAGTGTATTATATGGGAGGCTATGGGTAAGGTTGCTTGTAATAGGGTTGTTAATTCCCTCTTTATGCATAATCTATTGGAGTATTCGTTATTGGATTTATTCCATTCTTATTCTGATGGCCTGGTTAAGGTCGTAAATTCATAATTTAAATTATTATTTCTTTTTTCAATTATATATGTATAATAGTATATGTATAAAATACTACTAATTAATGAAAATTTTAATTTCATTTATGTCATATCTCATACATAAAATTCGATATGCCTTTGCTATTTAAAGAATACCGAATGGGACTCATTTAATTGTTGGATTGGGAAACCCAGGCAAAATTTATGAAAATACCAGACATAATGCAGGCCAATTGTTCATTAAACATCTTGCTAAAGAGTTTAACATAAAAATGAGTGATGGATAAAATGGGGCTATTGGGTCATTTCAACACATTATCTTGTTCAATCCTCTTTCCTTCATGAATTCAAGTGGTCATCCAATCAAAAAAATTGCAGACAAAGCCAATATTCAAACTAGCAATATTATCATTGTTCATGATGACTTGGACAATTTACCAGGAAGGTGTAAGATAAAGCAAGGAGGAAGTGCAGAGGGACATAATGGTTTGAAATCCATTATTTAATATATGGATGATAAATTCATTAGATTAAAAATTGGAATCGGAAGACCTAATTCAAAAGACCCTGCAATTGTAAGTGATTATGTGATGAGCAAATTAGATTACGAACCATCATAACAAGCATTCAAATAAGGAATCGTGCTTGTACGACAACTCTTTAAATTTTGATGATCATCTATCATTATAAGGTCATGCATCATTCAATATAATTGGTTTCATCTAATAAAGTGTTGAATTCTGAATCTGTCAAAATATCCGAATTCTGACATTTTTCTTATCTCTATCTTGCATTCTTTCCCATTCTTCCAGATTCTCCTTTACTACGATTCAAGCCCAAACCGATCATCAAAAATATCATGCTTACTATGAATATAGTGATTGCTTCCATCAAAAGATCGTTTTTTAACATTTTTTTATTTTTATAATACTCATTATCAAATTCAATATAATAATATAACAAGTTATTATCTCTAACTTTTAACTTATTTTTCAATACATATATAGAAGTATTTTTTATGCTTTAAGAAATTTAATCATTATATTCTGTATTCCAAAGATTTTGTTAAAAGACTTATCTCGATTTGGAACAGTTAATACTTTTAGCATAATTTCATTATATAGAATTCAGTACTTTTCAACTTCTATAACAAATTATTTAGTTATTTTATAGTCTTATTTATCCTGATAGAATTATTATTTCTGAAATCATTTACAGAATTATATAATCACACATAATTATTGAAGTGTTCTCTTATATGTGATATTTAGTGTAAACACAAATTCATTTATTAAATTGGTTTTTGATTTAATTTAATATCATGTGATATTTTTTCATTAAAAATGAAGAGACCAGAGAAAATAGAATATTTGAATATTTTAATTATTATATGAATAGATAATTTGAAGTCATGGGTTTGTAACAGGTGAATCAACACTTACTATGTTCAATTTGCAGGGAAGTATTTTATAATCCAATCAGAGCAACATGTGGGTATAATTAGATTCAAATTATAGACATACATTTTGTGGTACTTGTTTGGTTCGTTGGATACAATAGAAGAAGAGTTGTCCACTCTGTAGACATCACTTAGAACGCAATTATAAATTCGATAAGGATATTTTAGCAACCAAAATAGTTGGAGATGTTAAGGTCAAATGTTTGAGGTGTTAATAATGGAATGGAACATTGGCAGCATTCAAATAACACAAGAAAACATAATGCAAATTTGTTCAAAAAAATAATGAAATACCATAAAATGCAATTGAAATAGGAGATGATAATGATATCACATTTCCATTTATTATTATTGATACTCGGAAAATAGTTAAGACTGCTAACCATCCTATTCTAGTATAAATAGATGAACAAAATAACAAACAACGTGATGATCTATTTATAAGTTAAATAAGATAGAGTAACCATTTTTAGAATGACAATCCTCAAGTAGAAATCAACCCTTATGTTATAAGTGATTAATCAAATCATATAATAATTGAAACTCAAGATAATGTATTGCTAGAATAATCTAGCTAGTAATAATAAATATTTATCTGCCCAAATAATGAGTTATATATAGATGTAGAAAATTTAAATAATTAGAATAACTAAACGGATATAAAAGATTTATAAATTATTATTAATGAATAATAAGGGAATCTTTGCAAAAAGCCAGAAGACATAATTTAAATATAACAAAATTAATAGATGCAACATCCAAATTAATCAGAAATTGAAATCTTGGAACCTTCTTTAAGAATACTAAATAGTAGAGAAATCAAGGAATTAAAATCTAAGAGAAAATTTAAAATAAATATTCTAAAAAATGCTGTGACAATAGTTGAACCCCTAATTGATTCGATGAATGATGATTAATTCAATGAGTTTATAGATCATATGAAAAAAGAAATGACGAATAAACTTAATGAACTTTTAAATACTTCTATTTTATGATAATTCTTGTTATTATGTATCTCATTTTAAATAGTTGTTAATATACTATGCGCAGTTCCTTCCTGGTGCACCCATCACTCCTCCACCAGGGTGAGTTCCAGAACCGCATAAGAATAGCCCATTGATAGGAGTTCCATAACTATTATACCCATTGCTTGGTCGATTTCCATACAATTTATCCAAAGTCAAAGCCCCATGGAAAATATTGCCTTCAGTCATATTAAGAAGTTACTCAATTTCCTAAGGTGTAACCATATCTGTATAGAGTATGGACTTCCTATTAAAATGAGAACAATAGCTACTTAAAATTTGGAGCATATTAAGAAATGTAATCAATGACTTACTCCTTCAATTATTTTTTGATTTAATCATTCCAATTGGCCTTATAAGGAGTATATTAGACAAGACATTGTACAATGTGTTATCCCTACGGAGCAATTGTTTTGTCATGAGCAGTAGGAACAACTAAATCCACGAATAAATTATCACTAAAAGACCTATAAGGCGAATGATCGATTAATCATACTTTCCATTTATGCAATCTTAGTATGCTTATCTCAATGTGTCTAGCCTTTCGCATCCTAAATGAGTTGTACCAATTAAGACAGATTCAGGTTTTTCATATTTGGTTCCCTCAAAACATTTAAATTTAGGCATTTCAGATACAGCAAAATTAAATTTAGTGCAAGCTCCATTATATTCCATATGTTTAACATCACTGAAATATTTAGGGTTCTTAGCTTTTTGGTCAGGTGATAACAATTTTTCGAAAGTGATTCTGGGAGTTACACTGCTTATGATGGTATCACTATAATAAGTGTTATTATCTGAGCATTTCACACCAGTGACTTAATTATTAGAAGTGAGTATTTGATCCACACTTATATTGGTCTTGATCTCGACTCCTTTCTGCTCATTCAATTTAGTTAGGATCTTAGATATGGATCCCATTCCACCTTCTACAAACGCCCATTCTCCCTTCGAATTTGGGAATATCTCACCCATCACATGATGCAATAAGATATAGGCGCTGGCTGGAGTGTCTATAGATATCATTTCACCTATGATGCCATCGGTTATGAGTGTTCCCTTTAGAATATCAGATTCGAACCATTTATTTAAGAATTAACTTGACGATTATGACATAAATTAAATGTAATCGTATATCTAATTAAATATAAATGCAAGATATACTTTATCTTTGTTTTTCCATCCATCTTGACCCATCCTTAACAATAATCCAAGATCATCAAAGCTTTTCTTGATGTTGTATCCTTTGCCTCTGGCGGATGTGTCATATGGATATTTATCCTAATAATAACTCCACAAATCTATAATTTCTGAGAGGAATTGGTTGTACTCATCATAGACTTCACTGTCTCTTTTGGAGAACTTGGCTATCTCTTGTTTGCAAAAAGTTGAATCTGAGTTCATCAACAGGTATTCGCCCTTGTTCTTGGTTACTGTAATACTGGAGATGGGTCTTCTAAAGAGTTTCAAGCCATGTGAATATAGATTCAATTCATTGATTACTGACGGACGCATCAACGATAGCAAATACGAGAATCGACTAAATTTAAATCCGGGATAGACTTCTTCAGTTTAAGCAGCTCCTCCGGTTACGTGTCGTCTTTCTAGGAGCAAGATGTTTTTATGTTTTAGATAGCATGCTGCCACAAGTGCATTGTGACCACCGCCTATAATGATAGCATCATATTTTTTCATATTTAATAAAATCAATTTATTGAGAATGTCTTGTTTAAGAAAATAAAGTGTTTCGTTTAGTGATCAGTTTGGGCACTGAGCTTTTCTTATAGAAACTCAATTGTGAATTCGACTATTATGTTTTAATGGCTCCTATCACAGAACTTGTTCTAACAGATTTACGATTGTTAAGATAAATAGAGTGTTAAGGACATATATTGTATGATCGTTCAGCACTAGTCTCAGTTCTCGTTGATTGTTATGTTTTGAATCGAATCGGTTTTATTTGTCTTCTCCTCTGGCTGACTCTATTCTGAGCTTAGATAATATAATTTTTGATTGTCTCCCCAATCTTAGTATTCCTATGGACTGCGTAATTGTAAACTGTCTTGCTTTTTTCATTTGACAACTTAGCTATGTTGATTTGATACTTATTATCAATGTCAGGTATCATGGTCTAATTTCTGGAGGACTATCATTACATTCCTCATCAAATTTTGTTACGCACTAATCACTCTTTGCATTCTCTAGTAATTCAACCACTTTCGAATCATTTCTTAATCCATAATATTTACTATATTTGTATAATCAAAAAAATAATGATAATATCAATGATAACAATATTGAGAAACCATGAAATGAGAGATGGAAATATACATTATTCAAGAGTGGATTTATAAGGAAACCTAAATTGTGAAGCTGAAATTCAGTTATTTGTTGATAATATTAGATAAATCCTTTATAAAGATATATTCAAAATACTTATTTGTACAATCTATTACTATGAATTATAATAACTTATTTGATAAATGAATTATAAATATTATAATTAACATTTCTTATAAATCTTTCATCCTATCTTGATTAACTAACAATTATTGGCTATAACTAACTAAAATAGAAAGAATATCAATTGAATATTTCTTTGAAAGAATTGTTAATTATTGTATATGAACAAATAACACAAATTTATAATAAAAATGATTAAAGGGAAATCTGAATAATTATCAATGAATATTGTAGAAAATATTAAGTTAATCAATTATACTTTGTAAATTCTAATATAATTTCAACAAATATATGTTTTTTCAATTTAATTACAAATAATTATTGATCATTAGAATCATTTAACTTCATATCTAAAAATCAAACTAATAAAATTAGCAAAGCAAATTATTCATGTCTAAACTTAGTAAGTTTGGCACAATATCAATTTCAAATGATTTCATCATTCACAGTAAAGAATATACTTTTATTATTTTTTTAATCCAAATAAATGGGTTCTTGTAGTTCTAATGTTCGTAAGAAGGTTCAAAAGAATTCAGAGGTCAGGTAATTCAGTTAACAAGATATTCGTCATTTTTATAAATTGGGATAAGTGATAGGTCGTGGCAATTTTGGAACAGTTTAACTTGGTTACAAGGTAGAATAGGAGCGGAAAGGATTCAAAGCAAAGTGCTTTGCCATAAAATGCATAGATAAGGAGAGAATAGGCTTAGAGTAGATCTAAAGAGAGCTGGAGATATTATCAAGACTTGATCACCCAAACATAATTAGAGTTTATGAGGAATACGAAGATTTAAATCACTTCTACTTTGTGATGGAGTACTGCAAAGGTGGAGAACTCTTGTAATATATCTTAAAGCATGGAGCCTAAAGTGAAAGAATGACGTAAGTAATCATGAGATAATTATTTTCTGCTGTGGGATATCTCCACGAGAGAGGTATTATACATAGAGATTTAAAACCTGAGAATTTGATGATGGCAAATGCGGAAGGGGAGTTTGACATAAGAATTATTGACTTTGGGTTGAGTAAGCGCGAACAAGTTATAAAAAAGCCATCGCAATAGAGATCCAAGTGTAGACATTAAACCAAAGTTGGGACTCCTATTTACGTGGCTCCAGAGGTGTTAAAGGGAGTGTACTCAGAGACATGTGATGAATGGTCTTTAGGTTGCATTATGTATGCACTTTTATTCGCTGAACCTCCATTTAGTGGATAGAATATTCATTAATTGGAATAATAAATAAATAAACCTCATCTAAAGTTCAAATTAGGTATCTCATCGGAGTGCTAGGACCTAATTACTAAACTATTGGAACCAAATCCAAACAAGAGGATAACATGTTTGTAAGCTCTCAAGCATCCATGGATGATACGGGATTAGAATTAGTGCAGACTTTTGACTACAATGTAAAGTGAAGAAAACAGTTTAGAGATAGAGAGAATTATTGAATTGCTGAGACAATATAGTGAGAGTACTTAATTTAAGAAGGAGGCATTGAGAATTCTATTATCACAATTAACCGATTAGTAATAGAACTATTTAAAACTGAAATTTGAGGAATTGGATAGGGATAACAGTGGAACTATAAATGAAGCAGAATTTCTGGAGTATCTTGAGTAACAAGGGAAGAGTAAATTATTTAAGTAATTGCCAATGGAGAAGTTTAGTAAAAATGATTAGGGGTGCTATATTTCGTATACGGATTTTATGGCTGCTCTACTGAATCAGCCATTTTATTTAACTTAGGATAGATTGGACAATCTATTCTTTTGGTATGATATTAAGCACAGACAATATATATCAAAGACTGACTATAGGATTGCAATGAGCAGGAGGGGAGTAGTGATTAGTTTGGAGAAGACAGATGGGATATTTTTAGGAATTGAATTTGGGATTGATTAAATATGATCAATTTAAACATGTCATGACTTTCAATTCCATCAAGTAGAAGACTCGAAGCACAGGGGAGAACAAATAGAGGAATGGATTAAAGTTTGAGAAGATGGTACCATGTGTCGGAGATGATTGTAAATTTTTATGATTTTTTATTAATTATATAAAAAACGGGTATGAATAGAATTGGATTTGGATTGTTATGTATAATGTTGGTGACAGCCAGCAGCAATGTGATGTTACAGACAGCAGATCATAGTGCATTCAGTGAAGTGTTTAAAACTTATGTAATGATTGTTGGTTTACAAGGAAACAGTCAAAATAAAGTGAATTCGGAGGTAGATTATTTGGAGAGTTATTGGTGATGGTTCAGAAGGGTGAAACATTGTAGAGTCTAAATGATCACGTTGAAGAGTTGAGAAAGCATTTGTCAGATGATGAATCAGAAGATGAGAAATATTTCAATGAAAAATAACAGGAAATGGAGGCTTCATTTTCTGGCTTGGCAACTGAAGTTGAAGAGTTAAGAGTATCAGTAGAACAAGCAGCAAGTAAAATTCAAGTGTTGAATAAATAATAAACTATCATTGATGGGTTATTTGCAAATGATCAACAAGCATATTAAAAGAGAGTCGGTGATCAAAATGCTATTTTGGATGTCATAGGATAATTGTTAGTACGTGTTAGTGAATTACAATAAGGAGGAGGACACAGTTTGATTGAGAAGGACAACTTATTGGATGAAATCAAGGCTTTAGGAAGAGGAAAGCATGTGGAAGTCTTGGCTTAAGTAATTAATCATTATCTATATGTAAATAGATTACAGCTCATTTACAAACTGAATAGGTTGAACACATTTAAGAATTGTTGAATAGATTGAGAGATGCAGTCTTAAACAGTTTAGCTATTGATGAAGAGAAGGAATAAGAAAATATTAGATTATACAATAAGTTGAGTGGAGAAATCAGAAGGTAATGTTAATACATGATATTTTTAAGTTCATTGGCTTAAAGTACTAGATCATTTTAAGAATTGGAGGCTCACTTTGATTAAAAGGAATTTGAATTGAATTCTAAGAAATTGGCAGTTCGTGAAGTAGGAGAGACATTGTAAGACAGAAACGATTAGAGGTGAATAATTATATCATTTGAGTAGATAGTTTATATTGGATAGAGTCTAAGAGGCATAAAAATTATTGAATGATAATTTGGATAGAATTGCGAGATGGTCAGTTGAAAGCGAATGAAAATGAATTTGGAAATTTAATAATTTTTAATTTAATAAATAATGAACGCAGTGTTATCAAAGCTTGATCCATTAATTACAAAATTTGGACTTGATAATACAGATCAGATTGAAATACTCAAAGGACCATGCAGTAAAATCGGAGTTAGACCTGCTTATGTGGTCTTTGTTTTTGGTTCTGTTGCACTTTTCAGCATATTGTTTGGAATTGCAGCACGTTTTCTCTCCACATTCATTTCCATCCTTTACCCAGCCTACAGAAGCATTCAAGCTATTGAAACAACAGGTATGTTATTCCCCCTTATTGTAGGTGAATCTGACGACAAATAATGGTTGACCTATTGGATTCTATTTTCGATCATCACTTTGACAGATGCCACCATTGGATTTGCATTAGAATTCATTCCCTTCTACCACATCTTGAAATTGGCACTCTTTGTTGCTTTATTCCATCCACAAGTTAAAGGAGCTGAGAAATTGTATGACAAGGTAATGGTTTATTGAGATTATGTTTTAGTTTGTACATCCCCTTTATTTGCAATATCATGAGAAAATCGACAAGGGTTTCCAAAAGGTTTAAGACAAAGTTAAGTAACAAGTCAATGACAGATTTTAAAATTGATATATTATGGCCACGTATAAATATAAATTTGTAATCATTTGAATGTTCCAGTGGCTCTCATTCTGCATTCGCCAAGTGATTGAGTAAGATATTTGATTTCTTTTCGTTGTTGATTGTATTTAAATACAATGGTCTAACGTAAAAATGATTCCTCAACTTAATGAAAGTCAAAGTGAATCATGTGGACACTTCTAAATTCTGTTGTCTGATTGATTTCCAAACGAGCAGAGCCATCCAGCATTACTTGGAAGATGGCTCCATACCTAAATTAATAGATATTGATCATAAATACCCATTGTAGTTTTATTCAACTTTATTTAAAGTAGCAATTGTTATCTAAGCATAATCCTTAAATGGCATTTGCAAATTTTACAATGCTTTGATCTAAGTGAAACCATTAACTGTGGCTTCATGATGAAATAAAAAGAACAGATCCTTTTCTGAACTAATTTCGATTTTGATTGATTAGGGATTACTATCAATTCCCCTTAATAAAACATTATCCTTACTAGTTGTAAGACTCGGAGACGAATAGGTTCTGGTTAACTAAGTTCCTGGACTTCGGAGAATCGATCTTAGAATCGAATATTAATGTTTAAAATGCGATCGTAAAGGATTTTGTGTCCATCCTTTAAGGCTGGATCCAAGTAATCGATTTCAGCAAAGTCTATTGGATTCATTTGCATAGAATTCAACCATGAGGTGCCTGATTTCATATTGTATTTTGAAATTATTTAAAACAGTTAATAAATATGAATTAATTAGTTTAAGTCATTCTATTTTTGAATTGTACAAAAGTGTTCCGAGAAGAGGATTCACCCGTTTTCAACAAAATAGTGGTAAGTTGTCTGATCAAGTGTAGTACAACATCCGGAACAACCAGTACTCTCAGATGTCAGAATTGCAGAGCGACTTAGCAGAGTATCTAAGTTCTTGCGAGAATGCTGAGATCAAGGAGAGAGTGAACTACGAATTAAGGAGATTGGGATTAATTTGAGAGAGAATATTTAATATATATATATATTTAATATACAAATAATTATGTAAGACTCTGATAGCGAATCCTAACTGCTTTATCAATCGATTGCTGAACAGTAATATGATGTGGAAGATAAGCAAGTCATGGTGAGTAGTCTTACAGATATGGCTGAAGCATAAGATGAATCTATTCAAATTAATTTTGATAGAGAAATGATCTCAAAATTGGAAGAGGAAATTGTGTTATTGCAGAGAAAGAATATATATCTCACTGATTAATTGAAGGATAGGGACAACTAAATCTCCCTACTCAAAGAGAAATTGCAAAAGCAAACTGCTATTAATGACACTCATCAAATTGCTGAAGTATAACTAAAATAATAAATTGAAGAATTAAAGATAAAAATTACAGAACTTCATTATCAAAAGGCCATGAGTCAAACAAAAGTTCAAACTATCCCTAAAATTAATTTAGATTTTAGTTGGGTTAATCATATTGAAAGAGATCATTCTCATGATGGGTTGTTAGAACGATATGATCAGATGAAAGTTGCTAAGCGACTTGCACCTATCCAAATTAAACAGCCTAATTAAATACAGCATAGTCCCTATTTCGAACAGTTATCTGAAAGGAAACCTATCACATAAAGAAAACGTCCTAATAATTAATGATTTTTATGTTATCTATATTTACTTTGTGTTATGATCCACATGTTTAATAATAGTCATTACATTAATTCATTTACTACTAAATTGTCATCCCTTAACTAAATTTTAAATTGAATCAGTACAATGAGTATAAAACTAAATACACAACAAATAATATTCCATTTGAATTACAGTAGGTTTTCAGAAAATGTTAGAATAAGGAATTCTACAGGTTCTCTTCTTTAGAAAAACTGATAAATATTGTATATTCTTTATAGTAGTACAAAAATGAATTAATTTCCAAGAAAAGTATTAATATCTCTACTTTTTTGATGATGACAATATAATTAATATGATCACTCTTACCAACCATTTTAGGTATTCTTAAAATAGCCTAAATGTTAGGAGAGATACTCTTAATAAACTGTGTTTATTTTAATATTTTGTTTTGATTTAATATATTATAATTATTCACGTAGCCTACTCAACCTGGTCTAGCCCAATTCTTAGCAGGTGGTAATTCTCTTAATGACAATTTATCATAAGGAGTGTTACGACTATAATATAGCTTATATTTTTTACGGCTCATTAGAATCTTTCTTTACTACAGTGTTCCATGAGGAAATCTAATATCCTTACCAGCCATAAGCAATGAAAATGAAGAAAACCCAAGGCAAGATTCTAGTATTCATTACTGGAGTATGAATATTGAATATTCCATTTCTTTCGAATGAGGTTGTTCTTCTAAACCAAGCCATTGTTGCTGGAGTTCTTTCTTTACTTATCAATCAACAATCTTACATGTTCTAGCAGTCCTCAATACCAATCCTTCAATATTTTAAGGGATCTCAGGTTGTACTTCAAACTTCCCAACATTAGCAGCCAAGAAATCACTTTTCTCTTTAAATATCAATCATATTCATACATTATTGTAATTGTCCGAATTCTGGGCCAACCTTATCATACTTATTAGTAAACAGAGGATCAAATTTACCAAAGGTCTTGGTCTCAGGTATGAAATTGCTCATTATTTTTATTAATCAAAATTCTTTATATTTTAGATACTAATTGTTAATATTTGATAATTCATTATTAATTACTCTTTCTAACTACCTACTAAACTATATAAAGCATAATACATTGCTAATATAGTCTTATAAATTACTTGACCATATCTTTTGTTTAATAAACAATTGAAAAACACACTTATATTCTGGTAATTTAAAATTTGAATATATGAAAGTGTTGTTAATCATTCTATTTGAAAATTTTTCAATGTAATAATAATTATATTTGTATTTATTTCATTTGTTAAATTGTTGATTATGATGAAGAACAAATTAAAGGTATGTTAAGTGTCTAATAAAAAGGTTCAATAAGAGAATATAATAGGGGGAGGGGGAAGAAAAAATGAAAAACGGATGCTTAATATAAATATGATTTCAATAGCTTCTAATAAATACAATATTGAGAATAGAGTTTAGACTTTAGTTTTCATTCAAGCATATTTATGAGTTGGATGATCAAGATTTCATGCAATTGGGCATAATGTCATACAATTATATATTAAGGAGAGTTCTTATTTTTATCCTTTGAAAAATATTTGTATATATCTTGTTTGGAATATAATAATACTTGTTTAACGAAATAAAATCTTATGCACATGGAGAAAGAAATGAAGAAATATAGAATTGAATCTTTCTAATTTTTATGATGAAAAATATCTCTTCTCTATTTTTAAGTCAAAAAGTATTAATCATACTATAATATGAATATGATTTTTAATTTTTATAAGTAATATGTTTGTGGAGTTGTTAACGGCAAAAGAATAATATGGTAATTTTATTTTTTGTTATCAGTTAGAAAACAAAGCGATGAAGTCATGTAGATAGTCAATACTTTACTATCCTTCTTGTTAAATATCAAGGTACTAGTGATTGTGGAGTTGTTTAGCATTTTATAAAGTTTATTTTGCTATTATCATTTGGGTTTCAAATTTTGTAGAAGAGATAATTTTAAGAGGAAATTCATTTGATTTGCAAGGATGATTATAAGTTAATTTATAATCTCAAATAATAGATTATATATAATATGGATTTAAATGTATAATTCTTTATATTCTGAATAACAAATTAATTAAATCTTATATAAGAATTTATTTTAATTTTATTTATATTGCATCAGTTTGGATTTTGATCACAGAAAACAGTGTGGCTTGAGCCGTTCATTCTGGTGGGTTAGGAAATGAGACAGAATTGGGAGTTACAGAGTCTTTTATTGGGTGGAGGTAAAATGAAGAAGGAGGGAGACTCCTGGTAGAATGGGATTAAGTAGAAAACAATATTAAGGTGTGGATTTTATTAAAAATAATTTATGTTGATAATCATAATTACTTATATAAAAAATTTCAAATGAACAGCTCTGAATCGAATGATTTCTAAAATGGGGAATACAGATTTTAAGAAGATGAGGATTACATTGATTTTGAGGAATTAGGGTAGAATGATATGATGAGATATGAAAATGATTAGGGAAAGTATGAATTATTTTAAAGTGTTTGATAGTATAGAGTTGGTTAACGATAGGAATCAAATTGAAGAGGATATGAATTAGAGTGAGATGTTGAAGGCATCTTCAACTGTTTGCATGAGGGTAGATGAATCGGATGAGTCAGAAGAGGAATCTTAACTTCAAGGAACGTAAGTTATTATAGTATTATTATATACAGTCAGTCAAGAACCTGTAATTCTGGGACATTGTAGAAATCGATAAGGAAGAGGAATAGGAATAAAGAGGAACCTGTAAGATATGAATCATTAATAGTATGTTGTAGAAGAGGAAGATTAAGAAGTGGAGTGAGGAAGAGGATAAGAGTTTGGAAGATTTGTTTCAAATTTATAAGGGAGAATGGGAGATCATAGTGAAATTTTTGGAAGGAAGAACAGTTTCATAATGTAAATAGCACTGGCAACGTTTGAGTGGTGGTTAGGAGAAGAAGAGGAAATGGACAGAGGAGGAAAACCAGATCATATTGTCATTTACAAAGGAGAATCCGTAGTTTAATAATTGGGCTTTGATTGCTTCAAGTATGAAATGTTGATTAAAGAGAGGAATGCAGGGTAGGAATGGGAAACAAATACGAGAGCATTACATGAATCAGTTGCGTCCTGGGATTAAGAATAAGCAGGGTTGGACAGAGGAAGATGACAAGTTGTTGTTAAATTTGTATCAGAGATATGGGAGTAAATGGTGTTAGATAAACAAACATTTTGAGGGAAGAACAGTATGATATTTGTAGTAAATGAAGGAAATAATGTTGAAGAATAGATTCAATAAATTGTAGAAGGGAAACACCTATATTGATCACTTTCTCAATATCGATGATGAACCCCACTAATTCTAATAATCTCACACATTCTCCTTTAATTGATTATATTTAATAATTATTTATACAAATGGGATCAATTTGTTAATCGCATTCCTGTGCAATTGAATACACAACTCAATTGAGCACAAGTGTTAACTTTCTCAAACCACTCATTGATCATCAATAGGATGACGAGGTAATAGAGGAATCCTTATCCCCTACTGATTTTGAAAAGGAGTTTACTACCACTAAGTCAATGGTGCCTAAATCTCCAGATGTCATGTAAAAATCCCCATCGAGTTCACCTACTCCTAATGATTCAGTTGTTATATAAAAATTTCATGTAACTTCTGACGATTTCGTGAAGTTTCGATATGAGAACGTTGCTGATTCATATTAGATCGAGAGATCACTAGGTTCTGGCAGCTACGGAGAAGTGTTTATTGTCAGAAATAAGTAAACAAGTAAGTTGAAGATCATTAACTTTTAGATTAATTGAGAGCCATGAAACAGATCAAAAGACAATAAAGTTCAATGAGCAAGAAGGCTTTAAGAGAAATGGAGATTCTCTCTAAGTTGGATCATCCATTTATAGTGAAAGCAATAGAAGTATTCTAAGACGAATAAAGTTAGAACATGATTTTGGAGTATTTTTATTAGTTTACATAGGTTGCTTTAAGGAACTGATATCTAGGAAGATATTTAAAACAATCACAGTTTCACAGAAGAGAAGGCTGCCAATATAGGTTATCAATTGCTGTTGGCAATAAGTTACATCCACAATCAGGATGTGGTCCATAGAGACATCAAGCCAGAGAACATTCTATATCAATATAACAATGGGAACACGTACATTAAACTCATTGATTTTGGTATTTCTACTGAAATCAAGAAGAATAGGAAACTGAGTTCCCAATTAGGATCAGTAATAAAATCAAAACTTAAGTTAGATGTACTTTATGGCCCCTGAGATTTTCAGCAAAGACTATGGCAAATAGATTGATATTTGGGCTTGTGGTGTTACTTTGTTCTATATGGTTCATAAAAGATATCCTTTTATGGGGAGGACCAATTAAGAGATGAAAAATGCTATTAAGAGTGGAAAATTCTCGTTTGATAAATATATTAGTCTGGAATTATAATGTCTTTTGTGTAAGATGTTGTAGATTAATCCCAATAAAAGGATCACTGCTTTATAAGCATTACAAGAGGATTGGTTTGTTAAACATAAATTTGCTGGTCAAATCAATCAACAATTGATATTTAAATTAATAAATTATCATTCCACAACTTTATTTGAAGAATTGATATTCTCTCTCATTACTTATTTTTTTCACAATAGCGATGATCATGGCTCAGCCATATAAACTTTTTTGTATCTGGATGCGGATTAGGATGGGTAGATTTCGAAATAGGAATTCAAGAAATCCCTATATTAATTGGATCTTCCCAATTCAAATTAGCAGATCGATGATCTATACGCAACTCTGAATAAGTAATCAGATGATACACTCACTTACAAGGGTATGGTTATCAAATAAGATAGTAGAATTCTTGGCAGCCTCAGTAGCCAGAGATAAAATTTAAACAAAGAAATGCCAGAAGTTTTGTTTTCAATTGATTGATCATGATGAAGATGGCAAGATATCGGAATCAGATTTCTGTCATTTAATGGGTAAGAACCACTCCAATCTTTGGCATCTCCTAAATCCTTCGGATAGTTTATACATAACTGAAGAGGAATTTTATAGCATGTTCAAATCATGAATAGTTACTATTATTTATATTATATATTCTCAAGACTCAAGTCTCATTATGTGGTATTCTACTTTTGGCATAAATAATTAAATTTTTTATTTATGTTTAAACCTAATTTCTCAGGTTAATCCAAATCACTGCCTTAAGATGACTTTGAAAAGTATATCAAGACAACCTTATAGGAAAATTACTACATGACTTGTTTGGATACATGTTTTGCTGATTACTCTACACCTATTTGTATGAAAAATATTTGTATTTCACTTGTAGCAGGACAAGAGAAGGTTTGTTTGGCTAAGTGTCTTGACAGAGCATATGATTCATTACGACTGGTGCAAAAGATCATTGATCCCTTCGACAATATGAAACAGAAGAAGTTTTACTATAAACTAGACGGACAGAATGTGTTAGGTTTGAAGAAGGATTAAATGTTGTGATTATTAATTAATTATGAAAATATTGTTGCTCTTTGTATGTTTTGTGTTTGCTCAAGCTGAGTGCTGTAAGAATGATCATATCACATTGTAGACTATTATCAACTGGGGGCTTAGCATTACTGTCAAGAATGCTGCTACTGGTATGACGGAGAATGGTTCTGCGAAACCTATTAATATTGCTACACTTTTATTGCCATCACAATATCGATCTGGATTGCCATCTGTCTAATATATACTAGCATCTATTTTTATGTTCGAAATAAGACGATGCGGAGAATAGCTATGATCCACAATAGATCAGCTCAAGCCCAGAGAGAAAATAGTGCTATTAACAGTTCAAAAAGAAATGAAATACCTAATGCGACTATCGAAGTGGGAGTGATGGATGTTCAAATATCGAATGATTAATTATGAAACAATATTTTTTATATTTAATGTTGTTGCTATTTATATTCATTGTGCCTCTCTTGGGTTAAACATGTTTCAGCAACAAGGCAGCTGTGGATTGTGGTACTTTGAAGTGTTGCACTCAAGAAGGCTATTGTGCTGTATAAGAGACTGATTGTTATTACAGTGCTGAGAAATGTACAGATTAATAAGATTTCCATTAGACTCATGCGATTATGCTGAATGTGATTATTGTTGTATTTACAATGGAGATACTGTTGAGTGTGGAACCAAAGATCAATGCCTCGCTTGGATATTCATATTGTTGGGTTCTTGGCTCCTATTAACATTAATTGTAACATTTGCAGCTATCAATCGCAAAAGAAACATTGCTACTCGTATGATTGTTATTGCTGAGAAGGCTAAACTGGTTGCATTAGATAACTCAAGAAAATCTATAGTCTCATAAATAATAGGAACAGAAGAATAATACGGCAAAGAATTTTAAGTTAATAAAGATAATTATAATTTGTAATTGTGATTTTGGTTTTGTTTTTCATTCATAAAAATTAGAATTCTATTTTTGTTATTGTAAGATCTTCTCCTTGCATTTCTGCATCTTCTAAAATAACTCATCTTTCGAAGGATTCGCTTTACTCTCTTATACTTTCTCTTATAAGGCTTCAACTACAATTCTCTATGAGATTTTCTCATCCGTTTATAAGAGATCTAAGGTTTTCCTCAATGAATTCAAATCTGTGGATGCTCTTGATGATTTCATTTGTTCAGGAGATTTCGATTTTTAAATAGAGTTCTATTTTTATACATTGTTCTAATTCTAAATAATGTTCGAATTTTAATTGGTGATCTAATTTTAAATAGTGCTCTAAATTTGTAAGGATTGTTTCAATTGTTCTTAAAGTGGTTTCTTTGGTTACACCTACAAAGCAATTGGCTAAAAGTTGATTTGAGGTTTAGCTTGTTCAACTTTTTTAGTTGTGACATTTAATTCTTTTAAAATTTCTATATTTTCTCGATTTTGTTATGATGGCAAGTCATCACTCTTTTCAATAACTGTGTAATTGAGATTCAGAGTCTAATCCATAAATTAGGTATAATTAAGTTGAGATTTGTTGCATCTATTTTGGGTTTCGATTTCTATAAATTGGCTGACATCCAATAATTGTTATTGCAATCTTGATTGTCGCTCGTCATTCAGTTGTTAATTGTCGATGGATTGCAATATCTTAACGAAAACCAATTTAAATATTTTAGATGTGGTTGTAACTAAGATGTAAGACATTTGATATCTCATTTCTGTTAGGACATTATCAATTTAAATATTCTGGAGATAGACTGCACAATAATTTAAATGTTCGAATTTCAAAAATGCGAATGTCAACTAAGCAATCAGACAGACCCAATAGAAAAAATTGAAGAATCCTAACAAATCAAATATTTATTAGATGAATAACAAGGTGAACCTGAAATAATGAATTGAGATTACCATTGGAAAATCAAGACCTCTGCCTTTTGTTGATGGATGATTTGCACTATAGTCTTGGCTGTTAGAAACACAAATAGTACGATTTATACATTGTTCATAATTAATGTTTAGAAATTATTGTTTTTTGGACATTTAATATATTTTTATATTTGCACATATTATGAACACAAAGTAGAACAAACCCATTTATGATACATATTAAGTATGGTATTATGAAGGAATAAAAATAATGCTGATTACTTGTTAATAGTTTACGATTAGAATTTTAATTATAACAGTTAATTTAAAAATCAATGAAGTCGAACAACGAGAACAATTATGTACGAGTGTCATACAACAACTTTGTAACTACACGCAATCGACAATTCGGAAATGAGATCACAAACATACAACGAGTACCAACTCGATCTACATCGCAATTCCTCTGTTCCAAACCCATGTTGAAGATAGAAGAAGAAATTCCTCTTCCTGTTCCTGAATTCGTAAATCCATATGTTGCTGATATCTTCGAATATCTACGTGTCAATCAACATAAATTCATGTGTTAGACTCCCTTCTACATGAATTTACAATTAGACATTACCAATTAAATGCGTTCAATTCTAATTGACTGGCTAGTCGATGTGCATCTCAAATTTAAGTTGTAATCAGAAACCCTCTATATGACCATCAATTTAATTGATCGCTACCTTGCCAAAAATACAATCATGCGAAATAAACTCCAACTTGTCGGAATTGCCTCCCTCTTCATAGCATCCAAATTTGAAGAAATCTATGCTCCTGAACTTAAGGATTTTGTATGCGTTTGTGACAATGCATACACTAAAGAAGAAATACTTGGTATTTATCACCCCTTATTATACCAGAAATGGAAAGCAAAATTTTATTAACAATCTAATTCCACTTGACTTCCACTTCCCCACTCAAATTCCTTGAAAGACAAATTTCTGGAGCCAATCTCTGTGACAAAATCAATTTTGCTTCCAGAATGATTCTAGAATTATCTCTCCTAGACATCAGATGTCTCAAGTATTAATAATCCATCTATCCAGATTTTCATCATCCCTATTAGCTACGACTGCCATACTCTTAGCCATTAATCTACTTCGATCACCATAAGTATTGCCCTCCTCACTTCATTATGTTGACAACCAAGAAGATCTTAGACAGTGTTTATAAGAATTTCTCCCTGTCATCAAATTATTATAAAGCAGTAATATGACTGCAATCAAAAGAAAGTATTCTCTTGACAAATATAATAAAATTGCTGAGCAAATCATGACAATCTTACATAATTAAAAATGAACTATAAACAATTAATATATATGTATACTTATTTATAACCAATATTTTCGAAGTCAAAATTAAATTTAATTTTATCTATTTTTTATAATATATAAAGAATCTGTTTATTTATATTTTATTATCTTTCATTTTTTAAATGTTTTTGAGATAAAATAATTGGTCTATTACTAAATTCTAAGCTTAAATTAATCCTATTTGATACTTGTTTTACAGAAAAGATGATTATTTAATATTACATTGTATTAATCATCCTGATCTCGTCTATTTAATTTTAGTTATAACTCCATCATTTATACATAATTCTGTTTCGAAATGTAGATTTTACGCAATTCTAGAAATTTAACTCTAATTTGGTTAATAGATTTCAACCAACTATTTAATGGTTTTACAGAATAATTATTATTGATCCGAAATTGAAATTACTCTAAATACAATTGTATATTCATTATTAAACTGAATATCTATAGATAAAATATTCAATATATATATATTTTAAAATTTCACAATTACATTAGTTGTGTTTTGAATTTAAAATTTAAAAAGAATTATCAATTGACTATTTCTTATTTAAAACATTTATCTTGAGTATTGATAATACTCCTTTTTTTGATTAATTTAAAGTCCATCTATTATACATAGCCATATCAACAATTATTGCTACTAAGATTACATATACATAATCTAATTGTTAATTCATATTAATATTATTCATTTTTAAAGCAAAGGTCATAATCACTCATTAATTAATTTTAAAATTAAAGATTAATGGATGTGAATGAATGAATTTTTAATCAACAATTTAATATTTATGTTTATTAAATTAAAAATATTAATTTCCCGCTACTTAATTTTATATTGCTCATTGTTAATTTCTTTTCATTTTAAGAATATTCAATCATATTAGCTTGAATTCTTTATGTTGTTGCGCTCTTATTTATATTTTTTCAATTTATCTAAATTGTAATTAAAAATTACCAAAAAGTCTGTAAAATAACTTATAAATAAATATTCTATAGAAAAATAAGTTAGATGAATTAAATTTGTACAAATTGGTTATTTAAGTTTGTTAAATAAAGAATAGCAAAATGACTCTTAGAAAAGTTAAAGAACTTTTGTAATTTTTCTGGAATAACCTAAGTTTGGAATTAATTTATATAAGTCAAAATATTTGAAATTCTCTATTTTATTGAAATTGAGATATTTTCGTATCAGCAAGGGAAATTTGTATTAGAAAGTTCTAGTAGTTCTAAATTTGGAATATCAAGGGAATAAAGATTGTTTTATAATATATTAATTTCTATCGTTAATCATAAATATTGTCAGGTTCATCTAAAAATCAATGAAACTTAAATGTCTAAATATCGGTTGAAATCTCTATGGACATGATTTATATTGAATATTAGATCAGAATAACAAACAATATGTAACATTGAAATTTAAAATCAAAATAAACCTCTTTTCATTGAAGTCTGTTGTGTTTTTCAAACTTATTTCTAAGGTAATCATTCCATAAGTATAGCAAGTCTGTAAAATCAGAGGAATGCTAGCTGAATTTCTTAATCATTAAATTATTTTCTTTTTTCTCAGTATTTTCTATTTTTTAATTATGGAAATCTAAGCTGAATGGAGATTTTTCAGGAGAGTGTTTAGACTTTATATCCTCATCTAGATTATCGACATCACCAATTATTATTAATGGAGAAAGGGAATTTTAATGAAACTACTGCATTTTAATTAATATATATAAATGGAAGAAATTAAAGAAACTTTTATAAAGTCTTTTTATATTAATTACAATATAAATAAATTTGCTATTTTCTAATTAGCACTTTATTTTTATCATCTCAAATCTTGCAATATTTATATAATTAAGCTATTCATTGAATTTATTTAAAAAGTCAAAGCAATATATATATCATTAATTCATATTCAAAACTATTTCGGTTCAAATTTTTTCACTAAGTAGCCATTCCACATATATAATTATTCAGTGAAGTCTTAAGACCGAAACTTTTTTCTTCTTGCTGTATTGTCCCCATCAGAACTCTTCCTTGCTGATTAGATAAATGTATTTGTTTAGGAAGATTGGCTCGATAATTCAAAGTCATCTATAAAATTCACAGGACTATTATCCCCTTCTATAATTAGATGTTTTAAAGGACTCTATGTCAAGTTTTGCATGTTTAATTTTTATTATTAAAATGCATATGGACCACAATCCCATATTTGAATATCAAAATCATTCATTAGAATCTTACAATAACAAAATCTGGGAGAAGGTAATTTTTATTGTAAAAATAAAACTGTAGTGCTTTAGAAATCAGATGATAATCATTTAATAACAAAAATTGTAGTTACAAACTTTTAATTTGTCTTCTGCTCGATAATATTAATTATTATTATATATAGTTCAAGCTTCGTCCTATTTAAAGCGCTGAGTAAAAAAGCCATTTATTTGAAAAAAGTTGTACTAGATAATTGATAAAAATAAGTAGTGCCATCGAATAAAACCGAAATTATTTCAGAAAGAATGATGATATATAATTATTATTTACAAAATCGAAGATGTTAATCCTTTGAATGACAAACATAATATTAAAATTATAATTAGAATAAATTATACGAATATTTATATTTTAACAAAATATTATATATTTATTTTGAATGAATTAATACAATTATAATTTTTGACTATGTATAATGAAGATTTTAAGATTTTTATAACAAATTGAGTTATTATAAATTTTAATATCTCATTTACTATTAAATAAATCTTCTTTATTGTCATAAATTATTAATAATAATAAAGAAATATAAATTATAACAAAAATCAAATATATGAGTTTGTTTGTATATCTTCAAAATATTATCTTTTGATTTCTGTTCTATTAGTTAAATAATAATAAAAATTGCGATAACGAGAAACTGATTTTAAGTGATATTATTAACAAATAAAGAAATACAAAGTGACTTATTAGATTATACTGTGCTTCTTAATTATTTTAAATACTTAAAATTCAATATTTAATTTAGTACTTTTGAAATGTCAGAAGATTCAAATTCAATATTAACAACCATAAAGTACTACAAGAGTATATTAAAATTTCCATCGTTTCCAAAATAATACTCAGAATTAGATGAGACCTAAGAGTAGAATGATCTTTTTTTTTGTAATTCAAAATAGAGAAAGGAGGAAAGTTTAAAGTTATTAAAAGAATGGGCTTAGGATAGAATGGAATTGTTTGAAAGGAATAGAGAAATTGTGGAAGAATTAGCAAATTCATGTGATTACAAAATACGATTATCCGTTGATTTCCTTCAAATAGCTTACAAATTTTTCAATGAGAAATATTTCCATGAACAACAATATGCATAATTTCTTATCACAAAACCTTAACCTGCATTGAAATAAAATCCATTGAATTAATCATTATATTCTACTGTCGGAACTTCAGTCTCAACATTTGAGGAACACAATTTAAAAAGGTTAGAAAAAATTGCTAATTTTGCTCATTCGATTTAAACTGACATACTTAAAGCCAAATCCTTTAGTGAATTGAGTGATATGGATAGAAAATTGGATGTGCTCTTGAGTTCAATAATTACATAGAAAAAATTGTTATAAAATTACATTACATCAGCAGGCTAGAAATTGAACTTAATAATCTAATAATTCCCTCAGCATCAAGTACCTTAAAGATAGAGGAAACCAATATTTGATGACTAGTAATAATAAAATAAAACGGATAAGTAAAATACATAAGCTCAAGGTAATGAAGTTGTTGGAACAGAATGTTTATAAAATCCAGCTGAAAAGGGACTTAATAAATCGATAAAAGAATAAGAAAGATAAATTAGGGAATAATAATTAAAAGATGAGTAAAGTTTAAGTAATGGAAGTGAATTTCAATAAGAAGAATTGTAAGAATAATAAGAATAAAAATAAGAATAACAAGATGAAGCAAAATGTGAAATAATATAGAATAAAGAAGAATAGCCATAACAATTACAAAATTAAGAATAATTTAATGATAGTTAGGAGTAGTCTGTCTAATAGTAATAATAAGAAAAATAGGCATAACATTTTGTAGAGACATTAAATAGTGCAGAAATGTACAAATAATAATAATAATTAAAAGAACGATAAACATTTGATTAAAATAAGTTGAAATCAAAAAATTACTAATCTTAAGGACAACCAAATATCTAGTAATAAATTAAGAATGAAGATGATGGAAAAAAGTAATAAAATCAATAAGTGGATGTGTATAGACTTATAGTTAGTTTTGTGGCCACTCAATAATATGCTAATAAATTATTAAATTAATTGGTAGAAAAGGTTATCTCATATTGGAAATAAGTCATTGCAATTGAATAAACAAGAGCATAATGGGCTAAAGATTCATGTTAGATTTATAAAAATGGCATAGCAGAAGTTCATAATTTATAAGTAGAATTACCAGAATTGAAAATCGATGTTGAAGATCATTACAAATTAAAGAAATTATTACCAAAAGAGATGTCATAATTTGAAGATGGAAATGAGGAGGATTTTCTTCAAACTTTAGTTATCAAAGAACTGGGATGCCAAGCAGCAAGGTTATTATTGATTAAGGAATTTAAAGTAAATGTTATAGATAAAACTAATGAAATATAAGCTATCCTAGTGCTAACTATTGATAAATATGTTGGTTGTTGGTTTAAGCATGATGAAACAGTAGAAGGTATTTATTATTTTGAGTTAAAGCTATTGATAATCCTGTTCTTCATTATCCTATTAATGGTATGGCAATACAGAAAGTTAACGAATTAGTGTTGGATATCATGCCCTCAAGACACTTATTGTTTTTGAATGTAATATTAATATATTCAAATCTAGATTGCAAATGATAGACAGAAAAGTAGGATTAAATTCCAAACAGCAGACGATATGGAAGAATTTTGTACGATATCATAAGCAAAGGTTTGATTATAATGAGTGTTATATATGATAGATATTTTTATTATAAATTAAATTTGTTATGAAGAATATCTTTTACAATTAATCGGAAAGTAAAGAACAAATGAATTAAATGAAAATACTTCTATATTATTATTTTATTGATAATTTATCATTGTTAATCATTTAATAATAGCTTTTCAATTTATTTCAAAGATCGTATCATAAAATTCAAATTCATAACCATTTTCAATAACATTGAAAGAATGTTTAGTCAACATATCAAATAATTAATTTTATAATGAGTTTTCATTTAAAATAATATGTCCTTTAATTAGTTCCAAAAGGTTTTTAAATTTTACATTAGATTGTCCTGAATAATAATTTCATTATGATTTCATATTCATACTATTCTTTACTTAATATCAAATCAGGGGGATCATAGGCTATTAAATATTTGAAACAGTTTCACTTTGACTTTCAATTCCTTTACAAATAATGCTACTTTTATTATTCTACTTCTATCTCAAATTTGACCACGAAAAGCACTTTAGTCTACACTTAATACATCTTTTCTGAAATTTCATATTTGTTTATCAATCCATTTTGTAACCTCACAACAAGGCTTTCAATTTGAAGTAGTTATTCTATAACAGGTAAAAGTTATTCTTTTCTATTTTTAAGGAATTCTTGCATTTCTTGAAAATAATGAATATTCTATTAGTGATAATGTTTTCCTTCATGTAAACATTTGACATTAATCTGGATTCCTGGCAAAACTAATTAAGACAGAAATTTGCAGTTTTGAAATGAGTAGGGGACATTTAAATTTGCGATCATCGACAACTTTCTTTTCGTTAATTTTGATGAACCTATATACATTAAATTAAATAATATAAACTCTACATTATAAATTTTATGATAATATATATAAATCAAATTGACTTATATTATTTGCAAATATGAATAACCATAATATTAATTTCAAAATTAAAGTTTTTTATAAAATTAGAAAAACTGAATTCTTTAGAATACATGCGATGATTAAAAATAAGTTAATGATAAATAATATGATCTTAGCTTGCCAGGTCTGAGCATTAAGTATTTTTGATCCTGTTACAGTCTAGTATAAAATCATCAAAGTAAATATTTAATAAGCTTCTACATATTTATCCCTTTGGTTTTTTGTATGGTAATAACTTATTTTGATTACTACCTTTGTATTTAAACATTTTTCCTAAGTTGATGAGTTACTCTTTTAGATTGAATTGAAAGGTATAAAAAAAAGATAAATATAATTTTTTTCTATTATTAAATACCCATGGATTAAATCACTAATTTTTTCTGTATGAATTTTCTGATCAATATAACAAAATAATAAATAAGTTCCAAAGAGATGAAGTATTTACTAGATGTAATAAAGAACTGGTGAAAGTGTTGAAATGTAAAAACAATTAATTTTAGCATTGCCATATAATAATAGTTGACGAAATATGATTTTAGGTTTTCTAGTTGTTCTAGAACTTGTAATATCACCTTACGAAATGTTGAAGAAAATCAATGCCGCAACAAATTTTAAGTATACCTCTTTATCTCCTAATTAAAAAAAATTAGTAGATTGATATTGAAATCATTATTTTAGATTGAGCATTTAGTAGAAATCGATAATTATCCAAAATCGGATAAAAATGAATAATTATTTATGCACATTCAATAAAATAAATTTATAATTGCAACCTTAGTACAGGTGAATCTTAAGGAAGAAGAATTTTCTTAACAAATATGATCTTTTTCTAATATAGTCTACAATTCTATAAACTCACTAAGACTGAGTACACGAAATTAAACTGAAATCGCTTATAAATGTCAAGGAAAGACATCAAGGAGTAAATTTATAATCAAAAATAGAGACGATTCTGGGATAGCAATATATATATATTGTGTTTCTGAATCTATTGTTATCAATTCATAACTTATAAATCATGGAGACATTTTAGTTGATTAAGAAATTAGATTGAGAGATACGGAAATGTGAAGAAGAAACAAAATTTGATACAACAAGTAGTGAATAGGGAACTTCCTTCAGAAATTGCACCTGCTAACTTAAGAAAACAGAGGAGTAGATCGAGAGAATAAAATATATGAAAGAAGGGGATTTTTGAATTCATGAAATTTATAAAAGTGTTGGTTTGCTTAAGTGAGAACATTGTTATGGAATACAAAATGAATGTTAATAGATTCTTCAATAATTGCTTCTATTATTGAAAGTTCCTTAGATTTTATCATAAAATAGATGTGAGTGAATGATTCGAGTCTAAATAATCATTTTATAAAACAACCTCTAATTAGATTAGTTTTATTAATGATAAAATAATAAAATATATAGCAATTATTCCCTAACTTATAGGAATAATCTTATGAGACTCTCCAAAGGGTTTATGAAAATATTGCTCTATAACAATTCCATGTCTTGGTCTAACAAATAAAAACCAAGTTCCCAATCCCAGAATAAATCAAAGCTGTTTAATTTCCTACACAAGAGAATGCAGTTGAATTCTTTTAGAATTACAACCCAATCATTTTAGATTTAACTCATATTTAAGACGTTAAGATTAAGTTATATAAAAATGCAGCATTCTATGGAACCTTGGTTGACGGTTTAAGACAAGGACAAGGCATTTTAATTAAATCAACATTACAACTGTACGAAGGTTCTTTTCTGAGAGACAAGAAGGATGGCATAGGATTTGAATTGCTGAAGTAAAATCAATTTTACTATGGCACTTATCTGAATGGATTGCCACATGGAGAAGGAGTGTTCTGGTCGAAAAACTAGAAGTATATCGGATAATGGCATTAAGGGAAGAAAGTAAATAACAATTTCTATTTTCAAAGCATGGAATTGGATGGTATCAAGGGAGTCATTCCGATTATTATCTAGGACAATGGGAAAATGGAAGATGTTTTGGACATTGCATCTACATCAATGGAGACATGTATAACTGACTAATAATTTTAGATATGTTGGTTATGTTACCAATGATCTCAAACACGGCAATGGTTAAGAGTATTTTGAAAATGGAGATTACTTTGTTGGAGAATACAAAAATGGGAAACCTAATGGTCATGGGGAATTTTATTGGAATAATGGTAATTTCTATAAAGGAGAATTTGTGAATGGCCAAAGAAATGGTTAAGGGATGTGGGAGAGTAAGACTCAAGAAGGAGTAAACATATACAAAGGTTAATATGCTAATGATAAAAAATGTGGACAAGGAGTGTTTCAATATGCCAATGGAACCAAATATGAAGGCTATTTCATAGATGACAAAAGATGTGGATATGGAGAAATCGTTTGGTAAGACAAGGCCACTTATAAGGGTTATTGGGTGGATGGATTGATGGAAGGAGAAGGGATATATGAATACGACACTCTGGTTTTGAAGGGTAATTGGAAAAGCAATTAGTTATAAACTATCGACAAGGTGAGAGTCTCATTGAATCAATTTCCTCAGTAACACAACTTAAAAGAGATAAATGAAGATGAAGAGGTTAGATCGTAAGTGGCTGATGAACCAGATTAGGATGAGATCGGTAATTAATTTTAAACAGAAATTCTTACCTCAAAGACAGATACTATTCCTGGTCCTGTTCAAACTGCTTCTCATTACACTAGTCATAATGATGTGTAATTTCATCAGAGATTGCCTATTTTGTAAAGACAATTTGATCTGCTGAGTCTTATTGATTAAGGACTTCATTATTAGACTCTAGAAGCTTCACACAGATAGAATAGTTCCAGCATTGGCATTCAAACTGATAGCAAAAAGTAGTTCCTTCCTAAATTGGTTCTCAATAAGAAAACTCCTACTCAATATAGTAGTAGTGTGGATTATCAACAAAATGAGAATAATAAATTTAAGTTTGATTCTTTGTCTAACTCTCCTAATACTCGAGGAACTGATCAATCAAATAAATCAAACAGAGAATAGAAGAAACCAAATCGATCTATATAATATAGAAGTAGGAAAAATAAATAAGCATTATTATCAAAGAAGGAGTAGAACATTTGGGCAATAAAGATGAATAAATTAAAATTAAGTCCTGCTAAGTACACTAAATTATGGAATCATGAAGTAAGATATTGGTTTCTATATAGGTTGTAACTGAGATAAAATAGTTTTTATATCCTCCAATCTGGAAACCTCCATCTCATTTATCATGAATTATTAATGCTTAACACTTTATTTTTAATTTAGAATATATTTTTGTACTCTATAATTTCCAAGTTCTAAGTTTAAATACATTCTCAAGAATATCATAGATTAACTGAAAAAAAAATACTTGGATCTGAATTTATTAGTTTATAATATAAATTATGTAATTATGTTAATTAGAAAAAACTCATAAAATCTCCAACAGCAAAGCCTTTTGTTATCACAAGTAGACAAAGGAGACTTACATTTTAACTATCCAACCTCCGAGCGAGTTTAATCGTTTACTTTATCATTTGAATCATCCAAATTTATTACTAGTATAGGAGTTTTGGGAAGAGAGAGGACAGATTTGTTCTGTTTAGAGGTGCGAAAACATCAATGATTTATAAGAAGTAATGAATAATACGATATTAGATTATGCAAAATAATAAGTTCTCTGAAAATACAATTCTGACGATATTATATTAGATCATATCGGCTATGTTTTATTTGGAACAACAATAAATACCTATAACAGTCTCATTGAATAATGTGTTTCTGGATGAATAATTATAGGTGAAAGTATGATCATAATTGTTATTATTAGATAGATGTTTTGAACATAGTGAACGCATAGCTTTCATTCGCATCTCCTGAAGTCTTAAGGAAGGAGGTTGAGTCATCTGGAATTTGGAGTGCAGGATGCATAGCATATTACTTAATGAAATGTGAGTTGCCTTTTTCTGGAGCCAATGAGAGATCAATAGCTTATAATATTATATATAGGGAACCACCACCAAGTGATTTCTAGGAGTTCCCATTAGTTAGTGCAATATTGAAAGTCATATTCATTAAGAATTGGAAGAGAAGGGCCACTACAAAGCAGGTTCTGCAATTCCTGGCTTCCAAATCAGCAACAGTGCAGGAACCTGTTAAATTACTGAGATCGCCATAATCTTCAGTTGGCAAGAATAAATCTAGTATGATGCTTAGTAAAATTGACAGAGTAGAATATTCAGATAAATAAACTGACAGCATGAAAATGGATGATAAACAATCTCCATTAGCCAAGGTTCTCACATTATAAGAATTTGAGGATTAATTGTCTCGTATGAAGGGAAGACCACAATCCTCAATGATAGATGAATCCAATGAAATTATTAACAAAATTAAAAGAATGAGACCCAATTCTGCAATAACTCTAACTGGAAAGGAGTTTGTCAGAAAGAATATAAAGGAAGAAATTAATTAAAGAAGACAGGTTCAAAGTTCAAAGCCTTTTCTTGTGAAAAAGAATACTGAAAACTTTGGAGGAAAACATCATAAGGAAGTCTCGATTGATTTGGACAATGCAGATAAATTAAAACATAGCGATACTATAAGAGTGTACAATCTAGAGTATTAAGATAATGCCATGCATCCAGCAAAAAATAATAAGGTATTTCTGAAAATATTGAAACCGAAAATGGTATCTGCTGCAGATTACCCTAAAGAATAGATTTAGGGGATGTAAATGTGGAAAACCAAAATGAACTCAATGCTAATTTGATTGTATTTATATAATTTAACATTTGTTATCGATTACAAATATTTCATTATTATAATAATCAAATACTAATCTTAAAAAGATCTTTATAATAAACCATTGATGAATTGGCAACTTAATACAGTTGGGGTTCATCAATATTTTATTTTTATTATAATTAAATACTAATTTAATATAATACGCAAGTAAATAGATTAATATGCAGCAATATAAATGTTTAGCATTACCTGGATGGTTGAATGATGCTGAGATAATGAAGGGTTTAATGGCTCAATTAGATAAAGCTTTGGCCTCTGTGATAAAGTTTGAGTACTTAGATCCTTCCTATGATGTTAGTAAGAGTATTTCTCAATTACCCTCCCACATACAAGTGCCATAAGGAGCAGGCAGTAATCTTCTAAAATATTTATAAGAAACACTTTATAGATGGGGAGATATCCACCTCGATCATTCGTAAGATATAGCCAACTTAAGGGCTAAAATAATTAATGATCCAACAATTGTAGGAGTAGTTGGATTCTCTCACGGAACATTATTGGTGACAGAATTAGGATAATTAGCTCATACTGATTAAGAATTGAAGAAGAGACTTAAATTTTTTATGGCATTTTCTTGTCATGGTATTAAAGCTAAGAAAGAGATTTATTCCTAAAAAAGGTTAATCACTATTCCAACAATTTAATCTTTGGGAACGAGAGATCCCCTTGAATTGGAGTCACTAATATAATCTAGTGAGTTTTTAAATCCTGTAATCATCTATACTGATTCGAGTAAATGTTAATTTTATAACAGCTCATAGAGTTCCGATTTTTTCATTCGAGTAACTTAAGAAAATTTAGAAATTTGTTTAATCAGCCTTAGAATAACCTAAATTATGAAAATTTATTATTTAATCAAACAAAATTTTCTAGACTCTCAGGAATATCATTTAGTCTAATCCCTTATTCTTACAAGAGTCTACTCATTTCAATTTCCACTTTATTCAGAAGATTGAGAATTTCTTAATCACCTTAAGCATTTCTGAGACTTGCAATTTGATCCTCCTCTTCAACTCCAAATTTAGCATAAATCTAATCTTGTATTATTGTGTTGATTATAGTTGGCACCAGTATCACATCTTCTGAGGGCTATGACTATATTCTGTAAATATACAATTCGATGTAAAATGTCTTTATAATCTTAAGAGAAGTTCCTCAAAATATTTACACTAAATTGAATAATCTCCTTTGTTTATTTTAAATTCAATTTTTTAGTTGATTCAATTTTCTCTTTTAGTTTTTGTTTTACACTTGCCTACAACATATACAATTGCTAAAAATATCCCTGATCCATTCTCACAAGCACACTCTCCTCGAATATCTCTTTGGGTACATCTAATTCATATAGTAATCTTTTTAATGCCTAATCTAAGACATCTTCGACATTCATGATGAATTAGATAATGCTATCAACATAAAATTCTTGTTTTTATTTTCGTAGTCTCCTTCTCTGAACTCGATTCACCTTGCTCAATTTAACATAGTCCTCTCCTGCTATTTCTAACTATTTGGCATAGATCTCCACTATGCAATTAGCCTCTAAAAAATGATCTTCATTATATCTAATCTCAATATCTTTGCTAATTTCTAATTTTTAATCTATAGATCGATCGTTTGTATCCAAATATTGATCTAAATCATGCTTCCAAAATAATTTCTCTAAGCTTTGTTTCTCTTTAGCGCTCATTTTCATGTAATAGGCGCTATGAAATATTCAATAAACGCTTACCAAAAGCCTACTATTCCTAATGAGGATAATAAGACTACTTTATTTTTAGATATTGCTTATCCCATAATTAATTATATTATAATTTTGAATTATTATCATGTAATGGTTTTTAGAGAATTATTTGAAGCATATTATTCATACTTAGATATATTGAAGATATGGATATCAGCAATAAGTAATTACCATGGAAAATTACTTTTTTATAAAAGGAATTTAAACCATAATAAATTATCTTTTAATGTTTATCTGCAAAAGTGATTTTCTAATGATCTGAAACTCTAGAACTATTAGAACTCTATGCTTTAGTAATATTATTCTGAGGTAAATTATGTATTCACTTGTAGAATTATATTAATAAACAAAAATTCTATTAATATTGTAGATAAAAATCAAATCCTAAATAATAATAATTAGGTTCTATTTTCATAATCCAGTTCGAATTCATTTTACTCTATACAAATAACACCTAAATATTGTTATATAATTATTTTAGTAATAGATTATTTGTTTGTACGCTCATTATTTATTAATATCTATAAAGGTTGTGTTCCTACTATCATCTAATTTATCCTGATTTAAATATTGATGAATCCTACTACAAATACTTAACTCATATCTTTGAGAATCCCAAAATAGAAAATGTTATAAGTCTACTTCACCATTCAAGGAGAAGTGATACGATTTTCATATATATTGATCTAATTAAGTTCTATAAGAACAATTTAATCGCAAATTATTAAATACATTTTGAGGACAAGTCAATGCTATTTTATTTTCTAATAATTATTCATTTATATTTTAATGTTTAATACGTAATTGCAATTGAAGAGGGAACAATTTGTTATTCAGATTAGAAAATAGGCACGAGAAGAGATCTTTTCAAGAAAGAGACACACAGATTTGAATAGTGATTTAAATGGAGTTTTGAAGTGTTAGCCAGATGAATTGATTCTCTAAATTTATAAAAGTTTTATGCTCAAAGACTTTTAAACTCTCAAGAATTTACTTTATAGGTACAATGAGCAATTCCTAATAATGATCGTAAGAAAGTAATAAGCTGATGAAGTGTCAATGAATCAATATATAAATCATTTTAGCAATAATTAAGAAACTACTCAACTATTCATGCAAATAATGCGTATGTCTGATGTTTCATAGGAAAGCAATATAGAGGAGATAAGGATGCTATGTATAAATCAAGTTCTTGTTATATTGGTCAATATTACCTATGTGGATGCGCCATAAATTATTAATAATCTATTGAACCATGATTTATTAGACATCCTTTTGAATGATATATTGGGTCGAATGAATACTAAGCAAAAGTTAGCAATTAATTATGATGTTTGGTAATCGATAATTGATAGTGTAATAATATTACTTACTTGCAGCTCTGTTAACTATTTATTAATTTGTTGCTTGATTTGAAAGATTAAAGAGGAGTCTAATTGAAAATTGAAATAATGAAATCCCCCTTCTTTAAAATCTGGCAATACATCTATAAAGAGTTCCCACCATAACAACTTTGGAGTTCAATGCTATTCTTATAACAAATGCTATTTTTGAAGCCAGTAATTCCAGACACAGAAATAGTATCATCGAATGTATACGCTATTATTTAATATCCATATAGTTGTAGAGAATTCTTAAGTAGTGTGGTTATGTAATAAAGGAACTCTCGGAATAAGATCAATTATACGAAACTGCATTGCTATTAATTAATTACTGTTCTGAGTATTAGCTTGAGACCACGATAGTTTTAACTAAGCATATTTGGGTGAAAATGATATTAATCAATAAATTGCCTTTGCTGATGTATGGTTTATTTATCAACTTCACTTCTATGAATTACGACGAGGATTCTCCAATTTCTGATTTTAGTGCAGAAAAGCATTTGATGGATATAGGTTTATTGAATAACATGTTATTTTGGTTATAAAACACACCAGAAGAGCAATTAATAATAAAGATATACAAATGTTTGAATAACATTCTAACTTTTTAATATCAACATCTGGCTAGTGTGGTAATTTATCATTTCTTACCCTTTCTTGATCTCTACTTTGAAGGGTCGAATCATTTCTCTGAAGAAATGGTGGCTGAATATCTGATCCTACTCAAAAACCTGATTAAATTTTAGAAATTGAATGAAGCAAATCTAACTTAAGTGTTGGAGGAATAAAATGTTATGAAGTAAATAAGAGAAATGTAAACAATTTGTAATTAATCATTAGATTACTATAGGGTTGCTTTAAGGCATGCTATATTTTGGATTTGTTTGATGCTTTTGATCTTTTATCAATTGAGTTCAAATACTTGGTGCTAGACAAAATTGTCAAGTATCAAGTGATTGAGATTCTCAATATGTTACTAGCCAAAGATTAAATCAGCGATGATTTTATTGATACTGTGATGGAATAGATAGCTAAATGGGAGTCAGAAACTAATGAGTTAAATTATTCGTGAATTAATCATTTATTAATTTAATGCTTAACTAACCATTTAAACCTAGCAATAAGGTTGTATCACTACATGCTATTATGAGTAATATTAAGAGACAGAATAAACAAAAGACTAGATCCATCAGTTACCATTCAAATCACATCAAATCTGAGGGGCAATCTATTCAGTTAAGAGATGATGATTCGAAAAAATTCAATGATCAGATTAAACAGAAGGATGAACTCATTAATTAATTGTAATCATAACAACAATCATTTCGCAAATAACTCAACGAAATATTCGAAGTCAACCATGATAATGATGAATCACTCATTTTGCACATATATTCATCTATCATACAATTCAAAAAAGAAAAAAGTCAATATCTGTAATAAGATGAAATTAATAGCAAAGTCATCCTCCATTACAAATAGCTATTGTAATGTAAATCTGATTCTTTTATTTAGAAAGCACTGATATCATCGCAAATTAAGAGGAATAACTATCAAATTAATAACAATTATTAATGACCTTAACTAACTAAATTAAAGAAAATGAATTATTATAGCATTTGAATACCTCCTAATAAGAAGTATGTTATCATCTATATTACTTCAGAAACAATACATGTCCAAAATCGAATCTTTATAGAGTTAAATTGACAAATTTAGAAATGCAAGTCTCTTACTCTTGTATCTATAACCACTTTTAGAAGAGAAGATTCCTATCCTTATAATAAATTACACTCAGTATGCAAATTGCTATCTTCCAATCCAGAGGAAATTGAGGAAGAAATTCTTCAATTCATTCGCAATACCTTTCAATTCTATCAAGCTATTGGAAACCAATAAAGTAATTCACATTATAACTTAGTTTATGCTTTTATAAAAAGTTAATTTGATAATGAAAGGGTTTAATTGACATTCAATCTAAATTAAATTAATAATGAAGTTATCAAAGTGTTGATAAACAAATTTGATTTAGACAATGATATCGAATAAGAAATGGAACAATTAATTCTATTGAAATAAATTAAATCTCATAATAATTAAATATTATAATTCATTGATTAATTGGGCGAGTTTATAATAGTTAAATTATAAAATTATAAAAGAAATGAAATATCAAGAATCATGTTGATACAGAATTTAGTTAATTTGAAAAGATAAATAATAAAGAAACTTTGATTTTATTTATTAACTTATAATATATATTTCAGGATAAAGATCATAAAATCTTCAACTAAAGAATATTTAGTATATCTCCTCTTGATGTTTTTAACCGGCAACATAATTAATTGTTGTTATTGTTTATCATAAACTGAATGTATCATAATCATTCATTTTTAATTATTTATAAGACCTTCACAGAATTCTCAATCCGATTGCTAAAATTTATCAAAGAATTGTTCTTTAAGTATTTAAGATATAGAAGCGTTTTCAAATTTTGTAATTAGAGGCAAATAATCTAAATTGAAAAAGTTTGAATAACCAATTGAATACTAATTTTACGATTTCATAAAGGTTTTACAAGATAGATGAAAAAATTTTAAGGAATCAATCCTTTCTAGAGAGACATAGTATGCATTGTAAGTTTAAAAATAAAACCAATCTTCATTCATATTATATTTTCTAATCTTATTGATAAATTGACTTTCATTTTTGGAATAAAAATTATAATTATTCTTATATATCAATGTTAGAAATACATTTAAATGCATATCAAAACGATTATCAGGATCAATTTATAAATTAATTATTCAAAAATATAAAGCTAATGAAAATGTTAATTTAGAATTTATCAAATTAAAACCAATTTTAAAAAGAGGTAAACAAATAAGTATTTATTATAGAAATTAGATCACTAAATAAAAATTTCAAAATAGATTATTTTTAACATTTTATATTAAATAAAATCATATTCATCCAATATTTAATTCATCAAAAATTTTATTTATTTTGCTATGATAGATGAAGAAATAAACAAAATGGTTGATTGGGTTATATTCATTGTGTTTAATACTGTCCAAAAAAGATCTGTAAATAACAATTCTGAAGCAAATTGCGATTGGTTCATATATGAAAAAAATTAATAATAAAGTGCTCAAAAGATTTAAGGTTATTTGCATATCCACTTCAGTATTATTTATTTCGCTATTATGAGAAAATATTATACATTGAATTTAAAGCCAAAATTGTAAGGAAAAAATACATAACGGGTAAGCAAAAATATAATACAACCATTGCTATAGCAATTTTTCCTTCAAACATATAGATTGCTTAAGTTATCTTGGAAATAGCCCTATTTTGCCTCTTAAGAATTAATAAAAGAATATTCTAAAATTACTTTAAAACGAGTAACAGGAATATTATTTTATTAATTAATAAATTAAGTGTGACTTTAAATATTCTTAAATCTATAAATAAGATGTTTTGAATAGGTAATATTGCTGAAAATTAATTAATTGAATAATAATACTGAATTATGCCAAAGAAATACACATAAGAAAAATTTTTTAGAACTTTACTTTTTGTCTTATTTATTTTATTTAATTTACCTCAGATGAATAATTGAATAAATTTTGTTATACAAACAGGGTAGTAATTATAAATTATTTTATTTAAGTTTAAGAAAACTATTATAGTTTTAGTTAATTAATAATGATTTCTGTGTTAATTATTTTAATTAATATAATATACCCATAATAGTAGTGGTTGCTAAGTAAATTTGATAAAAAAAATATCAGTATTGAAGAAACTCTAATGATAATTTAATTTATTTTTAAATAAAAACTTCTTTCTGAATTGTCAAATTATTAGCGTTCGATTTCCAAGTCAGTTAATACCAAATTTATCTGATGAAATTTTGAAATGAACTAATCTAACAATTATTAATACAACTAAATAAGGTAAAATATTTTAACACAAGCATCTCTTTGTACACCTTATTCCTATATAATACCGATATTAAGCAGGTGAAAGAAATCATCAAGAAAAGGGTTATTTGTTTGATTATTTCATCTAATGGATTTAATCTCAAAGGCTTAAATTCATATATTAATTAGATTTACAACAGATATCAAATAAAGAGGATTTAATAATCACTTAATGCATTTATTAAGCAATTACATTTTGAAATTTATTAGAAATAAACTAAAGAAAGAAAAACTATATCTATTAAAGTAGACTAATTCCTCATTCAAAAGCTACTTACCCAATAAAAAAACTATAATGATAATATCTGCCTTCTAAAGGGATGAGAAAAAGAAAGAGAATCTCCCAAAGTTAGTTTGGTTCAACTAATGGAATAAATGTGAAAAATTGAGATATATTATTACAGTAGAACATACGGTTCCAGAACAAGAAGGAAATAATTAATCGAAAATTCGATAAAGAAATTTGAAAATGGAATTAAATTTTATTGAAGATTCAAGAATAATTTAATTGAATAATTTATTAATTAAAAATAATAAATAAATCGAATTTTAGAATAGGTAGAACTAAATAATTCATAATGGATATCAAAATAATTATAAAAAGTTTAGAACCTTAATCCATTCTTAAAACTTCAAAATAAATTTGAAGAAAACCATAGTACTCTGTGTTTCATTAGGTACTTGATGAAAATAGTGATGATAATCGAGAATATCCTAGCGCAAAGTTCATTCGTTTTCAACATTAAACGGAAAGACTATCGCTCTATATTAATCTTTAAGTTATTCTGCATATTAATAAGCTAATATGGTCTTTCCAAATTTTGGAGGTTAGGTTATTACAACTACATTTTTAATTAGAAAATACATTTTCAATCCCTTTTAATTCTTTTCTCTAAACAAAATTTCCTTTATAAGAAAAATTTTTATTGAAAAAGCAGGGTATTTTTTAAATATTATATTAAGGATTCTCATTCAAAAAGACTTCAAAATCTTGCATTCAATCTCGTGCCAGTATTCTTATTTAATCTCCTAACAAAGTAATACAGAAGAGTTATTTCTCACAAGTAGATTGTTATATAAATATTATGATAAATTTAAGTTCGATTCAAATGACAGATTGAATTAAATTTTATTTACTTTATTTATTTTATCTCTAAATTCACGCTTAATTTTAAATGTATTCGTTAAAAATCTGATTCCTTAATTAAAAACATTTGAAATCAATATTACTATTTATTTCAATTTCTTTAACATAATAAGATGTTCGTCAAAGCTATCAATTTATTTTGCATTTTGTATTTATTTTGCATAGTAATTAAGTTTATTTATCTAGTAATATCCCTTTATTAATTACTCAAATTCTTCCACATTTGACTCCTCAGGTTGATAGTACTTTTTTTTTCATAATATTTCATGAACCTAAAAATATTGATTTAGATCAATCATCCCTTGAAGTAATTCTACCATTCCAATTATAATTCAACAACTTGTTATATAACTAGACAACTTAACTCCAATTTTGAAAATGTATTCCAATAAGATATTAGGACACCATATTTTTGTAAATAAAAAAGTATTTCACTCAAATTTTTCTGACTTCCTTATTGACAGTTTTAGAGAAAGCATCTTCTGTTGGCCCTCCAGTTCTCGATTAAATGATAGCATATTCAGTTTAAGATGATGTCCTTTAATAGATTGAATTGCATCTATGGTAAACTAAAACTTTTTAGCAGTTCCTATTTCAGGAAGTTATATCCCATCAATATTTTATTCAGATAATCTATATCCAATTCCAATATGTGAATTGATACAATTGACCAATTTTGGAGTGGATAAATAAAATACAATATCAATATATTCTGGATATCAGTTTATCCTTTTCTGCTATTTCGATCCATCAGCTACATCATTTCAAAACTGCCTGGTCCATTAAAAGTCACTGCTTTAACATTTGGAAAAGACTAATCCAATTTTTAATGGTAATAATAGACACTTAATTCGGCCAACCATCCTAGAGAATGACCACAAGATGATCAAGTTAAGTTTAGGTTCCGAGCTTTCTCCACCTCTTTATAAGTTGACGAAAATGCTTATTATTAGTGATTTGTAAAAGTACCTAATACAAATGACATTCTTTCACCTTTGGACATTTAGTTATTTTGAGATATTTGAAAATAAGGAAAATTAAAAATTAGTGGATCTATTGATAATACTAATTATTTATTATTTTATTATCTAGTAAAAGACTTTAAACTCCTGTCTCAGCATCATCAGATATAATCCATGAATATAAATATTAATTCAAATCCACATTCTTTTCTTATTTCATAAATTTATAGATTTCAGCTTCTTATTTAAACTATACTGCCTAATTTTTTTATAAAGGGCATTCTCCTCCTTTATTCACGTTTAGTCTGCACTGAAAAGCTGCTAATAGAAGATGAATAAAGTCATTTATAAAGAACTCTTCAAATTTAATCACATTATTTGTAATACTATTTTATTTGTAATTTAATAGTATTATCACAATTAAATGAGTATTTTAAATTAAATCTAAATCTTTAACTTCATTCTCAATATCGTATTCTTTATCATAATATTAGCCGATTAAGAAGGTTGAATTAATAGATTAAATGCATATATTAATAGATAATTAATATAAATGATGTTCATTCTAAAATTGGATTATTGATTACAGCTGTTTCTAGCCCGTATCCAGTTGCAAACTTTGGATTGTTAATTTTGGGTTGAATATTTGAAACATATTTTGGATAATCTTTAATAGAGTCTAAAGTAGAAAACCAAGGAGATGGTAACTTATTGTTTTTTTTATCTACTCCTCCAAATGCATATTCTCCAAAAATGGACTGTATAATTGCTTCACCACCAGTTGTTCCAGGGAGCCATGCTGCTATAAAACTATCGCTAATGGCTAATGGATCGTCAATTAACATTGGTCTGCCACTGATTAATACGGAAACAACTTTACTTTTACCTTATAGGATATTGGCAATTATCTATATATTCTAAATATAAATACTTATTTTTCATATGCTCCAGTTTTTATTTCTAATCTTGTAGGTTATGATTTTGTTAAATAAACATTATCATGCAGATCATATAAGCAACCTTTCTTGTCTTCACCTTAACAATATGAGCAGTTAATATCACCCATATATTCAGCATATGGATTTTCTGCTAATACATTGATGACTAATGTGTTTGCTGATGAGAATTAATCTTTCATTGTATTTAATTAGTTTCTAAAAGTATTTCTGTCTGTAAGAATAGTATTCAAATCAGATCGGTCTGTGTATTTTGGATAATGAATTTCTGCATCTTAAAATCTTGCTTTTATGGCATCTAAGATTGATGAAGCTTTTGATTTTACTTTCAAATCTCCAGTCCAATAATCATTACCATTGTACCCTTACCATCTAATTGTCCATCCTCCGTTTTAAGCTCCAATATTGTCATAATCTGAAAATAATTTATATTCTCCATTTCCAACTGGCACATATCTATCACCCAATAAAATAACATGTTTAATTGTATTTTTGTTAGCAGGAAGTGCATTTGCATCATTTTTCAACAATACTAATGATTGAAGAGCTGCTTGTAAAGCATCTTAGTATTCTGCTTCTTTATCCTTTACTATTTTCTTATTTTCTTTTAAATCCTACTTGTTTGAAGTTACTTTTATTAATCCCATTTTTTCTTTGATTTTTAATATTCTTTTAACTGCATCGTCTAATCTTGCTTCATCTATTTTTGGTTTTTGTGGATCAACTTCATTAACTAAACCAGTAATCATTGCTTGATAGTCTTCAACCTTGTCAGAAATCATTTACATATCAACTCCTACTTTAAATGACTCAGCATATGCCTGATTCAATGGCATTTTTTAAGAATTTCTTGGTAAATCTACATTAGCTGTCTTGATAACTGAATTATAATCACTAATAACAAATCCTTCAAATCCTAATCCACCATCTTCTGTTGTTGCTTTCAATTTCTCATTAACAAATGGATGAACACTCATAGCCACACCATTGATTGCATCATAACTAACCATTACATTTCCTGTCTATGCCTCAACAGCTCCTTCATAACCTTTAATATTATCCTCTACAAAAAGATCCATAGACTCAGCATCTACAATGGAATCACCTTCTTCATATCCATTTATTGTAGCTCCATCTCCTATGAAATGTTTGACTGAAGTTAGAACTCCTGTTATCTCGTCATTTTGAATATTTTAGGCTTCTTCAACGAAAGCTTTGGAGTATTCTTTTACTTTAGTTGTGTCATCTCCCAAAGTCTCATAGAATCTACCCCATTGTGGATTATGAGATACAGCTACTGTGGGTGAAAATACAAAATTAAATCCACTCTCAATGACACTATCTCTCATCCATTTGGCTGAATTTTTAAAGTTTTCCACATTGTTTGAAGCAGCCAGACCAATATTATGAGGAAAGAGAATCTCCCCAACAGAATGTTGATTTCCACGGATAGCATCTGTACCAAGTAATGGTTATATTATCACTGTTTCTGTTTCTGTTTCACTAATATCAACTGTGACTGACACTCCTTAGACTAGTGCCAAGTCTGCAACTTTTTTCCATAATAAATTATCAGCCTTCATGCAAGTTCCTTATGAGGATATATTACCCTCATCATCAGGACATCCATTACCTCCCACTAATACAGATCCAAGATTCCATTCTTTGATTTTATCATATTATGTTTTTCCTTCAGCATCATTCAAATATATAAAATCGACTTATGTTGTTTAACCAATCTTTTATGCTAAAGTCATGCTATTAACTATATCATCGATTGAAGCATTTAATCTCTTGTTCACCTTACCTCCTTTGCACACTACTAAAAATATACACAAATAAAATATGAATTTCATTTATATTAAGATATTTTTAATGCAGATTTAATGATTTTTATATTTAAATAATAATTCTTATAGAATTTATTTTATTGTTTCAATATTCTGATATTATTACATATAACATCATAATCATAAATTCTAGCATAAAGGCTTTCTATTTAGTGCATAATTATTAGAACCTATTTTAAAAATTAATATCAAAGAAAATTGTACATAAGCTGAAATCTTATACTATTCTTAATAATAATGAATTCATTCTATTAAGATAAAATGTAATTTAATATTCATTGTATTCAATGCAATCTCATTGATAATCTTCATTTTATCGAATAAAATTACTTAAATTCAATCAATCAAATTTCTTTCTCTTTAAGTTGAATTGTATTTATTACTAAAAATATTTGATGGTAGTTGATTGTTTTATGTTGTTATATTTTTGTATTATTTTACATATAATACTTTATTGATTATGAGATTTACTGTTTTTAGTGTAATAAACCCATTCACAATTTAAAGATGAATTAAAAGCCTACCTCATATGGATTTCACATTTATGTAACGATTGTGATTATATTTAATTAGGCAATTAAAATAATTATACAGATATATGCATATACAATTCAATATTCTAAATAATTTTGATAATCTTGTCTTAGCTTTAAAAAATCTTCGAATTCAATTTAAGTTTGAATCAATTAATTTTAATTTATTATATAATTTTCTTATTCATTTAATTAATAATCAATTATGAATGGATTGTAGTAATTTTATTTATCATACATAAAATTATACAAATCGCTATCCATGAATTGGTCTATGATAATAGAAAGTGTATATACTAGATTATAGAGTATTATTTAAGAGCAATTTCTTCTTTCTTCCTGCTCTACTTCTTTGAGACCTTGGCAACCTTTTACCATAATCTCCTCTTAATGCATAAGGATTGAATTTCTAATGATGACTTCTGCATTGACTAGGTGTTCGAGTGCCTATCAATTCACTCATTTATTTAAATATTTTCGAAGTCTTTTTCATCAAAGATGAGTTCATAATATTCTCATATTGTGATAAGAAATTAACATAAGTTGTATGTTCAAGAGCAGACCAATGTCCTTTATTAATATTCTCCTATTTTTATTTTTTCGTTAATTTTATTGATTTAATCTGTTATTTAGAGTTACTTATATGTCCCTCTGTTGTCAAATGAGATTATAATTTAGGAAGAAGAGGTCCCTATGAGAGATCCACAGTTTAATATTATGGCTGTATGATTTATTAATTGCTAATAAAATGAATATAAAATGTTTACATCTCCTCTTTCGATCCGATGGGTTTTTCAACTTGATCTTTAGTTTTTGGCAATAATTCCTTCGGCTATTTGTTTCTATATTTTATATCCATGAAATACTTACTTGATCTTTCTACTCTTGTTCCTCCTATTAAGATCCTCGTTTAGTTCAGAATTAATGGGTGAAGGGGTGTAATGATATTGAGGGTATATTGCAAAATCATAAGCACTCTAATATAATGGATATTCTATAATAGTTATTGGTTATCAATATACATTCATAGAATTATTGATAATCAACAACGGATAATCCTGGATGAATCATTCACAATATTTATTATTCTCTTCAATTATAAATGTTATTTTTTTAATCATGAGTAATTCCTAATTATATAAACCAAATGATCTAATTGAATTTGAAAATCACAAGCGTTATTCATCAGTGGGAAAGAGTAAATCTAAATAATTTATGTATTTTTAGTGCTAGATTCGATGAAACAGACTGCACCTGCTTATGGTTTTGGAACATCCACTAGATATTAAGCATAATCCATTTACCGAGATAAAAAATTGCTTCATAAAGGAAAAAGCAGTCCAGGACCCTGTTATAATTCTTCCAATTATATTAAAGAGTTATTAGCTAGAAATACAACTGTCAAAATAGGAACCGCTAAAAGAAATAATCTTAATTAGACATAGTATGATTATTATACAAGGCAAGATAGCGATGTAATTTTTTACATTCTATGCTCTGTAGTTCGAACCTCATAAAGCTAATGACTTTCGGAAGATGAATTCAACTATTGTAAAGATAGGTCTTGCCTAACGTTTCAAAACTGATTATAAAAACTAAGTTCCTGGTCCTGATCAATATGATAATCTGATTAAAAAAACTGGACCTCAATATTCAGTAGTTCCAAAAAGACCTATTTCTAAGTCATTCTAAGGTTCGACACCTGATTTAATTGGTCCCGGAGCTTATGACGTAAACAAATCATTGGATATAACTCATGAGAGCTATCCTAGTATTGGATTCACAAAAGGGGAAAAGATGAAAGGTATCAAGAGTGTTGAAAGAAATTAAACTTATTACACTAAGTATTCTGTATAATCTAAGGCCTAGGGGATCGATTGGAGTACAAATCAAATCTAATTGTGTTACTAAGCCGTGTTTTACTATTGGGAAAGAAAGTAGAGACATTAAACCAGGCATTTTCAAAAGAGATATGGATGGAGTTTCTACAAAAATAAAAATATCAATGCCTAAATTTTGAGTACTCTTTAATTTAGATCAATTTTAATATTAATATTCATATAACTTAATCATTTTGATAATTAGACCATTATATTGTATCTGTTTTACAAAGAATTTAATTGAAAAAACATACAATACCTTCTTAAAATAATGAAAAATTAGATTCTCAAATTTTAGTAAATAAATATATTAACATATTTTTAATTGAATTCGATTCCAAGTTGATCTAGTGATAATTTTTGTATTTAATTAAATCGAATATTTAATTAAACTTTCTATGATTAATATCAAAGGACTGGATATGATGGAACCCAATGAATATCAGATTGTCCTTCTTTGCAAGCAATGGCAGCTAATCTCATGTAACCCTCTTCTCCACAAATGTCTCCCCAAGAGTTCTTGATAGTGTAAGAATCTTTGGCATAAACAACAGCAAAAACACATGGTTCATGTCGTTAATTGTCTTGGCTGTGCTAGTTCTGGAATAGACACCGCCACTGTAAAGTTGGAGTAAGATACCGTCAGCTTTGATAGCACACTAAAATATACAAAAATATATATGAGACTGGAGTTTTGACAATGGCTTTATGAAGAGCTTATGAGTTTAATGGTTCAACATCAACAAATGATTCAATTAAGTACTTCTTTTTGAATCCTGATGAGCAAAGTTAATCGACTCCCTTATATGGATATTCTAATGCACCATCACATCCTTCACTTTCATAAACGAGTTTGACTGTGGCACAATCAAAAAATTCTTATTCAAAAATGTTAACCTCATTCTTTTTATGATTGATGGAAACCAGCTTCAAGGGCAGCAGCGGCAGCGAAGGCCCAGCATGAACCACAACTACCTTGATTTTTGACTGTCAATCCATCTTTCGAATCAACTGAATCTGGGAGACTTAATCCAGACGCGCTCTTGATGTTCTTTCTTTCAGGAGCTTTGAGTTTAAGTGTCAAGTATGAAGTTTGGAATTCTTCAAGGGTAAGGTCTGCAATTAGTTCATTTTCAAAATGAAAGTTTCTTATCCAAGTTCGAATCTTGAATTGTGTTCCATAACCAGAGCTCAATTTGAAGCAAACACTGAGAATCTATGGATTTCTTCGTAATCTGAGTATCGTTTTCCATGCGATTATTTCCAAGATGAGAAATTCCTTCAAGTTTAAGACTCTCATCTTCGCCTTTCATGAAACAAGCTGTCGATGTTAACAATATTACAGTGAGCAAAGCTAATAATTGCTTTTACACATGGATATTATTATTTCAATTTACTTAATAGTTTTGATTAAATACTATTAATGATTAGATCAGAGAGTTCTTCTACAATTAGAACATTTTTTATTTGATAAATACATATTAAAATCATCATTGTTCATATAATCAAATCTAGTAGACTCGTAGCATCTTGAGATAATGAAAAATAGCATGAATTTAGAACAATACAAATTTTATATAAGAATTTCTCAAATATTCTCATTAATTTATTGATGACGATAGTTTATAAAATAACATCTAATAAATTATAATGAGCCAAGTCAACATATCACAAAGAGTTCCAAAGTAAAACAAACAAGAAACCAAGGATATTAAAGAGAATATCATCCATGAAAGAATTATGTATATGTTTTTCGATATAAAATAGTGGTCCCATTTGTAAAGCTCCCGGTTACTTAAAAGATCAATATATTAAACATGGCTACAGAATTAACTTCAAAAACAAGAAGGACGTTATAAAGAGCATGTTTATGTGGCATAATGAATTGGTCAATATTTGGACACATCTAATAGGTGCTATCATCATAGTCTCGCTAATATTTTACCTATGGTTAAATTATGATGATCTCTTTCGTCATAGAGCAATTCAGACATTCAATGGTACATGAAACTACCATTATGTAGAATCATTACACAACATTTATGAGCATGCTTTCACTCTGGAATAATAAATCTAACAATAATTAGAGAATGGACTTCACAATTTTTAGGATGATGTTTAATTGATGCAGAAACAATTACATGAAAAGATTAACACTGTCAACAAGCTCTTCAATGAAGTGGCTCATCAATATGATTATGAATTTTCAAAAATTCAAAAAAATATTGCTGAAGCCTTTGATTGGGAAAACTTGAAATGGAATTATAATATCTCAGAAATAATTCAAGATTATAAGTAGAAAGCCACAGAAATCGTTGAATCCAAAGATTTTGATTGGATCGATTTATATTTAGAATTTCAACATCTCACAGGAAGATAAACCATAGATGAAGAGAAATTACATAAAATGATATCTAGATGGCCCTTGATAGCATTTCTAGTTTCTGCCATTATATGTTTAGGATGTAGTACTACTTACCATCTGTTTTATTGTCTCTCAGAAAATGTCAACAAAGTGCTCATTCGATTAGATTATGCTGGTATATGTTTTCTTGTTTCAGGTTCGACATTTGCTCCATTATTTTATGGATTCTAATGCAATCTAAAATATGCAATCATATATGCCAGTCTATAAGGCTTTTTTGCCATCATTCTCTTTAGTTTTTGTCTATTTGACTTTTTCTATACTGCAGAATGGAGATCCTTAAAAAATAAGTTATTTGCAGGACTTGGATTTACAAGTGCCATTCCACTCATTCACTTTGCAATCGGTGATACTTGTTTAGAAGGATATAGTTTTTAATCATAATTACCTTATTATGCTGCTATGGCCATTTCATATTTGTATTGAATTCATTTATATATAGATCTGGTTTGTATATCTATAATATAAGATTTCCCGAGAAGCATATCCCAGGGAAATTCGATAATTGTGGATAGAGTCATCAAATTTGGCATATTAGTGTAGTGATTGCAATCTTATTCACTTATGTTGGATCTTTGAATGCCTATTATTAGAGATTGGATATGCCTTGTAAAGCATGATTATTTATTAATATATGCTTATATATTATATATCAATTTTGATCCCTTATTGGTTTTGATAGAAACAAATAATGGGTGTTAGTAAGATCTTGCTTGTAAGGAAGAGAGTTATTTCAAATATGAATAGTTTCATTAAACAAGAAGTGGCAAATGAAGATTCATCAAACTATAGAACATAGATTTCATATAATCAATTTTATCCGCCTTTAATTTTCTTAATGTCAAATAAATGCAATTCTATAATCTTAATATAGTATTACTTAAATATAAGCTTCAACAAAATTATTAATATAATATCTATGTTATGCATTTTTGCCATCTAAAAAAAGCCCAAAAAGGTTCGTTTACCAACTCTGGTATAATCAGTCTTCAATGCCCAATTCCTTTATATAAGAAACTTAATATATCGGCATTATTTGGACCATTTCTCTCTAAATATTTGTTCAAGCTCATTAGGCAATACTTTTAATCCCTCCCCAGTTAATGTATGAATGACATTTGCCTAATTCAAAATATTTAATAAGAAATTTCTACTAACAACTGATTAAACTATATTAGTTCTATCTAAAGATTCATGTAATTAGTTGTTGCAACTCCTGTCTAAAATTAATGTATTTTAGATAAAAAGTTTAATTATTATTGTCAATTTAAGGTTGGTTATTATTAAAAATAAAATGGCATTGATCCTCTAGTCTAACAATGAATATATATCTTTAGACTCTTATCTATTGAGTATTAATATTGATTGATTTTCTGCAAAATTAGTGCAATTCCTATCTTAAATACACCCTCTTTACATAAATTTTCTTCCTGATCTGAGAGTCTCTCTTCGACTCACAAAAATTAGAAAGCCATCAGACTATTGATTCAGTTTGCAATATCTAATCAAGACACATTTAATTATGAATATATTTTACCAATATTGGAAGGCTGGTAGATTCGTAGTTTAAAATTAATTCAAATTTGATGTGTTCCAAATTATATACAAAAAAAAACTATGATTTGGAATTCTGTAATAGTAGAGTCCTTCGCTTGTCTTTTATTAAGCGTTAAATTGAGAGTTATTGCCCATTACTTTATCGAAGGGATTAGAAAGATTATACTCATAATTAAAATATAATGTTCTTATTGAAAATATACCCTTTAGCATTTAGCAATAAATCAAACATCTGAATGAATATTACAATACATATGTTAATAGAATTACTACTTACAGTATTGTCCTTTGCAATATTTATCCAATCATGTTGGCTTCTGTAAATAATAACAAATAAGATCAATTCTTTAGTTATATCAGTCCATAAATTAGAAAGAATCCTATAGATGTATTTGATTTTTATTTCTATTTTAGATACTCTACATATAAATATATTTTGTAACTTGAATTATGGAATAATTTACATATGAATCTTTTCATCAATTTAAAGATTTTGATTATATCTTGATAGCTCTCCAAAAATCTTTTTATGGGCATCAATTGCTAAGCATCCACCATTTGTATTAATTAATTAAGAAATTAATAATAATTCATACAATCATCTTTATTTGAAATGTCTCCATTTATTTATTAAAAAATAATAGAGAATCAAAATTATAATTCGATGAATTTGACTAAAATTATTAATACGAGATTTATATTCGTTGAAATATCATTTGATTATAAATAATTTAAGATTAATTGCACAGATATAAAGTTTGTTACTGATCAATGGATTCGAACTTAAATGCTATATAAGATGAGGAAGACTTTGAAACCCTTCATAATAAGTACAGAGAACTCGTTACTTTTTCTCCAAAAACCAAGAGTTAGATAAATTAGAACAAAAATTTAAAGACCCTCAAATTAGTTCCATTTCAACTAATTTCTGAATCAAACATGTCTGATCAGGGTAATAAATCGACTAATCACACTTCCTCATTATAACCAAATTAAGTAGTTCAATCTCTTAATATCCTATAAAATGAACAGCCTTCCATCAGAAGAACCTGTCCTCTGATTGAACAATCAACCAAGAGTCTCTCACCTACGAAAAGCTCTTGTGAGTTAGCTTCTGATTACACGTTTAAATTATATGAGGGTCATAAGAGGGTGCGATTTCGAATTAATGAAAGAATTGAATGACTATCATTTACTATTTACATACCCATATTTACTAAAAAGAAAAATAAGCAGAGGATCTTAACAATATTTATAATATTCATATTCAAAATCGTTATAATGACTATTTCCTATACAAATGAGGGTCAGTCCTTGTATTTTGTGTTTGCCCTAAGTAGACGTCTCTTTCGATAGGCCTATTGCTAGCATACTTCTGATCAAGAATATTCTGAGAATTATTCATAACCTAAATAATAATAAATATAGTAACTGGCAAAGCTTTTACTGGTTGCTGCTTAAAAGGATTCATGCTCTTCTGATGCTCATTTTGCCTAATAGTTCGATCTGTATCTTAAGTAGTGTAATCCTTGATGATATTCATGCTCTATCTTTAAGATTTCTACTTTTATTATTCAATTTATGATCCCTTACTAATATGAGAATATTGTTATTGTTTTAATTCATCATTTTCCAAAATTAATCTCTAAAGATATTATGATTAGTCTTCCATCTTCCTCTTCATAGTCTCATAACAATTCTCATCCTCTAGTTCTGATGGTAATTTCATTTAAGGATTGCTTTTCAATAATTTTAGTCTAAATCTATTGTCTTTTTCCTTTCTTACCAAATCATTAAATTTGATTGTTAAAGTATTCAACTATTATGATAAGTCCATGATTGTATTCTCATATTTATTTTGAAGTTCCTACTCTTTGTCTGCAAAATTCATTTGCATACTTCGAGTAATTTCCTCAACTTCCTACTATAACTAATAAACTTAATTCTTAAATTTGATGGAATCTTCCGAATTCTTTCTATTCTCCTCATCTAACCCCTAGACTTGAATTCTCATCTTCTTTATTAACTAATCTTAATCGATCTTCTGTTTTGTCACCTCTGCCAAATCATTCATGATTTTCTTTCTCCATTCATCTTACTCTAAAAGTCTATAATCAACAATACTTATGAATGTTTCCCGTGTTTCATTCAAATTTGAAGCCAAATCTTCATTTTGGATACCCATGTCATACATCTGTTTCTTCAAAACATCTATTTACCTAGAAATTATGATTTATATTACAATTCATAGTTTTCTGTTATAGATAAAATTTTTTGATTTAAGACTTCATAATCATTATCTCTCTCCTTAAGTAGATTCTCTAATATCATCATTTTAGATCCATTCTATTCACAAACATCTATCAATTCCTCTATTCTTTTATTTAATTTCTCCATATCATTTAATTATTATTCACTCAACAATTCAAAATGCTTAGCTTTTTCTTACTATTTCTTTAAATTCTTCATTAATTATTCAGAGTGATCCTACTCATATTTAATAGTTTATTAATATTAAGTGATGCATTGTTCAATCTATGCTTAAACTTCTAATGAATATTATATTTTCATATCATCTATCTTCTATTCACTTGTCTACTCTAAATTAGCATATCTCTATTCCGATAATTATAACTAAATCAATATTAAAAACTTACCTAAGTTTAATTATTCTTCAATTGATTTTCCATAGTATCATTATCTTTGACAACAATATCTAATTTCATTTCAAGATCCTTAAGCTTATTATTCTTATCTTTCATTTCTTAACTCAATTCATCTCTCTATTCTTCCAATATCTTCACTTACTTACAAATTTCATCTAATCTTAAACTCATCTATTTCAATGCCTACTCCTTAAGATGAATGTTTTTAGCCATCTTAACGCATTCTGTCTCTTTCTAACTATATTGACTTTCAAAATCTTCTTACATTCTTATAAATATGAATATCTTACTTATTGATTAAAGTTTATAATTAATTCATCTATTCTTGTAAATTTTAATTAGAGAATTTTAATGTTGATATCATTTAATCTTTTATTTCTATTTCCTTCTTATTCTCCTAAATGATAGTCTTCTCCTTCTCCTACCAAATCAATAAATTATTATTAAATTCATTTTACTTGGTCTCCAATTCCATCTTGTATTATTCTAATTCTTTAATCAATTCATTTTCAATTTCTGCTTATTAACCCTATAATTATTCTTGATGCTTTAATTTGATCTCCTCAATTTACTATTTATTTTTGTTACTCAAATTTCTTAATTCCAATTCATAGAAGTCTTTTTGCTTATGAGACTCCCTATCAAATTCGATCTATCTATCTTCCATTGTCCCTTATAATATTCTTTAAGTTTAATTTAATTATTCATTAACATCATGCAATTATTTATTATCTGCCACCATTATGTCTAATCTACTTTCTAAATCATTTATTCTCTTCTCTTAAGCTAATATAGTTTAACTCATCATTTCTATTCTATGAATTTTAGATGCCAAATCTGCTTTTACATTTTCATAGTCAAACAAAGTTTGATCTCTTACTTTGAGTTCAATTTAAAATTCCATCAATTTTTGTTGTTACTCCTGAATTAATATTTGCAATTCTGATTTTTCAAATTGTAACTTATCAATTCTATTATCAACTTAGTGTATTTCACTTTTTCTCATTTCATCAATTTAATTAATTTATTATTGATATTTCCCTGCCCATTCTTTCCTAGTTTTATTGATTTCCTCATCTTTCTCACTCTATAATCTTTTTATTTAATTTTGCATCTGTTCATTTCTCATTGTCAGAGTTTGATTGATAGCTACAATCTTCTCGTTTTCCAACAAGACTATATTCAATTTATCTTCATAGTTCTTAGATAAATCCTAAAGACTAGCTTAATGGTTTTATAGATCATTTGTTAATTTTTCATTCTCTTGAAATTAATCATTGAGAAATGTTGTTAGACGCTCATTTTCAATTACAAGCAATGAAACCTTATTTTCTAATTCAAGATTTTTTATCTTCAATATCTTTTAGGCTGCTTCTGTAAAAGACTTCTCAACAATGCTTGAGCCATCATCATTTTCAGTGTTGATCTTCTTGGCTGATTAAGATAACACACACTTATTATCAGAGCCTTGGCTATCTGGATTCCATTTTCTTTTTGAATTTTCAATTAATACTTCTAATCGAATGTCATAGCACTGAAATTATTTTCCTTATGTCCTGATTTACTTTTGTTATCTGATTAAGGTGCTTATTGTAATGTAGCTAGTGATGGAATCGGAACTTTTAACACGTATTTTGGAGTGGAATGTTGAAATTTCTCTTCACCATCTTAAAATCCACTGCTTTGATTTGCTGACTTGAGAGTTGGTTGAATAAAAGGAGGATAAGGGATCATAAATTTGAAATTTTAATTAATATTCTGTTAACATGAATCCAATTATATAAGAATATAGTAAAATTCAAAATCTCATATTTGTTTCCTTTTAAAGCAATTTCTAAATTACCTTTACTATTGTAATTAACCATATATTATTCCTAATAAAACTTAGTGGAGATTATATAAAATTAATTTATAATAAAAATCCTCATTTTGTAATTAAGATTCCTAAATTGATTTTTATTATTAAAGAGAGAAATTAAAGTTGTAAAACTATTGAAATGGGAATAGAAGATTGATAATTACCAATTGGAAATGTAGTTGCTCAAAATTCAGAACTAAATTATATCTATTTATGATGTCGCACTATTTTCTCAATTGAAGCTTTTTATATTATAAGTATGAGACTTAATTTATGCTGTGAGTAAGAAAGTTAAGAATTGTTCTTAATTGTTATTTTTGCTGATGATAATTTGAATAATGAATATCTAAATTTCAACCAAGACTCTGATTTAACCTATTCTAGGTAAGGTTCTAGATTTTAATAAAAGAGTAAAGAATTCTCTTTTTGACTTAATTGAAATATTCAACCTATTTTAATACTTACTAATATTATACCAATAAGGTTTATACGGTAAATTTTATTTAACACTAGGCTTAGATGAACTTACATCCAGGACGCAATACTCTTAAGTTTGTAATTACTTCTATCAACCAATTATTATGGCTGTTAATAGAATATACTTATAAAAAAAACATTAAATTTTTGATTTTGTAACAAATGTATATTCTGAATTTATATTTTTATTTCCATTAATAATATTATTTAAAATATTTTTTTAATTGCAAAATTTTTATCACTATTGTTTGAATTGTTGAATCTTCTGATAATATACTTTATAAAATTTCCCAAGAGTGGCCTTATGAATTTAATTTCTAATATAGAGAAGTTATCTTCATTTAACTTTCTTTCTATGAGTGAACAAAAAGCTTTCTCATCACATTCTATAATTTTATTAATATTCGAAATCTTCTTAGAATAATTCAGAATTAAAATTTTTTTCATCTATTTTATATTCTATAAATTAGCATCACAATTTGGTATTTTTTGTCTAAAGTCTTAAAATGTATATGCTTTCATAATTTTTGTAAATTAAATTAATAAAAATGTTATAATAGAATTAGCCGATATAAATAGAGATCAATAAGATAATAGATGCACCTACAAATTAATATCCGAAGAGATAGTTTATTATAGAAGGTCTTTTGGCCACAGGAAGGAACAGTGAAGTATTCATAGCAAAACCTGTGTAGTGGGGTGTATATTAAAATAATGTTGCTTTAAAAATTCATTATTCATATAAAGTTGAAGTTAAATAATTATACTAAAAAGTAATCGAACATTAGAATAAGTTTGAAATTTAAAATAACTAAAATGATAATCAATCAAATTTTATTAGAATATATGATTATTTTGAGTATTTTGAATATTTAGTTTCAGTAATGGAGATAGGATAGAATGACTTAAAGAGTTATTTGAAGAAATATTAAAATCTAGCATTTTAATAGAAGTAATTGATATGCAAATAGGTAAAATTAAAATTAATTATTAGATATTATAATCAATTATATTCTTTCATTCTTTGAATCTGATTCATAAAGATATTTCACTTGATTGCTATCTAATGGTTGGTCTATCAGTTAAATTAATTAATTTTGGATCTGCATTCGAAAAAGATGATTTTACAGCATTCAATAAAGATGATGTAATAGTTAATCACGTATTTAAACCACCTGAAACTTACAATCATGAATACACTGCAGCAGCGGATGTTTGGTCGTTGGCTTGTATTTTTTATGAAGTTATGAGAGGATCATCGATATTTTTGGGTATTAAAAATTATTTATATTTAATTAGGCAGCAAAAATTTTGCAGAATTAAACCGACTTAAAATAAGTTAACCTTATATTTCAGAGAAAATAGATGAGTTATAAATAACTGAGGAGTGGAAATAAACAATGAAAAAAATGTTTTTTCCACAACCAAATTTAAGGATTACTCCAAAGGAAGCCATGGAACAATTATCGAAAAAATCTTCAGCTTTTATCATTTAAAAAATTTAATAGCCTAATTTTGTGGCACAATAATAATATCCTATTGCTTTATAATCTTAAAATTTCTTTAGATAAATTAATTAAGAATTTTAATAAACCTAAGTGTAATCATCAATATTTTTATAAATTAATGCAATGATTACAACTTTAGATTAGCCCAACACTATCAATTAATTATTACAATAAACAGAATAATCAAAGAAATTGTTAGAATCTTTAAAAGATAAAATCTAATAAATGTAAAATTAATTAGAAAATAATACTACCTCTTTATAACCAAAGCTTAGTTTTGATACTACCATATAAAATCAAAAATATTAATAAAAAAAAAAAGAATTTCCTCCTGCTATTTAATAGAGTTTAGATGAAATAAAGAAAAGATGTTTAGATATAGAAGAATAATGTATTTCGAATTCAGAAGAGGCAGAACTAAATTAAAATTTATAAAAAATAAATGAAGAATTTCAAATTCTCAAAAATGTTACCTAAAATTTAGATAAAATACAAAAAGAATATTTAAAATTATGTAAATAAGTCGATCAGTTAAAAGAAGAACAGAAAGTAATTTTGAAATCGAAGATTTTAGATGAAGAATTAAAGTAACTATATAGTGAAAATTACAAGCAACTTGATGTTTCTACTCTGAAGAAAGAAGTTGAAAAAAATTCAAAATTCATTTTCAATTTAGAATAATCCATTTATACAATTAATTATTTAGAAGTTTAGAAACAAAATTAACAAAATAAAATCGATAATTTAAATTAATTGATCTCAACATAAGCTCTTCTAGAGAATGAGGTTAAGATATAAAGAGATGAATTATTAGAGCTAAAATGCAAACAAAAGTAACAAGAGTTTTTGAACCTTGAAATTTAGAATAATAAGAAAGCAATACAACAACTCAAATAATAAGGTTAATAATTAACAGATGTTCAAAAATAATTTGAGGAATCTTAGAGAGAAATTGAAAACCATAGATCGTAGTTATCATAATTACGTAATCTGGAATTTGAAATAAAAAACAATAAAGATTAAGTTAAATAAATGAAAAGTAAAATCAATTAATTACCTGCATTGTAGAATGAAGCAGATAAATTAAATAAGGAGATAATATCATTAGAAAGAGATTATAAAAAATTATAAGAGACTGAAGAAAAAATAGGCAACCTGGTTGAATAAAAACAGTAATTAAAGGAACAAAACAATCAAAAGTCCGAAGAAATAAAAATATTAGAATAAAAATTAAATTAGTTTTGAAAGAAAAGATCAAAAGGGAGAAATATAATTATTTTTGTAATTAATAATAAAATAAATATAAATTTTCAATATTATCTTTAAAAATGATTGATTTAATTGAATAATATAGAACAGAAGATATTCAGCGGTTGTCATAATTGTTTAGTAAGCCAATCACTTAAAGACTGATGGAAGATTATTATAAACAGAATGAAAAAGCCATTGAATTTTATTAAGAGTAAAATAGGTTGTATGTAAAAATTGAAGGAATGCAAGAATGTGGAGTTCAACCAAAGGAATTGATTGAGTTATAAATGAGGAATGAAGAGTTGGAAAGATAAAATAGAGATTTATACACAGAAGTCTAAGAAACATCTAAGTAATTAAGGCACTTGAAAGAATAGAGCGAATTATAATAATAATGCATAAAGAATCTAGAGGGGGAAAAATTGGAATCATAAAATAAGATTTAAAAACTTGAAGACATTCTAGAGCAAAAGAATAAAGATATAAGAGAAATTGTTGAGAGTAGAGATAAATTACTTGTAGATATCGAATAATTAACAATTGTGAGAAGTTAATTAGAAGAGATGATGTTGAGAGAGAAAATGAAGATCCTAGAATAATTGAATGAAATAAATGAATTGAATGAAAGTGTATAAAGATAAAAAAGAGTATTAGAACAGGATCAGGATAGATTTAACAAATAATACAAAGATATTTAGACTTAAGGTAAATTTTAAACTTTAGCTCCTTTGGCAACAGAATAATAATTAGCAAAGAATGCATTCTTAGATGATATACCTTAAATGGTAGTCAGAAGGTTGAATAAGTTCCACAATGTAGAAATTTATGCTATTGCTTAAAATTTAAATGGAACTTTGATTGCTACTTGTGGAGGAGATAGAACAATTAGATTATACGATCCCTTTAATTTAACTTAGGTTTCATAATATTAGACATCTTCTGATGAAGTTTTTACAAGTGTAGAGTTCTCTCCATCTTAAGATTGTATTTTGGTATCTTCAACAGATAATTCCTGTTAATTATTTTATTTGTAATAGTGGAAATAGAAGATGAGAGGAAGTGGACATGTGGATTAGGTCACTTGCTCAACATTTTTGGGTGGAGACAAAGATTCCTGTGTTTCAGGATCTAAAGACAGATAAATAAAATTATGGAATATTAATAATTCATTTTGTACAAGAACTCTGTCAACTGGAAGTCAAGTGTTATCAATCATTAGTGAACATAATGTACCTGTTATTATTTCAGGACACAGGGATGGATCTATCAGAGGATATTCATTAAAAAGTGATCCAAAGCCAATTTTTTAAGAGAAATCCTTTTTTGATGATTCGGTCACTTCTTTGTGCATATCGCAAGATAATCATACATTGTTATGTTGTTCGAAGGAAGGTTACTATATTAAGTCTTATGATTTGAGAATGAATAAATTATTGAAGACTTATGAACATGATAAGTACATGAATAGTCATGATCATAACATGATCACATTTGGACCAGATGAGAAATATATTATTGCTGGAAATTGTAATCACATTAATTTTATATAACATAGCTGATAGCAGTCTGATTTCTTGGAATATTAATGGTAGATTTCACAAGTAGTTAACAAAGGGTTAACATGAAGGAGTTGTTCTAAGTGTATCATTTCATCCTGTTTCTGGATAAATGTATTCTGCAGATACTCGTGGGAACTTAGTAATTTGGAAATGATAATATATGTTGTTATGTATGTCATTTTAAATATTTAATTATATATATAATTGTCAAATTTTCACCTTCTTATTGATCGAGTCTCCAGCAATCCACGTTTGTATTTACTTTTAACATTTAAGAAATGCTTCGTATTCAATGTAGTCTACTATGATTTAATATTTTTCTCCTTCTATTTCAACGAATGCATTTGGAGATGTATTCTAAATCATATGCACTATCAGTCCAATTTGTTCAGGTGCCAATTGTTTGAGATTATTCGAAAATTCAACTTTATCATTGTAACTCACTTAATCTTAAGGTTCCTCCTAGAATACATCTGCTCCTGCATCTTTATATTTAGGCACCAATTGTGGCAGATTCACAAGAGGTAAATAGTTTCTAACATTTTTCTTAAACAATCTCTCTAATTTCTCTGCCAACTTAGTAATCCACTTTATTATTTGTAATAATATATACGCTCTATGAACCATTATACAATTTGCAATTATCCCAAATTAATTGGATATCATCCAAACATTCTTCCACTGTTTTGTATGTGTTGCTATTTAATTTCCTTTAAACAGTGCCAAGATCCATAGGCTTTTTAACAATAGTAATATAGTCATGTAAATTTAATGCTTTGTAATCTACAGGTTGTCTGAATTCCACACTGTCATTTGAGTCTAGTAATTATTGAACTATTTAATTTAAACGCCTTTATTCTTCTTTATTGAGTGGTGTTTGTGTTGTTTTCATCATAAATAATTTAATATATACTTAATTTTAAGAGGGAAAATAGAATTGCTTCATAATTTAGAAATGATCATTTTTAATATTACTACATATATTAGAACTCATAAGTTAGGACTTTCTAATGGTTATCTAATTTTATCTGCTTATACAGTCAACCAAAATTATGTTATAATTTATATCTGGGTATAAAAAATATTTGAATGATTAACTATTATCACTTTTGCTCAGAGTCTTTTCTGTGTCAGCGAATTATGTTGTATGAATACTTTCTAAGTCAAATATTCATATAATCTTAAACTAATATGTCTTTAAACATAGATTTCCTTTTAAAATTATGGAATTATTATATATGCTTTAAAGTATGTTATTCAAAAGATTGTAAAATTGTTTGGATCTATTTTCATCTCAATGCAAAATTCAATTAGATTATCATGAAACTAAAATTTCTAACAAGTTCTAAATATTGATTATCAATCTTAAAACTAGTACTTTTTTTTATATACTAACCCCTAATTTGAGAAATATTGAGAATTACTCTCATACGAATTGGAATAACCTAAATCGTATTTGATAATTGAATTTCCAAATCAACATCATACTTTGCATCAAAAAATGGTGATTTAAAGAAAAGTCTTCTAAATCTGTTTAATGGATTATTATCTTATTATCTACCTGAAAAATTACTCATGTCACACTTTATTGTGGGATTAGCACCTTTTGATGTAATTTATTTCTGATGCATTTAATGTATCACACAATAATTTGTTATTGAAAATGTATCCATCTCTTATCCATTTTAGGATATAAATGAATAGAATTAATTCTATTTTACTTTTAAGATTGCTTATAGCCCATAATTTTGGAGAGGGATTCATAGTGTTATCGAATAAATATTTAAGTTTAATTTAATTAAAATTTATTCTAATTATTGAAAAGGAGTGTGAACAATATAATAATTATAAGAAAATTTATTATTGTAATGTATTATTACAATTAAAGAATACCAGTTCCGTTACAGAGAATAGAATTCAAACACATTCTTTCAGGTTTACAGAAGCATTCACAAAGCTAGGATGAAATAAATTAGAAGCCTTTAGCAACTAGAAAGTATTGATCAATAAGCATATAAGAAGAAACATAAAAAAACCTGAAGTAAAATTCTTATAGGACTTATAAAGAAATGAGAAACAGGATCAACTAGCATTATAAACGACGGACATAATGTGGGATGATCGAATTATATAGAAATTGGAGAAATTAAAAAAGCAACCTAATGAATTCTTTGAAAAGGTTCCGAAAGATCCTATTACCTTAATGAATTCATCTAAAATAAATAAATTCTTTGAAATAAGAATATTGGCATAATCAAAAGAAGATGTTTCAAAAGCTTCAAGAGAATCTTAAAGATAATTAAATCAAATTTAAGAGGTGGCAGTTAAGGAGCTATTGAATAAGTATCCCCATTAATTTAACTTTACGTCATCAGCAGATGCAAGAAAGAAAAAGGAGGTGTTGGACACAAAGGATAAATATATGAAATTATTCTTTGTGAGAAATTGTTCGACGAGTATGAGTAAATCAAAAGCCAATAATAAACATTTACATAATAGTGATGACTAATAGAAATATATGGATAATATCGAATAAATATAGGAGAGACAGAAATTAAAAAGCAATTTGTCATTTTGCACATGGAACAAATTGCAGGAATTAGAATGTCCAGGTTACTGTTCTTTTATAAAACAACTAGCAGTTAAAAATAAATTGTAACAGAGTTGTTCTTAATAGAAAATTGACTCGTATAACTTAGTAAATGATTGATGGAATATATGTCAATATAATTATTTTTGTTAATTTTATAATAAATTTTATATTAATGGAAGAGAAGTGCAAATTACATTAGAAAGACATCACTCATATGTACATATATTTATAAAAGAGATAGTTGCATACATCCTGATTGTTTTAAATATAAAAGATTGTGTCCCGATTGCATAGTGAATCACGAAAGCAGACATAAGAAGAATTAAATATATTAGAATAGCCAGTTCACAATAACAATATAGGAATGTAAATAATAGGTAGAGAAGAATTTGAATACTGTGAAGGAAGAGCTTGAATTAGCAGAGAATAGGGCTGCAAATGCATTAATAACATCAGTGAATAGCAACATTGATGAAATCATCTTAGAAATAGAATCAATAAGACAATAGATTCATAAATTGTTTGACAAATACATTCAAGGATTGAGGGATAAATTTGAATATAAAGTAAAGCAGAGTATTCATGCTTTGTATGATATAATCTAAGGTTAATTGACACAGATTAGACAATTTTAGAATGATATCAATTCAATTGATACTCAAAAGAAAGTGATGTCTACAGATTTGGATTACTAAGTGTAATATCAGAAGAATAGATTGGAATCTCTTATTTATTAAAGAGCCAATCAGAAGTTCTATGGTAGAATAGATGACGATGTGGCCTTACATTTTATTGGAGTGATTTAGAAAGAGTTAGAATAATTAGTTATATATGAGAAAAACAAGTTAAGTTCATAAATTGAGAGCCTTAATCAAATGACTATTAAGGCACAATAAACCAAATAAAAATCAATTAAGAATTTTCAAAAGTTTTTAAGTTATGCCCCTGAGAAACTAGATGAAATGAAAAATACAATGTAGGGTCCTTAAGAATATTCATTCTATAGATCATGGTTGCATTATTTCGAGCCTGGAACCAAATTCTTATATTATTTAGATTTGAAACAACAAAATCCACAAATCACAAAAATTGAATTAGAAATCAATTTTCTTATCACTTAAGGAAGCAGGTCTATTTTAGCTTCAGATGGTCAAATATATTATTTTTCAGGATATGATAATGGGTTTAATGAGGATGAAAATAAGACAATTTACTAATATGATCATCCATAATTAACCTTCATCAAAAAGAGTAGAATGTATACTCTAAGAAAGAACTTTTCGTTATCTTGTACAGTTGATAAAGATATATTTATTATTGGAGGTTAAAATTATAAAGAAGGGTGTTTGGCAAAATGTGAAAAATATAATATAAATACAAATCAAATTACATTAATTAAGTACAATTTAATAAATCATTTTAAGTCATCTAACAGAATTGTCAACATTGCATTCATCATGTACATATAATAATAAATTGATTGTTAAGTTTGGTGGGTTGATTGCCAATACTGAAGGAGAAGACCTAAAAAAATAATGTTCAGGATTGTTAGAATTATACTTTATAGAATAAGATTGTTGGGAGAGGGTTGAGAACACTACAAATCATACTTAATATCCACTGCATACTATCTTATCTACTTCCATATAAATACTTAATTCTAATATGATATATATATTTGGTGGACAAATATTATAAAAATAATCATTTCAAACAGTAAATCAAGGGTTTATGATTCAGATAGAGGAAGAAGAAGAATTTGATTAAGATTAAATAAGTATTTTAATGTATTATTCCTTTAGAATTTTAACCAAAATTATATTATTAACTGTAACATCCCATTCCACAATAAGCGCACTTTTTAACACAACCGATTTACTATTCTAACAAAATCATGTGTCTTTTGAAGGATGGCTAAATCATTAGGTCTTGTTATGAAAAAAATAAATGGAAATCATTTTGATAATTTGAGGTATTTATTTTATTAATAAATAATATTTAAATTGTTTTTAACATCTATACAAATTAATGAAATAAAAGATATTAACATCTAAACCTTTTGATGTATGAATTATTACTCATTATCATAATTCAATATTAAATTTAAGACTCATAATTCCTCGATCTCTTTATTTCATCTATCTATTATTTTCAAAGAAGAATTAATCATATACGATAATTTTAAGGATGCTCATTATTGTATTTTGAAGAGAATTAAGATAAAATATAAAAAAATTGGAACATCCTTGATTTCAAAGTTGCTAACTAAAATTATATTTTAAGATGAAAATTAATATGCACCTTTTGCAAGAAAAAGATTATTATTAAAAATAGTAAATTAAATAGAATAATTTAGAAAGTATAAAATGATTAGTTAAGCTAAATATTCATATTTATTATCTAATTTCAGCATTTATTCATGCCAATTTAATCTATTTGGGAAATATTATGAATTAGACTAAATATGATGAACTAAACTTGAAACAAGTCTTGTGAGAAGGAACAAATAAATAATTATCAATTATCGTATTATCAACTAAAATTAAATGATTTTAGAATATTTAAACATTAATCATTAATAATGAATTATCTTTATTATATATTTTCTATATCTGATCTAATGAAATTACTCATCTTCAAAATAGGTTTATTATTTTTGAGAATGAAAGAGACTATGATATAAGTAACCCCTCATATTAATTTCAGTTGTCAATATTAATAGTTTGAATCCTCAGATAAGGATATTTTGAGATGTCTAATATGATAATTTGATTCTAGCATACAGCACCCCTATTTTAATAAAAAGCTATATATTAATTAACATAAATTATAATGTTGTAGATATTTGATATTAGTGGACCAACCAAACCAAAAAATGATAATGAAAGTCTCTTTCCTTCGCTCTCATATAAGGAAAGATTAATGGGATTTGCATTCTGTTCTGTTTTAGGTAAGGAATGTAATTTATAGATAAGGATACTTTATCTAAATATTAAGTTTTGGATCTTTTATAGGAATTTTGGGTGGAAGTCCAAATAAATTTGCACTTACTTATAGTTTAGGAAATATTTTAGCATTGTTTGGGTAATTCTGAATATTATTTATTAATAGAACAGCCTTTCTTATAGGATTCAAGAAATAATTTGAAAATATGATAGACAAAGAAAGAAAGCTAACATCTATTATCTTTGCTTCTTCTTTAGTAATGATCTTTCTTTCAGTTTATTTGTTTAAATCAAAACTTCTGGTTTTGATCTTTTTAGTGGCTGAATTCTGTTCATATACATGGTATGTGGCCAGTTACATTCCATTTGCAAGAGACTGCATCAAAGGATGTTTAAGAAACATAATAAAAGCATGATTTATCATACATTTGAATTTATTGTAATACTTAATTTCATTATTCTGTAAAATGATGTATAATATATATATATTTTCTTTGCTGATAATTTATAATATTTCCAATGATTTTAGATATGATAGGAAATTTATCAATGATATCTATTCTCAATATTAAGAATTTACTTGAAAAACCTACACTTCTATTAATTCATTATAATGAAAATAATCAAACTATCTGAATTAATTCATAACATTGAATGCTTAGTTTAAAGTCATTCTTTTGATTATATACATTTCGAGCCATATATCTTAAATATTGTTAATATATTGTCATTTGTAGGATCTAAATAATATATTTGTCACGTATTCTAATATATATACAGAAATAAATTTATTTTACAAAATATCATTAAATGTTATTGTCAACTTCGAAGCTATCAACATCAAAACTTCAAAGATCATAATTGTCAAGTCCATAAAGATCAAACGTTAATTATTTGAGTCAAGATCTTGATTCACCATCTAGATAAAGAATTAAACTTCTTTCTGATAAATGGAATCACATCTAGAATGGAATAGACAAGGATAAATTGGAGAAGAGGGAAGTTTTGGAGGAAAGAATCAAAATTATTGAAGATGTTTTATCCTCTGAAAAACCAAAAGACGAGTAGAGATTCAAAGTTTTGAAGGATTCAGTCCTCAAATTATAAGATTATGCCCATAACCAAAAGGGAGAAAGAGAAGTATTAATACACTTGTAGCCTTTAGGCTTTCGATGATAAGAAAGAGAGGGACTTTAAAACTCTATCGGACAATATAGCTTTATCATTTGATTAGGAAAGGAATATTAGAGGGTAAGGAGAAACTAAATTGCAAAAACAAATTGATGAGAGATTCACTTAGATCACATTGACAATAACTAGAAATAGCCATTAATACGAAGACAGAAGTTAAGTTAAGATTGCAGAAGTGCTTTAATAAATATAATTGGTTAAAAATTAATTGGATTAAGAGAGAAGATCTAGGTATTTAAATTAGGTTGTATATCTTTAGAGAAGAATCATCAGAGAGTTTGGGTGATCAAATTGATTAAGAAATCAATAAGTTCTCAGATCAATTGTTGATTGAGAAGAAAGTTAGAGAAGAGACTTAGGGAAAGATCTTCAGAATGATAGAAGATGTGCATGGCAAATTATAATAAGACATCAACTTTGAGAGAAGGGAAAGAGAAAGTACCACTGAGGCACTGTTGAAACTATTGGAAGATGCTTGCATCTAAATTGATAAGAATTTTAGATATTGATCATATGATATCAGTATTAATATAAGATTTTATAAATTCTAATTATGTCTCTGAAATTATTATTAGATAATTAAAATGTATATATTGATAATGACCAAATAATCATGCCTACTCTTATCCAACTTGGAGTTCTAGTTCTGCGATTCTTCTTTAAAGACCAAGTAGTTATTATTGGAGGGCAGTTTTTTCTCCTTTAAGAGCAGTAATTTATTATTATAATCTAGAATTCTCTGCTTTTTAATGGGCAAAATGTCTACTTTATTAAATTAGAATACCGTTTCATTTCCTCTTCGATTCTCATTAATTCATTAGTTAATGTTTTTTTGACATCTTGGGTTTTCATACTTAAAACAGATTCAAGTGTGTCTTTCTCGGATTTTAATATCTAGACTTCTTTCTTATGGAAGTTCATCTCATCTTAAATGCCTTTTATTGTTTCCTATTATTATATATTGTATCAGTTTCATTACTTCCAAACTCATTAGTTTCCCTTTCAAGGATGCTGGATTTTGAGATCCTGCAAAACTCTATCCAGTCTATCCCATATCATTACCCTTTGAGAGTGTGTTACCAGCTTATTTAAATGTGTTGCTCATTTTAGAGATGTAAAATTTTAATTATTTAAGAAAATTATATAAACTTATGAAAGAACATTATATTTTTTATATTTGATAAATATATATGGGTTTCAATCTGCTAAATATTATTTCTCTACTAATTCAATCAATTATTAAGGATCGTTAGGGAATGCTTTTGAAGAATCAATAGTCTACAACAATAACAATAATTCTTATTGTTAGCGAGTACTTAATTCGGATTGTCTTTTATATTCATTAACAAAATTCTATATAAAATACTTAGTATAGTGTCTGATCTTAAAATTTTACCACAACTATTTTTTATTGAACATTTGGTAGTCCAACAAAGAATGATAAGACTTATAAACTTAAGATCCTTAATTAATACACTACTTATTTTCAGTGAAATATCTGATTTAAAGATTGAAAATTAATTCTTCTAATGTTTCATCAAGTGGTTATTTAACTTTCATTTCACTCTATTTTAGAATCAATTCAGTGATAAATTCTAACTTGGCTTCCTAAATTATGATAAGAAATAACAATACTTATGGATATAATATTTTCAATTAATCTTTAATGAGCCTGTCTTCAAGTAATTCCTTAGCAGAGGCTCTCCTTTCTTAATTGTAATCCAACATTCTCCTAATCAGATTTCTCATTTGCTCAGATTTGATTTTTTGAAATGGAAGTTTATATTTAGGGTCCGACATTTTCTCAATTTCTGCGTCAAACTCTGGATCCTACTCTCGGAATTCCTTTTTCCATGGGTATTAGCTTTCTCCAAAGTAATATAAAATCATGCCCAAACTCCAAATATCACTTTTGTAATAATCAATTTCTGTCGATTGATCAACTCCTAACATTTAAGGACTCATAAAGAACTATAGTAATATCTAAATTCATTACTTCATTGCCTCCAATAGTCATAGATTGTAACAATTGATTTTCATCTATGATTCTTGAAGATCCAAAATCAAAAATCTTATAAATATTATCAGAACTAAATAAAATGTTTGAAGGATTCAAATCTCTGTTTGTTAAAGACAATGATTCCATATAATTAAGACAATGAATCAACTGAGAACCTAAATTCAACATATTCACTAATATGATAAATAAATATGATACTTTCATCGAAGGCTTATGATGTGCGCAATAATCTTTAGAACATTATTTTTAAAGTTATTTATTCGTCATATTCTCTAAAAATATACATCTAATTGTCCTTCTCTATAATTTTGTATGTCTTGGCAATATTTTAGTGATTCACTCTAATCAGTACTTCTCTCTCCCTTTAAGCTGATATACGGTCTTCCTATTTTAGAGAATATCCAATAACCTCTTTTTTTAGATTGTTAATTTTCACAGCACAAGGCAATTGACTCTCCGATCCATAATTTATGTATCCCAGCGAATACATATCCCCATTCTGGGTTCTAAGACTCTTAATTTACTCCCTGGTAATTGCATAACCAGGTTCAAGTACTGTTACGGGTTTCAATTCTGCCATTTATTTCTTAATTAAATTATAATAGAAATTAATATTCATATCTCTATTACTCCATCAATATCTTAATTAATAGAATTATAAGATTTCAGTCAAGTATTAAGGAAGCAAATCAGGTTCTTTTGCAAAGTCTTCAAGGAGTAACTCATTGTTATTTTCATCTGCTCCAAACAATGCTCTCACTCTTGCTAAATCAATTAAAATCCTATATATTTGACCCTAAATCAATTTGAAATTTTAAGAATTATGTTCATTTATCCTTCCATTAGAATAGTATATGATCTATAGGATTTAATTATAGATTAAAATGTTGTTATTCGTAGTCTATTCATAAAAGCCCTCTTATCCAAAGGCAAACCCCCTCAAATCCAAAGTTTACAAATATTATAAATATTTTCTTGCAAAACAAAATAAATCACTAATTAATTCCTGTTAAGTTTGCTTATTTTTTTCGAAACTCAATATCATTTTCTATATTATTTTTTAAAGTAACATATTCTTCAAATTAAATATATTCAAAAAAATGATTATTAATGTCCTTTTTCAATTAATCGTATGTTTTTTGATTTAGATCGCAAAGATAATTGATATAACTATTAAATTCAGAGTTCAAACTATAGTATATTATTATTAGTTCATTTGCCATATAATTAATTGTTTTTATTAGCATAATAGTATTGCTAGTTAGTTTATTCAAAAGTATGCAAATGTTTCTGAGTTTGTTCCAATACTGAATTTTATTCCTTTTTTGTACTTAATTCATTATATTCTTGCAGACGTATGAAGTAATATTTTTATTCGCTTTATTAAGTAGAAGCTCTATTTATTTTATTCAATTTTTTAATATTCCTAACAATCAAAAATGCTATCCTACTGGATTTAATTGACTTCAAATTATATTTCACTATAGATAGCTAGATTTTTTTTTTAATTGCAAATCCAATATGGACTTAGTTTAACCTGACTTATTTTGGAAAAATTCATTTTAGAATCTCAGGAGCTAGTATTTATTATATGTAAATACCCATATTTAACTCAGTACCAACATATGTATTAGTGAGTTCCTCATTCATTAATTACTTAGCCAAACCAAAATCCAGTAATTTGTATTATGCATTGTAAAAGACACTTAGAGCATTATTTTAAAGCAATCTCTACTCCTCTTCTGCTATCAATTTCACTCCTATGTTGGCCAATTTAATATCTCTGTGAATGACCTTATTCTTATGTAAATGATGCAATCCATTCAAATATGATAATTACTAAATCATCAAAATACCCTTTTTAAACAGTTATTTCAACATTTTCTCGGCATCAATAAAGCAAAGCTCAAAAATAATATTGTTTTTCGGGTACCTCTATAACAAGATTCAATGTTTGTTGAACTTAAGCAACCTCAATTAATTAAATTATATTATTATTATTCTATTTCGTGAAAGCAATACTATTTCGTTTTTCATGTAGGGAATAACCTCCTTTTAAATCTTTTCTAAACCAATAATCTAGAGAAAAGTATTGTTATTACTTTGATTGCTACAAATTCGTTATTGTTTGTTTTGCATTTAAACACTTAGGAGAATGCTCCTGCTCCTATAAATTCAGGATTTGTGTATTTATTTGGGAATACATTATTAATGGCTTCAATCTCTTATTCTACAATTTATAATTATATAAAATGGGGTAAATAATATAACAATTTATTTGCTGATTGTTTAAACTTAGTTTCAAATTGATATATATTTTAAATCAGATAAATATGATGAATTCTTACATGTTTAAGTAGGTAAATATGAGGTATGATTTTCATTATAATAATACTTTATGATAAGTTCCCTCTCTTTTATCAATCAGAAAGGAGAAATCCTGATCTACAGAGTTTATAAGGATGATATCAGCAGAAGTGAAATAACTTAATTTTGTGCCAAAATGATAGCTACAAAAGAAAATAAAGAATCTCCAATAATCAACATTGATTGTATTTATGTTCTTTCAATGTTAATAGAAACATCTTTCATTCACATTTCAATCAAAGATATCATAATATTAGCAACTACAAAGACTGATGTAAATGTAGCTATGGTTCTTGAATTTTTATATCAATTGGTATTAGTTGTTGTATATGTATAAGTCAAAAATTTGTAAATCCTACTTTTAAGGCATTCTCGATGAAAACTGTATAAAAAAGAGTTTTGTCCTAATCTATGAGATTCTCGACGAAGTACTTGATTATGGGATACCACAAATTGCAGATCCAAATTTATTATAAAAAGTTAGCACCCATCATATTTTTTAGTTTATTTAAGAAGGAGGAATGTAATAAGAAGCAACTATAAGCATAGATAAATTCAGATCACTAACAGGTACCATTACTGGTGCTGTATCATGGAGACCACCTGGACTGCATTATGACAAGAATGAATTGTATCTTGATATAATTGAATCTGTGAATCTATTGATTTCAGCAAAAGACACTGTATTAAGGGCTGAAGTAGTGGGATCTATCGAACTTAAAAGTAAGCTCACAGGGATGCCTGAATGTTAAATTGGAATGAACGATAAACTATTAATGGGGAAACAAGCAAGAATGACTAAATAAAATGGTGGAATCGTAATTGATGATATGAAATTTCATCCATGTGTGGGATTACCAAAATTTGAAAAGGATAGGACAATTACATTTATCCCACCTGATGGCCATTTCTAGTTGATGTCTTATAGGATCTCAGAGAACATTAATATTCCATTTAAAGTGAATGTGTTCTATAGTGAAATTAGCGAAAATAAGTTGGAAATACGGTTGAAAGTAAAACTTATTATGAAGATAGATTAAATCAATATATGATAAAAATGTCTATGGTACAAATATTGCAGTAAAAGTGCCTGTGCCTAAGAACACTGTGAATGTGGTATCTGCAACTGGATTAGGAAAAGCAAAGCATGAAATAGAAGAGTAAAGTGTAATTTGGAGAATCAAGAAATTGTAAGGAGATGTTGAAACATCGTTAAGGTATAACTAATTATGAGGATATTTTAGGTGTGAAATTAGTTTGGGTGCTACAAATAGAGATTAGACATGGAGTAAACCACCTTTGAAAATGGAATTCTAAATTCCTATGTTCACATCGAGTGGATTTAGAGTGAGATTCTTGAAGGTGATGGAAAAAGGGGCATATAAAACAAATAAATGGATTAGATATTTAACAAGGGGAGGAGATTATTTGCACAGATTATGAAGATTGAATAATATTAATTAATCACATTTAATCAATAAATCTGAATAGTCGTTTTTATTATTTAAAATAAATGAGAACAGGAATCTTGGTTTGTTTAGTATTGAGTGTATTGAGTGTAGAACTCAATATGGAAAGACACTAAGAAGAAGTGATGAGTAAATTAAGAGAATCTAAATGGGCTTCTTTTATTTTAGAGTTTGCAGAAGTAGAATTGGGAAGTGGAGGTGCTTTGACAGAATTGGTTGAAGCCATCAATTAATTGATTGACTAATTAGAAGAAGAATTAGACGATATTCATAATGCTTATTCTAGAAGAACAGATGAACACAATAGAGATGTAACAAGATATGAATAAGAAATTTAAGATGCTGATAGAGGTTAGCATTTTTAATATTATTAGACATTTTCAATGGTGAAGATTTCATCGATAATGTTCTCATTCCCTAAAAGCAAAGATTCCAAGATGCTTTGGCTTAATTAAAAATAAACATTGAAGAAAATAGAAGAATACTTGATTAAGAAACAGTCAATAGAAAGAAATAACACGAACAATTCTTATCAAATATTGCTGAAATCAATGAAGCCATCGGTGCTGTTGATGAATCCTTAGGACTTTTGTCTTAGATTACTAACCCATCTCTTGTGTAATTCAAGAGAGTTTAATCGAACTTGGGAAGAATCTAAACTTCTTTCTAAAATCACTCTTCATTTGCTCCAATCATTAAAGCTTTACTTGAGTTAGCAACTGAATAAAACTTTGCTGATTAAGGTTCTCTCTAATAATTGGTCAAGATTTTCAATGAATTAAGAGTTCAATTTGTTGACACATTAAATCAAGAAACTGCTGATGAAAGTGCAGCTGAAACCAAATTCAGTGAAAGAGTAGCTTAATTGGAAAAAGAATTCGCTGAATTCTAAAGAGCAGTTCTTATTAAAAATTCTGAAATTGCTGCAAATGAATGTAATCTATTTGTTATATTCTAGAAAAATTAGGAGAAACCATCGTTTATGTCGGATAAAGAAAGGATGACAGAGCTACTTTGTAAGCTTAATTACAAGCTGAAAATGATAACTATGCTGCAGAAACTGATCTCTACAATAGAACAGTTGCTGAATACAATAAAGAAATTGAAATCAGTAAGTAAGCACTCGGCTTATTAACATAACCAAGCTTTGAATAATACGTTAAATCCAAAGTCGGAATTTGATTTAAATAACATACCAAAATCAATATATATATATATATTTTCAATCTAATTGTCATAAACTTCCTCATTATTTAATTTAGCCTTTTAATACATTTTCCAATTTCTTCACAATATTCTGATTTTGATTTCAATATGTTAAAATCCTTTTCTAATTGATTAGATTTTATTCTATAAAATCAGCACTAATCTAAAGAGGGTATTTGATGATTCGATCAAATTTTTGTAAGTGTAAATATTTTAGAAATTCTCTACATCTTTTATAACAGTTGATATTTAATGTTTCAAATTTGTATAACTTATAATCTAGAGATGCTAAGTATTCATTAATTTTTTATTATTTTTAAATCAAATCGGAAATAGTAGAATATATCTTAAGGGTTTATTTACCCATTATCAGTGCAAAATGCAGAGGAAGTTATGAATTAATAGAATAAATAATATTCGAAGTATAATTAATTTTATTAATATTATTATTAATAATAGATTGAAGAAGAATTGCTTTCATAGATCTATTAAATTTTAAATTAAACTTTTTCATTAACTAAGGTTCTAAGGCTTTGATTTAATTTATTGATAATTCTCTCTCTAATTTTTGAACATATATGTATATAAAACAAAGTTTTCTAGAATAGTATTCCGATATTTTTTTCAAACAGATTTTGGATTTTCCTTTTAATAGCTTATAATTAATAATTGACTAAAAAATAATCATTATTCCTTAAACGAAATGCAGATAAGAAAATTATCTTGCTTTTGAGGAGTTTTATAAATTTTAGCTTTAGTCTTTACCAAACTAATTGCGATTAAATGAAAGGAATTTCATAGAAGTATTCTATTAATAGATATTAGAAAAGCATTGTTCATCATCATAAAAAACTTGTTCAGAATATTTAAATAAGTATTATTCACTAGATATAATTGATAATTGATATCTAAGAAAAATATCAATAATATATATGTCTAATTTTTATTGAGTTATAATTATTTATAGATAAATAAGTATTCATAAACATCAGCACACGTACTTGTATATTTTTTTGCTTATATTCTATTTATGCTTTTTTCCAAAAAGTTAATAATCTTTTTGTCCTTAGAATTATTCTATGTAATTAATCTCGTTTATTTCAAGTACTGAAAAGTCATCGATTTTGAATAATTGCAAACCTTTTTATTTATAGTTTTAATATTATTCGAAGTTTTCTTCCAATTGGACACTGTTTTCTTTTACCAATTCATTTTAGGTATTTTATTAAAGTGTCGGATTCCATTACTAATTAGAGATATCAAAGTGATATAGAGTTTTTTTCGATTTACTTTCCTCATTTAAAAATTCTTTTTGAGTTCTCTTGTTCAGCAATGAATCATATTATTAAACCTCATCATCATATTATTATTCCCCATAAAAGTCATCATTTGGTTGATTTTATTGCTTTCTAGCTGTTGCTCTTATGTATACTCTTTGATTAATCATTTTAATTTCTAATTAAATTAATAAATCGCTTGTTAAATTAATTTGCTTATAAAAAAAAAATATTCTACAAATAAAAACATAAAATAGTAATATAGGGAATAATTCTATTTATTTAATATAATATCTCTATATTTTATTTCACTTCAAATTTTTATCCCTAAACTTCCTAAATAATTCTTCCCATAGTTTTTGGGGTTCTCTTTATAATTATCTTAAAATTATAATATATGTGGTTCCGCCAAATCTTCATCTCCCATAATGCCTTCAGGTGAAGAAACTACTGGATCACACAATATAAATTCAGCACCATCAAAATTACCTTAAATATTTGAGACCATCAACATTTTTTGAGTGGCCAAATATGTGAAAAGGGAAAAAGCATTAAGATAACTTGTCACTTTCAGATCCTTATCCATAGACTCACCTTCCCCATTGAATTTTATGAAGGTTCCTTTTACTAATCTCTCTGCAATATAGTAGTCTAGAAAAAGTGAATAAAATTTTCTTTACTTCCTTCTGTTTGTAATAAAAAGGGTTCCTTGTATGAAAATTTGCAAGGAGGCTTTTCAGAAGAAGCCTTTTGAATCTTATCTTGGAAATGCTCAGCTAAAACTCTTGCTATTAGGGAACTTTAAGCAACATAAAGTGCCTTTTCAACAGTCACTATTCTCTCGAAACCAGTCAATTCTTTAACTAAGAAAATCTAATGAGTATAACGATCTCCATCACTATTTATGACCTACATCAGAAATCCTTTTCTTTTTGTACCATCACCATTCTACGATAATTAAATTATATTTTACAATTCCTAAACTTCTTTTGATTTACCAAGTTCCAATTGGTTCTCTAACTACAAATTATGATATATTAGGTTCCTAAGATTTAGTTAAACTCTCTATTGCTTTATTTGTATCCACCCTAATTAATTCAACTTGAGCGGTGTAATCATTAGTCATTATATTCTCATTCTTTAAAAATTCAAAAGGATTTGACATATTTCTAAAAACAGCCTCCGTGGGTGAAATTATTTTACCATCTCCTACCTTTCTAAGTGCATTCTCTTTAATTCTTTTGGCTAATTAAACTCTTTTGTGTTCTTCAATTTTTAGTTTTTCCTTCTCTTTGTCTAATTAATTAAATAATTTTTAGATTTCCTAGTTTGCCTTCTGCATGCTTGAATTGTATGTTTCATTTAAATTATTTAACTAGTTTTCCAATTTCATAATTATAGCTCCCTTTTATTAAATTTCATCTTATAATTAATCTTTTGTTCTTCTGAGTTCTTCTCTTTATTTTTTGATATCACCTTCCAACTAAAGAATTTTATCTTATTTTTCCTCCTCTGATTTATTCATCTTGTTTAATTATGCATCCTTTGAGTTTTTGATATCTTTTATAACATGATCTTTTCTTTCTATTTCTTATTATTAATCCTTAGCTTCTTCTCTTAATTTATTAACAGTTTTTAATTAAAAACTCAACTCTGCCTCTACTTCACCTAATTTCCTTTGAATTTCCATATATCTAGAAGTTTGATCAGAAATATCTTTCTTTTATTGAGATATTATATCTTTGTATTATTGACACTTTTCTTCTGATCTTCTTAATTCTTCCTTCAGATTTTCTATCTCCTGCTCTGCGAAACTTCGTGCTTAATTCAATTCTTCATTTTTTTATTATAGTTTATTCTTGAATTCTTAACATTGCATCTAAAACTAAACTGCCCTCTCTTTGTCTTTTTTTCTTTCAAATTATTCTTCTTAGTACTATCTTTTGAGATTCTCAAAATCCCTTTTTACTTCATTTATTTAACTATCATTGACAATAGTAGATTTCTATCTTCCCATTTCGTTTTCTCTTTTAAATTATTCTTCATTGAAATTCTTCTCTACTTCAATTGCTTTTATTTGATATTTCAATTCTTCTATTTGATTATCTTTTTACAAAATTTCATTTTTCAAATTGTTATTAGTAGACATCATATCTTTATATTTTTAAATAATTTCTGCTCTCTACTCCTCCTCCTATTTCACTTTGTCATCACACCATTTTTTTATATTTAATTATTCATTCTTTAACTCTTTAATTTCTTAAAGTTTATCATCTAATTCATTTTGATCCAATTTGGCTTTGTTTTCTTATCTAAAAATTTCTTCTTTTAATTTTTTTATTTCATTTTCTAACTTTTCTACCTTTCCTTCCTTATTCTATTGCTATCCCATTACTTATTAAGCTGCTTAATAAAATTATGCTCCACCTGCAGATCCTCCCTATACTACCTTCTTGATTAAATCGGATGTCAAATACAACTCTATTTCATTCTGATCCTTGTTCTAAAATAGTCTATTTTTTTATATATTTATTCTTACTTTGATACTCTATCGTCTTCATGCACTACTAAATTTTTGGATTTAGAATAAAATACAAACTCATCTTGATTATACCCTTTTAAAGAATCTGAAAATATATTTATCTAAAAATTAAATTACCTGCAACTTTTTTTTTAGCTTTTAAATAAAATAAATCAGCCTCAACAGTTTCTAATAGTATGGGACTATCTTGACCTGGAACATTGATAGGCTGAATCTTAATTATTCTTTTCATGTATTTGATTTATATTTAATATTTAAAATAATTAGATAATTAAACTTTTCAATAGATTTGAGGATGTATTTGCAAACAGTAAAAATTCATATGTTTCATATCCTTTTTGAATAACTTGAGATTTTTTATGCAAAAATCGAATTCCCTTTAAATTGATCCACTAATTTCTATATGATCTCACTACTTGAATGAACACTATTGTTAAAATTCTAAGTAGTTGCCTAATGAGTTGAATTATTTTCAGCACTAAAATCTGATGTTCGATTATAGAAATGTTATTTTTTATCATCCAACCACTATTTTTAATAAGTAGAAACATTATTAGAATTTCTAATAAAATCTCAAATAATTTTACTTTGGGGAATTCAGGAACTTTAACGATGGAGAAACATTTTCAGATCGGCTTTGGGGAGAATTTTATGATTTTAATTATTTTCTTAAATATAAATTTATTGTTACTTTGTGCCCTCCTATTTCTACTTTAATGTTTCCTTGATATTCTTAATACTTGATGTAGAGTTTATTTAGAGCGAACGTATAAATTAAGATTACATTCTTTATGTATCTGTTTGAGAAGAATTATCTAAGTGAGAATGATATCATACTTAGTTTTGATTGCAATTCTATAATTTTTTAATTCTGCTGTTTAATTTACTCTTATTATTTTTAAGTCAATTCAATTAATTCTTGTTTTTCTTACATAATTCCTTTGATTTATAGAGTCAACTCATTAATTTTCTAATCGTTTGCACTTTCATTGTTTCTCTTGTGGATAAATTAATCATGATCATGAAATATTCTGTTTAGTTGTCCTCTAATTTATTTAATCTCTCCCAATTCAGTTTTTAGTGTTGATATCAAGGTCTGATGTTCATCAATTTTTTCTTCTTCTTCAATATTAACCATTAATTTAACTTTGCTTTCTAGTATTTAAAGAAGATCACATAAGTTTTTTTGATTTAGATCAATTTACTAATCAATCTTTTTAATGATTTTGATTAATTTAGAATGGACAATTTCGTACTAGACTTAAGAAAGGCATACATCTGTTTAATTTTTGTTTTATTATTCATTAAATGACTATGATAAGATTGGATATTTAAATTATTACTGATAAGATTATTGTTAAGATTGATGATTGTATGAGAATTGTATTTGTGATTTCGACAATTATTATCCTTAATTATCATCATGTGGAATCTATTATTTGATGATATGAATTTATTATTTAGCAGTATTCAAATCATTTTTAAGAGTAGCAATTTAGTTTTTATAATTAAGCTCTAAATCTTAAAATTATTCATTTAACGATGTTAACTTGTATTCTGTTTCCATTTGCAATTCAATATACTTTACTTTCTCTTAACTAGATTTCTTTTTTAGAATGAAGTTTTCTTTCTCCAATTCTTGAACTTTAGATTCCAAGATACTTATGTGTTCTTTTAACTATTATAATTCAAAATTGGATATATTACTTCTTCTATCAACTTGCTGCCATCAATGTTGTGAATGGACACCGCATTAGTTTCAGAAGATTTCTTACTAATTTTCAATTACTAACTGTTTACTATGCTCATATTATCAAGGATAATCTCTGGATTGGACACCTTAGACTTCTTAAATAGTATTAAATGAGATACATTATGGATATTACTGGGTGTAAGTTCCTCGGGAATTTCAGAGAGAGGGTTGTTTAAGGAAGATCGGTTAAAGGGAACCTCATCTTCTTCATGATGCATTCCCATTATTTACGAATGAGTTAGGAAGGCTACTCTAGGAGAGGATACATCAATTTAGGTTTTTGGGGTTGTTTCTGTTTGTACTTGCACTTCCTCAATTTCAGGATGTTCAATTTATCTCACTGCTGTTTTAGGTGTTTCTTTTTATTGTAAATCCAAATAGGTTGGGTATACTACTCTGTATGGTATATCAATGTCGAGTTCTCTTTTAATGTATAATGGCGATTATTCCTCATCTTATATCATATCGACTTGATCCATTTAATGATTATAAAAATTAAATATACTCGATTGTTAGTAAATAAGGATAGATAATTGAGAACATAATAATGTTTTTGTTGAGGGTTTTCCATATGGATTTTAGTGTTAAAAGTATTTAAATAGATAGGTATTTAATACAATCAATTAAATTAAATGGGAGCAAACTAGAGTCAACAATAGGGGCAATAGGAGAAGAAGAAACTCAGAAAAAGAGATTATCTGATTGGAATGTGCATGAGCCAATTGGCATCAAAAGAAATAAGTGAAAATTCAAAGCTAAGAAAGAGTCTATCTGAAAACATGAAATAATAAAGTCAAGATATCCTGACGTATTATGAAATGCAGATATTTTAGAAAAATGAGTGAGGAAGAGATGCCTAATTATTCAATTAAAATCTTGCAGTATTTCTTAAATTTTTTGACATTACGAGAATGTTTTTAACTTAAGCTTGTGAACAAAAAACTAAAATTCTTGGTAGAGATGAGCAGTAACATCTACTCGAACTTTCTCAGTTAATTCTATTTACGAAAGCTGCAGCTCCGATGTTTTGTAGAATATGGATTAAATTAGAGATTTCTTTCCGTATACTACTCTTAATTGTTATGTATCGAAACCAACTAAGATGAATCCTGGATTCGGATATATCTGAGCTTCCAGAAAAGCCTGTAAAATTTAATGACTATCAATTAGATAATAAATGAGAATCATAGAAGAAGAGATATAAAAGACTTTCAATATTGAATATCCACTGGTTGATAAAATCTTGGACATAGGCCGTAATCCAGTTATGCCAATCCCTTTATTGACAGACGATGTTCTCAAGTAATGCACAACCAGCTGGTTTTAATTGGAGTTGGCCTAAAGAACCTATGATTCAACAACAGTGGAGAAAGTTCCTTTGCTTGATGAACTAACGGAGAAGCTCTATTAAGATTGTCTGGCTAAATTTGATGTCAAAAACATGAAACACACCTAATTACTATTTGAATTGAGATGGGTTGTGATTGACAATTTTCTCAAAGATCCTACCATTTTAGACTCTGAGAATATACCCCTTTTATTGAGGTTCTTGCTTTAAATATTCCATTTCATTTATTAAAGATGCCTATTTAGTAGAAATGTTTTGGCGATTACTAAGACAGAAAAGAACCCACCCATGTTTCTTAATATTTATACTATTTTATGGGAATCTTATGTTGGTATGATGTGGGCATTGAATAGAGCCTTGAAGAAAATATTTAAGAAAATAGACTTGATATTTGAAGAATATTTTACTACTAACTTCCCTTAAATCACATTCACCAGCGCTCTTGCTAGACTGTGGTCATAAATTGTTATAAAAGGTACCAAAAATTCATAATTGGATTCAATTGAAAATGAATTGTTTACATCATTTGAAAATCTGTTAAAATAAAAAAGAGTGATCTTATAATAATTCTATATAAAGGACCATTGCACAATTGAATAGTAAATAAACGGGTCAAGATAAAATGATGACTTTTTTAAATACTGTCCAAGTGCTGTAAATTTTCTTTTAAATAAATTCACTTCCAATATTCTTGATTTGTCTCTGCATGAATAAAGCATAAATTGGATTGGACACTCAAATGTGAAAGTGGGTTCTCTCTATGGAAAAATATTGGACATAGTAATCTCATAAGCAAATGAACTATATAGCAAAACATCCGAACAGCTATCCACTGATTACCAAGTGTTCAAAGATTATATTATAGGTATCTATATCTAATATTATTTTGCAAAGCCGATTCTAACTTTATGCAAGAAATTCTGAATCAATGGACAGTATAAGTGTGTTTACTACCTCGAGGAATTGAATATCTTTATGAAAAAGTTAAAATCAATCTCAGACAACACGTAGTCTCATACCAATTAAATTAATCTATAGCAGAATCTACTCATCATCATTTTGAAGATAGCATTTTGGAATCTAAAATAATTGGAAACAACGTTTAGTAATTGCAATTGAATGATATAGAAGAAATTACATAGCGCTTTGAGAAAGATGATTCATTTCTAGAAAGTGTTATCTGTGAAATTTTAAAGGAAGAAAAGATTCATTTAAATGAATAAGATTAATCTCATAATGTTACACATCCGCAGTAGTCTGTTATACAACAATCTTCATACTATCAATACTCATCTGCCAAACAATAAAGCATTCTTGAAGGCGATTACAATAAAGTTAGAATGCTATCAACATTCACTTCAAGCACTAGAGTTAGTTAGATTACTCAATTAACTAGTGTGTATAGTTAGTAGATTATGTCTTCCTACAAATCCAATTCAAATATGAGTTTAATTAAAGATATCAAACTTAAAATAGAATAAAATCAATGGGCTATGCATCTAAAAGAAATTTACAATATTGAAATTGAAAACTAAATGAAAATTGAAAAAAGAAACAATTAAATTCTAATGAGAAATACCGTTAAGAAAATACCTCAAGAATTGGAAGAACAGTTCAATAGTAACAGAGAATTCACTAAGGTTTGGTCTTTAGAAGACACCATGTCATTATTTGAGTCCAAAAATAGGCTAGACCAATAAGAGGAGGGAACCAATTCAGATAGGAACTTTAGTGAAATGAAGATTGGACAAGGATTACTTGCCTCTTATTTCATATAAAATTAGAAATGAGTAATTGTATTACGTCTGATTGTATAAATAATTAATTTCTATATTTAGTATTTTAATCATTTAATTAATTCTTATTATTACAACTTTGGAGACAATTGCATCTCTTAGTCTGAAAATATTGGATAAATTGCATGTTTTATGTTGTTATTCTTTTAATTATTCTGTTACTAACTTTGATCCTTTATCTCAGTGTATTGAGAGATTGATTCCTGCAGTTTCTTATGGGCCACAAAAAAAGGCTGATTTCTTTAATTTAAGATTCTTCCAGAATAAGGTTATTAGATTTGAATAGGAGATTTCAATTTAGAACTTTGAGGAGTCTATAGCTTCAGTTAACGACAGGACCTGTATTAGCAAATATAATATACTCTGGAATTGAATTAATCTTACTATCAATTATACTGCTTTATATATCTCTGATTATTTGGTTATTCTCTTCAAACCAAAAGGGCTATTTCACAATGTTTTAACTATCAAAGTACTTTCTATTATTATATATCCACTTTATACTCTTTGTAGAATTAGTTGTTGCCCAATATACCTATTATAATGATTATAGTTATTAGAGTGGCAAGAAACGAAATGAATCTAGTATTTTGCATATCTATCATGAATTGTATTAATATATATATGTATACCTCTAAAGTTGCAAATTTGTACATCACCATAGCATCATTCCAAAGCACACAACAGATCTCTACATAGATGCTTTTGACATCCTATTATTCTATCTAACAAACCCCTAGACTCAAATTCAATATTTGTATGCATTGATTCAATAAATTTAGCAATTTAAATAAATAGAGGATCTTCTAATCTATTGTTATATATCCAGTTTTATTTGATAAATGATTTTCTAGCTTCTTCTATTAATACTCACGATATTGAAGGTTAGTATCCTTAAAGTTAGATTATTTCTTGAACATTTTGAATTAGTTAATTTGATTTTCTCTTGTTGATTCAGTGTAATTTGTATAAGTAACCTCCTAATCAAAGATTGGATATTGTCCAATTTTACAAGAGTAGAACAATTTCAAATTCTAAGCCAACTTGAATAGGTACATCAAATAATTCTACACAAATTGTCCATGACTCTGATTCTCAATTACTTACAACTTATAATCTCTTGATATCATCTCTTCAGCCACAATTTCCCCTATTTGGAACTCATATAAAACCAAATGGATTGTTAATGAAATTTTTACTGCCATCAACCCACTCAAAGGTTTTTAAGATAGTTCCTGAAAAAATTGTTATAAATATTCTTGTCCTGTCAAATAAATTCCTTGACATTCTGGCCCATAACCTTCAAAACATTCAATTAAATATAGAATATCTGTCATCAAAATTACTGGAGTATTATTCATTAATGAACTTGAATTAAACTTCTATAAAAATGGAGTGTTTCCTTTCCCAATCAATGAGTTGATGTAGTTAGAAAATTTCTTCATATTTTTAATTAATTAATCTCATTTATTTATGAAAAAAATTTATAGATTTCTAGATATATTTATAAGGAGAACATTCACACTGTAGTCTTTTATTTGGATTCTTAAAATACAAATTAATTGAAAACAATCTCATCAAAGAACTACTGCCCTCTTTCATTCTAAGATTGTATTAGTCCTCATATCTGTAAACACTGAATAAGTTTGCATATTCTAATGTTAAATTTAATAATCTATTTACTATAACCCTTCGATATTTATTTTCTAAATATGATTTAAGATTTTCAATTTTCTATTTAGTTTTTAATTTTTCTCTCATTTCTTATTAAAATATTAAGTTTTAGTTTTGACCCAGAAATCTTGATTAATTAGTATGAATATCATATATAAATCCTTCTACATTTACCAATTTTAGAACTTAGAATATTCTTAAAATAATATCAATTTTTTGAATTTGCCAATGCAAAATCGAATAATTTAATTCATTTTTTACATTACAATGTTTCAAAGCATTAAATTTTTATCTATACTACATCTCATGAAATGATTTAAGATTTCAAGAATATAATATTGAATTGAAAATATCTAATGAGATTATATTGAATATTAGGATGTGGATTGATTATATATTAATATCTAAATCATATTATAATAATTCAAAGTTTATCAATAATTACTTGGGCAAATCTTATGGAATAAACTAGTTTTTTGCATTAATATTCAAAACTTATCCACTTATTTATGAGAAATTAAACTTCAGTATTGAAAGTAAAATATTTGTAATTGAGTTTTAAATAGATAGCATGCTAGTTAAATTTCATAGAATTGAAATTTCATTATAATTTAGATATAAAAAATTGTGAGTCCTTTAAGAATTATAATTATTCCTCGAATCTTGGTATACTCATTGTCTTGTAAATGAGAAAATATCATAAAGGTAACAATATGACGCATAAATTCTTCCTGCTTATTGAACATTATTAATTAAAACTAATGATATTAGTTTTAATGAGTATATTATCTTAAATTTTATTGTTCCTTTTAATAGATTTCAATGAATATCTCAAGATTTTCAATTAGTAGAATTATATAACTAATGCATGCATAAATGAATATAATAGATGATTTAAGGATCGTTTAATATGGAATTTTAAAATATAAAAATAAAATAAATAATGCAAGGTTCTTAGGAGTCAACTTAAATTAAATTAGTCGTAGTAGGAGATGGAAGTGTCGGAAAGACATGCATACTTTTGAGGTAAGAATAAATAATAGGAGTATAGTTACACAACAGATAAATTTCCCACAGAATATGTTCCTACAGTATTTGATAATTACACTACGCAATTAACTGTTGACAATTAGATGGTAAATTTGAGTTTATGGGACACAGCAGGTCAAGAAACATACAATAGACTAAGAACTTTATCATATGGATCAGCAGATATATTCCTCATAGTATTTTCTGTGGCAGATAGCAGTTCATTTGATAATGTTTTGAGCAAGGTAATATGATTTAATGATTTTAAAGTGGTACCCTGAGTTAAATCACGATGAATTATAAAAAGTCCCAAAAATCATTGTTGGTAATAAAATAGATATGAGAGAGGAGAACAATAGCAAACACATTAAAAAGGCTTCTGTAATGATACATTATTTATTTGTAGGCTGAGCAAGTTTTATAAAATCAAAACCTGCAATATTATGAATGTTCTGCATTAACTTAGGAAGGTTTGAAGGTTGTATTTGATGAAGCTGTGAAAGAAGCATTGAAAGCCAAAAATGCGAATAAATCAGTGAATAAGACTGGAAATTAAAAATAGGAGATAAGTAATGGAACCCAAAAGAAGGAGGAACCATGTTGTAGCATTTATTGACAATTTGATTTACATAAGTGATATCATCCATATTTAAATGAAAATTAGTTTTCTATTACTAAAAAGGCGAAAAATAAAGCACATGTGGTACATTATACATAAATAAATCATTTGAAAGGAATCCAAGATTTCTTCTTTTCTGCATTCAACTAAGTAATATGTTCATTAAATTTTTTTTCAATTTTTTCGCAATCCCTTTTGCACTCATCAACAATGGTCATTAAAAGAGACTGCTTCTCTTTAGCACTCTTCTTCATTTCTTCCATCACTTTTTTGAACTATTGATATTTTTCATCAAAATGTTCCTTATTCAAAAATTGTATTTCTAATAAACATTACTACTTATTGTTACTTGGTTATATTATGTTCAATATCTTGTCGGCTTATTAATGGAGATCCAATTAAGATTCGTTAGATTGATTTGTTGAAGGACTTAGAATTATTTATTGTTTTAATTGCAGTCTAATATTTATAAACACTGTTACTGTTAATCAATAACTAAAGTAAGCATATTGTCTATTTGTTATGTTTTCTTTGAAAACTATTCTTGAATTTCTTTTAGTTTTTTTTTGAAAGAAGAAACATTTTCATCATTCAGAAACGAATCACTCATTTCAATAAAAGAGTTATTTTCCGAACGTGTAATAGTTAATTAAGTAGGATTACTATCTGTTTGCATCATAATTATTGATCTAAGATTAGAAATTTCTTATTCAAATCGAATAAACTTCTACTCAATCTACATGTAGATTAATTGATGAAATACTTCAATTTTATTGTGATCATTTGCAGCATCTACCAACACCGAAATTTTTCGAATTAACTCATCTATCATATTATTTCTGGTCATTTATTTTTCGAGCAGATCAAATTCAGAATTGGATGCATCAACATGATTAATTGAATTTTTCATATTAAATATTTTATGCTTCTAAAGATACTAATTAGATAATGAATTAGTTTCAAATACATTTTCTATAATCTTTTCAACTCTATTTTGGAATTCACCAGCTCTGCTCATTTATTTAAATTATTATTAAAACTCAACATGAAATATAAATATATACATAACACTTGAATATATCACTTTTACAATCATGAAATTGCATTAATTGCATAATATATATATAAAAATTAATATACATAAATCATTTCCTCTTCTTGTCCTTTCCCTTGTTTTATCCTTTTGCTGGAACTTCTATTTCCTCATCATCTTCTTCATCATCCTCCTCTCCTTCAGCACTTCCATCATCTTCAGCCTTGAATTCCTTTATTCCCAAAAAGTATTCTAGAGAATATGGCAACAATTCATCAACTATCATTCTGCCCACATCTTAGTCAACATCCAATTGATCTTACAATGAGATTTACTAAGCATTAAATTCAAATGAATACTTCATCTTCAGGTAATTTGTCATATTTCTCCTTATTGGATATGTCAATTGATCTGAAAAACAAGAAGAAACTCTCATCATCAACTTCCTTAGAAATTACTCTAAATTATCCTGTCTTCTTATTTCTTTATTTCTAAACAACATTATCATCTCATTAGAATACCTTTTTGATTAATTTCTTGGTTAAATTCTTGCCATCATGCCATTCTACTTTAGTTCCTTCTACTTTAATTAATTCATCATCTTCATAATAGAACTTCTTCTCCAATACAGTTTATTTGAAGAAAGGATTTTCTGCAAAGTAGAATTTGAGGAAGAAATCTGAATCGTTCTCAGCCAATGTAAATTCTATTTTCTATAAAAACTTGAATGCTTCAGCATCTCTCTCTGATAATTGCAATTCCTGTAAATCAGCATTCTTAAACACTTTTAACCAATAGTCAGGAATAGCCTTAGATTCTTTAGGAGCTTGATTCAATTATTGTATTTCTTCCTCTGATAATAATTTAGCTGCCAAACCAAGATTTTATTCATTCAACTACGCTGTGCCCAAAATTATTTCATCAGCCTAATTAACAAATATAAATAAATATTACTTTCTGATATATTGGCATGCTTGATTTATCATATTTCGATTGAATATTATCACAAATTTTTTCCATGTCTGAATCTGCTTATTTACATTTATTCAAATAAAATCTAAGTGCTGTAACTTTTGCTCTATCTTTGAGTGGGATATTTGTAATTTTCTTTTTGATTTCTTACTCTAACTCTTTGTTTTCCATTATTAAAAAAATTAAATTATTTAATTTTAATGATAAATTAATATTTATTCCATTTATTTAAATACATTAGTTAAATTGCTTTAATATATTTATTGACGAATTCAATAAGTAGAAATAATTTGTATTATTTAAAATAATTTAATAAATTTGTTATGGCTGATTAAAGATAATAACTTGAGCAACTCAAGTATGCTCTCTGGTTAGCAATTATGTAAAGTATAATTGTAATAATTATATTAGATAAAAATGAATAAATAGTGCAATTTTTTAATTCGCCAAAAATTGAAATAAATGTCAACGTAGCATTAACAAACCAAGGCATAACAGCATTGCATTAGGCAGCAAGCAATGGAAATTTGAATTTAGTTCAATTTTTAGTGGCAATCTAAAAGGCTGATATTGATCAATAAGACATAGTATATTTTTAAGCAAAACTAGTTTGGAAGAACTCCACTTCACTTTGCCTGTGCAATTGGAAATCTTGCAATAGTTGATTATTTAATACAATCTAAGGCATCACCTAATATACAAACAATAGTAAAATTGATTTTTAAAGAAAGGGAGGAGAATCACCAATTATGAAAGCAGCCTAGTTTCATCAATCGCAATTATTGTTCTATTTAATTGAAACTCATTCAGATAAAATTAATTGGAATCTAGTAAACAAAGTATAACTTAATATTAAGAAAAGTTGGGATAAAATGTTTTACATATATTTCGGATTTCTTGTGTAAATTCTTTGGAGAAATAAAATCAAATTTATACACAAATAAACGACGTCATGGTTGAACTGTTGGCATTGATATCAGCAGAAGGGCAATAAACAATCTAATGAACATATAAATTATTCGATATATATGTGCATAAATAAATGAATATAAGAGTAATAATCATGATTGATTAGATTAAAATATATATGTCATTTTTGGACAGAAAATTGGAGTAACTAAAATCTTAGGAATGATATATACAATTTGATCATTAGTTTTTTTTTTTGTTTGTTTTAAAATTAAATTATAATTGGGCTTACGGATAGAGAGCTTCTTTATTGCTTTTTTCTTTGATAAGCACATTTTCTAAACTTGCCTTTTGCAATTTGTTGGGCTAGTATATGATGAATGTTTACTCTGATTCTACTCACAATGCTATCTGTATTGATCTTCTATGCGTAGATCTAAGTATCAAATGCTTTTGGCTCTTCCGTATCATCATCGTCTTATTCTTCCTATTTAACTTAATTTCTAAGTTAATCTAATTCTCTAATTTTATCAAAAAGAGTCCTTTCCCTTAGACTCTCACATCTATTCTTTTCAAACTCCTTGATTTTCTGATTCTAACTTTAATAGTTATCAACATGATCCTGATTATGATGAACTTTCTCATCTGAATCGTCATCAAAACACACATCTACTTCTTAATTTTCTTCCTCCTAAGATGTGAATGCAAGGTATTACTTATTTCACAACAAGTACTTTCTTTTCTATAGCAGGTTCAATTTGATCAGTCTCCACGTGAGAATTCTTAGATTAGACCTACACTTCTGTTTTGCATTTAATTTCTCTCCCTTCTTAGATTGCTTTGAGATGGGTTTGCCAGAGCTTGGGTTGTTTAATGAATTAATACATCCTTAAAAGTCTGGATTTCAGATTCACTCATTTACAATTAACCTTTATCCGAGTTCCTCTTCAATTTTGTGATGACTTCATTTATAATGTTATCGTAATTGCTCACTGTCTCCATTACTTATTAATCCATTCCTAGTTTTTATTAATTAAAATACTTTCTAGTATATTGAATTATAAACTCAAAAATATATATAATGTTTAGAACTATTCGATTAATACCCAAATTGTTAAAATTCACCCAAGTTGCAACTTGCTTGGCTCTGATCTACAATTAATAGTCCAAGTTGAGATGTGCTCAAATTAACACGCAAACCATCAAAATCATTAACTAAAAAGATGTCGATGCACTCTTGGCAAATCCATAGGATTCCTCTAACACAATCATCATATTGAACAAAAACATCATTGAAGATCTTCCTAAAAATTTGTCAGCCAATTTATTTATTTGCGATAGCTCTGAAAATGATTATGATTTAATTGCAGTCAATCAACATAGATATCTCCTATTGAAAATAAGAGGCGAAGAAGATTATTTAAAATTGCTCAATTTCTTAACTCCCTTATAGACTCTAGATAGTAAATAAGATGCCATCAATCTCATTGATCAAATGGATGCCTAGGTTGTCTTGAGTTATATCCCATCAATAATAAACGCAGAAGAATAAATTAATAAATTTGAGCCTTCTTAAAAGTATGATCCTTAATAATTGGAGGAACAATTAAAAGAGCTCAGGATTCATGATTTCAATAGAGAAGCCTAGTATTATATTATCAAAGATAAGAATGTTGCTGAAGAATTCAATTTATCAATTCATGACATTGGAGAAATCTACATTCTGAAATAACCTAGCATTTTCAATTCAAAAGAGTCTTCCTTTCATCATAATGGCAAAGAATATTTTATGAAAAAAGTAGAGCCTGATCAAAATATAAAAAGAATAGATACTTTTATAATTGAAAAGAAACACGATTCCTTGTCTTCCTACCTTTAGGGATCTAAGGAAGAGACTGTTTAATAATAGAATTTACAGGGATTTGTTAATAAACTAACTTTAACAGCCAATAACTATGTTAACTATGTCTTTAACAAATAGTAAATGGATTCATAATTGCTCATTTACAAGTAGATGGGCGTAAAATATATCTTGTTTTACCATAGTCAGAATGATGTTAATGAAAAAATTATTAAAAAACTTATTAATGTGAAGAAATCTGTGAACAATGAGTAATAATAACAATTTGCAATTGTTTATTCTGATAACATTGATCTAATATAAACATATTTTGGAATTGTTGATAATGGAATCACAGATGATGTAAGATTACTTGATCTTAACCAAAATCAAACCTATACAATATCCTTCAATATAGTTTAATTGGGATAAAAGGAATATAATTATGATCAATATAAGTTATGTAAGAGATACTCTTTTGGAGATAAAATAACTGTCAATAGGTTGAAATAGTTCATTGTATAAACTACAAATTTGAAGATTTAAAATATAGAACCATAAGATTACAATAGAGAAGAATACTACGAAAAAACATTTGTTAAAATGCCTTTTGATAAATTGTAAACCATAACTGCAAATAATTTGGAGTTGTCAGGCTATGATTTTATTTATTTTTATAAGCCAGGATGTGCTGCTTGTCACACTGTAGCTGAAACCTTAGAAAAGATTGCCTGGAATATCTACAATCCAAATCCGTATAGAGTTAAAAATATATCTAACTTTAAAAAAATCTCATTGAAAAAGTATATAATTTTTAATGATTAGATACAATATTTTGAATGAATCCCAAATGTTACCATCCCCCATCTAGGCACCATAAATCTATATATTACATGATGGAAAAATGCAAAAAGCAGATTTAGTATAAAATAAGATTAATCCTGGAGACGAATCGAAAATGCTTCACTTCTTAACAAAGCTTATTGACAATCTTTGAATTTTATAAGGGTTTTAAAATATTATCATTTCTATCTTGTTTATTCATCTACTTTTTAAAAGTCGATTTTAGATTTGTAGAATGTCTCAGAGAAAACAGTTTTTCTTGATTGTTAGACTAATTAATATTTGTAATTTGATATTTACAATTAGATGAGAGTGTTTTTCTGAGAAATATATTATTTTCAAAGCAATCTGTTTAACATGCAGCTTACCGCTTCATCCGCTTCCCCATCCTCAAATTGGCGAGTTCCATTTTTTTCTCCTTCGCTTCATAGATGGGTGTCTTGAGACTGAGACAAATGAGGCTTTAGGACTTTGTCAGAGGTTTTAATTTTTTCAATGACATCATGTTCATATAATTTTATTTGGTGTCTAATTTACGAAGCAGTTGAGTGTTTCTAAAGGTTCTTGAGAAATTTGTGTTGCTAAAAGGTTTAGATGGTTCTTCGACAGCAACAGTTGGAGGCCGATGAGAAGTTATTACATCTAAATCATGATTAAGAAGCAAATAATTATTAATAATCATAATATTAAATATGAGAGGTCGTGGTTAATAATTAAAATGAAATTAAAAATATATAAATGATAGGAAAATAATATGAATTTTTATTAAGCCAAACTTAATTTATGTAAAAAATATTTTTGATTCTTTACATCTTAATTTGTATCTCCAAAAATGGATTTATAAATTTCAAACAGGTAGGTGTTAATATCCGTTGTTATAGTTATGATGATCTGACAGTATAAATACATAGGTTTAACTATTTTTGAAGTAATTAATTTAGTTTGAGCATTGAAAAAAGAATTGTTGAATCTGCTTGAATTTGTGATACAGATGAATATTGTAGATATCTAGTATGGTTAGTTTAAGAAAGGATAGTTAAATGCAATTCAGGCAAGTATTATTAATGGATAAAATATTAATTATTTAAAAATTAGAAGCAACAAATTAGGCTTAATATTCATTATAGGAGGAAATCTTTGGGAATAATTTATCTAATATATTTATAAATTAATTTTGGTAGGATATAAATATGTCTTGCTGTTTTATTTTAAATAATAATTAAATATATCATATTATAAATGGGTTGTGTTTGCAATTGTAAATCTTCTAAGACATCAAATTAAAATACTTAGCTGTAATTTAATTTAGCCGAACAATATAGAAGTAAGTTCTTGGTATATTAGAAGATAACAGGAATATAAATACATAAGATAGTTTAGAGGATATCTGCCAATCTCTTTGCAATATTGGATAAGAGATAAAAAGTTTGGGTTAATTGAAACTTGAGGTCCAGGAGAGGATAAATGAGTTGGGAACTTTTAAGGCCATAGAATAAATAGACTCTAATGCCTCTTGTTATTAATTTCTTTAATGTCCTGATGGTTCTATATTTTATGGTTCGGTAAAAAATGGTGTTCGAAACGGAATTGGAAAATAACATTGGTTGACTAATGGAAATTATTTAGAAAGGTAAATATTCCAACATTATTTTTAGTGTTTGGGCAAATGATAAAGCCAATGGACCAGCTAGAATGATCTATTCAAATGGAGATGTGTAATTTATTCAATTATTTTTAGTTTTGAAGGTCACTTAATTGAGAATAAAGCGAATGGATTTGGAATATTCAGAAATAAAAAAAAAGAAGTTAAAGGTAGAGTTTTTTGTTATTTAAGGGTATTGGGTTGCTAACAAACTTTAAGGGAATGGAATAGAAGTTAGAAAAAATGGAATTAAATATGAAGGTTAATTTAAATGTGGAATAATTGACGGGAGAGGGTAGTATACATTTCCTGATGGTAGAATGTAAAAATATCAACATATTTTAGATATCGAGGATAAGTAAAATAAGGAATGATGCATGGAGAAGGCTTGATGACTTGGCCTGATTATAGTTATTTCAAAGGGGAATTTCGACATAATCATATCAAAGGATATGGGTGTTATACTCATTCTGATTCTTAAACCTATTTTGGATATGTATGGACTATTCTTCTTATATTCAGTTTTTTTCTAATTACCACCAACCTGTTAAATAGTTAGAGATATTTTATAGTCATGATCAAAGTATATAGGAAAGTGAAAAACTATAAAAGTTCTTAAAACAATATGGTGGAGACCATCAATGATTCACTCTATTTTATATTGATTTTAATCATATTATGTTACTAGTAAAATATTGATGGTGACGATTTGTAAATATAATATTAATTGAGTAATTCTTAATTATAGATGAAATTCCCAATATAATAATTAATTAATAAATAAATAAATGAGTATTAATACACAACTAAATAAATAAATGAACAAAAATTTCTTAGGTTTAGATGAAGATAAATAATTAAATATCATCAATTATTTAAATTCAATAATACTTATTTAAACTCTTCTGCATTCAAAATATTTCATTAATATATTCCTTAGATATCAATTTAGTCCTATATATTTGAATCGATTTCTCACAATTAAACGATTATTGGAACTGTTATAAAAAACTAAGATTTTTCTTCGAAAAGACTTTTATTTTATAAATTTATAATAAATATGCATTTCATATCATATTTCTTATTCATTCTCTTCTTCTGGAAAATCCCATTTGAATAATAATTCTTTCATCTCTTTTTTCTATTAATCATATTCCAACCCTACACAACTGCAGTTCCCTATTGAATTTTGCAACCCCAAATTATATGTAATGCTACAAATTTATCCCTTTTAATTAGCATGATGATTTTACTCCATGTGAATACATTAAATACGAGCCATTCTCAGTGCATTTCTCCCTTATTAACTTCATTGCCCTTTCCTAAGTTTGTTACCAGGTTTCTCCTCCTGGAGCTTGGTATTAAAATGTGAAAATAATATCCTTTGTTTCTTGATCTAACATTGAATAAGCAATATTTTCATGTTTTCCAAAATTGAGTTCTCTTGTGTATTATTATATAACAACCTCAAACGTGGATCTTCAATAATTAAAGTATCATGAGGAAATCCTAAACTTATTTGAGCTGTTTCTTTTGCTCTTCTCAAATCAGAAGTATACACTCCTTTAAATTGATCTCGGAAGGGTAATAATGCTTGTAATAATTGATTGGCTTGTTCTCTTCCTGAATATTGAGTATTAATTGATTATACCTCTAATTGTCAATCTACTATCTGTCCACCCACAAATTGTATTGCTTAGATTCTAATTGGTTTATCCATGTCTCACGAACAAGATATTTGTAGTATTAGGTTTTCGTATCAACTGTTAGATATGATTTTTCAATAGCTAGTATTTATTCATAGATTAAAAATATTATAAAAAATTCACAATTAGTAATCCATTTAAGTTTTTAAAGAAGCCAATCGTCTTTTAATATCTTCTCTTAAATTGCATGCTTCTTCTTTTATCCTTCTTGATAAAGATATGATATCATACATACCTATCTTCAATTTATACTTTTTTTTAGGGAGAATTTTGAGAGTATTAATTTTCTGATATTGGTGATGTCTGACTATACAAATTCGACTTTAATCTTCTATTATAGCCTCCAAACTATTATTATTCATAGGATTCTTGAGTTTGGAAGTTTGTGCGATTTTACTATGGGATTTCTTCTCTAAAAGACTCATGAATCATATTCAATTCATCCATTAACCTGTTTCTGGAAACAATGTTTTGTTGATTTTCAATTTTAATAGTTTGATTTTCCTTCAACACTACCATATGTTGGTTTAATTACATCTCTCAATCTACAACTTTTATTTGTCACATAAGTCTACAAAGTATTTCTCAATATCTTTGATCTTTTTCTCATAATCTCCAACTACCTTTGAATATTCCATTTGCAAATGATTGTACTCCTATTTCTAATCATTTAGTAATGAAGTGCTGATCTCTACTTGCTTTCTTAATTGATCCTAGTCTACATTTATTCCGCTATTCTACATAATTCTAATAGGAGATCCCACTTGAAAATATGAAATTTTAATATTACATCTTTATTGCATTTTTAACTCTCTCAGCTATGATTAGGCTTATGAATACTATTCTTTCAATATTCTCACATCATCTCCCTCAATCTAATAATGTCCTAATTGATCTTTTGATGTCATCAATTCTTATTTTAAATAATCACTAATCATTTAATAAACTATTACTATTGCATTTACAACTCTCTTTCTACTTCTTTTTGATTAGATATCAATATTTTATAATTATTAATTTACTCCTCCTAATTTTCCAATTATTATGAGACACTATCGTACATTTATTTTAAGTTCTACACATCGTTTTATTACTAATAATCAATATCCTTTTGTTTTAAAATAACAACATTTTACTCTTTTACCAATAAATTCTTCTTCTTTAAGAGATTGCTTAACCATTGCATAAATGCCTGATTTAATACTCTATTGTCATATTTCTTGCTCAACAATATTTCATTTTATCTCTTCATTTTCCTATACTAAGCATTATTTTTAATAGAATTGAATACTACAATAATATGAATTGAAATACATCTTTATAAGAATAAATTCTCTCTCTTTTTCACTACCTTAACGCTTATATGATTTAATCTAGATAACTTTTAATATTCCCTTATCCATTATTTAAATTGCCTAAACTTGATAAAGAAATTTCTATTTAATTAAATTTGATTCTCTCTGTATTTGTTTTCCTTCAAATTTGATTTCAATTTGTTAAACAACTTTTTTAACTTTGCTTGTCCTCTTTACCTAACTATTTGGTTAGCTCTTTCCTTATGAAAATCAGAATTTAATTTCAAAAACCTTATAACTCCTTTCATTTAATTAATGCGTCCATTATTTATATGTTAATAAATGCACTTTTGTTTTTAATTTTGCTATTTTATCCAGAGAGTCCATGAACTGAAAACCTACAATAATTCTAAATTTATACTTTAAACAACTTTATTTTATTAAATTCATTTACAGCAGATTAAGCGATTTACTAAAAATCCTTCAAGCTAAAATTGTATTTCAGATAATTCTATTTCAATTTATAAAAGCATTTTTTTTTTATTTTCTGATTAAAAAATTGAATAGATGTCTTAAGATTTTTATCAAATTTCTTTTTATCTTAAATATATTGCTTCCAATTCATCCAGAAATTAATTACAGTCCTTAACTTTCTGACTTCATTAAATTAATTCAATAATGCTTTATTTTTGATATAATATTTCCATCCTGTAAAGCAATTTTATAATTAAAGATGTTATTTTCTTTGAAGAACATGTTTCAACTTTTTAGAATATTTTGCAGCCTTTGAAAATGCATCCAAAAAATTAAATTTTAATCTAGCATTTCTCCATTTAATTGCCATGTCCATATCAACCTCATCTTCGTATATCTAGTTTAAGAGATCTAAATGATCATTTGTTGATATTTGCTCATCTAATTCCCTAAGTTCTGCTATCTAATGAACTAATCAATATCTTTAACTATTTTACTTCTTTAATTTATTTTATTTTAATTTTAAATAATCTCTCCATAACATTTCTCCTTTTGTTCATACTTCTCATTATACAGGTTTAACTCATCCAATTGTTCTGCTTATTACTGCACTCTATCTTCCAATTAAAGAATGAATTAATTCTACTATTTAACTTATTAAATTAGAGTGGCAATAAGCTTTTCCCTATCTTCTCTGTTAAGACTTCTCATTGGAGGAACCTATATAAGGTCAGTGGAAGTTCGACCAAACTACGCAGTGCTTTTAAACTAAACCGAGCCTTTGGAAGCAGATTCCTAAATTCTGACTTTCTTGTCACTCCCTCTATTTGATGTGCAAAGCAATTAGTTAGTTGATGGAGATTTTAAAATTGATTTATCATTTTTTATTGCACTTGACTCTCTTGATAAGTATTTATAAGCTGCAGTCATATTTGTGTTGTATGCTTGAGGAAAGATAGTTAATTGACTGTTGCTTTTTTGATCGTTTAATTTCATTTTTAATTTATTTTATTTCTGAGTTATTAATGAATCCAGAAACAGAGTAATTGAACTACGATTTGGAAACTCCACAGATTCCTTATAATTATGATGTCGATGGTCGATTCTATTTGCCTGTGTCAAATCAAATCTATTAGAAAGTCTATAGTCAATACACTTACCATCCACCCACCTTTTTACTCATGCCACAATAACCAATCTATTAACCATGTCCTTAGGTGAAGAAACAAAAGAAGAAGAAGGTTAATAATAAAGAAGTTGAAGCACTCAGAGCAAGAATTATGGAATTGGAAATGAGATAACCAGAAGTAAAAATAGTAAAAGAAGTTGTTACAGACACCGAATAAGTTTAAATATCACAATAATTATGTAGATAACCAGATTAGAAAAGGAATTACGTATGGTTAAGATGCAATTAGAACACGAACATGAGAATAATGCATAAAAGGACAGGACTATTTCTGACCTTAGAGCTCAGATCTAAAAGAATGATTTATCCAGAAGCTCAAGTCTTGTTTCATTACAAACTACACTTGTTGAGAGAGAAGTATGAATATTCAAATTTATTCTTAGAGATAAATAACAAAGCAAGATGGAATCATTTCTTAACTCCAAGCTGAAATCAACCTTCTTAGAGGAGAATTAGACGATGCTCATCACCATATTGAAGAATTGTAAACCACACATGAAGAAGTAACAGTAGAAAAAATGACATATCTTTCAAAAGTAATTATTGTTTATTATTAACAATTAAGGAGGTAGAAACCTGGAAATAAAAATTCATTGTCCTCAATAGAGAGTATCACGAAACTCAAGAAAAGCTCATGTTGGCTGAAGCTGAATTAGAATCAATTAAGAAAGGAGAAGTTAAAGAAGTGAAAGTAATCTAACAATGTAATTTAGCAAATTGTTGTTGAAAGAAAGGATAATATAGGAAGAACAGTAGATTACAAATAATCTGAATAAGTTTAAGTTAGAAAGAGTGGATTTTTATAGACATTATAGTGAAAGATAATCAATTATAGTGAATATTAATATAAATACATTATTTAATCCAATAGAATTATGGAACAAATAAAAATTTTATTTTTTACACACCTATCTATAATTTCTCATTTAAACCAATTTGAATTAGAACTGAAAGAATTATAAATTGAAACAAATTTATGGTTAGGAAATCAATAATTTAAATCAAACTCAATTGAAATGTTCTATAACATCTCTGAAATTAATTTAAAGATAACCTAATCCATAACTGGTCCAGAGAAGGTGAACCAAGTAAGTATCAAAACCTTTGATTTAAATATAATCACTATATCACACTTTAGATTAATTATCTTTCTATTTTTAAAGAATTATCATAAAATTTGGTTTAATAAGTGATGTAAACGAAGATAGAATAATATATTTTGGTTCTTTAAGAAATTTTTACTATGAATTTTTGGAATATCACTTTATTTTTAAAGTATGTATCGCTAAAATCATAAAAACAATTGTTAATTATATGAATATCCTAATAAATAATATTATTTGAAATTTTCATTTTGGTTTTCGTTTGAAGATATGTCTCAAGATAAATTTTCATCTTTAAGGAACTCATATTTGATTTGATTTGAGATTTCTTTAATTCTAAATTCATTGAGGAAGAATTGAAGTAGTACTTTTAAATTCTTCTATAGAAAAATGTTAGTTCAGAATATCTAAATTATCAAATTGCTAAGAAACTTGCTTGTTTTATTTTCTTATCTCAGGTGTAAATAATCTGAATAATTAAGTTTTTTACATGTAAATAATTAATAATAATCTCAATAGAATTATAACTTGTATATAATGATAATCGACGCACCCAATCAATAATTTCCAAATAGAAAGTTTTAAACAATAAATCAATTAGGAAAGGGAGCTTAAGGTTAAGTTTATTTAGTGAAATCAATAAATTGGGGAATAAATGATTCAAAATAGTTTGCAATTAAATAATAACCAAAGTTTAATGAGAATGAGCTATAAATATTAAATATGATAATGAATTACTAAAAAGGCTAATTTAATCAAGCATCATAAGTGATAAGGATTTATGAAATATTATAATACAATAATAAGGCATACTTGATAATGGAAACTGGAGAATAGGACCTTTACTCTTACATTGAATCATATTAATAATAATAATAATAATTAAGTTTAGACTAAAAAATAAAAATAATGAAATAAGTATTTAAATTAAATATGTATCTAGTTATCATAATCTATCTACTTTTTTCATGAAACTTTAAAATTAATTCACAGAGACATTAAACCTGAAAATTTTATCAAAGTAGGAGATGATTTCAAACTTATTGATTTTGGTTTAGCTAAACCTTCTCAAGATTTTTTTATGACATAAAATGTAGGAACACCATATTTTTAAGCACCAGAAATAATTTAAAACAAATAAGATTACACTTGTGCTGTAGATGTTTGGTCATTAGGTTGTGTGTTTTATGAACTTTGTAAATCATAACTATTATTTTAAGGTATTATTTTCTATTTAATTTAGCAAATACTATTTAGGAAATATAAAACATTGTATTAAATTTCAATTAAAAGTACTTAGAAGATAAATTAAGTTCAGATGAGATGCCTTAATCGTTAAAGTATCTTTTAATTTAAATGATTCAACCAAATCCCAAAGATAGATTATCAATTAAAGAAGTACTTAGTAAACTTAATTAAATATCAACAGAATAATTTGGAAATTAATATAATAATAGCTTTATAGTTTAAAATGTCTTCTAAAAAAATAATCAACAATTTTAATAATAAAATAATTTTCCATAAATCAATTAATAAATCTCATTTAATCCATAAATTTAATAGTAAAAATAATAATAATAATAGTAATAGTAATAATTAAAAGATTAGGATTAAAAATAAATAGAATAAAATACTTTAATTTAATAAATTATAACTATTTTAGAAAAATAAAATCTGTAACAAGAATTCAAAAATTTATAAGATCAATAAGATAAATATTAATAAAGAATAACTGAATACATTTAATTGTTCTAAAATTAATTTGAGACAAATTTGAATGATTTAAAAAATGAATTTAAAGATTAAAATATTTAATAAATCAAAGTATAAAATAATAATAATGAGAATTTAACGAAAGTTATGTAAGAATACAAATTAAATATCAAAGATTTAGATTTAAAAAATAGAGAATAAGACATGTAAATAAAAGAATTAAATTTAAGTATATTTGAATTCAAAACTAAAATATAAGAATAAAATAACCAAATAAATATATTTAAAGATAAAGAATAGGCATAATTACAATTAGATTAATATAATAAAGAGTTGATTCAAAAAATTGAAAAATATAAATTCAATGAGATGTAATAATAAATGAAATAATCATAATTATAAAAAGAAATACAAGATTAACAAATCTCAATTGAGTAATATGAAAATAATATTAAAAAATATTAAGAAGAGTAATTGTAATTAAATCAATTAATTTATCAATAGAAATCTTAAGAAAATATATTTCAAAATACAATTTAAGAGAATGAAAAGAGAATTTAACAATGCTCAGATATAATTCAAGATTAAAAGATTTAATTAGAAATATTAAACAAAGCTATTTAAAATTCTAACTAAATAAAAGAATTAGAAAATAAATTTCAAATTTAAATTAATAAAATACTTGATTAACAACTTTAATGTCAAAAGGAAAGTGACAAATAACAATAGAAAGTTTTCGCAGAACTCAATTCAATTAAATAAAGTTCTTTGTAATTATAATAAAACCAATAAGAATTACAAAAGGATATAAATAGATTACTTAATGTCATTCAATAATATTAATAACAAATTTAATAATAGGAACCAATAAAAGAAAAGTCTTAAATAATAGATTCACTTAAAAAAGAAATTCAACTTCATTTTGAAAATGTAAAAAGAAATCCTACAACTATCTGCTAAGTACTAAAATCGAAAATTTATTTATTGTTTGAGGAAATTAAAAAAGAAATCTCCTTTATAATTCAAAATATAGATGATGTTAAGTTATAAGGTAAATATTTAGTCTAAGAATCTTATAAATACAATGTGAATATGGAGAAAATGATTGCTAACGATTTGGAAATCTTAAAAGGATGGAAATTGGTATTTACTGATCTTTAGAAAAAATTCAAAAAATGAGATAATAAATTATATATTGAAGTGAATCATTTTTAGAATTATAATATATATTTAAATATTGATTAAAAATCATTATATTCTTAACATAATGATTGAAAGTCCAGTATTGATCCTATTATCTAAATATTATAGTATCAGTAAATTTTCAAACTTGAGCAAACACAATATTATAATTTTAAGTACATCTATCATTATAAATTATAATTTCTAGTTTAGATTTATCCTACCAATTGCATTATTCTTTAAAATTTTAATATGAAAGAAAAAAAATTTAAGAAAAATTACATTTCTCTGGATAACAAAGGAAAGTTTTCTTTTTTTTTAATCGATATTCCTGAAGTCTATAAGAACACGCACACCATTATATTCAGTGGAAATTAATTTTATTATATCATTTTCAATTTGAGAAAGCTAAAATGTAGAGAAAATCTTTTATTCATGATGCTTTTTCATTATAAATATATTATAGGATTTGATAATTTAAAGTTCTAATATTAAACACTGATAAGTTTGCTATTTTTTTTGTTCCCAAAGAGTATCATAGATAGAATAAAGAATAGAATCATTTTAATATTTTGAAAGATGTTTTAGAAAAAATTTGTAAAGTTAAGGAAAATATGTATATAAAGTATTAAAAATAGTAGGTCTTGGGCGATCCATTCTAGGAATACAAACAATACTTACTTAAGAGATATCTATCTTACTCCATGCAATTCATTAATTGTAATAGTGGAGGCGATAATATTCTGATCTAAGAAAATTAAGTTCTTATATACATCTGAAATATTATCAAAGTAATTGCTTTATTTAAAGAAATGATTCTTGCAATTTTGAAAAGTTCAAATAATATGGTGGAGTGGGTAATTTTCCAAGGTTATAGGTAAATCTTTAGAGATGATGCCTAACATGTTTAGCCAGCTGCTATTTGCTAAGTAACATAATTGAGAAATAAATTTCCCCATCTCTTTTATAGGGTTCATTAGAACTAAATTTTTGAGGGATTGAGAGAATTTGGTTTTTCATTTTAAAATTGAATTAAATACAACTATTGTACTATTTCTTATTAATATGTGACAACTTTTGCCCTTATTAATTTAATTTTATATATTTTTCCATTCTTTGAATTTTCTAAAGTATAAAATTATTTTTTTTCATTATTAATCCAAAGATATCAATATGGCTAATCCTATAAGCTGCGATTATGATGATAAATTTGAAGATTATATTGGAAATGAGAAAAAGGCGAAATTTTAAGGGGTGGGTCTCCCAACCCAAAAAATGCAATTTTCTTAGGAGTTGATATTGATTATTTGCCATTAGCTGAAACAACAGCAACCTTTAATTGTTTCTTTAAAAAGAATAGTTCCTGAACTTTAATAAGCCTCTCATTCTAGACATGTTATAAATTTATAACTAAATAGATCATTTAACTTTATATGAGATAATCCAAAAATTATTATAAAAAAGGTTATGATAAATAACGAAACAACTGCAGAGAGAACTTCATTAGTAAGAGATATACTTTCTTGAAATTTTCTGATTTAATGTCCCGATTGATTAATTTTGCCTTATGTAAAAAATAATATTGGTAAAGTAATCTATTAAATAATTAAAAATAAATTTACCTGAATCAAAATGCTTTCTAGTTCTTTTTGGAATCTGCGTTGCTCAAATCTATGTATTCAAGTAAACTTTCTTAACCAACTTCCATTACGATGCAATGGCTTGATTGCCACTAGAAATAATCATACAATTTTAGTATATTAGTGGGAACTTAATGTTAATCATTTCCATTTTCATAATTTCTTTGGTATCGCATTAATTATGAAATAAAGACTTTCTCATCTTCTTTCATCTCTTTCTATATCTTAAGCATAAATTGTTTGGAATTATCATCCCAGCCGTTTGAATTTGCGATAAATATTCCTCCTTCATTAGTAGTTTCAAGATTCATTATTAAATGAAACTACCTATTTGGGAATTCTGTTGTTTTAACTAAAATAGTTGTATTGACTAGTTACTAAAAGTACATTCCTAATTCTAAAAATTTTATTAAAAATTAAAATTGAAAGTTTATAATCAAAATTTTTGAAAAAGTTTTTATTTTTCGTTTTCAATTGATCTAAATGAAAAACAATTATTTAATGCTACAGATATACTTTAGATTGAATTTGAGTTCTTAAATGATTTATATTTATGCAAAAATAAACTATTAATAGTATAAGAAGATTTAAAGTTAATGAAATAGAATTATTAATTTATAGGTTAAGCTAATAGAGACATAGAATGAAATAAAATAAAGGATTAGTATAATCTTCTTTAATATATTTGGAAAGTAACAGTATATCGAGAGAAAAGATAATTAAGAAAATCCTTATATAATTAACACTATAATGCTGAATGTTTGAAATCCATCATTATGAAAAAGTCTAACATTAAATAAATTCATCTTAACCTAAATCACATAAAAATAGTGATGTAAAAAAACTTAAATATTAAAGAATTTACTTAAAATGAGCTAATATTTTTTTTATTTCTTAGCTTAATTTATATAATTTTTGTCTAATAAATACATTTTATCTACAAGTAAAATTCAATTGCCAGAATCTATGTTTTAAAGAATTTTTTCAAATATGAAATCTTATTTATATATTTCTCTGAAATACTTTATATAGCCAGTAAATCATGAGTTGGATTCTAAAGTTTTGATTATTTTCATAACCAATATTTTTAGTGGATTTTATTTTTATATTAAGAATAATACATAATTTAATAAAATTATATGTTATAGTGCTTAATTGAGTTAGAATTATCAAGCATTAAAATTTTGGTGAATTAAAACATAAAATTTGAACATACAACAAATATCCTCTATAATTCTATTTTCTTATAAAATTTTTGATATTGATCACGATATAATTTTAATAATATTCAAAATTTTAATTTAGATATTTTCGGGGTATTTATATGTTGTAAATATATTCTAAGTGACACATTAATTTTCTTGCAATAAATAACAAACGATGATTGTTAGATTGATGATAAGTTTACTACTATTGCTTATGCAAACTTTAGTAGAAGGTTACAAATTAATTTATCTTTAGCCATGACGGACGCCTCAAGAGACACAACAATAGATGCAGTTGTAATTCTGTCAGTTTCTACTGTCTTGGGGAAGGAGAAATCAAGCCCAATAGGTTCGTTGTTGGGAGGCACAACATTATATATGAAGGTAAAAATATCATTAAATAGACTAGGTATAAGGTTTGGATTAGACTGCAAGCAATAATGCAGTATATATTGGAAAGTATCCGTGCCTTATCTCAGATAAAGGTGTTAACGGATTGTTTATGAATTGTAAAACAACAAAACCTGATCCAAATGACCATAACTTATCAGGGTTAAAAATAGTTGTTAAGGTTTTGGATAAACCAGACTCGGTTTGTACATACAGTAGTGGGTACTGCAAATTTACATACTCTGAGAATATGACGCCAAAATTATTTTAAGTTGTTCCAAGATCAAACCACCCTAGAAGCCTAAGTTATTGGAGAGCCAAATGGACTGTATCTAGCAATGCAGTAGAGTATCTGGAAGGATAATTCATGGATGCTAATAGGTGTGATAGATTCACAGTTTAAGATATGTATCCAAAAGAAATCAACCCATTGGATGACGGAGTAGTTTGTTAGGTTTCTGCTGAGATCAGGGCTGGATATTATGGTTACGTCATAAAATCATAAAGAGGCTATTAAAAGAATGATGTTGGAGTAAATTAGAAGAAGGTCCATTCTGATAGAACTTATGACTCAAAGTAATATTATATAATAATAAAATTAGAGTAATCCCACTAATTACAGGTATCAGCACTAATTTTGCATCCCCTGAAGGACAGATACTAGAAATTGTAGGTCTTGGATTTAGTCCAATTTCCTCTGAGAATTTTGTAAAAATCTCTGGATAATCTGAAAACATTAAAGTTTTGTCATCCTCCCCCACTAACATTATTGCAAAGATACCGAAGTTGGAAAACCTACCTAGATTATAGGATTCGACTGAAAATTCTTTATATTTACAAGGAAGTGGATTGCATTACACCAGATGGGATATTTCTGGTTTATCTCTTAATTGTCCATCTTTTAGATAGCAAATAATTACTGATAAGACTGTATGGAATAGCAGGATCAAATTTGATGGAATCTATCCTGAACCTGATGTTCATAATATTTTTGGAGAAAACTACGGGTAATATTTCAGAGGCTTCTTGAAGGCACCTTTTACAGCCAACTATAAATTCTATATCTCCTCAGACAATTGCGCTGAATTCTACATATAAACAGCTGAGAAACTAAAACCTATTAGACCTGATAGTCCAATTGTTTAAAGCAGTTGGAATCCTTACAAGAACTATTGGTATGAATACTTGAGTACATCATCAGAGATCAAAACTATATCAGAGAATATTTCTTTGGAGGAAGGTTAAATGTATTATATTGAGGCTTATCATCTTAATGGGCCTTAAGAAGGTCACCTAACAGTGTCGATGGAAATTGAAAGTGAAACTCGAAAAATCAATTCCCTTAATAGCATCTATCAAATATCCACTTCATACACTCCTATTAAAGAGGTGATTGAGTTCTCCCTTTACAATTCAAATGCAAACACCCTATTAACAGGTAAATATAGACTTTAATTCACGTATGGAACTAAGACTTACCCTTAGACAGAACTCTATTATTCCTATATTACAGTTGAATTATCATCAAATTCGTATGCAAATGCAATTAAAAATGCCATTCAGAATTGTGGCGCAAACTACCTCGTTACAGTAGCCCTCACAAAATTAGACAGCACCGGAAAGGAGTTAGAAGAAACTGCTACTACATTTGCTGGATATAAATACACAATTACATTTGATTCCTACAGAGGAGGAATACCTTACAGAGCACTCCCAAAAATGATATACGCAAATCTTAAAGGAGGTGTAGTGGGATCAAAGATAGAATGCACTCAATCTCCATCAGATCCAATCAGTGGTACATTTTAATTGGCTATGACTATTAATGGCTAAGATAATTTATTCTAAACAGCTGAAAATAGTTATGAGTTGAATTTTAATACGGCAAGTGCAGTATTAGCTGACAATATTGAAAGGCTTACAGGTTATCGACCTTTGGTCTGGACTATAGGAAGAGCCTAAGACGGATGGAGTTGGTTTATAAAATTAAGGTCACATTCAGAAGATCTCAGTGATTTCAGAGTCTTAAACAATTAATTAGTATCAGGTAATGGCGATGTCACTATTACACTAACACAACCATTACCAAACAGCAACAACTTATTATTTGAGCCTATTCCTAATGAGTTATTGTTTACATATAGTGAAAATCCATAAGTTTAAGTTGAAGTTTAGTATCAATTAATTGAACATGGAAGCGTGATAGAATCTGAATTAATACTAGCTGGATGTGCACAATAATCAGCTTGTGACTTAACTTTGAATGAAGAAAAGACACCATTAGTGACAGCCTATTCAATATCTGGATCTGTTCTATCTCTTACAATTGAGGAGGGAGTCGATTTGACAATAATTTCCAATGACCTAGTAATTCAATACTTAGGAGCAGATTGCAATAACATTTAAGTTACAAATGATGGATCACCATATACTATAACTTGTAATTTGGAGTAGTAGGATGGTAAAACAATTAAAGAAGCAGGAGATGGGTAATTGCCAGTCGTTCATCATAAAGATATTGGATATTCAAAAATAGATTAAAGTCTAACAGTTGAAAATATAGATTTGAATATAATGTCAATCTCGCCTATTGCAGGATCTCCAGATGGAGGTACAACAATCACGATTGCAGGCACTGGTTTTCCAAAAAACTCAGATAGAGAATTCACATTCTAAATTGATGGTTAAAATGTTAAGCCATTATCAATAACAAACAATTAATTAGTCTTCATTACTCCTAAAAAAGTAAATGGAGGAACTGGAAGTATTTCCCTTTCGTTTAATACAAAAACAGCAACAAGCACATTGACCTATGATGATTCATTAAGGATTCAAGTTACTGGTTTAGAGTTTAACTCAAAATCACCAGTATTCAGAGGTGAAATGAAAATCACAGGAGTTAATTTTGGAACAGTTAAAGAGGATATTAAAGTTACATTGGTAGGAAATAAATCCTATAATGCTAAGGTATTATCAGTCACTGATTCCTAAATTACAGTTTATTTGAGAGGAGGAATGCCTGGTAATTATAGAGTTATTGTTACAAAAAAGAATTTTGGTGATTCCTATTCAAATAACGATGATAATTTATTTAAATACATAATCCCAATTAATAGTGTGACTTTAGAAGATGGAACTAGTTAGGCAAAAGGATCAGAAGCAGGAGGAACTGTTATTAAGATTACTGGATCACATTTTGTAAAAGGAGAAACTCTTGTGTATATTGGTAGAGCTGTGAATTGGTTATGTGAAATAGATGAAACTAGGTTTACCAGTGAAACCATATATTGTACTGTTCCAGCAAAATACGAATTGTATACTGAAGAACCTCAATTAGTACTTGTAACTTTACAAATAACACTTGAATCAACTTGTTTCGATAGTATCAATAATTGTTTATTTACTTATGAAAATTAATTGACTCCAAAACTTGAAGCATATCCTGAATCTGTTACTTAATACTCAGGGTCAAGAATATTAACAGAAGAGGATCATTCAAAACCAGATTATTATAAGCTGATATAAAGGAAGAGATTCTTATGGACAGATGAATCAAAAAAACATGGTCACAATCACATTTTGAATGTTGGCAAATCTTCAAGGAGAGATATGCTCACATCTACAGATTTGGTTTTGACTCAGTAAAAAACATATAAACCAGGGGATCTAGAAACATTATCAGGAATTGGATTAACATCAAGTGTCTCAGTTGTATTCAAAGGTCCTGTGACATAGACAGTGGCTGCCACTGTAGATGATAATACTATCACTTATACAATTCCAAATCTACCATAAGGATACTATTCTACTTACATATTAACTTAAACTGGTTATGCTGATAAGATATGGGTTAGTATAATTGAATTAAGCGTTACAAGTATTGACAATGCTGCAATTGGAGGATAGATATTAACAATAAATGGTGCAGGATTTAATGCTAATTAAAATCCAATTGTTAAAGTTGGATCTACCACATGCACTGAGTTGTAAGTAATCTCCAGTGTATAAATTAAATGCAGAATGGCAAGATAATCAGGAACTTCAGCAGTAGTCACTCTAACTTAATCACCTTCTGAGAGTAATTCTGCTACTCCTTATACAGTTGAATATACAATAGCCATTTATCCAACTTCAAGTTCCCCTCTTATCACATCTATTAGTGGTGTTACCTATGATAGTACTTAGAAGGCTAACAAAATGACAACAGGGGATGTTATTTTAGTATTCACAGGTAGTAATCTATCTGGTACTAATATTCTGGCAACATTGGAACACATGAATCGTAAGATTATTGGCACAGTTTCAGCATTGTCTGATACATCAGTAACAGCAACATTTACAAGTGTACCAATAGGAGTTTATTCAATACAATTACTATTGGATAATAAGTATGCCTATCATAATGATGCTAATAAATAGAAATTAATTATTAGTGCATCTCAACCAACCTCAAATAATCCTATAGTATCTTATGCAGGTGGTGCCACAATCACATTCACTGGCACTGGATTTGATACTTAAACAGAATTCAGCTCTGTTTAAGTATGTGGATTCAATTGTCCTATTACTAGTTCATCATACACAAGTCTCTCTTGCGAAGCCCCTAAATTGTTGACAACTTCAGTGTTACAACAATATACGGCACTCCAGGAACCTCCTAGATATATTAAACTATCTGAAGTTCAATTATTAGCTGACACAATCCCCTTAGCATAGACATTCTTTGATCTGCAATAATCAACCTATTATGTTTCGAGTGCTGCTTCTAATTGCTTCTTGTAAGTTGACTTTGGTTCAAGTAGAAACTTGAAATTGAATCAATTGAGATATTTACCTAGAATTGATGTAGAAGCCATTTATTTGAAAGGAGCTGTTTTTTAATATACTTTAGATGGTTCGATTTGGGTGGATTTCTTAACAATCGATTAATCAGTTCATACTGGGTGGAATATCTATGTTCCTTCAGGTGATATTTCTGGAATTAAGGCTATTAGACTATTTGATTCAAGAGGAACTACAGGTTCATAATGTTAATTGGCTGAAATTGAAATCAAAGGATGGGTACTATCAAACAGTAAAAATGCCTATTCGGTCCCAACTCCTTGTAATGCAGATCTCCAAGTAAATGGATAATCGATAGGTACAATACTCAATGCTGTCAGTTATTCATCAAGTAGTGTTCCCATGGTTAACACAGTAAGTCCAAAGACAGGTAGTTTTACAGAATAGGCTATCATTACTATAACTGGAACAGGATTTGTAAATGGATAAACATAAGTTGCAATTGATGGAGTGAGTTGTGTTATTCAAAGTGTAACCTAAACTGAAATCATATGTAAGACAGGTGTGAAAGATTTAGAATAAACTTAATTGAATGGAGTATTTTAAGTGAGAGTTAATGGAAATCTAGCAGTGAACAATTAATAATTCATGTATGCTACTAAGTGGTCAGATATTAATACTTGGGGAGGATATGAGTATCCAGGTGATGGAGATTCAGTTATTGTCAATGCAGGATAAACATTAATTGTTGATGTTAAAACACCTAAATTGATGTAGTTGTTAGTGGAAGGCACATTAACATTTTCAGATGAACTTGATACTTCGATTGATGCTCATTACATTGTTATTAGAGAGGGTAAATTCAATATTGGAACTGAACTGATAGCCCATTAACATAAAGTCTAAATCACTTTGTATGGTGATGAATAAGATGTCTAAATGCCTGAGATGGGTAATAAAGTGCTAGGATGTCATTAATGCCAATTAATCATACATGGAAAAGAAAGAACACCAACTTGGACATTATTATCTAGTACAGCATTAGCTGGAGCTACATAAATTACAGTAGATGATCCAGTAGATTGGTAAATTGGAGAATAGATAGTGATAACTTCAAGTGAAGTCTAACATTTGTAAAGTGAAAAAAGGTATATAGTATCTGTGAGTGACGATAAAAAGACTTTGCATCTCGATTATCCTCTTCTGTACAAACATTATTCAGCAATTGAGACTTATGGAGATGAACAATTCCCCATGAAAGTTGAAGTGGGATTGTTGACTAGAAATATTGTTATACAAGGAGAACAATCAAGTGTGAAATATGGGTATCATTTGATGATTCATGGAAGAGCTGAAAAAGGTGCTGTAGGCAAAATTTCATATGCAGAATTCAGATATGGTGGATAGCCTAAAATTATTGGTAGATATCCAGTTCATTTTCATTTGAATGGTGAAATAGATAACTCTTATGTTGTTGGTAATTCAATTCATGATTGCTACGCTCGTTGTGTGACTATTCATGGTGTACATTACTTGAAGGTTTAGAAGAATGTATGCTATAATACCTTTGGACACGCTATTTTCCTAGAAGATGGTATTGAGACAAATAATGTAATTGAAGACAATCTTGTTGCAGGCACTAAATAAAGTTGGATAATGTTGCAAACAGATATTACTGTCTCTACTTTTTGGGTGACAAATCCATAAAACATACTAAGAAGAAATAGATCAGGAGGATCTGAATGGTACGGGTTTTGGTATGAAATCAAAACTAATCCAGATGGACCTTCAGCTACTTCAGACATTTGTCCACCTGGTCTAAGCATGCTTGAGTTTAAAGATAATTGGTCACACTCTAATGGCAGATTTGGTCTTCGTATTTTCTAAATGGCTCCCAGGTAGTATCCTTGTATGGATTTGGCAAATTGGGCCAATGATTAACCCTACATTGATAATCCCAGCATTCAATCCGTTTTTGAAACGTTCCGCACATGGAAGAATAATGAATGTGGAATTCTGGGCGAAGAATTAGGGAATATTTACTTCAAAGATATCATGATTGCAGAATCCAAATTTGCAGGTTTCTAATCCCATAGAACTAATCATTCTGATGAAGGAGCTGTTTTAGATAATGCTTTGATTGTTGGAAAATCAATAAACAATGCATATTCAGATGCGTACTATGAAGGATCCAGAGCCTTGGTTGTACCAAGAACAAATGGATTCTTGGCTAAAAATATCAGAATGTACAATTTTGGAAGCAATACTGCTTTGATCGAGTCTTGTTCGATGTGTTGGCATGATTTCGTTTGGGTTCAAGGTGGTAAGAATACTCATTTCTTTAACGTAAAAGCATACAATTCAAATTCAGCTAAGAGAATATATTGGTAGAGACATAGAAGAGAAATATTCTGGGATATAGATGGCTCAATCACAAATGTAGATGGAGGTGCATACATTATTCCGTATAAGAAACATATTGATGGGATTCCAGGATGTGTTACTCATCCAGAAGAATATTGGGATAATTCTATCATCTGCGCAATGAATTAAGTTACAATAAGGGATGTATTAATTAATAATCCAACTCCAGAATAAGACTTCAGTGGAGTGGATCTAAAAATCTATAGACTTGATGATTCTAATATTGAAACTAAAATGGACTAATCTATAGATGAAGCCAAATATATAGAGGCTGAAACTATGATGGTCATTAAATCAGGTAGTAAGGATGTTCCTAAATCATTTGTTAGTATCTTTGCTACTGGATTCACATACAATGTTCATTTTAAGCTTGGAGCTAGTGATCCTTTGAGTATGGGTATCTTTGCATCACCTTACTTTAAGGAGGCAGATAATGCTGTGGTGTTAAGGTTTAATTATTCTACAAATAGAGAGACTTTCGATATTATGAGACATATTGAAAAATAATTCCCTTTAAATTACACTAAATTAAATTAGAAACCTAATACTCATGTGTGTAATCAAGGTGATTGGTATAATGATAAAACAAATAAATTATTCTTCATATGCTTATCTGGTAAAAACAAGAAAAAATATGAGTATGTTGAAGTAAGGGGAGTGATATGCAGAGATGAATGCAGTTCATTAGGAGATGTAAAATAAGAGGATGGGTATAGATATTGGAGTGATCCCAATACTTGGATTGACAATAAAGTTCCAGTCGAAGGTGATAATCCAATAGTATAAGCAGCATATTAAGTTATTTTGGATGTTGATACACCAAAGTTGGCTAATTTAACAATTTTAGGAACTCTGATTTTTGATGAAAGAAGAGCATCGACTAAGTTGGAGGCGGAGAGAATATGGGTAAGATCAGGTAAGCTATTGGCAGGTAATTCCACTCATCCATTTCCTGGTAAAATTAATATCATTTTGAATGGGGAGTTTGGTGATAATCCATTAATTATTGATTCAAAATTGGATGTCGGAAACAAAGTATTGGCTGTTACAAAAGCCTTGGAATTATATTCGACACCTCCAAGAACAGTTTGGACTAGACTAGCTGTTTATGCTGATGCTGGAACTACTGAGATTCAAGTTATAGAATGCAGTGATTGGGCAATAGGAGATGAAATTATATTTGGTCCATCAGGAACTAATCCAGATTAGAGAGAGAAGAGAAAGATTCAGTCTATTTAAGGATGTGTCATCAAATTGGATTAAGCACTTGAGTTTGATCATTATGGAGCTCCTTAAGTGACTCTGGATAAGGGAGATGTTGGTTAATTAGATATGAGAGCTGTAGTAGGTCATTTGACTAGAAAGATTAAGATTGAAGGAGGACCTAGTGTACACGGTTTAGGATGTAGAGTTTTGATTTACTAATTTGAGGAACCAGAAGCAAATTTAGGATACCCAAGGAGAGGTTACACCGTATTACATGGAGTTGAATTTAATAATTGTGGTTAATTTGATACTTAAAGAAGTGGACTGGATTTTAGGAACCTTAAAAGTTAAATCATTAAGACTCCAAGTGAAGTTATTGGGTGTTCATTCCATGATACCACAGGTATGTTGATGACAATACAGGACTCATAATATATTACAATCAAGAATAATATATTCTTTAATGGAATTAAAGCTTTGGTTTAGATTAATAACAGTCAATATGTGAAGTTTTAAGGGAATGCTATGGTTTATGTGAAGAAAAGGATGGTTTAGGAGTTTGAAGGAGGTATTGCAAATTGGGCTGTATTTGGAAATTTCATCTATATGGATGAATATATACCAACTCGAATGACAAGGGATATCCTTGATATATCTGGTAATGTAGGATAAGGGTCACAAGACACAGGATTCTTTGTTATGGGTCATAAATGTAGTGATGCTTAAATATCTTCATTCTATAATAATCACTGTTCTGGAACTGTGTTGGTTTGTTTTGCAGTCAGATAGGTGTCTAGCAAATGTACATATATGTCAGGTCTTTATGCTCATCATAGTGAAGGAGGAATAATGTTAGCGGTTTAAACTGAATAAGTATAACTGGAAAATACCATAGTTGCTGAAAATAATAGAAGCATTGTATTAAAATTGGGTTCATGGAACTATTATGATAATACCATTAAGCTTAATAAACTCTTCATCTCTGCTTTAGTTAGACCTGATTGTGTTAAATGCTATTCGAGTTCTCTTAGTCCTCATTGCAAAGATTCCTTCGGTATTTAAATGGGTACTGTCTCCACTACAGCCTTCCCTCCAATTAATAGTCCCATTTCTTCAGAATTCGATATTATTTGTACATCCTAAAAGATTGATCTTAAAGTTTATTTAACAAATGTGGAATTCCACAATTTTAGACTCACTTATGACAACTTACCCTAATGTGGTGAAAATGCAGCCTTCAGATAACATAAAGGAGCACATGACATGTCAGGATAACATTACCTAGTTAATTCTCCATGTACAAATTGCTAGTTTGAAGCCCTTTTATACAAGTCATTAGGATTTGAAGTGAGAAAATTAGGATGGTTTGGAGGTTGTGGTTCATTTGGTTGTTCAGGATTAACCAATTACTTGATTGAGGATTAAACTGGACATTTCTTTGGATCAATCGGTCAAGGCATTGGAAATAATACTTATTTTGGACCCAATGTTACATATTGTACTAGATAAGAGTCATGGAACGGATATTGGTGTCCTGGTAGAAAGATTACAACCTTGGGCTTTATGAGCACTGCTCCTGACTACAAGAAGAGATTGTATTCACCAATTAAATTAACTGACGGAGAATTCTTTAATGAAATGAATAGTTAAATGGAGTGGGCTTGGCTGGGATCAGAACCTTTGAATTTAAGAGAATCTAAATTCGTTGCTCTTATAGCTACAAACACCATAATCAACATGACCAATGCAGGAACCAATCCGACTTCATCAGAGTATTAAATGTCTAAAAGAAGAGAAGATGGTAGTCCAGAAGATTTTGTTATTTTAATGTGGCAATTCTAAGTGCCCTAATTTATTTAAGTTTTTGTTGATAACAAAGTCATTCAACCTGGATTAACAACTCATTCTAAGCATCATGATCTATTGAAAATGACTGATCAATGTGGTGCTAATAATTATTTCTATGAAAATAGAACCATCCATTTTGTTGTAAACGGATAATTAGGCTGTAGAGTTAAAATTGCACTTAAAAACACCCTCTAAATATCCACTAGGTTAGAATTGTCTACTGAAGAATTCTATGGTGATAAGTTCTTATAATATGCTAGAGCATAATTAGGAGGAGACCCTTATAACTACTTTATCATAGGTATAAAGAAATAAACCAGAAGATTCTTGGAACAAAGTGTTAGCTATTAAGTCTCAGTTGAATGGGGTATTGTTGATAGTGCAGAAATCGGATCAGAATAATCATCCAATTCTAAGACAACCTTAGAAGAATTTGCTAGTAAATTAGAGTTTTTGAATCCACCCCCTGAAATTGGTAAGATTCTGGAATTGAGTTCATCCTTATCGGTTATTGATAAATTGAATTTCCCATCTACTGAGCCAACTTCAGGTATAATTATATATATATTAATTTAGCTTCTCCATAAGGATCTAATACAAACAATTAAAGTAATGGAAATACTAATTCAGGTTAAGATTAATCATCAGGAAATAGCAACAATAATAATAATAATAATAATAATAATAATAATAATAATAATAATAATAATAATAATAACAATAACAATTAAAATGATACTGATATATTATTTACAACAGATGAGTTAGTTAATTAAGGAGATTCTAAGGATGATTCTAATTAAGAAGATATTGGAACAGTTACAAAATCTTTTAGCAAAGGAGATCCTTAATCTAATACAGTCATTATTGTTGTTTCTGTTATTTGTTCTGTAGTAGGCATCTCGCTTTTGATTGCTGGTTTGTTATATTATAAAAAAGTTAAATTGGCCAAACTAATTGCTTCAAGAAATTAAAGAGTTGATAATGAATTTTTCAAAATCAATCTCACAGAACAATAATTGCAAGCATAATGATTCATTATTAAATAAATTATAATAGTAATTTTAATATATATAATTCTATTATACAGAGTTTAGTTTACTATATTTATTTAGAATACTAGTATGTATTTAAGATAAGAATAAGTTTGGAATTCTTAAATAAAAAAGTTCATATAAATAGTGGATAATTTAATAATAATAAATTTACTATTAAAAATAAAATTGCAATAAAATAAAATAATGTTAAATACAAGCTCAATGAATTTAGGAGACACAAGCAAAGTATACAAGCAAAGCAATCAACTTGGAATTTTGTCTACAGCCATAAGCAAAATAGGAAATTCAGATCACTCATTTCAAAAGGGAGTTAAGGCAGCGAATACTACAAATGTATCTCCTGTAAGGATGCGATTGTTTAGAGAATCCCCAGAAAGAAAATAAAGAGGCCTAGATGGATTGGTTGTCGGAGAGTTTCAGTAATTAAATAGTTTTATTGTAATAGTCCTCGTAAATAAACTTAAGTGGTGTATAGTAGCATTCATTAGAGTTCATCTCCAATGATTCATAAACCTCAATAGAAGCAATCATTTTAAGATTCACCTACAAGAGCTAAATAGAAGATAGATAGATTTAAGAACTGGGACTCCAAACTGGACATTGAATTATAATTACAAAACACTGGAATTACTAGAATGGGAAATGATATAGTCTATCAATCTGGTCCATAACTTAATTATACTAAATCAATATAATTAAATGAGAGATTAAATCGAAACAACCCTTCAATTACACAATCAGATATTGTATAGCTAACAGCTAAACTAAATGCAATTCCAAGGACAGAATTAACTAACTTTACAAGAGGGTATTACAATATAACTATAATTTAGTCACGCTCATGAATTATCCACACTTTAATAATCATTGCAAAGGATATTGAAATCAAGCAAAGGCTATTGAGGATGTCTGATAATTTTTATATTAATAAATTTATTGCTTAAAATTAAATTAAATAATAAGAATGAACAGAATTAATAAATACTATATGATAATGGTGTTTATATTTGATATTAATTTAAGACTCTAACTATCATTATCTTTTAGAGTTCTTTCTGATTGATTGGAAATAAGGATGCGACATTGCTTCTTTGGCTGTAATTCTTAGATTCTAAGAGATATATGGATAATGATTACATGATCATAGATAAGCATGCTCTATAATAATTCAATTGCATCAGCCTTAGCCAAATATTCATTGTCTTCATTCACAAATTTGCTGAATGGTTTTTTAGGATGTTATCCTAATACATTCTCAAAGTTTGGACCCAATGAAATGTTGTACTTCTAGAGATAATTCATCAAATCGTCTGTGCCCAACACTCTTGCAATTTTATCCAATTGATCATTATTGTCTTATCCGTGGAAGAAGGGCTCTTGTTAGAATATGATTCCAGCAAATAAGCATCCCAAACTCCAAATATCTAAACTATAATCATAATATTAATAGTCTAAGAGAAGCTCTGGAGATTTAAAATATCGAGAAGCCACTCTACAGTTATAATTTTTATTGGGGAAATAGAACTCTGCCAATCCAAAGTCAATCAATTTCAATAGCTTCTTTTCATGATCAATCATTATGTTATGAGGTTTGATATCTCTATGAATTATACCCATACTATGACAATGATCTAGGGCCTTAATTATAAATGAGATTTAAAATTACTTTCAAAATTTCATACATGTAAAAGCGAACATCCTGATCCTGCAACTAAGGATACAGCACTCTGTAATCTGTGTTGTTGATGAACTCAAGAATCAAACTAGTAGTCTTCGAGGCTGGATCGAACACAACATCAAGTAATTTCAATACATTGTTTTGTCCATTCAAATTTTGTAATATTTTGATTTCTCTCTTTATCTTCTTCTATCTTACTATTAACTATCTAATGAGTAATACTTGGTTTCAAGGCTTTGATTACAACCTTTTGAAGTGTATTTACGTTGATTCCTTCAAAAACCTCTGCATATTTTCCTCTTCCAATTTTCCTGACAATCTCATAATTGTCAAGTTGTCTATCAATAGTAATTCAAAATACCCATAATGAATATCGATGTTTTCAAATTCAAAGTATGATGGTCTCTTTTTTAGATTTGCATCTCCATAAAGTCGTGGCTTAATGTTCATTGTTGGTATTTTGATAAAATTTCAAATTAATATTATAGTGTTTAGAATTCAATTTCGTTAATATATATACAAATGTAATCGCTATTAATAAATCAATGTTATCCAACTCAATTGAAATACTACTATAAATTATTTAAACTCTAAAGAAGCTATTCTATTCTATGATAGATAAAATGAACAGTATCTTTGAAAATCATCTGAGATTAAAAAAAATTGAATCTGAAATCTTCACAAAAAAATGGCTTAATTTATATTTGTAATAATGATTTGAATCCTTTTGACCTATTTAATTTAAAATTAGAATATTTTATACAATCAAATTTTTCATAATCTTCTATTAGATATTACTATATTCCATTTGAGTATTCCAAATATTGTTAAACATGTCTATCATATTAATATAACCTCTAGGCTGTTAATTCAAGATTCCTGAATAGTTCTGATCTAATTTAGAGTTGATAAAAGATATTAGATATGATTAGGACTGTGAAATATTTAAATTTTCATTAGTTACAGGTAATTTAGTTTAATGACTAAGGATAAGATAAAAATAGAGAAGTGAATTAAATTGGCTAGTTAATTAGAGATGCAAATGAATTGGGTAATTAATAAAGAAGTGAAATTTTGTTATTTAATGAGTTAATTCGATCCGTTTTTAATTCAATATTAATTTACATGTAAAAATTAGCCATCTTGGCATTAGTTCTTGCTATCACAGCTGCTAAGTTTGTTGATATTCATACTAGCTTGGCTTAAATTAATACTGATCCATTTGGACATGTCGTATTGTCAGCTATTAAGGCTCACCTTCTTGCTTAAACTCCAGCCAATGAAGTTAACATGTTATTAAATGGTGTTGGTGCTGGTATTGTTCAAGACTAAAACGATCATGATCATGCATTTGAACTTGATACAACTACAAACAATAGAGTAATGATTTGTGTAATATTCAGATTGTTGAAGATTTAGAGAAAGAGATCTTATATCATCAAAATCAAATTGCCTCCAACACCTAATTGAGAGACGATACTATTGAAGCATTGGCAGTCTCAGAAGAAGACATCAGAGTTACTATTGCAGATATTGCTAACAACGAAGCTACCTATGCTAGAGAAGAAGCCACAAGAAATTAATAACATGAAACCTTTGTTGCTAAAGTCGCTGCCATTGATGATGTTATTGATGCTATTGATGATGCTGCTAAATTGATCTAACATTTAAGTCTTGGAGCCTCATTTGCCTAATTAAAGAGCAAATACGACACTCTTCACAAGAAGCTTTCAGATAACACTAGTCACAGTGCTTTATTACAAGTATTTAAATAGTGAATACATCTATAGCCAGTCATCACTGCTCTTACAGAACTTGCTACTCACGGAGTCAACCAAAAGGCTTTGACTAAGATTGCTTAACTTTTGAGTGAAATTAGACAATAATTAGTCAGCGAGAAAGCAGCCAAGACTGTATATATTAATTCTTAATAATTAAGGATGTTGAAGATAGATAAGCTGCACATTGGGCTGAATTCTCTGTCCATTTGGCTAATGAACACACCAGATTAGTTGAAAGAAAGGCTTAATTGGAAGTCCAAATCTAAGAATAAAAAGATACAATTGAAGATGCCTAATCATGGATCGAATTCCACACCTTGGAATTAGAAAACAGTGAAGAAAGACTTGCCGGACAAGAAGCATGGTATGCTGTTTAATCCCAAATCTATGAAACATAAACTGCTGAAAGGTATGATATTTTATAATAATAATCTTATAGAGAAGCCCAATAAGAAATAGTTGACAGACTCTAAGAACACATTAGTGAAAAATTGTCAACCACCGCACAATTCATTGCCAGCAGAAACTGATTTCATTAACCAATAATATCAATTATCATTAACATCCTTCCAAACTAATTATTAAATATTAGCTATTCAATTTTCTTAAATAATTTTAATTTTTATACTCTAGATATCAATCATTTATATGCCTTCAACCCTAAAACCCTGGATAAGATAAATATTGTTGATGCTTTCTCACTTCCTTACCTTAGAATATAACTCATCAAAGTTAATTCATATGCTCATCCTCTTCTATTAAATTATTCAGCCTACTTCTTTCATATTTTATAATGCGCAACCTTAACAGGAACAATTAAATCACAGTCTAACCAAAATTACTCTCATTACTAGACTGTATGTATACATTACTGACCCAATAGTCAAATAATCAATATTTTGGATTATGGTTTTTGTGCAGAATATCATAATTCTAATTGCAGCAATCATGGCATTTACAAATTACTACTCAAATCACACTCAATCTTAAATTGGATAGATAATTGCTACTGTTTTCTCTACCTTTGTCTATTATGTTTCAATAACATTCTATCCAATCATTTTGGAAATTAGCCTATGTTATTCCTCTAACCTAGTAGAATTTATTGTTGCTACATTACTTATGATTGAAACTCTTAGTATTATGTTTATGGGTGAACTCATATTTAGAAGAGGATTAACACTTAAGTCAACATCGAATTTATATATCAACATTTCAACATACTCATACATAATAAAAACTTTCAAAATATCTTAAATCCTCCTATTCTATTACCTAAACTCACAAACGCTGTTTCCTCTCACAATCCAATGCATCCTAAATATCTTAATCTAAATAAGCTTTGTAACCGAATTATGCAAAATGAAGGTGTATGCTTATCACATCTATTCCAAAGCTGCTCTAATTCTAAGTTCCATTAGCATAGTATTATCATTTGAAGTCTTATTGACTTAAACTACTATCAGTAACAATTATTGGATATTAGTTTCACTTATTCTAATTAAAATATTATTTATCTGTGATAATTATATGCCTAATTCTATTCAAAATTTTGAAATTCATCAATTAAAATATTAATTTGCTTAATTAGAACTAAGCAACCCAGAAACTACATCCACTAAATTACGTACATACATCCTTTGCAGAAGTCATTATTAAACCTGTGATAAGAGATCATATTGCATATGTGTATCAAGTAAAGAATACTCAAAAAACCATTACTAAACTGTGCTTAAACTAATTGAAACAAGGTTGGAATAAAAGTTTTTTGGAAGAGTTGAAAGTTCTAAAGATTCATTAGCTATTGATTATGCTCAAACGTTGCTCAAAAATCAATAATTAGTTAAAGTATAATAGCACATTATTAGATGTCTTTCTCTTAATTAGTCCATATATCCACAAAATAGGTAAAGATTCTCTGCTATTACCACTTTACTGTTGGAATTTTTAAAAGAATAAGTCCTAAATTAAGTGCTTATTTAAATATCTGAAAATATTGGATCTAATATATAACATAATAAAATTATAACAGACTCTTTAAAGTCCTTTGTACTTAATGAAAGCACAGATTAATAAATTATTCAACAAATGAAAAAGATCATAGCTGCTAAAATTTAATTTTACAATAATTTCTTGGAACATCAAAATCAAAATTATGGAAGTGTTCAATTCGCCATTCAATTCATAAAATAGATCAAATAGTTCAAAGATGTTCTATAAAGTAGATATGAGTAATTTCCAAGTAACTATCATTATATTATTTAAAGCCATTTCTAATCAAAATTTACTGAAGTACTTTTGTCTGAATATCTTAAATGATTACATAGAAGCATTCAACATAAACAAATGTAAAGCTTTCGATGATGATAAATATAACACATTTCAAGGATAAATTTACCATAAAATATTTGGTATTAATCCTGCATATTTCATTACTGAACTTACATCTGATTTGGATGTTCTTATAACCAAAAAATCAAGTCAAGCAATCTCTATTTTAGAATCTTTAAAAATAAATTAATCAAAGGCTCATCAAAATAACGAAATTAACGTTTTCTTGCCAGAATATGTAATAGCCTTTCACCGTCAACTTGTAGAATCTTTTTTAAATAACGGTAAAAATAAATATTATCAATAATAAAACCTAGCCTTTCTTAAAATACAAGACAAAGTGATGTTACCCATTTAAATTATGGTTAGCATCAATCATACAACTACTGACAAATTCTCATTTATTATATTCTTTTATGATAGTCAAGAATACCGATCCTATTTGGCTGTTGATAATTAACTAGAAATTATTAATATAAGTTCAGATATTTAGGATAGTCTATTTTTTAGTGAAACTAAATAACCTTAAACTTCAATATCAAAAATTATACCAAACTTTTAGCAAATTATTTCCTCCTCCCAAGATATTTTCTTAAATTAAGAAATTAAATTATTAAAAGATTATCATAACCAACAAGGATTCTTTTTTTATAATGCAAATGTCAAGATTGAAAAGAAATTTCATAATTAATTTTAATGTTATTTAGTTGAATTAGATAATATTAGGCCTATTTCGAGAAAATTAAGAGAGGAAACTTCAACCGTTTATAGAACTTCTACTTCTCAGTTTCCCTGTTCTACCTAAAAAATATTGAATATTAACAGTGAAGTGGATTATTCATGTGAAAAAATGATTCCGTATTCAGATACGGACAACAGAATCAATCCTGAAGGCTCATTGTGTGTATTATAGCAGGATCCTCAAATTATATATAATACAGAAATGAATGCTATGGGTACATAATAGTTGATGGATTATTATAAAATCTAAAATATGTTTGAGCCATTATCATAAAATAGAATGATACACAGTTCTAGATTTTCTTAGGATGATGATTTAAAAAAATAAATGAATAAAATAGTTCATGAGGAAGAAATCAATGAAATTGGTTCTACATCTTCAATAACTGCAATAAAAAAATCAAAATATTATAAAAAGTTTGAGATTATCTCTGTTTTGATGAAATCTGAAAAGCAATCAAAGAAAATAATTTAAATGAATAAATTTATTGCACTCTACATATCAATCATCTTGGTTGGTCTCATTATAGTATAATTAAATTGTAATTTTATTTTAGTTTATTGTGATGATAGAAAATCTTGAATAGTTTATTTTTGATATTCAAATTCTCTCAGTTAGATATGATGTTGTAGAACCGTATGAATCCTTTTATGTCTCTCGCTTCTCGTAAGTCAATTATAGAGAGTAACAAGCTGGCGGCTTTATTAATATTTCTCAATATAATTAATTGACAGTATATCCATTTGCTACATTCGAATTGATTTTTAATCATTTAAGAGATAGCATGTATAAAGTTTAATAAAGAGAAGAAATAGATTATTTATCAACGAATCAAAATATTAGTATTTACTTTTTAGAAAATGCCTATTAAGGGGAAATTAGAAATGTGACAATAAGATCATTAATTAGCATACTTATCAATTATCAATATGATTTTAAAATAGGCCTGACAACAAAAGCTGTTGTATTCGAAAGTCCTTTTTTCTACTTCACTGCCAAAAATTACTTGACTATTAAATAAACTTTTGATGGATTAAATTAAATTGTATTAGATGCTACATTATAGAGATCAACTCTAGAATAATAAAAATGGCTATCAGTTTTGTTGCCATTTTTAATTTTTAGCTTCCTTTTAAGTCTTGTAATAATATCACATTACAAAGATTATATTTCCATAATGCATAAGATATTCTTATATTTAATGAGCCTAGATTCAGTTATTATAGATGATGAAAAACAAAGATTGCAAAAACACCTTAATATTATTAGTAATGAAATTAAAAAAATCAAAACATATGATTTTGATATTGAAGCCATAGATATAGAATTGGAATAATCTCATCCCTCCAAGACTAGACATTTAATCAAAAAAGAACAAAAAAATGTTTATCTCTATAATAATGATTTAAAAAACTGTGTAATTATTACATCGTGCCATTTTATTTTACAATTAACCTTTTTTTTGTCAATATTTCTTATCATATAAAGATATTTAGAAAAATATGAAAAAACTGCTGTTGTCTATTAACAGATTAGCGATTTAGGTGTAGATATCCCCACAATCTATGCTTAGAGAGAAGTTTTATATAGAAGAACATTAAGATACTTTTTTTTATCAGATCAAGAAATTGAAGGAATTTATTAAGTATTATTTAAAGCTTATGATAAAGTTGAAGAATTTTCAAAATAAAATTTAGATTTTACTTCAGATTAATATTTATTCGATTAAAATGCCATTACGTTTTACAAGAATGTGAACGAAGGCAATTTGTGTGACTTTCAAACAGATTAATTTAAAGAGCTTTCCAAAACTATTTGCCCAGTAGTTATGAATGGGAATCTATAGAAAGGGTTATCTTAGATTTTAGCTTATATTCTCTAAACAATCAAATCATAATAATACGAAACAAAAAATTTTACTTAATTACCCACTGACACAAAACTTGAATTAGAAGGAGCAACAATCTTAGGAAATGTTATGTCAACAATAGTTTATAACTTATATCTTACATTACTTGATTCTTGTTAACTGTTAATGTTTTATACTAAATTACCCTGCATCGCTTTCTTAACATTTTAGTCTATATGTTTTATTTTTTATACGTTGTTTGGAAATAAACGACACAAAAAGTAGTTTTAATCAATCAAACAAACTATATTTTTATTTCCAAGGCAGACATTAATATTTGATGAATTTTTTTATAGAAACTTCAAGTCCATAATAAAAGATGAAGGAATATCCTAATGATTAAATTTACTGTGAATTTATACATAATTAGAATAATAATATTTGTCTACAATTAATAACAATTGAATTATAATATAAAAATAACATTATTTATTAATAATTAATATTTTACGATCACTTTTTCAATATTGAATTCAACAAGTACTATTTATTGCCCCCACTAATTCCATAAATTAAACATTGTGCTAAGTCGAAAAATCTAATAAATTTTTTTTTTCTTTAAAGTAAACAATTAAGTCCTTCACTTGATTTAAAGGTTGCTTTGCTTAATCCAAGCTTATTTACATACTTTTATAATCTTCTTATAAATAAGTTAGATTTTTTTCTTTTACAATATTTTCCTATCTTAACTTAAAAAGTTCTGCTTGTAAATTTTAGGATTATTTTTCAAAGTCAGTATTACTTTTTTTCAGTTGATCAATTTCCGTTTGTTTCTGATTTTTTACAACCAAACTATCTTATTAAAACTTTTGAAAGCTTAATTTTAGATCATCATATTCTTTTTGTTTTGTAGCAATTTTCGCCTCACTTTCTTTCTAAAATTTTTTTAAATTTTCATTAAGTTAATCATATTCTATTTGTTTTGCTGTTTTTTCAGCCAAACTTTCTTATTAAAATTTTTGAAAGCTTAATTTTAATTCATCATATTCTTTTTGTTTTGTAACATTTTTAGCCTCACTTTCTTTCTAAAACTTTTTTAAATTTTCATTAAGTTAATCATATTCTATTTGTTTTGCTGTTTTTTCAGCCATGCTTTCTTATTAAAATTTTTGAAAGCTTAATTATAGATCATCATATTCTTTTTGTTTTGTAACATTTTTAGCCTCACTTTCTTTCTAAAACTTTTTTAAATTTTCATTAAGTTAATCATATTCTATTTGTTTTGCTGTTTTTTCAGCCAAACTTTCTTATTAAAACTTTTGAAAGCTTAATTTTAGTTCATCATATTCTTTTTATTTTGTATCGTTTTCAGCCTAACTTTCTTTATAAAACTTTTATAAGTTTTCATTTAGTTAATCAGATTCTTTTTGTTTTGCTATTTTTTCAAAACTTTCTTATTAAAACTTTTGTAAATTTTATTCTAGCTAAATCAGAGTTTAGCTTTATTAATTAAAATGCTTCTTAAAAATCTCTTGCTCCTACTAAAACTTTTGGAGTTACATATTAATTTGATGAATAATTTACCCCTCCTTATTTTGTAAATCATTTTCATCTTTTTAAAGATTTTAATTATCAGAAGAAATGATGGTTTCATCATCATTTTTCTTTGATCCTTAATTGTTTATTCTTTGTTCATTTGTGTTTTATTGTTATGTATCTATTAACTATGATTCCTATATACTCTATTATTACTCCTCTTAGCATTATTATTAAGCATCGTTTTCAATTGATCTTTAATTACTTATCATTTGTTCATTTGTGCTTTATATTTCATTTTCCTTTAGAGTTTCAGTATTATTTTACTTTTATTCATCCTAGTCTTGTTGTTAATTATTGATGTAGTTTTTATCTAATCCTTAATTGTTACTTAAGTTTGACTCTTCGAAATTCTATTATTAAATAGCAATATTTTTATTATTGATCTCATTTGAAGGGTACATATTTTGGTGCATTATCTCATTTTATTATTAACATTCTTGAATTTTATTTAGGTTGTTCTATTGAATTGTCAAAAATTGATCATCAAAATATTTCTTCTAATTTTCTAACAAATTTTAATTAATGTTTTCTAATTGGCTTTTATATTCTTCAATTTATTTTTTAAAATACTCTATTAACCTATCTTCTATATAATTTTAGATATTGGGATTTATTATAGTTTCTTATTATTTGCATTATTATCCATTTATATTCAAAATGCTTTTTTCTAACTTGATTTCAAATTCTTATTACTATTTTTGTAATTATGTTAAAAAATCATTTACTCTTTACTCTAATGGCTTATTCTCATTAGATTATTATTAACTTTAATTTTATTAAGATACTATTAGTTAATTTTTTAATTATAAATTTTCTGATATAGAGCCTTCTATATTATTTATTTTATTTTTAATCTAGGATTCAAAATCTTTTTATTAATTTTATAATTAAATTTAAGCAGAATTCAATCTTTCTTCCATTTACTTTTTCTCATTACTTTATTATTCAACTTATTATTTTAAAGATACTATTAGTTAATCTTTGGATAATAACTTTTCTGCAATAGAGTTTTCTATATTACTTATTTTATTTTAAATCTTGGATTCAAAATCTTTTTATTAATTTTATTATTTAATTAAAGCAGAAGCCAAGTTTGCTTCCATTTACTTTTTCTCATTAATTTATTATTAAATTTATTTTTTTTATGATTCTATTTATTCATCTTTTTCTAATAGTTATTTTGTAATTTTAATTTCTAATTCAGAATATTTTCCTTCTAATTATTTCTATAAAGAATCAAATTATGGTTGTGTTTGTTGTAAATGTGACTTTATAAGAGTGTCCATTTTATTCTAGAATTCTAAATTAAACTATTATTAATTTTTATTTGTTTTGTCCATTTCTTAATATTTGTTATTTAATTGGCTTAATTCAACTTTCAAGGATTCTATTTATTTATCAAATAATTCTTATTCACCTTCTGAAATTTATTAAATACCATTCCCAAATTATTATTCTAAATTTTTTTAATTTTTTTCTAAAATTTTAATTCTTTCAAAAATTCTTAAGATCTCAGCTTTTTCTTGAAGGCATGATTGCAATTCATTATAAACCTATTGAATTGTTGGTCGCTTAGCTTCCTCAAATGACAACATATTAATTATAAGTTTTTTTATTTTTTCTGAAGTCTACAATTTATTAATTTTCTCATTTAGGTAACTTGGAAACTTACCATGATTTGTGATTTATGAGGTTACTTATTGGAAATTTTCTCCTAAAATTATAAAATATAATACCATCAATTAATGACTTAGATGTTAATACTTCATAAAAAACGCATGCCAATGACCAAATGTCAATTTTATCAGTGTACTTATTGCTATTTTATATGATTTCTGGTGCTTAAAAGATTAAAGAGCCAACTTGCATTGTTTTTAAATCTGCAGGGTTTGAACCCCTAACCCAACCAAAGTCAATTAACTTAAAAGTGTCCCCTACTAAGATGTAATTTTCTGGTTTAATATCTCGATGGATTTGTTTAACTTTATTATGTAAAAATAGTATTGGTTGAGTAATCTATTATGAAATTAAAATCTATTTACTTGAATCAAAACTTATTCTTTCTCTTCTTAAGCTATCTTGTTGGAAGTTATTTAATCATATAAACTTTTTTAACCAACTTCCATTACGATGCAATGGCATTACTACCATTCGAAATATTCATATATTTAGATTATGTTACTGGGAAGTTAACTTTTATCGTTTCCCTTTTCATAGATCTATTGGTATTTTATTAATTATTGAATAAAATTGCTCTCATTGACTTTCATCTATTTTTGTACCTTGAGTGCAAATTATTTAGAATTATCTCCCGGTCCTTATGCGATTGCAATATATACTGCTCCTTCTGTGCCAGATCCAAGAGGCTTAATTAATTTAAACACTCTATTTGGAAATTCGTTTGTCCTGGCGTCTATAACTTTATTGGTGAGTCCTTGAATATTCATAAACTCTATTTCTATTAAAAAAAAAAATTAAAAAATAATTTAAAGTTATTCAGAATTCTATTACAAATTTAAACCTAAATCAAAATGAAAAAGCCTGATTTAAATGTCATTACTTATTCATATAATTACAAGTAATATGATAGTTTTATAATGATATAAACCTAGTCTTTTAGACTATTTTAATCTATTAATCATAATAATAAACCAATTAGAAATTTTATTAAATTAATGTATAATTGTATAGTTGAAGAAATTTGAATATAAAAATGAAGGTAAGCATATTCAAAGTAGTAATATCACTCTGTAATTTGTCATGAATATAAAATGTTTAATTATAAAATGCATGATTAATGTGCCCGTTTTTCACAATAATAAAATTAAAATAATGAGAGCTCTTTTGACAATATGTTTAGTGGCTGCTGTATTTGCTGCAGATGCAAACAAATTCGCTGTTTTACTATAAACAGGAACAAGAGGAAATGATGCAGTCGAATCAGTATACAATCTTTTGAGAGATCTCAAAACAGAAAACGTTAATGTTTAAGCTGCTGCAGACAAGAAGAACAACACAGATGAAGGTAAAAAGTGAAATATCTTTAGAAATCTTCACTTAAGTGATTGGTGATTTGACAAATGTTGCCTCACTCAATAAACAATAATGGGAATCACTTGGAGCAGTTAGAGGTGATGTTGAAGCTTAAATTAGAGTATTTATTAATAAAATATAATTAGGATGGATATTAATGGTTATCATGGGCTGAATCAAGACTTGCTGAGATTGAAAGAAGAAATGCTTAACTTTAAGATTAAAGATGTTGGGCCAATGGACTTTTTGTCAAGTCTCTTGCTGATCATGCTGATGCTATTGGTGTTGTCTAACTTTTAGAATAAGATGTTGCTGGTTTTCTCACAAACAACGCTGGAGTTGAACTTGTTGAAAAGGCTGAAACCATTGCTGACAAATTATCTGCATATAGTCACCTTTTCTAATAAGATGCCCTTTAAAAATTCCAATCCCTTGCTGAAGTGAAAAGAGATGGAACAACTGGAGAATAAGTCCTTTAAATCTTATAAGACTTATAAGCCGAATTAGAATCTACTCTTGCAACACTCTAAGAGTAAGAAATCCATGCTGCCTTTGCTCTTGCCAAATACGTTTCAGATACAAATGCTGAAGTTGCCTGGTTGAACTCAGAACATGAAAGAAGAACAGGCCTTGTTGAAAAATTAGAAACTGTAATTGATAAATCAATTTTCTTAGTAACTCCCAGCTGTTCTTGCCTAATAAGCCAAAGCTCTTAAATTATGGAAAGATTCTTTAAATGCAGTTGCCGGTGCCACTGCCGATTTGGAAGAAAAGAGAGAATTCTATGCCTCTGAAACTGCTAGAAGATAAGGTATTTAAGTTAAAATTATTTTTTAGAGGAAAACGCTATCATCGATGTTGTTATACAACTCTTTAAAGATCAAGTTAGATCATTGGCTTCATAAACTTCTCTCAAGAGAAAGTGATCTGTTCACATTAATATAATAATATAAACAAATTCATTTTTCAATTCATATTATTTGCTACTCATCACTACTGTAATTTAAAATCTATTCTTAATTTCTTTCTCTTATTTCATTCATTTTTTCATAATCTTAATCGTCGTCCTCAAATTTAGCAGGAACAGATTCCTCAAGCTCAAATTTCAACTTTAATTTGTAAAGTTCAAGCAAAACTTTTCCTTCTTAATTCAAAATTTCTGATACGATCTCAAAAGTGTTTTTGGCTCCAATAAACCTCAATGATATTGGACAAATGTAAACACCTGGAATATCCATATAATAGGGACTTAACAATACCCCTTTTAAGCATTGATAAAACCTATAGAATGTGATATCATAAAAGAGAGTTCCATAATCATCAACCTCCTCTTTACATTACCTGCAAATCATCGATTCCGGATCTATTATATGCTATAAATATTCAAAACTGGAATTCACAGTACAATTTAAAGAATGCAAGTATTTAAAAGAAGCAGGTTTTATCTAAAGACTATCAATATTTCCCTTTGTAGGGTATTTTTATTTATATAAATTCTGCCAATATTCTTAGAACTCTTTTGTATTTTATTCTCTTTATTTTTCTTGAACTAAAATCAATCCTGAACTTATTTGATCATAAGGATAATAATCAAAAATATTCAAAGATATTTTATTGTTTTTTTCCAAATAATTTTCAAAATAACTTATGTTTTATCGTGTTTCTTTATAACGTTTGCTGTTCTATTCTACAAACTTTTCAAAATGCTGAGTGTTAAGATAATATGGTTTTTGATTATCTTATCTAATACAATTAAAATTCAATTAACTAGGAAAGATCTAAATTTACAATTTGGATTTTGCAAATTATGATAAAAGTTCTCTTATTTCAAATAAATATATCACTAGCTAATTTGAAATTTTATTGTATGATGATAGAAGCTTTTTCTATTAATCCCTATCAGCTTTTAATATTTAATCAAAATATGTGCTTTAATTAACTAGTGCTGGAGGAAGCATAAGTGTGTCAAATTTTAACCAAAAGGAGGGATACTCAAGTTCATTCTTTGTGACATAATCTATATCACTTATCAAATAACTATATACAAGATGCTTATTTAATTCATCATACATATTCCATTTATATTGGTTAAATAGATCATGAGTAAATTAAAGATATTGCCATGCCAATTCTTACTTAATTTTGAGGTTAGCATTATTTGATTATAGTAATTCCAAAATATTCTTTTATGATTCTATTTGATTAAAATTATCTAATGATTAGTATTACCTATCTTGTATTATATTAAGCATTTCGTTGAATTCTTATTTTTCATTCCTGATATTTGCTCCTAAGTAGGTTTATAAAAACGGGTATTTTTCAATGTATGAAACATATAGCCCAAGAAATTCAACTTTTAACTACAACGCTAATGTTATCCTGTTCTATAAATATCGAAGTTGGAACTAGTCGATAATTTTGATTATCTAGATAAGAAGACCTGGTGTGAGAAATTATGATTTTTTCATTAATTATGTTTAATAATGATGATGTTGGGTTAAAAATTAATTTTTTTGTTTTTAATAATAATATTTCACAATTTCTTATAGAATAGATGTAGAAGGTGAAATACAATATTTGAATATTTTAAAATACAAAAAATATTCTACTCAATAATTTTATTTTTCAAACATAAACAATAAAATCTATTCTGACATCAAATAGAATATTCATTATGTATTTGTTTTCGAAAATTAATTGTTTTAAATACCTTCATATAAGAATGCATGTATTCAGAATTATCGAAACAATTTAAAACTAAAATATATGTAAAATTATTCTAACTCAATTAATCATCATTTTTAATAAATGCAAAGAATCATTAATTCTATATCTAAGAGGATTTATGCAAAATAATCGAACAGTTTCATCATTATTCATTTACTCCAAACACTCCAGGATAAAATTATGTCCTTGCCCATTTTGAAGAAGACTTTAACTATTACCTGTGAAGATTGAGTAATTATTGCTTGAGATTAAATAGTTAGTAGTAAGAATATTATATTACAGTTTTTCATTATAAGTTGATAACTGTATATTATAGCCTTTGATACAACTAATGTCTTTATTTATTAAATTCATCAAGGTTTTTTTGATCTGTGGGTTTTAAGTCATCTGAAGTTAATCGTGAAAAAATTATTTAATGTAGTAATATGGATCTGTAAGAGATTGTTAAATTAATAACTACAATTGATGAAATATAACTTCAGGAGCTTGTAAGTGACACTCTTGTTAATATAAAGCAACTTCTTAATTTTGCATATTGAAGGGCAATTATCTGAACACATCTGATTTGCTAATGGATCCATGAATGGCATATGATACTTTAATAGATAGCACATTTGACTGTAGTTGCAAGATCATAGATCTGATTAATTGTTCTACAATTTTCTTTTTAGAAGTGCTTTTACCACCAATGATCATGAAGTTTTTTTGGAATTTATTTTGGCTATAAAAACTATCTATTTCGTTAAATGTAGTGATGAGGTTGTTTTTGAATGTATAAGTTTTATATGAGCATTAGTTACGACATTTATCTTCTTAATTCACTCTTATTTTATTTTTACCCATTAATTAAATGATGGAGGAATTACTGAGTCTTGAGAATAGACAAAACAGATAATCATTTGATTAGCCCTATTAAATGTTAACATTGTTGCTGTTCTCAATTTTTCTACCTTATTATTTAGCTTTATTTTTCCATTTAATATATGAATTAGATATTTTTTGATCGCATTGAGATTTAGGACTCAGATTCTATTGCTTTTCTATAACATAATTGCTGAAATTTCTAATTTTGGAGGTGTGATTGACAGAATTATTTGTGTATATATGGGACAATTTTTAATGCATTGTTTCTAAGGTTTTGGAACTTATAATGGAAGGATTGTTGCTTCTATTTCTGCCTGAACTAACACTATCGCAAAGCTATAAGTTAATAAACTTAATACTTTTAATTCATTTTTAACAGTCTCAATCTAATTTTTAATAAAGTTTAACTCCTTATAAATCTACTCATCAATCTATATTTTGATATTTGTATAGCAATACGTGACTAATTTCTTGTCTCTTTGAATCATTATAGGCTATATCATTTTCTGCTTTTAATGCAATTATTCTATTCAAATAATATTCATCATCTTATTCATTGATTTTGAATCTGAAATGCCTGCCTTCGCTTGCTATTCTTTTAATTTCATTTTTTCTTTGATTCATCAATTATTCCTTATTGATATGAACTGCCTTTTTATTTGAAGGACTGTACAAATTCATTAATAAATAATTAGCAGTTATTAATAAAATAACAATTGGCGTTTAAGCTGTAAAATAAACAAAGGCCATAGCATTTTTATTTGATTGTAATATGATTAGGTTGTTGTTTAGAAGTTTGTAGCCCGTTTTAGGATAGTATGAGAGTTGCTTGGTGGAGACAGAAGGAAAAGATTTAAGTTAGAATTTTTAATGAATAGAAACAAATTATAGATTAATATTACAAGACATTCAATGAATAAATTAATTTGTTTTTTTTTAAATTCTTAAGTTTTAGAGAGTGTAAGTTCTTTTCGAGAAGAATTTTTGAAATAATAAATTTTCTATTATTAATGAAGGGTTCGCAAATTATGTATTTTAATTAATCAATATATAAATGGAAAGTATTCGTTTTTGACTTTTTTAATAATAATAACAAAATATGTTAAAAGTAGCAGTCTGCACATTGCTCGTTCTTAGCATAACAGCAATTGATATCAAAGCTTCAGTTTGGACAAGTCATGACTAAAAAATGTTTGCCCAAATCAAATAATCAGGATGGGGAAACTTTATCTTGAATTTTGGTGAGCTCCATTTATCAACAGGTGGTATCCTTTCAGAACTCAACACAGAAATTGCCAAACTTGTATCATAATGTGTCTATCTAGATTGATGAATTGGATGTGGAATTAGCAGAAGTCCATCATTAATATGCAAGAAGAACAGATGTTCACAACAGAGAAGTAGCAAGACTTGAATAAGAAATCTAAGATAAAGAAAGAGGTAATACTATGATAAAAATCATCATTAGAGGTGTTCAACGCTCACGATTTCTATGATAACGTCCTCATCCCATAAAGAGATAGATTCGCTGCACAACTTGAATAATTATAAGACAACATTGCTTAAAACAGAAGAACACTGAACGAGGCAACAGTCTAAAGAGCCAATGATCATGCTGAGTTTGAAGCTTAGGTTGCTGAACACAACGAAGCCATCAGTGCCATTGATGAATCACTTGGTTTACTCAGTCAATTATCAGCACCATCACTCGTCTAAGTCTAAAAGGTTTAGAAGAATTTGACAAAAATCTAATAAAGCCTCAAGAGACACAGCACTTTCTAAACATTCATCAAGACTCTTATTGAAATCGCTGTCGAAGCCAACTTCGCTGATTAAGGAGCTCTTAAAGAAGTAATTAATCATATAGATTTTATTAAAGATTCTTGTTGCCTTCAACAACTTGAGAGTTTAATTAGTTGATTCACTTAACACAATCACAGCCGACGAAGCTGAAGCCTAAAAGGATTTCGAGGCTAGAGTTATTCAATTGAACTAAGAACATGCTGAATTCCAAAGAGCAGTAGTTGTCAAAACAGCTGAAATTGAAGCTAATGCCAGTATTTATTTTAATTATATGTAGCCAAAATCGAATAAACCCTTGATTTGATTGATGAATTACATGCAGATTTGGATACATTGAATGGATAATTGTAAGCTGAAAACGACGACTTTGCTTTCGCCACCGATGTTTACAATGCCACCGTTGCCGAATACAACAAAGAATTGAATGCTGCTCACCAAGCCTTGGATTTATTAAATTAACCAAGATTCACCGATTATGTTAAATCATAACTCAAGGGTGCATTCTGACCTTATTAAATAAAAGTTAAACAAATTCATTTTTATATCAAATTTCTTTAACTATCATGAACATGATTGTACATCATCAACTTTCATCCAGTCTCATTTTAAATGAAGAAGAGATGTCAAATACATCAATAGATCTGCAATAGGAAATGCAAGATTCAGTTCAATTCGAGAATAGAGACAATTTCAACATACAATTCAATAGATAATCAATGATGCATGAGAGTACAGAATTGGGAGACACCATTAATAAACAATTGATTGAAGAAGAACAAAAATAGTTGTTACTTAATCAAATCACTGAATTGAGAATGAATAATCAACAATTGGTAGAAGAAATCAAAGATTTACATACTGCCGCTGTCGAACAAAATGAGCATCTTTAAGCAAAGAACACTGAGATTACAGAATTAAAATTGCTCATTCATGAACAGAAACAATAAAACAGAAAAGCAGATGACACTATATAACAACTAAAATAATAAATTTAAGATTTTGAGTACAATATATTTGAGAAAGATGAAACCATGTAAAACTGTTTTTATTATACTTAAGAGTAGAATTTGGAGAACAAATTAAGAAATTAGAAATGAAAAAACAGTAATTGGAATTGTCGCTAAAAGAAAGTAGAAATCATGTTGCTGCTTAGAAGTATTTATAGCATTTTACATTATTTAGATAATAAATTAATAGTTTATTATTAAATTGTTCTCAAATCAATATTGATGAAATTAAAACAGAAATTGATAATGAATAAACTAAACATTTACAATCAGAAATGTAATCCATCTCATTTTAATTAGCTAATTATTGCAAGAAAGTTATGATTAATTATTAAAAGAATAAGAAGAATCAGAATTAAGAGATAATCAAAAATAAGAATAATTAAAAAAGGATTCCCTTCAATATTAACAAACTCTCGTAGAATTGTAGTTGTTGAAGCATACTCTAAATTAGAACACTTAAGAAATGTTGTAGTATGATGAATTGATCGAAAAAAATGAAACAACCATTTAATAACTGGAGGATACCATCTAATCTTAAAATGAAAGATACGCACAATTATCAAAAAAATTCTATAAATCCAAGTAAATAATATTAATTTATTTTAGATTAGTAGTTAACGAACTGAAACATAAGGTATAAGACTTAATGCTTTTGCAATAGAATGATAAGGCAATCATCCTCTAATAATAAAATCAAATTAATCAGACTAAGAAGGACTTGGGTAAATTTCGATATCAAAGGGATAGTCTAATCGAAGTTTAATCTAAATTGTTGAAATCTCAGTATATGGATGAAGAAATTCCTACAAAGTAATTATATATCTATGTAAGGAAATAATTGGATGTTAAAGCAAATGAGATACAACAATTATTGAATGAATTGAATCAAAAAAAAGATGAATTAACTTAAGAGTAGTAATAACACTTTAAATCGCAATAGTAAATTTTAGAAATGAAAACAAATTCATCTAGTCTTGAATAAAAATAAATCAGATTGGAAGAAGAACTAAGATCACTAAATATGATTATTATCTAATAAGAAAATAAAATTAGAGATTATTGTTAATAAAATTAAGATATCAAAAGTCAAAATTTAGAATTACTTACAAGAATGTCTTAATTTGACAAAGAAACTACTTAAATCATCAAATAATTCAAGTAAAAATACAAAATTATTTGAAAGTTAAGAAATTCAAAGTTTGAAACAAAATTATAATTTACATGAATAATCGTATAAGGAACTTGAGACAGTGAATCTAGAATTAAATGATCAACTTAATGGTCAAAGTGAATTGACTCAAAAAAAAATTCAGAAATTAAGGTATTATTTTAGAAATTATATTTTAGTGAGGAGAATAACTAATAAAAGATACTTATTTCATAGTTATAAGAGAAATTATTGCTCATAAATACAAGATAAGTCAAGGAGTAATTTTAACAAACTTATTTGAAAACTAAATCAATTTCCTTATAGACAGATCCAATTGTTGATAAGCTAGTTATTTAGAATGAAGAGGATAAGTTAAGAGATGTGGAAAATACAATTAATTTTATTATCAATAATTTGGATACTATGAAGGAGAAGATTAATTTGAATCAAAGCAATATAAACGAGTTACTTGGTTTTAAATAAATAATTTCTAATTTGATTTTAAAACAACAAGGAGGAGTTTAAGAGAATGAGTAGTGTTAGGAATCAACCTAGATTCACACTCCTAGATCAATTGAAAAAAAGGATAATAAGGAGTTTGAGTGTCTTAACTAACAAATTCATTCTTTAGAACTTTAGATATTGGAAAAGGTTTCAATGATAAACGAACTCTAATTGTAATTATAAAAATAAGAATAATAAATAGAAAATTTGAAATTAAAAGAAACTGAAAAGCATCTTTTGGATATTATTGTTTCAGATAGGCAATAATTATGTGAATGCAAATTATAATAGGAATACAATAAATATGTTTCTGACAATCAAAATTTTGATCGCATTAAGCAATTGGAGAGTCTGAATATATAACTTAAAATAAAGGTACTTTGATGTTATTTTTTTGATAGCTTGAGGCATAATAGGAGATAGCCAAGGAAAACTTACGCTTAAGAAAGAAGATTGCCACTCTGGAGAATTAGGAGATGAAGCAAAGTTCGACTTCCCCCTAGAAAATCTTTAATAGCAAAATAACTCTTAATACTTTTTAAACTAATTCTACATAGAAGTCGATTGAAAAGAAGAGAAGCCACATCGGAAATTAAAATTGTCACTCATATTAGAGTGGTCTTAAGCAATAATTAATTGAATCAGATACAATTTAATCGAAAAGATATGTAGATATGTTAAAAAAATGCATAGAGGAATAGCAGATGAAGCTATAATAGAGAGAGGATTTGATGAAATAAAGCTTTGTTCTTTTAAATAATTTGTCAACAGATTTAAAAAAAAAATTAAATCTAATTAATAGCGAAGATTTAACGAAAAAAAAATAAGTTGTTACATTTATTGAAAAAGTCTAGTTGTAAGTCGATTTTGTAATGAAACGACTCTTATAATATAGAAATACTGATTGTGTTTCACCAACTCGATTAGGGAAAGACTGAATATTATATATATTAATAATTTTTAATTTAATATCACTTATGCTGCCATTTGGGTACATTGTTTTGTAATATTTAGTTTTTAGTGATTTAAATACTTCGAATTTGAAAAACAGCAGAGGTGTAGTACAAAAAAGTAGAAGTGCAAGAAATTTATGGTAAAATGATCAGAAGAGTCCCAGAGCAAATGTGCAATAGAGAAAGTAGTTATAAAACATTGATATGTTAGAACGAGAAAAAAGAGTACTTTCAAGTTTGAAAATGTGCATGATAACATCATTCAAATTTAATTGGCTTCAGATGAGAGCTATGAAATGGATATCAACGAAGAGATAGAAATTGATAAAAAAGCTATGTCCAGAGGTCTGCAAAACGAATTTAGTCCTGATAAAAGGAAAACCTTTAGAGCTAAGCAATTTCAGATTTATAAAACTCTTCAAGAATACATGGATGAGGAGTTGATTGAAGAAGATAGAGAGGATATTCAAGAACAGACTCCAACTCCTATCTAGAGACAAAATCAAAAAATAACTCCTGAAGAGATCATATTTTAAAAGAATTTATAAATCCCAGATATTATATCTGAATTTACGAAATTGTATGAATCTGATCCTCACAATGACAATTACAATCTCTAATTATTGCATGTAGAAGGATGGGAAGAAATATGGCTAAACCATTAATTCTATAAGGATGCATATATATTACTATGGTTAAGAAAGTTAATTGTGACATTTTTTAATTCAATATCTTTGATTTGTTATAAAATTACCACCAACATAGTGTCAAATTTTATAATGCTTCTATTAGTGTCAATAAATATGGTGTTATACATAACCAAATTTTATGATGATGTCTATACTCAATACAAACAATTATTTGATGGATGGTCATTAAGTAATAAATGTTCAATTATAATAGTCTTCTTTTGGATTTATGTTGTAGAACATGGCATAAAGATAGTTGGATTAGGATTAGTTTAGTTTTTTAAGGTATTCTGGAATTGTTATGATTTGGTCAATGTAAAAATTATAAAAATTTTATATAGCTAATTCTCTTTGGATTGTATATTTATGGAAGTTTATCATTTGATTTTTCTCCCTTGAGAGCTATGAGAATATTGATTTAGTTAGCAAAGATTTCATCACAATTATAAAAAACATTGAAGGCATTAACTGAATCATTAAAGAATATGATGGAGGCATCATTGGTTGTCTTGATTTTTTGTATATTCTTTGCTAATGTTGGTGTTCATTTATTCAGTCAATTATTATAGAATAGATGCTTTTACATTGAGGATGGGATTTAGGATTTCAATTAAAATATTTGTGGTTGGGTGGATTGTCCTAATAATATGAATTGCTTTTAGTCTTTGAATAATGTGGATACTGCTACTAATTTTGATAATTTCTTTTTCGCCTTTGCTTAAATCATTCGTACAATTACTATGGACAATTGGACTGATGTTATGTATTATACTATGTATACATTAAGTCCTATGACATGGATTTATTTCGTTCTTGTCATTTTTATAGTAGGTATGAAATAGCAATATTTTTTTAGGTTTTTTTGCATTTAATCTAATTATTGCTGTTTTGAAAACATAATATTCACAAATTGTATCCAATTATTAAGAAGACAAAGAAGATTTATCAAATAAATAAACTTACATAGAACCATTAAACCTAAGATTTATAAAAAATATAGGATTGTACAATTAAATAAAAACATTATAAAAAGTACGAAAGAGAGCCTCTCAACAATCACTTTCTCAAAGTCATGTTTCTTAGAATAAGTCAATTGATAATTAAATATTTTCACCAAAAGGAAGTCAATTGATACAAAAATCTAAAGTAATTTCCTAATTCACGGGTGGATTTGGCTAAATCAACAAATTGTAAAAAATGGTGAGGAGAGCCAAAACAATAAAAGAAAAGAAGAAATAACAAAGGTTGATTCTGTCAGCAAGATAACAGAAATTGCTGTAGAAAAGAGAGAATGAGGAGATGGGCATAATGAATAGCAATGAATAAAGCATTTTTGATAAGTTTAACTTAAAAGCCATTTTGTAACCACAAAGAAATTTTAACATTGAATAATCAAAATATGAATAAACTGTATAAGGGGATATAAAGGGGAAAAAGATACTGATGAGTTTAAAATACAATGATGTTTTGGCATGGAAATTGGATCTGAAGTATTCACCCTACCATTCAACATCCAAAAGAGATGTAATAAGCGAACTCAAGGAGATATTGTAGAAAGAGAAAAAATTGAAAGAGTAGTATGAAAAGGTTAAAAGACAAAATCTGAAATAATATTATATGTTAGACATCTATGATAAGTAAAGGGAGAAGATATCATAGTAATTGTAGTCTTCTGATAATGGAAATCCATCTATTCAAAGACTCTACAGTATAAAATATGATATAAATACAAAAAATAGAGACCAACCTATTACATCTAAATTGAAATTGAAATTCCCAATCAAATCAAGTAGAAGAATCTTTGGATCTGAATTAAATATGGGTGATTCAAATAATGAAATTCCTACTAATAAGTCATCCATTACTCGGAAATCATATTACGATCATTTAAGAAAGCAAAGGCTGTTTTTTCAGAGATCTCAAACTAAAATGCACAGGGCAAGTTCAGATGCCTTTATGGAATTTCCAGAATGGCAGGAAGGGCAATCTTATATCACAATAAATGGTATCAAGTGGAATCATGATGCTTGTTCTATTTTGATTAATAGGAAGATTAATGAGTTGGATGAAGATGATGATAATGATGATTCAGATGATGATCGAATTTTAAAATTAGATTGGATGGATCAAAATTATGAGCACTATATCCAAATTAGAGTAATAAATTTAATTTATTATAGAAAAAAGAATTAGAGTAAGGCTTTATAAGAAGACACAATATCTCGATGCTCAACATCATGAATAATTTAACAAAAAATAAATTGATTTCTATACTCAAATCACTAAATAAGCATGACTATAATATTTGGATCTAAGGATTCTATGGCTATTGGATTGTTCTCTAATTTAAATTGCATAAATTATTGGAGGAGAAAATGGTATCAATTATTTTTGACTTGTACACAATGGTTAATTTCTTTATTCTTTGTAGTGAAGGCTATTTAAGTTCAGATTTGGTTGATTCAATTAATTCAGTTATGACATTCCTATTATTGGGGGAGATAGTGTTGAAGATCATCGGTTATGGAATTAAAGATTTTAGCAAAATGTCTAGTAATAACTTAGATGCTTTTGTCATTGTTTTGTGTTTGTTATAATACTTTATTTCAATCACTTAGCCATATTGGTTGGAATAATATAGCAGCGAAATTAAAGTGTTAAGAGCATCAAAAGCCTTTATGTTATATAGGGTGATTAAATATAATAAATTTGTTGTAAGAATAATGAAGATCGCCTAATTAACAATGAAGTCGTATATAAACATAACATTTTTAATGTTTTATGTCATCTTTATGTATGCTATAATGGGATTGTAATTTTTTGTGAATAAATTTGATGAATCGTAAAGATTAGCTTAACTGCATTCATTTAACAGCATAGGAAAATCGTGGATGACTGTATTTAATACAATTACAAATGATGATGCAGTTGGTATGTTGAAAGTGGCTACTTAATACACTGACACATGGATTGGATTGTTATTTTATATTACAATGGTGTTTGGTTTAAACTATTTGATATATGGTTTGGTGAGTGCAGTATTGTTGGATGCATTCTCATCTGAATTAGAAAAGGGGAATTAGTATGAGGAAAAGAGAGAGAGAATATTGTAGAAACTAGGAATACAAGAGAATATCAATTAGAATGGCACTTAATTAGATACCCTATCATCATATAAGAATGAGAAGGATGATAATGATGATATTCTCAATGATATCAAGATATAATAATAACAATTTATAAAAAGATAGACATTTAACAGCAAGAAGAGCATTTATCAACAAGTACCTGAAACAGTTAAACATATATTCAGTAAATAGAAATCTTTAGAAATCTAGTATTATAAAGATATTGAATGCGAATATTCACTATTCATATTTCAATTTGATCATAATTTTAGAAAGTTTTGTTATCGAACAACGAAATCTGTGATTTTCAAATTTGTATTGAATAGCTCAATTTGCTCATCAGTAGCAACTATGATCATCATCTCATTTGATGACAGTTTACCATCATTACATACAAATAACTTAAACACATTCTATGAGTATCATTTATTCGCTGTGAATCTAGTCATCACTATTACTTATATTTTGGAGATTATATCTCAAGGGATGTTATTGGATTAAGGAGCATTCTGCAGAGACATATGGAGATTCATCGATATCTTATATTTGATTAGTTATTACTTGTCCTTTATGACTCTGTCTCCTTTTTTGAAATTCTCACTTTATCTAAGTAATCATTAAATAGTATTTTAGTTTATCTACGTCCTTTGATGATGATAAACATGTTTCAAAGTATCTAAGGTATTAAAAATGCAATGAGTTTGAGTTTGGTGTAAATTCTGAACATTATAGGAGTTATTTTGTTAGTGTTTTTAATATTCGATGTCATTGGAATGCATTTATACTAAAACAAAATGGGTTATTGTGAAGACTTAATGAATTTCTATGTGAATGAATTTCAATGTTCGCAACAAAACAAGACTTGGGTAATTCATCCATACAACTTCGAAAATATTCTAAATGGATTATTGACATTATTCTTGGCTGCATCTTTAGATGGATGGGGAGAGATCATGCAAGTTTGTTTTAATGCAAATGATTCTAAATATGGACCAACACCTCTTAATACACAATGGGCTACTTATTTATTCTTTATTTTGTTTATTTTCATTGGAGCAATGTTTTTTATGGGATTCCTCACAGGTGTTCTTTTCACAGAGTTTTAAAAGTATACAAAACAACTAGAAAATAAATACTTAACTAGTGACTAATCACAATTCCTTAAAATCTCAGAATTGATACTATAATAAAGTCCAGGTTACAGCAATCCTCCTAAAACTCCCCTTAGACGATTGTGTTATAAGATTGTGTTTAGTCTATGGTATCATAAATTCTTCATTGTTGTATTATGTGTCAACACCATTGTGTTATGCTTATTCTATTCAGATGCCTCATATGAATACATGTCAAATCTAAATAAGACGTATTAAGTATTGACAGGCGTGTTTGCTCTTGATACGATCATTAAGTTATTGGCTTATGGTCCAACTAGATATTTTGGTATATATAGAGTTACTATTTAAAGCTACTAATTGGAGAGTTATTGAATTGTCCCTTTCATTTATAGCTGTGGCTGACTTCATCTATGATAGTTATTGGGGATGGTTCACTACCTTCTTAGGAGCTAATTAATCGGACAAATACTTCACCTTCTATAGGATTTTGTTTTGTATGCGAGACATCCGTATTCTTTTGATTATTCAAGAATTCAAGGGGTTACTTAGATTATTGAGAGTCCTTTTGTTTTCGATGCCTTTATTATTTAAAATCTTATACATTCAAGTCATAGCCTAAACTACATATGCTCTAATAGGGAAGGAATTGTTTTCACATATTTCAAATGGATCTGTAATTGACGATAAATATGCAAATTTTAAGAACTTTATTAATTCTGCATTGTTGATGTTCAAATGCACTACAGGTGATGATTGGAGAGCCCTGTTGATTGATTGTTCTCCTCAAAACTATTATTGCAGGAGTGACAGCAATTAATGCGGTTCTTAATGGTCCTTGCCTTTCTTTCTTTCATATTATTTATTTTCAAATATCATCATCATGAATCTATTTGTATTAGCTTTGGTGGATTAGTTTGAAAGTAATAGCACATTATTAAATCTTAGATTTCTTCAATGCCTCTACTAATGCCATCCAGACATTCGTTGAGAATGTTGATCACTTTTGCAATGTATGGTGCAAATACACATATGAAACTAAAGGAACCAAAATGCATACGCGTTTTATTGCTCGATTTTTGTTAGATTTACAAGAACCTCTAGGAGCTCTCGAAGGAGATAACGTATGGGATGCAGCCAAGAGTGCATCTAATTTTAGAATCAGATCAAATAAACAAGGTTATGTGTACTTTAATGAACTACTTTATGAGACAATTCGATTTGCTTTTAAAGAGAGTGTATTCAAATCAGGATCACTAATTGGTAGATCACAAATGAAGCAATTTGATTTAGCAATGAAAAGGAAGATGAGAGAAAATAACATTAAATAAGAATCATAATTAGATGAAGATTACTTTTAAGAAGAATACATTTCCAAACATTAAAACTTTAACATCCTATCAGAGTATCTAAATGTATTGATTGCTCTTAAAACTTGGGAAGCTTACACTGTCAGATTGATCGAGAAAACCAAAAAACTTGATGAATACACTGAATAAACAAGTTCCTCAGATACTGAACAAAAATTATCAATGAGTATTGTACCTTCAGTTTAGAATGCATTTTAAAACAGATTGGGATAGACAATCGAGTTAGATACTCATAGAATATCAAGAGATTATTGTCATTTGAATATTTACAAAGAAACTAATTTTTATCAATATTAATAGCATTGCATATTATTAGAACCCTTTAGTAAATAGTCACAACATGAGACACCACTTCAAAAATCTCCATCGACATTCCTTGAAAATAAAAGTATTTTAATAAATCATTCTTTAGGATAACCAAATCCCAAGAAAACATTAATTAAAAGACAGTCTTCTCTATTTAAATAGAATGTACAATCATTCAAAGATGTGCTAGAAAAAGTATTTTGATATAAGATTTATACTAATAATTATATATAAACAAATCAAAATGCAATTTATTATTTCTTTCTATCTTCCACTTCTTCTTCTTCCTCATACTGCAATTTCACTTTTGGCTTTTTCTTCTTAACATCCTTCACTTCATCATCTAAGATTATTATTAATGCTTACCATCTCTCCTTAATTAATTAAATGTCTATTTCTAAAACAATCTTTTATCATCCTCTTCATCATCTTGTTCTTAATCTTCTTCATCATCTTCTTCTAAATCATTTGGATCGAATATCAATTCCTCATCTGAGTAATCTTCCTCCTCCTCTTCCTATTCCTATTGTTCTCTCTATAGAAATGATTATTCATTAGAATATACTTCTTCTTCATCTTCCACTTAATTCTAACCAACGACTTTCTCAAAAGCCTTGGTATTGTAATTCATAATTTCATTGTATACTCCATTTTTCAATCTGTCTATCAACTCCTATTCTATGGCATTCTCCAAATTGGCAGCCACCAATGCTTTCTACTCTCTTATCTTATCTCTTCTTTCTGCCTTCTTTTTAATCGGAATCAATTCCTTGCTATTATATATTATTGTTTCATACAATCCCTTCAATCGCATCTTCCTTATTCTTATCAACATCTGTCTTAGCTTAGTCAATCTTTGCTTATTTTTGTGAATCATGAAATTGCTCCAATATTTCAACTATTCATCTATTTATGCCAATGCCTATAATTGATATATTTTGTAAGTTTACTTATTCGTAGTTCTTCGATAGTAGTATCTTCTCCCACAATTCTTTTGGTTTTTATGCTCTTTCTGCTGTTTTCACGTAAAGATAACATAATCCCTTTTCTTCTTTAATTGTGGCATATTATGAATTTGCCAATGGACAGGATTATTTAGAACATAACCCAGTCACATTATATTCATTTCTACAGAAATTCTACGAGATTGTTCTAATCATAGTACTTTTTTTCTTACTTAATCTTAAATGAGCAATGACCTCTATTAATGACCTGCCATACAACTTCGTCAATTTACATAATTATTAATAATATTGAAATAAATAAAGCATTTTCAATGAAATGTGAAAAATATACTTCATTACAACCCCTTCTTTTTCTTCTTCTCCAACCATATCTTCTTCTCCTTCTTTTAAAAAGCCTCTATTCTTAATTTATAATTTTCCTAATCCACAATTAAAAATGGTTTAATGTCCTCATCATTGTATTCCAAGTCCTTATTCTTATCATCCTTATCCAAATCCCTCTTTGTTCTCTTCTTCTTTACTTCTTCAAAATCCTCAAAATACTTCCCCTGCACTTTGATTGTTAGATTCTAAATCAACTTAGCTAATTGCTTGTCCAATTCCTTCTGATACTGCTCCTTCTACTTCTTGGTTGTCTATCTCTAATTTTTGGCATACTTTTCAATGACATTCAACTACTTCCTCTACTTCTCATCCAGCAACTCCAAATTCTTCCTAAACATAACAGCGTCCCTACTTTCCTTATCATCTGGATTCTAAGATTACTATAGAAATGCCGTTAACTTATTGATCATTCTCCACCTCTTTAAGTTGGGTTCAGTCTACATAATTATAAATGAATATAAATACTGTCAATCCTAATTTTCGAGATATATTTTAAATGTCTTCCACATGCAACTTACGTAAATCATTTTCAGTACCCATGACTTAAGGCTTCTTCTCTTGAATGGCATTCTAGCCTTTCTCACCTCTCGCTTTAAGTGGTTTCTTTATGTAATTCAAACCTCCATGACCAGATGTAGGATCTCCAATTCCATACAATAACATCCTTCCCGTTTGATTAGCTGAATGCAGAAATGACTAAGATAAGGACCACGCAGTCATGTTTAGTTCATCTTCAATCCTCCTAGCAATAACCCAACTATTAAAATCTTAAGGGTTCCTTGATAAATATTCTTGGAGAGTCTTCTTCATCTTATCACTATTCTTAAGTTCCTTCAACCCAAACTCTTATAACAAATAAGATGAATGCAACATGGATTCATACAGACACACCTAATTAGCAGTTATGTCATATTTCAGAACCTGGATATCGTCGTTGCTTCCTCTCTGATGTCTCCAAGTTTTTTGATTTGATGAATCCTAGATCCCCTTACATTCTTTCAGGGCAGATCTGATATTGGTATGACTTTGCTTTTAGAATATTTATTCCAATTCATCCTGCTTCACTTCTTAGTCCATCTTAAACTATTTCTTAATGTAAGTTTTTAGACAATTCTTTAGAAATGTTCCCAAAGGTCTCGAATGAGGAGTGAATATTTCTACTTTCGGTTCAATCTAACCAACCAAGTAAATACAATCTATAGGTCTCAGTGTATATTTATAATGACAATTATCAACTCTGGTTCTCACCAATAAGAAATCAGTGGCTGGCAATTTCTGTTTGAAGATCGGAGCTCTGTAGAGTTCATTCTCTATTACTGCTATGCCGATGAATCGCTCATCTGTCAGTTATCCCTGGAGTGGGATTGTTCCATTCTTATCCAGAAATCGAATTTAACCAATATTGCCTAATTGTTCAACTAACATATTTTTGAATTCCCAAAGAGTCATTTCCTCATTTGAAATCTATCCCATTTACCCATAAGTACTTCTATATGTCCCTTAGAGACTATTCTCTTAAAAGTTATTGTAGTTATCCCCTTCATCTTTGATTCTTTTCTGATTGAATTGCAGGAGTGCCCTACTAGGATAAACATACCTAGTCACTTTAGAACACATTCCAGTATTGTTCAATAACAAAGGTCTTTGCTCAATGTATTCCATCAATATAAAGTTTCCCTTTGACAATGATAGATTTTCAACCTATTTATAATACTCATGACTATTCTATTTCTCAGTTGATTCTTCAAGTAAGATCTCCCTATTGTCCTTCTTTTGTTCCTTGATATTTACTAATGGAACCAATTCTGTTGTCCATGGATCAAAATATTTGACTTGTTCTCTTTCCAATCCTAAAAATTCTCGTTTCTCTTCATATAAATTGTCAACAATATTATTTCTATGATATCTTGCATGCTTTGTTAAAACCTAAGAAAAGTCATTCAAGAGGAATGATTCTGCCACTTAAGAATGATTGTAGAATGGTGTAGTTTGAAATGCCTTCATTTTAGATTCAATCAAATTCAGCAATTCTTTATTTCCTCCATCCTCATTACCAAATTGCTAATTGAAATCCTATTGTTATTATATTCCATCCTCAAACTATGACAAATCATAAGACTCTTACTAATCTTCCACACTCAGTAAATTCACATGAGACACAGCACTTCTATTATCCTTTTACCTTGAAACTATAGATGGAGCAGCCAACCTATTAGCCAATTGTTATTGCGTCCCAACTTTTTCTGGGAACTTCTTTTAGTGCAATAAAACTTCCAACTTCTCACTAAAGAACTACCGATTCTACATATCAATTTCTACTCTGTTATAGGCTTCGAACGATTTAGATAAGAAATTATCTTTCTGACCCATGCAGAATTCAACAATCTCCTTATTGTAATACGAATAATTGTCCAAAGCCTTTTAAAACTCTTATTCCTTCTTATCGATTTCCGCCTACTTAAAGCTTTCATCTGGTTATTGATTTTACTAATTCTATTATTCATTCAACTTCTTTTCATCTTCTAATTACTACTGAATTCTTTACATCAACCCCATTCCTGGTTCATCAGTCTGGCCTTAACATTTTAATGCATTAATATCCTATTATGGACATTAATACAAAAAAGATTCCTTGTTTAGAATCCTCTGTTGTTTTTAATTTTAGACTTCTGCATTAAATAGTTCCTATTGTTCATTCTCAAATAATTTAAATTTATTTGTAAAGAACCTCTTTAAATTTTCACTGTCTTTCTATCTAATCTAGGCTTCTAACTCCATTTGATTTTTTTTGGGATCTTAATCTATTTAGATCTATTATTAAAATTCTCGATTTTCTTCTAAGGGATACACATTGTTGTTATTTTCTGTAGTATTTTATACACAATTTTTCATCCGCTCTTGAATTTCCTTTCTGTAATTTATGCCTTCCTCCAATTTTATCTTCTTGTGTTTTTTGTTGATTAAATCATTCAACTCTTTGAAGTATTTGGATGTTAAGAGAGGATTGTGAAAACTCTGAATCACTCCATAAGGGTTCTCCACTATTTCCTCTTGGCATAGGATTGTGTAATTGTCTTTGCTCTCGTTCTATAACTTAGTATAGAGTGACAGTCTTTTCTCGAGACTCTTCAGACACTTCTATTTCTTGAAGGAGTCCAAGATAATCTCTGAGTCCTTATTTAATTGCAAATGCTCTCTTATTTATTGATCAGTCAAAACAGAAAAATTCTACATCAAAGAGTCGTAGTAATCGCTATCAAAGGATTTACTCTTCTTATATTTGTACAGAATGTCATTTATTACTTTATCATAAATCATTTTAACATCTTCACTTGCAGCATAATAAAAATCAGAAAATGCATACACAGGATACTTAACATTTTGGGACTAACGAGTATTATTGGTTTATCCTGATGACAAACTATTTCTTAAGTCTATTTAACGTAAAAATGTTCTCAATTAAGAGTAGTTTCTCAAATGTTAATTTTAATCTGTATCAGAAGACAAGTTAAAATTCTATAGATTGGGTTCATTGATCCTGAGATTCTACCTTTACCCAATTCTCTTCTACTCTACTTCACTTGCTTCTTCTTCTTCCTCCTCGTCATCACTTGTTTCCTCATATTGTCCTTATGGTCTGAATCCTGCAATTAATGCATCACAGTCTAAAATATCCTTGAAGTATCGCATTGCAAAATTTAAATCCAAGCTGCTCTTATCCCTTTAATTCATTTCATTCACATCTTCAAATTAGGCGAATAAAATATCTAAAAGTGCCTCGTTTAACATTATTTATTAAAATAATTACAAATTATATATATATAAATTATTCACAAATTTAAGTCCATAGCTTATTCTCCTCATTGACTTCTCTGTATTATTGCCAAAATGATAGGAAATATCACAAAAATCATCTCACATCTTTTACTCATTTAAAGAGTGTAATTTAATTTCCTAATTCATTCAATAACCTTCATTTGTTTAAATTCTAAAGTTTAAATTACATAATTTTGATTCCAAAATTTTCCTCAAAATTTCTAAGAAAAAGTGGAAAGTTATATCATCCCTAATAAGAGGATGGAATGATTTATATTGAAATTAATTTAATTTGAGAATATTAAATTCATGAACCCTTTTTTTCTATTTATTTTCGAAATCAAACAAGAGATAGCTTCTAAATATGGAAATAGCATTGCCTTTATAATTATTCATTATTTCATCCTCCTTATCAACCATTATCATAAGTAAGTAAAGAAAAGAATTTTAATTAATTAGTTATATGATTATAGCTTAGACAAGAGATTCGAGCAATTCAAATTTGTCGTCGTTAATCAATTAACTAGACGTCAGCAATATTATATATTCTCACCAAGATGTTACATTTATCATATCAATTATCCAATTTGCCTTATCATTATTTGTCACAATGATTGTAATTATATTACTTTACAAAAGAAATCATAATAAGGCTGAGCAAATATAGTTCAGCACCCTTGGAAATGTAATCATCTCGTTTATATAGATTTTTATAAGATCCATTAGAATAATATACTGGATTCTGTGTTATCTGCTATTATTGGTATCTACTTATAATGTCATGATAGCCTATGACTTAACTTAATTTCTATCGATGTTCGTTATAATATTTGTAATTTTCTTTACTTTTTTTCATGACTTTGTATTGCTGAATGACAATTTTAATAAGTAAGACTTTTTGAATATTGCCCAACCTAAACCCTATATTTTTACCACTTGGATTAAATTGGTTTAATGTGGATTTTCGAGTTACTTTTATAAAAACCAAACTTCTCATGTACAAATAATAATAATTTTAGATGATTTATTTGCTTATTAGTTTTGCATTATCTTTTCTCAATTACATTTAATTGTAGTATTTTATGGTAATTTTTGGAAAGTATGATATAGATTAAACCTTTCACTTAGTTAATCTAGTTTATTTTGGATAAAGCTTAGGATTGTGTTGATCCAATACCTCATTAATATAGATGATCCTTATACCTTAACAACAATTTTGATCATAATTAATCTTGTTGTCGTGCACAATAGTTTCAGAAAGTGGTACTTAGAACATCAGTTCACCAGTTGCAAAGACGTATCGAATCGAGTTTTGCTTTTACATTGGTTCAGAGAATTATAAAGTTCAAATGTATATTATATGGGAATTATAATTAAACATTATAATCACCCGAATAATAAGAAATGCTTTTTAAGACAAAAGGCCATTTTCTACAGCGGTAAGAAATTCGCCAAGTACACTAACATAACTACCAAGAAGCATAACATCTAAAAACACAAGGGCTTATTCGTGAAATTCTATATCAAATGCTTGCTTGAAACTTAACTGAAACAATAACCTAACTCATCTGAATTAAGATTATTATATGCAGAAATCTTATTCTATAAATTTAGTTTAATCAATGAATCATTCAGATAAATATAGAAGATCAAATCGAATTTCAATTTTAACTAATAACTGAGAATCATATAGTTAAAATTATCTATTCATAAAAAATTAAAGGAAAACAGTTCATTAAGTTATCGATCCAAACTGCCTTTTGAAAATATGTTGAAATGCGAAGAATAAATGAAGGATTTTGTTAAAGCTTTTCTTAAAATAACTGAGTTATAGATCATTTTTTGGAAAGGCTAACTTGGGTAATTTATCTCCATTTAAAATTAAATTAATATAAGTTAAGAAATTTTAAATGAAATTTAAATTTGTCAAGCTAATTGGAAGAGCATTCATTTTATTAATCCAATTGATGAATAGAATATGTTTATAAAATTTAGATGGAGATTCTTCTACCTGTTTTTTAAACTCTATATCCTCCATAAAAAATTAAAAGTACAAGAATTAAAAGAACTGCCTGATCAAATTCTTAAGTCATAATAAATATTTTAAGATGAGAAAATAGATGAAAGATCTTCAAGTGAAGATGAAACTTAAGGGAAAGTCTATTATTAAACTAATTCTATAATTTCTTCTAATAACTTATTTTTTCGTGTTGATAAATTTGGAGAAATCATTACCGTTAGTTAATCATCACTATAAATGCTCGGGAGACACTAAAATGAATACAGAGGTGCTAGGGTTGAAATCTTAATGCCAGACATAATCAAAGAGAATCATAATTACTTCTTAAAATTATTCTATAAAACTGGGCAATCTGAAAATTTATATAAAAGAAGATCTATTTTAGTTAAACACAGCAAAGGACATTGTTTTAAAGCCCAAAAATATTTAAAATATCTATTTAATTTAGAATAAAACAGATTTGAGTATTTTAGTATGTTGAGAAAAGTCTCAAGTCGATCTTAATACATTATCTTGAATTCAAAATGGGAGATTGATTCATCTAGTGAATTTATTTATTAAATTTTCGGCGAGTTTAAACTCCCTTTTCTATCTTTGTGTCCAAAAGCCATTTCCTATACTGAATTTGCTTAATACCTTACTACATACGACATGAAAATTTTAAGTTTGAAATTATGTTCTTTTGGTAGTAGGGAGAGAATTCAAGATAGGAAATTTACCTTTAGAAGATAAAACGATTAAACATTTAGTAACAAATCAATACATGAATTTACAAGCTTAGTTTTTAAAAGAGAATTGGAAGAAAAGTAAAAATAGAATGTAGTTAAAGTCTTTTAATAAGTTCTTGAAGAAGACAATGAAATTGATGGGGCTGCAAAATTGAATAAATTAAGCCATATTAAATTAAACATTAGAGTTCCCGTATACAAAGCTGAATTTCAAGAAGATTATAATAAATATGATACTTAAATGAATAATATATTTTATAGCGCGGAAAGTTTGAAAAGGCTAATTTTCAGAAATGGCAATGGAAAAATAAGAGTTGATAAATTTGAATTTCTTTAACGGTATAGATGGGTTAAAGATTAAAGAATGAAGTTTATATATTCTAAAATCAGTAAGTATTTAAATTAAAATAGAATATTTATTTGAACATTATTGCTAGGAGTAAGTTCTTGAGAAAGTGTTAAAAGTGGATGCTAATTTGAAGTTCTATAAAACTCTGAACAACACCTCATTCTACATAGTAAAGATTAATCGTTTAGAAGTCTATGATGAAACCACAAATAACAATGACAAATAGGACATGTAATTCTTTAATTCAAATTCCTTCAAACCCTATACTTCAGCCCTTGTTCAAGAAGTTGCTTTAATTACTTAATCAGAAGCATATACCTTGAAAAACCAAAGTGGCTATTAATATTCTGGTAAATATCATTTGTTATCATTTAGATATGGAATTTGTAACCAATAGAGACAATAATTTTAAGCCTTTATTGATTGGTCATGCATTGAGAGAGGACTTTCTAGAACAAGGTTCGAACACTATATATAGTTTAAATGAATAAAATAATCCTTTTATAAAAGAAGAAATTAATAAAATATCGAAGAGGAATCACAAGTTAAGTTTGCTAGTCTTCTTAAATAGATGTTTATTTTTTATAGAAATACTGCTTATTTGTTTCACTTACTTTTTTTGCTCATTTTATTACAATCCTTTAACATTACATAATTCTGTTATTCTATTGGGTCACGTATATCAAATTTCACTAATAACTGTTTAGTCATATAATTACATCATTGATGTAGGTTTAATGAATGAAAATAAATTGACTAGTTTATTGATTGTCAACCCAACAACTAAATTCAATACAACAGGGTAATTTTTATAATTTGTTCAAACAGAAATCGAAGAAGAATACACATTCATCTATAACATTTACACAGATTACGATTTTGTATCTATGGTTTATTCTGGGTTTTATATTAACAACTCGGATGTTAGTGGTTTGGATATCTTCGATTAGTATTAGCTTAATTTACTGTAATTCAACTTTTCAGAAAAGGGATCAATCAATTTAAATGATACTATTATATTACATTTTAGAGACTATATGGTTCCTTATGGATAACAATTGATGTAGGATTCAATTGTTTCAAGGATTAATGAAGCTATACTCTATTAAACCCAGTCCATTGATAATCTCATACTGTTCATGATCTTCTTATTTTCAGTTTTGATGATTAATTCAGTCTTTTCATTGGTAATTAAATATTAGTTTCGAAAACGATGTTAATACTATTTACAATATTGTTGCCAATATACCAAAGGATGATAAAGTAAAAGCAATGATGCAATATCAAACACTATTTACTCAATTAAATGCTCTATTTGAAGAAGAATGTAAAAGTTTTAATATAAATTAGAATATGGATACAAAAAAAAATCTATGCATGCTTTAAATGCAGATACTATAATGTATATATAAAGATAAACTTAGATAACAAGATTTTGAGATTATTGAAGTAGAGAAAGCCAACTAAAAAAGAAATAAAGCTAGAGTTATTAGATTACCTAAATATTAATTAAATGTATTAATCCTTATCATTTTAGACTATTATTGCTCTTGTATTCTATTTAGCTATCATACTTGTTTTATTTATATTAGTTTATTATTTCATTTGGATGAATCAAATGCAAACGAAGTAAATCTTTTTGGATAACAATTATTTAGCTCAAACAAACTATTTTTGGATAATTACATTGCTTAAAGAAGTATATAATTATCAATATTAAGAAATTCATTTATGATAACTATTTGAACTCCTCCTTTTATCCAAATATAACATAATTTAGATTCCAAGAATTTCTTGATGATATGGCAGTAACCTCCCCTCTCTTATACTAAACAACATTAAGCGATATCTAGCGCATTTTTGATGAAACATTATGCGATTATTATTCTTATGGTACAAATATCAATTAAATGTTTAGATGAATCTGCAACTTACATCTTCTATGAATAATTCTGTCCTGAAATATTGAATGGAGCCTTGAAACGAGGATTAAAATAATTCAACATACTATTATCATAAGTAGTAATAAAAGCTTTGAACCCATATGATGAAAGATATGAAGATTTCAAGATAGAAGACCTTGCACAATATCAAATATCTTTTCAAATTATTTATGAAATATTTTAGAAGTCCTTTCAGATTTGGGCTTCAAATGCTGAAGATATATTATCAAAAACCTCAGATTTAAGTCTAGTGTCTTTGTAATTATATCTAATTATTTTTCAGCATCATTCAACTTTTAGTGATCATTGTCCTTTACTTTGGTTTACTGGAATATTATTTATTTAATAAGCTACAAAAAGATTTCGATTTCAGTAAAAACTACTACAGATACTTCATGTTGAATTAAACTATGAATTAAGTGAAGACTATGAGAGTAGATATGATAAGAACTGGCTTATTATCCAAATGATACATTTATAATTATAGCACTTATTAGTCCAAATATTTAAATATTACAATTTATAGAGCATTTTACAATATTAATGAAAATCTATTATTCATTCAAAAAAATTTACATTCTACATTTTATATCTGATACTTAGATGCTTACTATAAAGATTCATATAGTAATCTGAGTGCTTGATAATCTAATTCTGAACTCTATTGTTGCCCATGATAATTTTCAATAAAAAATACGCTTTCCCTTTGGATCTTCAGAGATTAGACTATCGATTCTATTCTGTAATCAACATATAATTAATAATCGTCATGATGCCTAAATTTATATTCTAATTTATCCAACTGAGTTAAGATTATAAATGGATTGTCATAACCCTTTTATTTGACAAGACTTAGAATTTATTAATAAAATTCTGTCTCTTCTTTTCCATTAGGAACCTTATCTAAACTACCATCTAAAACTATAAGGACTTAATGGGGAATATAGGTTCCACAACTAATGATTTCTTGAGGGAATAACTCGCAGTCTTGTTTCCAGAACTCCCATAATTTATAGGCATATCTATAAGTCCTTTATTCAACCAGACTCATATTTTTTACTTTTCCTTCGAGCATTAATTCCACTTATTTGTTTTCCTTAGAACTTAAGTGAATCTGTCCTCTAGTATCGAGAATGTTGATTTAACAATTTTAAATTAAATGTGAATTCATTTTCGAAAATATTTAATTTTTAGTTGACTATAGCAAATTTATGCTTTGAAAGTGCTTGGTCCCTTCATTATGCAATAAATCTTTTATACACAATGCTTCTGGTAATGTTTGTGTTTAATTTAAACTAGTATTAAATGTTCTAATTAATGATGACTTTCCAGAGCCACTGGGCCCAAAGAGTATAATATTGCATCTTTATAATTAATTGAATGTTTTTATTTTCTATCTCAGATCATCACAAGTCTTTTTATAAATTTATTCCTATCTCGTGGGAATCGGTTCATATTAAGGTTATTGCTGATGAGTTTTAATAAATGGAGATCTATTAGTACCACTTGAAGATCTTTTGGTGATTGACTATTTAGGTTTTTGTGCCTAATTAACGTATATCATATTCATTAATTATTGAGTATATATTTTATATGAAATATTAAAAATTTGTTAACTATTTAATTTCCCTTAACCATTACATTTATTGAATTTAAGTCATTGCTTATCTATTTCTCTATTAATTTTGATTCATTCAAAATGTAACATAATTTAATAATAATTGCATCTATCTAAGTAAGTAGGTTTTAATAACTTGAATTATTATTTGTCCAATAGGAATATTATTTTTATATTCAAATTTTAATCTTCATAATAAATGGTTGTTAAATATAACTTGTTGACTATTTTTAGATTTTTTATTTAGAATCTAATAATTAGCAAAGTAGTTATTAACAGAATTTGAAAATTTTAAAATTATAAAAATATTAATAAAACAGTTAAGGAAATGGGATGATCATATTATCTGACCATGTAAAATTTGTAAACAAAATCTCATTTGAATATTTGTTTTTCTCCTTTTTTAATGTTTACATTAATTTTAGGAATAACCTAGCTAAATTTATTTTTCTAATCATAATGTAAATTTTAAAGAAAATACTTAAGGTTTCAAGTGAAAAAATCCTTTTAGAATTTAGGTAAAATGTGATAACATATCCAAACCAAATTGTCAAATTTAAATATGAATAATAATTAATCAGTTCCTGATATAGGAGAGTAAGAAGATGATCTTTAAACAATAAAGAAAACTGAAAATGAAGATTTTATTTTGTCATATAATTAATGCACTGAGTAATCTTCCTCATTTGGAAGGAAACTAAACTAATAGCTTTGGTAAGAATTCTACAAATAGGAATTGATTTATTAGAAAAGGAAGAATCCATAAGCAAATCATAATGAATTAACTTCATTAATTTCAAAAAAGTGGAAAAGCAAGAAATAAGATAAGAAGACTGTTAATAAATTGAAATTGAAAATAAAACTAGAAAGTATTGCTGATTTTGCTGCTTAAACCAAGAATAATAAATAGATAGCCATTCTTAATAAAGAAGAACAAAAAGATGATCTTGCTGAAAAGCTTAAAACTTCAACTTTCAAGTTAATTTATTTAGATAATATTTGTGAACTTAAAGGAGAGGCAATTTTAGAAGCAATAAAAGGTAATCTTCAGCTCATCTACATAAATAAATCTAATGATATTGAATAATTAGATATCTCTAATTAGGATAAATCCAAATCGACCAAAAGTTGCCCAGAACCCTAAGAATAAAAGGAAAGCTTTGTTATGTCTTCAAAGGATTCAGAAAATGAGCCTGTAAATGACGAAAATGAATCATATTTTGAAATAGCGAATAACATAATGAATTATTTATGAAAATTTATGAAAATTAACATCTAATTATAATATTATTATGTTAACGATTAAAAGTGAATCTGAAAGTAGGATCTTCATTTTTCTTTGAAGTAAACTTACTGTTGAATGTGCTGTCTACCACAAAGATCGAAAAATATATATTAAAATACATCAGATTATTGTTATGTAATAGCTGATTAGTCATTCGAATAAAAATTGTATTTATGATTTTAATTTTAAGAGTAATAAATAAATATAAAAATATTGATGGATTAGCAAGAATCAGCAAGATCAATTAACATAAGTTTATGATGAAATTATTATTAGTTTAGGTTCATCAAGATATTCTGATAAATTTTAACCATAATTAATCCACATGAATTAGAAGCAAATTTAAAAGAATAAGGACGATAGTTAAGAATTTAGTCCTATTTATGAGAAATCTTATGATGACATTGTTCAAGAGAAGCCATAGAGGTAAACTAGAGGAAATTTTAAAAAATCCTTAAATTACCATGTAAGAGAAATTTAAATTAATTTTAGTCAACCTCAATTAATCCACTAGAAAAAGTATAAAATATCAGAGGTAATAAAATCGTGTAGTTGATAAAGCAAAAAAATTTATTATTGAAATTTAAAGAGAGATTATTTTAATTGGGACACATACACCCAAGGAACCCTAATGAAAAGCTGAGTCATTTTTTGGAAGAACAATATATACATTAAAATCATCACCATACTAGGTTTAGCTAATAAGAATAAAAATTTGAGCAGGGTATAATAGAGCAATATTAAAGTGTTGAGAATGTGTAATAAGGTATAAAAATACCAATCATAAATCCAACAGGGAAATTTTATCTCTTTTGGCAATTGTTGAGACTGATACAAATAATGTTCTTGTTGTGGTGGGTTCCCTTTAAAATATCATTTAATCCCCCTAAAATGACCTCGATGTCTTATATCGAAAATATGTTGATCTATCTATTTGCAGCAGATTTACTTATAAAATTAAATAAAGGGATGATTGACTAAGGTTAAATTGTTTACGATAGGTTCCGAATATTGAAGCACTATGTTATTTATGAATTATATGAGGATGCAATATATTTAATAACTTTGACACTTGTAATTGGTGGTGATCCCATAGCCATATCATTTTTCCCTGAGGTGATAGTTTTGATATAGTTCACTTTTAATTTTATTAAATTAAAAAAGACTATCAATAGATATGGAGAGATGTTTGCAATCTAATCTACATTTACAGAATTGGTTAGTCTCTCATAATTAATAATACTGATATTCTATTTTGCTCATTTCATGGCCTGTATTTGGTATTATGTAGGAAACATTAGTTAGGAATCATTCTCAAATTCTTGGATCCAATAATAACACTTAGAATATTCACCATTGTTTCATAAATATGGATACTCTTATTATTGGGCAACTGCAACTATGGTCACAGTAGGATATGGAGATGTCACTCCTCAAAATATATATGAAGTGATTTGTGCAATCATCATGATATTTTTTGCTAGTGTTGTCTTTGCTTTCTCAATAAATGCAATTGGAGTGATATTCTCAAATATTGATCTATAAAAACAATATTACAAAAGAAATTTAGTTTTAATAAATCAGTATATGAATTCAAATGAAGTTTCCTTGTAATTATAGAGCAGAGTTCGCAATTATTTGAAATACTTTTATGAACAATAAGTGAAAGGTAACAATACTGAAATTAATTCAATCATTGAAAAGTTATCATATAATCTAAAGCAAGAGCTATTGGAAGATGTATAGATAAGAGCAGTCACATGTGTTGACTTTTTTACAAAGAACTTCTAATCATCAACAATTCAGGAGATTGCTTGTCGAATGAACATTTAACAATTTACACCAAGAGAGATTATATTTTAATAAAACTCTGTGGATGAACACTCGGTTTACATAATCTAAAAAGGAGAAATCCAATTAATTGATGATAAGTCAGGCAAAATTGTATCCAAACTTATTAAAGGCTAATGTTTTGGTGAAATAGAATTCTTAACGACTTAGAAAAGGTAATACAAAGCTATAAGTACAACATTTAGTTCAATATACAGAATAACACGGGAGATGTTTCTCGATATTATTTCTGAAAATTCAATAGATTTTGAAAAATATTGTGAAATGAAGGATAAGGTAATATTTCAATATGAAGATCTACCAATCAAATGTTTTGGTTGTGATGGTGATCATTTATTATCAAATTGTCATTATTTAACTTACAAACCAGATAAAGAGTTTTTAATAAAACGATAATTGTATCATTCTAGATAATAAAGATCTGAATTTCAAAGAAAGAAAAATAGATATTTGAGAATATTTAAATAAAATGAAGAACATGAACAACCTCAAAAATTATCAAACAAACAAATAGAACATGAATTATCTCTCCTCTCCTAAGAATCAATGCATAAACAGGAATCTAATTTAACAGGCAGTGAACACTAAAATAACCTCTATAACAATGAAGAAGTCGCTCATCAAATAAAAAAGCGAATTTCGTTATGGATAACTAATCCAGATCAACCTTTCATAGAATAACAAAGTATTTAAAATCCTTAAACTAGAGTCTTTATAGAAAACTAATCGGCACAATAGTGAAACGCCAACTCATAAACCAACTAGAAAGTCGTTATTCAGTTCATCTCAGGATCAGTATTCAAAAAGGCATATGAGTAATTAATTACTTTAAGTTAATGAATAACAATAATTAATGAGTTCTTCAAATAATTCGCAAACTAAAACCTATAAATAATAGCATTTCAATTAGTTGGAGAATTTATAATCATACCATACATTCAATTATGAATTGGATAAAATTGAAAGCTATCAAATTTACTTTCCTTAGAACAACATTTAAAATGTTATTAGTACTTTTCAGAAGTAGCAAAAACTTTCAAAGTTCACAAAGATATCACTTGCAAGCAATAAATATCGATTCATATATGTTTAAAAAGTACCCATTTAATCATTGACCAAAAAAACTATTCTCAATGTCAACAGCTAAATTTGATTAAATTACAACATATGTCTAATATTATATAAGAGAACATCCTTGATAAAATTATGAAATATTAGTTAATTATATATTAATTATGTCATTCTTAAATTTTGAATTAAAATAAAACACTCATGATTACGAAAAGGATAAATTAGGTCCAGATAAAACTTCCAATATGATCAATCCTAAATAAGGCTCAAATAGCGAAATTTAATTTTATTCCGAACTAAGTGTTATAGATAGCAGTAGGCCAGTGCAATAGTCTAGCCTAATAAGACCTTTAGCATAAATAAAAAAAGAATCCTCAGGGAGATAACTGAAATTTAATGTAAAGTTAATTTTGAGTCAACTTAGAATTCATAGAAAACTGTTAAAATTGAGTAAAGTGGCAACAAGATTTCCAATTTTCGTAAAGTGATCCATCAGAATGAAGAAACCATAAAGGTTGTTTAAACTAAATTTTTGAATAAGTTATTAGAGGCAGCAAATATATGGAGAAAAGATATATTCGATTACAATAAGGAAGTTATCAATAATATATTTTCTTATGACACAAAGGAGTAAAATAATGGAGAAATCATTAATTCTCATTAGGGAATTTTAAGCCTAAAAATTGAAGTCCTATTACCTACGTAACTCTTCGTAAAAATTTGGGATTTGATGGCAATAATAATAATTGCGATTACATTATGGTTTTCCTCATTCGTAGCTACATTTGACTTATTTTAGAATAACTTCTACAAAATCGTAATTTACATATTCATCACATTCTTTTTTATAGATGCTTTTATAATCTGTCATAAGGCTATCATTTTACAGGGAGAATTGATGTTAGATAAGAGAATTATAATTCAATAATATATAAAAGGCCATATTTATGGAGATATCATAAATTGTTTAATTTGGATAATTTAACTATCTCATATTGATGATATGCATGCAAGACAATTGCTCTCATTGATCTAGACAGTTTTTATAATCATTAAATTATACAGTCGTTTAAACAATTATATCGATTGTTTATACATGAGTGGCAGTTTGAGTGAGTTGATCGATTTGATCATCTTGATCAATTACATATTCTTTTGTGTTCATATATTTGCATGTTATTGGACATACATAGGATTTGCAACAGAAGATGAAGGCATCAATTGGCTAATAAAAAACTCAGTTGAAAATAAGGGACATTGGGTTTAGTACAATACAGCAATGTATTGGGCAACAATGACAATGGTAACAGTTGGATATGGAGATGTGACAGCTGGAAACTAGTATGAAATTTTGTATTCCAATTTCGCTATGTTTATCAGTAGTTTAGTATTTGCATATTCAATGAATTCAATTGGAATCATTATTAAGAACATCTAAGTGTCATCAAGTTTCTACAAGTAATGTATTAAAGGAATTCTTAGGAAAAACTTAATCTTAATGAACACGTATATGAAAAATAATCTTGTTTCAGATTCCATTTAAAATAGAGTGAGAAACTTCCTGAAATATTAAGCAGAAAATAATTAATAAGCTAATACACAAGACGTACAATTTAAGATCTTATTCATAATAGATTCATAATATTATTGATGATTTTCCACCTTTACTTTAGGATGAATTAAAATAAGATATTAAACTGAGAATACTCAAATAAATTAAACTATTTGATATCTTTTCAGAGAAAATCAAGTATGCTGTTGCAAACAAACTGGAATATGGTTCATGCATTCCTAATGATGTGTTATTTGATAATTAGATCAATAATGACAATTCTCTGTAAGACTATTTTAAATATAAAGATATTTCATAGAGAAAGGAGAAGTGATCATTTAAGAGAGTGTGACTAAGAAGTAATTGGAAACGTTTAAATCAGGGGATTGTTTTGGCCAATACTAATTTTTTACTAATAGTTCTTTACCAATAAGAGCAGTGAGTCAGACCTTTACATAGATCTATAAGATATCTAGAAGTGATTTCTTAAAGGTTTTGAATACTAGTTCAATCGATTTTGAAACTTATCATAATATAAAAGATAAGTTGCTTCACAGTCAGGAAATGAGCATTATAAATTAGAAATGTAACATTTGTTCTTCATTTACTCACATAAATGTGTTTTGTCCTAAGATTAGTTATAGGCCAGATTTAGAGAGATTGATTAAGTCAGAGTACTTTTTGAAATAAGAGAGGAGATAAATCACTAGAATAGATAGATAAAAAATAAATTCATTAGGAGATTATGAGAACATACTGATTTCAGTAAATGAATATCAGAAACAGGAGTTTAATCTGTAAACTTAAAACAATAATGAGAAAACATCTTAAGATCAAAGTGATAGTTAACTCCACTAAAATAAAAAAAATAATTAATCTAGTTTATAACAATTAGCACGTTAATAGAGTGATTAATGTAAACTAATTTAATTATATTATCTTAGAGAATTTCATCACTTAAAATTCCTTAGGATCATAGTTAGTTAAACAACAATCAAAATAGTTTTTTATTTAAAAGTCTAGAGAAATATAAAATCTTGAAAATATTTTGGATTTAGAAAATGTAGTCATTTCAGGGCCTGTTACTTAGGCATAGAAATTAACAACGAAATATGCATTTTAAACCTCTGATTTAATTGAAGATCAATTGTAAATTCACTATTGTGACATTGATATAGCCTTAAAATCATAAATTTATTTGCCCTAAAATCATATTTTAGTTGTTATTGCTTAAAATAATTAACGGTGTATTAAATAATAAAAATGGAATTTTAATTATAAATACACGTTCTTTTATCGAGTAGCTCGATTGTGTAAATTAGAGAAGCTTACAAGTCAAAGCAATCTAAAAAAAAAAAGATTCGTCATGAAGAATATATAAAAAAAAGAAAAATAATGATTTTTATTTGTACTTAATTAAATATTATAAGAATTGGACATTTCACTTTACTACTCGATAAAATGGATAAATATTATTTAATTCTCAATATTAGATTATTATGTTTGAATTAATTCAAATATAATTATATTAAAGTATGTCAAGATTTTACAACTCTAACAATGATGAAAATCTTTCTTCTAAAATTATAATTGAAGGAGCTACGCCTCACGTTGATCCTAAGATTCTATCTAACTCAGACATTCAATTCTAAAGTGATATTAGTAACATGGAAAGCATGAGGTCCATAAATCAAGAGACTAAAAAAAAAATTCAGCTCATTTAAAAGAACTCTTAAATTTTTTCTCTCAAATTTTAAGTAACAGTACTCTTTTAACATAAGCAACCTGCACTAGTAAATAGCAAAAAATAAATCTAGCACAGCTTATTTAAGATTGACAACAACCAAGATGGAAAATTAAAGCAAGTCTTAAATAAGTAGATGCTCAAGAAATTTAAAGATAATTTATTATAAAACGCGCATATTTTGTCTCAAAAAGTGTTATAGGAGAAAAAACCTCTATTAAATTACTTATTTTTAGATTATGTAACATAGGATGACAGGTAATTAAAAAAAAATAAACTCATAAATAATATAGAGAAACTTCTATTCTGCTAAGTTTTCTTACCTTAAGACAATTTTGTTAAATATTGGAATTTATTTAGCATTTTATTTAGCTTTTTTATATTATGGTTTTCACCATTCATTATTTCGTTCTAATTATTATAAAGCTCCAGTGTTCAATAAACTATAGTATTTATATTCATTTTCTTATTGGTTGATGGATTAATTACTTGCAACAAGGCATATCTTTAATAAGGAGAAGTAACAAATTTTACTATAAAATAGTTAGTTATTAGTAGAAGATAGATTATAAATAATTACTTAAGAAATCAAGTCTTAAGTGATTTTTTAAATCTTTTCATTTGGATTTTGATGTATAATGGAATAGAAGACTTTCAAATAATTCAGATTTTATCAATATTTTAGATCATCATCATTATAAACACTGTGTATAAAAAAATCAATAATTTTGTCGATTATTTATACTTGAATGGTAACCTAAGTGAAGTCTTGGATCTAGCATTTTTAATAATCTCATTATATTATTTTGTTCACATCATAGGCTGTCTTTGGCATTATTTGGCAGTATTAGGAGAGTAACTAAACCAAGTTTCATGGATCCAGAAGTATTCCCTTTAGGATCAATCATCTCTTGTAAAATATGACTATGCCGTATACTGGGCAACAATGACGATGGTGACTGTTGGGTATGGTGACATTACAGCATCAAATCCTATTGAAATAGTGTTTTCAAATTTTACAATGTTTATTAGTAGCTTTGTATTTGCTTATTCGATGAATTCCATAGGGATTATAATAAAAAATCTGTATGATGTAAGAAATTTATACAAGTAAAGTATGTCATTAATTATAAAGAAGATAATTGATCTTAATTAATGCCTACATGAAGAATAATTTAGTTGAGGACTCTATATCCAATAGAGTTAGAAATTATCTAAAGAATTAAGTTGATCATGAATCTAAGAACAATTAGATAGAAGTATCGATCAAAGTAGTAATAATAGGCTTAACAAATCATTGACAACCTACCTCATGGATTAAAAGATGATGTGAACATAAACATTAAAACTAGAATATTATCAAATATGAAATTGTTAGTAAGCAACTTCTCTAAACAGACTCAATCTCAAATAATTCATAAATTAGAATAGGTTAGTTTTATACCAAATGATATTATTTATGATCCTGAAGGATTAAATTTGGATTAGTATCTGTAAGACTTTAACTCTAAATATATAGCTATTATATAGATTAAGGCTCTGTAAGTCTTGTAGAAGTAAGAACCTAGAAAATTGTTTAAGAATATAAAGAGGGTGATACTTTGGGGGAGCATTCATTTATAAGTGGGTTGCCACAAAAATTTAAATTAATTAGCACGAGTTTCTGTTAATTATATAGAATATCTAGGTAAGATCTTTTAAAAGTGCTTTAAAATAATCAGAAAGATAAAGAAATATTCTATTCTTTATAAGATTAATTACTGTATCTATCTGATTTTAGTCTAATAAACAAGAAGTGTAATTTCTGCCATAAATTTGATCATTAAAATAGTGATTGCTTCATAATCTCATACAAACCTAATCTGGAAAAAATAATTAAGATGTAGGAATTCTTAATCTAACCAAGAAGTTAATTGAATAGAAATGCCCGTTAAAAGCTAAAAGTAGTAAATTAAATCTAAGTACTATTATTTTAAAATAAATAGGGAATCTAAAATTCAATTTAATAGTTTTAATAAAGTGACATCATTTCTAATCAAAATGATTCTTATACAATAATGAGTGGAACCAAGAGAATAAAGCAGTATTCTACACATAGATAAAGTGATAATAAAATAGAATAGCCAGAATCATCTTCAGTAAGTGATCAATCTCCAGATGTCTAGATTGACAAGATGGCTTATCGTAAACCCTCTTCGAATTTTACCGGAAAATTTAATATATAAAACCTTCAAAGCATCGAGAATAAAGATGCTTAAAGGAAAATATCTATAGCAATATTGAAAGAACAAACCTTAAATCCAGAACACCCAAGTTCCTAAATCATTTAATTAAGGTCTATTAAAAATCTTTCAAATCCAGCTATATTAGAATATGAAGAATATCTCAAATAGATCAAATTTAGCGGTTTTGAGATTGATAAAGGCTATGAATTTTAAAACTATTTGCCTTAAAATAATCTTTAGACTGTCATCCTAAATTACAATAAGCAAAAAGTCAAATTTATACCAATTTACTAAAAAAGCATGAATAAATCTTTGAAATACACCTTTTATTATAAAATAGCTAAATTGGCATGTTAAATGAGAATGATAGCTGCTCCTATAACACGAAGACTACTCAAAGGTCATCAAATCAAAAAGCATTTAAATGATTCTTGAGTATGTTTCTGATCAAATTTATGAATCTAATATTCTATTAAATAATTACTTAAGCATTCATTCAAAATATATCCACTGTTTAGCATCTATATTCTTATTGTATTCAAATTTTTCTCATTTATTATGACTGCTATTCTCCAACATTTAAGAAATTTTAGGAATATTTCTTTACATTTTTTAATTTACTATTTATAATGTAATATTTTTAGAATTAAATAGTCGTTTAAATTGTTTATAATTAATTTTCCCTATTTAAAGTTAAAACAAACAAAAAAGAGAAAGAATTAATTAATATTAGAAAAATTAATGTTCACTCCTCCAAACTTTGCGGCTCATTCAGCCTTACATAAAATATCTAAAATCATGGCCAGAATATTTTAGTTATAAGAAAAGCTAAAAATAGAAAACACTGTCGAAATCCCTAAGTCAAATTAAGTAAGAATCTCATATTAATTTTAGAAAATTAATAAAACATTAAAGAACATTTACCTGATGAACCTGGAGGATGAAACAATTATCCTCGCCTTCTATTTTGTTGATCAGATCACTAAAAAATTAAGAATTTTTCTTAACTTAGAAAATAGTACTGGAATATTAATTGGGGCTATTATAATCGCTGATAAGATTCTTAATGACTATCCCAGAAATATTGATAAATATTAACTGGCTAGTGGACTCAAAAAATAATAACTAATTGAAATAGAAATCTAATTCTTAGAAATCTTGGATTACAATTTATATGTTACAGAAGAAAATTTTGAAAAGTACCAAAAAAGAGTATAAGAATACTGAGAGAGATTCTTACTAATGTTGGCTACTTTTTCTCATTTTCCTTGACATTTAAATTTACATTTTGTTTCTAATTATATATTTACATTTAATTGTTTATCTCTTTGTTAATACCAGAAGGTTAATTATTTAAAGTATAATTAAAGGAAATCCATATTTTTTAGATTTATGAAAACCTTATGTGAGATTGTCAATTAGATAGTGTGTGTTTGATCATAATATGAGAATATGAACTAAGTGATCATTAAGATAGATTTGATCAAAAAACTTAACTGACTGATACTACTATAGAGAATAAAAAGATAAATTCAGATTATTGATATTTTTAATAAGGACTTCTCAATATTTTAATGTTTGATTCAATAAAAACTTCAACACCACTCTCTTATTCCAAATATTCATACTAATAATTTAGAGCTAAATGCACAGAGACTTATTTAAAATTGTTTTATCTATTTAGGAAACCATCAAAATTAATGATAAAAGCAAGTAAATAGGAGAGTTCTATATACTTGGAACATAACTTAGTTATTATATTAATTTATAGGATGAAAATTCAAACTAGAAATAAAACTTTATTAAAGAGGGATTGGTGATAAAAAATTAATGAATAATTATTATTCAGTTTTTAATCATAATTTAGAATCTACTTTAAAGTAGTAATAATAAATAGAATATGAATCAACAATCTATTTTTCCTGAATATTAGTTACTTATAACTGTTATTTCTAATTTATGAGAATTGTTGAATTTTTATATAGATCTTAAAATATTAAATTTTTAATTTTTAATTTCCATTATGTTTAAGTCAATATTATTACTTTCTATTAATGCTTATCATCTTTTTCGTAGATGGAAAATAAACATAGTAATTTCCATCTATATTTCATCTGTACAGTATTCAGTCCTAGAGTGTTTTCTTAAATAAATATCCAAATTTTTCAATAATTAGAGATGCTTAAAAGAATTTATTACAATTAAAATAAAATTCTCTAAAAGTAACAATTCCCTTATGAATTAGACAAATTCTAAATTAGAACGACAATTGATATCTCCTAAACAATAAGGTCAGCTTCCAAGTCTATACTATGATTATAGTGCGAGGAAAAAATAAAAATTAAAAACATATTTTCGATAGGAGAAATGTATTTCCATTAGTCCAAACAAATAGATCATTAAAACATAAAGGGATCTCTTGAAGAAAATAGAATCTGAAAGAAATTCTGAAGTTTATTCTTTTGAAGATGAAGTTAGCAGATCTGCTCGCTTTTAAAGAAAATCAAGACTGCATTAAAGAAATAAAATCTTTAATCATCCAATTATAAACAACTAGCCTTTGTACACAGATACATAAAACGAAACTGAAACTCCTTATTTCAAGGATAAGGACTCATCTATTAGTAAGTCTGACGACGAGAATGAAGAGAAAAATGAAAATAAAATAGATTTAAAACTCGAGGGTGAGACTGGTAAGGCTCTGAAGTAGATAAGCCATAAAATAAGTAAACATATTTTCATTATTCTTAGATCAAGAATTAAATAATTCATTTTATCATTTTATAAAAAAATCGGAAAAAATGAAAGATTTGATTCTAAATTTTTAACAAAAGGATAATCTGAGTTTAATTCATTATTATTGTTTGAATGATAGTCTATTTCCTAAGAGAATCGAACTGAGTAAGCAAGATGTTAAAGAAATTAATTTATCAGATTTAGGATTGACTCCAAAATATATTCCATTGATTCGGAATTTATTAAACTCGAAACGAGACAAAAATATTAAATCAATAGATATCAGTCAAAATAAAATTAATGAATGGTCTTTAAAGTTATTAATTGATGTTTTCCCCTTAAAAGTCAAAACCATTAACTTATCGCTTAATTAATTAAACCGTAGAGGTGCAGTGCTACTTTCTGAACATCTAAAAAGCTTTGAAAAGTATAATACAATTATTACTCAGTCTGAGGTTCTTGAATTTAAAAGGAAATCAAATAGGAGATACAGGAACTGCAACCATATTAGAGACATTGAGATCAAGTTTGAGGATCAAAAAATTAAATTTATCAGATAATGCAATCTCTGATGCAATTTGCAACGATTTAAAAGAGTTCATCATGAAAAATTAATCCATTTAAGTGCTGAGTCTGAATTGGAATTAATTGGGCCCTGTTGTTGGATTATCAATAGCCAAAGGATTAAATTACAACAAATCTATTAGGGTAGTAGACTTAAGCTATAACAAAATTGGATAGAGTGACAACAACTATGAATGTATTAAGGAGTGGTGTTCATTGCTGAGCAATACATACACAGAATTGATTCATCTAGATCTATCTTACAATTAATTTAATGAGAAATAACTCTAATTAATAAACTACTCAATTCTGAAGAATCCTCGTTTATATGGGTTACACGTTGAAGGAAATAAATGCTTGGCTCATGTAGACCCATTAGGATTTATATAATTTCCCTAATAAATCAAAGGAAAGTAAAGTATGCAGCCAAAGCATTAAAATATCGATGGTGTTAACTTCATCCCAATGTAAAACGAAAATGAAAATGGATCTGACTGTTGTTGGATATGTTAAGGGTGGATGGAGTATCATTTTGTTTATGAACCTGAACCTGAAGAATCCAAAACTGATTCTATATATTTGCATTTAGACTTTTTAGAGTAAACATATCTGAATATTTTAGTTTCAAACCAATATCTATGACGACAAGTAAAGAGTTATGGAAATAGATAAGTAGCAAGATCAATAATAATGCTGTTTTGGAAGACATAACAACAGGAGAAATCATTCATTAATTAAAGCATGCTTTTAGTGCTGGTAAGATAATCACAATGACTGCCATAAATGATGCTTACACTGAAGATAAGAAGATGAAGGATGACATGAAATCAATATTATCTGAATTGAATTCAAAGTTCTTCTTCACTTCTTATTAGATGTGTCCTCCTAACTAAAAAATACTTTACTTCTTTTCTAGTCCCACTGGAAAAGGAATATTTATAAACCCAAGATTTCCAATAATATAACTGTAAACTGCTGAAAATATTGAGTTGATTATGGATAAAGAACACGTATTTTTTTATCCCGATGGGTCTCAGATCTCATTATCCTAGGTCGAACAAGTGAATTATTTTCAAACTAAATAGATGCTTGTTATTGATTAAAAGAATTAATACAAACCTTTAGTGAAAGTAATTCCTAGATGTTTGGAAAATAAATATTTTTTAAAAAGATTTGCTGTTGATGCATCCAAGCAAAAATCAAATTTGATTTATTGGCAAAAGGAATAATCAGCCTTTAAATCTTATTAAGGAGACACTGAAGATGTCTTGGATGAGTGTTTTCAATTTGATTGGAATTGTATGGGCATTTAACACTTTTTAAAATCCGAATAGGAAATTGAAAAAGTTATCTAGATTATGAGATTTCACTATCCAAAACTAAAAGATGTTTATAAGTATTATTCAAGCTTTGGATATAATGCTAATATACAATTGAATGGCTATCAGGTGGAAACCTTCTATATTCCTCTTGAGTTGATTTACGAACTAACTCAAGAATTACTACCATAGGGCATATCAATTGAGGATTTATAATCTCAAGTGAAGTAAATTAAGTATAATTGTGATTCGAAATTCATATATAATCCAGAGAAAGGATTTGTTCGATATTAATTTATAGAATTCATTTTTAGAATAGCTTTGCTGGTGACAAGATTGAAACAGAAGCCTAAACTGATTGTTGACGAGGTGTATAGAACATTTTAAGTTTTAACAGAAAGATTTGCAGCCTTTGATAACTAACAAAAGTGGAGAGAAGAACGTTTGTGGACAAAAGAGTGTGGCAATTTAATTTACATCAAATAGGGGTTCATTTAGAGACTGCATGATTATGCAGCTTCAATTAAAAATAAGAAATGGTCATTCAAGTTAAAGTGGATAGCATTGACAGAATTTCTAGACTTTTGCAATTAAATGGGATTTCAACAATTTTTGAGTGAAACTCAATTAAAAATCATCTACAATTTCTCAATGTAAACTCACCAAGATGAATTGACTTAAGATAGACATTTAAGGATGTCCACTGTGGAATTTACAGAAGCCTTGGCAAGGATAGCTGAATTCATTAGTCCCAATGGTAATGAGACTGATAATGCAGCTACAAATAGATTGATCCTTCCATTACATATCAAATTGGAGAACCTTCTAACTCATATCTATATTACTTTAAGGATTCTTAAGTATTTATAATTACATATAAAGAGTGAATAACTTCGAGAGTTTTAGTATTTACTTTAGCTATAATTCTAATGAGATTTTACCTAAACCTACTGAGCTTCTGTTGGATTAATATGAATGCACAACCCAAGAATTGAGAATCTATAATGCTCTATCCTATTTGAGTAAGACTTAAATCTATTTATTTAGAAATGTTTAAGACCCCTTATTTGCATCCAAATTATAAACTATTTTTAGAAATACCTTTCCAATAGGTTTAAATTTTGAAGTCAAAGAGAAGTATGATTGAAAGATAGATGACTCAAAAATAAAAACTCTTAAAGTTGAAGGCTACATTATAATTACTGTGATTATCATTTTTCATATGTTAATTAATTATTTATAAACAAATGAAAAATAGCGTTGAGAGATCCAAATGCTCACTTCCTAGATTGAAAGATTATTCTAAGGAGAAAGCTGAGAAACTTAAATCCTTTTTTCGATCGAATAGAAGTATCTCGGAAAATAAAATTATTCAAAGCAAACTAAAAACATCGAAATTGCTGTATAATAATGAATTTTCTGACGATAATAATGTGATGGCATATTATATGAAGAGCAGTGAAAAACTAATTGAAATGAGACAGATTATTAACAGCACTTCAGTAATATCAGATCAAGAGGAAACTAAAAGGAAGAATTATCCTTTGGGGTTGTTAAAACACAGTTTTTCTCCTTTTAAATAGATGAAAACTGATTCTTTAGTCGAGTAATTTAGGGACGAAGAACCAAAGGATATAAATGAAATGGATTAGTAGTCATTTTAAAAAGAATAGAGCCAAAACGAGGATTTAGATTATGACATGTTAAGTGAGGAAAGCAGTTATGATGAGCCGACAAGATTTGATGGGGTTGAGTTACAATAGGAAATCAAAAAAATTCAGCACAAATTACGTAAATATTATGTTTAATAAATAGATCAGGAAATTGATTAATCATATTTTTACTTCATTAAACGACAAGATAGGTTAAAAGATTTGGCGATAAATTTCAATAAAAAAAATGTGGATCCCATAAATTTCTATTGTCTCAATGATAACATTTTCCCAAAAAGAATAGATCTTTCGAATTGTCTTGTAAATAATAAGGAAATGCACTTTTCTGATCTTGGATTGACTGAGAAATATTTTCCTTTGATAAAAAATTTGTTGCAGTCAGTGAAGAGCAGGGCAGTCAAATAACTATTCTTATGTAATAATCAATTAGACGAAAAATCACTATTGTATTTGATTGAGGGATTTCCCATGGCATTAAAAGAGATTAACTTGGGAAACAATGTTTTGGGCAAAAGAGGAGCAAGTATCATTGCTAATCACATATCAAAATTCTCAAATTTGAAAACTCTAAATCTACAAAATAATCTATTAGGGGATAAAGGAGGGTCTATATTGCTTAGCAACATACAAAAAAACATGACTATTAAAAGGCTAAATTTGTCTGAAAATTAAATTACTGACTCTTGTTCGACTGTGTTTTATTAGTTTTTATTGTAGAATAGCTTTATTGAAAATTTGGTGTTGAATTGGAATCAATTGGGTCCAATAACAGGAACCATGATAGCAAAAGGTTTACAACAAAATAGGTCAGTAAAGGTTTTAGATCTTAGTTACAATCATTTAGGATAGAATGAAAGAAGTAATTGCATCCAATGTTGGTGTGAAGCAATAAACAACCCACAATTCTCTTTAGTCCATTTGGATATTTCATACAACCAATTGAGTGAGAAATAGTTAAGGTAATTCAGCCAAGCTTTGTTAAAAAATAACGGTTTGTATGGGTTGCATATTGAAGGCAATAAGTGTTCTGCAAAGGTGGATCCTTATGGGTTCATCCAATTTACTAATGATAAAGAAGAATTTAAAGTAGTATAATAAAAAAAAAATGTTATAGATGGAGTAAACTACATTCCAATGTAAGGGGATAGTGTGTTTGGGAATGATTGTTGTTGGATTTGCTAAGGGTGGATGGAGTATCGATTTCAATACAATCCAGAAAATGATAGCAATCAGGATCCAATCTTTATCCATCTTGATTTCCTAGAGTATTATTATTTTTAACTATTAGTTATTAGCCAATCCCAATGACCAGTAGTTACGAATTGAGACAATAATTGATTGAAGCATCTAAAAGAAAAAGTAGTTACTAAGATCTTACGACTGGTGAAATTATACATCAACTGAAATAATTGGTCAACAATGAAAAAAGGATCACCCTAGCAGCAATAACAGAAGCTTACACTGAGGAAACTAGTAAAAAGAGCGAAGAAATTACTAAACAAATGATATAAGAATTAAGTAGGTTTTACTATACTACTTATTAAATGTGTCCTCCGAAGAAGAAAATATTGTATTTCTTTTCCAATCCTATTCGAGAAGAATATTTTGTTGATCCTAGAGTTATGACTATGCCAGCTCCTTTGGACAATTTAATACTCCAAGGCAAAGACCCTAAGCACTCTATTCACATATTCCAAGATGGAACTAAATTGGCTTTTAAGAAAATCCAATATGTTAATTACATATACTCACGACAGGAATATATAATTGATGACAAAGATAACTATAAACCTCTGATTAAGGTATTCCCTAGGTCATCATAGAAGAAATATGTTTTGAGGAGATTTGCCAATTTTTTAGTCAGAAAATAGGCTCATCTCATTAAGTGGAATAAGGAAGATTCCATTTTCAGACCATATATTGGAGATACTGAGGAATTGTTAAATGACTGTTTTGAATATGATTGGAGTAGTAGTAAAATTAGTAGATTTGTTAAGAGTGATTACGAAAAATTGAAATTAAGGGAATATTTCAGATCTAATTATCAGCTTTTGAAGGATGTCTACAAATTTTATTCTAGTTTAGGTTATTAGCCACCCAACTTTGATGTGTTTTGTATATAGATCCCTTAATACATGAAACTAGTTAATAAATTAGCCATTATTGATGGGGATTTGTTAAAATAGTAGGATGTTGAAATCGATATTGTTTCATTAAAGAATAATACAGATCCAAAGTTTATTTATAATCCTGATAAAGCCTTAGTTAGATATCAGTTTTTGGAAATGTTCTTTAGGATTGCTAATGACAAATATATTAGAAATGACATTTACAAGAGTTATGCTGATGCTCTCTTTAGGTTACTGAAGGAATTCAAAGAGTAATATGAATACTTTGACACTATTTAAGAATGGAGAACTCAAAGATTGTGGTCAAGGGAATGCGATCATCTATTATAAATTAAAATGCCATTTGTAAAGAAGCTTTATGATTATGTCACTGATATTGCAAATAGAAAGTGGTATTTCAAATTAAAATGGATTTCAATCAGAGAATTCAAGGAATTTTGCAGATAATTCAATCTTCATGAATATTTATCAGAGAAACAATAGGTCATCATCTACAATTTCTCAATGATGACTCAAGTGGATGAATTGACATTAGATAGAAATATAAGAATGACTTTTATTGAGTTCGTTGAAGCATTGGGACGTATAGCCGAGAGGATCAGTGCTGCTCCTATCACTGATGTAGCTGACAACTATACTCTATTATAGAGATAATTGTTGCCATTGCATATCAAGCTAGAAACCCTATTGACATATTTATATTACTAAATGAAGCAAAAAGATATAGAATATGAGCAGTTTTGTGATTTATTTGTATATTTCAAGCCAGATCATTCGCCCAAGATTAGCATGCCAAAAGTAGATAAAACTAAGAAACCTGAGAAAGATCACGACTATCACAACGTAATTTCTTCATTCACACTTTATAATGCAGTCTCGTATTTAAGTACATTATTCCATTAGTTTAAGATTAGAATAAACTGCCCTACTTGAATCCAAAATATAAACAATTTCTAAAGCAAAATGTAATACAAACTGCTCCCATTCGCCCTTTTCAACATATTTTTTAAAGCGATAGAATACGAAAACCAAGAGCGATGCCAGATCCTTATATTTTGGAATAAAGATCAAATTAACTACAGTAGAACAAACAATAAAGTCCAAATATGTAAACAACTCTCTCTTAAAATGCATGATTATATTTTATTTTATATAAACATCCCTCAAAAGACGAAATAAATTTAAAACAAAAACACATGTATATGTTGTAATACTTTAAACTCAATTCAAATGTGCACATTATCTCTATTTAAACTCTTTGCATACTTTTTCAATTATTCCTTAATGAATTCTTTATTTACACTATTTGGAATCTGTGGTAAATGTTTCCTGATTTCATCATATTTCTAAATTAATTCAAGTGTTGTATCATAATTTGTTTATACTAAAATGTACGCAATTGATTTTAGATTTTTAAGAGAGTAGAATAAATCTCCGAAGTATCCCTCCAATTCTTCTGGATCTTCTAATTATTTGACACTGCTCTCAATGTTGTGATTCAATTGACGCAATTAAGAATTTTCATCTGAATATCTCTCTAATGCAGAGGATGGAACATTCATTAGGATATATATGGGTTATTGTTTTAATCCATTTTTTTCTAATTCTTTCAGTAAATTGTATTCTTAGTAATAGTAATAACGAATGTCCTTTTGAAATGATATGACCAACAATTAATCAATCTATTTAATGGTAGCCAATTTAAGTGGATTGGATGTTGTTTAAATAACCTATCCAATCTCCTAAGATTTTTAAAGATGTTAATCAATGAAAATAGATGCTGGACCATATTAAGTAATGATTATGGCTTAACTTTGACTTAATATGGAATTTGGTAATTTTATTTCAAGAAATGAGAAACTGATTACTTCTTAATCTTCTTATTAATCCTGTTATAACCCTTAAAATTCTTACATAAAATTAATGTAATTTTATAAAACTAAATCTCATTTTAGAAAATGAATTTACATAGAAATCTATCAAATGAAACAACAATTTGATTAATCAGATGAACTACATACAAAATTGATGGCATTGTCTAATTTACAACCTTAAAAAACTGAAAAACTAATTGGGGAAGTTGAGAAACCAAACAATATCCCTCCCCTTCCTGATGGATTCAAAGTAAACCTCTCTTTAATTTTATTCTAAGGTAGAACCACCACAATTTGATACAAGTAAACGTTTGAATCAAGGACCAAAGTCATGGGATTTACCATAAGAATTATATAAAAAGCATTTACCAAAATACAATATTGGTACAATTGTTAGAATTTAAGAATTATTAAATGCTGGAGATAGGTATCAATTCTTTATAAATGAATAAGTTATATCGGCTAAACAGTAACTATAGCTGGCTGGGCTAAAACCGTAAGAGCCTAAAAGAATTTATGTTTTGTGGAATTGAATGATGGAACTAGTTTTGCAGGGTTACAAATAGTAATTTCTGAAAAAATAAAGAACTTTGCAGATATAATTAAGACTAATGTGGGGTTCTCCTTAAAGATGACCGGAAGTGTTGTTTAAAGTCCTGCGAAGGGTTAGTTGATTGAAATGTTAGTGGACGATAACTTAAAACATGAAGTTATAATAGTTGGATGTGCTGATCCCCAAGAATATCCAATGGCTAAAGGAACTCAAAAACCTGAGACTTTAAGATAGAAGGCTCATTTGAGACCAAGAAGCAACTTTTTTGGTGCTGTTACTCGTATAAGAAATAACTTGGCTTATGCAACACATGTCTTTTTTTAAAATAATGGATGCCTATATATACATACACCAGTTATAACTGGTAGTGATTGCGAAGGAGCTGGAGATATGTTTAAAGTTACTACAATATTTGACAACGATTTATAGAAGGTTCCATAACTCAATGGTAAAGTGGATGTAACACAAGATTTCTTTAAAAAAGAAACCAAACTTACGGTTTCTGGCTAATTATAAGTGGAGGTATTTTGTTTCATTCATATCATCTAGAATTTTTGTGTTAGTATGTCAAATGTATATACTTTTGGACCTACTTTCAGAGCTGAAAAGGCTCATACTCATAGACATCTGGCTGAATTTTGGATGATCGAACCAGAGTTTGCTTTTGCTGATTTATTTGATAATATGGAAGCAGCCGAAGGATATGTCAAGTTTTGTATAAATTATATACTCGCAAATAACTATGATGATTTGGAATTCCTAAATAAGAGAGTTAAACAAGGTCTAATTGATTATTTAAAAGATATTGTTAGCAAAGAGTTCATTAAATGTTCCTACACTTAAGGAATTGAAATTCTATTGAATGCTTAATAGGCAGGAGCCAAATTTGAAAACAGTAAAATTGAATGGGGTATGGATTTAAATAGCGAACATGAGAGGTTCCTGGCTGAAAAGGTATTTTAAAGGCCAGTGTTCATTTATGATTACCCAAAGGAAATTAAAGCTTTCTATATGAAAGTAGCAGAAGATGGAAAATGTGTAAGAGCCATGGATATGCTTGTACCACAAGTAGGAGAGTTAATTGGAGGGTCTCAAAGAGAAGAAAGATATGATGTTTTGGCTTAAAGAATAACAGAATGTGGTTTGAAATTGGAGGTTTATAGACCTTATTTAGATTTAAGAAGGTTTATAATAATAAATACTATTTAGATACGGTACAGTACCTCATAGTGGGTTTGGCCTAGGATTTGAAAGACTTGTAATGATGATTACAGGTGTAGAGAACATTAGAGATGTTATACCGTTTCCAAGATATCATGGTAGTGCCGACTGGTGAGTTAAGAGTTTTAGAAAATTCATAATGCCCTTATAAAGAGTCGATGATCGTCTATGACTTGGATTTGATTTTTTATAAAATAGATAGATAAATACAAAATTTATAATGGTCAACTTTTTAGTTTGATTAAATCAAACATATTGGGTAGGTGAAGCATTTTAGTACTCACACTTTCAAATTGTTTATCTTCTTCATCAGAAATGCATAGTGATGAGATTTATCTATAGAATTCTCGCTTAATAGAGGATCTCTCCTGTTCAGTTTGAACTTCTTGTATACCTTCCAAATTTTGAGGTTAATGAATTACTATTTTGGTTTAAGTTTGATCTTGACAGGTTGACTCTTTTTGAGGTTGCTAAAATTGTTGTTGTAGGTTCATTTTTTTAATCTAGAACGATATGAATGGAGATTAAATACCCAATCGTATTAAAAATCTTTTTCGTTAACATTGAGTTACTGAAGTAAATTTCTAAAGAGTTTCTTTAGGAATTCGTAATCACCCAGAGGGTATTATTAGACATTGGTCATTCTGATAAATTAAAAATACTGCAGTATTTCAATAGGCATATCTTTACAGTATTTTTCTGGAATCATTCTCAATTTTTGCTCTTCCATTTTTTTGATTTTGGATCCGTGTTCTTTGATCTTAAACAAGTCTCCCTTTTTGAGGAAATACATTAATATGAACCCTAGGGATTCTAGATCATCTTTGGGGGATGCAGCTATTTATATAGATGGAGGGATATACTTAAACCTAAATGCTGATTTAAACTGGAGTATTTGGTTAATTTGTTGAGATTAGAAAATTTGGAAGGATAGCCGATGAATTTACCATTTTTGTGTTTGTATTTGGTAGAATGTTAGAAATCAATCAGTACCAAATCATGTTTGCCAAGTTGTGTTAATATTTTTTTTGGCCTGAGATTGCAATGAACAATAGATTGACTATGGAGCTTTTCGAGAATGGTTAACTAGATATGGGATTTCAATTTACAGTTTGAATGGCAATCATACAAATGGTTGGTAAGGTGAATTCATGATTAACAAATTAGAAGCAAAGTTTAAGACTTGGTCCATACTTGTCGAATACTTAGTAGTAGTAATTGGTATTCTGAAGACGAACATCTCCTGAGGTTTGCAGAGTCGGCATATAAGGAACTGAAAAATGATAAGTTAAAAACTCACCATTAGCCAGCTTTTTCAGGAGTTTTTCTTCCTCTTGTAAACTGTCTATGTTTGTGTTTGCCTATCAGGTAAATGAACTAACAATAAAATTTAGAATATTGATTACATTACCAATCTGACGATGAAGTAATTACCTGGCTATGCTTGGTTGATGGCTGTGAATATAATGAAATAAATATAAATGAGTTACCCAAATACCAGTTATGTTTTTTGCCTCTGTAAATGCAGGTTTTTAATACATAGTGTTATCCAATGATGATCAGATTCTACTTCTGATAGCTGTCCTTCGATTTGGTTTCACTCATTATTAATAAATTATAATGAAAAGTCTGTAGGATATTCATAAAAAGAATCAACAATAAAGAGCGACCTTCACTCTCATGAACCACACCAACAATCGCACATAAATGGGATGGTTCACTCCTCAGCCCTCGAATGATTTACAATCTCCTTTCGGAAACACTCTTAGTTAATTCTCTCAATAAGGTTCAGAGCATAACATTATCCATAACACTCGTGGGAATATGCACTCTTGGAGTTCAAATTTGGAGAGACAAATCTAATCTAGAGAAATCGCAAGGTAAGTGAGGAAACAGAATGCTCAATAATCAGCTAGACAGGAGAAACATTTCTTTGGAGCAATCAATGGCATCCCAAAAATCAATTCACCCAAAACTCAAGCTAATCAAACAACCACTATGTTTCAACCCAATTTAATTAGGGTTGATCCTAAAATAAAAAGATAACTTAGTGAAATGAGTAAAAGAAACTTCCTTCATTTCCTCTTAGTCTAAAAAGTGGGACATGTAAATTCTGTTTATATAAGTAGAAAGATGAAAAATAATTCTATGAGTATTTAAAAAAGACTTATAATTTCGAACCTCCTCAACCTTTTGAGGAACAATAAATAAAAGTCTCTAAGAAGGGCATCAAATATCTATTCACTAAAGAGGATGATGATGAAACAATCAAAAAAACAAGCCAACAAATTTTGAGAATGCACAAATTGCATCAAAATAGAGAAATCCCACTAGACAGATATGTCTAAGACACTTACGAATAACAATTGAGAAGATTCCCCAAGGTAAGAGAGAAACTCGAATAATCTAAAAAAAGTAATCTAGAATAATGATGATCTTAATTTTAACATATCATATTGATCTTAACTCATTTTCCAATTCTTTTCAATTTGATGAATTTCTCATTTTGAATTGTATACACAAATTTAAAAGTCCAAACTTGTTTTTCACCTACTGAATTCACCTCAAAATTCATCAGCAAATAAACCAATAAACACTTTAATTCCATCAAAGCCATGTGTTAACCTATGCAATTTCTTTTTCCAATTGAAAATGGCAAGAAGACAAATGGATCAATACCTTATTGATTCCATCTATCAGGATTGAAAGTGAAAGGATCTTTGTAATTCTTAGAATCATAGTTATTTGGGAACAAACATAATGATACTTCTGAGTTCTTCTTCAAAAAGTAATCCCCAACCTTATGATCCTACTTCACTTCCCTCTCGATAAAATATGGAACTGGAGTATACATTCTCATACACTCATTGATGAAATTGGTGATTTAATTGGATACATTAATGTTATCGCTGTTTAACTGCTCATAAGTAGAATATTGCTTTTGAACTTCCTCTCTCAATTTTATTTACCATTCAGGATGGATAGACAAAGCATAACAGCATGCTCCAAATAGATTACTAGTAGTATCTATACCTGCAAAGATTAACATTATATATTGTTGAATTGCATGTTCTTCAGTTAATTTCGGATTTTGTTCTAAATTATAAAATCATTTTATACATATGGTATTAATATAGGCTGTTAAAAAGTCTGCTGGCTTATTTTCCATCGATTATCTTTCCTTTATTGAATCACTCAATATGTCCTTGACCTTTTGAAGTCTTGCTAGAAGTCTCTATTCAACCTTTGAAATGGTCCAATTTGGATAATCCTTTGTCCCAAAAATGAAAGTTCTTGACATACTTCTAATCGGAGCTTCTCTGTACTGTGAGATGATGCCCACCATCACATCAACCAATTCAGATAAGAATGTCTTCCCATTCAGATCCTTGAAACTCTGACTAAAAAAGGACTGAGTAATCACTTCTCCAACTATATTACCGGATATGTTTATTATATCAATAGGTTCATCTTCTGGTACTTTTGAAAACTTCTCCTCACATAATCTTTTTATTAATGGTATTCTTGCTCTTAGCTATTCAAATTCGAAAGATTTTGCAAGCACATTTCTAGCTAATCTCCAATCTTCTCCATCTTGGAATGCCAAACCTAAATCATCTCAAAAATCATACCTTTGTATAGCATTTTTTCACCAAACAATACCTTTGATGTCTTTTTGTAAAGATCTTAATTATTGAGAATGAATTTAATATGCTCTGTTTTAAAAAATACATGCGTCAAACCCAAAAATGTATTGCTCACTACAATCTCAACCCCAGGATGCTATTACGGAATCATCTTTTCGAAATGTAGTAAATCATTGTGTTTCTTGATACCTCTACTAAATTCGATTATTCTTCCCAACAAAGGAAAATACATCAAATGCATTTTCTTTCCATACTTAATCTTCATTATCAACATTAGGAATAAAGGTTTCAAAATTAGCAATACCAGGAGGAGAACTAAGTACAATATTATTTCCAGGATTGTAAACTAAAACATATTTAATGAATCTTTTTAGTTTTATTTCTTTGCTCATAAAGCATTTATTTTTATTGAATATTCCATAATTATCATCATAATTTATTGGATTATTATCAAACAATTTATTAGGTTCAATTTAAGAATTTACGAATCCAAAAATGACGTGTACCATTGAATTATTATTTATTCAATGTGCTGCTTAAATAATTTATTATGGAGAGTATGAAATAAGCTAAAGAATAATTGTAGGATAAAGAATTGAATAATAACCGAACCATGAGATCAATAAGCGATAAAATCGATGACTTTTTCGGTTGGCAACATAATTATAAATAAGACAGTTTAGTAAGAGGAATTATTCATGGGTGTTATCATGGGTTGTGGGGTGTATTAAAATATATGGCATCAAATACAGTGGGATCTTAAAGAGAGTTTAAAAGAGCAAAAGATTAATTTTAAAGGAATGGAAGAGCTAGAGAATGAAAACTAAATATTTATTTCTATTATAAATATTGAATAATTAAATAAATTAAAAAATTAATAGATATCAGTTTCTTCTTTTCTTTTTTTGATCCTCATATTACTTGGGTAATTTTTTGAATGCTATATATCCCAAAAATAAAATAAAAGAAACAAACAAAAAGAACATAATGTATTGTAATGATTTTACTGATTTTAAGGAAAATCCAAATACTTTAGGTTCTAAATCAAAATTTCTTTTGAGAGTTGAATCATCATCCTCCTCGTCCTTGGAATCCATGGCTTTTTCGAAATCCTGTATGTATTGCCATATTTTTTCTTCTGCTTATGTAATATGCATATCCACCTTATCATTGCTATAATCTTCTAATGACATGTTATCATAGATGAATCTGTAATCATCAAATTTGAATTCTTTAGACTAAATTTAAGAAAAGATCTTAGATATTAGAATTATTTTACCTTAACACTATCATCATATGTAATACTCTTTTGACATTAACTGACATATGAAGTATAAATTTTCTTCCACACAATGCTTTACTCTTGTTTAGTTTAATGACTATATTGATTAATGTGAAATACCTCTCAATAACTTTCATTAACTCAGACTTGTATCTTGATAGTTACATTCTAGCCAGAACTATACAAGAATAATTCAATGTCTTTAATAAAGTTTATAGTGTATCTCTTTCTTTGATGATTTCTTCCTTGGTTCTTGATTTTGATTTGCCTTCAGCCACATTGCTGGCATTGATTTCATCCTTAAGATTTTCAGATTCCTACTAAGTGGTCTCCTTTTATTTGAGGTCTTCTTAAGCTTAAGCAATGACTAAACAAGCAATGAGAATAAGAACTAATAACTTCATCACACTTGTATAAATATAAATTAATAAATTTGATGAGCAATTAGAAAATTGATAACAGATAGTTAATAATACACATAGACTAATTATTTGTATTTAAATTATCAAAGTCTTTATAGTTAATCAACCAACATTATTGATTTTAATGTCTATATAACATTAATAATTATTTTTAACACCGTTAATGTCACATAATTTCGATGATGGAAGTGTTAACAACCTTTTAAAAGAGATAGACGATCTAATTAATAGGATGGGTGACCAGAATGAGAGTCACAAAAGTGATAATTCTTTTAAGGATTAATTAAGATAGACAGGCCGATTTGTGTTAGAGAATGAATAGCCATGTGATGTTCCTAAGAAATTCAGCACATCGATCCCTAAAAAATAAAATAATTCCTAATAGAAGAGAGTTACGATTGTGGCAGAGAAGAAATCATCGTCGTCCTCTTCTTCTTCCTCTGATGAAGAGTATCAAGTTAATAAGAAAAAATTTAAAAAAGATAAATAAAAGCAACAGTCTAAATATAGTCCATGTAAGGCAAAATAGGCTGGATCGTAATGCTCTTACAGATCCAAAGCAAAATCAAATCTTAAATGCGAAACTCAATCTTAATTGTCACAAGTAAAAACTTAACAAAATTAATTACTTGTGCAGCCAGTCAAAGATGTATTTTGCTTAATTTGCGAAGAATTTATTCCCATTGATATAGTTAATATTCATATGGCAGATTGCTAGTAAATTACTAATAGTGGCAATGAAAATCAAATGTTGAAACTAAAATTGGAAAACTATAAAAAGCTTTTGAGTTTAAGATTCGAGGCAGCCTTTGATGAAAATGTTAAACAATTGATTGAACTATTATATAACTGCACTTAATAAATCCTTGATGTATCTGATCAATATTAGCTTTCTCAAACTATTGAAGATTTATGTATTTTGAAGACCCAATTAAACTAAAATAGTAATTATGAATTATATACTAAGTCTAGCCAAAGCTTATCATGTTTTGACAGTGGCCTAAAAAATTTAGGAAATTGCTAATAGGAAAATGCAAGTTTTGATTTCAGAGTAGGAGAAGCATTCTGAAATCAGGGAACCATCAACAATATCATATTAGAATAAAATTAATATATAAAAATAAGAATAATTAGTTGAGTATGATATTAATCATTATTTTATAGTCGACAGACAATTATTAGTTATGCTACTAACACTACTTCTAGGAAAAGATTGTTTGAATCACCATCATTTTAACATATGCCTAAATAACTAGTCAAAATGTCCAGTATTAATGCAAAACCTATCTCACAAGTTTAGAACTAAAACAAATCACCAGTAAAATAAGAATAAATGAATTAAAAAACTGGTATTGAGTTTGGCAATAACTATGACTCTTCCAAAAAGAGATCTTACATCTAGTTATCTAATTCAAAGAACCTATCTTAAGTTCACACCATATAAAATCATTAAGAGAACAATAGAGAATCTGAACCTACCGTTATCTCTAAAATCTAATCATACATTTCAAATGTGAAAGGCAAGTTCTCAAATGAAAATGAATAAATTAAGAAGAAGTTCTTCCTCTAAGCATGCAAATGCAAAGATAAGTTCCCTGTAAACCATCCTGCTTAAAATGTTCTAATTTCTGAAATGTTTAATCAAAGTTAAAGATAATAAATTCCAGAAAATGAATGGGAAGTCTGGATTTATAATGTCCTTTAAAATGCTTGAATTTAACTATATTAATTTTACAACATACATCATTATTATAATATATACTGAATGCTTATATAATACATATTAAATCATGATTTATCACTTTATAATTACTCTACTTTCAAGACAATGGTATGGTATAGGTACTAATTTAATGACACAATTGATTGGAATATCGATATTGGGTATTTCACTTATCTAATTACAATGATAATAAGCATATAAACATCTAATAATATTAATACACTCTATACTTCAAAACAGCAACATGTGCTATAATCAGAACAGGTTCTCTGGATCTTTCGATTTCATAGATTATAGGTTCTACTCTATGTATTACATCTAAGAATGATTCACCACGAGGATATTTAAATTCAAGGGGATTAGCTTTCCTTTCTTTGATCTATTTTGGATATTTAGCTGCTATTTCTTTAACTGTCAAACCATCGCATATGCCGTAATCAATCTCATCTAAATTTTTTGTTTTTAATGCTTTTATTCCTAATTTTTCTCCAACTATTTCAGCTGTTTAGATTCCTCTTTTCATTTGAGATGAAAAAAATGTTATCTATTGATGTTTTAAGATCTACTTACATTTTTATTTCCTTTTAGTTCTTCAATAAAATAATCACCTAATTATTGACTATGTTATCTTCCAGTTGCAGATAACTCTGGATCTCCCCCTATCTTATCAAGTAAATGGTATTCTGTCTAGCATGATCTTACCAAATATATTTATCTATTGTTTGCGTGTAAATTCAAAAGAAACGACACTATTTTAGAACACAAATAACCCTCCAACATATGTACTTTCACCAGTTTGCCAATATTTATTAGTTTGATGTATGATAGGTTTTCAATGTTTTCGAGACTTTGATAATCTTTAGCTAACACATTGATGTGATTTGTAAATGATTCAATTGTTTTATCTTAAAATCTACTTAATTTTGATTCATTAAAATTATTAAGAATTACTTGAGGATCATCACAAATAGATTCTACCCAGAATGTTTGATATTCTAATTTGAGTGTCTCTTTAAAAAGCGATTTCAATTTTTGTCTGTCAGCCTTAGTACTCGTTAAACCATTATATAATGCTATATCTCCATCATTTTATAAGAATTGCACTAGTTGTTGGGCAGCTATTTAAGATAGTTGTTGTCTGACTTCTACAAACTAAGTTTAAGACCTCACTTACTTACTGATTAGCTGGATCTATTTCTAGCTCATAATCTATTTTTTGATCAAATCCATCATTATTTTGTTATGCTCCTTTTATTGAAAAGATTTCGCTTTTATATCCAATCCAATTCAAGTATCTATTTAATTTGTAAGATATATGTGTTTTCCCCCTAGCTGGCAATCCAACCAATACCAAAATCAATTTATATTGCGTCTTCTTATATTGCTGCATAATTAATGTAATAATAATAGTGAATAATAATTAATTGTTATAGATAATTTCTTATAATACTAATGATAATTTGTTATTGGGTGTTTATGTACTATATAATTTATGTATACGATATCATTATTGCTTTTTGCCTTGAGCCTTCTTTTTATCTCCACCCTATTATGGTTTTCCTTTTTATTAAGGTTATGCTTATTCCTTTTATTCCTTGGGTTGCTACTTCTTTTAATCCTTCTTCTCTTCCTTAATATCAACTTCTGCATCTTCCTTCAATTTCTTGATTCTAAGCATACCTTGCTTAGCAGATAATCCAGCTGGAGTACTAATGATAATTATTTTTTATACTTCACTTCCCAAGCTCCTCCTGCAATCTATAATCCAGTTTGAGTGCATCTCCATATGCCAATGGCCTGTCTCTTTAAAGAATGCTAAATAATATTGTGACACATTAATACAGCTCCAGTGAAGGTGTTGAAATATCTTTGATGTTATGAGATTTCAAATTTCTTGATGATCTTTCTCAATGATGCACCATACCTAGTACCATACTTTCCTGTGATTCCCACCTTCTTGGTCTTTTTAGTCATTATTTATAATAATTTTAAAAATCTTTAATTTATTTATCAAATATTAAGAACCAAGAAAATAATGCCATTGATTGAAATAAAGAATGTAATTTTATAACTGTGTTCATAAATTAATCTTTTTTCCATGTGTTTTCGATCTTTCAAATTTTTGCAATCTAACAAATGCGTATTTACTTGGAACCATATGTTTTCTCAATAATCTACATTTCTTTTAGCATCTAAGAAGGCCTTCTATGACCTTATTATGATTGCCATCTGGAAAATAGTTCCCATACAATATCAACTTGTCCAATCCATCCATAATTTGAAACGGCTCTTAATTCACATCAACCTCATAACCTGAAGACTGTTTATTAAAATTCTAGGTGTAAACAATTGATGAATTTCTTTTAACAGATTCCCTCCTTTTAATAACAGCATTGTTATTAACCATAGCACTATCTGGAAAGAAGTAACTCTTTTTTTATTTCTATCCGTATCTAAGAATTTCTGCTGGACGTGCCTTTGGAGACTCTGCTGGTTGCACTGGCGATAAAACCAATGGCCGCAACTTAACCGTTGTTCTCTTGTTATCATTAGGGTAGCAGTAAGACAAAGTAAGCACTTGATCACTTTTCTTCTCATATTTTATGCTATCGTCTCCTGATTCAATAGATTCAGAAATTGAACCCACTTATTATATGCCACTCGCAACTGGCTAGCTTATCTCAATCTCATTCGAAGTTCTAATGTGTCTTGTACTTTAATAGATGCTATCCTATCTAAACACCTTTAAGCGATCTCCTTTCCTTTTAAAATGCGACCTGTCCTAATAGGTTTCCTTCACGAACTCTTATTTTATCACTCTCTCTAAGTCTGGCTTATAGTGAATGTAAGGACATTTCCAAATGCAGTGAGCTTCCTGACAGCAATAGCACTCTAAAGGAGAAGATTGATATTGGAAGAGAATAGAATCTTTCAATTGATGGAACTGCTAAAAGTCATTATTATAGGAATTGAGAATCTTGAGAAATTGCACTCTAGATAAGTAGTATATTTGACTAAAATCACAGCTGATGGCAGTTCCTTGTCTTCTCTTGTTTGTCAGGAATTCTATTTCCCCAAAACATTGCCCAGTTGTAAATCGCCTTAATATTTTGCCAGAATTATCGTCAATCAGATTTACCTCTCCTTTCCAAACTATATAGATGCAACACTCATCCAATTGATTCTATTAATAAATTATTTCTCTGGGAGTGTAGGATTAAAGATTTAATTCGCATGCTATTTAAGGCAAGATTTCTTCAGAGAAATTTTTATTGAAAAAGGGAATGCATTGCATCACTCTAAACTAAACATCCTATATGAGTTCTTGCTTTAAATTTGAAGGCAATTTATCAATAATGCCGCTGATTTCATTTTTGTATAGTTTCTCTTATTTGTGGAAATGGTATTTTAAATAATTACGTATTCTACCTTATAATTATTCTTCCACTTAATTGTTATTCATGTACTAATTGATCAACAATAGAGTCCTTTTATACTGTTGCTTTTGAGCATCCATGTTAGTAAAAATGGACCCTATTTGGTTCATGGAAAATGCGAAAATACCACTTGAAAATATCATAAGTATGATGGCACACAACACTTCGTATATATTTTTACCAGAAATGTCTCCGTATCCAACTGTCACCATTGTAGTTGTAGCCCAATAGAATGAGTAAACATACATTTGTAAGGTGTTGGAATTGTCGAATTATGGATCTTAGGTCCAAGATATCTATTCTGATTGAGCACTCTTAACACCAACGTAATGCCAAACACAAGCCATAAAGTGAGCAAAGTAGAATGTAATGATGATTAGTTGAATTAGATTTAAAACTTCAGTTAATTGAGTGGATTCCACAAAGGTTTCCTCATACTTATTGAGGTATTTCTTGAGTTTAATAAAATTCAATCCAAATTACACTAAAACGATTACTTCCTAAAAGGAGTAAGTATTAATTCCAATATCACTAATAACAAATATTAAAGTTATGAAATAAATGACATCTTCGTATAATTCATTTTTTATATAAGATTTAATTATGTGAACTCTTTTTTTGATTAATTTACCTTAATCAAATATCCCTCTATTAAATTTAATAGCTAAATCAGCTCCGAACAAGTATGTTAAAGAACTTTCAAAGGCCTCAATGCTTGAATTAGAGGATGGATTAAATGCTATTTTATAAGGAAGCCACCACAACAATATTGTCAACTAGATGGCTCTGCAGAATTCCCAAAAGATCATGAATTTGCTTGCTGGATTAAAGACTGGCAATTTCTTTGAAATTGTATTTTTAGGATTGTCGTCTTGTTGTTGTAATTATTTTGACTTTCTCCAATTTTTTTTTATTTTAGCAAAAAATTCTGGCAAATGCTCTGTTATTTGTTTGCTCTTGTGTTTAGGATATATGTATGCTCTTTTCTTAAGTTTCTCTATAAATGAGTTGACATGGTTATTAACGAGAAGCATCTTTAGCATTCCTGTACTTTTGTATACTCTGATTTTATCAATCTGATGATGAAATGTTTTTGAAGTAATCACATCTTTTCCTTAATTGTTTGAGTTGCTGGCGTTTCTGAATCGAATGTTTTGCAGAGAATCCATTTATGGGATTGAGTCATAATCAGAATTTTCTTTAAATGGAATGTCCTACATATCCATTTAAATTAATTGCGGTCTGAAAGTATCTGACATTCTAGATGAGCCTAATTTGAAAGACAAATAAAACCTGGAATTTTAAATTCATTATACAGGGTCTACTCCATATCATCAGTCATTTTAAATACGAATACAAATTTATATTGAATATATATATTTTAATAATTTTGGACACATATAATAAAAGAGAAAGAAATTACTAATGATCACGGATTCATAAAATTGTCACTCAATACTCTTTTCCTTGTAAAATCACCTAAAGTTTCAGTTACTAAAACTTTCCTAGTTTTGTTTTATTTTTTTGAAGCCAACAAAACAACCTCCAAATTATTTTACGGAAAATAAATCTAATAATTTTGAATTTTCTCAAAATTTTAAATTGTTAGCTTGATAAATTCTTATGCCAATTATTCTATTTAATTTAGCGATTGAATCTGAATTTGATGATTTGACAGTTAATTTTTATATTTTAATGATGGTAATTCTAATAGTTGAGGATTGCTTAATTTATTTTGACTTAATTGTTATTATTATTATTATTATTATTGTTGTTATTGTTATTATTATTATTATTCATTTAGAATATCAAGATTACTCCAAGGAAAAGATGGACTATCAAACGCCCTTTCCTCTTCAACATGCAATAATTACCCAAAATTTTTCAGATTAATTATTCTAGTTTTGTGTTATCTTGAAGGACTTCTTTCAGGTTAAACATCTTTAAAAGAAGACGAACCATTTAATCCAGAATGTTCATCTTCTATTAATTCGGAATTAGATTTCAAAGTTTGAAATTAACAAAACGCTTTCTTTTCTTTCGATCTCTTAAACTTTTGCCTGTTTGATACCTCCTCTTAAACTCTCTACTTTCTTATTAAGATCTCTAAATTCGGCTTATATTAACAAATGGAACAATCCAAAATGAAATGAGCTTCCGAACAACAATAACATGTCGAAATTTAATCTATTTTTCCAAACATATATTGATCTTTTAATTTATGAAATTACTCAAAATCATAATCAGAGTATTTTATTATCTTAAGAAACACTTCTCGCGATATCTTCAATACCTAACTCAAGTCTTTGCTTATGGCTGTAAATTACCTATTCTGTTAGGTTAAAAATTCAACTTCTCCAAAACTTTACCCTTTTGTTAGAGTCGCCACAATTTTACCTGATTGAGTCTCTACGATTAATACTTCCCCTTTCCAAACTGTGAAGAGACTACAATCATCTAATTGGCCTTATTGATAAATGATTTCTTTAGGAGTTAGAGATTAAAGTTGCAAAGATTAGGATATAAAGGGAATAACATTCTTAGAGAAATTAGATTTATAAAAGGAAATTTCCTACATGATTTTTGATTGAATATTTGTTTTTAAGTCGGCAAAAATGTTGGGTGGAAGTTTCTATAAAATTAAATCTAATTGTTCTTTAGATGTCTCTAATTTAATTTATTCTTAATATTACAAATAATTTCTGATTCTACTTTACACTTATTAATCCACTTAATTCTTTTGCATATAATCATTTATCAATAAGATTGCTCGCTTGTAATTCTATTTTTCAGCATCAATGTTATTGAAGATTTCGCCAATTTGATTGATAGCAAATGCAAACATGCCTGTTGAAAAAATCATAAGGATCGTTGCACACAAGATCTCATGGTTATTTTAAGCAGAAACATCACCATAACCCACAGTAACCATAGTTGCTGTAGCCCAATAGATTGAATACAAATAATAAGATCCAGAGTCTGATAGTTTAAATTAGGTTTGAGTAGTCCAAGATGAATCAAAACTCTTCAAACTTTCCACACCAATATAATACCATATGCAAGCCATAAAATGGGCGAAATAGAATAACGTAATTATGAGTTATACCAAGTCTGCAAATTGGGTGTAACTGGTTTTGGTGGCAAATGTTTCCTCGAACTTTTGTATTTTTCTTTTTAGTTTAATGAAATTCATTAAGAATTGGAGGAATACAAAAAGTTCATAAAAAATTGAAATATTGAGCATGATTTCGTAAATGATAAACAGTTAGGTTGTTATGTATATTGTGTCTTCGATTAGTTCGTTTAAAATGTAATGCTTGAGAATCTCGGCTCTATTCATTATAAATTCTCCTTCCTTTATGTATCCTTGATTCAATTTCAGCAAGACATCAAAAACAAAAATATAAATTAAAATAGTTTCGATAGTTTCAAAACTGTAATTCGGTTTGAATGCTACTTTAAAAGGGAGCCACCACATAAGGAACATGAGTTGCATTGCTCTAAATAAATTCCAGTATAGCATGAGTTGTCCAGTTGGATTAAGAGTGGACAAGGTCTACTATTGCTGAGATTTGGTAAGTATAATTTTTTGTTAATTGGAAATTCTTTTATTTTCGATATAATTTTCTTTGAGAAAGTTTTTCATTTTATTTGGTACTATTGTGGGTAATATGTAAGCTTGCTTTCTTAACCTATCAATAAATCTCCGAATTAAAGCTTCTTTGTAGAACATTTTTGATAACTTTGTACTTTTCTGGAGTTTTTGAGGCTCAATAGCATCCTTTTTGGTGTTAATCAAAGCCCATTCATTATTTTTATTGATCTGGTGATATCGAAAATATGTACTTTCTTAACGTGGATACTTCCACGAGGATTGAAAGGTGGACGTTGCAATTAGTGAATTTCAGCAGATGGGAATTAGACTGATCCAATTGACCCAGTATTACTTTTAATTGGAGCATTAGAAAAATCTGGTTTAATTTGTTAAGGTCTAAAAGAATCACTTGGTTTTGGAGAAACTTTTGAGAATAAGAGATAGAGTTTACATGAACAAAAATCGATAGAATCATAGGACTCACGATTGTCTTGCATAATTTGAAATGATTTATATATATAATAAATTGAAATTCAATATTGATTGTAATAAAGGAATAATTTGGTTTCTACTTGGGAGAAAATGTATATATAATAAGTGATTATGTATTCAAATTAATAATATATATATATGTATTAGATTTGAACTAAGTTATTTAGAGGTCTAATTAATTAAATATAAAAAATGACCGCTCCTTCCTCATTTACAATTTTGACTTTCGGAGGTTTCATTCTTTTCTCTATAGCTGGAATTGCAATCTCCAACAAGTAAGAATTAAAACTATGAAGTTAAATCTATCAAACTACTTTGAAGCTGCTTCTGACCATAGTGTTAGTCGTGAAGATTTATGAATTTTTCTCCAAAAGCAAAAATGAGAAACCAGTTATGATTAAGTCACCATAAAAGCAAATCAATTTTAGTGCATTCGAAAGGAATTAAGAGTTCATCAAATAGCCAGAATATCGTGGTATTTGATTATTGTAATCATTAAGTGCAATAATCGGAAATGATTAACACTCAAACAGAGTCTGTTGAAAGACAAGTCCCTAAAGAGAGAGAAAGAATCTTGAGTAAGGAGCAAAGAAAAAATAATATGAAAATGCGTAATATATTTGATCGTTATTATTGCAGATTTTATGTAAGACAGAGACAATGAGGAATGGCCTATGCAATTTAAAAATGGCACTTATAGACAGTATTATCCGGATGATACTCGATCATAATATAGTTTGGCTCAAACTTAGTCGTATTAATAAATTCAAACACTGGGTATGAGCACCTATAATAGTAAACAATAACATGGTACTCCAGATTATGAAATTCAATAGAAGAGTAAGAATTCAGAGGTGATCTTATCTAAACTCATAAAAAAAATGAGTGATGCTCATCAAAAGGCAGAAGAACTATTTATGAATTCATTTATTCCCACATTTGTTCGAGAATTTTAGGATCATCTCGTTAACGTGAATAGAATGATGAAGGAACATTTTCAACAGAAAATAATTGAAATTGATATCTTCTTTGCCAATAAACCCTATGATATTAATTCCAATAAACATGAGAAGTCTATTGGACTCAAAAGTGTCACTATGGAGGATGTGTTCTTTCTCAAGAATAAAATTAAAAGTAAATCAAGAGAACCGGTAAAAGCACCAGCTAATGTTGAGAAATTTGCAAAAGAGAAAGCAGAATTCATTAAGGAATGTGATCTCTTGGAATTGTTTTGCAATATTTTAGATGTGTCTCTCATCAACAGAAAAATAATTAATGATAAAAAACTATTCTTGACCAAATTAATCGATTTTTCAGAACACAATTGTAAACCAAAATATCTCTCTGATGGTTTGAATGAGAAAATAGTTAGCGATTATGAAGTAAGATCTTATTTATATGGAGTTACTCTTTACTGTCTTTATCAATGTTCTCTTAAAATGTATAAGATATGAAAAACAAAAATATAATAAGGAAAATAATGAACTAAATCTAAATGCATGGAAATTTATTGAAGTCAGCTTAATTGGACTTGAGAGTCTAGGAAACACTGAATCTGCACCTCACAATGTAGCCTCAAATTAGAATGAATCTTCAAATCAAACACAAAAATAAACTGAATAAATTAAGTAAAAATATATACATTTTTAAATTAGGAATCTAATTATCAATCAAAAATTAGAATAATATGTTTCTGAACCTTAATTTCATTATTACAGTGATTGCATAGTCAAGGCGTTAACTAAGGATAAGGAGATTAAGACATTCAAGTAGGAGTACGTACTGTATACTCCAAGAGTAATAAATTTGGTTATTGATCTTAGGATTAAAACTCATTGTTTTGTTTAATAAGCTATTATTTACTTCATTTGTTGAATGTTCCCAAATAGCATTGGTAATAATTGTAATAGATGGGAAATGGATTAAAAAATGATTAAATGCTTGATTAGAATGGCCAAGGATTTTTCATATTTAGTAGCAAATGTGTGATTTAATTATATAAATTATAATTTAAAAATATATATGAATCTAAGATACTGTTGAGGGGGTCGATAAAATCCTGTGTTTTCATAGATCCGCAGTCGTAATCAGATAGAATGAGATCTTAGCAAATTTGATTTATGTCGTAAGTTAATTACCTCAATTAATGATTGGATTTTGATTAGTTTAGCAAATAGATATTATTACAATATCTACTTAAGGTTTCAGAATAACTATCATATTAACATTACTGTAAATCTAATTTTGGGACAATTCCTAATTTTAGTTTGATCAAATAGGGATCAAGGTATTTGGTAACATGGGTGCTGCATAAGTATGGCATTTCTTATGGGATTACTTCCAATGAAATAATTTCACATTCTCAGAAGCATGTACCTTCCATTAATCGACTGCAGGATACAGGACTAATAGTATTATTGTAATAGATACATAAAATTTAATGTATACTCTTTTCATACAACATCTCCTTTATTCCATCAAGAAGTAATATATCATTATTGCTTGTTTGATTCAAACTATTTCGACCATCTTATTTTCAGGAAACCTTTCTACATATATTGGTCTGTCCCTTATAACCATTTAGTTTAGCTATCAATTAGACTCTAAAATTTTGCATCCAGGTAATCATAAGAACTTTCATCACTATTATATATTAATGTTATAGGATTACCTGTCTACATTCTTTATGTAATCTTATTAATCTATCTATCGATATCCTAATTATTTGAATTATCTTAATAATAGTATATTTGGCAATTAATGAACTGGACGCTTAATGGTTGCTAGCAATCTAGATTTTGGCTCTCTCTTGTTGTGTTACTATTCTGTCCTTGATTGTATAATTAGGATATTACTAAGTCCCTTTTGGGATTCAGATCAAAATCAGTGATACTAATAGTTGTTAAATCAAAATATATAAGTAGAGAGACTTTAGTCTAATGATATCGTTTATAATAATTAGTGTTCATTATCGCTTCAATTTCATTTTTCATATTACCATATTAATTAAAACAATTTACATGGAAAAATTCCCTTAATTATGTAAATTATTCGTTTATAAGAGATCTCTCGATCTTCTCACCTATAATTAGGAGGATATATCCCAAACACTGTGTCAATTCCAATAATCTTTTTTCAAGAATCAAACAGCGTAGACCTAGATAAATGAATTAGTCTCTACCACATTAAATAAGAATTCCAACTCTCGAACAAGATAATCCCTATTCTTAAGAATAGAGCGATAAAAATATCAAAAGTTACCTCTAGCCATTAAGGAATGCAGTCGCTAAAATCACAGAATAGAGATAAGAACAATAATACAGACGTAAATCAACTTATGGATAGCTATTTGGGGAAATGACCAAAAAAGAAATGGGCAATCTTCCCACCCTCGTTGAATAACATAAATAATTTAACAAAAAGGAACTAGCCTTAACCAGTTTCGCATTGATGCTAGAGAGAAAACAAAGAAAAAAAACAACCAGAAAATTATCCAAAAGACTGTCCAAACAAGAATCGATTATTGGTATTAACTCTATCTAATATATTAGAATTTGACAATATGGAAAGACCTCCCTCCTGTATCACGCCTCCTAAAATAGTTCAAACACCAAAACCTCAGTTAAAATCAAAAAATAAGTTGAAAAAGGAAATATATTTAAAAGACCAAGATTTCAAATTTGGGCATTTTCTAACAGGTAGATTGTAACAGAGTAAGAAATTACAACCAGAACTCAATCATAAGATTCGATACCATTGTCAAACACAATCCTGTGCCTCTCTACCTAATGGACAACTTAGTTCTTTTGCATCATCTCCTAAAGTTTTGACAACCATCAAATCAAATACTTTGGCAATAATCCAAGATTTCAAGCTTACTTCTAGAAAATAAGTTGTCAGACCCTATACAAAACACAATACACTTTTGTTAAAATAAATTTAGTAGACATTTGAAATGAAACCATAAAATAGAACAAATAAACATTCGATAAAATATACTAAAATTATGTCTGAAAGCAATTAATATATTTATTGAGAGCATTTCATATAAGTATTTTTAATCACCCAAAAGAGGGTTTTCTGATAAACTAAAAATTATTTGTATCTTTCGACCTACAGGATAAAATCTAATGAATTGAATGAGGAATATTTGATCTTAATCTATCTGTTAATATGGGTTTCTCATTACTCTATTTTTAATTCGGATCTACTATAAATTTCTTAAATCATACTAGGTTTATACTCCATAAAATTGTTTGCTATAAGCGTTCTTGTCTATTCCAGTTTAAGGAAAATGTTTTCTTTGGGTACTTTTTTCTCAAACTCCCTTAAAAGCAAATTAGATTAGGTCTTTGAGTTCTTAATGAAAGTATAATCTGGGAAATTAGAACTTTTGTTGAGCACTACTCCTTGTAACCAGGGATGACCTAATGCTTATTAAGGTTTCATTCGAGATGAGGCATCCCAAGTAAAGCATTTATATAAAAAATCCACAAAGTCGCCATCTGTAGTTTTTAATAAATCATGTAATTTGACAGATCTTGGATTTCTATAGTGTTTAATAGTTTTCTTAGGATGTCCATTCTCATCAAAAAAATGTTTTTTTCTTGGACATTTTAATGCAAATTCAATTGTAGGCTCACCTATTAGTTCCATAATTAGATGAAACTATTCAACTTCGTTTTCTCCAGGAAATATTGGTTATCCTGAATGCATTTCAGCAATTAAGCAACCGAAGCTCCACATATCAATTTCCATTCCATATTTTAATCCAAATAGAACTTCCGGTGCTCTATAATATCTAGACTAGTATAAACTGTTTACCTGCTTTGGATGTAAGTATACATTTGATTTCCATCTATGCAACCTGAACCAAAATCAACTAATTTGATTATTTTTTATTTCATGTCTTGGATCATCACATTTTCAGGTTTCAAATCACAATGAATGATATTTAGTTTTTATAGATAATTTAAAGCAACTAAGATTTATAATGCAAACTATCTAAGAGATGAATAGTCAAATCCTCTAAATTTCTATTATTTCAAGAGTTCAAAGAAGTTTTTCTCCAACTTCTCTAAAACTATACAATGATGACCACGAAATACGAATTAATCTTCTATTCTCACTATGTTAGATTAACTTAATGAATCTTTTTCTCTTATTATTCGTAATAGATTTGCTTCAATTTAAGCCTACTTTTTTAGTTTTTCTTAGTTTCTGATTATTTTAAGAGCAAGAGTTCTCTTAGTTTTATGATCAAAAACTTAAAACACTTAACCAAAACTACCTTATCCAATAAGACTGGTTATTTCATATTGATATCTGATATGATCTTATGCATTACATAAATATTGTCCATTTGTTCCATCATCTTAAATTAAAGTCTCCTTGTAATAAAATACTTATTTTAATTCAGATAATTCTTGGATTTCAGTCTGGGTAACATTATACAACTTAATAAATTAATCTACTGAAAGAGGGAATTAGGACATAATTGAAATAGACTTATTCTCTTTTTCTCGAGTTACTTTACTTTTGAAATTGGAAATGATATTTTATATTGTATTGATATTTCTACTCTTACTTGAATGAAGAGGCTAAAAAACCTTTAATTTCTTTTCAGAAAACAATCGTGAAGTATTGGGACTAATTGGACTTGTTTCAATTTAGCGTTTTGTCGAAAGAGGATAAGCACTTGATACAATTTACTTGAGACCAGACATATCCAAATGAACAGATAACTTTTTACGATCAGCCAATTTCATCAACAAATCTGTTAAATTATTTATATTATGAACCAATAAATTAATTATTATAATAACAAATTTTTCAGTTTCACATATCAAGTTCCAATTGAACTTATATACAACAATAATAATAATTAAATAACTTTACATAAATTCAATAATTATGAGACTGTGCTTATTGTTTATCCCTGTTTAAACATCCAAATGCTGAAAATACTTTATCCATGAATCCCAACTCCTCTTATCTTGGCTATTGCCCTTAGATTTCTCTTAACCCCTGAGCCATTTATTATCTTTAGGAAAGTCTGCTGACTCTGGCCTTAAATTCTTCCTCCTAATTGTAATTAGAGGAGGCAGTCGATTTACCATTATTACCATTATTGTTGCTGTTATATTGAGAAACATAATTAGAGGATTTAGATAGGGGTTTTAATTCAGAGTTACTATTTTGGTTGGGTCCTTTAACAAATGATCTTGTTATGATATCATCATTTTATGGAGAGATCGATCGATTAGAATCGTTGTTTTTATCTTCCTTACACATGTAGGATCTGAGATCAATTCCATAGCTTTTGTAGAATTTCTTCATCCATGGATGTTCAAAGATCTAATTCATTGACAGTCTCTCGATTGGGTTCTACTTGAGTATTCCTTATATCAATTATTTAGCTTCAAGTGATAATGTTAGATCGTATTCAATTGGTGTCATCTTGATGATGTTGTTGCACTTTTCATTTTCAGTTCTCCCCTTGAATGGAGCAAATCCATGGATTAACTCAAATAACAAGATGCCCAAACACCAAATATCTAGTGTGAAACTATAGGGTTGATTGGTCAGCATTTCAGGAGCCATATAATCTAGAGTGCCACAGAAGGTTCTTCTGACTCCATTTTATGTGGTCTCGGCTGACCAGCCAAAATCACAAACTTTAATATTTCCTTGTTTGTCTAGCAATAGATTTTCAGGTTTGAGATCTCTGTGTATGATATTTTTCTTGTGCAAGTAATCTATTCCCAAACAAGTCTGGAAGAAGTAGACGAAGGCTTCATTTTCTGGGAGTCTTCTTCTTTTCCTTATATAACTAAACAGACTTCCATTCTCTTAAAAATATAGGATTTTATTATACCTGCTAATTCTAATATAAGAAATACATTTTCTTTGTCTTCAAAATAGTGAAATAGCTTGGTTATATGTGGATGTTACAATCTTCTTTGAATTTTAATTTCTCTCTTAAGATTTTCAACAGAACAATACTCGAATATTTGTTTTTTGTTCATCTATGTTCAATGATAAACGTTACCACTTTCATTGCATACATTTGCCCATTCTGTTTGTCCTTGACCAATTTGACACAACCATAACTACCTTTACCCAATTCCATTTTATTATCCTTGATTATTATTTCGAAGTCCTCTGGCGATCTGCGAATGGATTTCAAGGTGGATGCAGAGTCATTCAGTTCAGTTATACTCTTTCCTTTGACGGGATGGCAATTATTCTTATGTGATAAAGTCCTATTGAATTATCGATTCTCAATATACCAATCGGTGTCTCTGCATTTCTGGGAACAATACTTCATATTCTAACAATAAGAACACGAGTAGATTGCATTGCTACCGGTGGTGTTGATACAATATTTATATGAGCAGCCTTAATTCATTTAATAAAATATAATAACGCATTTAATTTATATCAATTCATGCAAAACTTTCCCATTGAAGCTAACTTCGACTTAGTATAGGCTGGAGTAGGCAAATCATTCAGATTCATTCCCAATTATTTAAGTATATAAGGATTCTGGGTCTGATTTGGATTCGGATTAGTAAGTGGATTATATAATTGGTTTTACTCCGAAACCACACTCCGAACAGGTGTTGAGATCTAGCTTATCAAATTCTCTTACATTGGTTTGTCTCTCAGTGTTCTACCAATAGACTGAATTAGCCTGTTGATAGCCATTCAATTTCACCTCATTTCTGTTCTGTCTTCTCTTCTGTTATTGTTCTTGCAACTGAATCGAAAGTATCGAACTGTACTTTTCCTTAGATACATCTTCCAATTCCTTCTAATATCTGTATAGCTTCTCATCTTGCTATTACTTTTCCAAAACATTTTTAGAGATGATGTCATCTAACCCTTGCTTCGGATCTCTGTAATTTTCCAAATACATTGCCTATAATTATTGCTGTCTGTTTTGGACATTCTGATAGTACTTTTAATATATATAACTAATTAAGTACTTATTTGTAATTGTCTAACTTCCTTTATATTTTTGTATTCTCTTGATGAACTTATTCCTAGTAAACCGCCTAGTCAAACTTTTTATAATTCATTTCATTCATCTTTTTAATCTACACCTGACCGTATTATTGATCCTGCACTTTTCGATAATAATCTTTCTTTTATTTTTCAAAGGACTCAGCCATTGTTTGCCCTTGCTTTGCAGTGTCAATGATTTGTTATTCAATCTATTATCTTTCTTATCTCTATCAATATAGATAACATTACTAGTTATTCTTGATTGATTCTTTAATTAGTTAGTGAATTTTCATACCATTTTGATAAATCCTTCCTGATAAACTACTTGTTTTGTCCTTCCATGAGATATTGCATTTCTTTTTCTTTCCTCAAATTTTCCAAGTATAAGAGTTCCTCCCTTTATTTTTGTGTTGTTAGAGATCTCTTTCTCCTCTCCATTTCCAACTATTGGTCCTAGAGTTACTACTTAAGAAGCTCCTATTACACCAATCTGAAATCCCTTGCTTGATCATGCAATTAACGATTCACATCATATTCTCTATAATCATCATATTTGATAGGCAAAATCATATTTTAATAATAAAATTTTGGTTCCTGCAATAATAATGGATCCAGCCCCTTCATTTAGGAACAACTCCGACCAGTAAATGCGAGATGTCCTATAACTGAATCAAAAGCATCAACTTCGAAGTTACAACGAGGATGTCGCAATGATCCAGTAAGCAAAGGATGCCATAGTATTGTTCCCCACTTATTTAAGTATAGACTTCAAGTGTGCACATGAACAATCTGTTGAAGGACAGGAAAGATCAATACGACATCGTATTGACTTAGCGGAAGTACCTTTGGAAACAGGAAGAACAAGTCTATAATGAAATCGATCAACTCAGAGATAGTCATAGAAGATATCAAGAGAGTGTGAATCGTTATGGAATTCGAAATAACAATTTGGAAGCAGAAATACAGAGTAAGTTTGAGTAAGTGAATTCAAAACTTAATTTCATTTAAGAGGAAAAGAAGCAAGTCACTAAAAACTTCAATCTAATTTAACAATCTTTAGTGAACAGCAAATCTAAATTGTCTAGTAATGGGCAATTTGTTATTGAAAGCAATCAACAATATGACAAATTAGTAGATTTCATACACAAATAAGAACAGAAGGTTAAATATTTAAAGAATGATCAAACTAATTTAGCTATTAATTAACTCATACCATTTGACTCAAAACTCCAATAAAGTATGCATATCAAATAAATTTTATTCAGTGGCTCAAGACACATATGAAAAACAGCAAAAATATGTTTATTAAGGAACTAAGTTCTAGGGAAATGAATTGCAAAAAATAGCAGCATTTAGCACCTTGAGAAAGAAGATTGAATAACATGTATAAAAAAAGGGATTCCAAGAAGTCATCTTGGATTTACCATTCAAATTAGATGAAAAATATCAGAAAGAAAACACTAAAGCAATAGCCTACGATTCTACACTACAAGAACTGGATGAATTCAGAAATGACTACATTGCTAAGGGAGGGAATGATCCTAAATTTCTAAAGGAAATCAATGAATTGGAGAGATAATATAAGGAGAATCACCCTCTTGGAATCTTTGATGCCAATAATTAATTGAGTCACCCTAAGAGCTAGGATTAAGTATCTTAGAATCCCATATTCACTTATTTACCTCAACAGTATCAGAAGGATATCTTAGATTTGGAGTTCAAACTCTAAGAATAGAAAGAGGCAGATCTGAAGAATCCATAGATGAACAAATAACTGTTAAGATCCCAATTAAATGTGAGTGATTCAAGCAAGGTTGATGAAATCATATTGGAAAATCTCAGATTCGAAGAAAGTGAATTACTATTGAAATCTAAGAATAATGAATATTACAAATTGAAATACAATGAAATTCAGAAATTAAAGTAGATTCATGAACGTAATTATCTGGAGAAGAAAGTGCAAGAGTAATTGGCTTTAAGGTAGATTGAAGATGACATGTTGAATTTTAAAGAAAAAGGATAAACGAAGTTGACTTATTTATAGTAGTTATAGTAAGGTATTGGCACTAGACCTTTGTTTTATGATTAAGACACTGGATTTGTAGTGAGAATTGACTTTGTCAATAAGTTACCAATTTGTTATGATTTTGTCAAAGTAGGTTATGGCATATTTATTAAAAAGTATTGATTTTTTCAAATATTTGATAGTGTGGATGAGCCCAAGGTAATAATGAACACGAACTAACATGAGTGTGTAAATGAGAACATATACTCTAAGAAGTGTGTGATTTAAGAGAAATTCGTAGAGAGGAATCATGAAATCTTCAGAGATACATATCTCTATATAGTGTTATGGTGTTTCAGTCAAGATTTCGGTAGTGGTATGGTTCCAATATAGGTTGGTTGGTCAATCCATAAACTATTCGATGAGGAGAAACTAATGTCAGGAGGGTACTTGCTGCCCATTTACAATTCCAGCTTTACATTTGAACTTTAGAGATTGCCTGAAGTTTAAGAAATTAAGATTGGATTGAGGATATGTCTACCAGGAGATTAGAATTTGGATTTAGATAATAAAATAATGAGTCTGATGGATTATAAAGTACAACCAGTTCATTTGAAAAAGCCAGAGTTAATTGATTAGGAAAGATAAAACGTATTCAGAGAATATAAAATTATTCCACTGCCTGAAGAATACATTCAGGTTAGAACAAATGATACTAAATTATGGCAATCTGAACTCCCTCCTAATGTTTATAAACTGATCGATTATAATTTTATGAACGAGGAGGAAGTAGCCTTAAAGTAATAGGAATAGGAGTACGAAGAAAGGAGAATGAATAGATTAAATCGTCCCAAAAGAAGATTCATGGGAAAGTAAGGTACAATAGCAAGAGGTTCTTCAGAGAAAAAAAAGACTATGCTTACATTCAAGCAAAGGTTAGCCTTGAAAAAAGGGGCAGTTACACCAGCAAGCACAAAGGCTAAACCTACAGAAAAAGAATAGTCATCAAGACCATAAAGCAAGGCAGATATTTCCAGGAAGAAATTGGAGGAATCTACTACTACTAGAGTGTAAGAAAAATAGAAAAGTGCTTTGATTCCAAGTAAACCAAGAAAGTTGATGTTCAAATTAAGATCATTGTCTCAAATTTATGTTGGGGGTATCACAACATTGACAATGAAGTTAGCGCTCTTCTAAGGTATTCAATTATTAGATGATGATGATAAAAATATGTGTGTGTTTAGTAAGGAATTAGAACCTGATGAAAAGGGAGACAATTACATTAATTTTAATGAATCATTTACATTTGAATTGAATCTGACTCAGTACTTTGAAGATTATGAAGAAAGTGAGATTTTGAGCACATTTTTATTTATAGCTATTTTTAAGGAGGTAACTAACTTATTTGGATGGCATGCAATTCAAGCCTTTGATACTTCTGATGAACATTTCAAAGTAAAAAGTGGTATCTATTATGAAAATTTGTATGGACCACCAGGACAAGCTCCACCTTTCAATTTCAATAAGGCAAAGCGATTGAATACTCAAATTAATTTTATCATGATGCAAGACGATGATCGTGTATTATAATTGCCAACCATTGATAATTATAAACTTGATCAAAAATGTAAAATTAATTTAATATATAATTTTAGTATTAACAGAAGAAGACAAAGAAAAGAGAAAGAAAATATATTCAGTAGCTAATCCTAAATGGAATACTCAAATACGTTTAGACATCTCATCTTTTAGAAACTTCTAATCAAAGGATGAATTTATAATGAAAACCATTGTTATCGAAGAAGAAAATATTATTATTGATGCCATAGATAGATAATGCATAAAATTCGATCAAGTCTAATTATTTGAGGGTACAGGCAAAGGTGAATTTATTGCTAATCATTTAATAATATTGAGGATTGGTACTAGATATTTAGTGGATACTTTCACGACTACTTTTAAAAAGTTAAATTATCTGTTTAGTTTCTTCATCAAATAACAAATTGTCGGAGTGTGTAAATTCCCTCTCTTTTCAGCAGGAGGAGCATTAAATGTAGGATCATAGAGATTGATGGTTCATGATCTAGATGATAGCGGAAAGATCGGTAAGAAAACGACTAAAGAAATGTATATTTTCATACAAGAAGAATAATTGAATCTGAAGGATATTGAGGAAACTCCCAAATATGCGCAATAAACTAAAGAATAAAAAATTGTTAATAAGTAAGATTAGAGCAAATACTTGATTATTGAAATTGATCAACTAACAGATTACTTAAGTCAGGAACCAATTGACTTTACTATCTAGGTCTATAATGGAGAGGAACCAGCCATGGATTCAGATGGAGTGATATGTGCATATACAAGTGTTACTCCTTTTTAACCTAAGCCAAATTATTCAGTTCCAATAAACGAGGCAGTGTATTTTAAGATGCCAATAAATGCAATCATTGAAAGAAAGCAGGGCCTGGAAAATTATTAAGTTTTTATATCCTTTTCGGATTTAGGATGGATTAGTTTTTAGTTATTTTTAAATGGAGAGTTAAACAGTTCTGATTTTGTTGGGAAATTATTTAGAGGCGATGTACCAGCCCCACCTGTTGATTACACTAATATGAAGAAAATCAACACCAAGGTTTCCTACAATGTAAAGTACGATTTGAAACAAACAGAAGAGTTTAGAAATAGTTAAGTTGAAGAGAGATCAGGACTCATGAGAAGTGAAACTCAAAAGAATTTATAGTCAATACCAAGTGAATAGACTGCGAAAATACCATCTAGAAGAACGATGAATTCAAATGAAAATTTAGATAAATTACAGATTATGTTGATAAATGTCAATGGATTTATAAACCAAAAAAAATTATAAGTGAAAGGAATTCTCATGATGGAAGGCAAGACATTATTGGATAAATATAACTAGTCTTGTTCCTTTAAGAGTGAGTTTATAGACAATGTAAAGAAGGTGGCATTCTTTAACAATGCTCGTTTTACATTTTCAGTGGATATTCCTACACTTTAAATGGAATCTTACTTATTTCTATCAATTTTTGATGAAAAGGAAACTGTAATTGCATGGTTTGGAAAGAGATTGGTATAGGCTGTTGGAAAATTAAATAGAGGACAATAATTTGAATATCTTTTTGCTCCGCCTTTGATGAGACCGCCATTGGATCATTCACAAATACAAAACCTATAACAATCAATTTAATTTGAAGTGAAATGAATATATGATACATCACTATTAATTAATGTTAAATTGGATTCTTTTATTAATCTCAGTTGTAGCAGTATATCTGTTAGTGAATCCTTTGGTCACCATGATGAAACTTAAAATGTAGTTTGGGAATGCTGTTTATTGCAAATATTTTCCAATTTTCGGAATTATATAGGTTTATCGAAAATCATTTAAACTTACAGGTAATGTGCATTAATGGATTATGGACATTGTCGCTAAGCATCCAGAAGTTAAGTTTGTTGTTGCTAATTCAATCAATAAACCTGTGATATTTATTATAGATCCCGAGTATTACAAACAGATATATCTCGACCATCATCTCGTGACCAAACATGATTAAAGTGGAATCAAGGAGTATAATTTCAATCACTATGAATAGCTTTCTACTTTCAGGAGGATTATTGTTTACAGAAGGACCTAAATGGAAATAACAAAGAAATTTAGTCGGTGATCATTTCCTTTTTTAAAAATTAAAAGCAAGGATTCCCATGATAAACCAGGTGGTCAAAGAGAAGATCAATGGCATGCCTGTTGCTGAAAAGATGTTTGAATTTATTTGTACCATAACAGGAGAGGTTGTAATTAGAAGTTTCTTTGGTGTAGAAGCAGAAGGATGGAAAATCAATGGAAAAGAGGCCTAAATTGAATTGGGATCGATTTTTGCAGCTTTCATCAAACTAAGGGTGACCAATTTCTTTGTCTACTTTAAGTAAAAGATTTTGGGAGTTAAATCTTGGTAATACTGCACTAAAAAAGAAAAGGAAATCATGGACAGAGTCACCAAAATAAAACAAGACATCAGAGAAGTTATTTTCAAAAGGAGAGACAAGATTAAATAACAAGGCAATTATTAAGGTAGTGGTGACTTTTTGGATGTGTACTTAAAAATATTCATGGAATAAAATGTATATAGTTCTGACAGAATTGAAACTGATGAGATTGTTTCCCAATTTATCACTCTCTTTTTAGCTGGTACTGACACCACCGGAGCCTTAGTTGCCAATTCATTATTATTCATATCTGAAAATAAACAATATCTACAAGAACTAAGAAACGAAGTCAACAATGTAATCGGAAATGGAGAAATCACTCCTGAGAATATCAATCAATTAGTTTTCGTAGAAAGTTTCTTAAAAGAAGTTATGAGACTTAAGCCATCTGTAGTGTATCCAATTGCCAGAAAGGCTAAATAAAATCTATAGATTAAGGATCTTCATATCAAAGAAGGAACTATTCTACTTTTGGGTAATTTCTTGGCCAACCTCAATTCCCAGAATTATGATAACCCACTTGAATTCAATCCAAGAAGATGGTTACAACAACAACCAATCAAATAAGATAATGGCTTCATCAATATTCCTTTTGCTGCTGGAGGAAGAAATTGCATCGGCTAGCATATGGCCATGATCGAAGCTAGAATTATTTTAGCTTATCTTATTAGGAATTACGATATCGTTAGAAATCCATAAGTTCCAAAAGTTCAATGGCCATCAAGGGGAACTCAAACCTATATACCAGATAATGCCGTTCATCTTGTTAAAATATGACATTTAACATATCATAATAAATACAATCATTTTGTTTCCTCCAATAATATAAGACTGATCCATGTTCACCCTTATTAGAGAATAATCTAGATAATCCATATAACTTAGTCTTTTTTGATGATTCTTTTTTTAAATAAAACAATTTCAGTTTATTGACATTTTATATATATATATATAATTTTATATATATTTTCAAATACAGTTTTGAAGCAGGTAAATGTGTAGTATGATGGAAGTATAATATAGAAATTTGAGATAAAGACTTTGATATATTAATAGACTCAAAATCAGGTTTGAAATCGTTTAATCATACAAATTAGGAGAATCCACATTGACCACATTTTTGTTAGTAGAAGTAATTCTAGCATTAGCAAACTGAGCATTTCTTTAAGAAGGAGAAGGATTTATTCAAACTTTCTGTTTTTTTGGATAAATCTTCAAGAAATAATGCTTATGAAAAAACAACATCTTCATCATCATTGCTTTCCACTGAGCTATGACTGCTTCCAGTTAAGTTTTATTCTTAAAGCTTTATAGTTTCGAATATTTATAGTCCTTAATCCTTTTTATTTGGAATAAATCTTGTTCCAGGAGCATCTCTTGTGGATTATTGACATCTGTTACAAAATTTTCGAAATGAATAATTTAGGTTTCTGCATTCAGCACAAATCCAATCACAAGGTTTGTTTTACATTTTTTAGTAAGTGAGCAATTTAATTTAATTTTATTATTCATCTTTCCTTTTATAATAAAATTAAATAATCATGCAAAAATTAATGAAAAAACCGACGTTAGATTCAATTAATTTCATACGCAATCTTTACGTATTCTTTACTTTAATAATATAACGGACAACAATCTTGATGCAATTCGAGAATAATGAATCCTTTTCATTTAAATTATAATGAATAGGTTACTAAATGCTAAAAATAAGAAATATCGAAGTTCTCATTTTTTATTTTATTTCATTTCTTATCTGCTCCAATAGATAAATACAGTTATAAACTTGGACCTAGCATTAATTTTACAAGGATATTTGAATATAAACAAAATTTTAATTCTTTGATATATTTCAATATTTTATTTCTATATTATTTAATAATCATTATTTCATTAAATATAAAATAATGAAATTTCATTTATAAATTTTGATATTTGATATTTCTATGTGCATATTAACAATCAAGAAATAATCTATATTATAGCAACACAAATCTAAAAGGCTTATAAATGATTCAGTGGTGTTGTGTATAGTACTTCGAATGAGGTTTCATCTGTTTTTTGTATTTTTATCAAGAATTAATCAGATGTTAATTCTTTTTTGTAAAAAATAGACCACAAATTTTGTTTTTAAAATTTGAAGATGTTGTAAAACTCAAAAAATTAATTATTTTATTAAATAATCTCTTTGTTTTTCTTAAAATAAACAGGTGAATAAGTATAAATTTAATTATTTTATTAATTTATCTTTGGTATGTGACACTAAACTATTTATGTGATATTACTTTTAATTCATTTTTTTTGCAAATACTCCCCATATATTTTCTGTAAAATTATTGATTTGTACACTTTTTTGGACTCATTCCACCATCTTAAAAAACATAAAGTTTTCCGTTCTCAAAAATTTTTATTTTCCCCACCAAAGCCTTGCTCTCTGATTAAATAATGTATTTCTAGTTTAAGAGTCCATTTTTTGTTGCCTCCATCAACAAGAAGTCAAAAATGTAGAATTAATAAGAATTACTAATCTTTTTAATCTGTGCAGACATTATTCTACCTATTTACATATATACTAAACTTCTTAGGTTATATTGGCTATTAGATAAATTCAACCCTATTGAATGGAATTCGAATGGATTATGTAGAAACAATTTCATTTTAATCATCAGAATAGTTAATGGTATTCACTCCTTAAAATCGTTGGCATACACTCGAACTTTAATCAAGACTGTTTAATGATATATCGATTGCTTGGCTATATTGATTGAGATCACATTGACTTGAAGATATCATAAGATAAATTAATAATTAATTAGATAAAACAAACTAATTTCAGAGGAACTGCAACCGAAAGTCTTCATAAAATATTCATTTATTATTTATAAAAAGTTCTTTTGAATAGTCTTAAGCTAAAATTAATAAATTATAAGGTGTGAATGTTGATGTTAATTTCGGAATATAAACGTAAATATTATAAATAAAATTCATAGTTCCACTAATTATAGTGTTCTTCTTTAGGAGATGGAATAATATTTTTTTATGAAAACAACTTAATTTGTTAATTTAAGGTTTAGACTTTTGTAATTGTTTTAACAATTGTTTATATACTTTTTTATGTTTGATCTTATAATTATTATTGTATTATAAATCTCAAATATAAAAGAAATGAGTTTTGATCAAAAGAATCAATAATTTAATGAAAAATATTTCTTTTGCCATTTTTAAGACTGAGATATTTTATAAGTCATCCAGATTATATTATTTTTATTAGGACAATTCATTTAAATTTTAGTAAAGTTAGCTATTTTAAATTATCAAATAAAATCAGTAATTTAAATAACCAAAAAACATACTAAACTCTTTGTTTTAATTTATTATTACACACATAGATAGCAAATTCTTTAAGAATAGTAATAAATATCATTATAAATAGCTTTGCCAATTGTGTTTAATAATCTTTAATAATTATTCAATTTACTTGGTTTCAGTTTAAATAAAGTTCCATTATTGGATATCTATTTCTAGATGAAATTTCTCCTTCTTAAGAAGTAAGATTATTATACAATTTACATTTTTGATTTTATACAAATAATATAATATTTAGGTTCTATGAGATAATGGATTGCAACATTAAGGATAGGATAGCATCCAAGGTGAATATTTTCAGAGTTAGAGATTCGCAAATGATAAAGGAGATATAGAATTAATTATTGCTGTTTTGCAGAGCATAAACAATCAAAGTGATTTCACTTATAAAATCACCAATCTCTAAATGGATCATCAGCTTATTTGATTGAATCTGGCAATTCGGTACTGTCTGGATAATCAGCAAAATTAGAAGTATCATTATCAGATCTAGTAATAAATGTGAAATTTACCTAACTGATGGAATGTATTTAGGTCTCATTTATTTCTTGATCAAACTATCCCAATTCAAAGTTTGATACCATTTATGTTATTTAATATCATTGGCTCCATTTTTTAAATTTCCTAATCTTTTTGAAACATCAGAAACTAAGAGACTTTTAATTAACTCTTTAGCATCATTATCAAAATTTTTAGGAAACTTAACTTTTCCTTTTAATATTTTTTAATAAATTGCCATGGGATCTTCATCATTGAATGGATCAATTCCTACTCTATAAAGGAATGTAATTACCAGCCAACATCTCATAAAGTATGATACCTAAACACCACCAATCAACAGGTCTGCCATGTCCTTTATTGAGAAGGATTTCAGGGGCAAGATACTCAGGCGTTCCACATAGAGTATATGTATGATCTTCGACAACTTTAGCAAATCCAAAATCAGTCAATTTTAAATATCCATTTTATTGAATAAGTAGATTTTCTGGTTTGAGATCTCTGTATACAATAGTCTTTGAATGTAAATACTCAAACATTAGCACTATTTAAGCAGAGTAAAATCTAAATATTATTACATATTTTACTATGCTTCGTCATTTTCTATAGTGCCTGCATTCCTTAAATAAGTGAACAACTCTCCACCTTGAATATACTCTAGAACAAAATATAAATATCTTTCATCTTAAGCGTAGCCTAACAATTCAATCTAAATAATTTATTATAGATATACAATGAAAGGATGTTAAATCTATTGAAGTATTTTGAACTCAGAACTAATATGATCAACTTATTTCAATCGAAGAATTTCACATTTCTTTAACATCTTTAAAGCTACATGCTTTGAATTTGATTTCTATTTTGCCAATCTTACTCTGCCAAACGAACCAGTACCTAGAGTTTAGAGTATCTCAAAGTCTTGGAGTTTCACTTACTTATTCTGCATTTATTTTGATAATTAAAAATAAATAATGTCATTCAGAAAAGATAATTTTCGGGTTCAAAACTAAAATTTGATGCTGTTTATTATAAAAATACACTAAAACAGCAAGAAAAGAAAAGACCTGGATCTGGTTAACCCCTTTCGTAGCTAACTTTCCCATTATTTCCTAGAAAACCAGTTTATTCTGGCAAGTTAAGAAATATTATAGTATCCTCAGAAAATGTTAATTAACAACATCGTATTATTAAATCAGGCAATAGTTAATAGAGTTAATATTAATTAACTCCCTCAGTTACTTAATCCCAATTATTAGGCGTCGTAAGAATATTTTATAATAACTTTTCATAGTTCACCTTAATTTTAAATTAAAAGTTCCTAAGTGCTGAATCAAATCACAATAGGAGAGAAAAAATCAATAGAAAAACCAGGCATTTTAACAAGCACTGATTAAAATGATAAATAATTTCACGGAATAATTAGACAGAACTTGTAGTGACCTAATCGGATATAGAAAATGTAAATATTCCAATATAGCAAGAAAAGAAGGCAAATCTCTTATGAGAAATTAAAATAGTTGCCAAAAAAGTAGTTTTAACAATAACCAATTGATTAAATCTAACCCACACTCTAATAAATGCAATCTCAAATTGTAGTTTCTAACCAAAATAAATAATTATACACAATAGATAAAAAATAAATAAACAATTAATCCAAAATAGTCGAATATTAATATAAAATCACTATCATAACTTTAAGGCAGCCAAACTAAATGTTTTAGTGATTTTACAATGACCTCAGGAATGACCTATAATAGCTCTTTCAATTCATGCAATTGCAATTGAAGGATGCTTCTCAATATGCTGAATAGCATGCAAATTTAAATACGAGTAGTAAAATATTCTACTTAATTTTCTAATAGAAATATAAGAACAATCAGATGATGCCAATTCATCGTTGGCCTAAAGTACTTTCTGCTAATTTTAAGAGTGATTATTAAATTACTAAATTGAGTTTATTTTTGATATCTTTTGTGAAATTAAATTCTCTTATTTTTAATATCAAATCTTTGTATTCCTCTGAAATTCTCATAATAGATAAAAATCAATCAAATATTTATGACTTTAACATCATTATTATTATTATTATTGATTATTTGATTTTTATGACTGATTCATCCTCAGAATACGATAGCATGAATGAAGGCTAATATGAAGCTAAAATAGGTGAGACACTGAAAAATAATCAATATCAAATTATAAAATGGTTAGGAGATGGGACATTCTCAAAGGTCTGGTTAGTGAAAGATTTAATTAGTTCGATTCATTATGCTCTCAAAATTTAAAGTTCATAGTATTCAGATGCAGCCGTAGAGGAAATAGATATTTTAAAGTATTATCCATTATAAAAGTAGAATTTTGAATGAAAATGAAAATTCACCATAATGGCTTGACATTCAGAAAAATAGAATTGGTAACTAACAAGAAACTCATTGTGTAAAAATGGTTGATTCTTTTGTTCATATTGTCAATGAAACATTGCATCATTGCGTAGTAATGGAAATATTGGGACCTACCTTATTGGATTTAATTAGATTCTATGAAAAGAAAGTATAAGATATTCTGATGATTAGAATTCTAGTATGAGCATCTAATTAGGGAAGGAGGTCACTAAATAAGTGTTGATCGGATTGATTTATGCTCATGAAGTATGCTAAATTATACACACTGACATAAAACCAGAAAACATCATGATTGAGTTGAATGATCAATAATTAAAGTAGTTAATTAACGATGAGGAGGCGGATGATAAGAAGAAAAAGTAATAAGAGAAAATATTTAGAGAGTTAAATTAAATGATATAAATAATGGGGAAACTTTTATCTGGAATGAGAATGTAATAATTAATGTAAACACTGACCTTAAATTTAAATTAGTTGATTTTGGAAATGCTTGTCAAACTAATCAACAATTTGAGGAAATTCAAACTAAGGAATATAAATCTCCTGAATCTATTATTTAAGCTCAATATTCAACCAATACAGATGTTTGGTCTCTTGCATGTGTAATATTCGAAATCTTGACAAATGATTACTTATTCAATCCTGAAGGAGATAATGAAGAAGAAGAAATGGAGGATCTATTAGCCATGATGATAGAATTGATTGGACCTCCAACATAAAGTTTCTTAAGCAAAGGCAAAAGAAATTCCCAATATTTTGAAAAAAATGGAGATTTAAAAACAATTAAAGTATTTGATTTTTAAATTAGTAAGGATTTACAAAAATTCAATCTAAGTGATACTTTAATAAAAGATTATTCTTTTGAAGAGCATGAAGCAAAATAATTATAAGATTTCATTCTCTTTGCACTAAAATGGGATCCTGTTGATAGGCCTTCCTCATAAAATTTGTTCTTGCACCCTTGGCTTCAATAATAATAATAATGAAATAATTTTAACAATACAAAAATAAATGAATTCTTTTTATAAAGCATTAATTTTTTTATTTTGATTAGTTTGTGATCATAAATTCTTGATTATTTAAAAAACTATATTGTTTCCTTTTATATAATTTTAGATGGCTCAATCTTATCGAAGAAATCATTATCAATTAACTTATGATATTATGATATCAATTATAATGGAGCAAATAGTACTTATTAAATAAATAATAGTTTTGGATGTAATAATTATGAGTAAAAAAGGATTCTTGTAATAATTGGGTCAGTATTTGATAATTTATAATAAAATTTTGTATAAGTGTATTGAGTATTTAATGATACACAGGTGCAAAACACTATGAAAGCAAATAAGAGCTTTTATAAAGTTAAATACTATTCTTCTATCATGGCAATTACAAAATTAGTCTTAATTCTCTTTAGAAAAAAAAAAATAGGAAATTGATATTCAAATAATTTTTTAGTTTATTCTAATACTTTTGAAAGATAAATTGATTTTTCAAACAGTAGAAATTAAGCAAAGACTGCTCTTTTTCGCTTTAATTGTTCTCCTTAAGGCTCACCCTGTGTATTGACAAAGAATTATGGTGGAATGTGCAGTATGAATAAAAATATTAAAATCATTGATTAAGATATTCATTTTTTATTGATTGAACTACCTGGATCCAATTTATAGGCCGAGCTTCTGCATCTTTAAATTTATAGAAGAACGAGGAAGATTCTAAAATCTTATAATTTCTAAACTAGGTACATAATGAACACCATCATTTGATATCTTTATTGTATCGTCAATAGGTAAATATTTTTTTTCTCCTTTTATAAAATCTATCAATAAACAGGGAGGCTTTAAGTATCCAAACAGTATTGCGATTTAGGGTATACAGAACCACCTATTTGTGTTCAAATAAATAAAACCAACGCATTTGTCGAAATGCTTAAATACTGAATTACAATGAGACTCTGTATCCTAATTACTTGGAGATTGATTTATCGTTCGATCAGGTTTAAAAATGGGTTGATTGGGAGAGCAATAAATTTTTTACGGTCTTATTAATACGTTTGGGATGGGTGTTACGGCTTCATCAAGTTCCTCCATAATGGTTTTTAATCTATCTTATTTTTTCTTAACTAGATCTTATTTCATCTAAATATTTGCAGGTGTAAACTCCCATAAAATACTTGATTTACTTTAACTAGGGATAATCTCTTAAAATAATCCTTGATATTCAAATGGAATTTCTATTTCGGTTTGCCAAGGAATATAGTCCTCTTTAATACCCTAAAAATATTAATGTTAAATAATCAATTTTGTATCTTCTTGTCCTAGTCTTTCGGATGGGTTTAACACCAATAAAGATCTGATGAGATCTTAGGCAGGTTAGGGAATTGATTTGTCTAATTGATAATTGAGAGTTAAGATATTGTTGAAAATTGCATTTTCACTAATATCAGTGAAAGGCTATTTTCCATGATAAAACTAGATAATTATGAAAACAATACCTCGTACACTATACAACCAAGAGCCCATAAATCAGCCTCCTTAGATGCTCTGCTATTATTGAGCATTTCAGGTGAAATGTATTCTGGAGTTCCAACAAAGTTTGATCTGTATTAGGTTGATTCGCTCTCAATTTTTTTGATGGACCTCACGTGACTCTGCTAAAACTTCCTTATCTAATCAATTAAATCAGGGGGCTATTTGTGCTCTTCAAAAAAATAGCAAGTTGCAAAATCCGTCAATTTAAGGTTGTAATTTTTATCTATTAAAATATTTTTAGGTTTAATATCCAAATGAGCTATGCCCTCATTGTGCAAATAGATAATTGCTTAAGTTATTTGATAGATGTAAACTTTAATGAAATATTCAAGCTCTTCAGATTTAGTATTTCTGTAAAATTGATAGATGTCATATATGATATTGCCTAAATCTCCAAAAGGACAATGTTCACTTACGAAATAAAGGTATTGTTTGTCTTAAAAGCTGCCAATAAATTCAACCATGCCTAAATGATTAGATTCAATGTTACTTGGATACTTTTATGAATACTGCTTCATCATATGTCTTTCAATATAAATCTCTGATTATTTGTTCGATAGAGTGATTGATTCTTTATAAACCTTTTTGATGGCTACCTTTTTATTATTTTTTAAGTAAATAGCTTCGTAAACCTCAGAATAGGCACCTTCCATTTTATTCATAATTATACCTTCACCAATCAAACCGACTATGTAGAAACTTTTGATGTTCATCTTCTTTTCATTTTTAAGTTGGTTCTATAACTAAATTCCTTTCATATAAAAATTAAATTATTATAAATCCATCATATACAGATGTAAATCAGCTTAAAATAATGACGTTATAACTTTTTGGCTTATCAACCTTTACCTTTTTCTTATTTGTTTAGCATGGATTCAGAATTGTTGAATAAACTATTTTAGATTGAGTGATTTTTAAGAAGAAAAACTTTCTAGAAGAATTTTTTAAAAATAACTCAAAATATAAATTTATTGTATTTGTTCCATAATTAAACATTTCTTTTCTTTCTATGTAGTTGTTGTTACCAATATTAGAAGTTGTATTTTCTAAATTAAATTAAAAATTTATGGAAACAGAGTTAATAATTTATTTTTAATAATAAAATTTAGATGTGTCAATTAATTTTGAGTATGATGACTTATCATGATTAGTCGTCATACTGAAATTAAAAAGAAATGAAAGAAGGATTTCAAATCTTCACTTGAAATAAGATTATTGTAAATTATTTTTAATATTGTCTAAATTTAATCAGTCTTATGGAGCTTCGATGGGTTATTAATCGGTTATACTTGCTTTGAAGAATTCGTTGTCTACTTTTTGATTTCTAACAGCCATTAATTTAGCCAATTTAAGTTTCTTATAATAAAGTAGACCAGCAATAATTAATGAAACACCAACCACAGAGCATATGACAGCTACAACAATGGTCACAGTTGTAGAACTGTTATCTGATTTCTTAATAGACTTTTAGATGGTTCCTGGATTAGTAGAGTTGTTATTTTAATTACCACTGCTATCTGATTGATTAACTCCTTCATCAGTCACTAGAACCAAATCATCGTTATTATTTGACGAATTGCCATTTCCATTATTGTTGTTATTATTGTTATTACCATTGTTATTATTATTATTATTATTATTGCCATTATTGTTTCCTTATCCATTGTTATTGTTTGTATTTCCTCCTGGAACTAGAATAATTTCTAAAATATAAATTATAATATTTACCTGATGTTTGTTCTGTGCTCTTGAAATTAAGTTCTGAAATTGATGAAATGGTGGTGGATTCATGTTTGAGACCAACAACTCCTAATTCTTACAAGCCTTCTGAAATTCCCAAGGATTCTAGTTTAGTAGCCATTTCAGCTAGTCTTGATTAAGATTATTTGCCTTCATTAGAACCAATTTCAGCAGAGTCTGCAATACCCCAATCAATAACAATAGATGAAGTTGTGGATTCATCTAAAAATCTTCTTCTGTATTTCTTGGTTCCAATGATGAAATAGTTGTAAGGATCTCCTCCAATTTGTGCTCTTGCATATTATAGGAATTTATCGCCAAAGAATTCTGATGAGGTTATTTCAAGTCTTGTTGAAATTTAGAGAGTATTCTTCAAAGCGATTTTGATCTTGCAATCCAATTTACCAGTCAACACAAAATGAATAGTACTATTTTCAAAGAAGTAGTTATTGGCACCACATTGATTAGTCATTGTCAGGAGATCATGATGCTTATTATTTGTAGTGAGTCCAGGTTATACAACTTTATTATTGACCATGACTTAGATAATTTAAGGGACAGAGAATTACCATTTCAATATAACCCAATCTTCTGGACTGCCTGCCTCTGATCTCTTTGATAACCAATATTCAGATGAAGTTGGATTCATTCCTGCATTTGTCATGTTGATCACTGTATTCACTGATACTAGACCGACGAATTTGGATTCTCTCAAATTTAATGGTTCAGGACCATCCCACATCCACTCAGCAAAACTGTTAATTTCATTAAAGAATAATCCGTCAGTCAACTTGATTGGCGAATATAATCTCTTGTTATAGTCTGCAGCCGTACTCATAAACATCAAAACAGTGGCCTATCTGCCTGGACACCAATATCCATTCCAAGATTCTTGTCTTGAACAATAGGTGACATTTGGGCCAAAGTATGTGTTATTACCAATACCTTGTCCGATTTATCCAAAGAAGTGACCAGTTTAATCCTCTATCAAAAAGTTGATTTATCCTGTGCATAAAAATGATCCACACCCTCCAAACCATCCTAATTTACCTGCATCTGGATTTCTTGATTTGAACAATAGAGCATTGAATTCACAATTAGTGCATGGAGAGTTTACTAAGTAATGTTGTCCTGTCATATCATGTGCTCCATGGTGTTATCTGAATGCAGCATTATTCTTACATCTAGGGAGGTTATCATAAGTTAATCTAAAGTTATGGAATTCAACATTTGTTAAGTAGACTTTGAGATCGAGTCTTTAGATTGTACATATTGTATCAAATGCTGAAGATATTTTTGTCGAAATAGGAGGGAATGCTGATGAAGTCAAAGTACCCATTTAAATACCCATTTAGCCTTAACAATTAGGACTAAGAGAAGCAGAATAGCATTTCACGCACTCTGGTCTAGCAAGGGCTGAAATGAAGATATTGGTCAGCTTCATTTTATTCTCTTAGATGCTATTTGGAGCGGGTTTCAAGGCTATACCTCTATCATTTTCAACTACAATTGATTTTTCAAGTTAGATCTACTCACTGTAAATTGCATACATAATACCCACTTCACTATGATGAGCAGATAATCCTTAAATGTATGAACACTAGCCTTCTGGGTCTTGTCTCACACCAAAGCAAGCCAAAACAGTACTTGAACAATGATTGTTATAGAATGATGATTAATATGCATCTGAACATTTACTTGCCATGACAAAGAATCCAGTGTCTTGAGATCCTTGTCCAACATTTCCAGACACATCAAAAATATCTCTTCTCATTTGGGTTGGTACCAATTCATCCGAGTAAACAAAGTTACCAAATACAGCCCAATTAGCAAGGCCACCTTCATTTAATATTCTCTTCTTCACATAAATCAATGCATTATCCTAGAATTTCACATATTAACTGTTATTGATCTACACCAAAGCTTTGATACCATTGTAGAACATGTTATTTTTGATTGTAATGTATTATGAATTTTAGATGGTCAATAACATGCCTGTAGTGTCATGGAATGAACAGCCAACTACTTCACTTTGAGTCTTGATAATATCACTATTAAGATTTCTGAAATCTAATCCACTTCTTTGAGTATCATATTTGACCACAATTGTTGAATTCAACACCCATGTAAAACAGTGTATCCTCTTCTTGGGAATCCTAAATTAGCTCCTGGCTCTTCAAATATAATAGATCAAGACTCTGCATCCCAAACCATGAACACTATCTCCTCCTTGAATCTTAATCTTTCTGGTCAAATGTCCAACAACAGCTCTCATATCCAATTTTCCAATTCCAGGTTTATCAATAGTGACTGATGGAGCTCCGTAATGATCAAATTCTAGGGCCTAATTCAATGTTAAAACACATCCAGAAATAGCTGTAATAGATCTCTTCTCCTTTTGTTCTGGATCACTACCTGAAGGACCAAATACAATCTCAGTCTCCTACAGCCCAACCAGCACACTCTGCTACTGTAACAGTTGTTGCACCTGCATCAGCATATGCTGCCAATCTAGTCCATACTGTTCCAGGTGGGGTTGAGTACAATTCCATAGCTCTTGTGACTGCAAGTACCTTATTACCAACATCTAGATTAGCATCAATTACTAATGGACTATCACCGAATTCTCCATTCAATTAAATTAAGATCTTTCCAGGGAATGGATTGGTTGAATTACCAGCTAATAATTTTCCTGTTCTAACCCAAATTCTCTCGGCTTCTAATTTAGTTGATGCTCTTCTCTCATCAAAAATTAATGATCCCAAAATTGTTAGATTAGCAAGTTTAGGAGGATCAACATCCAAGATGACTTGATATGCTGCTTGTACGATTGGACTATCTCCTTCAAACAGGCACTTTGTTATCTATCCAAGTGGTTGGATCACTCCAATATCTATATCCATCTTCCAATGGTACATCTCCTAAGCTATCACACTCATCTCTACAAATAACTCCTCTGACCTCAGACATATTCATACTTCTTCTTATTCTTACCAGACAAGCAAATGAAGAATAATTTATTTGTTCTATCATTATACCAATCACCTTAATTACAAGTTTTAGTATCTGGAACCTATTCCAATTTTGTGTAATTTACTGGGAATTATCCTCCAATGTTTCTCATGATATCAAATGTTTCTCTATTGGCAGAGTAATTGAATCTAAGAATAACAGCATTGTCATTTTAATTGAAGTATGGGGATGCAAAGATACCCATGCTTAATGGATCACTTGCTCCGAATTTGAAATGGACATTATAAGTGAAACCTGTAGCAAATACACTTGCAAATGAATATTTAACATCGTTACTCTTCTTTATAATCTTCATAGTTTCTCCTTCGATATATTTGCTCTCGTCAATATTAGCATCCATTTTGAGTGCAACATTAGTGCTGTCCAATCTATATAATTTCATATCAACTCCTGTGAAATCTTGTTCTGGAGTGGGATGGTTAATTAAAACATCTCTTATTGTAACTTAATTCATTGCACAAATGATTGAGTTTATCCCAAAAATCTTCTGGGTGAGTAACACATCCTGGAAATGCCATCAATGTGTTTCTTATATGGGATAATATAGGCTCCTCCTGCTACTTTTGAAATTGAACCATCCTAGTCCCAGAATATCTCTCTTCTATGTTTCTACCAAAAGATACGATTAGCAGAGTCAGAATTAAATGCATTCACATTTATGAACTATGTATTTTTACCTCCTTGTACCCATAACTTCACATTCCAACATACAGAACATGATTCAATCAAAGCTGAATTGCTTCCATAATTATAAATTCTAATGTTCTTAGCTAAGAATCCGTTTGTTCTCGGTACTACCATTGCTCTTGATCCATCATAATAAGTGATATCAGGATTTGCATTACCATTTGATCTACCCAACAATTAGGGCATTATCTAAAACTGCTCCCTCAGCTGAGAAGTTACCTTTATGACCTTAGAAACCAGCAAACTTGGAATCAGCAATCATAATGTCTTTGAAATACACGTTACCCAATTCTTCTCCCAAGACACCGCATTCATTGTTTTTCCATGTCTAGAATTTTTCAAACATTGCTTGAAGACTTGGATTAATCAATATATGGTTATTCATTTGACCAATTTTCTGGCCCTTTACAAGGGAACTTTCTTGGAGCCAATTAGAAAATACGAAGACCGAATCTGCCATTTGAGTGAGCAACATTGTCCTTAAATTCAAGTATGTTTAATCCTGGAGGACAAATATCTGATGTAGCCGATGGTCCATCTGGATTCGTTTTGATTTCATACCAGAACCCATACCACTCTGAACCTCCTGATCTGTTTCTTCTTACAATATTCTATGGATTTGTAACCCAAAAAGTGGCCACAGTAATATCTGTTTGTAACATGATCCAACTTTATTTGGTACTAGCAACAAGGTTATCTTCCACAACATTGTTTGTTTCAATACCATCTTCAAAGAATATGGCATGTCCAAAGGTATTATAGCAAACATTCTTCTAGACCTTCAAATAATGAACGCCGTGAATAGTCAAACAACGAGCATAACAGTCATGGATGGCATTACCAACAACATATGACTCATCAACTTCTCCATTCAAGTGGAAATGAACAGGATATCTACCGATAATTCTTGGTTGACCACCATATCTGAATTCTGCATATGATATTTTACCAATTGCTCCTTTCTCAGCTCTTCCATGAATCATTAAATGATAACCATATTTCAAATCAGACTCTTCACCTTGAATAACGATATTTCTTGTTAACAAACCTACTTCAACTTTCATCGGGAATTACTCTGATCCATAGGTTTCAACAGCTGAATAATGTTAATGGGTGAGTGGTTAATCAAGTGTCAATGTTTTCTTGTCAGCACTGACAGCAGTAATGTTTTTTCACTTTGTGTGTGTTCAACTTCACTGGAAGTAATAACAATTTATTCACCTACCTACCAGTCTACAGCATCGTCGACTGTAATTTGAGTTGCTCCAACTGATGCTGTGCTTGATAATAGTGTCCAAGTTGGTGTTCTTTCCTTTCCATGAATAACTAATTGGCATTGATGACATCCTAAAACCTTATTACCCATAGCAGGCATCTAAACATCTTCCTCAACTCCATGTAAAGTAATCTAAACTTTATGTTAATGAGCCACCAATTCTGTACCAATATTGAATTTACCTTCTCTAATAACAATGTAATGAGCATCCAAAGATGTATCTACTTCATCAGAGAATGTGAGAGCTCCTTCAACTAAGACTTACATCAATTTAGGTGTTTTAACATCAACGATCAAAGTTTATCCAGCATTAACAATAACTGAATCTCCGTCTCCTGGATATTCATATCCACCCCAAGTATTAATGTCTGACCATTTGGTAGCATAGATGAATTTTTGGTTGTTCACTGCCAAGTTTCCATTAACTCTAACTTAAAATACTCCATTTAATTAAGTTTAATCTAGATCTTTGACTCCAGTTTTACAAACAACTTAAGTTGCTGAAACACTCTAGATAGCACATGTGACTCCATCAATGGTTACTGTTGTTTATCCATTAACAAATCCAGTACCAGTAATTGTAATGACTGCTTCTTCAGTAAATCTGCCTGAAGTTGGACTGACTGTATTAACAATTGGGACACTACTTGCTGAGTAACTAACAGCATTTGCTACTGTAGTAAGTGCTTATCCATTGACTGAGATTTCTGCACTACATGAAGTTGGAACAGAGTATGCATTATTACTACTTGATAACACCCAACCTTTTCAATTCAATTTCTGCTAATTAACATGATGATCCAGTTGATCCTCTTGAATCAAACAATCTAATGGCTTTAATGCCTGAAATATCGGCTTATGGAACATAAATATTCCAACCGGTATGCACAGTCTAATCAACTGTTAATAAGGTCTACCAAGTAGTACCATCTGTTGTGTATTGGAACACTGCATCTTTCAATAGAACTGCTGATTTGTCGATTCTTGGGATGTATCTCAATTAATGCAATTTCAAAACTCTATTTGCTCCAAAGTCAACTTGAATGTAACAATTTGAAGTAGCACTGGAAATATAATAGGTTGATTATAATAAATCGAAGAATTTACTAGCAGATGTTGCTGTATCAGCCGATAAGGTAACTTCTGATGGTTTAATATATCTAGCAGGTTCTTACAAAGCAGAATATTGATTCAAAACTGATGTTGTCAATAATTTTGGAGATTCACATGACAATGTTGAGTAGGTTGCACTTGTGACAGGACAATCAAATCCACAAAGTTTTACTGAATTTTAACCTTTAACAGTATCAAAACCAGTTCCTGTAAATGTTACTGTTGCACCTCCTGCATATGAGACTGCTGGATTATTTGAAGTCGGTAGAGATGCACTAACAATTAATTTCTATTTGCTAACATCACTTATGTAAGCATATTTAGCATCTACCAAAAGGTTGATTGAATAGACTCCTGCTGGTAAATTTGAGAAACTAGCTGTGACTGAGGTATCAGATTATGCTGAGACTGTTCCAGCTATCTTGTGACCCATATGTTCCAATGTAACAGCTATTGTAGTGCCAGTAAGTCTAACACCTGTGAATACAAGAGCAACATTTCCAGCTGTAGCCAAGTAGGCCTTTTGAGTAGAATCATAAGAAGCACCACTGATGGCTGTGAAAGTGGGAGAATTGGATGATTGATTAATAGTTAAACTAAAAGTGGCTGTGAGAGGAACTGCTGAATTATTTTCAGAAGGCAATTGGGATAATGTTACTGTTGCAGATGCAGCTGATTATCTGGCCATTCTACATTTAATTTATGCACTGGAAACTACTGATAATTCAGTACACTCTGTTGTTCCAATTTTAACACTTGGAGATTTGTCAGCATTAAATCCATATCCATTTATAGTCAGAAGCTATCCTCCGATGGATGCAGCATCAATTGATGTAATACTTAATCCAATTACTGTAACCCAGATCTTATCTGCATAACCATTTTTAGTTAAAATATAAGTTGAGTATTATCCTTGAGGTAAATTTGGAATTGTATAAGTGAAGGAAGATCCAGAAATAGTAGCTGTAACTGTTTATGTGATTGGACCCTTGAATACTACTGAGACTTCACTTGTTAATCCTGTTCCTGTCAATGTTTCTGTGTCCAATGGAGCATACGTCTTTTATTGACTTAACACTAAATCAGCAGCTGAAAGCATATCTCTTCTGGGGGATTTACCAAGATTTAAAATATGATCATTTCCTTGTTTTTTTGATTCTTCTGTCCATAAAAATCTCTTTCTTTGAACCAATTTTTAATAATCAGGTTTCTAATGGTCACTTTCTGTCAAAATTCTTGATCCAGTAAACAAAGTGGTTGATGCTGGATAATCATTAAGAACTGGAGTCAATGTATTATCATAAGTAAATTTACAATTATTAGTAGTATCAAGACATACTGATTCAAGTGTCACTTATAATGCTACAACAACTAATTAAGCTGGATCATTATAATATTCATTTTTTGCTGGAACTGTGCAATAAATCACTTCACTTGTGAATCTACTTTCATCAATTTCGCAAAGCCAATTTATAGCAATACCTACAAAAACTAGAGTTTCTCCCTTAATAAAATTAGATCCTGTAATTTTAATAACTGTTCCTCCAGCTTCAGAACCTTTAGCTTAACTGGTGCCATCTTCTAAAGTTACACTGGTAATTGGGATGATATACTTAAATGAGTTATCACCAGTATTTGCATATGAATTACCATAATCCTTCCTTGTAACAGTGACTAAATATTCGCCTGGCATTCCTCCTCTTAAATAAACTTTGATGGAAGTATTTGTCACTGAAATAACCTTCGCATTATAAGATTTAGTTCCTACTAAAGTAACTTTGATATCTTCAACAACAGTTCCGAAATTGGTTCCTGTGATTGTCATTTCTCCCTTGAACACTGGTGATTTTTAATTGAATTCTAAAGATTAAATTTACATTCTCAAAGCATCATCATATGAAAATGAACTACTAGTAAGTGTTTTTTAGTTGAATGACAAAGAGATAGCTCCAGTTCCTCCACTAGCTTTCTTAGGACTGATGAATACAATTTAAGTATTTGTTATTGATAATGGATGAACATCTTAGCCATCAATTTTGAATGCGAACTCTCTATTTAAATTCTTAGGGAATCCAGAACCAGTGATGGTAATAGTAGTGCCACCATCTGGTGATCCTGTTGCTGGTAATACAGAGGTTATAACCAAATTAACAGTCTCTCCAGTTACTCCACCATCTACTTTAGAAAATCCGATAGATTTATGATGTACAGCAGGTACTTAATTATCTCCAGCTTCCTTGATGTTTTACCCATTCAATTATTCTAATGTACAAGAGATAGTGTGGGGTGATGTAAGGGTAGCCTGAATATTTGTGCAATCAGCTCCTGCAAATGATATTGATAAGTCAGATTAAGTAACCTTTAAGCCAGTTCCTTATGTTAAAGTTAATGATAATTGAGATCCTGAAACTGTATAAGCAGATAAAGTTGGGGTCTTTGCATCACTTAAAGTGAAATCACAGGCATCAGATTATTCACAACCAGCTAAAATATTTTCAGTTTCAACTACAACATCGTTTTCTTTCAATTGGTATTAAACCTCAACTTAAACTTAGGGATGTTGACTATAGGTAAATAATAATTCATTTGGAATTGGTTCAAATAATAAATTAGTACTATCTGTTATTGGTTAAGAGACAGCAATAGTAACATCTCCATTTCCTGAAACCAAAACGTTGCTTGAAATTGATAAGTCAGTAAGTCCTTCTACATGTGATCTTAGAACGATGTACCATTTCCATCCATCTTATGCTCTTCCGACAGTCCAGACAAAAGGTCTTTAACCAGTGATTCTTTCAATGTTATCAGCAATCAACGAGGATGAAGCATCGAAGGGTAAATCATAATTGCTTTCTGCTACTTAGAATAAAGTCTCAACTCCGTTTATTGTAATCTTTAATTAAAAGGTTCCACTAATTGGATCAACAGGTTCCTGAGTTCTTACAGCATTTGACACTGGTGTGCCTCCATTTAAACTAGGTGAGACGATTTTTGGAAGTGCTCTATATTATACAGTACCTCTGTGAGAATCAAATGTAATAGTATATTTATATCCAGCAAATGTTGTTGCAGCATCGTCTAAAGCAGCTCCAGTGTTATCTAATTTTGTAGCTATCACAGTGACTTAATAATTGCCACCACAGTTTTAAATGGCATTTTTAATGGCATTTGCATTTGCATTAGGAGTTATATCTCCAGTAGTATAAGAATAATAGACAGTTGTCTATGGTGTTGTTTTAGTACCAAAGGTGAATTAAAGTTAATACTTACCTGCTAATAAAGTATTTCCAGCTGAATTGTATAAAGTTAATTCAATTACTTCTTTAACTGGTGTGTAGGATGATGAAATTTAATAGACACTATTCAATGAATTAGATTTTCTAGTTGCACTTTCAATTTCCATGGAGAGAGTGAGATATCCACCTGCTCCACCATTAAGATGATATGCTTCAATGTAATAGAATTCATCTTATTATAAAGAAACTGAGCTAGATATTGTTTTAATTGAGTTAGAGGTACTCAAATATTCATACCAATAGTTTCTGTATGGATTCCATCCACTAGCAGCAGTTGCTGTATCAGGTCTAATTGCCTATTTAGTTTAAGCAGTTTGAATGAAGAATTATGAACAATCATCTGAAGCAATATAAAATTTATAATTGCCAGTGAATGGTGCTTTTAAGAATCCTCTGAAATATTATCCATAATATTCTCCAAATTAGTTTTAAACATCAGGTTCTGGATAAATTCCATTGAATTAAATTCTACTGTCTAATTGAGCTTAGTTAGTAATGATCTAGGTTCTGAAGGAAGCACAATTTAAATTCAATCCTGAAATATCCCATCTTGTATAATGTAATCCACTTCCTTAAATAAAAACTGAACTCTCAGTAGCATCAGCAGCACTTGGTAGATTGCTCAGTTTTGGTATCTTTACATTAATAGTAGTTGGAGTTGATGATAAAACTTAAATAGTTTCCGCTTAGCCTGAAATCTTGACAGCATTTTCAGTGGCTATTGGACTAAAACCATATCCCAAGATTTACAAAATTTAACCTTCTGGGGATGCAAAATTCGTATTTATCCCAGTTATAACTGGAAGAACTCTAAAAATTAAGAATAATCAATACTTTGAATTATATGTCCTATCAGAATAAACTTTCTTTTATTTTACCCCTACATCATTGTTTTGATATCCACTCTATGATTTAATAGTATAATCATAATATCCTGCTTTGATTTCAGCTGAAACTTAACATACAACTTAATCATCCCAAAAATTAATCTCATCTGGATACTAATCTTAAACTGTGAATCTGTCACATCTGTTGGCTCCCATGAATTATCCTTCTAGATATTAAACCAATGTGCTAGACACAGCCCACTTAGCCCTCCAATAGCTTAGGGTTCTTGGATAATTTGATCTTGGACTAACATAAAATAATTTTGGTGTATAGTATTGAGAGTAACTGTAAAGGCATTTTGAGGAAATTGAAGCGCACACTGAGTCTGGTTTACCTGATACCTTGACAACAATTTATAAGCCAGATAAGTTATTGTCATCTGAATTTGGTTTTGATGTTCTGCAGTTCATGAACAATCCATTAACTCCCTTGTCGGAGATAATACATGGATATTTGCCAATATACACCGCATTATTGCTAGCAGTCTAGTCTAACCCTTGAACCTTTAAGAATATTTATACTCTTACTTTCATATAAATTGTTGTTCCACCCATTACAGAACCCGAAAGGCCAGAATTTTCCTATCCCAAAATAGTTGAAGCAGCTAAAATTACAACTGCATCTGAAGATGAATCTGTTGAAGAGTCCATCATCATGGCTACAATATTATTTGATCTAATTACCTTCAACATTATTGCTTAATAGCGCAAGTAACATGCTTGTAAATGCTATCATTAACATGAAAATGTTTTATAAATATTAATGATCTTCTGCCAATTCTCGATCCCTTTTATACCCCTTCACATCTTGATTAATCTCAGTTTTAATTTATCACGTACTCAAAAATTAAATGTATCTTTTTTCAAAATGTATTAGGAAAACAAGATTAAAATCTTATAATAGCGATTTTCTTCCCATTAGGGGTACACTGTTTATATTAAAGGAATTTTAAAATCAAAATCTAGCCCAACTTTTTCTCACACTTTTTTTTTGTGACTTACTATTCTTTTAGATAATTCAGAGTCACTCTTGGAACATAATTATTTAAATAGCATTGAAATATAATAGTTAGAAGAGTAAGGAAAGAGAAAAAATGGTTTTTAGCAAAATCATATTTAATGAAGTTAAACCACATTCCTCACTTAAGTCATTTTATTCTTTCCAATTAAGAAATAACTCATAAAATTTGACATTCATATATAAAAAACTAACAAAATTCTTCATTTTCTTTCTTTATTTTGCTGATCCAAATTTATTGATATCACAACAGCAAAAATAATTTATATATAAATTCTAGAGCCATCAATCATTTTATAATATTATTTTTCTTATAAACTAATTATATACAATTAATCAAATCTGCTTAAACATATTAAAAAAATTGGAGACCCCAATTTTCTTTCTTACACAGAACTTAATTAATATAAGTAAGCCGTTAAATATGATTTGAGTGACTATATCATATAGTTTTAAATATACTTAGAATATTATTGGTTTTATTAGTTATGAAGGCTTAAAATTTATAATAAAATATTATTGTAGATTTATGAACTAAGACCTTTTTTCATAGTAACTGCCATGATGAATTAGTATAATTAGCTTTGACAATTGAACTGATATTTTATATATATAATTGTTAAAATTAACTATGGATTTAGAAATATAAATATAGGACATGTTTTATCAGCTCATACTGATTTTTGAATTTATTTAAAAATAATAGTTAATTATTTGAAGAATATCAAATATCTATTTGTTGGTAACTAGAAATTCGAAAAAGACAATCCTTTCTTTTTGAATTAACTAAATATCGAAAAATTACTTATCTCATCATCTCCAAATGATTCCTTCTTCTTTTCTTAGAAATCTTATCTAGTTAGTTATTTGTAACTATCTGTATTTTCTTAAGGTTATTTTAGATCTCATTATATTGAAATAGCAAGGAGAATCTTATGTCATATGTTTAAATTGCTTTTATTATTTAAGAAGTTGTTATACACAATAGAAACTGCTAATTAGTTGATTTTATTTCTTTTATAGCATACTTTTTGAGTTTATAGACTTAATCATTTTGTTGCTGATAATTAACAATATATAAATTATTTCTAAGCATCTCATTTTGAAGTACATCTCATTATTAAATTATCTCAATATTCTTTTATTAAATCATTTGCCTCTCCATCCTTCTTAAATTTTGGTATAAAATAATTAATCTACAGTTTGTTATTTTAGAATTTAAAAGTCTTACCTCTTCTTCTCTATTTTTGAAACGTTATCTCTATATTAGAAAATCTTTTCATGTCAATAAATTTCAATATTGGTTATTTGGCAAAATACTAGCTTCCAGTATTTATTTTGTTGAGTTTCTAACTTTTTTAACACGATATATATGTACATATATATACTATATTGATTCTATTCTTCAACTTCTTTTTATTAATCAACATTATAAAGTAACATTCTTTCAAATTTTAGTTTAACTTGATGGACCATAAACATCTTTTTGTAAAAATTTTAAATCATTTTATCAAGATGACCAATCCATTAAGTAGACATTAAATTTTACTCATGTTAATTTTTATCATTAATAATTAATAATGTTTTCTTTTTCATAACCATTTTTTTTAACTTTAATTATTTGGATACCGCTTTATTCCAATTTCTCAACTTAGATAATTACTTATTTAAGCATTCCATCAATAAATTAGTAAATACTAATAATTTTTTATTGATATCTAAATATGAATTTTCTCTTAGAATTTTTTTATAGTTATGTATTAAATATTGAAGAATTATTATTTTCGAAATTAGTAGTATTTCTTTATTCTTGTTAAAGAATTGTTTATATTTATAAACATGATTAAATTTATTGCAAGAAAAATTGAGAGATCTTCCTCCTTAAAAAGAGATCAACAAAAAAACGAAGAGGAATTATAATTCGAATATCCTTTCAATATTCAAAAACCTCTAGCAATATCTGATCAAGAATACAGCGACGATTATTAGTTATTGAAATAAAATCCTCCTGGGGTGAGTTTAAAATTAAACATTGGAACACCAAAAATAGAAACCCCTTCGAAGTTACCTTACGTCTTAGACGATACTCTTTAAAGGTAATCATAATTAATTAATTACCAGATAAAAAGGAAGAATGAAATTCTATGATGATGCCAAGAAATATGGGTTTCTAGTTCTTGATGAAGATGGAACAGATGTATTCGTTCACTATGACGATCTTTAAGCCGCAGGAATTACTATCGAAAAAATGAAGCTATACAAAATTGTTCATTAGTATTCATTATTCTAAAGATTAGGAATAATCCACAATATGTTAAATTTACAAAAAATGGAGGCCCTTACTTCGAATTCACTCTAATGAATTATATGGGGAAATATAACAAGAGTAGAAAAGCTATAGATCTATAATTATTGAATTAAACTTGATATTAAATTAATATTGGCTATTATCATAATCTAAAATTTTATTTTCCATCATCATATATATTATAAACACCAGTTTATTATTATCATATATCTACGGAGATTCCTTTAAATTAAGGAGACTATTATGCAAATAAACTGAATCATAAATTTATTCAATCAGATTTAAAATATCATTATTTTTTTCAACATGGGCTGCTGCACTACTAAAAATAAGAAATAATTAAAGGATATAGACCATTTCGTGAATATGCTTAACAAAAACATGAATGACGAAACAAAAATCTAAGAGAGAAACAAAGCATTTTAAATTACAAAGAATCCAATATTTTAAAGGAGACTATCATAAAAAAAGGAGATCTCTTTGACCAAACAAACCTACTCCTATTTAGAAAGAAACAACTAAACTTCTAAAAATTATGAATACATATGATCTTATCTTGTGTTGAATATATGTTATAAAGAAATCCTTTTTTTTGGGCTTAAATTCTCTAGATCTTCTCATTACTATTAAGAAAATAAGAGTTCTAATGATATGACTTGAATCAGCTAACCAAAAATTCTCACAAAGAAATTTGGCTTTATATCATGGTTTGGAATTTTACTTTGTACTTACGATATATGAGATATTTAAATACAATTTTAGATAGAGATTTATTCTTTCATATAAAAAAGTGAATTTGCATCACTTGTAAAAATTTTGAACTATTTTATATAACTGAAAAAATCAGGATATGTAATAATTTGAAATAATATATTAATAAAGAAGTTTATTTGGTTCCAATGTAAATATTATTTTTATAATCATCTGTTGTTACAAAGATTAATCATTCATTTAATACATTAAAATGCATTTCAAACTATCCTTGCACATGTCTTCTTGATTTATGGCAATCACAATTTCTTTTAGATGAAATTAAATTAACTTAAGATAAATGAGGACTTCACAATTTATTCATAAATAATATGTTGAGTAGATGTGTTTTTCAAAATCAATTCTTTCTAAAAATACTTAACCATTTGCTAAATTCTTGATGGAACTGAAAATAACATTGAATAATTGAAACAAAAAGAATAATTTAAGGACATTTCAAATTCATCTATAAATGTTATTTTCTGTTTATAAAAATATTTAATTTATAGGTAAATTATGAAAATTACTATATTTAATATAGAAACTAAGTGGTTGCCTTTAAATTTAATCAAAAATAAATCGTTTCATATATTGATATTTAAATTTTGGTAATAAATAGATAAAATTATCAAGTTAATTGTCATAAATCTTTTGTTTTAATTATATTGTTAGAATCATCAAAAACTGAATAAACTGAAATTTTTATCAATTTATCATTACGATATTAATTTTATAAACATTAAAAAAATAAAAATGGGATGTACTTAAGGAAAATATCAGTAGAAAAGGGCCTCCTTTTAATATGAAATTTACGAAAGAGTTTAGCAAGATTAAATAAAAGAGGAAAAAATATACGATGTTCATAAAAATCCAATAATTCAAAGAAGAGTCAAAACTCATTCACAAACCCCTGATTAATAAAGCAGAACTAAGCAATACTCTGATCTCCTTCCAAATTAGAAACCTTAATTTTGAAAAAGTCCAATAACTAAGCGAGTTATAACTTGTATCTACAAACTTTATATAGTAATCTTAAAACAGCATAATGAACAATATATTTTCGGAATATTCGTATTACCGATTGTATTCTTTTCTTATTTTTGGTTTTCCTCTTAAGTTTTTCTAAATTTATATTTTACTTACATAATTTAAGGAGAGTAGACAATTATGCGAGTGTTAAGAAGTATTTATAGAATTTGTAAATTGAGAAAAACAGCATAGCCCTACTATACTGAATATGAAGCTCAGTGTTATTTACAAAATGAGAAACTGTATTAATGGGGAAAGAATAGTTCACATCATAGCTTTCTAAAGTCAATGAAATATCTTTAATTAAAAATTTTCAAAGTTCTATTTCAACTAGTATTCATCATTTATGAACAAAAAATACTTAAACTAATATTGGTCAACTAAAATATATATCTGTGGTTGTAATTCCTCTGTATCCTTTAATATTTCAGAATTTTGAATTTATCAATTGTTGCCGCATAGAATTTTAATTTTGATTTTCAAACTTCGAAATCAAACAATATATATATATATGAGTATGATGTTAGAAAGTAAATGATTATAGAAAATAAAATCCAATTTATATAATCAAATTAAATCACATAACCTTTGAAAACTGCTATAATTTTATTATGAACTCATTTTAAGCATATGTAGTTAGTAAAATTTATAAATTATTTCATTTTTTATTAAATGTTTTATATAAATCCTCATAGGCTTTCTATAAGATTTCAAAATTTTCAAATTGTATTTGATATTTATAATGAAATAAGTGTGAGTAGATATTTTAGAAAATAATATAGAGTTGATATAATTTTAATTAATAATTATTGTTAATATTAATCTCAAAGTTTAATTGGATATTATATGTATTATAATAAATGTGATTATTCCATTTTCTTAAAATTAAATCAAGTAAATAATGAAGAGAAGCCTTTTGAATTGTCTTATTCTAATTCAAAGTTAAGAAGCCCTAGTTTTAGTTTCTGATTTGAAGGATACGTTTAATAATAAATTAGTTAATACTTGCCAAGCTATTAAAGTAACATGAATGATATTGTTAATTAATGTGATGATTAAAGATATATATAACTCTATCACTAATTTGGTTTCTATTTAGAATTAATCTACTGAAATTCATTTCTTTTATAAATTTCATTTTCTGGAGAACTGTTTTCTTTTTGTTCTAAAAAGGAACTTTGCTCTTTCCTAAGGGTAATTAATGAGTTAATACTTTCTAGTTAAGATTTCATCATATTTCTACAATTTTTCAGAGATAAATGTTAGTTCAGTAACATATTCTTTCATTCTTATATTGTATAAGTCTTTCATAGCTTCAAAACACATTTATGCATCATCGTAACTCTAAACATCCAATTAAGTTACTTGTTCATTCAAATAGAGTTCTACTTTTTCTTAAATTTACTTTTTGTTCAAGGGCATTCCATTTTACTATGGTAATATTTATTATTAAGTTTGAGGTTTCTTATTATTTGAGTTTACTGTCCCACTTCTTTAGTATTATTCTAATTCCCTTATAAGAACCAACTTTTCTTATTCCAACCTTTTGACTACCGCCTCCAAATCTACTTTTTCATTCCTTCTTATCTTAGTATTATTATGCTGATAGTACCTCATTTTCTAATTAACCAACTCTTTAACTAAACCTTAATGTTGAGAAAGTCTCTTCTAAATTATCATTCTCAGAACTAATAGTCGCAATCATTACAGTTTTACAATTACCTCCAAGAGAATCTTTGAGGAGAGTAGTCATTAATGAATTTCTATAAGGGATATGTTATCTGTTGGCACCCTTCATTCTTTCATTTAAAGCTATTATGACTTGTTCTAGATAGGTTAAGGAAAGATTAATATATTTGGCTTCATTTAAGAGGTTACCCTCAACTTAGGATTTACTGATTCTTTCAGATCCAGCCAAATCAACTAAGTGCAATTTGCTAACAAAATAAGTTTCGGTGGTTGTATCGCAACCTTCAAGAGTCACGGTGAATATACAATGTGATCTGGAACTTGATTGATTCATTGGAGTTGAACTTACCTATCTAATGAAATTGCCCATCATGAGCAAATCGATACCTTCTTGCTCGTTATTACACGAATGGATTGATAAGTCTCTTAAATGGATATTATCTTAATCATCTTCATATAGTGCTATCTAAGAATCTAATAGAAATCAAATACTTTATTCCATTATTCTAAAGGAATTTCAAGGTGTCTCTTTTCTAATAAATCATAAGCATTTTCATTATAAATTTCCATAAAGGAAATGTATATTTTATATTGGAACTTGGTTCGCTTGTCAATTTCATCAAAAATATAGGAAAGTGTCCTTGGAATCACTCCTCTTAATTGCCATGTTTCAGCCCCGCTCATAGTATATGTTTTACCAGATCCAGTTTAACCATAAGCAAAGATTGTAGCATTATAGCCATCTAAGAAACTATATAAGTTCAAATTGATGGAGTACCTATTTATTACAGGGACGGTGACCTTACTAAAAACTTAATCTTAAGAAGATTTTTGATCAAATACATGAGTAAAATTGAACTCTAGATTATCTCTATTATTATTGATCATTCCCAATTTCACATTTCTGGGTAATAGTACCTATAATCTCTTGTTATGATATAATTAATATTGCATTGAATTTTAAGATTGACTGTTTAGATTACAATAATTACTTATTGGATGGTTTCAATCTTAAGTATACTTCAAATTGCGATTTCATGCGCAGATAGAAATTTAATATATTATTCTAAATTATATTCCTAATTACAAGAAGTTTAATAATAAATGAAATATTCCAACATATATATTCATAATATCTTAATAATAGCTCTTCCTATTTTGAGATAATTCTTCTTATTCTTTGTATTTTGTAACTCTCTATTAAGCTTTTTCTTTAAAATAAGAATTCTTTAATTGTCTAAACAATCTAAATAATATTTTATAGGTAAAGTCTCTTCTTAAATATCTATGATAATAAAAATTTTATTTTATTTCATACAAATCATTAAAGATGCTTAAGATATATTGAAATTTAATATCATCAATTTACTATTTAATTACATTCTGTAATTTTATTTAATCCAGCGTTTGATTTATGATTTTGGATAAATATCTGTCAAGATCTTTAATCTCTTTAAATACTGTATTGAAAAATAAGAATGAAACTTTTTAGTTCTCTTTTTTATTAAGCATTATTAAAGAGGCGAATCTTTAAAATTGAATATAATCTTTAAGTAAATAAACACTAAAATTAGATAATGATTTTTGAAATTGAACTGGCAACATTAATTAATTAATTAAACAAACCCTAAAGTCTTTAATCCTACTTATTTATTAATAATTTTAGTCTTATTAAATTGAATTCTATTGTATTTTTATAATGATACATTTATAAATTTCAAGACATTAGTTGATTTATTTAAAATATATGATACTTCTTTTTTTGGAATTGATGAGAACTTAAATTTGATAGGAATTGAACTTGTACTTTTATCAATATATGAATTGTTTTATATTAATTTAAAGTTCCTGTGGTTCTTCAAATCATTTAATGAGTTTACTTAGAAAATTAGGATTTGGAGAAGAAGATACAGAATATATTGATTCTAAATGTACATATATAAGCAGCACTCAATTTATTAAAACTAATTATTTAATTAAATAAGAATTAAAGATTATAATATATAGGAGAAAAAATATCTTAAGAAGAAGAATGGGCTAACTAAATATTTTTATAACTTTGTAAGGGATTTTTGTTAAGCATGCAAGAATAAATAGCATTAATTGTTTGAAACTTAATATAAGTTATCCGATTCTTGATGTGTGATCAATTTAAGTGATTCTCATTTTGATGGAATGAATTTGTGAAATCTAAAAAATAATTGGGATATAATGCTATTTGACAAGGGAAAATGAACTTTGTTAAAGAGAAATCAAAGTTTGTTACTCAAAATAAAATTTTTTATTCTTTTATTAATTAGAAAAAACTAAAATTTATAATTTTTTATCTGTTATACAATTTTTCAAAAATTTAAATCTCATTATCAAATAAATGAAAAGGGCTGCGTTTCACATTAGAAAAACTAATAACCACACAGAGTACTAATCCTAAATATAGGGGATGATATTTTTTATAGAAAAATAAAAAAATGATAAATCAAGATTATCATCAATGATCTTCTAATCATGTTAAACACGAATTATTATATCATATTCGGTAAAAATAAACATCTGTCGATGCTATATGAGTACCTTTGATTTTTTAAATTATGTGTTAATATCTAGTATGAGTTTTGAATAAATTTAATGTTATTAACAAAATATTGTTTATAAGAGCGCCATCGATGCAATAACAAGTTATTAATTCCTGAATTTTCTAGACTCAGGAAAAATGCATTAGACAATTGTTCATTCCACACTGTGCAAGTAGAAGTGATCAAATAAGTCAATCTGTATAAGATGACGGCTCAAAAAAAACTTTGTTAAGACTCGCAGACCAAGAAGCACCTTCTTCAATAGGATTTCTGATGATAGATGATTAAAATAAACAGGATTCATATTCATAGCAATAGTTAGATAAATAAGAAAACGATTTCTAATAATAGAGTAATAATAAAAAGAAAGGTAAATAATTTGCCATACTTTTATAATTATTTCTATAGAAAGAAAAAAACATCATAGCCTCAAATATCTCAGTTGGCAGGTTCACAAACTAGTTGGATCACAAAGAGAAACTACATATAAACAGATGGCAGATTAGCTTGCCTCAGAAATAAGTAAATCAAGTTTATCTGTAAATATAATAATTAATTTTTTTATATTTTTTAGTCAGATAGTAAAAATCTCAAACGTAGAGTTTATGATTCCATTAATGTAATGGTTGCCCTAGGAGTACTAGAAAAGCAAAAAAAGATCATCATCAAAGGATAGATGTTTCAATAAAATCACATGACTAGTAAATATGTCAGAGATACTAGAGATAGATATGAAATTTTAAGAGTAGATTAATCTCTATATATATTAGTAACAATAATATGAAGAATTGAAGAGGAAGAAAATACTATTTTAAAAATTGACCGATTAGGCAAGAAGAATAAATGCATTAATAGATCAAAATAAGTATCATAATACAGCAATATCCATTATTAGACCACTCTAAAAAGATGAATCGGACTTTTTACAAGGTCAATAGCCTAAAATATATTAATTCCCAATCATGATTTTTAAGTTACCATAAAATGCAAAAGTATTATATTGAAATATACAATAGCTTAATATCATAACTATTGAAGGGAAAACTATAGTCTAAATATTATCAGATCACGAAATTAAAATTGTTGGTGATTATGATATTTTGCCTTTAATCAAAAGGGTTGAAGAAGCAAAAGACAAAAATCTTCCTGGACCTATGTTGAATTTATGATTAACTAATAATGAAAATTTTGCCATCATTTTCCAACTAAAACCATAAATATCCACTTTTTAGTATTTTTAAAGAAGCAATATGTTTATATTTAAATTTTAATTAAGCGGGAAAATTTAATTTTAAAATGCAATGTAATTTTTATTTAACCAATCAAAATCTTTATTCTTATAAAATCAATAATCAAGTTTCATTAATATAAAAGGCTTGTTTATACTATCTAATAAATCTATTAATTGGGTCAGGATAATGTCTGAGATTATAGTTTATATTTAAATTCTTAAATTCTATCTCATAAAATTGTAATTTATCCTTGACTATTTTATTGAATCATTTTATATTAAGCAATCTTTAAAGCTGAAAAATATCTAAACTTTTATTTCAATTTAATTCCAATATAAAAGATGAAATTCTGTAATAGTGATTCTTAAATGTTGAAACCATTTATTGTTTTTAAATGATTTACAAGTCCTACATCAATAATTGAATTAAATATCAACAAAAGTTAAAGTTATTTTGAAAAGATCAAATAATTATCCACATACTTGCTATAAATTCTTTATTAATTGCATTCATAATACTGTAATCAAAATAATAGTCCTAATCAAGAAATTATTTACACTATATTGAATTGCTAATAATAAATGGAATTTTTTATTATAAAACTAATTTTATGGTATTTCCTGAAGTCTTAGAGTGGTTTTCTTAATGATTTTAAGGAATCTAATTCACATAGAATTGAAGATGATGGAACAGATAATATATATTGAAACTAAAATTATAATACTGAAAAAATTTTTGTAGAAATAAATTTAATACCTACTTAATGAATTCAAAAATTATCATGAACTGAAATTCTAGTGCTTTAAATTCATCATTAAATTATTTCTTGTAATTTGCAAGAACTCTTATTTTTATTCTCAACTTCTATTCTATCAAGATGGTTCAATAAATTATTCAAACACACTCATTGTACTCAAGGAATTCATAGAGATTTTTATGATAATTATTTTTTATAATATATTTACATGTCTAAATAATTTGAAGGATAAAATATTATAGAAGGTTATCATATAGAGGTGGAGCAGGTCTTAAGCAATGTAAAATACAATATGTATTAGTTTCAGAATGTCCATCCATATGATATTAAATGCCCGGTATGTTTAAATGTATATTTGGATCCAATATCATGTGATTCATGTATGAATCATTTTTGCAAGGAATGCTACCAACAGAAATAAGTAAGTATATAATGATGATGAAAAAGAGCACTAAATGCCCTTTATGCAGCCATCAATGTGAGACAAGAAAAGCATTTCCACTTCTAAGATAATTATTGAGTTAATTAAAAATTCGATGTCATCATTTTGACTAAGGTAAAGCTTCGATTATGAATATAGGGTGTTAAGTAATAGTAGATTACGATGCTTACGATAAACATGTTAAGCAATGTGATTATAGCGAAGAAGTTTGTGGATTAGTGGATGGCAAACTACAATGCAATGTCATAAAATTTAAGAAAGACATACAAAATCATAGAACCTATGAATGTAATTATAGATAATGTGAATGCTGTCATTGTCATTAATTTGTAATTCATATTCTGATTATTCTTTAGTTTAGCAGCTTTAAATTATAAATGCATGAGCTAAAATGCGAAGAGGCTTTAACTAGATGTCCAAAATGTCACACTTAAATTAAAATAAAGGATCAATCTAGCCATCTCTTAATTTGTGATTAGAACATAGAAAAATGCATTTATTGTAGTGGAGAATATGCTTGGCATCAATTATTAATACATCAAAATGAATGTCCACAACGAGAAGTTTGCTGTGTTGGTTGCTCTCAAAAGTTTACTCTTAGTGTTTATTACATACATCAAACCAACTGTCCCAAATTTCCATAAATATGTCCTAGTTGTAATCAAAAAGTAACAAGGGAATAGTTTGAAAATCATAATTTTAAAGATTGTTTGATATACATCAAATCTTAGCATGATTAAGAAATTTAAAATTTAATTCAAAAACATAAATAACTTGAAATTGAATTAGGCAAAAAGGATACAATTATAAAGTAAAGACAAATAGGATTTTAGGTTTTCCAATCGATTTAAAGATCCAGATATCTTTCTAAATTTAGATAAGACAAATGCATTAGTTAAACAAACAGCAAATAAAAAGAAGGATAGATTTGTTTTATTTAACAATCCCATTTCAGAATAAAGAAAATAATGGAAGTTTAAGTATGAATAGTAGAAATAATAATAGATGTTCTCAAGTTAAAAGTTCTTGGTATGCAGTTGGTATTACTGAGTTGTCCACTTTGCATTCTCAAAAAAAATATTAAGATATAGGACATGGATCATACCTAGTATCCTCAAATGGAACTATGTACAACAATCATAAGGATGATCAGAATTCAAAGGAGAGTGACTTTAGGATCAATACGAATGATATCATTATTATTATAGTAGACTTAGAGGCAGACTTATTGATTCTTTATAATACCACTTAAAATTTATCACTTGAAATCGAGGCAGCCTTTGAAGGTAAAGATTTTTATGGATGTGCTTGTTTAAGAACTGCAGGAGATGAAATTTAAATAATTTAATGATTTTATATTATAAAATTAGCTATTAATTTAGTTTCTTGTAATGTAGTTTTCTTAGTAATTGTAGTTAGAATGTTTTGATATTCAATGAAAAGTTTTTTAAATTTTATCATATAATACAAAATTATGTGATATTTATTAATACGTATTCAAAATAGTAAAGTATCATTTATTACAATTAATAACTTATTAAAATTTTTGGAGAGTAAAAATATAAAATAATGAAACAAATTAACTATTCTATTTTTGATAAATGCCCTACTAGAAATACGACCCTTTGGAAAAAAGGAGCACCTAAAATTCTTCAAATCGATAGAGAATTAAGATAAACTTCAAAAGAAGCTCCCATACTAATAAGGGACGAAATGGACAATCTAATTAGCAGAAATTGCTATCATATGATTAACTCCTACTTCATATCAAATAACTGCTACATAAACATCAATAATTTACGCCTAAAATCTGTTATTTACAAAAACGTATTTATAGCTCTAATATATCTAGGTAGAAGGATTGTAAATATCTGGAAAACAGGAATGTTTATAAATTTTTGGAAATCCAGATGTTATCTCCACTTGGAAAAATTACCTATCTAAATACACTGTCTAAAGAAATTTCTATAAGAAATATCAAGTACTCAAAATGATTGGAAAGGGATCTCATGCTAAAGTATACAAAATAGAACGCATTAAAGATTCATCCATTTTTGCTGTCAAAATTTTTAAATCAGAAAAACTAATAAGCAAAGACAAAGGAATTGTATATATATTTTATCCACATTTATAGGATAGTATACTAAAGGAGATAGACATAATGAGGAAACTAGACAATAAGAATGTGCTACAATTACATGAAATATTTGAAGATGAAAATAATGTTTATTTGATTGTTGATTATTTATAAGGTGGAGAATTACTCAAATAAATTGAAAATTCTCTGGATGGATATACAGAACATCTAGTATAGAACTTAATGTACAATTTGTTGACTTCATTGAATTATTTACATTCAAAATAAATATTACATAGGGACATCAAACCAGAGAATTTAATACTTAGATCAAAGGATTGTCTGACTGATTTAGTTATTGCTGATTTTGGTCTTTCAGATATTTACAATGAATAAGGAGTTTATTTATTTTAAAGATGTGGCACAGTTGGATATGTTGCCCCTGAAGTTTTACGAGATGAATTCTATGATTACAAAGTTGATATGTTCTCTGTAGGCGTTATTCTATTTATTTTATTAACTGGAGAAATGCCATTCGAAAGTAATAGCGACACGGATGATCTACTAAGATAAAATGCTTAATGCAAAATTGATTTCAATAAACTCAACCAAAAGTCTATTAGTCCAGCTGCTCAAGACCTTGTTCGCTTATTATTAGATGAGAATCTCAATATTAGACCAAATGCATAGTAGGCCCTTTTGCATGATTGGTTTGCCACTCCTAAGACAGATACTATGGTGAGTTTATCTTTATCAAAATTACCTATATTCTAAATAAGATTAGATTAGGATGATTTTATTAAAAGTTCTACTCCACTTTGGAACTAAAAGGGATCTCCATTAAGCGAATAATCACCTCTTTTACCTGAGAATAGTTCTGAACCAGAAGATGAGACTAATTATTTTAAATAATTTATATCCACTGGATAAGACCAATACGAAATAGGTGAGGATTGCATCAATGAAGAAAAAAGCCCATCTGAAATGGTACCTAAATATAGATTGTTAGTTAAGCAAAGGAGTCTTAAATGATATTATTTATTCTTAGATTATTAATAAAATTTCTAACTTAGAAATGACCATAGCTCTGAATCATACAGATTCAAATATCAAAGATTTTTCAAATTAAAATTGTAAGTTCTTAAGAAAATATATTACCATAAGGATAATAAATAATAATTATAAATTCAATTTTGCTCAATCTATTTTAAAACTGTTTTTGTATGTAATAGATAGCACAATAAAATTTGTATAACTTAATAGTGTCTATAATATAATTTCATATTTCATGAAAATATAATTATATATATATAATTTTTGCAGTTATAAAATTTGTTTATTCTAATTTATTTGTCATTATATTTGTATATAATTGTCTATTTATAGTACAAAAAGGGAGGGAATTTTCTTAAATTTGAATAAGCGATTTCTTTTGATTTTAAGCTGTTAATTAATTTGGTAGGTTTATAATAAAATACCATAATACAATATTTATATATTCTATGCAACAGTTTTCATAAATAGGTTATAACATAAAAGTAGTTCAAAAATATATTCAGACGTTTTTTGCTTGTATAAGAAGAAATTGATTGCTATATATGGTCTAAGGTTGTTAAACATTGGAATTCTAGAATAATATATTCCAAAATTTAAGGAAGAATGAGATTCTGATATAAATTGAGTGGCTTGAATTGTATAATTTAAGACAAAAATTATAATTTGGATTTCCCTCAAGAAAACGAAATTGGGTTTATTAAAATCAATTAATCATCTTGATACTAATTATCAAATTAGTAATGAAAATTCATTGCCTATGAATTAGTAAATTTTTCTCTAGGTCCACAGTGATAAAAATTTCTATTTTGAAAAAGTTTTGAAATCTTTATTAATTCATATTTTTGGTAATATTTTAAAGAAATATATATTAATTATTTATACTTTAAATTTAAAATTAATAATTTATAATAACAAATATTTCTTAACAGGATTTAATACTTTTTTATATTCATTTAAGAATTTAATGATCATTCAATATTTTACCTTCAGAATTAAAGCCATAAATATAAAGATATAAAATGATTTAATCAAAAAAATATACTTTATATGATTGTGAGTTAATTGAGAAGAAAAGATTGAGAAATAGGATTATGCATATAATATAATAAATTATTCTTGAATTATTTTTTTTATGATATAATTTCATTTTGCATGTTTATTACACCATGGACAGGTGGGATATGCTTGTAAATATGTATTCCATGCATCTTTAAGTGCTCCTTTTCCACAAGATTAACAATTGACTGTTTAATTCTTAAGAAGAGGCATACCGGTAATAATGCAGGGCTCCCATGTTTACTTGCATTTGAAGCATCTAAAAAATAATAGATATTTATGATTACCGTAATGAAGCATCATAGATTTAATATCCACAATCACATTATCTTGTTGGTAATACTGGTTCTTAATTTTAATTTACAGATAACTAGAGTAACCAGTCCCTTATTTCTTCTTTCTCTTTGTCATTTATCAAGTTCTTTTCTGGCATTGGTACATCATAAGGTGAGGGTAAATCACTATTTTAGAATTCAGCTCCATCTCCTAATCCATTATTGTTATCAGGATCTTCAATAACTTCATATATATCCAAATATCTATTCAATAGAACAAATGCTAATCCTAACTAATTGATCTTCTTCGCAACTCTTCCAGCATCCAAATACAATTAATCGATTCTAACTAAGTCACAGTATCTCAACAATGAAATGCAAGTTTGAGCATGCAATTTGACAATTCCATCCTGAGCATATTAATTTCTCAGATTGAGTAAATGAGCAACAATGCCAAATTTTAAAAATTTCTTACCAGTTTCACTTTTAATTTCATGAGCAGCTTCCAATCCTTAGATAAATCCATACAAAGCTTATCTAAGTAACTTCAACTCTTTAGGATCACATTCAACAAAGATTTCAATTGCTAAATTCTCATAGATTGGATAATTTTATTAAATTATTGGCATACCATAAGTAGCCAATGATTGGATAGTTTCACTGAATCTTCCTTATTACATAGTGATTTTAACATATCTCATCAGATATTTGTTTAAGTATTCAACTCCATGTTTATCTGCTAATTGTAAGCATTGTCCCCAATCATTCTTTTAAGCTAGCATTTCCATGGCTGCTGCAACATCTCCAGTTTCAATCATTACATTAGCTTATCCTGTTGATGCTCCATATTTACGTTATTCTTTGGTGATATAATCCATCAACTTAGTATTTAATTCTTTATTATTAATCAGTTGTGCAACTTACTTTGCTTTTTCAAATTCTCTACCTTAAACATAAGTAGTAACTGCTTCTTAATATTATCCAACTTATTCATATAGATATGCTGCTGTCTCTAATTTCTTAATTTCAATTAATCTCTTGCAAACTATCTATACAATTCTTGGATATTTATCTTTATCATAATTGGCAGCTATTTGAATAGCTCTCTCCCATGCTCTTGTCATCACATCTTCACTTTAAGTATTTTAAGGGGTGACTTCTAAATAGATCTCTATAGCCTTTAAGTAATCTCTTTGTTCTTCCCAAGTCTAAGCACTTTAATATAAATCCTCTCCTGTCATGTTATAAGTATTGGCTACATTGCCATATTTGTTATTTAATTCTGCAACCATATGTGGAGCATGACTCTTAGCAATTTTCAAAGCCAAAGGATAATTACCTTGATTCAACATACATTTTAATTGCTAATTCAGGTCTTTTACCTTAAATAAATGCTTGTTCTGCTTTTTGAAGGTCTTTCTTCTCGATGTAGAACTTGGCTTAACTAATTAAGATTTATGTAACTGATTATGGTTCATATTGTCTAGCTACTTATAAAGCACTGGTATAATCTCCAAGATGTTCGTACATGTTGATGGCTTCTGATGCCTTGCCTGCCTTAATGAAGTTTTCTTCAGCTTCTTTGTATCTTCTTTCATCTTCCAAATGACAAGCATATTTGAAATGAACATCTTATAATTTATGTTTAGCATGTAAATTAGCCAATTTGAATGCTTCTTCAAATTCGTGTCTGTCTGATTAATATTCAATCAAAGCATCAACTAGATTCAATCTTTAAAGCATCTTCAATCCAGCATCTGGACCTAGAGATTCTGCCCATAATTTAGCCTATTAACATGTCTCTTTCTCAGATCCATACATTTTACAACATCTTATTGCTTCTTCCCATTGATTATGAGTCTTGTACATCTACATAGCTAAATGCCATGAGCCAGCTTCAATTGTAGTGTTGTTCAGCTCTTTTAAGTAATTGTTTTCTCTTTCTAATTTCTTTGCAATTCCCAAATGAATATCCTTTAATTTTTAAGGAGTGAATTTACTGGCAATTCTTATCACACTTTCATACTGAGAGAGATTTTGATACATTAAAATAGCAGTATCATACTCTTAAACTGTTAAATATAGTTTTTCAGCCTCTTTGTATTTACCAGCTTATTCAAACTTTTTACCTTGGTTCAAATATAACTATACAATTTCTTCAGGTAAGTATTCTCTAGCTATTGAAAGAGCTTTATCCCATTTGCTAGCCTTTACATACATCTCAAAGGCCTCAATAGGAGAATTAGCCTTAATATAGTATTTTTCAGCAAAATCATATTATCTAACATCCTCGTAATGTTTAGCCACTTGTCTGTAATAGGGTCTTGATACCTCAGCTGATTAATTTTATAATAATTAAATGGCTTTAGTCCAAGACCTACTGTAGACTGCTGCTTCAATAGCCTTCTAAAATTTGCCTGCCTCAACATAATGATTAATGGCACTTTCTGTTTCTTTGTTTTCAACTAGATAATTAGCCCAACTTTCCTCTAATTATTTGACCAATTTAGGATCTTTTCTTTTAGCCAATTCGACTGCCTTTTTGAATACGTTACCTTTAATGTAACAATTCAAGGCTTATTGATCGTCTTCCATCTATTCATAGAATTCACCACCTTTCTCATACATACCACTTTAGGCTAAAGATGAGGCAATCTTTTCTAATAAGTCTTATGGAAAGGACATATTGCAATTAAATACAATATTGGCAGCTTTAGCTGGTAATCCACCTTACAAATAAAGATTAATAGCATTAATAAAATCGCCTTCATTTTCCTTTAATTCAGCAGCCTTGGATTCTTATCCAGTTTCAATTAACCATTGATAATAATTCTCTTTGAGAACTTTAACTTATTCATGACCTCTCTTTTCAGCAATTTTAATAGCTTCATCCCATTTATGTAAGTCTTAATACATTCCCATAGCCTCATTTACTTCATTGTGATTAAGTAACAATTCTTCAGCCTTAGTAAATTATTTATCTAAGATAGCCAATTTAGACTAGACTTTGTAATATGATATTCCATCCTTCTTACCAGTCTCTTCATAATATTTAGAAATGAGTCTATTGATGCCTCTCAAATAGGATGCTCTAGCAACATCTCCCAAAGCAGCATAACAGTGTTCAGATACTGATAAATTTTACTCTTCCAAAGATAATTATGCTAACACTTTCCAATTGGCTTCAGTATCAGAAGTCAATTCTAATTTATCTAATATTGAAGCTGCCTTTTCAAGATCTCTTCCTTCAATTGCAAATCCAAATTCAATTAAGGCTTAATCCAATTTATAAGCAACTTTATTTTAGCCTTCACTCACAATAACAGAAGTAGAACCAGCTTAAGTAGGTGTACTAGGAATTCTTTCAATTTCTTCAACATCACCTTTAATTGTATAAAGTGTAACTTTGTCAGGATTTTCAATTGAATACCAAACACACAAATTATTTCTATTTTAAGCAACAATAACTTCACTTTCAGGAACCCATTAAGCATAATTGCAAAATGATAGAAGAGTGTGTTTAAATGCATTTTTAATTGAATATAAATACAATTATCTTCTCTTATCTCTAAATATTAACCTGTTGGCATGAGAATTCAATTCTAAGAAATCAATCTTAGTATCATGTGCAATTGTAGCAATAATACTCTTAGTGGTTAAATCTTATATCTATAATGTTTGTAGATCCAATAAAAAGGCAATCACTTTAGTCTTGTTCTACCCAGTATAACTAACCTTAGCACTGATAAGTGAATTCTTCATATGTTCAGTTCTGCAAGTACCCAAAATACGATCACTTCCATATTCAATCAAAGTCAACTCTCCTGCATTGAATACCATACAAATATTTTCATTTGTGAAATCAAACTTTTCATTTCCACTTCCTCTCCAACTGACTTCTGATGTCTTTCCTGTAGCCAAATCACCTACAATTAAAGTCTCATGTGTTTTAGCAACTACAAATCTCTCTTTTTTTATATCAATCTTTGATATTTCAGCCTATGATGATCTAATGACTGCTTATTAATTAGTCGATAACACTTAAATGACAATTTAAGATGGACCAATATAATTCAAATCGTATTTTCCCTTAAATCTAATCTTTTTCATAGAAATATCCCATGCATCAACTGATCCACATAGCGATCCAGTAATCAATTTTGATGAGTCATTCTTCCAACACAATGCTGTGATTGTGTAATAATTCTCAATATGTTTTACTCCTATTTCTTCCCATTGAGATCTCTTTTGATTGTATGTGTAAAGATAAAATCTATTAAAATTACCCAATACTATGATATCCCCATTAGGACTGCAAGCACCGACTGAGAAATCTTTACATCTTTCATCCTAAGTGTAATCAAATCTCTGAACTAGATTTCCATAATTATCATAGAATGACACTTTTTGATCATTACCAGCTGCTGCAACATGTTATCCATAAGCCAAAGCATAAGGTATTGAATGATGTACTACTAACTTTTATGATTGTTGAGTGTCTAAGTTGTAACTGTATACTGATCCATCAAGATGGCCTGATACAACCACATCTCCATCCCTATTTGTTGCCATACTTACTACATAGGATTCTGTTGTGAATGCTATTTGAGACTAATAACATTAGGAACTTGATTACTTTATTATTTTTCAAAAATCCAATCTTCACCTTTCCTTCTGCTAATCCAAATATGATATCATTTTCTCTTTATGCTGGCCATATCAATGTTGTAATTGAGGAAGAGGCTGGGAATTTATTGCAGATTGTCTTTTTCTCTTTAAATTTTGCACCAATCTTATATACATACACTATATTATCGGATTGAGCAACAGCTATCTTAGTTGAATCTGGAGAAAATTCAATTGCTCTCACCACATAAGATTTCTATTGAGTCTTATCTGATGGCTTCGTTGGGAAATTGTCCTCCTTACCCAATTAATCATTAAATAATAATATTTTCTATTTTATTATCTTCAACTCTTACTCTATCAGCTGTGCAAACTCCCAGTTTTTAGCCATTGTAAGACCATGCTAATCCACTCACTTTTTGCATGCCATCTAATGCTGGCATAATATTACAGGAATACTTAAGTTGCATTAATTTATTTAAATATTAATGTCCCTTATATTAAATCAATCATCGATTTAAAAATATTCGATCTATCTTTTATTGCACTATTTCAAATTTATATATATAAATGATATATTATCCATATGCATACAGTATTACTCTTTGAAAATTGACGTTGCTTGATTTTATCACAAATAAGTGAGATCGCTATATTCAAATTTTTAATTGTTTTTGCCTATTCTATTTGTTTTCAAATTTAGAGAGGAATATTTCTTTTTATATGCTTGTAATTGATGTAATCAAATGGATATCAGAAGAAATTAATAACCAAATCAATCTGCTTAATATAAAGTAATTATAAATCAGAGTCTTTTTGTAGGGGAGAGCGATATTCGTTAAGAAAAGTTCATTTACTATGGTGATATATAGGAAATGCTTGCTTCTCTTTTCGAACTCTATCTTAGGATTTGTGGGGGCCTTCCAGTTGAATTAACTCTAATTTGTGATGTTTAGAAGTTACCTTTTGAATGGACTCTTGTCGATTCCTAAGGACTTATCTGGAACATTAAAAAGAGGTTTTAGTTTTTTGAATTGATGACATTGATTTTATGGTACTAATTTAGTTTTATCAATAAAATTCAATTGTGAAAATGCTAATTATCATGTTATGATACACTTTTCTTCATTTTAATGATACGTCTATTGTGGAGATTGCTCATCTTCCTGAGTTTTAAAATGTGCTGTACTATTGGATTCCGAGTTGTCTGCATGGTAGTTGTTTAAGTTTTGAGATAAAGATAACAATTTATCCTTAATTTTGAATATCTGTTCTCTTAATGATTATTGCTCATTTGCATACAAATTAGACATTAACGAATAATTTTATTTTTAATATCAAATATATAAGAAATAGGATAAACTCGAAAATAGATAAGCCCGAGTTTTCAATACTTGAAAAATTTCAACAAGTCCTCTTTGCAGGATGGATACAATTTTTAATACGCTAATGAAAGTGGAATGAAATTAAAATATTATTTTAATATTGATGGAATTGCAATTCAAAAATTTACAATTTATTGGGTTTTAATTTGAAGGAGGTATTTTATGTTTGAATATAATGAGAATTAAATTATGATTACAATTAAAAATAATATAGAATGGCCTCATTTTTGTCAAATTTGCAAAAGTCTCTTTGCTTTCTCAAAATTGTAGATCTGACATTTTGCTTGAAATTACAAAGATTATTGTGTAATTTATGAGGACCAACAAATGGATTAATATGAATATTTTTATAAATATATATTATGTAAGGAAATGATAGGTAATCAGATGACTTGTAGAAAGACGCAGAAATTAAAATGATTCAAGAAAGAGAACAGAATGAAGAGCTTCAACAATTAGAAGAGAAGAAGTCTCTCTTTTCCAACACAACCCAAAGATGGATATTATGGATATTAGATTTAGTAGGATTAATTATTTTTCTTGGGTATTGCTATCTCATTCAAAGTTATCTCTCAACAATCTATTTCTTGATATTCATGCTTATTATTCAGACCTGGGAAACCAAGTTGTACAAAATAGGTATGTTTGAGAGGAGGGATTCTGATAAAAAGGTAATTACTCTGCATATTGAAGGTTTACAAAGACCCATTTGATTTTCTAGAGAATTACCCTAAAATACGGGAATAGTAAAGGCAGAGGAAAACAATTGCAGGCGATAATCAAAACTTAGAAGATGATGTCACAGAAATATCTGGTATGGATGAAACCGAAATCAAATACAAGCCCTTATATTGGATTATATTCAAAGACTAAAACCATGCTATATGGATGTTTCTTTTGATATTTTCAGCATTGACTTTAGTAATGAAAGGGACTTTTATAGGAATAATTAAAAATGATCCTCAATAAGCAGCAAATATCATGACACAATATAATTACGAAGGTCTTGAGATCTATTTCGAAATGCTTAAAAATAACAAATTTAGTATTTCCACTAAAGATTATGTTAAAATATTTTTACCAAACTCTCTTATATTTATATTTTGTTGTTTTGTGATGGCTTTGAGGAGAGTCAAGAAGAAGAAATATTTAGAATAATTTGGAGAACCCATCAATAGATAAATATTTTCATTCTATTTTATAATTATTTGGCTCTTTTTAGCAATAATTCTAATTAGTAATTAATCAATCATAGGATACATTTACTTCATTCTGGAAATTATAGTTGGTTTTAGATTCTTTTAAAAAGAAGCTACGATAACGCAATTTGATAAAATGGTTTTGAAAGTTTTAAAATTTACACTAATAACCACTTTATTAATTGTTTATTTTGCTGGCACTCCAATAATTACCTAATTTGTGGGTCCAGATTCATTTTGGCCTTAATATTTTGGTTTAGATATTATGTATTGGATGAGAACCGATTATTAATGGAATGTAAGATATTATTCTGAAATAGAGTTACGTATTCATGGTTGGAGGCTTGATATTATTTGCATTCTTATGCATAGTAACTGAGCAATTCACAAATGAGGATAGGAAAATTATATTTAAAGATGCAATACAGGAGTGTACTACCCATTATGAGATTTATCAATTTAAAAAATAAAAGTATAACACCACGATAATGGAGGAAAAAGAAGCTCCTAATTTTTAAGGATAATAGTAGGAAGAAGAGGAACAAGAAATTCAACTAAAATAATAACTAGCTGATGAGAATGAATTAAAATAAATGATGCCTGGGTAACCTGTTAGAATGTCTCATGTAGATGAAGGTGATGAAGAAGATAAAAATAAACTTCTATATAAATTAAATACAGCACTATTTTCGTTAGGAAATAAATTCACTAAATTTATTGACCAACCTATTGTCACTCTTAGACTACTTCAATTGTTAATGATCACTATTGTTATTATGCAAAAGACTTACGAGTCATTGTTGTCAGTTATTTGGATCATGATTACAGGTATATTCTCATTGTTACAATCATAGGTTTCACATTACGATATAATATTAATTCCATTACCTCTTTGATTTTGGCCTTTCCCTCCGTATTGATCAATTTTATTGTATTCTATTACTAATGCATACCTAATATGAATCGATCTAAAAATCCTTTTTAGATATGTAATTCTGATGATACTGTATGTAAGAAAATTGGTTTTTTTCAGCTTGATCAAGAATACTAACAAGTTATTAATGTAATTATTTAAAATAGTGCTCTAGCTCCTTATAATGAATATTACTATTTATACAATATTTTTATTTCTTAGATAAGTTCATAAATATGATTAATACAAATCAGTATAGATGTCAGTTAAAAAATCCTAGTTGCAAATTTAAGATAAAAAAAAATAACTGAAAGTAATTTAAAGATTATTCATTTTAGGAGGTAAGCTGGTTAACCTTAACCTTCGCCATTTTATTAAAGGCCTCCTATGTTGTTGCTTTAATCATTGTCTACTGGATAGGATTCTTCGACGTCAACCTTATCCAAGGTGTTTTAGTGGTGTTTCTTATGATCTTTATTATTAACGATTCCACACTCTGTATTTACAAGTAGAAAAATGACAAGAATGAAATTAGAGAATACGTTGTTCCCTTCTCATTTAAATATTGGATTGTATTTTTAATCTACATTTGCATCATCACAACTTTGAGATATGTATACATTTTATTCTTTATGGGATAAACAAAAATTAACGAAGAAAAACAATGGATCATAAGTTTGATTGGAATAAATAATCAAGATAATTATGACATTCTATTTTGGGTCTTATTTTATTTTGCAGCTCTTCAATACGATTCATATAGATCAAAGATATACCTTAAATATTCAAATTAAATAGTTGATATCTTCTTAGCAAAGATCAGTAATAAGGATAAATAAACTAAAATAAGAACTACAATAGAAACTCTCTATTTGTTGTTTATGAAAACCATCATTTGGATTACATTCACACTAAACATTTGCTTTATCATTTTTACACCATTTTCTTTTGTCAATCTGGGATTATTTGTATTTATAGGCGGACTCTTTTTCTATTATACATTTCAATTCATAAGAGACAAAGTTAACTACAATTCAATGTCCAGATTTTGGTACTTATATTTGTATGCACTTGTAATGGCATTTATAATTAGATATATATTTTAATTCATTTGTTTGCCTGATTACAATTAAATTACAGCTTCTAGTCTAGAAGGCCTATATAACAATTTATAACTAAAATATCAATAATATGGATTCTACTAATATAATTAGAGTAAGCTAAGAATTGAGTACTTGCCTGATATGATTGCCATATTTTTTGGAGCTATTTCTTTGAACACATATCAATTTTTTAAGTAAGCATAAAAGAATAAGTTAAAATTGGCATCTATGACAAATCAAGTTCCAAATACAATAGAAAAGCCACTCTTATCTGCAGATTCATTATTGGAGCAGTCTGGTTCCAGTGATGTTGCGATTACTGATAAAATTGAGAAACAATAATAGAAAGATTTAGAGGACTTAGTAAAGATTATGAAAATCAATATCTTAGATGAATATAAATTCCTTCAAAAACCTATAATGTTCATAGCATAAATTAATACAGATTTACTGACTTTATATGTTGTATTTTCTGTGGTCTTTTTTGTATAATCAGTTGCATCCTTCATTATTTTGGTATTGTATTTGAGTTATTTTGTAACTGTTCATAATGCATTACTAGATAATGTGGAAGAAAAAAATTTGTTGGCAAGACTAAAATAAAGTATTTTTTCATATTAATTTTTTTAGAAATTGTAAGTTTGAAAAAAAAATATGTTGATTACAGTTCTAAATCCAACGATCAAAATGACAATGAAGATGAAATAAATTTAGTGTAGGCTACTAATCTTATCACAATGACGAGAATGAAAATTCGTATTGAAAAAAAGGTTTCAATTTGGAAAATCTCCTTTAGTTTTAGTTGTTTTTGTGTATTTTTGACCTATCTATCGTAATATTTATCTTTAGCCATTTAAACTGATAATGTAGACGCATAAAAAGGAATTTTAGATGCTTAATTAGGGTTATATATATTTGGTACCTTTGCTTAAGAACTTTCTGGCGCTTAAACATGTTTTTGTGGATAGTTTGATCCCAGTAGCAGTTGTTATGGATCTCTTAAGACTGGTTCATCCACTATTTTTGATGAGGTATTATTCTATTTAATTCTTGTATTTGCAAATGTTGTTGATGCTGGATGCACAATGTTTCTTAAAGAACAACTAGAAAAAGAATAGGAAAATATCTAATCTTTTGAACATCAATTTTAAGAACAAAAATAAAAATCTGAATCAAAATAAGTCATTTCAAGATCAATGATTCATACTTTGAAAGGTATTCATAATCAGGCTGAAGGTGACAGTCCAATCAATTTCATATAAGAATAGTAAGAAATAGATGATTAAAATGAATTAGAAGAATTTAAAAAAGAATATCCTTTTCTATCTATTAATGTTATTAATAAATACGATTAACCATAAGAATTAAGTTAGGATGACTTAAAGAAGATTTAAATAGCAGCCAAAGATATTAATTATTATAATAACAGATCTAGAATATTTAAATTGAACCTAACAACTGCAGGGTTTGTGACTTTGCAAAGAGTTTTCATACTAATCTTATTATTCAATACTTTATTAGCTAATAATATATTTTCTTTAGTATATTTGGGAGTAGCTACCTATTTATTTTTGTAAAGAACTGGGGCTTCAAATATTAAGATTTTAAATACATTCTCAGTAGCTGCTATTTGGATCCAATACATTATGATATACTTTTTAAATTATGAAATAGAGGATAATGATAAATTGTTACCTGTCATGGCTTAGGGTTATAATAAAGATGTATTTAGTTTAATTAAGATGGCTAAAGTTTTCTAAAATTATCCATATTTCATTCCCTATCTTGGTTTTGATAATGGACCAATTATGGATTGCTCCAAGTTTGACAATGGTTCAACCTCTACAAACTCAACCGAAACTACATTTTTAGAAAGTCATTATTGTCTTACCAATAATAGTATTGAATGGATCTTTATCTTAAATACTCTTGTACTTTCGCTTATATATTTGTATTTCCTACTACTACAACACTTATCTAAATTGATTTTAACTACAACTATTAAAATGGAGTTAGATCTGTAATTTACATAATCAATTTTATAAAAGCTTTACTCAAAGAGCAAATTTTCTGTCTCTTTAAATTATTAAACTTGGAAAAATCGTGTATATTCAACCATGTCAGGCATTATATAATAAGTTATTAAAATTAACCATATTGTTTTTATTTCTATTATCATATTATTGGCTTAGTCAAACAGAATACTTTTAAACTTTTTTGAGTTTATCCTGGCAGTATTGTTTTTAGTTATTTTTGAATTTGTGCTAACATCTAACAGAGAATCAAATTTAAGAAGGGAAAGCATTTATTTTAAAGTTCTATTCTACTTAGCTGTATTTACAATATCAATGTACACAATTTTGAGGTTGCCATGGATTTTGAATTGGTGTGCTTCTTAAGCAGAGGAAAACTTTAATCAGGATTCTGATTTTTAGAACGAATTTATTTGCTTAGAAATTTTTGAAATGCGACTCGGAGGAATGATCTTTATATTATTCTTCATTTCACTTCACTTTGATCTAATAAATTCTGAATAGTTTATTGAATCTTTAAATAAATTTATGATTTTTGAACAATAATAAGCAAAAATGATTTCAAGGGCACTTGCCTATCATAAGAATTTTAAGAAATACACTGCCATTATTTAAGTCTCAGTATAAAAAGCACTATTTAAAAAAACCTAAGAAAAGGCTTAAGATAAATTAAAAATGTGGCATGCAAAATTGCTAGATAAAACTAAAGATAAAGTCATAATGGCAGATGAAATACAATTAGAATATTAACAATAATCAAATTAATAGTAATAATAATAATAATTAGAAAAACACTCAGAATAATAAGAATAATAATAATAATAATAATAATAATAATAATAATAATAATAATAATAATAATAATAATAATAATAATAATAATAATAATAATAGTAATAATAATAATAATAATAATAGTAATAATAATAATAATAGTAGTAATAATAACAACAACAACAATAATAATAATAATAACAAAAATATTAATTTGCTAGTGAATTAGAAATACCGATAAGAAAGGAAATGGTTAGTTAATTTTAGGTTGAGTAGGAAGAAAGAAAAAGTGCAGAGATGCCAGAAGAAAAACTTTTAAAAGATACTAAATTTTAGGGTTTAACCAAATCATAAAAATCATGCATAGAAATAATTGCTTTCATTCAATCTTTCAATAATAAATTTAAATTTATGAGCTTACCAAATGTTATGGATTATTTACTATCCTAAAACATTATATTAAAAAGAAGAGTTTAATTCTCCTTGACTGATTTTCTACAAGAAAATTACCGATAATTTGAAGAGGAATTATTGTATATTGATTAATTTTATTCTCATTTACACAAAAAATTAAGAGCTGCTCCAAATTAAATATTGGATGTCACAACAATAACAGATGAGCTAATCTAGAAATTAGAAAAATCCTCATATAACAATTCTAAACTTGGTAGAAAAATGTAAAAAATTATCTCATCAATGAAATTGACCTCAAAATTATCAAAATAAGCAATGCTTCAGTCTAATTATTCTATATCTCCATAAAAACAATAATAAGGTTTTGATGAAGATATTAGTTATGAAAACTACATTAAATCAACTGATTTGTATTTTGTAAAGATAGTAGATGACAAATAATTAATTTTTGTCGAAAATACCAAATATTCATCAGCTCTTACAAAACTATCTTTAAGCATTCTTATTTTTAGAATCATTACTGAAATATTTAGCTTAATAATTACATATTGGATGCCATTCTGCTTTTTGCTTATAATTTTTTACTATTTAGTAGACAGTGGACTACTAGGTGGTGTGTTACCATTTATGTTATTTTTATGGATCTTGATTGATGAAAAAGTGTAATCAAAATTATTCTGGATAATTGCATTCACAATATATTTCTTCATATCTATGTTGGTATTTGCTTATTCATTAAGTGGAGTAGTAGAAAAGCAATATCAAAAAAGCAATTACGGAAATAAAATGGCTTGGTACTATCCTCTTTATAATGGAAATCAAAGTATTTCATATGAAGTAATGCTAATGATTTTCATTATCTTTTAAGTTTATTTTGCAAAGCAATTTGGAGTATATTATAAGAGCTTATTAGATATTGAAAATATATTTTAAGGATATTTGAGGATGAAAATCAATAAATTTACAAAATTTATTAAGAAATCTATTATTGAGAAATAAAATCTGTCTAAATCGGACGATTAAGATAAATTAGTATTTGAAGAAGATTTATATGATCTACAAAATTAGCAAGAGGAGAATAACTAATTTTAATTGAAAGAAAGCATTGAAATAGAAAAAAGAATAATTGATGATCCAAAGATTTTGATATAAGATTCTTCGAATTTATTTGAAAGAATATTTTCTTACAGATTTTCAAGACCTGGTGTTGACTTGTATCCAATTACAGCAAGTATCTAGATTTTAATATTAATTTACACTCTCATATTTTTTACCAATATGGTTAATGAATCAATAAAAATCAACAACATTTTGAAAACTAATTAAATACCAACATCTTTAATATGGGCATTGTTAGTTGAATTCATATTGATGTTTATAGAAAGATACATAACAATGAAAAGCAATGCAGATGTTATAGATAGTGACAATAAAAAACCATCCTTTTTTTAGAAATATAAACTCTAATTTTTTTTGAAATTCCTCTTATAATTATGCACAGTAATTTTAATCTATTGGTTGATTTTCTTAAGATTAGGGAATCCCTGGGGAGAAAATCCAATTTATGAACATGATTCTACTTCAGCAGCATCATATTCTAAATATAAATCAAATGGTTACATTGAATGTTTTTTCATCTTATACTCAGCATATTTTACTGTATCTGCACTTTAGTTGAGATATGGTTATAAAAAACTAAAACTTAGAAACACTTTATTGTAATCATATAATATGATATCCTACGCAATAGCTTAAACTTACTATTCAATTCCATTTTTATTTGAACTCAAAGTACTAATGGATTGGACATTCCTTAAAGTAAAAATGAATTAATTTATTATAGACCTCCTTAGATGTGTTTTAATGGTTCACTTTGGAAGACATTCATGGAATCATGTATTTTACAAAAAATAAATCTAAAGATTATTTAGAAAAACCATTAGGAAAAAGGATTTCTAAGTTTTAGAAATGCACTTGTGGTTGTTGTTTAGTTTTAGTTATTTTTGCTTGCATTTTTGGTCCTTTGATTCTGTTCTCAAGTTTAAATCCAGCTTCAGAACTGAATCCTGTTCGAGGAGGGGAATTCTCACTTTCATTGATTAACACTAAAACAGCCCTAAATGTTGTTTTATATTAAACTAATTAATTTTATGGATTAGAAAACACCTTACAAAATCAATAAGAGATTGACACAACCTTAAATTAACATTGTACTAATTCAATAATTAATAATGCACCAAAATCAGGAGAATTATAATAATTTTAGCTATTAAATTTTTCAAATACTAATTGGGATATATCCTATCCATTATACTAATAATTACTAGAATAACTTAATGAAACAATAAATGGATCAGTAGCTCATGAATTTTTCTTTAATGTATCATTCATCTTTACGAGGGATTAATAAAAAATCATCCCAACCAAAAATTACTTTTAATATCCTGGAAGTGGAAATGAATATTTAAAAGATCTTCCGGGGTAGAATGAAACCTCTTTACCAAAATCAATTTTATCAGATATTTCTTCATTATTGCAATGTAAGAATAGTCCAGAATCAAAAAATCCACTTTAAATTCCTTTAGAGAACCTCTATATTGAGACTGTGCAATTATACTCCGCTGATGGAACTTCGTTCAAATCTAAACCTATTTATCTCGATGGAGTTAATAGTGTTGCAAATGCGAACTTATCATTCTTTTGTTCTGGAACATCTCCTTTGGATGGATAATCTTGGTGGACTCTTGTTTATTCTGGTAAAGCATGTTTGTTGGAAACGTGTGGAAAAGATCCTAAAAAAGATTAGCCTAATGGTTTGATTATGTTTGTAGTCTCAGATACGTTTTCAACTCTAACTCAAGGATTTAGCATCATAACAATTTATACATCAGTTATTCTACTTATTGGATCTTTTATTCGATCATTTTTTTCAGGGCAAATTTGGATGCTTGAATTCAAAGGGATGGTCCATCCTGATGATTTGATTATGATTTGTCAAGCTATTTCTATTGCTAGATCTCAAAAAGATTTCAAGAGGTATTAAGTCTATAATTAGTTTTTAGTGAAAATATTTTATACTTTGAACTGGTTGATATTCTTAGATCCCCGGAAATTGTTAAGGTAATGACTGGAACTTGGACTGAAGAACTTAAAAAAAAGGAAAATGAAAGAGAACAGTAATTGTAGTTAGAAAAAGAAGAACAATAAATATTACTATAATAATAAGATAAATAACAATAACAAGCATAGAATAATAATGGATAAAAACTGAAATAAGATTGATTATTAAATTTATTTGCATAAATATACATATTAAATTGATCATTCCACTATAATGTCATCCTGCTATAGTTTTTCAATTACTTAGGCTTCCAATTTAAGTATATTATTTAATGCAGTTTAGTATTTGTATTTTATTTCATTGATCTCTTACAACTTAGAGACGATTTCCTTATTTTCCTATTGATATGATAAGATTGGCTGGGACTGATAATGGATTGTACTCACAGGAGGTCTAGGAGATGGCACTTGTTAATTCGAAAATCTCCAATCTTTATTGTAACGTTCCCATGAGCTCTTATGACTGTATCGATATGGTCGTTAGGGAGACCTAAAAGAATCTAAATCTCTATATCTATCGGTATCTCGTTCCCTCTCTTTCTCCCTTTCTCTTTTCATCTCATCGATGGCCTCAATCACTTCAGCCTTTTGTTTCCTCCTTGTATCCTATTGTTGTTGATATCTTGATAAATTATCTTTTAGAACGTCAATGGTCTAATTTAATTGTTAGATATGTTAATCCAATTGCTATCTTTCATTTTACAATAGACCAATTTAATCTTCTAAATCCAGAATCACATTTCTTTGGTATTCAATCGTATCATAAAGATCCTAAACATCATCTTGTTACAATTTATTTTATAATTCATTGATCTTATTTTCATAAGCTCTTCTTTCTGCATAGAATTCGATATCTTTTGTGTTGATTTATGATCTCTGCAATACTTCCAAATGTTGTCTCAACTCAAATAACTCATTTTGTCTTTGCTTCTCATATTTCAATATCAATTCTTTCCAATTTTCAGCTTCTGGATACTTTTGCACATTGCTTTGCAATAATAAATCTATCCTCTTCATAAACTCTTTAATCATTTGCTACTTCTCCTATTCATGTTGCTCTTTTAGCTTTTATATAATATTATCGTTCATACTATTAAAATTTATTTTATAAATATACTCCAATAATTATACTTTCTTTAGTAGTTGATCAAAATGGTATATAACTTGGTGCATTATAAGATAAAGTTGAATTTTAATTGGATATTGAATAATCAGGGTAATAATAAGTATTTTATAGAATGTGATATAATCTTTTTATTATTAACGTATTATAAACTTATATATATCCATTTGGATAAGAATTTATGTGAAACTAAGATATAAGAGCAAATAATCAAAATCTTAATGATTTGGAGATAATCTAAGGTAGATATAAACCAACTTAAAGAAAAGTAAGAATGGAATATTTGGATAATAAATTTATCTAAAAAATTATATTTTTCATTTTAAATCAATTAATGACAGAAGAGAAATGTGAGACAGAATGTTGTGATAAGGGAATATTGATTGAAGACAAATGTATGTGTGACATAGGATCTTTTGGAGAGGATTGTCGTCTTAATTTATAAGATATTTACATCGCCCCTTATTATACTTTTATTGGGATCTATTGTGTTGCATTCTTTTTCGTATTACTCGTAACTATTAGATAATTTCAAACTTCTTTAAAGACTCAAAGAATTCCAACCTATTACACGTAATATGATGTTTGATATTTTAGATGTTTTCAATATGCCTATGCATTGATCGGATCTCCTCAGAATTATATCTTAGTCTTAACAATGGTGTTATCAGTCTGTAAATTGATATGGCTCATACTTGATCCTTTCGAAATCTATGTAACTTAATTTACTCATAAAGCTCATAGAGAGGGTAAACGACAGTCATCGAGAGACTGCTGGCAGAAGTTGTATACACAATACTGTTTTATATCTACGGTTGCTTATTGATCGTTTGGTATACGATGTACGATGAGATATCATATAATATTTATCAAGGAGAAATAAAAAAGCCAAGGAAGTGGATATTTACTTACTACAAGGAGGCATTAAAACTTCGATTGTTTATTGTGTTGCTAGTTTAGATAACAGTAAGTACACTAAATGGTAAATGATGTAATAATCTAAGGTTTAAGGAAAGGAGTGCAATACCCAATTTTTTTGATGGTATGCTATGTGTTTTTGATGGCAAACTTCTTTTTGTTCATCATAGAGTTTATAATATACGGGTCATCATTGCAAACCTGCATAAAGGATTAGATCACAATATGCAGGTCATAATTTAGAATACAATTTCAGGGAATGGAACAATAATTTAAATTGCAATTATAAAAGGAAGAGAGTATGAGCAAATCCCCAGAGTCAATTTTAAGAGTTGCCAGGTTTTCTAGGTAGGTAAGTATTGAGGAACAGAAGAAAGAAATTTAGGATGAAGTAAAATAGATGGATGAACCAAAATTAAAAATAGGATAAACAAAAATAAAGTCTGTATCATTTGCACGAACATTTGTGAAAGGATTTAGAGGATCATCATTATTTAGATAGGAAAGTTAGAAACAATTGAAGTCGAATAAGTCAAATTAAAAAAATTAGGATCTAAACAGTGATTCATCTGCAAAGGACTTAGATAATCAGTTTAAAGAGGAAGCAACTGATGAAGAAATTAATAGTTGTTGTTTGAATGAGAATTAATCTAATTCAATGAAGTGGGAGAATGAGAAGGATAGAGAGGCTTATTTAGACACAATAAAAATGTAGATCAAAGCTGTTAAGGAGACAAAAGACACTGCTGAGAAAAGAAAGGAATCATTACAATAATAATAATAAATGTAAAAAATAGTAAGAGGAGAATAAAAGAAATTAAGTTATGTGGGGTCGAGTTAATAGGATTACAAAACATCAATTCATTAATAATCTGATGAAGATTAAGAGAAATTTAATTTGAAGTCATCTAACTTAGCTATTGATAGACAAATCTTATTTAAGATTTAATTATTAGTTTACTTTGGCATAATATTGGAAATTCTATTTGGAGGATTGAGCATAGCCGTTTTGGTGACAGATTTAATTCGTGATCCGATCGGAGTATTGGTGTATTTATATGGATCATCAACATTATAATTTTTTTCTTTGATAACAGTGTTGAAATTATTTAGAGATATTAAGAATCAAGAAATCAAGAATCTAATTTGGATATAAAAGGTGGGAAATCAGAAGAATAAGATCAATTAGCAATATATGTTTTCAATTCCTGAAGATTAAAAAGAAGATGTATAGAAACTGAAATTCGAACAAAGAATTAATATGAATACTTTATATTGATATTATTATGAAATAAGTGTGTCTCTCATCAAATAAAATCATTTCACATTTTGTTTACTCAGAGAAAAAAAAACAGTTAAATTCCAAGATTGTTGTTCTGAGTAAGCTACTTTTTCACTATTTATAGTTTCAAAAGGCAGACCTAATAAAGGAATTACAAAAAGTACTATTATTAATACTAGCTCAAATTATTTATGGAAGTTTTATAATATATAGTATAATATGGATTTTTAGAAATTCTGTGGTCAATTCAAGAACTTTATGAATGCACTAAATTAATGTTGATTCTACATAGAATAACCCAAAAAAAAAAGTAAAAATATTTCATTTAATAAGCACTCCATATCAGACACATAAAAAGACATTGGATCAATCATATTCTTTTAATAATAGGATAGCAAACTTTATATTAGTATATTTATTAAAAAGCAGATTATTTATAAATCAACATTAAATTTTAAATAAAAAATAGAATTATATCAATAATTAGATAATTTATCAATGTTTTGATTCATTAACATCCAAATTCACTTTGGAAGGCCTCAAAAGATATGAAAATCCAAATGATTATCTAAATATAAAAATATGAGTACCTATTCACTCCCGAAACACTCACACGTAAATCAGTCTAAAGCCGGGTTCGTCTTCTTTCTTGGGATCTCTCAGTTTAAATGAGTTTCATAATTTCCTCTTTCTTAGTTTCATCAAACAAAAAAAATGAACAAGCAGTTTCTGTTTAATAGGTATATGTTTAATTAAGGAATGGGAATAGCAAAGGTCCTTACAAACCATCATTGCAATTCATTTCAAATTAATCTTCTTCTAGTCTAATTCTCTTTTCCTATTTCTATTCTGTCAGTCTTCCTTACAAAAGAATACCTGCTTAAAAAGATACACTAGTATATGCTTAATATTTCTTAAAAACAACAAAAGTAAGGATATTTTCAATGATCTCCCTATCAACAAGGGAGAATATTTGTAACTCTTTTGGATAGAACCTGCTTAAACTAAAAATACTATCTCTCCAAACATAATCTTGCATGTACAGACTCTGCTTATAAAGAGAAACCATCAATTCAATTTCTATTTGAATTACTTCCACCAATGATGCTGCAACTACTTACGAAATGTATAAGGTTGATTCCAACACTATATGATGGCATGATAGAAATTAACCAATATCTTTAGAAATTGAATAATTTATATAAGCTGAACTTGTTTCATTTACTCTTCCTCTTGTAATGATGTAGAAATATCTAGCTAAATCTCCCTCTCTATAAATGCATTCATCCTTATCAAACAAGAGTTCTTTAGATTATAATGCTAATTGTTTAAGCAAATCATCATTAAATTCACTAAATAATGGAAGCACTTTTAATTTAGTATGTATAGATATTTATGGCCAAATAGGTCTAATGTCCTCAACATTACAAACAAAGTTATTTAATTGTAATTTTAACTTCTAATATTATTGAAACTAAGAATATATATATATTGAAATATTACATCTAATTCTCCCAATTCATATTTTCTTAATAAATACTTGCCTTAGCTTGCTAGACAACCTTAAGCTGATTTTTTGGTTTAAATTAACTTGATGATCTCAGGAAAACTAACATAGAAATATCCCTCTATGAAATTTTCGGCATTTGTTCTATTTTCTTTGGATTCCTTAGACAGTTTCTTTTTCAAAGTCACATTAATTGGAAATTCTTCTATCATATTTTCCATTTCTATTCTAATAATAAAAATTTACCTTCATGTGCTCTGACATATGTAGAGATGACCTCATATCCAATTGCAACCCAATCAAATAATAGATCACCTGAGAATCCGCGAATGATAGGGAATTTGTTCAAACTATACAAGAATCTCATATAGATTGGTGAATAAAAGACACTGTAAATGAAATCCCAAGAACACATTCTTCCTTCAACAGTATCCAAGTCCCATCTTACAGATTCAATTAATAAATTGTAAGCCTTACCGCCACATTAATTTTATGAATACAAATCCCAATAAGTCTGTTTCAAGGCCATTAAAAATCTGTCTCTGGTTTCAATAATATCATCCGCATCAATATCATCATCATTGAAGTCATCCTATAATCCTTTGCTCTTTAGTAGTTTTTAGAAGCGTCCAATGATACTAGATTCTTTCTCTTTTTTATGCTTGTTTTCTTCATCCAACTATTTCTTACTAAGTTTATCATCTTTTTATTGAATTTAAGTATTGGTTTCAGCCAATCCTGAAAAGTATTCCACCTTATTCCAATCAATTGTTTTTTATTTATAATCCTCTTTCATCTGATTTAATTTGAATTCAATCTATTCCTTCATTTCCTGTAAAAAGTTCAATCTCACTTTGGCTCTGTATTAAGCAGTGGCACACAACCCACTAAACTTAACATACAGGGGTATTGTAGATCCATTTATCAACATAGTTAAAATGACAATAAAGGTAGTATGAAATAGAAAAATGTCACTCCATTAATCACTAAAGGATGGTTCCTTAACTACAAGTAAAGCTAACATCAATTGCACTGCGCCTCTTGTGCCACTATAGGAAAACAAGATGGCCTCACTCATTTTGACTTATTATCCATACAAATTGATAGTTGGTAAAAGTAACAATACACTAATGAATTTGGATAAAAGAATGTAAAAGTAAAGTAATATAGTATTTATGTAATCTTGCTTCCTTATATATGGACTTTGTTAATCGAATATTTTGTATCCACATGTGACACCTGTTATGATGAAAATGATGGTTTCATTAGCAAATTGAGTGTATTGCCAAAAGATTTACAATGGGTGTTCCACTTCAGTTCTAATTCTGATCTTTGAAAATGCAGACATGAACAATCCCAAAGTTATTACTGCAATTAAACCATTTTTTCTAAATCCTAAATCTACAGATTCAGCCACGAAATATGTTACATAGGCTGATACAATAGTAAGGTTGATTGTCAATATTGAATTATGATTTATCCTTCTTATCCACCAAACAGTGAAGAGCCCAAACATTATTCCAACAAATGCACCTCCCAAGAGCAATGATAATCCATAAGATAATTCGACTGTAAGAAGATCACAGTCACCTCTTGCACAATTCACCGCAATAAGCATTAAGACCATGGATGCACAATTATTTACCAAGCTCTCTCCCTAAACTAATGAGATGAACCTCTTTGGAGCTTCGGCATTATTTAATAGCTTTACTACTTGGAGTGTGTCAGTACATGTTACGACAACTCCAAATACAAATGCAAATCCCCAACTATAATATTCATCATCGTATTCTAATAGCAATTTTAACCCTAGGCAAATTAATGAGGCAGATATAAGTAGACTTGGAATCGAAAGCACAAATATTTGCATTATTTGTTGCTTCATTATATAAATATCTGCATTGAAAGCACTACTAAAAACTAGGGCTGGCAAAAATAATGTCATATTAGAATTAGCATCAATGTTAAAAGCCGCTTACACAGTCCTATGCAATAAATGATTATGAATATTATTGAATTAAGACCCTATTAATATTCCTACCAGGAAAACTGCAGCAGGATAGGGAATCATTATTTTCTTCGTGATTTCACTAACTAATCCTCCAATTGTCAGAGCAACAAAGATAAAAAATATCACTATTGCGATCTACGCTACATCCAAATGTTCTGACATTTAATTTTATGAAATATAATTGGTTAAATTTTAATATATACATATATATATATTCAATTATATTAATTAATTAGTTTCAAACGCCATCCAAACAGAATCACTATTATAAATCCCACAGAAACATTTACTATAGCCTAGGAATTTCCTATTAAGCATTCTTCAACTGTATCAATTAAATATTTTGCTAACTCTAAATAATTTACATCCAAAAACAGTTCAATTCCAGTTTTATCTATTTGCTTATATACATTAACCAAAAAATCAATTATTTGCACTTGAGCATTAACTGGCAATATTGGAATTAGTGAATAACTATTTATAGATAATTCAAATATTTCTATTGATTTAGTTCTATTAATTTCAACTCCTTATCCTAAAGCACGCATCAATCCCAGATTAAAGTACACATGAGCTTTCATGGCATCAATCAATTAACCATCCAATGCCTTTTTGTAATGCTGAAACGATTTTTAGAAATCTACTTCTTCATACTTCCCATTATAATAGTAGTCACCCAATTTCATATGACAAATTGCTTCCTTCTCATTAGCACATTGTTTAAGGAAACGATATTATAAAACTCCATTTAATCCAAAACTGTCTAATTCCAATAATTCATGCAGAGTCGATTAATTTACAAATTACAAATAGTCCTAATATAAATAACTAAAAGCATCATTATTATTTCCAGTAATTTAATAAACCGGATCTTAACTAAGTCTATTTTATACATCACTAAAGTGTAGAGTATTGTAATAAAATGCATCATATTATTCCATCACAACAGCAGCATTCTCTAAATTTATTTATAATTATTTACATGTGGCCACAAGGAATCCAGAATATCCTGCTTCAAAATATTTAGAAAGTGATTAGGTATACTATTCTTATTAAAATAGGTAATTTGCTGTTTTTAGTACATCTGCCCATGGACCCCTTGATGATGAAGCGTGTAGTAAGGCGGCAGCCAAATCGCAGGAATAAAATAGATCAACTCCATCAAGTAATATCAAAGCTAAACTGTATTGAGCCATTGCATGTCCAGTTGTAGCTGCCTTTTCAATCAAAGATACTCCTTTTTGTTGATTGCGTTCCCTTTATATAGTTGAAGGTAACATGTACAAGGATCCCAAATTGAATTGTCCATCATTATTTTACAAGTCTGCTGATTCTAAAGAATTGTTAATATTCATAATATACTTTTAAAATAATCCTAAGCCCTTATTATGTCTTAATGTACTCCCAATCCCTTAAAATAAATGTATCCTAAAGCATTATAAATTTTTCCCTAATATTCTTAATTTTTAGTTGAAATTTTATTCAAAATCTCTAACGCCAATTAGTAATTTGGTTTATCTACTCCCAAGTTTTCAATATTCATCTGTGCTACTCTGATTCCAGATTCTTTATCATTCAATTGATCATATAATTTCAAATACAATTGATAGGCCTTTGTGAAATTTCTTCTGAGTCCATTTAATCCATAATAAAAACTAAATGCCAATTATTTTACCTCCACTGCTGATTCATGGGTAACTAAATTCAAATTCTCAAAAATTTGGGCATGTCCAAATATATCCAATTCATAATTCATATAGAAATTGCTGTCATACAAAGCTTTTGCCACTTGTCTGTTCTCACTTATATATTTTGCTTTGATTGGCTAATTTGCGAATTCTTCCAAAACTGGCAAATAAAATAAGGCAGAATTTGAGCAATTCTAATTTACCCCTATTCCCTTTAAATGCCTATATCCCATAGCCACACTACTTTGATCAAACCCTTAAATAGCAGAGAAGTAAAGATCAATCAAAGAGATGCTTTGATACTTCTCCTTGACGTATCTGAACAATTAAGATTCTGTTTTAAGATTGCTATAAATGTTGTATGACCCATCCAAATGTAAATATGTCATTAACGACACATAAAATTGAGAATTAATGTCCCCTAGATCTGATGATTTCTTAAAGTAATAGAGTGCCTAAATTAATTACTATTACATACTCTTGCATAATCTATTGTGTTTTCATTTTCTAATCCGTAAAAGATGTATTAACCATACAATCTAAAGAATCTAGATTGATATTATTTTGGTATTTCATCTTTGAAATAATGCAATATTTCTTAGAATGTTGATTAACTTTCAATTGATGATTACTCAATATGAATTTCCCATTCTTTCAATAATTCATTTATATTGTTTTGAGCATATATCCCTAATAATAAAGTTAATATAATCATTTTAATAATGCAACACTCAATTTAAGAAATCTAAGCTATGTCCTTGCTAACACTTTATAGAATGTTAATCAAGAATGTTCAATATTATCCAAGCAAAAATAGATTCAAAATAATGTTGGCCATCAAGGAATCGTATTCAATTAATTTCTATAAACATTTTCTTAGATTCCGTGATAATAGACTCCTTAACGATACTAAAAGAATTACTTAAGAAATCAAGATAGCCTAAATGGGATTAAGAAATTTAGAAATGTATAGAATCAAAAATAAAGAAATGAAGGATGTTTACAAAGTGAAGGATGATGGATTCTAGGACTCCATGAACCCTAAAGATAAAAATTTTATATATTTTTGAGTCAAACCATCATGTAATTATTTCGAATCATCATCACCATCTGTAACTTAGTAGAATTGCTAAGAGTATTATCATAAAGTCATCCTTTCTCCTCAATAATATTTATAGGTTCTATCCATTTAATTATAGCATTCATAATTAAATTGCAACCAAAAAATCTACTACTCTTATTTATGGATACAGTATCCGCTAAAATATTTAAAGTACTCTATGCTTCTTATGGCTCATATAAAATCCTTTGATGGCAAAACTTTGAACTATTAATTGTCAACAACTAATTATATAGGTCCATAAAATATTTTTTATCTAAGATTTTTCAAAACAAACGTAATTCATATTCCAAAAATAATATTTTCGGATAGGAAATATTTTGTTATTATTATAAGATTCTACAACTAACTACTCAATTTTTATTTGTGAATATTCAAAGTTGAAAATTCTCATTCATATTTGTTAACCTCTTCAATAATCCTTTTTTAATTCATTAATAATTCTTAATAATCGAAATATAATTTGATTGTTGGAATTCTTTAATCCTCATTTTATACTAAAATCAATATTAGATTATTGGTTTTCGTTTAATGAAAAATAAACACAATTGCTAAAATAAACTTCAATAGTTTAAGGTTTTACAACTTTTAATAGAAATTTGATGATATTATAATTTAGAAATAGAAAATACTTAGTATAAGATATAACCATTTATTTTGTAAGCCTGACTTGTCTTAGGTATAAAAAGAGAAATAATTTTGTCAAATAATCGCAAATTTTTATTATTCTGATTTATCTTAGATTGATCGTTCTACATTTCAAAATTTAATCAATAAATAACCATTAGCCAGAGACTTGTCAAATCTACGGATTCCAAGATTTTTCTCAATATTTTTTTAGTTTAATGTAATCTTTGTATTTTATCAGAATATTGATTATTATCATTGTTTATTTATCATTTTAATTAAAATTCTTTTAATTTTTTCTTAATTTTTCTACTATATTATAACAATATGTCACTGAGATGAAGAAAATTTAGAAATTTATAAATACATATTCCATTAGAGTTTATGCTAGATAAAATTTATATAAAAGATAAATTATATTGAATAAAATTTTAGCATTAATAATGCTGAATTATCTTCCTTTTCTGGATTTAATTTCTCCAATTTTTAATTGAAGTTAAACCATCATCTTATTGCATATAGAATATCTAGTGATTAATAATAATAATTTTATATCAATTATCATGCATATCATAGATGGCCAATACAAATAAAATTATTTTTAAATTCAAAAATTATTGGAAATCATAAAACTCTTAGAATTCTCTAGAATTTTCAAATCTTTTAGCTTAGTAGTTTAGACTGTCATCTAAATAACATATTTATTGTTTCCATGTATATATCTTTTAATCTATGGCTTACTTCATCTCCTTATATAACGTATTATAGTAAACTCAGCTAATAAAATGACATTTTAAACTTATCCAATAATCAGTTCAATAATAACAAGCAAATGATATTTAGAAAGTGATATTTTCCATTTAATTAACAAATAATTGAATATAAAAATATAGACTTTTTATTAGCTACAAAAAATTTGACGAATTTATTTTAATTTTATTTTGTTAATATGCTTGAAGATCACCTAGTTGAAGCATTGCACTTATTGAAAAAATAACCACAACATCGATGCAAAATGGAAATTGATCTATTAGTTCACTTTACATAAGAACTTCCCTTTTTTAAATAATATTAAAACTCAGAGAATGGATTGCAAATTCATCACGAATGTTGTAAACACATGTATTTAGAGCGGTTCTAAGCAACTGATATTGTATTTCATGTAGGTATGGAGAATCTATTAATAATACAGATTCGATTGGCACAAAATTTTATGTGATTCTGGATGGTCAAGTAGAAGTGTTGATTAAAAGAAGAGGTTATGATGAATTAGAATCTGTAAGAATTTTGAGACAGGGAGAATCTTTTGGAGAGTTGGCTCTTATTCATAGATAACCAAGATTAGCAACTATTCGTTGTGTTAATAATTGCTACTTTGCTGTTCTAGATAAACAGTAGTTTCAATATATTTTGCATTATGAGTAAACCAAAAAGATAGAATAAGTAGAAATAATATTAATAATTTAGAACATAGATTATTTTGCTTAGATTTCTATATTTAATTAACTTAATAGAACTTAGTTAACTTAGATTTATTTGAATTCGTTTCTGTATGAGTATGAAAAAAATTAGATTGTGTTGCAAGAAGGAGAGAAGTCAGATAGTTTTTTAATTGTTAAAACTGGCCTATTTTAAGTGCGCAAGTAAATGAATAAATCTAGTCCTTTAATTGTAATATATATTCCATTGATTTTAGCTATTTGAAATTGGAGAATTGTAAGTATTTGGGTTCTATTATCTCTTCAATAAAATTCCATATGAATACTCTATTATTTGCCTCAGTTCAAAGGGACAAATATATAAGATACATAGAACGTCTTTGATTGAAAAAATATTTGAAAGACATACGGAGGATTTGGAAAAACATATGTAAGAAATTAATTGCTATGTCAATTATAAAGTTCATTAAGAATAAAATACTCATCTTAAATACCCTAGATATTTTCAAATAAAAACTTCTTGTGATTAGGATAAAGAGATTTAGGAAGAACGTGTTAAGAGTTGTAAAAGTAAAGAATACAAAAATTAAAATTTAAAAAGTAGAAGTGAATTGATAAGATAAAAAATGGATACGATGATAGAGCAATCCAAAAGAAAATTAGGATTAAAATCTAGCCTCCCAAAATTAAATAGTTTATTCGAAATTTTCCTCAAATCTCATAGAGGATTCAAAGACAGCCAAAGATAAAATCTTTCTTCCTTGAAAGAATCCCTGACTAGACAATTTGGAAGTAGTAGTCACTTTTATCACAATGAAGATCAACCCATTAATCCTTTTATAACTTTCAGGAGCAGCAGTCCTACAATGAAAAATTAAGGAAGGCATTTCCTAACACTTAAACCATAAAACAGTTAGAGAACTATAGTTAAATCTAGTCAACATTTTAATTAAAATCTCCAATTTTAGGAATACAACACCCCAAAGCATTAGAAAAATTATATATCCTTAAGTCCAAATGTTATCAAACTTAAAGTGTATAAACATTGACTCTTTATTATTTTAAATAATGAAAATAAAGTCAAATATCTATATGCATTTAATGACCAGAAGTAAGTCCTTAAGTATTGAATTAACTAGGTCTTTAGGTTTAATCGGGAGAATCGTCCTGTTCACTACTATGTGCTCCACTTGAAAAGTCTCTTAAAACATGAACTTCATTTTTTCTTTTTTCTTTCAATTCATCAAGTTTCCACTTCATTCTTCTCATTATAATGAAGGCACTATTAATATCCTCACTCGTCCAAGCACTAGTCTTGGCATTCTCTAATTGCTCAATCAATTACAACCTTTTCTTAATCAAATCCTTAGTCGCCTTAACTAATTTTTTTGGTTCTAATCTAAAATTAAATTATCAATTAGATATTACTCTGTATCTTCACCATATTTTCTAGTTAGGATGTTGTGAGAAAGTACTTCCAGAACATCATAAAAAAAATACATGGCTGTTTGGTTTTTGATATAGACTGGTAATCTAAACTGGTTAATAAATTTTCTTTTCTCCATTTGTGTTAATAGTAAACCTTTCCACTAAATTTATACATATTATAATTACTCCTAAGGGTTTAGGCAATTTAATCATAAAACGATCCAAATCTAATGCTTTAATCAATCCAGAACCAGTTTAATCATACAACTTCCAAATTTCAATGAATGCCTGTATATGATTAGTAGATATAGAAGAAGCTTCATCCTTCTAAATAATTTCGTACCCTTACACAATAATGGCAACAAATAAGTTAAGCATAATCATGGCAAATATCATCTAGAAACTCACCATATAAGCGACACCATACCAAAATCCACAACCATTAAAACCATATGTTTAGTAGTCAGTTAATAGATTTTCTGAGAAACACACATTATTAGGTCTTATCTATCTCACTAAATCTGCCTAGACCTAATCCCATTATTCGCCAGTACTACATTTGAATAAAGTGAAAAATGCCTTGCCCAAAGAAGAGAAGTTAATAGCATCAGTTAAACCAGTTGTTGACCATTTTACATATGGAAATAGATTGATTCCTAAGACAGCAAACATAAACAAAATGATTGATAATAGACCACCAATATTTGCTAATTAACTTACTGTGAGGAAGAATGTTTCAAATATAGCTTTAAGACTCCTTGCTGATCTAATTAATCTCATGATTCTAACAATTCTGAAAGAACGAAAGACACTTATAACAGTACCAAAAGCAGTTAAAATAGACATTTACTCCAATACGGATCCTGCTATACTTAAGATAACTACTACAAAGTCAAATCTATTGAATGGCTCTGCAAAGTATTGCCAACCTAATGCAATTAGTTTAATTAGCATTTCAGTTGTGAATATACCCAAAAATGCTAAATTGGAATAAGATATAATTGTATTAAGCACTTCAGGCTATCTGACATATTGTAACATAAACAAAATAGTATTGATTGTAATAAGAATGAAGATCATGGAGTCAAAATATTTGTGATTTATTATTTAGAACATTTTTGCTCTAAACCATTAGTCACTCATTCTTTAATTAATTTATGGTTTAGCATAATAAATTCTTTCTTTAATGTCTACCCATTCCTGTTATTCAAGAGTCATATAAAAATATCCACGTAATTTGTCTGTTTCAGAATTGAAAGCATCCAAGACAACACCAGCAAATAAGTTCATAACAAAAAATGATCCAATAATTACGAATCCAATATAAAATAAGGACCAATACATATTATAATTATATATTGGTTGTTAATCAATACCAACACTGTCAATTCCTTAATACATTTAGTCTAACCACCCTTCTGTTGTTGAAATTACGAATAATGAACTAATTGAATTTAGAGCATTATCAAAATTATAATCGGCATTAACCCAATTTCCTCCATAATCAAAACAGTCATATTTACCAACAATCTTATAGTCACCAACCTTATGAATATCACAAGAGTAAAAGGCTCCTTTAAAAAAATTGGTACCAAATATTCCAAACATCCCATAAAATACCAAACTAACCAATATCAGATTGAAAATCTTTGACAAACTAAGGATCAAAGCATTGATAGCAATTTTTAAACTATCACTTCTTGAAACTAATCTCAAAGGACGCAATACTCTAAAAATTCTAAGAATTTTAAATATTTAGAGGTTTGCTTCAGAAAATATGCTTACCCAACTAAATATTATAACTATAAAATCCAATACATTTGCATAATCTCTCATGTAACTGAATTCTCCATTAAAAAAAAATCCATAAGCTAATATTTTTAATAAAGCTTCAGCTGTAAATATAATTGTAACAACTAAGTCTATCTCTGTTAATACTGCTGAATTATTCTCTTAAAGTGGATCATCCAAAGCCAAAAGAACAGATGAAACCAAGATCATGAGAATAATGAATCCTATAACCTATGATTTGTTAATAAATCTAAAAGCAAATCTTCTAATTTTAGATGTTTAATCGAATATAAAAAGTGAGGTACCCACTATGAGAACTCCTTCTAAATGATCTTAGGCTGAAGAGGTATCGTGTTTACTGAAAACACTGGATTTCTTATCTGATTGTTACTAAGATTGATGAAGCGAAACTTATGGTTAATAACCATCTTAAAATGTCAAAGGCCCTTAACTTTACAATTACATTTTTTGTTCCATTTGTTTTATATACTCTTCATCGCCTGAAGAATCATCGCTGATCTCCTCAGGATCAACTATCTCAGCAGTATCAAAGAATCTTTTAATCAATTTCTTTTATTTTGTTTCCTTTCTCACTTCAAACCTGGCCTAATCATACTTTGCTAAAAAAAAACAAGCAACATCAGAATTTTGATGTTGTCCAATGTAATTCTGATTTATTTTTAATTTCTTCTAATGTTCTGGATGTACTTACTCTGGCTTTGGAGATTTATGCTTAATTTTTTCATCAGGATCAAACACCTTTATTGATGATCTAAATTATTCAACTAATTGTTAAAAATTCAATTTTCTCATCTTGTCCTACAATTTCTTTTCAGTTTCAATTGCCTTTTATCCAAAATTATAAATTAAAATGGCTATGAATAATTTCAGGAGAATTAGATTACCCATAATCACTACAGCTATAAAAAAGATTAACGGCCACCATTGATCTGATTTATACATATATAAATAAGTTAAGATATTCCATGACTCTGAAGTTAATAAAGCAAAAATAGTAATCATAGCATCAAAGAATGTATCAAAATTCAATCTAACATCTGGAATATTGTATGCAAACAATTCCATACCAACCAGTGATGCTATAACCATGAAGAGAAGCAGCAACATTGTAAAAAAACTGATTGCCTCTAGAGTTGTTGCAATTGCTATAAGAATTTCTCTCAAAGAATTCCATGACCTTGCCAATTTGAATATTCTAAATACTCTCAATGTTCTAAAAGCTGAAACAGCCGTTATCGATCCTCCTGATACTGATATTTCAGCAAAATCTAATACTTACTCTACTAAAGAGATTGCCACTATGAAAGCATCGAATATGTTCATGTAATCCTTGAAATATTCTGATATTCCCAAGGCAAAGAATTTCAACACCATTTCAAAGACAAAGAATAATGTGAAGGCCAAATTGAGATATGACAATATTGTTATTTCTGATTCTGGTTGTGGATATCTGTCCATAGCCAAAACTACAGTATTAGCAGCTATAATGCAATTGACTACAATAGTGAAAGCAAGAGATTCAATAAACCTTAGAAAGAATTATTTGAATTTAGTATCGAAATTAGTTCCTTTGTCATCATTCACATCTAAAGTGTATAAGGATGGATCAAAAAAATTAATTTATTATTTCTCCTTCTTAACCTTTCTATTAAATTGATCTTGCAAAATCTTCAATTGTTCTGCTCTCCCTTAAAATTTGCTTGGCTTCAAGACTTGCTTTATAATTTCCTCTTTTTTCTTTTAAGTCTCTTCATCTGAATCAGAATCATCTGAAGGTACTAAATCAGCTATGTTTTGGGTTGGATGAATTTAAGCATTCTATCGTTCTTTCTGTTTCTTTTCTTTTCTCTATTGTTTTCTTTGTTGTTCCTCTTTAAGTAATTCTTATCTTCGTTCTGATTGATTCTTTAAGAAGGAATCATTGATGACAGCTAGAATTAGATTGATTGTAAAAAATGATCCTATCACAATTAATAGATTAAAGTAAACATAAACCAAAATAGGATTAACAGCGTCAATTAATTAAGTGACCATAGTTGACCATCCTTCTGTAGTGAGAGCTTAGAAGATGGTAAAAGTGGCAGTTAAAATATTATCAAAAGTAGTGTATGAGTAACTTAATTCAGGGATAGGAGTGTCTTAATTAGGAAGATTGTAATTGATAGGGTTGCCACAAAACTCATTATCTGGACAATCTGAGTCTGAACTACATAAATGAGTGATTAATGGATCTGCTGGCCAAGTTCCATTTACTGGAAATTATGTAAATCTACATCTATTCTCATAAGCACCTGCAAATAATTGCAATCCTAATATTCCAAAGATTACTAAGAGATACAACAAAAAAACTAGGACATTACCTAAATTAGGCAAGGAATCCAATAAAGAAGCCACTAGAATTCTGAGACCAGGAACTGATTTAATTGATCTCAATGGTCTCAAAATTCTGATGGTTCTAATTGCACTAAGGTTAAAACTACCAACCAAAGAGAGAATACTGGTTCCAACAACTGCAAAATCTAACACATTCCAACCATCTCTCAAATATGTATGTTTTTCAAAAAGGAATCCCATTGCCAATATTTTTAGAATGAATTCTAACAAAAATACAGATGTAAAAAAGTATTCCATTTAATTTCTTACATATGTCAATTCAGACTGATTAGAAGTTCCATTTACTCTGAAATCATAATTCTGCATGGCCAAGGATATGGTGTTCAGAACTATAATTAGAGTAATAACTTTATCAAACCAGTGCCAAGTTACTATCCAAACACAATACTTTCTTATAATGTTCGATTCATTTAGAACATACAATGAATTTTTGCCAAAACTATATTTCTTTTCGTGCATATAGAAATTATGTTCCTCCAGTCGGTCACCTGATTACGAGTTCTAGGGTTTTTTGCGAATCCCCAAATCCTCTTAATTTACATAATATTAGAATTTGAAGAAATTCATGCCAAACATGTCCTCAGCCTTCATTGTACTCTTTCTTTTTAAAACCTATCTTTTCACTTGTATTGGTGATTTATGAGCCTTCACTGCATCATGTTCATCTTTCCCAAAATTATCTTCCCTCTATTGATTTTCTCTCTCCTCTGCCTCATCTTTTTCAGAATTATCTTTTTATTCTGATTCTTCAGAAATTTTATCATTTTCATCGTTCTCACTCATTATAAAATAAAATAAAATAATTTGTAAAATGAAATATAATCTCTTTAAATAAATGAAAAGTAACTAATACTTAGATATTTATAATTATTGATCAGTACAATTTAAAATAGCTATTTACAAAAGATTAAAATTAAAATGATAAACAGAAATAAATCTCAATTTTCAAGATACTCATCTCTCGATAAAATAATATAAATGTGAGTTTAAACAAAATAAAAAATGAACAGAAACTCCTCCTTTAGATCTCATCTTTAAAAAGTAGTATAATCATTACATTCAACTTTTTAAAGCATACAGGGACGAAGTATATAATGATGCGTTAAGCCAAATTCACTAAAATGAAGCCAATTTTCTTGGATCCAAACCTTAAAAATAAATTGAATTATATGGATCAGCTATCCTGATGTTATAAGAGTATCTAAAGGAAAAATTCAACAATTTTAAAATTAACTCTGATCAGCAAAGCATTTAATAAAGTTTAAAGATCAAAATAGTATTATTTCAAAAACATTAATTAAAACACACAAAATTATCTTCAGAATCTTATTCAAATACTATAACTCAAACGCAATCACTAGTATATTAGCATATCATAGAAAAGTTTAATAATTTATTTCCGTGTGAGGTGAGGGATTGAAGACTATAATATTCAAATTTAGACAAGCTTATTCAAAATTAATAATTTAATCAAAGAGTAAAAAAATTATGTTAAATGGATTTCTGAGAAATTTAAAGGCATATCTTTTTTAAAAATTTCCTGCTATTTTTAACAAAATTATACATATGATTAGTACTACTATAATTATTAATTGTAAGTCTTGATATAGAAGTGTATACAGAAAACTTAAGACGATTATCTCAACTGTCAAGTAGAGAAAACAGAATTATCAATTAATACTGAATAAAAAATACTGAGGACTCATTAACAAAAATGATAAAGAATTTTGAAGATATTAACAGATTTTTCATAATTATTTAATTGTATTAATTTATAACCAAATATCTCATGTTAAATTATGCTTAATGATAATTTATTTTATAGTTCTATCTAGTTGGCTGTCTAGAAACAACGATGTCTGAGGCATTAACAAAATAAATTTAAGTACCAATTTAAATTCTTGGTGGTAGATTTATGTGATGATTTTGTAAATTAACCCTATAGAGATTAGATATAATATAATTGCACAAATGTTAATAATCTAAATTACTCAAAATATGTACCAATATTTGATCAATAAGGTTATAAGTAAAACGAACTAATTCATCCTAAAATTATAGTTTGATATTAGAAACAGCATCATAACTTATGAGTCCAATCTCAAGTTGTTCATTAAGTGTATATGACTAAATACTAAAGTTTTATGAATTTTTGTATTCAGTAAGTAATTCATTTCTTACAGTATTTAAAGCAAGTTGAAACCCTCTTCTAACAACTCCATCATAGAGTGAATCACAATGCATTTAGGCACTTTCTATCTTAAACTAAATTAAAAAATCTTTAGAATAATTACATCTGGAAGGAATTCACAAACATCATTCTGCATTAGTTATTCTATCTTATTTATAAATGCATCGGATGTTATCAATGTTGATGGATCAAATTCTGACATTTAAGCTAAAAATTGATTAATCGTTTCGATATGTTCGAAAAATACTTAAATAAAATAAGTAGTATCTTTAATAAAAAAGAAGGCTTATGAATTTTTATTGGATACTACATATATGATTTACCTCACACTAAAAACACCAGTCGATGCAATACTTACATCGCATAAGGTGTTGAAGAAATTTGTAGTATCTGGATATTTGACAAAGTATGATTCCCCCAAAGATGTAGATATGAAACACAATCCAAAGCATAAAGCATATATGGTTGAATATATCACTAAAGATGGTAGTTTTGTAGTAGACTGATTAAAGTTTAGATTTGTTGCTTTCTATCTCTATTTTTACCCTTTCTAATTTTAGGCAATCTTCTCTTTTCTTATATCTTCTGCAGCTAAGAATTTCTCTTTCAAGTCAATATCAAATTGGTATTTAAATAAAACATCTGAATCTTTGATTACTAGTGAGGATATGCCCTTATATCTGTCAATGTCCCTTTGTACCCACACTATTTCTAACATTGAAAACAGCTAAATAAATTGGTCATACTACTGCAAGTATTAGTTGTGAAACTTTACTATGATTGACAATAACAGAAAACCTATAATCAATATAGGTATCATCAAAGACAACCATTTTTCCTTAACAGTAATAGATCTTTACACAGAATACGATAGCATATCCTAATTTACTATTGTTAATTATTCATAAAAAGTCTGATAATTTCCAAACAAATACACAAAAAATCCTGAAGTTGGATCTAAGGATGTAAAGATGTTTAAATAATCAAGTAATACAAATTAATAAGCTGCTTCTAAAGAAAGGTAGATCGCCTCTCTTGCAGATACATTTCTATCAGATGTAGTTGTTTATTCAGATTACATAATTGTAAAATTCTTATCTTAAAAAAATGGATTTAAATATTTATTTGATAATTACTTTATATAACTAGACTTCAATTCTTCGTAGTTATATGTTATATCATTTTTAGCATATTCTAATTTTTAAGCTGCTGTTGAGGCATTCATCATACCAATCATATTCAAAATTGCATAAAACATCACAGCATTTTAAGCCACAATGTAATTATCTATTGGTGCTACGATATTTGATTTTATTTGAACCATATCTAGTTCTTATAAGAACCGATTCAAATCATCAGATGAAAAAATTATCTAAACAATAGAGAAAACAGTAAATAACGCAAACAGTACTGTTAAAAATGTTCTAGCTAAAAAATAATTTTTTGAAAATTTCTCAGAAGTAATCAATTTCTAAATCAAATCATATTTTTTAGAATATTTTGATTTTTTAAAAGCTGCAACTGAACTTACTTAGGATCCAATATCATCAATTTATACAATATTCTAATCCTATTCTTCCAATTACATTTGCATTTTTATATTCTCTTGCAACTCTTGATCAATATCTTCTATTTATAACTTATCTATCTAATTTTTATTTTCTATTTCATTTTCATTTTCAACTTCTTCCATACTTTCTTCATCTGCATTTGATGATACATCCTTTTAATCTACAGCCGAAAAAAATTGTTGCTTTGCATCATGATACCTTTTATTATTGTCATATAGCCCCCCTTCAATAGATTTTGCATCTATTAATTTTTCCCCAGCATCTTTAGGACTTACCAAAGACACATTTGGATAAAATGACTAACTTTAATTCTTTGAATTTGATAAGATTTTTCTGCCAAATTAACCATCACTTTCTGATTAATCCTGATAAAGATTCATAATTTAATTTTGATTTTCTTATTAATCAAACTCCAAAGCTCTTGGGATGTTAGCTTAAAATTCATCCTATTCTAAAAATTCTAAATCTTCAAAACCATCATCCTAAAATTAAGTTAAAGATGCTCCAGGAGTGGGAGTAATGACTTCTGTTTGAAATGGTGTACTACAGGTTTTCTGATATCTTTTTGCCTCTCTTATCTCTACAATTACATAATTACATAATGTATCTTGTTTTAATTTTCTATTGTGAAATATTGCTTCTACAACATATTACTAACTATTTGATTCAGTGTCCCAAGTTTATTTGGAATTCTTAAGTAAACAATCGACCTCTGGCAAAATCATATGAACTTAATATTCGCTCTAATCCATTAGTTCCTATTCAAATTCATCATTATCTTAAGAAATTTTAGAGCCATTCATTTCCATAATCATTTACAATTTAGGAAAAATTTTTGATAAAGGTTATTTATAGAGTGAATCCATTAATTAAGTAATTAACTTAGCTGGATAGCCAATTTTATTGGCAAAGTTTTTGCTTACACTCTAAATTCTGTTATTATTGCAACAAAATATAAATGCATTTGAACTATCTTTATTTTAGAAAAAACAAGCAAATGTTAAATCCTATAGATTACTTACATTGATATCAAAGAAAAAGTCAATAGCTTTGATAAATTTCTTTTGATATCTGCAGTAATTCTAATTTATTAAGCGAAAGAATTTTGAGTAACCTTAGGATAGAAACTGCTATACAAATTTTGAATGAATTTAATCAAAATTATTAGGAAGAAGGTGATCTATGGTTTTGAGTTATTTAAATTTCTCCTAATTATATCCAAAAAATTCATGTATTTGATTAGAATACTGTCGAATTTATAGTTTATGTGATTTTTCATCAAATCCCACAATTATATAGTCTAATTTACTTGAGAACATATCAAAATTAATTTACGATTACATTTTAAATAGTTTTTCATCAGATATAGAAGTTATGGTTGCTAATTTATATGCTTAAAAATAATTGTTCATTACTTCTGACTAATAAAAAGTATTGAGTGCTTGCATTTTTCTACCTATGAATTAATATAAATATATATACTTGGGAACTAGAAATAGAGTTTTAGTAGTTCATCTTCAAGATAAGTTAATTTTGTAATCATCTATTTGGCTGCATTAAACAAATTAAAATTAGAATTTAGCAAAGTTAAGTTAACAAAGAAATCCTTTTTTTTATTAATCATTTTTATAATCTTATTCTTCAATTGTTTATTGCTCTCCTCTGATTTTAAAAAGAGTTTAACAGCGTGATCGAGATTATCAGATAATATCTAATTGCTCTATTTACCTAATCCAGTACTCATAGTCTTCTTAATTAATTCTTAAATCAAGACCAGTCTCTATTTATTTATAAATCCCATATTCTAGATCTTAATGTGAATCATTTCATCTGATTTGCTATCAACTTTTGATCTCTAAACAGAACTGTGCTATTGGTCCAAACTATTGCTGGATTCAGCTTTCTAACTTTCAGCTTTAGCAATCAAGACTTTGCTGAATTATGAAGAACTATAATATATTCAGTTTATAATTACAAGTTTTCACTCTCTTAATACACTACAAGATTTGATTATTAAAATGCTCGTGTACTCAATCCTAAATAATGAATCAATGATAGATAATGCAAAAAGTATAATTATTTATTTGATTATTTTTTAAGCTTATTAATTGTTAAATTAAAATAGTTAACTTAATCTTTTAAATATAGATTTATAATTTACTCAAAAGTTAATAATTGTTGAGTACACAAACATTTTGGTGTTGAACAATGCTATAAGTGAGTTTGTTAGAAATAGATAATTTGTGTAATTTTCTGATTATCATGCAAATAAGAATGTTTGATTTCTCCAAATTCATCAATTATTGAAGCAATTTTGTACAACATTAAGTAACTAGCCATCATTTGATTTTTATTTAATATTATTCTATAATGAAGATTGTTATAGAGAATTATGGGAACTGAAGTTGCAAGTGGAATAATTATTAGAATTAAAATAGTTTCATAATCCTTATATTGAGATTTAAATTATGATAATTGAATGAGCATCAATATTAGAGACATTGAAAATTAAAAGCATTCTGAGAATAATTCAATGATACATCGCCTATAAATGTTTTAAAATGTTGTATAAATGCTGTAAATGTTAAATGATGATTTAATTAATAAAATTGTAACGGTTAAGTAGAATTTTAGTTGTTTATCATTACTTTCAAACCGATTTATGCAAACAATCAAAATTAAGTAGATTGGATTTAAATAATGATTAAAAGATTGCGATAATATATTTAGATTCTTGACTTTTATGTGAGTGGACTATTGGATGCAAAATAGGTAAAAAAGCATATTCAATATGATCATAATAAAACAGATAACAGCCATCGGTAAAGCAAAAAGATTTAAATATTACTTTTATGAATAATAATAAATAGATGATGTGGCAAATTCTAATTAAGGGATAAAAATTAAATAGTATAACAATCCTTGTTAATATGAATAGATTTTTAGTATTAATTAAAATAATCTATTTTATTCTAAAAGAATCTCTGACATTCTCTTTTATTTTTTACATTTTACAAAGCATATGAATATATAGAATATCATGACTTCATATGAAATTAAAAGCACTAAAGGGATAATAAATGAAAAAACACCAAAGCTTTTAAACAGTTTTACATAAGGCCTTGTAAAGGATGAAATTTCCAAAAAGAAATTCTTAAATCCATTATGCTAGATATTTTGAAAGTAGTAATTCTCAAAAGCAAAACTTAATTGTTAAAATGATGAAAGTATTATGAAAACATATTGCAGAGCTTTATTGATGTGAACCATCTCATCATCCATATATATCTTTAATTATATAACAAAAGAAACGTATAGGGTTTTGTAATTCACTTTCTCTTTCTCTGATTATTTTTTCTTCACTTACATTCTGCTTTATTTATGAAATAATGAATTAATTTCTAAATATATGATAAAAATGAAAAACTTAATAAAATTCAAATGACAAATTTCATATTTTACCCGTTCAGAAATATCATTTTGTTGCCAGAATCAACAAAGAAACACAAGTTCCAATGAAAAGGAAAAAAATCAGATTAATTTGTTAAAATAACAATATCTTGTAATTTTATTTCTGAAAAACTAAACTCTCATTTTAACTGAATCTTTTTTTCTTCTCTGCTATTAATTAGATGATAATTTGCAATAAATAATCAATTTAATATTTTTATGTATTAATAATAAAGAAATGAAATAACACCACAAACAAAGGGTACACATATTAAAAATTTCTAGGGATATCCAATTGATGAGCCTGTTTTATAAGCTGTGATGAGTGTGGCTTAAATATAAAACCAATATCCAAAAATGTCTGATTTCAATAAAGCAATAAATCTTAATTCAATTTCTAAAAATGCAATATTTTTGATACTAAGAAGTGCAAGCTTAGATAATATACATAAAGGCATGAAATATGGAGTGTGGACTAGGTAATGTATGCTCCTAAATCTAATAGCACTCCAAAATCTAATGCTAGGATTGATGAGCTGTTTAAGGAATCAGAAGAAGTTTATTTAATATATTCAGTTGTAGGCACTAAGGCCTTTTAAGCATGCGCAAAATTACTTGGTCCTTTTGACCCAACAGCTACATTTCTTTATTGGGATGAACCATTGAAATGGTTTGGCTCATTTTAAATTAAATGCGTAATACCAACATCTTAATTTAGTTATTCTTGAATGAGTTGAAGTAGAAGACACTTGATGAAAAATAACCAGCTCATCTAGGTTCAATAGTTTTAACAGAACAAACCGATTGTACTGAAATTACACATGGATTGGGAATATTTGTACTTTAATGTTTTAAGGATTAACAAGAGGATGAAACAAACGTTAATGTCTTGCTCCAATAATTTCAAAATATGGATAGGAGAGAAGTACGAATTCATATTTAAATAAGGATTAAATCAAATAACAAAGAGATCTTGACTAAAATTTCTTAACCCAACAATCTCATGAGTAACAGTTATTTGAAAAATCTCCTTTTGAATACAAAAACTATCATAAGAGATAGAACTAGTAGAGATGGCAAAACAAATAGGCGGATCAAATGATGTACATGCGAGGTATTTTAAATATTATATTTAATTTTAGCTTATTATTCTGCCAATCAATAGTATGGAGGTTAATAGTATTAAGGCCAAAACCAATAAATGTACAATTAATATAGGTATTATATATTTTAATATTAAAGAAATGATAATAAACAATAATATAATAATTATGATTATCAATTCTATTATCCTTAATAGTAATACTAATAAAATAATGGCTAATTTAAATATGGATATGATTAATAGTAATATAACTAAAATCCTAATTATTAAAGATAACCATAAAAATATTAAAAGAAATATTATAATAATAATTACCAATAAAATAATTTCTAATAAGGCAATTACCAATAAAATAATTATTAGTAAAATCCTAATTATTCTGGCAATAACCAAAAATATTAAAAATAAAATGATGAATAGTCTGTAAATAACTAAGACAAATAGTTATGAGTTATGAATATTATTTTCATTAAGAATAAATGTACATTCATTTAAATTCATTAAATTAAGCTATGAATTGTTTTATCAATATTTTGGATATGGTTAAACAAGTATAAAATTAATTGCCTTGTAATATTAAATTTAATGATTATATGAAAATATTCATTTTTTTTTCTTTAGACTTTCCAAAGCCATCTCTCTTAGTGCTTTTTAGGTTAATAGTTTATTATATTGTTGCTATTATGATTCTTATTTTAACAATTCGTCATCATTAAATTATTTATTGGATCCTTTAAACTCTTTTAGTGGAATTTCATCTAAAAGTAAAGTACTTTGAGCAATGCTTTAGTTTAATCCAATTTTTTCTCTAAAATATGAATGCAAAATTTGTACTTAGCAACAGCAAGATCAATGAATCTTTCAAGATCCTATAAGTATTTTTCTAAAGAACTTTCGTTGAGATTAAAAGATAATTTATAATCTAAATGTGCAGTTGGATCAGATGCCTTAATGAGATAAAAATATGAATTACCAATTATGTCTGAGATAATTCAATTAAAGCATCTTTTAGAGTAGGTGCAATTTCCTCCATTTATTTTCTGAGAGTATTAATTTCTTCCTATCTTTTCTTAATGATCAAATCATTTTTTTTTCTGTGTCTTTCAGCCTATGGTGTTGCCATAAGCAATCTCTTTTTGCTTTCATTTTCTACTCTTTGAGAATCTATTTTTTTTTTTAAATCTTGATTTTAATCTTGCAATTGATCAATTTATTATGATAGGATATCTACGTAATTATAAAGAGAATAGTTCTATTCTTCACTTTTTATAAATGTGTTCATGATTTCCTCTATGTCTTAAATACCTGAGGCTTCTTTTATTTGATTGAATGCGTCTTCAATGACCTTCATATTCTTCCAATATGTATCAATCAATTTAACTTTTTCCTTATTATTAGAAATCAACTTTTTTAATCGAAGCTTCAAAGTAGAAGCAGTGTCGATATTGGCTGCCTTCTCTTTTCTTTATCCCAAGTTATCTAAATCATGCTTTTTCTTCTCTTCCATAACTTCCTTTTTCAATCGGTCGAATTACTCCACATATTTTTCTTTTTCTTAATCATTTTTTTTCTTCATTTCAGCTATAGTTTCCTTCTTTTTCTAGGCTTATTGTTCGTTTGAATTTCGATATACTTCATTTGCGGCAGTTTCATTTTCTATATTCAATAATTCGTCTTAAAGATCTTGATGAATATTTATGTATTAATGTCTTTCCTTTCTCAACATATTGATCTACTTTTTCAACTCTAAATTATTGGTTTACGATTCGTTGTATTTAAGTATTGATTATTCTAAAGCATTTTATAAATTTTTTATTTTATTTAATTATTGCTTAGCAGCTGGCAAAGTTTAATCATGTTATATCTAGAATTATTTAGAATGAGAATACTTTTTTTATTTATTCCTTTTTTTGTTACCATTCCTTTTTGGTTGACACCCAAGTTTCCTCAATATTGTAATGATGTTTTTTATCTTGCTCTACTTTTCTAATGTAGTTCTCACTCTCCCTCTATAACGAAAGTACTTGTGATTCGTGGAGAATGCTTTAAGTTTAAGAAACGTTAGAATTAGGAGCTGAATTATATCCAAAAAACATTTAATAAATAAATATTAATTATATAAACTAAACCATAGCACTACAATAATGAAAAATTAATATCAAATACATAAAAGGACATATTTAGTAATAGAATATTAAAAGGAAATCATATAAGGGAAGGTTCTTGACTTTCATTTATAACATTCAGAATTTGATGCTTTTTTCTGCCATATTGATGTGTTTGACTTATATTATGATAACCATACCTATTTTATTTTGAAGAAAAGGAACTAAGAGCACAGTAATTCTTGGTTTTTATGAAGTTCTTTCAATACAATGAAATATACTCAAAAAATTTCTAAAGTCTTTATTTTTTCTCTCCACCTTGGTAGAGATCATTTGATTAATAATGAGTTCATATAAAAAATGATCTTTAGGAGGTTAATGTATATAAATAGAAAAATTATGAGCTTTTAATGGTACTTAAATCAATTTGGAATCAAATGAAAGAGTGTTTGAATGAGTCTTTAACTAAATTCTAAGGTTTTGTATAATCGTTTACAAAAGAAATTAACTAAGGTGAGAAGTTGCTCAAAAGCATTTTAAGGGTCTCTTTCAATATAGTTACTAACCAGATAACAAAACTTTAGAATTTTGTTGTAATAATAATCAAGATATTAAAATTGTCAACAGAATTTTAGGGAAAAAATTGATCATTATTTTATATTTGTATTGCTTATCATTTTTTATTTAAATTACTATTAATAGGCATTTAAATCTAGGATTTGGGTTACACTCTTTGTGTATTACTTGCTTATTTTTGAACTTCAAATTATTTATACAGTTAGGCCAAGGTTGGGTTATAATGTTCACTTACAGGTTTAGATTAAGGTGAAATAGCACTTTTTTTATTTTATGGACTGATTAATTATTTCAAATAGTTTTATTAATTGAAGTTTTAATGTGTAGGACTCAAACTTAATTATTGCTATGATTTCTGAGTAGTTGATAATTCTTTTTGGCTCATAAGAGGTCTTGGAATATAATAGTATTATTACTTTGATTTGGTATTTTGTAATAGTTTTTAGGTTTTCAATAGTTTGCTTTATAATTCTGGATCCAATGAAATACTGTTAGGTAAATTGGGCATAAAGAAGGTATCTTTCTTTTCTTACGATTTACTCAAAGTTGACTCAGTAGGTACCTAAGTTATGAATTAAAGTCTACTGTCTTTTGTGTTTATAAAGAATCAAGATCCAGCAAGGCTTAAAGTAGATAAGATCTTTGAACTTCGACTTCTCTATTAAAAGTATATCCTATAAAGTTCACATCTTTTCTAACTGATTTACCAGAACTTAGTGTTAAATAAATACTTACTCCTAAGGTACCCAGGGTTCTTATTCCTCAAACTTATCAAAGTTCCTAGTATCCAATTCAGATTTGATTTCAGGTATATAAGGTGATACTTTGGATCTTAGATTTTTCCAATCGATTCCAGCAAAGAAGGGATGAGCTTTAATCTCATTGACTCCATTTACTCCTAGTCTATTAGAAGCATCTGTCATAAGTCTTAATATTAAATCAGTAGCAGCAGGAGATAGCTTAGCTTCTTGGGGAATAACAAGTGTTTTTTTCCAATTAATAATCTTCTAACAAGTTGATGAGGGATCATCAGAAAAGAATGGTGGATATCCAACCAACATTTCAAATAGAATTGCTCCTAGTGACCACCAATCGGCTGTCTCATTATAACCAGACTTTCCGAACACTTCAGGAGCAATATAATCTGGAGTGCCTACTGTACTGTATGCCTTAATTCTATTTCTCTTGAAGGTAGTTGTGTTACCTCCTTTATCCTCTGGTTTATGTATGCTGATCCTCTCATCTAATCTCGTTCCTCTTGATTCTACGTATTTACACAATCCAAAGTCACTCAATTTTATGTGTCCGTCTGCTTATAATAAAATATTATCTGGCTTTAAATCTCTATGTATATATTTTAATTTGTGTACAGAATCCACTGCCCTACACTTATTTACTTACATCATACATTATTGATTCTGCCATATAAAATTATGATTCCTTCTCAGTAAAGATGTCCTTCTTCATTAATAATGTCATCAAATCTCCTCCGGGCAAGTATTCCATTACTAAGTACAGATATCTAACATAATAGAATTTTGTACTTTTCATCTTGGAATGAGCATTTTAATTAAACTATCCATGCATTATCTGATGCTGCTAAAAGGTCTCTTTCTGCTCTTACGTGACAAACCTTGCTAAATTACTTTAGATACTTAGTTTTTATAAAGCATTTCAGACTTTTTCATTTTCTTAACTGCAACTATATCATTAGACAATTTATTTCTACACAACCTTACTTCACCAAAGGCACCTCTTCCAATTATTTCTATTGGTTCAAAGTCTTTTATGCTTAGTTTTTGTCTTTGTAATCTCAAAATCTCAGCCTCCTTATGAAGCAAGTCTTGTTTAATAACTTATTGCTCAATTGGTGTATAATTTAGATTTGTCAATTTTTGAATTAATTGTTCCCACTTCTCTCTTTTTTCTTTTTATTCATAAAGTAGCTTTTGGTATTTCTTCTCAATGTATTATTTTGCTGCCTCTACTCTCTCCTTGGTAGATTACGATAATTTTAACATTTATGTTTTAGAAGGGTCCATAATAAATATTAATTAATATTTTCAAAATTCATAATTAGAACACTAGGCTCATATTTATTTCTACCTCCCTATTAATCAATTTATCCTAAATAACAAATTTTATTTTTAAACTCACATTCTCTTAAGAATTTAATACTCCAAGTTTGAATACACTTTTTATTAGTCATTCTCTCCTTTTTTTAAAAATTGATTCTATCAAAGATAGTATTTGAAAAAATCGTTATTAAGTCAAATATTTTTAAATTGATCTGTTATACAAATATATTATTATTATATATCTAATAATTATAATAAACTCCATTCCTCTTATAAAGATTCAAATTTTATTTTCTATTCAACATTTAATAACGTTAGGATAAGAGTTCCTTCTTAAAATCATTAAAACTTTAAGGATTCTTAAGATTCTTTTAAAAATCACTAGGATTACTTAATTAGACCATTTAGATTAACAATTCAATAATATATATCCACTCAAATATATAGTAATAGAATTTTTGTCATATAGATTCTTACGAATACTCAAGACAAATTTTCACAATTTCGCAATTCTTAGTTCTTAAAATATAATATTCTCAAATCTAGTAAGTTTATTTGCTTTAATAAATTATTATAAAATAGAATCATAAAATATTTAATATAAAAAGAATTGAAAAAAAAGGACCTACTTGGATTCGAACCAAGGTCTTGAGGGTTAAAGCCTCAGGTACTAACCACTATACGATAGATCCTATAGCTATTCATTAAATTTCGGAATACTATATGAAACTCTTGATTTATTATATATAAATAATCTTGCAAAATTTATTTTTAGAAGATTGATAATAAAAACTATTCTCAATTATTTTATCTAAAAAAAGTTTAAATGCTTCTATTATCGAAATTTAGTAATATGCTAAAAGAAATATTATAATTCATTATCATTTAAGTCTTAACAGCCACTATCCTCTTTCCTTACTTCTAACATATTACCAATGTCCTTTGATAGATTGGTTTTATTCATCAAATTATCCTTCATAAATCAATTCATCACCCTTCTGTAGCTTAGCATTTGCATAAATTTTTTTAAAGGATGTTTCAATTTGACTGTTTTTATTAATGTTTATAACTCCAGACTTAGTCCATGATCCATAACAATCTGAACCGTACATTTCGAAATTCAAAATGTTTTCATTTTATTACACTGAAACCTTCTCTATTTGTAATTGGATCCACTCATCGTTAAAGGTGAAGGACATTTCCAAATTTCCTTCTTGCAATTTTTAGGCAAGGCTATTGATTTTTTAATTCAATTCATCTAAATTATTCTTATTACGATTTATAGCAGCAGAGTCTTCCGTCCAAGATTAATATAAATTTGGAAGTGCAAGAGCGAGCACTCCGATAATCAGAAAGATTGTAAATTCTTAAAAACCTCGTCCATCATCATTTGAATTATGATTATTGTGTCCTTCATCATAGAAGCTTGATTCAGATGAATGGTAATGATCTCCGCTAGTTTATCTCTCATTTGGTTAGCATTGAATTATTAAATATAGCAAATTCAAGATTAAAATTTTCATTGAAAAAATAATGAAAATTTTTTATTAGTAAAAATTTAAGAGTTCAATTTCTGAATATTTGTTAATCTATTATTTAATGATTATAGAAAAGTAAAATCTAAAATTTATAATATTAACAATTGTTATGTTAATCATCCTAATATGATAATTGGCTGAAGCGGACTCATAAATAAAGAGGATATATATATAACAATGTCTAAAGTATATACATTGCAAAAAGATACGGCAAAAAGTTCTTCATAAGGGAACAGTAACAGATTAAAGAAAAGTAATGATCTAAGAAAGAGTAAGATACGATTAATATAAACCATTTGTTTGTAATCCTTTTCAAAGAAAAATGAATAAGTTTACTTATTTTTTGGTGGAATTATAATTATCGATAGTAATGAATATATTTGAATTCATAGACGATGTAGAATAATAAATTTCCAAAAGAGATCACTTGCTTTTTGAATAAATTTCCTAAAGACTGATTTAAATTTAGCATTTTATATATTTACTATAGAATCATTCTGTTTAATAGGTTGTTGAAGAATTGAAGATAAATTTTTGAGATTATATTGATTTTGAAGGAGATTGAGATTCTCCTTTAAGCTTCTAGGGCAGTGATTGAAATTTTAATCTATCCATAAATTAAACGGTATGCTCACTTTTAATATTTCTTTAACTTATAATTTATTTAGGGCTTTCAATCTAATTCTGTATTTTTTCAATTAACAGTTCCCTGCGAGATTATCCTCCTTTGGCATTTAAAATAATATCTGCTATGTTTAATTTAGTTTATAAAATGGTATCATGAATTTTTAAGTCATTTTTTTGCCATTTCAATCCTAAATAAAGAAAGATATAATTACGATTTGGCTTTAAGTACTTTGCCATTCCTCTCTAAGTCAAATAGCCTGATTCTATGATCTGTTTTCTTTTGAGGTATTCTCTCTCTTCATTTAAGATGTACTTCTTCATCTCACATCTTTGAAAGGAGAGAAGGGGAATAGGAACAAATTATGCAATAGACCTTCCAGTGGCAGGAGTATTTGTTGACTGTGGACTTGCGAACATATTTGATGTGCTGGCTGATTTGATATGAAATTTAAACGATTTTTTCCTTGGACCCATATCCATCATATTGAATAATAATTATATTATTATTTGATTCTTGTAATGAAATCTAATAAATTTAGTTAGGGTTGTGGTCCCAAAGAGGAAAAATAGAGATGTAAATAGTAATGCTTTAACTCTAGCTCGAAGTTTGTATGCATCATAATATTTCAATTTCGCTGAAGTACCAAAACAAAGGGCATCTCAAGCATCCATTGTAAAAACAGAAGGCAAGGAGATTTAAAGAAGATTACTCTTCTACCATAAAACAGTGCTCGTTGATAATGTGATTAGGAATTCAAATAAATAGCAAAAAAATAAAAACTTCAAGGAAAAAATGTTTGAGATCAATGATTCTCGACAAAGAAGGTTGAGCTGTTCCTGCAATGAGTGTGGCAAAAGATCAACGAAGATGAACAAATTCCATAATGTATATTAAAAGTAAGAACAAACCTCCAAAGACTTTTGGTCGAGCTTAATTATATAGTAGCAATAGTAATCATAATTAACTATTTCAACAAAATCATTAAAGTCCACAACCACGCTCCTCTCAATCCCAGACATTAGTCCTAAAAAACAACAGTAGAAAATAGAGAGTCCAATGTCAAAGAAATATAAGCAAAACTAAAAATTAGCCTCTCCTCCTCTCATAAATTTGAAACCATATCTTTATGAATCACCTCAGAAAAAATTCACTAATCTCCAAACCGAATAAACCCAATTGATTCTTAAGCCAGTTTTTCTGAGATCCTCAGTTCCGAACTTAGAAACCTTTGAGTATTCTTCCAAACAAAGTAGTCCAAGAAGAGGCAAATCTAATTAAAATTAAAAATTGGAGTAATAGGTGTAAACTGCTAGAAATTTAACTAAAAGGATGCTTCAAATTTGCTATTTGAAACCATTCTCGGGAATCTCAAATCGAAATACATGTATGAATACATAAAGAAAAGAACAAAAATATTGAAATTAAATTTATATATTTTGATTATAATGCTTGTTATATGATTTATCTCATTTTTATCCCTATTTCTATTCAACAATAAAAATCTATTTATTAGAATTTATAAATAAATAGGCTATAAGTTTAAATAAAGAGCAATACATCTTTAAGAAGGAGACATTGACTTAAATTATGAATTAAAAAATAATATGAAATAACTTTTATTGACTGGATTGCAATTAATTAGGTCTTTTGGGCAAATAAAATTAAGAATGAGATAAGTTATATATATTTATGAAAAATTATTCAACTAATTTTATTTTTTATATCAATTATTTTCATAATTTGATGTCAAATATAATTATTAGATTTTAGGACTAGCTAGAATCAGATTAGAACTATTGCTAAAGTCTTTAAACCTGTTTAATTTAAGTCTAACTTTGAAAGAGTTAGTGATTCTGAAAACCAAAACAAAAGAAACCTATTAATTACTTTTTAGAATCTCAGATAAACTATTAATATTTGAAATTTAAAATAAATAATTTTATTTATATTTTCAATTCATTAGATCTTCAACTTCATCAACTAAGTCTTACATATCTATTACTATCTTATTAATTATTGACTCTAATTTCATTAGGTCATTTGAAAGCTTATTATCTTCAAGCTTACAAATTAATGTTAAATACTGTTTATACATGTTTTCAAATTCCTTTCTCATTTATATCAGTTTATTCTGAATTGAAAATCTAATTTATTTTAATTTTTATTAAGTGATAGATTGTGAATTATCAACTTACTATTTTGATTACATTTAAGTGATTTCACTTATTGCTACATCTCTTTTCCCTTTCAATACTTTAATCAAATCATTTAATTATTGCTATTATTACTTTTCACTTAAAATTTAGTCATTAAGTGCCTTGATTTCTTCTCCTTTTTTTATAAGAACTTTCTTTAAATCTTAGATTTCCTCTTTTTATTTTGTGTTTTCTAATTATATTTACAGTTCAATATTTCTTTAAGCATCGAATTATTGTAATTAGTTGATTAGTTTATTGTTTTCCTTAATGAGCATATTGATTTGTTATTACTTCGATTCAATCTCCTATCTACTTTTTGATTATTAATCTGCTAATTGTTGTAATACCATATTAAAGTTTCTATTAATTTATCTATTTTCTTAACTCTGCTTATCAATTTCTTAGGCTTACAAGTTTATTTTATGGAGTTAATCCTTGTTCAATTATATATATTCTTGGATTTCTTTTTGCAAAGCATCTATTCTTTATTTATATTGTTCATCATTACTTTTATCTAGATCAATAAATGCAGCATTAATTTCTTACAACTCTTTATCATCTATCTAATTATTATTCCAATTTATTTAAGCTTAAACAGTTTATAATTCCTTTTTTGATTATTCTAATTCGCATTCAATGACTTCCTTCTTTCTTAACTCATTATCAGCATCAGCTTACATTTCAATCATGGCTTATTCTAATTCCTTACAATGGCTTTCCTTTTCTGCCAATTCTTAAGCCATTCTCTTTCTTTCCTTTTCAAGCATTTCAAATTTGTTAAACATGGGCAAAAATTATTAGCAAACGTCATCGTAACCTCTTTAAAGTCTATTGATATAATCTTCCATTTAATGCAGAATATTAGACAAATCTTCAATTGAGTATTACCACAAATTATCTTTCGGGATTGAATAATTTTTAAAAGCCAATTACTCAAAAGTAGGAAAGGATTCAATTTATTACTGCTTATGTTGCTATTCTTTAGTCATCACTTTTTGAGCTGTTAATTTGGCATTTTCAATTAAATTTTTTATCATTTTTATTATGAATCAATTTCAGAATTGGGAATAGTATTTAGAGTACAATGCATTTCTGCAATTTTACAACGAATTCATGAATATTCGAGATAATCTTATTGTTCAGAACTTCCAGATTTACCCAACAAAAGATTATTATTAGAATAATAAAGTAAAAGTAGATGAGTTATTAAAATTTGTTTTAAATTAATTCCCTTTGTTGTAATTTAAAATACTTAGAAATATAAATTAATTTAATGGAAAAAGTTTTAAGTTATGATTAGATAGTTTCACATCTAGTAGAATTTTGTCATAAAAGTTAAGATGAGGAAATCAAACAGATTGAAGCCACTAAGATATTAAACTAGATGAGCATGAAGAACGGACATTAGGAATTTAATTATGAAATTGCGGTTGAATTGTTTGAAAGGGTTGCTTCTTACAATACATCCTTAACAATTTAGACTTTAGCTAATGTAATCTATGAAGCCAATGACATCATAATAAATAAATACAATCATGCGATGAACAGGGAAATGTATATGGAAGAATAAAAAGCATATCTAAAACACATCAAACCTTACGGGAATACAACGAACCTTCACATTCGCTCTGTGAAAATATAAGAAGCCTATGTACATAGACCATATATCGTTGTTCTTATAGGAGAATTCATACACGAGAGTGAAATACAGACAAGGAAGGACGGATGGTTTGAATGGAGTTTGGATGTACAAATTCCAGTGAAATCTCTTGTGACAGATTTAAAAGTTGAATTACTCGAAGATCACAACATTATCGCAAGTTTACAAATACCTTGTGAAGCATTGCCTATGAATGAAATGAAGGAAGCTGAATTGCAAATGTAAAATGCTAACTGTCACACATTAATTCAATTGCAATGTATGTTGAATATTGGTAACAATTATAAGGAGTTGATCGATGAGAAAATGCAGTTTCTAGATAATCAAACTTAAATTTGTTAAGAAGAACTATTCCTGCTTTAATCTTAATTACATGAATTAAGCAAGCCCTTCTTCAGAGATGCCAACATCCAACCAAAGTAAATCGGCTATTCCAATAAGTCTCATCTAAACACTGAAATATTTTAGAATATCCCTGATAAAAGCACTCTTTAACCACCATCCCTTCAAGCCACAGCCTTCAGAAACACTTCCTCCGCTCTTGGATTCAAAAAGATCATCATTGAACCAGAACGGAAATTTCACTCCTATCCTATTATGGCTAGAATCGATCTCTTAGCAACATTAATAGCAGTATTTGTCTAATCATTTTATGATAGATAATTTCAATGATGATTAATTTCTTTACTCCTGACATTAGTATTACTTTTATCATGGTTATCCTTTTTTCAATAATGCTTAAACACAAATACACATTGATTTATATACTGATTTTAGTGACTTTTGGGATCCTCATTGAAATTTTTACTCTTAGCTATTTAGATCTTAGCATATTTGCAATTTTATTAATATTGTTGAATATGCTACTAAATTTTGGATTGCTTCTCCTTACAGGATTGCTCTTAAATGATGTTGAAAATGTGTCGAGACTTAAATCCAAGCTTTTACTACCTTTGTGATTAATTTAATTTATGTTCACACTTAAGAAATATTTATACGATATTGCCTATGGACAGAGGAAGGTGAAGAATCGACTTGGGATCGTAGTAATGCTCATCTCTGGATATGCTGGATACAATATTGGAACCAATCAATCTGAAAAATTGGACACTTCCTCACTCTATTAATTTAATGGATAGGATGAGGAAATATACAACCTATTATAAACAAAGCCAGTATTACAATTGATCTATCCTCCTGGAGAGCCCTATTTTGATAACTATAGAACTGCTTTCATAAAGGCTTCAAACAAATTCAAGTACAAAATGAGTATTTTATAAGTTAAGTGCACTTTGTCCTAGTTAACACCAACCAGCACTTTCAATATTGTAGGAATATTGATCTATCAAGATTACCCCAAGGATTGCTTTGGCTACCACAGAATTTCAATCTTGATAAAATTGAGAAATTTAAATAGGAAGGAGTGTTTCCTGTTGTAGAATATCTTAAGGAGTATTCTGTAGAAGGAATAGAATGCTTTTTAATGCAGAATGGTGTTATTCCTGAAAAAAAGTCAACAGACAAATTAACTTAGCAAATAAAACCATTAATGTGATATAATAATAATTCATCTTAAATAAAGAAAACATATAGTTTATTAGTATAGAGTAGAGTTCCATTTCTTTATTATTTAACTACTATATAAAAATAATATATCAACTTAAAATTATTATTATTTAATATTAATGGACAATTTAGCCGATGAAGAAATTTATAATGATCGCAATCGAATTGAACCATTTGTTAGAGCCATCACAAGAAATAAACATTTATTTAAAGATAAAATTGTATTGGATTTGAATGCAGGCATGGGATTGCTTAGTGTTTTGGCTTCGGAATCAGGAGCAAAATAAGTTATTGCAATGAAAGCAAATAGTTATGCTACTGAAATTATGAAATTGAATAATATCGATAATGTTAAATTATACACAGAGAATATAAGGGAAGTGGAATTAAATTGCAAAATAGACATCATAATTGCTGCTTGGATGGGCAATATGTTATTTTATGGTGGATGCATATAGGATGTCATCTATGCAAGAGACAAATATCTAAATCAAGATGGTTTCATCATGCCTGACAAAGGGTAATTATATCTATAATCGATTGAAGATAGTTAATATCGCAAAACGAAGATGAATTTTTGGTATTTTGAATTATGAGTTTGTAGGGATTCTGTTTATGGGGTTAATATGAAATGGATGAAGCAATGGATTGCGAAAGAACCACTTCTGGAAAGCATAAAGGAAAATCAATTAAATAGTGATGAATAATTGATCTACGAGATCAATTTACAAACTTGTACTTTGGGAGATCTTAGTTTTAGTAATTAATACTAGGTAAGGATCAAGAGATAAGATTATGCAACTGGAGTCATTGTGTGGATGAAATACTCATTCACTTATACTCATTTGCCAATCCATGTGATTATGGGTCCAACCAAGTCTCCATTTTGGAAACCGGTCATTTTGTATTTTAGAGAAGAATTCCCTGTGAATAAGGGCGACAAATTAGAAGGTTTATTGATGTTGATTATCATTTAGGATCTTTAGCTGTGAAATTCGAATCAGAAGAACTCTTGCAAATTAAGTTATCTGTACATATGCAACAATATAATTATGTATCATATTTTAAGTTAAATTGAGTAAGTAAAATATCAATCATTATACTTTCATTCTTTTCACTATTGTTGCACTTTGTTTGTTCTAATTCACCAATTTAAAAGCCAAGGGAGATGATCTCAATGAATTATACACTGCAGTCTCAGTAATGTTGCGATTAACTGCCCTTCCTCTTATCTCACAATCAGTTTCTCTTCTTTTTGAACAAGAAGAATATGACTTCATTCTCTAAGCAGTGTATTTGGGCTAAAGAAACTTTGTAGACTAAGGGTTTTATTGAGAATCGCTTTGTTACTATTATTGCTGACCCTCTATTTATCTGACAAAATAGCAGAGGTATCGACTCAATTGATTGATGAGCAAATCCTTAATTTAATCATTTTAGTCTGAAGTAAAAAAGGTCCTTAGACTGTTAATTGTATCTAAAACACATTGTTTCAGTTGTTTAGACAGGAGTTTAGTCTCCATAAATTCCTAAGCATTGGCTTTTGAATCTAGAATAGGTATGACTAAAGATGAATCGCATTTTTAATCCAACTTAAATTCTAATTCTTAGATGAACCTCAATCTTTCATCGATTTGTTGGAGTGTTTCTTCCTTTATTTAAGGCTTACTATTAATGGCTATTATCTATTGGTTAAGAAGATCAAATGAGGTTTTAAATTTCTTTGTTTCTTCTAATAATTGAATTATCATCTAATTAAAATATTCCATTCTGATATTTATTGTATCTGACACAGGTTGTGTAATATTCTCTTGAAACTTACTTGCTTTTGGAAATCTTTATCTAATTTCATCCAATTAGTTTTATAATTCCTGAATTCTAGCATCTGATCGTTAAAATATTCTCTGCATCATATCTGAATTAATAATAGATCCTTGTCTTGTGAGCATTGCTGATTTTCTAATCTTTTTTCGAGGTGAAGATTGAGCACTTTCCACTTCCTCTTAGGAGACTTCAGCTCTTTTTGGACTTTCACAATAGGTCACACTTTCCCCTTCCTTTTGAACAAGTTAATGTTACAGAGTTTATATTTCCAAATTCTTCTATTTATTGAATGCTTAAAATGAGACCTTTTATTCGAATATTTCAGCACTTATGGATTCCAGTTTTTCATTCAGATATTCAGATTCTCTTTGTAAACGTAAGGTTTTCTGCATCGCAATTTATAACTCGTCTTTCATGACTACTTTTTAGAATGTAGAATTAACGATATGCAATTATGATTTTAAGTCATTCAATTATTAATTCTCTTCTTTAATTTATTCCTACATTAATTTATGTGCTTCTGTTGTTTCTTTTTATACCATCAATATCTTCTCTGACAAAATCTTACACACTTGATTAATTCGATCTTCAAAGAGTCTTTGGTCATTCTTTGTTGCATACACCTTTAGTTTGCTATTCGCTAGATCTTCAACTTTCTTATCCACTAATTCAGTCAACACTGACACTTATCTATCTTTAACAAATTATATGTTATCCTAAACAATGCCCAATTATTGTTTAGTACTCATCTCTCCTTGCAAACGGTCTATTCTCTACTGAATCTAATTCTTGATATTATCCAATTCAAGACAAGTTACAAAATCTCTTCTCATTAAATCTTATACTTTAGTGATTTCTGAATGATCTATTTTCGAAGCCAATTATGTTTCAAATTAATCAAGACGAGTCTTATAGTTTTAAGTCAATCTATCGTTTTACAACAACAGCCCAGTGTATTCCTTGTGTTTTTGATTCATCTCTTTGAAATTGATTCTCATTTGATTGTTCACCTCCCTATTTTGTTTAGCCTCCTCCAAAATGCTATGTCATATTTCATTAGATCTGTACCTATGCATCTCATCAATCCAGGGTTGGATTTACATAATATAAACAGAATGTCTGTTAAGAATTTCATCATAATGACTACTGAACTTTGAGTGCTGCGATTCAATTGAACTCAATCTTTCTTGTATCTTCAATTAAGAATTTAGAAGTTGAATGGTATCACTTATCAAATCAACCCTTGGATTATTGGTTATAAACACATCCAAGGTTGACAATTTTTATTGCATCAATGAAATCTGATTCAGATGAGGCAGAAATGATTTGCTCAGTTATTCAATAGATTCTTCGAGTTTAATAAATCGTAATTACTCATTCATTATTATTATAAATGTAAATCTCGGAAAAAGGATTTTATAGAATCTTAAATTCTTATGATTAAAACGATCCAAGAAAGCATGTCGACTGGACCACAGACTTCACACACGAACTACCTATTCGAGGCACCAAAGATCCAATACCAATTACAATCCCATAAGCATTCAAATAAGATTGTGTTAAATTCCTTGACATGCCTGCCCTTTCTGTTAAGCGCAATAAGATATGGCAAACATTGAGTTACGGAGCATATTACAGCGCTGTTCTTGATTTCGCTTCTGCATTAATCGAATTAAACATAACTGAATTAAGTGCAGTCAATATTATCGGTTTCAATGCTCCCGAATGGAATATTGCTTTCATGGGCAGCATACATGCTCATAATCTCCCAGTCGGAATCTACACCACAAATAATCCAGAGGCTTGTCTCTATGTTAGTGAGCACTCTGAATGCGAATTACTGGTGGCAGACACTCGAGAATAATTATAGAAATATCTATCCATTTGGGATCGATTACCTAAACTGAAAGCTGTTGTCCTCTATAATGATAACTTAGACCATATTAAAAATATTCCTCCATATAGGAAAGTCTACAGTTGGAATGATTTTCTAGAAATTGGAAAAAAATCTAACAATCTTAAGGTGGTCGACCAAAGAACCAGTAAATTGGAACCAGGAAATTGTTGCACTCTCATCTATACTTCAGGAACAACAGGTAATCCAAAGGGAGTCATGCTTTCTCACGACAATTATATGTTTATTGTTGCTTAACATCTCAAGAAATACAAAATTGATGATGGATATAGAATTGTAAGTTACCTACCCCTGAGTCACGTAGCAGCATAACTAGTAGATTTAATTGGCTTATTTAGATGGGGTGGCCACTTGTATTTTGCAAACCCAGATGCACTATAAGGTTCTTTAATAAACACTCTCAAAGAAGTGAGGCCAACCTTTTTTTTGGGTGTTCCTAGAGTTTGGGAAAAAATATATGAAGAAATGCAAAAAGTAGCTAAATCTAATGGAGTAATCAAGACTTTGATTGCAACATGGGCTAAATCTTTAGGTAAGAGTGGTACTTTTGCTTAAACGCATGAGTTATAACCCCCTACTTGTTTTAATTTAGCAGAAACAATGGTTTACTAATAGGTGAAAAAAGCATTAGGATTAGATAAGGCTGCATACTTGCTTTTTGGAGCAGCTCCTTTAAATCCTAAAATTAGAGAATATTTCTTATCATTAAACATGTAAAATTAAGGGATTACTTTAGGTTTCTGATCAATGCATATGGAATGAGTGAATGTGGTGGTGTTTAGACATTATCTTTTCCAGAAAATTTCTCATAATTCGACAGTTTCTTTATGAGTAGTGCTGGCCAGGCTATAGAAGGAACTTAAATGAAAATCTTTTAACAGGATAAGGATGGAAATGGAGAGATCTGCTATAAAGGAAGACATATATTTATGGGTTACTTTAAAGATGATGACTCTACTAGATAAGCAATTGATGAAGATGGATTTCTGCATTCAGGAGATATCGGAAAAATTGATTAAAAAGGAAACCTAATTATTACTGGAAGAATCAAAGAGTTGATTATTACTGCTGGAGGTGAGAATGTGGCTCCTATTCTTATTGAAAATGAGATTAAGAAAAATCTTGAATTTGTCTCAAATTGCATGGTGATTGGGGATAATCGAAGGTACTTATCAGTACTCCTAACTCTAAAGTAGGATTAAACAGCAAAAGGAAAATTGTCAGCAGAGGTCATTTCTGAATTTCAGGCTCAGGGGTCTTAGGCTACAACAGTGGAAGAAGCTAAATTAGATCCTAATGTCAAAAAGCACATTCAATCTTTGATAGATTAAGCCAATCAATATGTGATCTCTAAAGCATAATAAATTAGAAAGTGGACTATCATTGAAGGAGACTTCTCGGTTGAGACTGGGGAATTGACACCAACCCTCAAATTGAAGAGGAAAGTAGTAGAAAAAAAATGGAAAGGGGAAATTGAAAGGATGTATTTAGATTCAAGATTATGAATTTTATCTAAGAATAAAAATTTTATTAGATATATCATCAAATATTTCTTAATAGACAGTATCAAATGTTGAATTCATTAATACTGCTAAGAGATACATCCATAATATTGCTATTACAATTACTTTTACTCTGAATCTCATGTTTCTATAGGTAGCTCCGCCTTGCAGTTGCATAAATTTAGCTACTGTTCTTATGACCTGTCTGAAGCACCATCTTAGCAAACGCAGAGTCGCTATTTATGTAAGTAGAGACCTTTGGATTTTGAACTAATAATTCATAAGGATGTCCTTCCTCAAGTACTTTGCCATCTTCCAAGACAAGCACTTTGTCATAATCTGCTATTGTGTTCAATCTATGAGCTATGGTGAATATTGTGCAATCATTAAATTTATCTTTGATGATTGTCTACATTAAACAGTCAGTAATCATGTCAAGATTTGCAGTCGCTTCATCTAAAATCAAAATCTTCTTCTTGTTCAATAGAACTCGACTCAAACAGATTAATTATTTCTAACCAATCGAAAAGAATTCTGGTTCTATCTAGTGTTCGAGACCATTTGGAAGCTATTAAATAAATCCCTCTAATCCGGTATCAGAAAGAACATTCAACAAAGTTTTATCATCAAATTTTTAAAAAGGATCTAAATTCTCTCTCAATGTGCCTTTGAAAAGAAAAGGAACTTGAGGAATAATGCTAATTTCCTTCCTTAACTTGTATAAGTTAATTTTGCGAATATCTTAATCATCTATAGAGATTATACTATTTAATATAGACACATTAAATACCCGCTATTTTCGATAGAATTCAATCTAAAAAGACTTGAAATAACTGATGATTTACCGGCTCCAGTTCTACCAACTATCCCAACTTTCTCTTTGTCCTTTATTGAAAAGTTCATCCCCTTTAGTACCAAGGGAGTGTTCTCTCTATATTGCATCGTCACATTTGAATAGAGGATAGAACCAAGTCTTGGCCAGTTCCTCATCTCTAACTCACCTGCTGCTTCTTCTTTTTCAATTTCTAAATCACAAATCTCAAACATCCTATTCACACTATTCATCATTGAGTCGAATGCCATGAATTACCTTAATGTTCCTGCCTAAGTGTTGAAGGTTGATAGCAATAACAAAGCTTACGAGAAGATCGTAGGATCAGACACCATTCCTATAATCAAAAAGATTCCAGATATGTTTGCGAACTAACCAAACAAATCAATATAAAACCCAAAGCATCTTTATGAATACAAAAATATCAGATTAGCCTGCATGGATTGATTAGACAATTTAACAAATTTCTCCTTGATCCATGATGAATTTTCATTTATTCTTATTTATGTGACTCCATTAATAGTAATTTTAAATTGATCAAACAAGGGAGATCTTTGAATCAAATCACATATCTTTAATTATGAAACCACTGATCTTGATATTCTGAAAATTACAACTGTGCTAATAATGGTAAAGATAGCTGCAAATGTAAAATATGGCTATAGAATGGCTATGGTGACAAGAGATACCAAAAATTGTGATCCTTATTCAAATATATCCGTAATCGTTGACTGTATTTAAGTATCAGCCAAGGATAAATCAGTTGAAAAACGATTAATCAACCTTCCAGAAGGATTAGTATCAAAATAAATGATAGGCGATAGAATCAACCTTTTTAACATTTAGTTGTGAATGGTGTTGTTTGAAGTAAGTACTCCAAATATATTTAAAAAGTACTTTACAATATTATTAAAATATGCTGCTAGTACTAAAATAGCAGCATTGTAAAATATTTAATCATTCTCTCGTTATCTATCTTCATTAAATGAAGCCATTTCTTTATAATAGTAATTATTAATAACCTCACTAGCTACGTTTTGAAACAATATTACAAATATTAAAATAAAAGGTTTCCAATAACTAAAATACCTTTTATAAGTATCAAAAGAAGCATCAGATTAATTTTGATCTTCAGTTGTGTATAAAGCTTAAGTTTCATCTTTGCTTGATTTCTACATCTAATTGACTACCTTAACTGTCAATTTACTAGGTCTTCTGATTTTTAAGGATCTGACAGGATTGTCAACATTTGTGTTACTTGTATGAGCACTTGTAATTTCTAGGATGTGTTTTTTCATTTTGTTCTTTTGACCCTAATGAGTAATCATACCCCCATCCATAATAACAACATAGTCACATTCTAAGGCATACGAGATTTGATGTGTAGCCAAAATAACAGATGGAGTTTATTGTATGAAGGCCTAATGAGTCTTAATTAAACTGGGTCTGTAATTAGGTTGGAACTTAAAGATGAAATCTTTGATTGCATTATCAAAAATCTTGCCAGCAACTTTAGAATCAACTGCAGAGAGAGGATCATCGAAGAGATATAAATCAGCTTAAGAATATAAGGCTCTGGCCAAACTCAATCGTGCCCTTTAGCCTCCTGATAAGTTGGCTCCTTTTTCACCAATTTCTGTTTTGTCTCCTTGTCTAAATGATAGGATGTCTTAATCTAAACAACTCACTTCCAATACTTTCAAGTAGAGTACTTAGTCATAGTCTTTCCCAAATAAAATATTTTCCTTAATAGTCCCTGTGTAAATAAAGGGCTCTTGTTCAACATAAGCAAGTTTCAACTTCTTTGACTGGTTTACACTTCCTTCGTAGTAAGGCAATTCTTAAAGTATTGCTGCAAGAAGTGTAGATTTGCCTGCTCCAACCTTTCCAATAACCCCCATGATTTCCCCTGTTTTGATGTCCAAGTTAATCGAACTGATCGCTAGAGGACCATCTTTTGACCATCTGCCAGAATATTGATATATAGTAACGAGAGATGTCTACTGCAGAGTGAGACTGCCTTTACGGTTGAGTCCTCGAGTTCTATCAACCAATAATTATTGCATTGGTTGATGTTGAATATCATAAGTAGTAAAAGTAGTTCTAAATTGGTCAATAGTGGTAATGTTGTTTGATTGCTGTCTAAGTATTTCAGAGACTCTTGAAAATATGACACTGAAATTCATAAGAGCTTAAAAAGCATAAGATACTTAAAAGATGCAATAGTATTTTATCATAGACATGAGTTAAATGGTTCCCATGATTGTTGATATAGTTAAATGAGTATCACAGGCATACAATATTAAAATGAAGCAAAATGATCCCCAAATGTGCACACTAAAGTTGAAAGAACGATCTAACAAGTTTAAAACATGAATATTTAAATAATAGAAAAACTCCTTCCTTCTGATAACATTGATCTTATTTTCGAATATCCTCTCCCACACATACATTTTTATATACTTAATTCCTTCAATGACAGTGTTTGTTTATTGAATTCTCTGATCTTGCAACTTTCGAGTTTAGAGCAATAGTTTCTTGTTGACATTCTAAATCAGTATTTATAAAGGGTACAGTACAGCACAAAAGATTATAGCTACCAATCCTAGAGGCCCTTCAAATCTTAACTAAAATTTACTAATTTCATACCCATAAGATAATTGAAGTAAATAACAATGAACCTGGTATCACAGCCACTTAATAAATGAAAGTCAATTGATATTCTATCACATTGAGATCACTACTAACCAGATTCATGATCTTTCCCACATTTAAGGTTGCTATTTGTGTTGAATTCAATTCGATTATTCTGTCATAAATTAAATTGATGAAAACCATCCTTATTTTTGTTGCAAAGTTGCTTATCAAATACCTATTTATTGAATTGATTTAATACTATTATTAATGCTTACTCATTAGAGCAAGCAATGACAGTATTGCTAGAGCAACAGCCTGTAGATAGGCACTGTTCATATCCTTTTCAGTAATTGCGGCGATCAAGGTTTCAGTCAGAATGGCCATAATGAATCTTGAATAAGTCTCGAACATTGCTAGGGTGACTATCATCAATGTGACATACTTATTATCTTACCAGAAGAACAACTTAAAGAGGGCTCTATTATTAAAATTATATAAATCCTAAGAATGTTGAATGAAAATATTTACATTATTTTTTATTTGCTCGTATATTCTTTTTAAATTATATTGTATTGAATCTCTAAATGCTTGTTTTGGTAGTTGAGCCACACTGATTTTTTGAGTGGATGATTCAACGAACTTCTTCATTTGTTTCATGTAACAAAATATGTGATAAAGGAATAACCTTTAAAATATATTGTAATGCTCATAGATAGTATCATCATTTATTATTAGTTTTTGAGATCCTTTTACTGGAGAGTAAAGACTGTTCATAGTATTAAGATTTTTATAAGATTTTATAGCATTTTCAATTTTGGGTGAATCTGCACCAACTTGATGTTGTTTAGGCGTATTGAATAATTACACCTCTATATTTTGACTTTCTGGGTTACTAGCCTTCCAAAGCATTTCTTTGTTTTAATTTGCTCTGGTTTTGAAGGGACTCTCAATTTCCTCTTCAGGAATTAAGTTAAGTACTGCATTAGATTCTTGACGATCCATTTGATCCTAAGATTATTTCTCACTAGCATAGTCCTCGCTATTTTCCTCTTTAATAATATCGCTATCAATGTCCAAGTTGCGAATCTTTACTGAAACCTTCTTTTTTGAAGTTCTCTCCAATCTTACTCGAATATCCTATTATTAGTGTTCCAATTCAGTATTTGAAGAAACGCTTTCGTCAGGCTAAGCTTATTCCAGATAGTGACATCTGTTCTCTTGAAACCGCTTCCTTTATTTGCTTGTATAAGAATTCAACATGCTATGCTATATGGGAATTTAATTGAAATATATAAATAAACAGATTGCCTTTTTCATAAAAAGTAGGTAATCGACCTGAAATAATATCTGAGTTGAAAATTTAGATGATTTGACTATATTATACATAATTATCATATTAATAAATCGTTAACAACTTGGTTTCTAGCATCGAAATTGTAATCTGAATGAATCCCATTTCTTTAGACAAAAGGCAGATTATATTTTAAACATTCTTCATATTCTTATTGAAGTTATTGAAGATGAGGATTGTTCATGAATTCAATGTCCTCCTCTTTTTTAATACTAGGATGATGTTCCATTTCGTGTTAAGGATTCCAAAATTCTTACTAAAGATTTGAATAATAATATTTCTGCTGTTCCAACATCATGTAGTAATAGGGATCGTGTGTTTCATAATTGGCTATGATGTTTGCCTCTTCTTTACAATAATATGTGAGTAATTACCTGCTTTGGGCAAATCTGCCTATGGATTCTTCTTCTTTCTTCCAGCTCTACTTCTCTCAGCTCTCGGCAATCGCTTTCCGTTCTCTCCTCTCAAAGCGTATGGGTTAAATTTCTGATGATGACTTCGGCATTGACTGGGTGTTCTAGTACCAATTAGCTCACTCATTTATTTGAATATTTTCGATGTCTTCTTCATCATTGAGGATGTCATGATATCCTCATATTACTATAAAAAGGATATGTAGGTCGAATGTTCATCGGTTGACCAATGACCAGTATTGATGTTCTCTTTCTTAGGCTTTTTTATTTGAGAATGCTGTCCCTTCTATTTTTGCGTCTATTGAGAACCCTCCTGAGAACCTTAGCCATCTTAATGTGGATTGGAAACAATGTCTGATTGAAGTTTGGGCATGGGATTGCCTTGTGTGTAATGAAACACTGGATATGGTTGTTTAATACTAGGGTGAGAATGAATATTGTACATCTAATCCGATGGGATAATTATTTGTGGCTGATCCTCAACGAACTATTTGTCTGATTCTAATGTCTTTGGCAGAAGGCCCTTTGAATCGTTATTCCTTTTTCAATGAGATTAAATTCAATTACTTATGTTTTTTATTTTTTTTATTTTTTATTTGGCTAGGTATCTCGTGTTCTTGTACGAACTCAAATTAATAGGGAGGAAATGCAGGTGCATAAAAATTCTATTGGAATAAGTTAAACTCATTATAATTTGAACCCTGGTTTTATTCTGAAATTATTTGGTGAAAGTCTTACTTGCTTGCTCAATCTCGCCTTAGAATTGCACTTATGCCTCATTCACATAAGGGAAGTAATTTTGGTATTGCTATATGTTCATCATATTTATTTAGAATATATTTATTTTACAATCCCTTAATTAATAATTATCCAAAAATATACTCAATTCCATCAGGTCAAATCATCCTTCACTACCATCTGTCTTATTGTCCTATCCAACTAATTATCCAAAAATAATGACTATTGAGGAAGCAACAATAAAAATCGCTTCATCAAATTGAATTCCCATTTAAAATATGACAATATCTTTGTAAAAACCAACAGAATGCTCAAAACCATCAGAATAATAAACACCAAGTTTATTATCTAAATTCAAATGAAAATATTTACCAATATTTGTAAAATCAATTCATCAGTTGAATTCTTCAACTAACTTTGAAATTTCTATTTCAAAACTGAAATGGTATCATATAATATCAAACCAGCCTCTAGTTCTTCCTCTGGCGAGTAGACTTTAAGTACAAATCCCTTTGTTTGATTGTACTCATTCAGTAAATTGTTTCTTATTGTTGCACCGGCAGCTGAAAATCCTTTACGCAACACCCCTTAGTATACGGCATCACAATGACTTTAAGCCATCTCGATTTTATTCTTATGATAATAAATGAAAACTTACTGCTGGCAAGAATTAACACACATCAGTGCTCATTATTAATTCCATTTCTGATATAAATTCATCAGATGTTATGTATTTTGATTTATCCATTTGAACGACAAGAGATAAGAAATTATTGATGATTTCAATTTGATCAAAGAAATTTTGAACAAAAAATGTGGCATTTTTATCATGAAAAAAGTAGAAGATTGTACCTATTGGATACTTTTAATAGTATGTAACTTCTCTCATAGAGAACACCCCACTAACAGCTATGCACAAATCAGATAGTGAGTTAAAGAATGTTGTTGTATCAGGATACTTATCAAAATAATTTCTACCCAAGGAATTCGTTATAAAGCAAAAGATAAAGCAAATTCCAAATATAAATGTTAATGTAAATAATGAAGGGAATAAAGACATCCTTTAATTTAAATTGGCAATTTAACCTTTCTACTTTTACTTATTATTTTTTTAATTCTAAGCAATTTTCTCCTTCCTTATATCTTCAGCAGCTAAAAATTTCTCTTTGATGTCAATATCAAATTAATATTTAAATAACACATCTGAATCTTTTATTAATAATGAGGCTATTCCTCTGTATCTATCAATGTCTCTTTGCAACCAAACCACATCTATAAAGTTAAAAAGTTATAGAAAATTATCGTATTGATTTAAATAGGCTTTATAAAATGTAAAAGCTATAACCAATAACAAAAAACATATTAACACTATTGGAATCAGAAGATAATTCCATTTCTCAGACACAGTACCTGATCTATTGATCGAATAGTTTACCATCTCTTGATTTAACAGTGACAACTATTCTACAAATGTTTAATAATTTCCATATAGAAACACTAAAAACCCTTGAGTTAAATCTAAAGTGATGATATTCAGATAATCTATCTTTACAAAGTTGTATGAAGCCTCTAAATATAAATACATAGATTCTCTTGCTGATATTGAGTAGTTGCTAGTATTAGGATACTTGCCTACCAAAATATTGAAATACTTATCTTCAAAGAAAGGATTCAAATAAGGGTTTGAGAGTTATTTCGTGAAACTATCTTTAAGTTCAAAGTAAGTATAATTGATATCTCTAATTGAATATTGCATTTTTGCTATTTAACTTTATACTGTTATATTTGGATAAAGGAGTAATAGAACAGTATAGACTGTCAAAGAATTCTAAGATACGATATACTTATTAACTGGCCCAATAATATTAGACTTTATTTGGATTAAATCCAATTCTTCTAAAAATCTATTCAAATCATCGTTTGAATAATATAGCATAATCCCACTATATACTAAAAATAGAACAAACATCACTGTTAGAAAGACCAACATAAGTTTAAATTTCTTTGAAAATTTTGTAGAGTTTATCAGTTTCTCAATTAAATCATACTTTTTTGAGTATTTTGATTTCTTCAATCCTGCAATGGAACTAACTTGGGATCCAATGTCATCAATGTGAACAACCCTTTATTCCTTGGAGTCCATTTACATTTGCATTCTAATATTCTCTTATAATTCTTGATCTATATCATCGTACTAAAGCTTATCTACTTAATTTTCTATCATCTATTGCTTTTTTTCACTACTTTATTGAAATGATGAAGACTGCTCTTCCTACTCAATCTATTCAATTGACTTAAAGAATTGTTATTTATTACCAAACTATTTACCTTTAGTTTAGGTAACATTAAAATCTGGATTTTTATTCTCAATTAATCTCAATCCACTATCTTTTGGACTCAACATTGATTAATTTTGATATGGTTATTAATAAGATTAATTTAAACTCTTATCATTGACTCTCAGTTTATTGATGTTGTAATCAAATTGATCCATATGATCCAAATTTTCTAAATTTGCTGTTTGATCCTCCAATCCATACAATTCGATTGCCTTAGGCAAATTTACTGCATATTCTATATCTTCCTATTCAAATTCATAGGCATTAAAACTTTCAAATTCTTAATTTGAGTTTTATCCTAATGTCAATTATGGTTCAGGTGTTGTATTTTCTGTTCTGGATTGTTTTTTAATTTCTTTGATTTCAATTATAATATAATTTGTATCTGTTTTAAAATTCCGGATATGTAAAATACAATCTACTTAATAGCTAGTTAAATGGTCTTAATTTTCCCAATTTATTTTTTGATTGTTCTCCAAGAGTAAAGCCAATGGAACTTACATTTGTAATGAATATTCACTGATTTATGTCACATCAATGACATCTAAATTAGCATCAGAAGCCTTAGTGATGTTGGCCTCAAGTATTAAAGAGATTTTAGGAAAAATCTTGGATAATGGAACTCTCTGAAAAGCTTAAGCCAATTCTTTATTTAATTTGCTGCTGTAACCCAATTTATTGATAAAGTTTTTTGATATCCCTGACACTTTGTGATTGGATAAGGAAAATAGATAAACACTTTAAGTTTCAAGGTTTTACAGGAAACAAGCAAATGTTAAATCATCCAAATTCATAAAATTGATATCATAAAAGAAATCTATTGTTTTTATATACTTTTGTTGATATTGACAAAAATTCAAATTAATTTATCTGAAGTATTTAGATACTCCATGTTATAAGAAATTGGCAACTAATTTTTCATGTACTACTTCAAATCCTTATGGCAGGATTGAATTGATTTGAGAGATCATTTTAAATGAATCTTAAGACAAACCAAAAAATTAGTGAATCATATTAGAACCCCCTCTAATTGATAATTTATGTGATTATTAATCAAATCCTATGATTAGATAATCTATTTTATTAGAAAACAAATCAAAATTGGTTTAAGATTGCATTTTTAGCAACTTTTCATCTGAAATTGATGCTATTGTTGCTAATTTATATGCAGAAAAGTAATTATTCATGATTTCAGATTAATAGAATGTGTTGAGTGCTTACATTTTTTAACTTGGAAATTAATCATATAGTTTATACAATTAATCTTCAAGGCTATTCATCTAAACAAGGAGTTTCTTACCAGCTCTAAAAATATTAAGATCATTGCTCAATTGATTTAAATTATTGAAGAATTCCCTCTTTCTGTTAATCATCTTAACCACTTTCTTCCTTAACCTTTTATTGTTCTCTTCAGATTATAGAAATAGTTTAACAGCATGTTCTAAATTTTCAGATAACTAAGCAGATTATTTAGAAAATCCCATGCTCATTGATTATTTGATCTATTCTTAAATTAAGTTGAGTTTTTATCGAGCAATAAAACCCATATTATTTAATCTAATATGGGAACTGCTTTATGCATTTTTATCACCTAATGATTTTGATTTTTGTATGGAATGACTTTTGCCATCTGAACTGTTATTTTATTCTTTTCTATCGCTTTTTTAATGATTGAATTGATAATTTACTCCATGAGTAGCAGAAGAACTAAACTGGATCTATTCACTATCAAGTTAGGCTAAGAAATTAGATTATTAAAACGCTTTTGTATTCAATCCTAGATAGTTTATGAGAGATAAGTAATGTAAGAAGTAAGATTAGCGAGCAGAATCATCTTTCGTTCTCGAAATCATATTGTCAAAGCTCTTGACTTAATCTTTTAGATATAAGCCTACGACATCTTCAAATGAAACCATCTATCTTTTACATAGACATTTAGAATCATCACATTCATCTAAGTGAGTTTATTTAAAGTAATGGATATATGTGATCTTTTTGGTCTCTTGTAAGTAATTTGATTGTAGATTACCATATTCATGGATAATATTACCAATTTTATATTGCAACATGTCAGCTGTAATTTTGGAACTGCTTGTTGTCATTAAGGATTCATGCTGCTTAATTTCATAGTTATATATCAGTTCGTTTAAAATTGGTGATATCAATAGTATCAATAAGACATCATATGTATCTTATTTTTATTCTGAAACCTAATTAATAAACAGTATGATGGCCATGGTAATTTGGAAGAAATTGCATTAAATTTCAATCTTCTATCTATGATGCAGGTTTGGATAACTCCATATTAAGACCCAAAAATTGCTGGATTGCTTGATTAACGCAATGCTGAAAATTAAATAAAATTTAGTTAGATAGGAGCTCTCCATTTGATCAATGACAATAATTATGAAATTTAATAAGGATTTCCAATAATTGCTGAAGGTGGCTTGCAGCAATTACAAATTTTGAGGGGTTATAGATATTGATTCTAAATTACAGAACAATTAAATCAAAAAGTTGGCGATCACAAAGATCAGTGTAATTATTGAAAATGATAAATGGATCATGTCGATGGATGAGCTTTGGGCATTGTGAAATAGGGATACCAATGTTAATTCCATCATTGGAATGATCAGAATGTAATAGAGCAATGAATGGAAGTATGACAATATTCTAAGAAGAATTTAAATTAATCGATTCTACGTTTTTAAAAATTCACTCAATCTGTGTTATTTCTTATTTTTCCCCAAATAAATGATAAATAAATATATCAGTACAATTTGATAGAGGATGGTGATGCATAATGGTATTAAGTAACTCAAATGTTTAAATTCATTATTTGAACTTAATTTGATTCGAGAAGCCAAGGAAATTTCTCGAATAAAGGTAAAAAAATTGATTCCTTTTGAAAAAAGTTCCTCTTGGTAATTCAACAATAAAAAGCTCAATTCCTAAATCGTCGAAAATATCAACACAATATTAATTATTGCGCTATTAAATTTGACTAAATAGTGTTCGCATAGTACTCTGACTTAAATATAAAATTCAATAAATCTTTCATCCAATGAACTTTTTTATTTTTATTTCTTTTTTTCCTTCTTCATTAGATCAATTTGAAAATTATCAACAATCAAAATTATTAAATTTACATAAAAATATCAAAGTTCGCATTTCTCAAACCCAAATAATTGATATATTAAAAAATTTCGGATTTATGAATTAAAGATAGGGTCCAAAGTTTTTAATAAGCCTATTTGAAATACTCGAAGTAGTTAATTTAATGAGACAAAGGGCGAAGAAAACATAAATGTAATTAGATGGAACAATGAAGGAGATGCCTTTGAAATTGTAAATGCGGATTTATTAGTCAATTCCATTTTGAGTGTACATTACAAATAATCAAATTTCTTTAGTTTTGTGAGGTATTCGCATCCAAGTATAATCATTAGACAATTGAATCAATATGGGTTTAATAAATAAAAGATTGACAAGAATTCCTACTCCTTTCGACATAAATATTTTCTAAAGGATTAGAAGTAAAGCACTAAACGATATTTCTTAGGAAACTGATAGCTAAAATAGTGAGTTCTCACAAATAAAAGGTTTTGGAATTTAAAAGGGAACAAAGAGAAAATGTGTTCAATGACGATGAACAAAATGTGTAAACTAAGACTATACAGGAATTGTAATAAAATCAACATAAGATCTTCAGTTAATTTAAGGAATAAATGAATACCCAAATGCAAATAAAATAGTTGATCATTTACTTGAAAAATGTATAAAATAAATATTTTATCAGAAAATTGCTGAGTTTAACATTTAGATTGAATAGTAGTGCTTCATAGCATAGACTTTATTAATTAAAGTTATTAAAACGATCCCGAATGACGAACAATACTAATGTGAAACTGAATTATTAAAAAATGTGCTATAAGAATTCTCAAACATTTACTTGGAATATTATGGATACAACTAAAGTTAAAGAAGTCCAAACCTATCCATTTTATCACTCACTCCAGCCCCATTTCAGATGAATGAACAGCAAAGAAGAAGTTTGGGGTTAGTTGATACGAACAAAGTGCATATCAACGAATAAATACAGCAATACTTGAGATGGGTGAAGGAATCATATGAAAGGGCAATCATAAGAAATGCTATTTGAACTATCGAACATGATGATATTATATATGATTATGGATACTAATTCTATTTGTTATTGTATTATATAGTGAAGTTATTTTGTATAAAATTTTTTAGTTAGTCCAAATAATTTTCAGGTTTTTTTTGATTATGTTAGTAATGGAAGACTTAAGTGAAATAATTCAAAAAAATGATTAAAAATCTATAAGAAGAAATAGAAAAGTTTAGAACAACTTAGATTGAGATTTAAATAGAGAAGCATAAGCATTCATTGTCCGAAGATTCAGTGTTATAATGTTATTTGGTAATGATCAACTCAGATCTTCAATAAGCATTAAAGGAATACATAAATCAATTGCTGGATTATGCTAAAAATCTACCTCTGCCTTCGAATAATGAATTAGCAGTAGCATTTTCTCAAAGCTTCATCCCAATCAATACTCCGTTTATTAAGAAATTTAAGTAAGTAAAAAAGATCATCGAGAAGGTGAATTATAATGTCCTCAATCACTTTAGAAAAATGTATGATGAAATGAGAAATGTCTAGTGTAAGAAGATGGAATAACAAATAAAGGAAAATGATTTTTCTAAATGTATTTGTGCGATCTATTAAAAAACTAAAACTCCCAAATCTATACCAAATGCCATAATTTTAGTTTGCTTCATGTGTCGATTTCAATTTCACAACACCTGTTTAAGATATAAAATTAAAGATGGTCAACCATCATTTGTGTGTCCATAATGTATACTGACAAACATGGATCCATTACACAAAGTAGAAAGCATGTTATCCTGTCTAACCTTGGAAACAAGATCGCAGTCAGAAAAGAGCACAACCATGAATTTCACCTTGAATTAGGTCGAATTAAACTAGTCATTGGACATAAGATGTATTCGATTGGATGGCTATCGATATGAATAATCTTGGCCAGACATCGGTGACTTGATGATCAACGGAATCAAAGTAGTCTAATTCAAACCATTGAAAGTGAATAGTTCTTTAAAGTATAGAAAGGATGAATACTACACAGTGAAGAATCCAAAATAAGGATAATATCGAGTTGTGTTACGTTCTCAATCCAGTAATTTAAATGATAGAAAGAACTTTTAAATCAAAACAGATTAACTATTTTACTTTGGAGCATTTTCAGTTTCAGAGATTAGTTCAACAGAATTGATCTAGCAATATTAATTCGATAAATCAAAGTGGGTCAATACCTAATAAATGAAAGACAATATTTGCATGTATTCTAATCTTAATTAATCAGCAGATATAGCAGTGAATAAGATTTCAGTAAGCTTAATTTGTTAAATTACAACTTTACCAATAAAGATCCCTTGCAGAGGAATTCTATGTGAACACATTTAATGTTTTTGCTTAGATAGTTTCTGTAAATTCATAGAATCCCTTACTTAAAAGAAATGGTCTTGTCCTGTATGTAAAAGGATCTGCTTAGATTTTTATATTGACGGCTATTAATTTAGTATATTGGAATTTTTAAAGAGTTCTAAGGCCAATAAATAAAGTAAGTAAAGTTTTGAATAGCAAGTATCAAATATCAATTTTGATAGAAATGGACATTATTTAGATAATTTTATAGATGGATCATAATTAAAATTTACACCTGGAAGAAACTATTTTAATGAGATATATTCACAAAAGAAATTAATAAAAGAAGACTAAATTGTTAAGATTTGATTTTATTTCATGTGTCAACAATTATTGTAATTATCTTATTAAGTAAACTATAAATTAATAACTATTTCAAGTGTTAGCATCCTCTCTTATTGTTACTTACTTTAATTTTTAGTTTGTTTTAGTAACTCCTGGTTACATCGGTTATTGGAAATCTCCCTGATCATCCTTACTTGATTATTGTTACCCTTAACCTTTAATTAAATTACCCAAATTGGATTTGAGCAATCCCTTGTTCTTAACCTTCTTCACCTCCTTAATCAAGAAGTCACTATATTTAGCTAATGCTTAATTTGAATTAGCCAATTGAAGTTCTAAAAACTATATGTAATCCGTGTAATCCTTGGCGTCGTTAACTGATTATTGAGTATACTTATTCCTTATGTTAAGAGCAGTAGATAATGCATTAAATTCTGCAAAATTGTGAAATGAAAGATAAATCTTGGAATTAAGTTAATTGAAGAAATCTTTCTCTATCTTTTCCAACATGATGAAATTATCATACAATTCTTCTAACAACATCAAAATCATAAATTAGACTTATTGCCTTTTCTCTTATTGTAATATCATTTCCATCTTCTCCATAGGGTTCATTAAAATCCATATGATAATTTTATGATCATTTTATAAATGGGAAGCTATTCAATTAAAAATTATCATACTTTTCAATATTGCGAATTTCTTCTCCAAACTATTCGCATTTTCCACTTGTACTAGCAGATCCTTTGAACCTTTACCTCTTAGTAATTCTATTGATTAATAATGTTAATATAATACACTACACAAATTAGATTTGTACACTGCTTACGGGTAAGAAATCGGTTTAATTAGATTCGTCAGCTTCTTCATCTCCATCCTACTTGTCATTAGACTTTTAATTAATCACCTACATTTTACCTAATATTATGATAAACAAATACTTAAGACATCCCAAAATTATATAAACTAAAATTCAGGTACTATATTTTAATCCTTATAGTCATCATAGAGTTTCTTGTGATCATCAGAAGATACAGCAATTCTTTGAAGGGTTCTTTTGTCCCATCCTGCTTCATTCCAAAATGCTATTTTATGATAAATACAAAAATAAGGCTAAGCATTTAGTTTCTCTTTCTTACTTGTATGAAGAACATTGCCAAACCACAATATAATTTTCTCATTCAATTTTAACTCTTACCATATTTAGAATAAACACACCAATTTACTGAATACACTGATAATTTATTAAGCATTCATGGATTTCAGATGTTCGGCATTGAATTTAGCAAATTTGCTAGGTTCAGTTTGTATCTCAATGACTTGGTTATTCTATTGATTGTTTACAGTTTTAATTGATTTCATTGATTTTAAGACAGATTTCTTTCTGCTTCCCTGTCTTTAAATCTTTTCAGTATCTATATCGAAATATCTGACTTCATTAGAAATATCTAAAAGGGAAATGTCAAATTCAACTTTATGTTGTTTTGGCTATTTCACCTTGCCCTTTTATTGTTATTACTATAATTTGAGTGTTTTTTATTTTTATTTAAATTTTTCCTATTCTTAAATTTTTACTTAATATCTCTCTAAGTATTATTCTGGATTCTTCACTAGTATAATATTAGTGAAGAAAAAGAATAAGAAATCGATAGATCTAATTAGACTTTAAAATGTGTCTAATTATTTGATATTAAGATTAGAAATCTAAGTATCAATTTTCTCTATAAGATTATGCGTTGCTTCTATATATTAATCCTATTTAATGGTTTGAGCAAAGTCTCCTTAATCATCTCCATGAATTTCGAATCCTAAATCCTTGTATTTTTTTTCAAAGTCATGAAATTAAAATTATATGATCCAATCCATTTTCTAATTAGGTTATGGAGTATAATATTATTGAAAATTCAATTGATTTGATGCAATATCTTAAATACCTTTTTCCAATGCTGCTATCCAGGTTGAGACTTGAGTTGTTTTGAATTACTCACTTGCCAGTTTCTTTCCAGTCAAATTTTACAAATTTGCTATGGCCTCATTTGCAGAATTATATATTTTGATTTCTTCAAGTGATTCAATTCTTTATCTATTTCCAGTAATATTTTTATCTTCATCAAAATCTAATTCAATTTTTAATTTATTATCATCCTCTTCGTCATCTTCTCCGCCTTCCTCATTTATACTACTCTTACGACTAACCTTCTTGTTGTCATCTTTCTCAAAAAGCATTCCAAATAAGACTGTTCTATATTCCTTAAACTTTGACTCTCCATATTCATAAACCAACAAGGTCAAATCTTTAATGATATGAATTTACTTATATATCCAATTCAAAATTGCCCACTCTGAATATACTTTATCTTCATCATCCTCTCTTTCATTATTTCCATCATCATCATCCTCTTCATTCTTTAATTTCTCATACTCATTTCTCAAAATACTCATAATAGTATCTACCAAACCCAATCTTTCTGTTTATTCACTATTTATTTCTATAAAATGTCCATCTAAAATAGCTATAAGCATTCTGATCAAAACCAATAGGATCACAATATTAATAAGGAAATAATAAAGTATGACACTTGCCTAATAGTTTTCTCCATCTGATTTGTGCATCTTAGCATTCTAACTTACTATCTGCAGAGAGTATATGACTGACAAATATAGGTCTCTAAATGATCCATTTACATAACCGAAACTCAAGACACCAACACAAGCAAAGGCAAAAACAATCAAGCAAAACATAATCATGAAGAATACAATATCAATACTTGCACTAGCGATGATATCCAAAACCAAACTCAATTTTGCAGAAAATGAAAAGTAAACCATTATCCTTATCATTCTATTTATAGAATTAACATAATTTACTCATTGAATAAGATAAATGAAGCCATAGTATTGTATAACTAGAACAATTAAGCAAGATTTTAAAAGTCATTGAACATTCCAGGTGGTTCTTTATCAGCCTAAAAATAGTTAATTTAAATGATTTACAAATAGAAATCCTTCATAATAATCAAAAGACATTCTTAGTTAATTGAAAACAATCTAAAGCCAATAAATTATTTAAATGAACATCAACAAGATGCCTGTTATTAAAAGGATATTGAAAAATGTCTGCTAAACCATAAGCTTAAGACTCGTCAGCAGACGCATAATAAATCCATAAATTCTCTTTCCTATCCCAAATAGTAGATTAACTATCTAATCATTCTTTTTGTCTGAAAAATCCATATTTAAATGTCTTTCTACAAATGAAAACTTTCTTTCTGGAGGTAAATCATATGGTGTAAATTCAATTGCACTTGGATGATTCCAAACTTCTTTCCATTGATTTAAGAACATTTTCCAAAATTTAATGTGAAAATACAGCACAATCAATTCAAAAACGATTCTTGTGAGTCTACTACCAGAGTACAAAGTTATTGGAAATGTCTAAAGCAATGAAATCAAAAATTGTACATTCAAAGTAATAATGTGCTCTATCTAGCCAGTAGCCTTGATATAAATTGTCACAGTAACAAACGAATATAAATCTTATGGGGGATTGTAAATGATAAATTCACAATTAATTATTCCAGTCTAATTTATGATTATTAATAAATAATACCGAAACTGTAAAAAAACTATCAGATTGTATTTTTTAATATTGTTCTACAGCCCCACTGATTTCACTCTAAAATTGGAATGTATACCCTCCTGCTTAGTATGCAGCACTTGGGTTTTTTTTTCCTCTGTATTGATACTCTATCCCACTCTTATAAAGATTTTCCATTTTCTCTCCAGAAGACTCTCCAGAAAAGGGTGAAAAGTCTGAAGAAGACCTACCTCTAAACTCTAAATCTTTGTTTTCGGTGAAGAAATTAACATTCAATCCTTCATATAACCTAATCGTCATTCTTACAGGAGAATAACCAACAAAAACATCAAAATCTCTTAGCTATTCTTTGCTATAATTATTATCGTAATCATCCCCGGCAGTACTAAAGATAACGTTTTTAATATAACTGTCGATATCCCTAGAGGATTCTACATCATCAAGTATGATATCATGACTTTTGAAGTGTTTCACTCCTGGGAATAAACTAGAATCAAAAAAAGATTTGATGTAATATTCTTGATTAAATGTGCTTGATTTAAGAGTTTAATTTTAAAATCCAATGATCAGGAAAATCAAAAATATGATATGTAAAAATCCATCTTTTAAATTGGTAAATAGATTTTTCTCTTTCATTTCCTTCATCTCTTTTCTGTTATCAGCCTACCTTTTTATAATTTCCTCCTTCTTATCGTTGATCTCCTTGATTCTTTATTATTTTGTTAATAGATCCTCCTATCCTAACCCTATGAAATTCATCACGACATTCTTAATATCCAACTATTGAAAATTGTACATAAAAATTTCCTTCAGGGTTAATTCTTTCTCCTTTTCTTTGGGTTCCTCAGGTTTAGCCGCGTTAGGTTGTGCTTTTTAAGGAGATGAGGCATCGTCATTCTTCTTCTTTAATAAACCTCTAATTTAATCTGGTCTGGCTGATTTTATCGAAATACCAGATTTAATAGATTTTTAATCAGATAAGGGTGGTTATCCTGAAGACAATGGAGTTTTAGTTTTTTTCTTCTTCTTTGATTCTTCCTCCTCTTTCTTTTTTCTTTCTGCCTCTTCCTTTTTCTGTTTTTCCCTTAATTATTGTTCCTCAGTTACTGGAGGCACGAAGAATATCAGATTAATCCATTTCATGGTAGCAGCAGTAGATTTATCTGCAGCTATTTCAGCCAAAGCTTAAGTAGTGAGTTGCAATTTTTGTCTTAGTTGTCCATAAGTTAAAATAATGATTCCATAAAAATAGGGGAGTAGGATAAGATTAAATGCTATGAAAAAGAGGAGAGAGTAAACGAATCCTATGCCTGGAACTATTGATTCAAGAAAGGCAAATTTAAAGTTACCGCAAAAAAATTCAAAACATAAGTAGGCTGCATTACCTAATGTAGCTATTTCATCATTCAAAGGCCCAAAGATTACATTGGATATCATAATAAAACTAATTAAGGCCATTGCTGTGAACTAGGATTATCATACAAAATGCATACCGAAATGAAAATGAGCATGTCCTTCCCAGCCACACTAAATGTATACATTAAGACACCAAAAGTAGGAAAGAATGATGACATAATCTTGATTATATCATAAATGGTTATAATGAAAGTTGTGATGGCAAATAATTGATAGGTATTCGAATTTTACAGATAGTTATCTAGACCTACTATTTGTTCTTGAGTGATTTGAGGAGTGATTGAAATTTCTTAAAATTGTGAAAACATTAAAAACCATACAATGATGTAAATGAAGTTTAATGTTCTTTACGCTGTAATGAAAAGTAAGTCAAACTCAAATTCAAATATTCTGGTTGATAAAAATTTAATAACCATGAAAAATATTCTCTATAAAGTATTATTATTTATTAAATACCTTCCCAATTGTGTAAACTATTTAAAAGAACACCACAGCTGCAAACAATGACTTCGTGACTATACCGAACACGACATTTGATTGCACATTACTCCCCTGATAATAATAGACTCCGTAATCTATAACTTATTGATATTAAATTCTGCCTTGGTTACTAATGTCAAATTAATTCGAAAGTTTTAGAATTACTTCTGTCAAAGGATTGATAATATAAATGTCATGTTTTAGATTGAAAAGAGAGGAGAACTGAAATTGACTTTCAACAATTGATAACATTTCAGAAGCAAACGCTTGTTCCATTGTATTAGTAAAGAATATTTTGGTTTAAAAAGAGCCTTCAGATTCTAAGATTGAGTTAATTAATATATTACATTCAACGGATATGTTGGGTAAAAACTTTTTATCAATTGTAGACATGTCGATTTAATTAGCAAAGTTCATATCCCATTGTTGTTTCAACATATTATCTGCCATTGTGTAAATATCAGTATTCTGTATTCCAATTATTTTCCTGACAAATTCATCTGATTCCTTAGGATAGATGAAATGAATACCAAATCTTAATCCACATGCTTGAGTGTAAAGGTGACTACACTACAAAGATAGTAATTATAGTTTTCCAAAAATATATATTAACTCTCGTTATATTGACTTGAATTCTCAATTTAAGGATTATACAAAAGACTAAACCGGTTCCGATCCTCAGAATGATCATGCATAAAATAAATAATTTTTTCGAGGTACTCACTATAGATAATGGGAACATCTTGTATCTCATGCAATTAAGTTGTAATTCTATTGAGATGATTAAGACAGTTACCTCTGATTTATGTACTTCTAGATACTCTATCTAGTCTCATGCACTTCAGGGATACGATATTCTAAATAAATTTGAATTATCAAAACGACATAGATTATTAGTAGCATACTAAATATGGTTGGAATTAATTACAAATTAGTGCAGAAGCCAGCATCATTCGCTATAATTTGCTCTATTTCATCTAACACATTGTTTGACGAATCTTTCTCCTTCTCTGACTTTTCTCCATTCCCAATCTCCTCTTCTTTCTTGTTCTCAGAGATCATCGATTTGTCATCCTTATTTATGGATTTTAGGATCTCCTCCTCTTCACCAATCACTGATTGTCCTTTCCGAGACATTTATATTAAATTATAATTATATATATGCAAAATAAATAACTTGTAACCAGAACCACTACAAGACGAAATTTACTACAATCTTAGAGTGTTCTCGAGTAATCACTTAAATCCTCAATTTTGTAAAAGTCCAATTTCCAATTACAAATACAATCGCAAGTAATTTCCAACAACAATAATCCAAATTACGAGGACAAATAAAATTCACAGAATCCTTACTTCAATGATTTGAGCGGTATTAGTCACGATTCAGAAAATGACATTTTTAGAGATTGTCCTACTTATAAAAATGGTCCCAAGTCTACAGGATCACTCAAATCCAGATCAAAAATACTCAATTAAATGGCATACATCACTCAAAAAATGATCCCTGACTTCCAAAGAGGACTCTAATTGATTTCGCAAGCCGAGTATAAAGGATTTTTATAAGAGGGATAAAGTCCTTGATTTTCGAGTCGAACAAAGTGAATAACCAGTGCGTATAAGCAGTCAACAACTTGGTCTCGGAGAAATCATGATTAATTATCAACAAGACAAAGTATACATAATTCATTCTATATCAAAATACTTAGCATCCTATTGAATTGCGACCAGAATTGTGGAATGTGCAATCAGTCAGACAAATGGAATTTTACTATTATAAACTGCGTTCCAAATAATAACCAGTCCCTCTGCAGTTTTATATGAATTAAAGTGAAACCACAAATTTCAAAATTTTCGTATCTTCTGTCAATCCCTTCCCAACCAAATTCTCCTGTGATCAGATCATTTCAGTCAAGGGATGGAAATATAAAATAGATGAATCTAAAACATTTCATTGCGATTACATTTACATTAGTATGGTTTGTGATTTAGATACCTAAGTCAAACTTAAGTTTTAGTTTGGTAATAGACTGTTGAAAAGACCTTAAACTATTTCAAGGAAAATTGAACCCTCCTCATTATTGATACGAAGTGTTCATCATTAGTAATTGGAAAGAATGAATTCCGATTTATTAAACGCTTAAGTGGCTGAGATTAAGAAAAGAAGAAAAGAGAAATTGAGATCACGTGGGATTTTTAAGGATCTAATCAAAGAAAATATTCAGAAAGTAATTGAATATAATGAAGAACACTAAAGAAGCTTTAGAGAACTAAAAAAGACCTAAGGAGATAACAGAATAGAGGATGTGTTATGTAGAAAAAAGCTGATGAGTCAAAATGAATAGTAAAGGAAAGAATATTCATAAAAAACTAAAGAATTAAGTAAAATTATTCGATAGAGACACAATTTTGTTTTATCAAAAAAGAATCTCAAAAATAGAGTTTGTACACATTGGTTTAATAGTATTTACTTATCTCTAATTTGTACTAAGATTTATTTTATGTTTTAACATAAAATTGAAGCTTAAAATCAATCTACCTTGATGGCATTTTAGGTTAAAAGAATAATGAAACGAATTCATAAAAGATTAAGTGCAATAAAGGGAGTTACTATTTATGATCGAGTGTTTTTCGATGTTAAATTGTAAATTATAATGTCACCATTTTATTTAGAGTATTGCAAGGTTTTTGCAAGGCCGTATATTCGAAGTAGGTTAAGTTGCATATGGAGAAGATTATACCGCATTTAAAAACAAGAGCTGAAATTTATCATCTAAAGAGTTAAGTGCTCATTACTAATCTTAAAATTTCAAAGATTCGAATGATGTTTTTAGAGTTTTTGTTAAGATACAAATCTTATAAATAGATGCTTCATAATATCTGGAATAAATATTTTAAAGAATAATTCTTGAAGTATTATAATGGATTAGATCAATCAAAAAAAGGAACTTATCAACCATACATCATTTAATTATAAAATCAAGATTATTTCATGTAATTCATTAAGATTAATTATTAGACAACTTTAAAGTGTATTTATTGAAACTTATAGTAAAGATAAATTAAGGAAATATTTAAAAGATATGAGTGTCTATGCCAAATATCTGAAAAAACTGAGATCGCAGAAGTATAACAAAACAAAGAGAAGAGATATTGCCAACGAATAGATCTTACATTCGCCTCGAATGTTTCAATTACCAACTTATGATGATGTCTTGGAATATCTCCCTTTGCTTGTGGTTAACACTAATAAAGGAGATTTAAGGACTTCGCAATAGATGCAACAATCGTAAATGCCTTTGATACAAGAGTCTTAGGAGAAAAAAAAGAAGCATGCAAAATCAAAAAAATGAGTTTAATATTTAATTAATTATGTAATGGATTAGAGACTATATGAATCTGATAATTTAGACCAACTTGTCACCATCATTAAATAGTGCCAAGTTCATTACTTTTTAGATTCTGATCTACTATTTGCAACTCACACATTTCATCACTCAAAACTATGATGAAAATGTTTTCAGATTGATTAAAAACATATCAGAAATTTGTGTCTTGACTCCATTGCTTTAAAGTATCTATGCAGTAAATGTATTGACTGGCATATTGCTTATCCTCTTAAACTTATTACCCTATCTAATAATTTTGCATAGAAAATTCACAAATGAACATTAAAAAGTGGCAATCATATCCAAATCATTATCACAGGTACAAGCAAACTTAAATTAAGTATGCCACCAAGTTGGTGAATTGTTATTTCCTGTATTTCACATGGTTTCTTTACTTGCCGCAGATGCATTACATAGGTTGGAACTTTTTAAGTCAGAAGGACCTATTTCTTATTGTGATATCTACGATTATCCTTTGTATCTCAACTGGATCTTTGTTGATTTCAAACATCTACTTCATCAATTTTGAATTTAATGAACAGTCTTTAAGAAAACATTTCACTTATTATAATTGTTATGCACAATTATTGATCATTCCAATGGCTATCTTGAATTAAAGTGCTGAATCTTTATACTAATTGATTGGCAGAATCATTCATGGCATCATCCTATTTGTGTTAATTTATGAGGCCTATGTCGAATTACCATTTGGGTAAATGTAATTCAATAATATTTAGGTTCTCTAAGTACTCGACCGTCTACAATCGATTATTAATTATGCATATCTTGCTGTTTATTTTCACGTCATATCTGTATTCATCTCCTGAACAAGCCTATAGTTTATTGGCTATTATGTTAATACTCCAACCAGTCTCATAATATCTCTTTTAAACACTAATATAACACAAGAGACTAAAGACTTATCACAACACTGTAAATTAATATTATGAATTGTTAATTATAGAAGATTTCTTTGATTTAATATAGGCTGCTTAGAAAAGCAAAAAAAGAATCATAGAGTTAATTTAGAAATTTAGTTTGCATTTGAATCGTTGTCAATCGGTTAAATGTTAATGTAAAAAAATAGGTGCTGTAGGTGTATTAAGATAGGAAGACGCAGTCATTTTAACCTCTTGTTTGTTTAGAATTGGATTTGAAAAACATAGAAACGATTCCAAAAATTTAGAAATTTACAGTCTCAAATTTCTTACATTTATAAATAAATACAGAAATAATGCTCCGAAAAGTTATCAAGAATTGAAGATATTATTTTAAAAGAAACGAGAATATTCATTTTATTTCATTTAAATTTCACTCTTACTCTAGTTCATCTTGTAGGCTTAGATGTAAAAGGATGAGGATTACAATATCAATAAGGATACCAGGGTCTCAAATGTGAAATTGTAAGTAAGCAAAAGTGAAAGAAGTATTGTATAAACCTTATATTAAATGGAATAAATTAAATAGAATCTACTACCCTTATTGATGTAATTGACTTAATTTAAGGTTCAATTTTGGAAGCAATATTTGGCTGGTAAATTTTCCAATTTTTCTGAAATTGAAATTGAAGTCAAAAAATTGCAGCTTTTAAAAAACTAAATCTTAAATCAACTCAAAATTTACCAACCAATATTTTATACTCATGGTCGTACATTTAATGTGCAATTCCTTAAATACAGTGCTTTGATTGATTTGCTACTATTTAACAATGTTAGGAAGTATTTTGAATTAGAAAGAGGTAATTGATAGTATTTATTTGTAGAAAGACGAGAAATATTATAATTAGAGAAGAGCATGAACTCTTTTGATATAACAAATATTAACTTTTTTAAAGGAGAAGCCATTTCAGTGAAAGTTTGTATTGCATAAGGTCCAAATATTGGAAAAGTATTAAATGAGGTCATCTCACCATTGATTCCTAAATTTTTTGGGTTTCATCATTTTGATAATCCCATGGAAGCTTTTCTAGATTTTACAAAGGGAAATATTAATACGTTGATGCCTACTTGGTTAGAGCCTGTTCATGATGAAATTATGTAAAATTATATAAGAAGAGGAGGAACAGCCAGGATAGGTAAATACTTTTAAACTTTTGCAAAAATATATGATAAAACTTTGATTAGATGTTAAGTCTACCTGGCTCATAATTTTAGTTAGAATCTGACTGATGATTTCACTATGATTGGTTGTTTGAAATCCTTAGAAGTAGATTAACCAAAATTCATTCCAGGAAAAGAACCTAAAAAAATAAAAGATGTGGCTTTTAAAGGTACTTAACATATTTTATTTGATGTGAATGGAACTATATTGGGAATTACATAAGGATTATATTAAATGATTGAAAGATTACAAAGGATTAAAAGCAATTAAAAGGTTGAATCATTGAAAAACCACAGTCATGAAAAGAGTAAATCTGAAAATTCATCAATTGAGAGTGAGAGTTTTGATGTGTATTAATAATAATGGTCGAATGAAATGTTAAGAATAGATGAATTTTATTAAAAAGTGTTAATATGGATGTTGTTACCATTCGTGCCTAGGGAGATAGAATAAACTGGGATAGAATACTTGATGGATGGAGAAACCCCGCCTAAGAATCGATATCCAAATTTAGTAGATCTAGAAACTAGTAATAGTATAGTAAGCAATAAGGAAACATATTTATTTATTCCTGAAGACATTAATTTATTCGTATCTTAGTATGAAAAGGTGTTACAAAAAATTATGGATGATGTTCGTGTTCAATCAAACAACTTTTCTTCAGGGTCATACAAAGGAATGAAGAGTGAATATTAAGAAAGTGAAAGCCTTAGTGCCTAATAGAGTGTAACTATTTACAATGAAAAGTTGTGTAGCTTCTACTTTGATTAACATCTAAAAAGTCATTAAGCCTTGTAGTTTGGCACCACAAGACAATCAGAAATACAAAAGACTTCGATGAAACCCTCTTCTTAATCATAAGTTACCTTGCATAGTGAAGAAGATAGTGAATAACTTAAAACTAAAGCCGAAAAAATCTATTATGATAAATACACAAAATACATTGAAAAAATTACACTTTAAAATTTCAATCCTGTTCCTATAATTTATTCTGTGAATTATGAAGAATATAGATATAAAAAGAATGATGTTGGACAAAAATAATAATTTTTTGTAATTGAATTAGTTGTTAATGAATCTTAATTATTAACTACTATGGGATATAAGCGATAAGTAAGGGAAACCATTAAATAAGCTTGTTTAAATTTTTAATCCAAAAGACTCTTGATTGAATAATAAGTATAAACTGAAGATTCAAATAGTGTTCAAAGCAATATTAGTGAATAAATAAGTGATCACGATGGAGAGATAATTAATTACATGTTCCCAACCCATCCGTCCCATTATTACGAAGATCTATATTTTCAATCACCTAAACTTGATTAAGATTCTAATTAATTTCAATCAAATGAAGATAAAAATGAACCTTAAAAAAAATAGAGCATAAATACATAGGATTCATTAATAAAAGGATCTTTTAAATTGAAATTCCCTGAAAGGAATCTAGCCTTGAAAACTATGAATAAATATTTGGATAGGAAGAGATAGCAAGATTTCTTTAATGAGACTGATTCTAAGCTGGCTATTGATAGTCGAGCTTCCCAATAATAAATTTAAGAAGAACATTAAGTCAAATATTCTGAAAATCTGAAACTATTTGACTAGAATTATAAATCAATTCATTCTAAAATGGAAATCTTTAAAAATCCAACCTCTTTTAAAATCTAAAAATATCTCCTATATTTTGTGCTCTTTTTGATAATTGGATATATTATCCTATTAACAATAGCTGTTTTACAACAATATAACTTTAATGAATGTTTTGATTTAATTGAATTGATGCTATCAACTCAATAAAGCTATTCATAAATTACACATGGACTTTTTCGTTTAGAATTATCAAATAAATTTAGTATCGATAAAAATTTAACAGAATTCTATTCTCTTTAAATTGATTCTAATCTCCAAAATTTAATCAATCTACAAAGTGAATAATTGATTAATATCAATTAAATTAACTTTAGTGTCAATTAGTTTTATAACATAGAATACTAGATGATTCTCAATCCTACCTTGCAACAGACTATTTAGATGAGTTTGGCTTAATTTTATAAAATCAAAAATAATTCAGCTAATAATTCATAAGTTGCCCTAAATTCAATAGCTAATTTAAAGGAAATAGGATAACTACCTAAATTAGCATACGATAATTGTTATGATGATCAAGTATAAAATGAAGAACAACTTTAATCCTTATTGACAATATATATGCTAATTATTTTCTTTTTGGTAATGTTATTACAGTTTTTGTAAGTTCCCTTGATATCAAAATTAAAAAATGATCATAGGAGATTATACAAACTAGTGATCAAGTTATAAATATATGAAGTGCAAGATGAAATTGAGACATATGAGCATATTTTGTCGATATTCAAAAAGTCATTATACGAATGGATGTTAATTGATTTTGTATAAGAAACCAGAATGTTCGAAAATAGTCTTGATAATATATAGTTTTAAACTTAACAATTAACCGATTAGAGCTAAAATCTTCTGCTTAATAATAGTAATAAAAAAAATAAATTTAAATTATTAGAGAAGTTGAAAAAGTAACGCATCAATTAGTTTAAATATATCATAATATTGATGATGGGATTAATAGTTATACTAGCCTATTTTTTAATTATTTTCTTTGTTATTTTTATACTATCGCAATAATTATTTGCAAATGCAGATTTCCTATTCAAATTTAAATTAATCCAATCTTACTTTATCAACATTATCAATAATATTGATTTAGTATCCTATAATACATATGATCAATAAAGTTTTATAAATCTTATGAGTCAAGAGGAATTTAATAATTATTCGTTATCATTAAAAAGTGATTAGTAAGACTAATATATTGAATTCAACAATAATTTTGCTTCAATTGTGAGCGATGAACAATTACAGTACAATTTACAATAAATCAACGAGAATAACATATGTCTGGATTAAATTGGGATTGCTTGTAATGAAACTGATTCATTTAAACTGAATCCTAACATCCTCTAGTATTATTAGCATGGCATGAAGTATTTAATCACTTAAATTGATAAATTAATTGAATCATAACCGCATTTTTTCTACGATAGTATTAATAACAATTCTTTCAAATAAGTTTAAGATTTTTATAGCAATAATGATCATATCGTATACATTGACTATGGAAGTGAAATCTTAATTTCAGCATATGCAAAATTAGTTGAAACTGCACACTAAGAGTTTGATTAAGCATTAACAATATACAAATAAACACTGCTGATATTCATTTTGAGTGTGGGAATGATGGGATTGTTGATTATTTCGATGTTAGGTAGATTATTACTGAATATGCAACAAGATTCTATTAGTACTTGCTAATCATCACTTCTTCTCATTTCTCCTAAAAGATATTTGAATCAAAATATAGCATAATTAACATAGAAAAAAAGATGAGTGATTTTTTATCTTATCCATTTAAAAATTAGGACATTATTTTTTCTATTCCTGAATTTATTCTTACCACATCTGATTGAAGTTAAGAATTAGTTGTTGTTATTATAGTAAATATTATTATAAGATTGAAAAAATATTTTAATTAATGAACCCAACTTTCAAATAATCACAACAAATAGAGAATAGCAGTAATATTATGGGCAGTAGCGCTGGATTCAATAGAAAAATCAAATTAGCTTCGTAAAGGCCTGGCAGCAGGGACTAAAAACTAAAAACTGGAGAAATGTAATTTGAAAATGTTTACCTTAATAGATTTCCTCAATTCTAAGATCCATTAGCCACCAATCCCTTTAATTTGCAAAGTCTTAACCTCTATTAAGATGAAAATACTTTTATTACAACTATGAAAGCAGAACTTCATTAAATACAAGAAGGAATCAATAAATTAGATTTTGATGGAAGAGTACTAATAAACAATTCAATTTTAGATTCGAAATAACGACCCAAGACAAGAATATAGGTTACAATAAGTGAAAAAGTGGGTTGCTTAAAATTCTTAATCTAAATTAGCACTTGAAAAGTTAAACAATATTGAGATCTCATAACTTCTTACTATATTAGATGTTCAAACTTTAGAGTAATGATTGTAATATTATTTAAGGGAAGCTATTGTCAAACTTTACAAATTCATATCTATCATGGATAGTGTAATTATGAAAGTTACAGAGTATGAGGCAATTCATTTGATCAAATTTGATGAGTTGTTTAGTTCATTGTGTCCTAACTATTAGGAAAACTTACAATAAATATCTGTTTTGAAATTTCCAATTGCTATTTCTAATATAAATCGAATGACTGAATTATATTAAGTTAAATAAGATAAGAATTAACAATAAAAGCTTATAAATGATAATAGTAATAATTAGGGCCTTCTCAAATAAATTAAACAAAAAGATGATTAAATTAGCGAATTAAATAAAACAATTAAACAATTATAATTACAATTATAAGCAAGTATGAAAGGAAATAACAATAATAATAATACTAATAACAATAATAATAGTAATAATAATAATAATAATAAAAACGAAAATTCTTAAGAACAAATTGATTAAATAAGGAATGAATATGAAATTGCGTTACAGAAACAATCAGAGACTTTAAATTTAAAACATGAAAAAGAGATAGAGATGTTTTAAACTTAGATTGAATAGTTTTAGAAATAATTAACATAATTAAAAAATCATTATGAAAAATAAATATCGGATTTAGTATCATAAAGTTAATAAGACTAATTAAACATAAAATCTTAATATGAAGATAAATTAAAATAATAGTAATAATAACAATAATCATAATAGTAATAATAATAACAACAATCATCTTAAATTCAAACTTAAACTAATACACAATAATAATCAAATGGCAATGCTAAAGATCATAATTATTATCAAAAAATTTTGGATAATGCGCAACTAGAGTATAATGAAAGATATAAATCTTTAGAAAATGTAATCTTATCTTTACAATATAGGATTTAATTAAATTAAGGAATTAATTGACAGAAAAATAAACAATAATTGAAAGTCTTTAAAGAGAAGTTCAGCAATGGAAAGAAACAATTGATAGATTAAATAAAGTTAAGGTAATTTGAATAACTTAATTTAGGACGAAATCTATTAACAATTTTAAAAGCGATACACAACATAAGAGCAATTTTCAAATTCATATGAGGCAGCCTTAAAATTAGAATTTGAAACCATGAAAAAATCTTTTGAATAAAAAATATAAAAATACTAATAGGACTTGGAATCTCAAAGGAGAGAGGCAGGAAGATCATTAAATGAAATACGAGTGTAATTGGAAAGAGAGTAAGAAACAAAAAAATTATTATTGAATAAACTTAGTTTATATATTTGAAATTGATATTAAAAAATAATGATTAAGATTGCTCTAGTTAATAAATAATCTGATTTCTAATTCAGTATAAGTAGTGGATTTTTAAATAAGAAGAATTTCTAGAATAGAACTAATAGTTATTATTCATTAATTTTGTACTATTTAAAATAAATTAATGTTGTCTCATATCTTTAATAATGAATCCAAATAAACTTTTAAAGCTTAGCCTGCTAATTTAGAATCTGGGATTTTTTAGGTTGTACCATATAAAGTTCCCATTTCTCCACCTTTTTAGTATACTTATGGATTTGCTTTAATCTAAATTATAAGATCTTGATTACTTTTTCAATTGCTGCCTTAATATCATGGACATATTATTTAAGATTAACAATGTTTTGTTGGGTTAAACTAATATGAACACCTGCTGGATTTTGTACACTGCTAATTGTCCAACCTTAATGAGTTAAGATTTCATGAATGGAATAAGCATTAAGCCAGCTTTCTTTGCTCATGAAAGCAACACAATTAATTTAAGGGTTTCCAAAAACTTTAATTTCTGGTATTTCAGATAATTATTTAGCCAAAGATTAGGTTGCATCCATTATTTTTTTACTGTATTCTACATACTTTTTCTTACCAATAGATTACAGAGTGAACCATGCACCAGCGGCACCAACTCCACACTTAGAGCCTTAAATACTTGGTACAGCATAAGCTCCTCCTGACCAAGTTGCAATCGAAAAGAAAGCATGTTCACGTAATTACTTAGTTTTAAACAAAACAGTTGAAACCCCTTTAGGAGCTAAGCCATGCTTATGTTAATCACATGAAATAGATGTGACGCCATCCAAAGTGAAATCAAATTTACCTAGATCAAACCCATGATCTTTTGCAAAAACAGCAGTGAATCCTCCCAGACATGCATCAACATGTAAGCCAATTTTCTTTTTTTTAGCAATTGATGCTAATTCTTCTATGGGATCACAAGTTCCAAATCCAAAATTTGGGAGAGATCCAACAATACAAACTGTATTAGAATCAATTTGACTTCTAAGATCATTAACATCTACTTAAAAGGTTGTATTATTAATTTTAGCAATTCTTACTTATATTTTAAAATACTCTCCTGCTCTATAAAAAGCTGCATGAGCTGTTTCAGGTATGACTCTAAAATAATTTGAATGTTTACATATTGGGTTAACGAATTCCTTTTTATGATTCTCCCCAATTTCTGTATGCTAACATAGCTAAAAGGATTGACTCTGTTCCTCCAGTTGTGAGTATACCTATACTTTCTTTTTCTTATCCAAATAGATCTCCGGTCATTCTAATAACTTCTGCTTCCATCTGCCTTGTTGCTGGCCAAAGATCAGCATGCATTGGATTTGAATACAGAAAATGCTTACAAAAATCTTAAGCATTTTTTATAAATTATTTATCTGGCATTACGTACAATGATCCAGACACTTTACCGCTGCCATAATTTTTACTATCTCTTTCTATCCAATCCTTCATTTTTTCCATCATAGCCTCAGTATCAACTCCATTATCAGGAAGCTTTAATGTTTTTTTTGTTGTCATCTTCTCCATTGAATCATTGAAAGATTGCAAAGCCTCAGATTTCTTCTTTTCAATGTAGGAGTTGACTCCTGGACAATAGTTTACCAGGAATAGAAATATTTAAGCCTAAAAGTATCCAAACAAACCTAGATATGAGATATATCCTTACTTTGATTGTAATCTCTGTTTGGAAATTTCAGATTTCTTAATGCCCATAGTCCTGACACACACAAAATTGCCACCAATACTGCAGTATCAAAAACATCGAAAGACCTTGTGTATTCTTGCATTGGTGTTTGTTTGTAAAACTCCTTGATATATTGCTTAAAGACATTATATTCCCGAATAACTATCGGCAATAATTATTCCATTATTAAAATAAATCATTATATTTAAGTTAAGTATTTTCTATCTTTCCTAGAAATAAATTATGCGTCTCTATTCTTTTTCTGAATCAAGACAGGCGAAAATAGTATATATTGGTTAGAATTTGTATTCGAACTCTAAGTAGTTTCCTTTAATAACTCACATGGTTTCGAGGACTTTATTGTTTTGTAAGAATCCACTGAAACATAGTCTGATAATGAGTTCTCCACTACGATTAGCTATACAACTTACTGTCAACAAATTAAATAAGGAATTGAGATAATTGATCAATATCTTTGGACTGCTCAAATGAAGTTATCGCATTCATGAATCTGCCATTACCTTTTGTGATTAAATAATCTGTTACGATTACACTATTAGTACCTTTTAGTATGCCCTTCTAATCTAAAGAGATTGTATTGTTCTAATAGAGAGTATAGATTAAGTATAAAATTCTCGCCTCATTGGATTCAAATTGATTCATATAATTATATTTTATTTTAGATTATACTCTATCTCTAATAATTCTAAATTTGAAATTAATACTCACTCTGCGACTTCACAGTTTTTAGACGCCAAACTCAATTTCGAATTGGAAATATGTTCTATTTCATATCGAATCTTCAAGATTAGATAATATTAATATAATAAATATATTCTATCTATTTTGAAACTTAAAACTTGAGATCTTTTAACAAATCTAAGCAATAGTGAAATCAAAATCTATATTGTGATACCAAAAATTAAAAATAACCTAGTTTCCATAACAAAATTCATAATTTTTCAATTCAATTAATGTCATTTACATCCATTTCCAATCCTTTTTTAAATCTTTTCTATAATTTGTAATGTGTGAATTAATTTAGTGTAATTCTATAATATAGGGTTTTCCTAAATGGACTAACTAGAACTAATAATGAAAATAATTTATAAACAAGTATTTTTTTCGGATCTTTCAAAGCCTAATCTTTTCCATTCCCAAATTTAACTTTGTTGTTGTAATTTCTAATCACATAACTAAGTTTCCATGTCTATTATCCATAATAATAGTTTTTTTAAAGATGTTAATCAAGTGTTGAAAGATCCTTATTTATTACGCTGGTGTTAAAGGTTAATTTAAACAGCTTCCTAAAGGATAATAGAATACTCTCTATAATGTCTTTATTACACAATCTTTGCATTATTCATTATGCAAATTAAAAAATTTAGCCTGAGGTGAATGTGACTGTTTTGTAATATTTCGAGTAAAGCTATTCTTTTATCTTCAATGATAGGTCTTAAGAAGAAATATTCTCTTTTTTTTTGGATTTTGGAATCAAATATTTGTAAATTTATAAAATAATTATCTAAATTCACATAAATTACTAAAATATTACAAATTTCACAACATTTAATTAATCAATAAATCCTTCATCTAAATCTTGTCATTTTTATTCGGAGATTCCTTGCCTTGGATTACAATATCCATTATTCATTTTACAAGATGCAAGAATCAAAACATAATATATCTAAAGTAATGAATTACAATAACTAATTTGATTTACTTCAATAAATTTCTTATTTTTTTGGTTATATTAATTAACAAAATTTGGGAGTGTTGATTATCTAAATTCGGATTGAAGAGTTGCTTTATTTCAGACTATATCTATATGGGATTATTTCATTGAGGATTTTGAGAGTAAATCTTTTCACATTATAAATTCCTTATTTCTATTATCTAACCAATTTTCTTTAAACAATCCACAGGAATCATTGGAATATTATTTTATCAATTATAATTGAATAGTCTACTATTTTAGAGTGAATCTTTGCTATAAATATAATTTAATTTGTAAATAGATTTAAATGAATTACTCTAAAATATCCAATTTCAATGATTTATTACTTTATATTAAAAATATAGTTATACAATATTCAGTTATTTTCATAACTTTGTTTAATATTTAAACTTATAGAATTAATTGAAAAACTAAAGAAATTTAAAAGCTAAAGGATTTACAAAAATCTATATTAGATCGAGTTCTTATTTTTGATTAAATTAAATTTCTAGCATTGATTAGTATAATAATTAGTTATAGTAAGAATTTAATTATGAAAAAAATTAGTCAAGCGTCTAATTCGAATTCTTCTTACTCAGTTAGATCGATTACATGAGTGCCATAGTGTTGCTGCTTTGCTAGAAATTCAGAACACACTTCAGAATTAATGAGTTAATAATTACTAGATGATATGAAATATTATTTACCTGCCTAATTCTTATAAAAACTATTAAATTCCGATGGCTCTTTTTTTCAAATTATTTGGACATAAGTTTCCAAAGAAAAGTTTACCAGGGAATGTTAGTTTAACATCATAATATTCCTTAAGTTTTTAATAGAATTGCTATAAGGTGCTATAGCGTATTTCCATAATCCATATTTTTCCTTACTCATTTACCTCAACCTATAAAATTGATAGAAATTGAATAATACTTGATAGCAAGCAAAGTTTTTATAAACTTTTACTGTTTGCATCTTAAATTTAACATATTGGATTGATCTCTTCCTCTAATTGTTCAGAAATGATAAAATTGGAAGATTGTTTTAGTCGAGATTTTATTCTGAATTACTTGAAATACTTGATATCATCAAATATATAACGATCTTTATTTAGTTGTAAAATAAAATATTTAAATAGAAAATAGATAATTAATAAGCTTTAGTTGTTAAAGAATTATTAATTTCCACAAATAGAATTTGATTCTATATCATAATCTTATATTTTGATTCCAATTACTAACCTTATTGTAGGTTAAGATCTAAAGATTTTACTCTTAAAATTCTTGAAGAAAAATTTCACAAATAAATTTTATATCATCATTTATATTTTATCAAAATAATAAATAATCTAAATTTGGTCAATAAATTCATTAATAAAGATAGTTTATAATAATTATAATAAATTTATACATAATTAATATAAAAACCATATATAATGAAAATATTGCAAACAAAAAATATTAGGGTTTGCTATTATTTACAATGCTTTTGATTTGGTATAAAGATCATAGTAATTGATAAAATTTGATGCGTCAACAGGTTGTTTTAGAAATTGATAAAGATAAAGCGTAAATAATACTCATTAAATGTATGCAGAAACTGAAGTAATTGTTTGATAAATTTAATAAGCGATTCAAATTTAAAGTTATTTAGATTGATTAACAGTTTTGAATCAAATTTTCAATTTAAAATCACCAATATCTAATTTATAAATAGCATTGGCAATTTCCAAGATTCTGGTATAATCATATTTAAAAATTTGTAAACTTTATATAGAATAATTAACCATTAAAATTATTTTATTATATGTATTTTATATAAAAGTAGATGAAGTAATTTTGAATACAATTAATTTTCAGAATATAGAAATTTTATGTTTGATATGTAAATTACATCGATATTTTCAATGCTAAAGAATAAGTAAAATGTAGATATTTAAAAAGTCAGAGCTGAAGGAATATGATTGAAAAAGTTTTATAAATTTACGTAATTTAATTAAGTTATTATCTTTGTCTTTGAATATGGGAGGAGCATGTTCTGGAACAAAATAACCATAGCAAAAATAGAAATAACAATAATAAGAATTAAAGATAATTGAATAACCATATTTACATGTTCAATCAATGAGCTAACCATAATCAAGACCATCAGAATAAAGAGGAGAAACTGGCCCATGTGTTAAGGAATTGCTTTATTGTTATAAAAGATTTACAGATTTTTTAGAATTGGTAGGTAATTTGGATCATTTGGCAACTCATGCAAGAGAATAATTGAATAATTGCATTATCCAGAGATCCAATATAAATATACTTATATAGAATAGTATAAAAAGAATAATGAAGGAGTAAAAAATAATAAAAAGAGTTGAAGAAAGTGATTATTATTTAATTCATAACGACAAGAAATTTGCCGTCACCTTTGTGTAATTAATGTAAAAAATATCAAATATAATATTGACTGAACTTTAATCAGATTCAAATTTTTAGGAAGCTTTTCCAATGTTGATTGTTTCATTTGTTGATTTAGCGACATAGATAATTAAGGAAATAGAAAATTTTTAAAATTTCAAAACTCCTTCCGTCTAGAAATAGAATACTAAACCTCCAATATCTTAAGATAATTATTAGGCGTCAACTAATAAATGATTTCTTTTTGTAATAGTGATTATACCTATAAAATTAAATTATAGATTGTTGTAATTTTTGATCTCATGCTTGCGTATCTTCACTTTTAAATATTATGTATATGAAATTAATAGTTTTATAAATTTAGATTTAACTAATTAATTATTTTCAAAGTAACTTATTGATATTTATCATTATTTACAATCAAAGTATTTTATTTGGAGGGCTTAATTAATTTAGGATAGGGAAAAAGTTCTATTTATTTAGAGTTTATAAGAAAATAAAATATAATTTATTAATAAATGGACTAAACTCCAACAAGTATCAATACTTTTACAACAACCGACAAGGAATTGGAAAATAACTTGAAGGATTTGCTGGAGAGGATTCTAGTGTATGTGGAGAAATACATCGAAACGAAGGAGGAGTTAAATTAAATTGAAAATGAGTTGAAAGACTACGAAAGTTTGTCATACTTGGTTGGTATTATAAAAGTAATATTTACTAAACTAATGCTGAAAATAGAAAAGAAACTGTTGTAAGTAAAAAATTATTATTCAAAATCCAAAGGAAATTGGATAAATGCAACGATTTGAATAAGTCTTATTTGTTAAAGGATGATGAAGAATATGACAAATTAGAATAAAATCTAATTAAATATGAGCAAGAAATTCGCAACCACATTAGCGTAATGATTTTTAAAATAAATTTAGGTTGAGTAACAATTAAAATTATATGCAGAATCGATACAAAGCAAATTGGATGAGAGCGAACAAATCAGATAAGAATTATTGGAAACCACTAAAAATAATATAAGCGTAAATGCATTTTATTTGATTATGATAGAAATTGAAAAGAGAAAATTAAGAATTGAATGAAAAAGAGTAATAGTTGTAATAGGAAGTAATGAATTTAAAGTAAACCATATCAAATTTAGAGAAAGAAAACAAAAGAAAATCAATAGACTCCAACTAAAGAGACTATTTATAAGCCTTAATCAATAAGCAATCAAATTAATCATCATCAAACTAATAAAAAAATGGCTCCAATCAAAAGTTTACCCAGGATTAAAGGTAATTGAATTCCCATTCTGAACACAAATCAAATCCTAAGTAATTTTTAAAGGAATAGCAAGAGCTGATTATACCCACATAATCATCCCAAAAATTGAATTATTATAGTATTATCACTAATTCAAATAACAAACAGAAATCTGAAGTGATTAAATCAATGCAACAAAAAGATTTCAACAATATTTACAGTTAGATAATGAGGACCAAACACAATTCACTATCATCTATCAATGATCTTATTCAGAATGCCTCATAATAAGACAAAAAGCGATAGGATTAATTTTAATCCATTTCAAAGAATAGTTCCTAGAATAATAGTATGATTTAGAAGAATAGAGGTAACAGTGTTTAATGATAATTATAAGAATTCAAACAAATCGAACCAATAGAATTACAATAGAGAAGTAAGAGTTCCAAACGGGCAGAAGACATCATAAAATTTTAAACTTTAGAATCATTAATAAAATTAAAGTGATTTATTTAATTTTGCATAATATCATTAAGATTAAACACAAAGTAATTAATAAAAATCGTTTTTCTTGATTTTTAATATTTAATATGCTATATTTAATAGTAATATTGTGCGTTGCTCATTCTTCGGCTTAATTTGGATCTGAATACTATTCGGAATGGTAATCAGGAGTAGATCGAACAATCAATAAATAATAAGAGTTTACAAACCCTTCCTTTCCCATTAGGTAATATACCTAAATAGTGTTCCCAAGAAGATTTAGTGCGTATATGATAAAATCATAGTAGTCGCCCATAAGTCTTATTAATGCATGAGGAGATTTAATGGAGTAAAGGGAAAAATATTAATTACTAAACATTTGTATCAGACATAACAATAAATGGGTTTTACATAAACTACGTAATTTGGGGACCTGCGATAGTACCAATACTGACAGTTAGGTGGATTGCAGTTGTGGATGAAGAGGCTGAAATTTAATATGTGCAATATTCATATGAGGATTTGTATCAACTTAGACAAGGTTTTGGGTAAAGAGCTTAAGACTTTGTGATTTCATATTACCCGAAGTACCCAGCCCCAAAAGTGACAGCATTTATTGTCGGTGGAGACTTTGAAATTATAGATTCATTGTACACAAGCATATAGATTGTGTTGGGAATCCCAACTACTTCCAGTATGGATGTAAGGTTTTCCACCAGAGATTTCTGTCATGTGAGATCTTTGACGGTCGCCTATTTCATCTCAAATAATTATTTAACACTGGCTGGGTCTGTTGGAGCATATCACAACTATTTCAATCAATATCTTGATAATTCTAATAAGATAGCTGTCAGAGCTTAAAAATTCACAAGAATAGTACCATCTATATATACATTGGAACCAGGAAACAATATTCTAGCCCAAGGAATCAGTGGATTTGATGTTAATACTCAAGTCGGTTCAGCTTATCTAAGAGTAACCTGTGAGCCTATGATATCTTATTCATCAACCTATACATTAATATATGGAACTAGTAAGAATGATATTAATAAAAGGGGGTGAAACTTTGCTATCTTTTATGTAGGCTAGTTATGTCCTACATCCACCAGGTTCTCCGTATCACTATTATTATAAAAACTATGATTGGGTTGTTCTTAAAGGGGATTAAGTGGTTCTAAAGGAGAAGGTTTAAGTAGAGAAAAAGATTAGTGAATTAGATATTAAATGATTAATTTAAGTTATTTCTACATATAAATTATAAAATCAAGAATTTGCTTAGATTTATACTGCAATTTGTGCACCTTGTACATTCTCTTGTTGTTGTTATTGTTGGGAATCCTAAACTGCAAAATTATTGAAAATTTATTCGATGGATGCTTATTTGATGGAGTATTGGGAAATTCTGTATTGTTTTTTCTAAAATAATTAATTAAATAATTTACATTATGTTCAAATCCTTCAAAGAGTTTGCCCACAGTGATTTAACCAAGGAGTCTGAATCTATAAAATGTCTGGAAATGTTCAATAATTTCAAATTATCCTAAATTTTACTCAATGAATTTCTTCAAAAGATCTCCCATCTACTCAACAATAACATATTCAGCTAGAGTTTCAACAGCTAATCCATTAGGTTTTCTAATATCATTATAAATGTGTGATCCTGATCCTTTCATTGTGATTTCTTATTCTAAATGATTTTAGTTGATTTTCCTCAATATATCAACAGTAGTGTGTTAATCCAATCTAGAGTTGCTTTACAATCCCATCTTTTGGATTAAATCTTGAATCTCAGATTTTTATGGTTTTTCCAATTTAACTTCGATTTCATAACCTTTACCAAATTTATTTTTGATATGTTAGACAGATCCAAGACATCTGAGATTACCACTAACTTGGATAGCAATCTTAGTTGATAATGCCTCTGCTTCTTCCATTGAATGAGTAGTCAATATGATAGTGCTTTATTTTCTTTGAGTTGCAATTCTTGAAATAACATTCCACATGAATCTTCTTGCCTCTGGATCCATACCAGTAGAAGGTTCATCCAAAAAGACAATTGGAGGATTTCCTATCATAGCAATTGCAACTGATAATTTTCTTTTATTTCCTCCTGAAAGTTAACCTGATTGAATATTCTCAAATCTCTTCAAATCCATCTCATTTAACTTCTTCTCAACCAATTCCTCTTTCTTATAATATGGTATTCCTTTGATATCTGAGAATAGTTCAATATGTTCTCTGACAGTAAGATTTTCTAAAAGACCATCAAATTATGGACAATATCCGATATTAACTCTTGCAGCTTCTAATTCATTAATGACACTCTTGCCTGCTATGAATGCTTCTCCACTAGTGGGTTTCAACTCTCCTGATAATATCTTAAATGTGGTAGTTTTTCCAGCTCCATTGACTCCCAATAAACCAAAGACCTCTCCTTAATCAATAGCAAAACTGACTTAATCGACTGCCACTTTATGTTTGCCTTCACCCAACATAAACACTTTTCTCAGATCTTTAACAAGAATGGCTTTCTCTTCAGGCTTAAATGTTTCACATAATTGTTTTTCTTTAGCAACATCATCATCAATAGGTTTGGGAATGTAAGGGATACTGGCTTCACTTGATCCGAGTTTCTACAATTATCCATTATCTTCAAAGTATTCAACAATGAAGATACAAACTAAATAAAATGCACCCATTATTGCAAGCATTAATACATCTCCACCACTTACTGCCATATCGTAAGTACTCTTCATTTCTGTCCATCCCTCCATAACCATGTATGTGTCCTTAGAACATGCATTTAATATTCCATATGCAAATGAAAATGATGGAATCAATCTGAAAATCCATTATAAGGCAGTGGCTGCATCTCTTGTAGAGGAGATCAATCTTAGGATATAAATTATCAAACTGATGATTGATCCAACTAATAAGTGAATGAAAAAGCTTAGTAACATTGCATTTCCTTATTGTCTAAAGGCAAAACTAAAGAAATAGCAAAAAGGGATAATTGCCCAACCATATAAAAAGAAGATCACCCATGAAAATCCATAATTCTCTCCTTCTATCAATGCAGATATATCAAATGCTAAAATCAGAAGACAACAGACAACTGCTGGAATCACATGCTTTCCTAAATCCATCAGCCAATTACTAAACCAATATGCTTTTACTGAAACTCCAGATACTAATTATTGATGTTTGATGTTAATTTCTCTTTCCTTAACAATATATGATATCAAAGATGCAGGAATGAATGCCATACCCATAGAAAAGACTAGGGCTGATAAGAATCCAGCTATTGTTTTTGATCCATTCAACTCTTCATAAGTCTTTCTGAAAGGAGCATTGGTAACTTTGATCTAAAAATCATTGTTATTGGTAGCTTTTCTCAAGATTGCTTAATTCATTTGGTTTTGTAAGACTAGTGGAGCCTCCCTGAAGACTGTATTCACAAACATGTAATATGCGAATTAATCATTAGTGTTACTGGTCAAATAATACCAACCAAGGTTTTCTCTTATCTCAAAAGTGTCAAAGTAACTTTGATCGATCTTCTAGAGATTATTCAAACTATCATCTCCAAACACCTGAATTGATGAATTGTACATTTAGAGATCAATCTAAGAAAACAGCGATTGATCATTTATTCCTCCCCATAAGTATTGAATTCCTTAACCATAACATTCAGATGGAGGTGTTAAAATGATAACATTTGGTTCAGTTATAAATTCTATTGTCATTAAAATCAAACCAAGAAGTACAACCAAGCAAGGTAAAAGGATTTCGCAACATAGACTCTTGACATCTCTCTTGAAATATCTTGCTCTCTTCATAAGTAATGCAAGGGTATGATTGAAAAATAATTGAGTTGAATTTGTAATTCTTATTTGATTAATGTCGAAATCGTCAATTTATACTGCTTATTTATTCTTATCCTCCATCTCCATATAATCATTCACTTAATGATGTCCAGCTCCAATTTAGGCAACCTTTAAAAACACTTCTTCAAGAGTTGTGATACTGATACCGTAACTTTAAATATGAAGGGCTTTTGAATTATTATCTAATTCTAAAAACAATTTTGGGAATTTATCAGCTGCATTCAAAGGTAATTACATGAGAATTTCAGCTGAAACTTTAGAAATTAAAACAGCTTCTGGACATGCCTTCATGATGACTTCAATGATTGGATCTGATTCAGTTAAAGTACTTTCTTTGACAATAGTAAGGTTGTAACCATTACCGAATTGATTCTTCAAGAATACACTGCTTCCTGAACATTGCAATTTTCCTTCTCCCATGATACCGATTCTATCTCCTAAAAAGTCTGCCTCATCCATAAAATGAGTTGTCAATACAATGATTCTATCTTCTTTGTAGTTCTTAAGCATTTCCCAAATATATCTTCTAGCACTTGTATCCATTCCTGAGGTAGGTTCATCCAAATAGATTAGTTTAGAATTACCAATAAATGCGATTGCAACTGATAATCTTCTCTTTTGTCCTCCTGATAGATTCTTACTTAAATAGTCAGTCTTTTCTAGTAAATCAACATCCTCAATCATTCTTCTAACAGCTGCAGGAATTTCATCTGGTTTCATTCCTTTGAAAGTAGCAAACATTTCCAAATGTTCTTTGACTGTCAAATTATCAAATAAGATGTCATGTTATGGACAAACTCCCATGAATTATCTAATTTCCTCAATTTGAGTTTCAACATCCAATCCAAATACTGATGCTTCTCCTTGAGTGATATCTAAGAGACCTGTCAACATCGAAATTGTGGTAGTCTTTCCTGCTCCATTATGTCCCAATAAAGCATAGATTTAACCAATATACATTGTCAAACTCACATTACTGACTGCTTGTTTTCCACTTGGATATATTTTAGTGAGATTAGAAATCTAGAGAACTTCTTATCTGCTTTCCTAATCCTTCAAAGCCTAGTCTACTTCTTCATATCTTTCCTGATGAATCTAGGATGATTTCTTCATTAATTTTGACTAAGCACCATTATGTGATCTATTGAAATAAGGGATGCAGAATAAAGGATGTAATTTCTTACCCCATTCATTTGGAAATACGAGATCCAAATAAATTGACATTATTAAGTAGAAGAAGATGTTTAGGATATGCATTATCAAAGCAATATTAACAGCATAGTTTTCAACTTTAGTTGTTATTGTTGACATTGAAACACCTCTGCCTTGAGCTTCGAACAATACCATAACATCGAATGCAAAAGACATAGCAGCATGGGAAGATATTGAGGCTCCCCAATATGATGATTCAGGAACCAACTCTGATCCACTACCAACCAAACTGATCACCATGTACATTAGCAAATACCAAACGATGGCTACAATTAATCCGAACAATGCTCTTGTAAAAAATACACTATGATTAAATTAATTTATACCTTATAAACATAGACTAGAATATTAAGACTATGCAAAATAGCCAATAATTCAAGAATAACACAAATCCATCAGTATGAGTAAATACTATAGCAGACAATAGGATTGTGGCTATTATGGAGATTATTGTGTAGATTATTAGATATTGAATAATCCATGATAAATAAAAGGATGTGTTGTTCAATCCCATCATTTTCATGCCTTCCCTCAGTTTTTTCTCTTTCTCATAAATCATCGCATAAGTCATTCTCAAGTAAATGATTATTAGAGGCAATATCAAATACACTCCAAATTATCCCCTTAAAAATGTTGCAAAATCATCCTTCACTCCATCTTATTAATGAACTAATTGAATTAAATCTTAAAATACCATAAGAGAATTTAGGGGTTATTTTTGCTTAATTGTTGGTTTCAATTCTCAAAATTATATTGTCCACAAAGGTTTGGACTGTTAACATACCAGATTCCCAATATGCATTCACCTTTTCATAATCTTAATATTTAATAGGATCCACATCCATCAAATTTGTTGGAGGAATCTCGTAATCATTAAATCCGCTTGAATTAAATCTCAATTGATAATCGTATATATTATTTCCAGCACTTTCATTAAATATTACTCCAAAGCACACTCTAGGAACTCCATCTCTTCCATAATCCGAATCAGCAGTATAATCATTAAGCTCCTCGCTATTCTGAAATATTTTTGTTTCATAAAAGTAGTAATCTAAAGTAATCCAAATAATATTTTACTTTCCAAAATGTACTTTAATTCCTTCACAACCTCGTGATTCTCGTTTGGACCAAGAGCAACATGGCCATTGAGCCATTCTCTCTCCTATTAGTAATTGTAATTATCAATGCAATTTCTAAAATAGTCGAATTAATTACTTCATTTTAGGTAACACTTGTAACCTCGTACGAGTATCCAAAGCCTTTAGGTTTTCAAACAAATTCAAAGTTGCATTCCATTTTTGCATAAGCTTCATTCTAGTTTCTATTTCTTATTCATTAATCAAAGGAGACAATTCCACTGGAACATTGGGATCTTCTGATCTCCATTCAAGTTTAGGCTCCAAAAAGCCTGTTTCATCAAGATTAACCTTATCTACAACGCCTCTAAAGAATTAAACCAACAGTTACCTTATTCCAGCCAAAGCCAATATCAATAATAATGGTAAAACGATTTCACAAGTTGAACAGAAACAGTTTCTCTTCCAAAGAATCCAATTTTTCTTAAGTAATGAGGATAGATGACCCATATAAGTTTATTTTATTTATTGACATAAAGTTTGGGTTATCTTAGTTCTTAAATTGCGTATTCTATATTTAATTATAGAATATTTCATTCATTCAATAGAAAGAATAACTCAGATTTTTGGAAATTCCAAAATAATTATTCTAAATTTTCTTATTAAAAATCATTTAAATTCATTTCAATAGGTTCAGTCTTAGCTGTTTTACTTAATTAAATTGAATTTTAAAAAATCATAAAGGTATAAGCTATTGAAGACGAGTGTAAACAAAAATTATGAAGAAACGCAAATTTTATAAAGAAAAATAATTTAATAAACTCTTAAAATAATTTTGTGTCACTTAATGCTTTCCTTACATTCTAATACTACAAAATTCTTCGTTTTCTCTTCAAAATATGAACATTAATTGAAAAACAATTTGTTAACAAAATTAAAATACATAATATATAAACTATATATATGTTGAACAATTATCATTTGAGTTTCATAAATAATTAAACAGACTTTACTATTTCTATTATTAAACAACCTTAGATCAAAAATGAACTCTACTAGCCAACCTTATGATTGATATCGAAAATTGATATCTGTTCATTCATCTACTAGCTGGATACACTAATAGAAATTGAGATATTTCAAAAGCTCTATGAACCCATTAACCAGAAATAGTATATTAACCATTGAGTTAAAATATCAATAAAAGGAGTAATGATAATCAAATCAATGTCTCCATTTCATTGCCATAATGATGACTAGGAATTCAAAAGGCACACGTCTCTTGAATGACCATTAAATAAACAATATGATTAACTATTTTAAAATTTTAATTAAATTATTTTAAATATAATTAAATGATTTTATAACTGTATAACATTATTATACATACATGAGTCTCAATATATTCTCAATTTAAGAAGAAAGTCATTTGTGAAATTTTAAATCCTATATTTTTTTGGCTGATTGAGAAATGAAGCTTTTATGATTACTTAACATACTTTTGGGTATGTTAGAGAAAATTTACTTGTTTCCTGATGTTGCAGGCAATTGCTGAGATGTTTTCAAATAGACCCTTTACTATTAAATTTCTTATAAAATTAGAGTATTTTCAGTGCTTATTGTTTAATCTTTTCTTGATTTTGTTTCAGTATTAATATGGTATTTACTGACTTCTTTTACAAAGTAAACATTGATTTTATCGTCGTTGAACACAACCTTAGGTGATATAGACTTGTAGGTATCACCTTCTTTGAGATTCTATTAACCATCTATTTCTTTGGCAGATTTTCTTTGAACACTTGGTTGTGGTATTTTTAAATGCTCATCGCCTTAATAAAGAATTGAGCATACTTTTTTATTTGATTAAAGTTTTAGAACTCTTGCAAAAAGAAAGAAATCCTTTTGAGTTAGTAACTTACTTTTTTTACATCAATTTCAAATCCTTTTTTCCACTGCTCAAGTCTTTTAATGTTATTGAGGTCCTTCTATTATTTGATCCAATTCGGGCAGTGTTATTACTGTTTTGTAAATTGTTGATTGATTTTTTATTACAACAAATCAAGTTTAATGCTTTTTCGCTTTTCATCCGATTTAATATTACAATAATAAAACAATATTAAAAATCATATTAAAAGTGTTGTTGTTGTTATATTAATAATACTTATTTGATTTATATTAGAATTATAAATTAAAACTGCAAATAATATTATTTTTTTTTCATCAGAATTAACTAATGTTCCTTTTTAAATACTTTACGAATCTAAACAATGAAGAATATCTAAATATAGTAATGTAGAATTATTAATAAAAATAAAATGGCATATTATATTGATTAATAGCAAAAGTGAGTCTTATACAAATTTTCTGGAGTTATAATTATATAATATGAATAAATTCCAAATCCAAATACGAATTTGTTTTAATGATTTAAATAAATGAAAACAAGCTTAAAATTAATCTCATCAAAAAGAAGCCTAACCTCTAGATTCAAACCTCCTCTTTACCTCCAGTTTATGAAACCTAAATCAAATCTACTTAACCTTTCCATATCGAGAATGAAATCGATTCACCAGAAGTTAAGAAGTTTTAAGCCCTACTACTTGACTCCTTAACTAAAAACCACAGATTATCTCAAAAATTTAAATTATTCTAACCCATAATGATAAAAGAGGATTTAGAATAGCACTCAAGAACAAAATTGCCAAGACCAACAAATTATTGAACTCTGAATAATAGTTTATGTTTATTAATTAAAAACATTATAAACAATTAAAAAAGTCTGATTAATTCTCCTTTTGATTAATTACAATATTTTCCTGACATCCAATGAAATGTAATGTGAGCCAAAAGTCAGAAGATTGCACTTGATTATTTAATGAAATCATAGAAGTCTAAAAATACTTAGAAAAAGACAAATTGTAATTTATTAATATAGTAAATATAATGAATAAAAAAGAAACATTTTTTTTATCTCATCAAGTTGATTTGGGACTCAAATCTAATGAAGACAGCTTTAGGCCAATAGCTACAGCTGCTTGCACTGGCAGCGAATTTAATTTTGACGATAAATTCTCTTAAACAGTTACTTCATCCAAATTTATGAAACCGAATTCAATGCATAGCATTCGAAATATTTTTGATGGTATTTATTGATAATGTATGAAAGAGGTCAATAATGAAGAAAGAAAAAAATATACTGACAGTCAAATTGGACCCAGATTTGAGGATGATAAAAAAGAAAAGATTGTAAAATGGTCTATTGTTGGAAAACCTGAATAGTTTCTATCTGTGAGGAATAAACATAGATAAAAAGTTGTTATTAAACAAAAAAAAGGAGATGGGGATGATTCCTTTTCAGATGAAGTTCCATCATCAGTCAAACCAATTATGTTATAGTAATCTTAATCATAAATTTCGGGAATGGGATAACAAAGAAAAACACCAAAAAAACCAAGAGGAGAATTTAAAATGCTAGCAAGACAAGAAGCCTTAATCAAAATGGTTGAAGCCAAAAAAAGAATAGAATCCAATCTCAAAGAAAAACAAATGTATGAGCAAAATCTTCCTCTTCATTTACAAAATGCTGTAACAAGAGAAAAAAGAGTTTTGGATAAATTCGATGTATAAAAAGAAAAGTGGGAGTTTTTCAATAATTAGATAGCATCAAATTGTGAAAGGAATCCTTATAACACAATCATGATTAGATCTGACAATTATAGAGAAAAAAACTAGAAGATTAGCATAATTGAATCTTTAAAAAACGAAGATGAAAAATACAATAATCGACTTTGGTATATGAGACTAAGATGGTACGATAATAAAGATGAGAGACCTCCTTTCACTTTAATTACAAAACCTAAATAAAAAAGTCTCCCGTTATCTAGCAGATTAGTTAATCGATATGTGAAGGACCCTGAAGCTGAACATTTAGCTTATTAAGAGAATTTCGTATTATCAGACATTTAAAGCAACTTTAATACTAAGATTATTGAAAATCCTTATTAGCAAATTGAAAAAGTGATTACAAATAGTAAATTAAATGCCACTATATTTAGATAAGCACAATAAACTATATAGTAAAAAGTTAGAATAGATGTTTACTGATAAAATTAAGGATAAGCCAAAAAAGCGATATGTGGATACAAATGAATATCTTGAAGTTGAGGGAATTAATGTTTACAGCAAAGAACTTGATTTTATTCGAAACAATAAATAGCAAGAATACCAGTATTTCGAGGAAAAGCAGGATGAATAAGAGGTATATATAGAAAATTGGAATGCTCAATAATTAGCTAAAACTGGATAACCACTGAATTATGAATTGAATTGAAATATTTTGTATTTAATTAATTTAAAAATAAATGTAAGTGTTCATAAATTTATAAGAATTCTTAGAGTTCTTTCAAATGCTTCATCATTGTATAGGGTCTATTCTGGAATGAGATAAATCAATTAGACGATGTTTCTACTATTTTTATACATTATGGGTTGAATCACAGTTATAATTACTATTAATACACCCAGTAAGACTAGTAAGTACAAGATATTGAATATCTAAAAATATATTTTAATCAATAAACATTACTATTTGCTATTCAACTAAAGATGTTGTAATCTCAATCAAATCATCATAAAATGATTTGTTAATCACATTTATAATCTCTGATATCATATAAGCACCTTCAAGTTCATTAGATGTTGGACGGGCTCTATATGTAAAATTGTTAATAGCCATATCTGTTTGGATTAGACTCGAGATATAAACTAGCATAATTTTGAGTCCTCTCTTCATGTTCCCGTTCATTGTTATAGGACATAGTAATTTTGATTTATCGATCAAATATTCAGGTAAATAGTCACATAGATTCTCTATTAAAATCTTGTTATAAAACACTTCAAACTAGTCACTCATCAATATTCTACATAAAACCAATAATATACTCAGTAAAATCAAGATTTTCGGATGTAAATGCTATTGTCTAATTCAATGATTCCTAAACATAATGGAATATTGTATCGAAATAAGAAGAATCCAAATACATATAATTTTTTCGCCCATAAAGCACTTCTCTTTATGCAAACATTAGAGGTATATCTCCACTTAAGTCACTTAATTATTTCTTAAAAGCAGCTGTTTATGGATATTTTCTTAAATAATTCATATATGAAACATAATTCACAACAGGACATACCAGAATTAATATATAAAATATACCAAGGAATATCGTGAATTAAGTTATTGGGAGTTTCTTTTAATCAAGCATTCTATGTGTTTTTTATTTTTCTACTGTTCTATCCGTTTTCTTTGCTAAAAACGAAGCCTCTTTTTCAAAAAGGTCAAACTTATAAAAAAATAGTTTTGTTCTATCCTCTAATAGTAAATTTAACAATGATTTTTGTTTAACTATTTCTCTTTACAAATAAGTATCATCTACAAACTAAGTTAGAGATAAAAACAGCTGCAATTTATTTGCTGTAAAACGTTTTAATCCTAAGATTATTAGAATTACCATAAATATTATTGCTTGTTCAGAAATGAAAATAGTAAGAAGTTCTTACTGATATTCTTACCCTCTAGCAATAGTTGCGACCATTATGTCATCATTTAATTCATGAAGTATATCCCTTAATAAGGGATAATTTTTAAAACTATAAAATATTTATGGACTATCTGCCTTGACTGTTTTTTCATAAACATAGTTCATTTTTAGGATGTATTAAAAATTTAATAGTATTTAAATAGCACTTCTCAATGTCATATTGTATTTCTCGTTCTGATATGTGTCTGTATATTAAAAAATTTAGAGAATCTTATTCTATAGCAAGTATTATAAATCATATTTGTACAAGACAGATTGCATATTGAAATTCAACTAATCATATCCCTCCCCTAAATTGGAGATCGAGAACTTTGATAATTCATCATATTCTTCCTATGTGATTATTTCATTTTATTTTTCATAATTGTATGTCCACAAATTCCATCTTGTAGCCAAAAACATATCTAATGGTTAAAAAAATAAATTCTTAATTTCTAGTAAATTGATATCTCTTGCAAAACCTATCAAATTTAAACTTAATAACTCCTAAAAATATTGTTAATTTAATTACAATTATTATAAACAACATTGATATAGTAATGCACAAGATAAACAATAAGACAATTATCTATTAATACTTCTTCAAGGGTAAATGATTGTTAAATCTATTGATTAAACTGTATTTTCTAATAAAATTGGATTATCTTAATTATTCAATTGAAGAACTCTGTTATGATTTCATCTCCTAAAGGAACTGCTCCTCTTCCTACTAAATTTTGAATTGTTATTCCTATATAGTGTTAGACTTTTCATATGCCATCTGATTCTTATCAAGATCATTATGCAAGAAATATTATTCCTCATCTCTGGAGGTTATCAATTAATGTAGGTCTATATCAAATTTTTTTATTTACTCATCCGATTAGTATGGTATTTATAAGGCTTCATTCTAATCTAATTCATTACAATTAGTATTAAATCCTTTAAGAGATGCAAAAGACGTATACGTTTATAGGACAGAATCTTTTCTAATAGAAAGGAAATTTCTAAAGTTTTCCAATTCTAAAATATAATATTTTATTTATCCATCAATTTTCTTTATAATGACATTTACATCGCAATAATAATTAATTTGCTCTTAAGTTTCATTAAAAAAACTTTAACGGGATTTTATATTTGGATGACTATAGTATAAGGAACTTTCAATTAGACATGACTAGGTGACTGAATTTAATTCATTGATTATTTTATTTACAAAGGTTCCAAGCTTAAATACCTTTTTTATGAAAGGTATTTAATTAAAGGCTTCTGAAATAGATTTTATTTCAAAATTATCATTTGTTACCATTGTAAATAGGCTATTTTTGAAATTCCTTAAAGTAAATAGTGTGATAAATTGGACTTTGTGAGTATAAATAATATCAATTGCAAAATCTATCGATTCAATAAATCCATCTTTGAAAATGTAATTTTTGTTGAAATTTCTAGTAAATTTAGATTAAGCTGTAGTTAAATAATTCTATATCAGATCATCATGATGTTCTCTTATCCCAAAAGGTATTAATTCATTCAATAACTTATTTTTGTATTATTAGGGTCCATTGCTTGAGACAGTTTCAATGCTATACTATTAATCTTAGAAATTAACTATCATGTATCTTATTTTTCTATTTGAAAATGATTCTTTTATTAATGGGTTTGCGCTTTTTCTAGTATGAATAAGAATTTCATTCGCCTGTATTATATCATTAAGAATTTCTGCATAGAAAAATAATATAAGCGATTGAACACAACCAACAGATTCCTTGTATTAAAATTAATCCAATTTAATTCTAGTATTTCTGATTTTTTAAATTAATACAATGATCTCTTCAATTGTATTTTGATACCAATTTTAGAGAAGGTCTATTTTTAGTTTAATAATATGAGTGATTTCTTATGAAATTGCCTAGGTTTGAGAATCGTTCAAAATCAATTTTAAGGCTAAATCTTTTTGTATTGATAATTATTTTACGTTCTTATTAACATTAAAATTAAATTCATCGACGGCTTATTTTTGAATCAATTTTAATTTAATTTTTCTTAAGGTGTTTGTTTCTTATTGTTTTAGTAAAATCATAAAGCATTCATAATAGCTGTTTTATTTAAGTAGTATGGAGGCCTTTATTATTGGATCCTTTGAATTGAGATTAGAATTATTGTTGTTCATTCTAAATGCAATTTTAAAGAAGAATGGCACCAAAATCAAGGTATAAGAGTTTTCATATTTTATAAATTAGGCAATTCCCAGGCATATCGTTAATAATTAGATGGAGAAGATTATAGCTTGATTTCGGATATTCATATCTGATTTTTCATTTAGTATCATTAATATATATACAAGAGAATTGATCAATGAGATAACTTATATTAAAAAGATATCAATTCTAAATTCTTGTCCGATTATCAAAAAAATATCCAAGAGAAATTTGATCGTTCCTAATAAACTAATTCTAACTAATTGAAAATTCTTTTAATTTACATTCAATGTCCATTAAATGAAAAAATATTCGAATGTCTAAAACATCAAAATGATGCCTCCCACTATATAACCAAATAAATCTTTGAATTATTCCAACACAATATTTAACAATGACACCTTCAATAATGTATTTATGGTACTCGATATAGAACTTCCAATTATAGTAGGCTTCAAAATATAAAACAAATGGAATATCACAAAAACTAAACCAAAAATTGAAAAATTTTCAATCTATATAGCCTGCGAAGGTCTAATTATAATCACAAAAAAATACACCCATGAGGTAGGGGTTTGACTATAGATATATGAAAGATTTCTTAAAGATGAATGTATTTTAAAGAGATTTACCCACTTTTCAGATATATCCAATGCTTGATTATCATACAAATGATAATTTGTTAAAAATGCATCTAAAATAAGATTTGAGTTTCCCATCCTTATTTAAGATTATTAAAATAAATTTTTATAATAAATTGTACTTATAAGGAAAAAACCAATCAAAAATCGAATTAATATCAATTTTATCTATTCGAATGATCGGATCATCATAAGATTGGTTGATGAAAGATTTCAATAGAAAGCTCTGAAGTTTAAATTAAATAATATTTTTTCAAAAAAGTCTGTAAAAAATTATATTAATTAATACTATTAATTTAATTCTGGATTTACTTAGAATAAAAGTCTAATAATGAAATATAATAAAATATAAATTATTTAGAATTTTATTAATAAATAATCATTATTCGCTTTCCTTTTTGATTTCGTTCTTCTTAACATCATTTTATGGTGATTGCGTAGATCCATTTTAAAATATTTGCGCGTTCATTTACTGGTGCTTTAATTATGAAAACATCTAAAAATTAAACGCATTTTTATTTGCACTCATATTCATCAAAAATTATAGAGAATTTGCAGATAAGTTATTTTACTATTGAGAGAAGAACTATTATTATTGACTAGGTTATTCTTGTTTTATTTGTATAACACTATTCTTTTTTTATTCTCCTAATAACGATGGCTAAGAATTATCTCTATTTCCTAGAATAATCAATCTGAAATACTTAATTCTTCTTCTTATTCTTATTATAACCTTTAAACAATCTCAGTTAGAATATTGGAATAGTTAGCGAATCGCTGTTAATTTTTCGATTGCATATTTGATAGTTCTTGAGTTAGTTGTTGACTTTCCTAGAACAGTGTTTCGTTTTATTGCATAATTTATTAGAGTGCTACCTGTAGTTGTTTTTAACTATCAGCAATGGCTTAAATTTCATTTTTAAGTTCCTTTTGTGCCTTCTTAAATTGCTCAATTTCATCAACTATTTGTGGAATTTCCTAAGATTCTTAATATATATAAAACATCTTTATCATCATTTTCTTCCTAATTTCTTCTTTTAATGTTAGTCAGCAAGGCTCTTCCGTCCCTTCTAAACCATTTATGTTCAAATTTTTAATTAATGTCATCAGCTTTGCTTTTTTTAAAATTATACATATTGAGCTATCTAAAATTTAGAATAAAATTCACCTTAAAAAGCTAGGATAATTCTTATGTTTGAAATATTTTGGCAATATTTTATCAGCCAGTAGTTGTTGATTTCTTACAATGAATGCATTTCCTTCTGTATTCCATCCAATTATATCTTTTAGATCTTCATTCTATTGTCAAATATTAGATAATACATCCATAATATCGAAGAGTCTAACTAAAAATGATGGCACACTTCCTTTTTATCTTTATTCTGAACTTTAACTTTAAGAATCTTAGAAATTATCACTGCTCTCTTACATTTTATTTAAAAATATTATTGTTTTGATTTTTAGTAAAAATTAATATGTATATTCATAACTAATATCTTAAAAAATATTGACGAATATGAATCCACCTAATGTAATCTAATATTCTTAATAATTGCATAGAATTAATATCAGGATGATCTAAATTCCTAGATTTTTTAAAGAAAGATAAATTTTTTAATTAATATTATAAAGACAATTGCAAGATTCCTAATCTTATTTAAAATGACTCTAAATTAGAAATTAATTCCTAAACCTATTAATAAGAAATAAAACGTCACCGAAACAATTTAAACTATTAAATATATCTATTGTTTTAAGAGAAAATTAAAAAATATACTAAAGCGGCTAGAATTTTCTGCAATTCTCAAAATTCATAAAACAGTAAATTTGATACCTTGTCTATTACATTATGTGAATCTCTTTGATAAATAGTAAAATGCAATTAGAAGTTGGCCAAACTGAAGAATAGAAATTATTATAATATTTATTTAATGAATTTGAGAAAATTCTCCTAATAGACGTATTTTAAAGCCAAATGTTCGTAGCAATAGAAGTAGAGAAATAAGGGGGTGAATTCTAAAATCATCTAACCTAATAATGAATTTGAGAAGAAAGATATGATAGAGTAGTTTGAATAGAATTAGAGCAATCAATAAACTTTGATTAACTAAGATACGAATGAGATGACTGTTTCAGATTTCGACACATCAACGAACATGGATAAAAAATGTAATGATTACATGATTAAAGTAATTAGCAATCCAAGGACTTAAAGAAAACATTTCTCACCAATCTTTAGAACAAAAAATAATATAATAGATCCACATTCAAACAAATTCTAATTATCTTTATCTAGAGAAAAATAGATGAGCAATGATGCTATTAGTTTGTGGGATTCAAACTAAAGAGAAACCAAATAATCTTACAATAGCTTATAGTTTTAGGAGAAATAAACATTAATCTGCAAAGGTTCAAAGAAAAAATTAGAGAAAGGAATCAAAATATAACAAGAGTTGGATGACTTCCTCAAGTGTAGACATTAAAACATTTAAACTTCATTTGATTGTACGAAACTTAAAAAACTAGAAAAAAGGAAACTGCATTCTAAAATTAATCTCGAATATCAAATTGATAAAAGCATCGATAAATAGAACAATGAAAAAGAATGTTAATTTAATTATATTAATAATCCAACTCAAGAGATATAGACTGAAATAAATAATTCTCAAGAACTATAAGAATAACCAAAATCTAAAACCAGTACTTCCACCAAAAGTAATCCTTTAATTCCAATCCACATTAGATATCAATACGAAAAAGAATATAAGGAAGCTAAATAAAAATAATCCAGTCAAACTCTAAAGGAGTAATAACAATAAAGTATATCACTATATTAATTTTAGAGAAAACTGTAAGCAAAGATTAAATAGCAGAGTTTTTTAAAGAATAATAAATGTTTCTGAAAAAGAGAGCTGAATTTTTTGAAAAGGAATATGAGAAAAAACTGTGGGAAGTTGCTCAAAATGAAAGCGAATTTCTTTATACCCCATTGTTGAATGAATAATCTAGTAGAGTAAATCTTATAATATATTCATTAGATTTTAGATAAAAAATTAAAAGGAAAGAATTTTGATTAAAGAATTGAATAATTCTAATAAAATAGATAAAATAAACTGGATGAGTAAATATAAAACATGAAACCATCTTTCACACCGACAATTAGCAAAAAGTCAAGAAAGGTAATAAAATTGAATAATAAATAAAGATTATGGAGAACCCAAAATAAAGACTTACTTTCCAAAATGAAAAAAGTTTTCAATAATTAAATTGGAGAGTAAAGACTTTGGAAGAATAGTGACTTAATTTAAATATCTTTAATTCATTAATTCAAAAACTCTTTGCTGATGGTATTAAGCTATCTTTATGAAACAATGGATCATTAATGATTTAATCTATATTCCATCTATTTTAAATGTTCTTCTCTAAACATCCGTTTATAACTCTCATTACATTTTCGTTCATCTTTTTATCCTAATTAGTTTTTATCTTTTAACACTATATCTAACGATATAAATCTTTGTCATTTTATCCTTTAAAAGGATATTCTCCTGTTAGCATTTTAGATAAAAGAATTCCTAATGACCAAATGTCTGAACTAGAAGGATGATGAGGAACCTTATTAAATTCAGTTTAAAATTACTTTTGCTATGATTTCGGGAGACATATAATGGGGTGTTCCACAAAACACATTGGTCTTTTAATTTTGAGGCATGCAAATGGCAAAACCAAAATCTATCAATTTTACAACATTTGTTTTCATCATCAACACATTATCTAATTTGATATCTCTATGACATATGTTGAGATCATGTAAATATTTTACTGCCATTGCAATTTAGTAGAATAAATTCAAGCATTCCTTTTCTGGTAAGATTCTATTTGGCTTAGACTTTATGTACGAAGCCAAAGATTATGAGGAAATGTATTCCATGACTAAATTGATCTTATATTATAATAAAGTACTGATTTTTTGTCTTCAATTGCCCAATATAATTTGATAATATGTTAATGTTCTATTCTTTTAAGGATGGATATTTCCCTTTTTACATTATTCATCTTTTGAGAATCATTCAATTTTATTTTTTCGTATATTTTTATTGCATATTTTTCCTTTGTATTTTTATCAACACCCAATCTAACCATTGCAAATGATCCTGACCCAATTATTGTTTCCAATTTGAAATTTCCCATCATCAACTCTGGATTACATAGCTGGTTTAAGTCTAACGTTCTTTTGGGTTATATTTAGGGTTAAGAACTCTTCTCAATTATTTACTATTAAGATTCTATTTTCTCTTTTTCTTTCCTCTCTTCAATTCGCTTAATTCTTGGGGCAACTCCGGATAATGCTGAGAATGGTCTCTGCTATGGTATTTTTTAGTTAATAGAAGAGCTCCAATGTCTTTATTGTTGTTAATTTCCAGTATTTTAAGTAGTATTTAATGAAAAATGTTGCTCTTTTGAGGATTTCCATTGAGAACATTCTATCTTAGATATTAAATATACTATTAATTTAGTTTTCAATATTTTTGAGAATGACATCAGCTTGCAATTTAATACTATTTAAATCATAAATGTTAATGGCATCAGTTTTACTTTCTAAAGTTATAGAAATGTGAAGTTACATTTATTCTTTTCAACATTAGCCAAAAAGGATTGAGTAACCGAGTCATTCGATTCTGATTTGCTAAGTTTTATTTATTTTAACATATTGTTTTTTTTTGAAAAATTAATAATGATAACGATAATCCAATTAATAAAAAATAACAATTTTCTTAAATTAGTACCGAAATAAATAAATAAAAACCATTCATATTTAAAAACTATCAGATCTGGAAGAAAATATTCTCTCAACTAATTTATTTTAGGCTTTGTAATTAACAAAAGATTTGGATGAATCCTTTTTAGAAACTGAAATTTAAGGCTAAGAGAAAATTCGATACGGATCTTTGACCTTTATAATATGCCTTTTCTCGTGACTATTCGAGGTTGTATAGAATTTTTAATTGCTTTATAATTGATTGAAACCTTGACTATTGCATTAAAGAGGATTAGATTTTTTGATTGTTTTGCATGACTCATATTGTTATTGTAAAAGAGAATTTTGAGATTTCTTGAAATTTTAATCAAGATCGTTGTTACTAAGGTTTGAAATATCTTTAGCGCTTTTCTTTTTAATTTATTAAGTACTTTAGTAATTACATATATTTTCTTTATTAGAATCCTGAATAGAGTACATAGTGGTTTTTCTAGACAGAGCATTCTTTTGTAAAAGCTTGGTTGATTACAATATAGATTTTATAGCTGCGAGATGTTATTGAGGTAAAGAGTTCTCTCTTCGCTTCTTGACATTTTACTACTTAGGTTTATCAGCTTCTGGTTTAAAAAATTAGGCTGTTTATTAGTAGGGGTCTTAATTTCCAAAACTCTACTCAAAAAAATTCATTCAAATTTAATTTATTTTTGTGTATTATTAACAATTATTTGATATAATATTTAGAATTAGATTTTGTGATAAATCATATTTTGTTAAAAATCATTGAATATTCTCAAAATCCTCTATCTTTGACATAATCATATTCACTTTCACCACCGCCAAAACAGCAAAGGAGTTTAGAGAAGAATGATTTGCTCTTGAGTTTTTCTTCCTACTTACTCTTCTCAATTTGAAGAGTCATTTTATTGTAAAACTTTTCAGTTATAGTTTCCTAATCATATAGATCCTCATCTTTAATTTATTCATTATAATCAATCTTGGTTGCTTCTTCTGGGGGTAATTCCAATATTTCTTCCAAATTCTATATACTTCCTTTTAAGACATCCACTTATTCCTTAATGATCTTGACCCACTGATCCTTTTATTCTGGAGTCTAAGCCTTAAACTTAAACTCTTGATCATCATTTGTGAAGATCTAATAATTGAATTATAAATTACTTAAAAAGATCTACTCTTACCAACTACCTGTTTAATGTAAATCAGCAAAACGTATTAATTTCCTTAAGAATCATCTTTAGCTGTCCAACTAAGAGAGTTCTTTTTTAACTAAGCATTAACATTTATCCAAGACAAAGGTCCTTTAATAATTTTGCTTGATTATTTTTGGAGTGGTCCTTCGAAAACGATTTCTTCTTTCTTTTCCAAATGTTATGAGTTCTTCAAACTAGTCTTAGGTTTCTTTTTGACACATTAAATAGCCAAAATCCACTTTTAGATATCTGTAAGTTATTCTGAAAAGAATTAATAAACTCTTTCGTTGTATTCAAAACTTAATCCATAGGGCAATTATCCTGATGTCTTGTCAATATATTATATATTTTCAAGTTCAGAAATAGGGATTCTTGCGATGAAATTGCTTTTGTCTCCTCTGTCATCATATGCAAAATAGTATATAGTGTCTAATTGAAAAGTGTCAGGGATGTCTGCCTAAGTAGGACCGACTTTATCCGTTTCCTATCCTGTAATGCAAACTGATGAGATCATTATGAACCATCTTTTCTTAGCTCTGGTGAATGTGGTATTCTTGCCTTTCTTCATCAAAAATCCACAAATTATGAACTAGTCTTGGGTTTTGGCATCAAATTTTATCAGATATGGATATATGCCTTTGCATTTCATGACTTCATCATTTTTTATGTCAATCTTATTTGAGATTCTATCCAGATGATCTTTCTCCACTTCCAATTTTATTTTTGTTATTGTTTCTTTGTCCAGCTCATCCCATTTAACCTTCTATTGAATAGGTTCATTATCGCCTTCTAATTGTTTGCGATATTCCTTCAGATACAAAATGCTTTCAACCCAAAATTCTCGTTGGGAAGCAGTCTCTGCTTTTAATTAGAACTAACGATCGCCGACCACCAAAATGAATTCTGTATCGGATCCCTTAACATTGGCAACTGTGGAAATGGAAGTCAAACTAAGGACACCTTAATTTCCTGCATGCGAGTACCTTGGGGCTTATCTTTAGAAGAAAGGGGCTTCTTCTTCCAATATATAAGATACTATCCTTCATTCCTCACAGAGAAGTAACGTTTCTGATACCCTTTCATCATGCTGGGACTACGTTTCTACAGCACTCCGTTTAATTGTAATGCTTTGGATAATTTATCATTCATTATTATAATTTATTCGCATGGAAACAGTTTCTCAACATATAACACAACTGAATCACAAAAATCAAGAACTCTTCGGCTTAGAAAATAGAATAAACCAATTGAAATAGTAATTGAATTTGCAACAAGCCAATAACAATATCTTGAAGACTAAAGTGGATAAGATAGTCCACTCAAAAAAACAAAAGTTTTATGACGAAATGAAGGTAACCTCATTGCTAAAAGGAATTAGTTGAAATAAATACTTCAAAGCAATGCTTAAAATAATGACGAATTATAATATACGGTTCAAAGAAACAAAGCCTTATTGAATGAAGAACAAAGGCAATCCAAGTAGGATATGTTCGATGAAAAGTATCTTCAAACTTACAAGATGAAATAGAAATTAGATTTGGAAATGCTAATAAATTAGAAGAAAAGGGATCAATAACTATATGAGAAGCAATAACAATATGCAAAAGTACTCAATTAATTTATCCAATAGATCTCAGAATGGGAATTCAATTTAAAACTCAACTTAAAATAACGAGAAATAGACAAAATAGATAAAATCAGATTAGAAGAAAAAGAATTCAAAGAACAACTAGCTTAAAGAATGCAATAACAACAAAAGATTTGCGATTAATTGTCAAATGAAGAATAACTTCTAATGAAGTAAGTACATGTATGTATTAAATTCTAGTAAATTAAAAAGCTCTTAATAGTTTTAGCACTCCTTAAAACATGATCTAAAAACTGCTCTGAATCTGAGTATCAAGGATTATACAAATAATACCTCCGTGTCAATTCCTACCTATTTCAAATCATATAGTTCATCTAAAATACCATTAAATAGTCCATATGCCTAGTTGCCGACGATGCTCAAGATGAAAAGGAGTGTATAAATTAATAAAAGTAATAATAACACCAACGAATCTCTTATGAAAGAGTACAAATTTTCTCTCCCTTCACTTTATAAGCCATCCATTATTGAGCAATAACAATAAGTCGAAAGGCTATTTTAATCCAAAAGTGTAAAGAATAGCAAATCCGATTTGTATTAGATATTACATTATGGTGACTCTTAAGGCATCATGGAAAAGAAATCGAAATTTCGAACTAATTAGAGTGAAGTAATTTAAAATTAAGTAATAAAGTAATATAAATAGATAACAAAAGAGTAGGAATAAAATAAAGAATAATCAAATCAAGAAAAATAAGAAATAGATGCAACAAATCAAAATAAATAGGAGGAATAAGAGGAATATTAAGAATGATAATGTTTTTAATTAAATTTTAATAACATTTTGTATCAAATTTATAACTTTAAGCTCCTATTTTAAAAATTAGAGTTCTAATTCGATATTTTAGAAGTACTCTTCATACTTAGACTTAAAATGATATAGTTATTGTTGTCTCAATTTTCAATAAAATTTACTAGGTTTTTCTTTGCCTTCTCTGCTGATTATGATCCAAATAGGCCATCCCCACCTAATTTAGAGTGAACTTTTTTAGATTTAGCATTATTTCCCCTGTTAATTTATCTTAGGACTTGCCTGTAATTTCGGCTTAAAGATATAATAATTTAACGTATTGTTAGGCCGATTTGTATTGGGACCAATAACCTCATCCACCACAATATGTGAAATGAACTGAATAATTGAATAGGAAATACCTTGAAATTGTTGATCTTTAGTAGTTTTTAGTGTTAATTAAATTCTGTCTTTTAATAATATGTAAATTTACTTAAAAAGTTAAAAATTTAAGAAAAATACTTAATTAAGTCATAGCAACTTATGATTGGTTATAAACCATTGTAAATAGTATAGCTTTGCAAAAATGAAATATTTATGATTTATATTGTAATGTGTAATGTATCAAGCTACAAGTATGCATGCTCCTCCAACTGCTTTGATTCTTCTCTCTGCAGTTTTGCTAAAGAACTTAGCTTTGACAACGACTGGTTAATTTGGAAGTCTACCTTTTCCTAGGACTTTGAAATAACCAGCTTTGGTGACATCAATAACAGCAGCTTTGTCCTTTGATTTAGCATATTTTTCTCTGGTTTCATCAGTGACAAGTGACCATAATTTGTCAATATTGACTACAGGTCTGTGGAGTGTGTTTTTTTTCAAATGGAAATGTCTCATACCGGTCTAGAGGAGGAATAGGAGTAGATGGGTACTTTTTGGAAATAACCTGGATGGTATTTATTGAAATTGATCCTATGATGTGTCAAACCTCCTGAAACACCTCTACCACTTGGATGTTTTCTGTGTTTGCCAACTCTACCGTAACCATGGCATACATGTCCTCTCATTTTTCTACACTTTCTCAATCTGCTGACCATTGTATTAAATTTTAAAAAAAAGATTTTAATATATGATTAATGCCATGATCGAATATATAAATCGAATTAAATCCGGAGGAGTGAGTATTGTGGAGTGCAAGAAAGTTGGAAATAAATGAAGGGACAATCAAGGGCACAGCGAGTTTATTATTTAATATGATTAAATAAATAATTAAAAATGTAAAATGATGCCATCGATTATTTGACAATCTTCACATCATTAACAATATTCAAAGCATTTTGTTCAGGTGTGCATCGTTATAAGGTTAATCAGATGCCAACTTCACATTACGAAACCGTAAATATGTGATCATGATATTATGCTAGGAGTCAACTTTGGCTACTCTAATGAAAATACAGATGTAATTCAATTTTCTACTCCTGCATTGCACCTTGTTCTTTAAACACTTGGACAATGTTTAAGAAATAGGCAAATTCAACTTATTCTTATTGATTTCGACTTGCCTCTATGCTCTGACTTTAATGCTGACGGATTACAGATGGCTCTTAAAAATATATAGATACGAGAATCATATCCTCAGAGAAGATTACCCTATAGTAGAGTTCTTAGGAATTCAAGTCTTTATGATGTTTGGATGTGCCCTGCTAATCACTATTTAATGGTTCACAATTCCAATTCTATCGGATCTTATGTATCAACTTCTATGCATTTACAAAATCCCATAAATCATTAAATGTCACCAACACAATCAAATGCCCAACATCACTTATTTCTGCTTTCTCGAGGATTATTGCATTTTGATTTTTTTCTCGTACTATCGAGGTTGCCCCATCAACATCTTCAAACTTCAAGACAACTTGGGAATTTGCATAAGCGTAGCCATTTTCATTTGCATTCAACAGTGCATCCTACTTTATTAGTTTCATGTGAAACCCCAACTGTATCAGACTAAGTCTCAAGTTGAGGAATTCACCAATGAAATTAGGGAACAAAACATTTATTCAAATTTTGATGATCTGGGCACTAACAACAACCTTGAATGTGCCATTTGCCTTCAAGGCATTGAAATCACTAATCCCTTATAAATTTAACTCAATCCCGAAGATCCAATTGTATTGACTCGTTGTTCACATAAGTTCCACGAGAGTTGTCTGATTGTTTGGCTCAAAGTCAAAAAGCAATGCCCAGTATGCAGACACTAATTCTGATTTATTCCATTTTTTAGTTTTTACACAATATTTAATTCTCGATTAATTGAGAACGTTCATATTTACTATAATTTTATATGTAACATTTCATAATATTCAAGCCACTGTATGAATTAAGGTCCAAGTTAATAAAAATTCCCCAATTGAAGCTCCCAAACCCTCTGTGTATATTTCTGTATTCTCTATTCTATCCTCATCAACCTAATTAATCATTTTGCATATTGTACTTATTTGTATTTGAAAATATAATAGTATGAAAATCCCATTGACAAAAACAGAAATCCCAAAATTGTCAAAATGCCTTATAAATGTAAAAAACCTGCTGTTAATCCCAGAAGGACAGAGACTATTTGTCTCACAAAGAAAAGTGCTGTTTTTAGTTGATCTGGAGTGGCTTAATCGTCTGTTGATAGAGAGAAACTCAAAAACTCACCTACAGACTAGAATCCTTCTTTTTTTAAAGGCATTCAATAATATAAATTAATTAAAATTAATATAACATTGGAAAAATTATAATCAAATACCTTGATGGCAAGAAAGTATATGCTTTTAAACAATGCAATGTTCCTCTTTCAAACTAAGATTACTTAACTTCTAAAGTAATACCATGAGTTAGGTTATAGCAATTCACAGCAAAGTCAGGAACGGCATTTCTATTTGAGAAAGGGTAAGAACTAACAATAATAAAAGTGTGAACTATTTGACTGGAAAATCAGAAGTGAAATGCTAAGAACTGGTTTACACATCATGCAAGAAATAAAGTGCATTAAATGTAAGACCTATCTTGGATGGAAATATGTAAGCTTATGAATTACTATATTAAAAGCTTCATGCTTATGAGTAATCTGAGAAATAAAAGGAAGGTAAAATCATTCTAGAAACATTATTTCTAACTAAAATCAAATGGAACTGATTTTTCTACTTTGCTAATCAATTATAATTAATATAATATCATTATATTAAGGAGACTTCAAAACCTAATTTTAATATGTTACCATGCTTATTGATATCTTTAAGACATAAATATAATTTGAAATATAATCACTTAATCGAAAAAATTAGCAATAATAATATAAATATTTATTAAATGAGTCGTGTGCACTCTAAATTTCAAAAAGAAATATTGCAATTTTATAGGTCTGTACTTAAATGGGCCAGTCTTAAGCCAGAGCCAGCTAAGTCTAGCATCATATAGTATGCGTAAAATGAATACAGAAAGAATTAAAATATTCCTAAAAAGAAGTTTGATAGGGTAATGTGTCCATAACATTATATTAGATTGAATTTCTGTTTAGATAAGGAAAGAATAAGTTTGAAATATGGAAGGTATATAATTTTAATATGATAAGGATGCTAAAATTGATTCAATATCAATAAAATGATGCATAGTATAAAAATTATAAAAATATCACACTTTGGTTTTCTTAAATTTTTCTTACACTTAACAAGGTTTTTCACATTCAGTATGTGTGCAATGATGGCGTTTTACAAATTAACTACAACATCTGCATTACTTTTCCTTTGATTCTCTTTTCTTTCTCATCTTTTCCTTTTATGAATCTGATTAACTATCTAATATGAAGTCATCTTCTTATGACATTAAATCTCCTAGATTAACTTGAACTGGCAAATCAGCTATAAAAATAGAATTAAGGTTTTGCTATACGTGAATTCTTAACTTTGATCACATCTAAAAGTTTGGTTATTTGATCATTTGGTAACCTTTCAAACATTTTAATCAAATCATCGCTCACTTTTCGTGATATTTTAATTGGCTCGTTATCATCTATTAACTTTGTTTTCTTTTTTATTTAGTCATTTTCACTTTCACTTTCACTATTTTGTTGAATCTGATGATCTTGTTTCCTTAAATGAAAATCAGTTCTTACTTATAATTCTATCCTGAAGACCTGGAAGAAAACTCAGAAGAATCATAATTGTCACACATCTTTAGTAATATAATTATATTAAATAAATAATTCAAATATTTCCTTTGCATTCTTAAGTTATTTATTAGTTTTTATTTTGACTTATTTTAATTCATAGTTATGAATTTAATTATCAAAATTAATTAAAATCCTAAACAAAAGTTCATGAATCATTTGATCAATTGTTAAAATAAGCACAATATTCTTTATCTTCATCGCATAGACAAATATTCTATTATCTTAAAATAATAAAATTTGAAATTTAGAAATAATCGAGAAGAATATATTTCGTCTATGAAGTACCATATGTTTTGATATTAATTTAAGTAGTTCATTTGGGTTGAATAAAATTCCATATCATTATAAATGCCTTTTTTAAAAATATTAGAAAATACTATAGATCCAAAATGATATGATGATAGGTGTATTATGGTTGTTTTGAGGTTAATAAAAAAGGGTGTCAAAGTGAAAATGAAAAATGAGATAATTAAAAATTCATTTTTCACTTTAATTTATATATAGGAGTTTAGTTTTTAACGATAATAATAATTTATTTAATATTAACAGAATGATCATCGAAAATTAAAGATGTTTTGGAAAGGAAATAGCAAATTCAAGTGTGCATCAATCCAAGGAAATAGGTATGATCGTAGAAAAACATAAAAAACCCTTTTCCATAATTCCAAAGGTCTTTACTACAAGTTTGGATGATAAAGAAAATAAATTGTTTAGAAGAGAATCAGAAAAAATACCAATCGAAATAGAAATAGACAAGAGTAAGGAACACCTAAATCCATAAAAAGTAGAATTATATTCGAATGAAATTTTACAACACTTGCTGATGGAGGAAGTAATTATGTTAGACTATTTTAGAATAAATACACAATAAATTAGTATATGACACCTGAGTAATAGCCAGACATCAATCTTAAGATGAGAGCCATTCTAGTGGATTGGTTAGTTGATGTCCATGCTAAGTTCAAGTTGAAGGATGAAACTCTTTACATCACAATTTCATTAATCGATCGATATTTGTCTTTGGCTCAAGTCACACGAATGAGATTGCAGTTGGTAGGTGTGGCAGCCTTGTTCATCGCTTGTAAATACGAAGAAATATACCCTCCTGCATTAAAGGATTTCGTTTACATCACAGACAATGCATATGTGAAAAGTGATGTTCTTGAAATGGAAGGCTTAATGTTATAGGCATTAAATTTCAACATATGTAATCCAACTGCCTACTAATTTTTATAAAAATACTCGACGGACTTAGATCCGAAAAATAAAGCGTTAGCTTAATATATACTGGAATTGGCTTTAGTTGAATATAAATTTATTATATATAAACCATCTTTAATTGCTCAATCCGTTATATTTTTAGTTAACAAGATTAGGTAAGACTTTTATATTAATCATAGGACTCCGACTCATAAGACATAGAATGAGAATCAATTGAAGCCTTGTGCCAAAGAGTTATGCACATTACTTTAAACTGCGGATCTAAATTCTTTGTAAGCAGTCCGAAAGAAATTCAATGCTACTAAATTTTTTGAAGTTTCGAGAATTAAAGTAGAAAAAACAAACAACTGATTTTAATTTAAAATGTCTTGTTTCTTTGACTTTCACTCAAATTTTTTAAAATTACAGTTATCCATTGTATATTAAATGCTTTAATTATAAAAATCATCTTGGGCCTAATCGAATTCACCAAGACAATTTCGATAAAATAGCAGTCCTAGTTCTCCCTCCATCAGATCTGACTAGGTTTCAAGACACGAGGATATAGATGATCAATGGGATGTTATTGTAGAAGACAATTTTGTAAAGAAAGTGGGATCGAATCAAAATTAAAGATTTGAGAGTGATTTCACAGTTCAAGATCAAGACAAGCGTACATTTAAGCATTAACTGAATAGGGAATATATTGCATTAAACAGCTCTTAGATAGGACGCTAAAATCCTTGAACTCTTAATTTAGGATTATCATAATCTGCTCAAAGAAAATAAGAAACAAGATAGAGCCAAACTCTAAAGGAAAGTGTCATAAATTAAGAACAACGAAAATGAAGATGAAGAAATAATAGAAATTGACTTTGATTGTGAAGATTATGATTTTTTAGAATTGTAAGATTAAGTAAAGAAGTATGTTCAATAGCCAGACATATTTGGATGCACTCCCATATAAATTTGCTGTTTTTTAAATGATCCCAAGTTCCACTAAAATAGATAGGAGTGTTTGAAAATTTTAATTGAAAATGGTTCAGATGTGAATGAAGCAAATCCTCATAACCTGTGGAGACCACTTCATTGGTGTTCATTTTATGGCGATGAAGGCAGTGTAAAACTCCTATTGTAAAATAAAGCCTTTTCATTTCTCTGTGATTATAACGGATTATATCCTATGGATTTAGCAGGCAAGAATCAACATAATGAAGTATTAGAAGCCCTGATTGACAATATGGTTATCTTATTAAAAGATTGTCAATTTTTTTGGAATGGAGAATTGATAGGGAAAAAAGAAACTGAGTTCATTGAATTTTAAGAGATCTGTTCTCATTATGAAGCAGAACTATAAAATCCACTGCTGTATACCAAAATCTTATTCTGGTGTTGCAGATTTAAATTCAACAAGTTCATCAAAACAATCTTAGAAAAACTGCCAAGAATTTACATCATGTTTCCCATTAAGTCCTTGGATTCATAAACTTGTCTGCATGCTTGCTGTTTCAGTAGTAATGCTGAGGCTTTAAAAATGATTATCAAATTTGAAATTTTGGATTTGTCAATGATGAAACCTGATCCAGCATAAACAAAAAAGCAACTAAAAAGAGAATAACGAAGAGAAGGATTCCATTTTAAAATATTAAGCAGTTATTTAGAATAAATAACAAAAACTGAAGTTCCTGGAATTAATTAGATACTATAAAAGAGATATACTTAAAACTATAAGGAAAGATATTATCATGAACTCTAGAGATATCTAGTATAGGATTAAATTTATAGACAAGAGCTTGCAAAAGTCAATTTTATGCTCTTAAGCCTCAAAGATCAAAAAGTAGAGAAATCATTTTATGATTTAACAAAACAGACTTTTTGTAGGAATGTGCTCAAAATAAATGTTAAAGATAATCATGGAAATACACCATTGCATTTGGCATCTTTAAATGGAGATCAAAATATTATTAAATTTCTCTTAAATAAATTTGCTGATCCAGAAGCTGAAAATTTTGAATTTTTTAGAGCTAAACAACTAACAAGAGATCTTACTACCTAATTATATTATGATGGATTAATCAAAAAATAGAAATATATGATTAGTCAGGCTTAATTATTAAGATCTATTGAACTTATATTCTAAAAGCATAAGGAAAAAGGATAAAAGGTTAGCACCAACTTTGAGGATTAGTATAATTTATCTGAAAATATTTAATAGAAATCAAAGTATTATAGAACGTAGTTGAAGATAAAAGGGAAAACATCAAAATCAAAAAAGAAATTATAAACTATCTCACAGATAGAGCAGGGTGAATCAGCCAAACTTTCAGAATTGAGAACTTCGAATGCAAAAGAAAATTCAAATCTAATTTAGAAACCAAAAAAGACTAAGAAAGTTACCAATAAAATTATTCCATTAAATTTTCAACCTTCAACTTCAAATAAGAAATCAAAAAGTTCATATGATCATTATGAATAATTAATCCTATTTTCAAGTTAATTATTTGTTCCAGATATAGTATTAAAATTTGATTAATCAGTCAAAGTTAACTTGATTGATTATTTTAAAAAATCCTCTATGGTTGATTAAAAAAAGTTAATAGAATAATAAATCAATTTTTAAATAGATCTTTTATAAAAAGCAGAATTTGAAATCTATATGATGTTCTCATTTACTTCAAAAGATTACATTTACATAATGCTTAGAATTAAGGAAGAGAAATTAGAGAGATTAGCTGAAGAAATGGAAATGCAAATAAAAATGATTGATTCTTATGATCTAGAATAATTTAAGATGAAACAAAGAAATAAATTTGAACCATTTCGATCTAGTCAAAGATAGAAAATTGTTTATGAACATTTACTGAAATCAATCAATTTAGAATCATTAATGAAATCTAAATTAATCGATTCTTGTTATGCTATGCATACATCAGGAGGCATTTAAATAGTTAAAAGGGAGTGGTAAAAACTATCATTTGGATTCATTCCCTAACCAATCTGTTAGATAAAAGATTATTTAAGCGAAGGCAGTGGAAGGAACTTTACTTCATTAACAACAATGAGATTGTACTTTGGAGAATAGATATCCTTCTTTTTTGCCTGGATCAGCTATCTCTCATGTATATCATTAATAATTGCCATTCCAGGATTAATACTGTAAATTTATGTCATTCTATACGATTTCCACTCTGAAATACTGCCATATTGGGTATTGATTGTGACTATATGGTCTACTGTATAAACAGAATTGTGGAAAAGAAAGACATCAGAAATCAATACAAGGTGGGGTTGCATCGATTAAATGCTTCAAGCTGAATCTTCTTATTATGAGGGTCCTCTGAAAGATAAATTCTCAGGGGACGAAGAAATAAATAATATCACCAAGAGATTAACAAAGCATTAATAAATTACTAAATTGGCAGTTTACTTTGTTATTTTTTTGATTTTATTGGCTGTTTTTCTTTTGGGAAGTTTTGGAATAGTCTACGGGATTGATTTACTAAGGAAAGAGGTTTAGTCATACAAAGGAGTAGTATTTTTACTAGGTGCTTTATAAGCTATTGCAATCTAAGTCTTAAATATATTATTTCATTATTTCTCTAAATGGTATGCTGATGTAGAAAATCATAAATTTGAATTAAGTTACGAAAAATCTTTAATTTATAAGAATGTATTCTTTAGGTTCATAAATTCATACATGCCTTTGATGTATATCATAGTTACTAGTAATGATTATAATTTAGAAGATATCTTTTATTTTCTCATTCCCCTTGTGTTAGTAAAGAAGGCATATTACATATTAATTGATTTCTTGATTCCTGCTTTAATCATTCGAGCTAAGATTAAAATATATTTCTCAAAAGTCAAGGAAGTTTCATAAGATTAAAGATTTTTTGGAAAATAGAAGGGAAAAACATTGAGTTTTTTGGATGAAATTGAATAATTTTGGACTTATGATGAATTTAGCAAAAATAAAAATTCATAGGCCTAATCTTAATCCTAAGAAACTTCATTTTAAATAGCATATTTAGAATCAGCTTCTAGAACTGTGCTTAAAGTTGAAAGTGAAGAGATTTTAGAAGAAAAGTTACATGAACAAACTTAAAATCCAAAATTAGTTTATCAACCTTTTGAAACTAAGATCGACACTGATGCTATTGAGTTAAACTCGTTTAAAGATGAATTTGGAGGTACTTTAGATTATTTCATGGAAGCAGTTACTGATTATGGATATTTTATTTTATTTTCAGCTGCTTTTCCCATAGGTCCATTTATAGGGATAATTTTAAATGTTGTAGAAATTCAAATGAAACTTTATAAATTAATATACATGACAAAGAGAATTAAGTCTGAAAGGATGCCTGGTATTGGTTAGTGGTTAAACATTTTAGAATTTTTAAGTGCCATAGGAGTATTTACAAACTTTGTTTTATTATATTTCAAACATAGAAATGCAACTCTAAAGATGTTTACAAATGATGTAGATTAGATTATATAGGATGATTTAGAATTATGGTATTTTATAAGTTGTGTAATTGCGGTCACTCTAATAAAAATATTAGTTAGAGAATTAATACCGGATAGACCAGATTGGGTAATTGAAGAGATTGATAAAATAAATCATAGGGAATTGGTTGAGCAACAAGAAAAGGCAAAGTAAAAATTGAGAGATATGGAGAAGCATTTTAAAGAATTGCGGTAATCAATAAAACTATATTTAGAGATGAAAATATTAAATTGAAAAAAGAATAAGCCGATTTAGAGTAAATTACAGATTTAAGAATCAGATAATTGGATGCTGAAATAAATAAGTTGGAATAGTAGTTTTAAAATATATCCAGATTTAAGAAAATAGATAAACTAATAATAACTGAGTATGACATGATAGTATTGAATGTACTCAAAAATAGATATTATCAATTTGATAATATAATGTTGACAAAAAGATTGTTATAGTTTATAGAAACAAGATCTTGTATTATTTAAATCTGTTAAGAGTGTGGAAAATGTCCAGCTATTCTTGAATGTTTGGAATGTTAAGAGAATTTCTGTGGATCATGCTATTCCAAAGTTCACACAGTCATCCAATAAATGAAACACAATGTTAAATTGAAAGTGAAGAAAAATGAAATCTCAGAGTAAATTGAACTAAATGTAATTTAAGATGAAAAAGAACAGAAATAAGGAGCATCTGAATAATCGAAATTACTCAAAAAATAAATTGGTATTGCACTTCCAAAAAGAAATTGGAAGAAAATTGAATATTTCTTCATACCATTATAAATACAAAGTGGACAACCTAAATTAAATGAGTTGTATAGTCAATTTGGAGATTACTATTTAAAAAGTTCAGGTCTGGAATTCAGAGATTTCAGGATTGTTATTGAAAAGATATTGCCACTAAAAGATGTATTAATTGCAGAAGACTCTACATTAAGATTGGAGGACAAAATCTTTCTTAATAGAATTGCTTTTTAATTATTTAGAAAGAAAAAACATTCTGCTGAAATTTAACAATTCTTGAGATATTGTACAATTCTATAAACAGGATAACTGGAATAAAGAATCTTTATGTTCTTTGATTTTATTGATATTAATGAGGATGACTAAATTTCAAAAACTGAATTGGAAGGATTATTCCTTGCTTCATTTGTCTAAGATTTGAGAACAAATAAAAGGGTTTATGAAGTGATTGATTAGTTCTTTCCAAACAATGCACAAATTAGAATTAAAAGGGAAGTATCCTAAGAATTCTTTAATAAAGTTAATAGAAGTGATGAATTTCGAACATTTTTAGAAGCATTATTATAGGTTTAAGGAGTAAAATGTTGATACAAAAAATTAAAAGTAAAATTGTCAATCTAACAATGAATATCTGATTATATAGATTTATCATTATTACAAATATCAGTTATATTAATTGGTGCAATAAACAAGAACTTAAAACAAATAATATTGAATATATTTAATAAAAAGATGAATCTCATCTTCCTGACCATGATGCAACTTATTTCTTGAATATGATGATGACTTATTCAATAATAGCGTTTTCTTCATCTCTCTTAGCCTTGGCTTCAGCATAGTCTGCTCTCTTGTTTTCTAAATCGGATTAAGCTTAATCTAAAGCATCTTATGACTCTTAGAGAATAATCTTTGATTTGGCTTATTGGGCTAAGGCAGCTTGAATTTACTAAGATGATAGAGATGATAATTGTTACTGTTGCCAATCTGTCTGCATAAACTTATTTTCTTTCGTATTCAACTTTGAGGTTTGCAACTTCGGCTTCACTCAAAGATACCCATCCTGCTAATTCCCATGAGGCATTAATTTCATTGACTTCAAGAGCATCAAGTGAGGCTTAAAGATTGGCTTCAAGTGATTCTAATACAGACAACACTCTTTCTGCTAATGTGGCTCCTCTGCTTACAGAACCGTCTTCTTATTTGTTGGCCAATTAGAGGAATGATTTTAATTCTTATTCTTAGAATGTGTTACTGTATTGCTTCAATTTATCAGCAACACTGTTAACTTAAACTAATTCAAAGGAATCCCCATTAATAATATATCCTGCAACATCTTATTTGAGTACTCTGACAACTTCAAGTGCTTCTCTGTTTTATTTGATTGATCTAACAAACAATTGATTGCTGAGACACTATTCATCAAGAAGGACTTAAATCTTTCTAGCAATTTCATCTTATCTTTGTTCATTCCAAGCAAGGTAATTTTTGGTGTCGTGGAGTTCTTATTCAAATTGTGCTCTGTTTTCAATTGATTATTAGAACAATTTTTGGTTGAGACTCTTGATTTTTGTGAATTGTTCAATTGTTCTAAAATTAATTAATAAAATTACTATGCTCCAACCCATTCGTCTGTTTCATTCTTTTAATCAGCAGCAAATTAGGCATCCTTGTTTGATTAAATCAAATCATTGAGTAATCCAAACACTGTATCAATAGCATCACTTGCCTTTGTACCTGTCTAGAGGAGGGCAAGAATTTGATCTTTGGTTGATGTTGCTGATGCAAATGTGACCAACAATACAAGGGCGATTGCCAATTTCATTATTTTATTAATATACTCACAAAAACGGGTAATTCAATTAAATATCAATCCAAAAATATAAATAATTAGTATAAATTAAAATATCAGCTCATAATCCCTCATTTAAGAAATTCTCATTGAGAATAACTTCAGAATTGGAAAATTTATGTCTTTGATTCAAAGATAGGGATTTATCCGAAAATTGAATGTATTTCTGTTCATATCAGAAACACTTGATAGAAATGACCGTAATGATTGATCTACTATTGATAACTGCATTGGAACCATCCTAAATATGAAGAATCAATTACTTTTAAGCAAGACTTCCATGTAAATGAGAAAAAACAAAAGTAATTGTTTGGAGCAAAAAGAGTTTAATGGAATATTGATTATTTTTAGATTAGAAATTAGAATATAAACATAATAAAATAAAGTTTATATTTGGATTATATCTATTAATCATTGTAAGGGTTATTCAAAATTGTTATTTTTGTGTATTTATTTTTATGAATATATATAATTTTAAATATAAAATATTAAAATGAATTAAATTCAATAAGAGATCACTATGATTCCTACAAAAATATTTAAGAATGCATAATGGATTTCAAAATCTTTGAGTGTAAACAAACGAAAAAGTCCAAATTATCCATGTAAAAGATGGGGACATACAGCTGTGTTACACGATAAATATATGTATGTTTTCAGTGGTTGTGGGAAATCTGATAATCCCAGATAGTGGGAACAAATCTATAGAATGGATTGCATAACATTTTAATGGGAAAGATTGAATTCACCATCTTTGAAACATCCCCCAGGCAGAGATTCTCATTGTTGCGTATGTTTATAAAATAAACTATATTTTTTTGGGGGATCTAGTAATGAATTAATTCTTGGCGATTTTTGGAGCTTTGATTTCGAAACTTCTGAATGGACAGAAATCTAGGTACCAAAAGATATGGAGGGTAGAGAAGGACATTCTATGGTAGCTTTATCATCAAGATTGATATACATCTATGGTGGATGGGATTAAGTGTAAAATATAATGACAGAATCCCATTGGCTGTATGATATAAAAACAAACAAATTTTAGTAAGTAACTCACTTCACTGGTGATGAAATGATCAAATTAGAAAGTCATACTGCTAATAAAATAGGAGATAGTGTTTATATTTTTGGAGGGTAAGGTCAATAGTCCAATAAACAATTAGTATTTCATAAAGATTTATACAAATTAGATTTTGAAAATCTGAATGATTTGCACTCTAAATTTGATTAATTAGAATCAGGAGATGATAAAGGTCAGATAGACAATAATACGGTTATCAAGATTGAGAAGATCAAAGCAAATGGGTCTTAATAGCCCACTCCAAGAGCATCACATTCTGCAGTTGCTTATGGCGAGAGATTCTTATTTATAATTGGAGGGGAAGGGTATGAAAAAAATGGTATATTTTAGTTATTAATATGACCAATAGAAGGATAATGAGGAGGAGGCAATGGAGTAAGACCAAGATGAAGATTAAAATATTGATGAGGAGGAAAAACCAATATTTCCAAAAAATGATATTTGGATTTTTGAGACACTAATGAGAGTATGTAATAACAAATTAAATTTATAGACATGGAGCAAATTGTAACCAAAATCTAAGACTCCTGTATTCTAACCCAGATTTTCACATAGTTGTATTGTGTATAAGGATTAATTTATAATCTTCGGAGGATTGAGAAGTATGGGAGAAGTATTGGAAGATATAATGGTATTGCATTTAAAGGATAGCGAAAATAATATTTAAAAGTATGCAAGAGATGAAATGAAAAACGTTTGTAAGTATTGTCAGTTAATCTATGGTATTCAGTAAGAGGAGGAAATATCATTTTATAAAACAACAGAAAATAATGCCATCAAATTACCTAAGTTATCTTTAACATTCATTGATGAGTACTATATTTTATGATTTAATAGAATTTCTAAACTTATTTAGTGTCCTATGTCATGCTTTGGTCTCTTCTTGGACAATATCAAATTATCAGAAGCTTCAGAAGTTAATTTTGAATACGTGTTTTTATAAAGAAAAATGAAATACCAAAATACTATTGACGAGATTAAGGATAAAATACCAGTTTTAATAATTCTCGAGAAAGACCCCAAAGAATTAGATGATTTAAACGATTTCCTCTTTAATTTTGATATTTCCAAAAAGAAAAATAAACTAATTAATTAGGATTTAGATTTAAAAAATGAAAGTGAACAAAATTAAATTTTAGAGGAGCAATAATTGCTTAATAAAAAGCAATATGCTTTAAACTTTAAAATTGCTTCATTACGATTGGGAGATAGTGTTCTTATCTGTCACAAATCATAGAATAATTATTATGTTGGATTAATATCAATGAACAATCAACTCAATCCTAATGATGAAACCTTAACATTCTATAACTACACCATGACAATAGCCAATGGCACAGAAAGAAGGATTGACTCACCTGAAAGCAAGTATGTATTATTAAATGCTATTACTCATTTAATAAATGAGGAAGATTTCATACTCAATTGCAGCTATAATTATACCAAAATATTCATCTTTGATCTAGCAAGAATACATGCTCTATAAAAGATATTTGAACTTAGTTTATATACTGATGATATAATCTCAAATTAATCATTAGCATTTGGATTAAAAAAAGAAGAGGCCATCAAATATCCAGATTTCTCTTTCAAAGAATATCTCAAATATTATTCATTAGAGCCTTTGCAATTCAAAGTAACTGTTTAAAATTAAGTGATCAACACCAATCTTAATGTGATAAGTCGTATTGAAAATAAAAATAAGGTTTCTGTTACAAATGAAAAAATACTTAACAAATTGAGTGAATGGGCAGAATCCTATCAATTAAGTAGGCTTACATAAAATAATTTTGGAATTCTCCTTTATTACTAAGGAAGATTGATCAACAGATACAGAAAACAATTGGGAGTCTATCCAAATAATCTTGAACAAAGTGGATACATTAATATATCAAAAATTGTTAAGCCAAATATGACATTTGAAGTAAACAATTTAAATACTCTTAGGGATTTAAAAATTCATACTTAGGTTCTATATTACTTTAAACTCTGGAAGCTTTGGAGGAAGAGTGTGAACCAGAGAGAAGAAAGGAAATTAAAATTTGATGTTATTGTCTATATATCATAATATAAATGTAATAATATAATAGCATTTTATGCATCTCCTTAGATTAATGAAAATAAGTGTTAGTGTGAAAAATTATTAATCAGATATTCAAGAGAGTTATAAATTACATAAATTCTTAATATATTATGAAATTAGATCTAAACTTACATACCCATTACCTTAGTATATATATATAGTAGGAATTTCTCAAATTAAATAAACAAACTTTGCATAATTGTAATGGATCAAATTGTTAAAAGATTAAGATGGACTTTAACATCTAAGTATCTTCCATTTCAACTCTAATGTAAATAAACTATATCTGTACCTTAATTTTAAATTCTGCAAGTAATAGTAAAGAAATAATAGTCAATCATAAATGATAAATTAATTTTATGTTTTATGTATTGCATCGAAGATATTCTCCTTAATATTAGAAAAAAATTATAATTACTGCCATAAAATAATTATTTCAAAATTAATAAATATTTTTCAAATACTCCTTCTGATAAATTTCTTTGTAAATAGTAAGAGTTTAGTTTGAATAATTAATTAATTTGAAATTGTTTTGCTACCACTTCTTAAAAAAGAAAATTTTCAAAGTATCCCTTCACTCATAATATTTTAATTATTAATACAAATGCAAATAAATTGAGAGATAAACATAGTCTAAGATATTTTATAATATTAGAAATAGATAATTATTGTATAAATTAAGTTATCAACATCTTCTTTATGCTTTTTCGCTATTTTACAGGGGTTTAATATATTACTATTAAGGATAGCAAGCAAGATGATAATTTAATCCAGGAAGGTAATTAGGAACCTACTAGAAACTACGGCTATTTAAATTTGGTGGAAAATTTAAGATGGATCTTTAGGGTACACATTAAGAGGCTCCTTGATACTGCTATTAAGAGCCATTGAATGGATAAAGTTGAAAATAAGAATTTATATTTTGGCGATTCTCTTGAAAAGTCAATTAATTTTATGGAAGGGAATCTTCAATATTTTAGTTTAATCGTATATTACTTAAGAGATTGTTATAGCTAGACAAACTTGGATTACTTACATGACCAAGCAATCCTTAGTTTAACTCTATGTCTTTTTTGAGATAATCTTAGGTTCTGGAGAATTAATAAATCTATTCCTAAGTGGCAAAATAGATTTTATTTTTCTCTTTATTAATTAAGCATGATTATAATTATAAATACTCATCTTAAGAGATTTAAGTAAAATCCATAATTTACAAGGTTAAGGTGTTTTATTCTTATTACTTCTAGATATTTTCTAATTATTTATAATAATTAAAATTATTATGTTCCATATAGTTATTATCCATATGTTGAATGGCAAGATTGTCATTATTTAAAACAAGATCTTTCTGTTGTTACTAAATAATATTTTTGAATTAACGAGTTGATGAAATCTTTTTTGAAATTTAATCAAAATCTTCTTATTTCACATCATAAGGATCTCCACCATCTTCTTTCATTCTCCACTCTATCTTTTTGATAATTTAATTTATAATTCTTAACTCTTCTAAATTTAATTCTTCATCAGAAGGCTTAGATGAAAAAGAATCTTCTAATTCAGAATCACTTTCCTAATTAGAAAAAGGTTTAACTTTATTGTTTCTTTCCTTTCTCATCAAACAATTAAATCTATTTTTAACATTATTTTCACTTCTCTATAGTTTTAGTGATTTTGAAATTTAAGCCCATTTTTTTCCATTCAAAATGGCCAATTTCATAAGCTCTAAATCTTCAAATAATTACCATGGTTTTCTTAATTTTAATTATATTCTTACCTATTAATAGATGGATTCAGATGATTATTCCACCTTTCCCTGCACTGTTTCCCATTTCTATGAATACTTTTACCAGTACGTTTGTTAAGAGTTGTAGCAATTTAACTCCATTTATTTCCTTTATTTAATCTCTAATATTCTTGAATAATTAATAGGAGTGCATCATCTTCTTCCTTAGTCCATGGAGCTTGTTGTAATGGTAATCTCAACATTTGAAGCCACTTTTATTTGCAATGAAAAGCATCTCTTCTTTACATCATTGAAGATATTTTGATCCAATCAGTCTCACTCTATAAAATTCATATCAACAAATTTAATACAATATTCTTAAAATCTCGCTTTTGGAAGGCAAAGTATTTTCCAATCAGCCAAATTAGTACTTTTTTATCGTCTTCAGTCCAGTTCTTCTTCAATTTATTTGCACCTTACTGGATACTTGCCTGGTTGTTCTTTTGAATGTTCAGAATATAATAGTTTTCTGGAAATTAATCGATCCCAAGATTATATAACTCCTTCATATAAGTGAATCTCACATTAGTAATGTCTTTAACTTTATCGTAAAAATCTTTAAATTTGATGAAGAAATCATCCATTATTCAATTTTTCAGAAATTATAAAATAATCCAATTTATGAGTCTTCCATTAATTATGTATTGTTTAATAATTTTATAATCATTTTTAATTTCATGAGACAAGGATTGGTACGATTTTGTTGCAAATTTACATTAGACCTTGAGCTTATGAAAATGATAGGTACTCAAGGAGTTGGTTAAAGTATTTGTGTGTTACATATTACAATTAAGACCAAGTGTCTTACAAAATATTTATATTTGCTTTTGGAAGTTAGACAATCAGAGAATTCTGTTTATTATTTTTTGAGATCATAACAAATTAAGACTCCCTTCTCTTACTAAGTTATGAAAGGTTTTCCATTCAAATACTTAATTAAAATAGGCAGAAGCAGATTTTGGAGATAAAACAGAATGACAGAAATTTATAAAATCTAATAAAAATTTACAACCATTCAAATTTATGATGTTTTTTTTTTTGTCCAAAAAATGAATAAAATATGCAGAAATATTGTGATAACCACTATATTGAAGGTTCAATCTATTATCTAACTTTACTTAGTAAAAATTGTCTTATGAAGAATAATCATAGGTATAGTTAAAATTAGGACAGAGTTGAAATTGATATCCATATATAATAAGGAAACTTAAAAAAATTTGAACCAATTCAACAAATAATAGAATTATTTATTATGAAATACTTGGAATTCTATTTCAGTTTACGTATTATCATAAATTATCTAATTGTAGTATTATTATGATATTGAAGTATACATTGTCTATTGCGATCTAAACGAAATAATACGATAACACAATTACAGTGTTTATACAATATACTATCTTGGTTATTGAAATTATCATTATATGAAAGGATTAAATTATAATATTAGAAAATAAAATTATTAATGTTGAATAAAGTATGGCTATAATTTCAAAGTAATAACTCAATATGTGGATTTTCTTAGTATTATTTATGGTGTGCTCTCAAATTACTATTAATATCAATTTGAATTATAAGATAATTTGAAAGTAAAATAAGAGAGATTTGGTAAAGAAATTGAAAAAATCATGAATTTCCTTAATAATTGAACATCTGAAGGTGAGATAGAATAGGGCTCTGAATTTTAAGCACCTATTAATTTAATCTATCGAGGATGAGACTACCTAATGTTTCATTATAAATTGGCCATCAATTTAATTGTACCTTTCCTTGAAGTTTTCCTATAGTGGAAGGAGTAGGCCAAAATTTAAATTATTTTGTGTTGTCAAATTTGAACTCAAAAGATTAAGTTTATTTATATTAATAATAATTACAATTTATAATTATATACTAAATTAATTGCCATTTTTAATTACAAAATATTAAAAAATTTAAGTGTTCCTTTTTTCACAAAGATACTAGTTTTTGGTATCAGTGATGCAATTTAAAATCATCTTGTATGGGAAGCAAAAATTAATTAACTTAAGATTCAATTTCAGAAAACAAAGAGAGAAGCAGAATGAAAATAACTTGATCAATTATATATGAAAAATTTGTCATTAATAAAAATAAATAATGTTTTCTATTAAATAATATTGATTTTTGAAGCATTATATATTAACCCGTGAGTGTTTTTTTATTTACAAATTTTAGCTTTCAGATATTAAATTTATTATCGTTCGATGCAGTACTAAATTTGTCTTAAACTATTTACGAATTCTTATCTATTTAAATTTATGCTTAAACGGATAAACGAACTTATAAATGACATCGATACAATTTTTATATACCTTTTAATATAATTATTTGTAATCCCCATATTATTAATAAATACTATTTAATTATCAAAAATATTAACTTATTATTAGTAACTTTATATTACTAATCAGTTTCAGAATTTACTAGAATGAAGACGATATTATGATTCTGTTTGTAAGATTTGCAGTCTAATTCTCCACAAGAAACCAGAAAGTAATAAATGATATTAATCGTTATTATTTACAATAGTAATAATAAAGTTTCTTTTCAGTATTAAATAATAAAATGAATCCCCAAAAAATTACTAAAAATAAAAATGATCATCATGTGCCCAGTAATTTTGAAATGGAGGATTTAATGGGTAAGGCTCTAATAATAGTATTTATAGTGGTTTCTCAAGAGATTGCAATCAAAGAGTTCTATCATTTTATTGAAAAAACATCTTTTATTTAAGAAAATTTTGAAATGTTATCTAAAGTTGGTGATAATTTAAGGTTGGATTTTAAAGATTGGCCGACAGCTGAATAGGCTATTGCATTGTTTGAGCTTAATCTGTACTGTAATATTCAAATTTTAAGGTAAAATGGAAGAAAGAAATCCATAAAGTGGAGTGAGACCGAAAAAAAGTTGTTTTATTGGATAGTAATCCGATATTGTTTACATAAAGGGTTGAAGGATAATAGATTTATAGTAAATGATTTATTAACTTTACAGAAATATGAGGAATGGAGAGAAATTTCTAAAATAGTTTTAGGAAGGAATGCCCATTAGTGTCGATTGAAATGGGAATAAAGATATCGAGTTCCATTATCTTAAATACCTTGGACAGAATAAGAGGATTAATTGTTATTTTCAGTACATGAGTAAGAAATGATTTGATATTTAGAGAGTTTATGAAATCGGGCAGGGAGAACAAATGGTCCCAAATAGCAAAAGAAATATTCAAGCGATCCTCAACCAAGGTGTTTAGATAGCCGAAATAATGTAGAGAGAGATGGATAAATAGATTAGATCCAAACATATCTAAGTATCAAATATATATAAATTAGTGTGCCTTGGGATAAATAATAAGAGATCGATTTATTGAAGATGATTTTGATAAGAGGTAAGAAATGGTCTGAATTATCCATCCTATATGGTAGGGCCAGAACTGAAAACACTTTAAAAAATAAATATAATTCATTGATAAAGAGAGAGATTTAGAAATAAGAGATTAATTGTATTAATCCAATCTTATTTGAGAAAGTATAAACTTTAAGATAGAGTTATTCAAAAAAATATGGTATAGCAACACCGATTGAAGAAATAGACAACTTTGAATGCCAATTTATTCTCTTAGCTATTAAAAATTTATATGTGGAACTTTATTTATAAGACGGAAAAATTGCAGAGGCATAAAAGATAAATAATGACGAGTTCTTTGATTACCTTCCCGATGACTATTTATAGGTTAACACTAATTAAAGATTTTTATATAAGAAGAATTTGAATATTAAAAAGGTTGATTCCAATTTTTATGCAAAAAACGATCATAGCAGTCTAGTTATTTTTAACAAACGAAATAAAAGAATCTATTTAACTCCATACAATGTATTGGATTTCTCAGATATTATACTAAATACTATACTAAAAAGAGTTAATCTTGACAATAATGCTCTTAAAAATGTAAAAGAATAGAGTTCTTCAATAAATCAACCTAATTTCATACTCGCAAATCAATAAAACTGCATAATTCCTTTTTAATAGATGCTACATAACTATGTATTTGTTCCAAACTGTTTTGCATAATCAATATCATCCTAAACAAGTAATTCATTTTAATTTTGTACTTTGCAATAAAGCCAGTAATATGATTAATTGAGAAGTATTGATTTAAGCTATTTAAACAATTAAAAAGATCTGATTAATTCTATAGGAGTAGATATCAAAACTGTAGATTCAAGCGATGAGATTTGACTTCAAATAGTGTATAAATTTTAGATAAATTTATTATTCTATGTATACTATTATAAAATAATTCCATTGATTAACACAGCATTATTTATATATATATATTTCATAAAGTAGAATATTTGAAGATAAATTGATTCATCTCAGTTTATTTATGTGTTCATGCTAATTATAATTTTGGTTCAATTTCAGTAAGCATCCTTTTTAAATTACTATATTTATTCACTTAGACTGTTTTATGACATGGTAAACTATCCTCCATAGCAGACTTTCCTTTTTTGTTTAATTTCTAAGTTTATTTCTACTCCAATTCTTAATTTATTTAATCCTCTGCATCACAAATATTTTCATTTTTATTAAAATAAAATTCTTTTAGAATGATTTCTTTAGGAAAGTTTTCTTATACGCTTTTTTGTAAAGGCTTGATAAATTACAAAAATTCAGCCTCCCCCTTTCCAAACTCTTTTTCATCAAAATTGAGAGCAAAATAATCAGGAACATATGGTGGACGAATCTTTTTAGAATTAATATCAGTATATAAATTTGAATCTCCCCATTAAGTCATCCAAGGGTGTTTTAAAACAGTATCGATGGAATCAATTCTATCATTAGGATTTTTTGCTAATAGATTTGTCAAAAGATGTTTAATTGATGATGATAATTATAATTAAGGTGGGAAATTTAATTTCTAATTTAAAATTCTCTAATAGATTTCTTCAAGATTTCTTGAATAGAAGGGAGGGAGCCCTGTTATTAATTCGTAAAGCAATGCTCCTAAACAATACAAATCTAATTAAAAAGTATGCCCACATTTTAATAGCATTTCTGGTGCCATATATTCAGAGGATCCACAAAAAGAGTATGCATTTTCAGTTTCAATTATGTTGGGCTTAGACAATCCAAAATCAGCTATTCTGATATGTCCATCCATATCAATTAATATATTTTCAGGTTTAATATCTCTGTAAATAATGTTGTTATAATGCAGAGTTTTCATTCCTAAACAAATTTCAGAGAAATAAAAAAAAGCATCTTTTTCACTCATTCTTTTAATCTATATAAATATAATTTAGTACTTTTCTCAGTAAAAAGAAGAGTTCACCTCCTGAACAATATTCTAAGACAAAGACAAAGAATCTTCTAGATTCAAATGCGTAATACATTTTAACTACAAAAGGATCGTCTATCAAACACATGATATCTCTTTCATTTTGAATGATTTTTGATTTATTTTATTAAATAATTGGACCTTTCTCGATCAATTTCATAGCAAAAAATTTCCCTGTTTATCTTTATCTAACCAAATAAACTTTCGAAAATCCGCCCATTCCAATACATCTTATAAATTCAAAATCTCTGAGACTCACTCTGGAAGGTTAAATTTCATTCTCAATTTCAAAAACAGGTTCTATTAACAAGGGTTTTATTGAACATTAATCTAAAATTAATAAAGATTTTTCAGTCATAGACAAAATATAGTCTGCTGGGATGGATAAATTGCAAGTTTAAATTCCTATGATTTTTTATTTAAAGTTTTCCAAATTTTTATGGATTTCTTACTTAACAATATCGACCAAATGTTGAATAGTTTGGGTGGATATATCAACTTATAATTTTATCTTGAGCATTTTGTATTGTAAAACCAGTAGAAGAATGGGTTTCTTCCTATTAATATTAATTGAAAAATACCTTGCAGTAAGGGTTTCATTTGATTGAAATTCAATAGGAGCTTCTTTCAGAGTATTAAATTAGAGAATAGGTGTTATTGCTATTCTATTATTAATGGAATGAGTATCATTCTTATATAATGAATTCTTCTAAGTGCTCTATGGACGAAACGAACCTTGAGATTTATGAAATTAATTGTTATATAAGGTCTCTAGTTATTATTTTTATTAAATGTCTAATACAGGTATGTCTGTATGTTATTTTAGAGATAAAGAATTCTTTTTTAATGATTTTGTTTGCAAGTTTTCTTAAAACTTCTGATAAAATTATTAAATCAATGTATGCTCTTTATTTTCTTCAATTTCTATTCCTATTCCTAAATTTTAGAATAAAGGATTTTAATTAGAATAAGGCTAAGTTTTTATGTGATTGGAAAACTAGTGTTGATATTTACTTTTTAAATTGGATTGGAAAAATATTGGATTTGAACTTAAATTTTGTGGAGAGATAAAGCCTTTGGATATAAGGAGATCTTATTATTGAAATTTTCGAATAGTTTTCCTCAGATAATAGTTCGAATATATTACTATTATTATAATTATTGAAGATTAGAAGAGGAACCATTCTAACTAAGTAAAGGGCGTTATTCAATAGAAACTTGTTTGTTAGTCTATGAAAATTTAGAATTTGATTACTTTGAAATCAAATTAAAAAGTGGGAGATTTAGAGACTTTAGGTTAGTCTCTTTGGGTAGGATAAGCCAGAAGTTTCGAAGGGGATACTTCTGATGAATAAGTTTTGTGATGTAATCTTTTGGGAGGCATATTAATAAATGAATTTATATATATTAATAATCATAACAATGGTTTCGACATTATTTCTGCACCTTTGGTCTTTTCAACAACAAAATTGGCAGTTACTTATCCAACTCCTAAGAATATCATAAATATTATTCCAATTTAGATTGTGAACTCAGGATATAGTGCAATTGCAGGGCCAGGACATAACCCTCCTATGCCCCATCCCATTCCAAATATAGCAGCCCCAAGCACAAGCTTCAAATCAACTGTCTTATTAGTTGGAAGTTCGAATTTGGTATTGAATACTGGTTTGTCCAAGATTCTAAAAGTTATGAAATTGACCCCCACAGCTGTAATCATTACAAAAGCAAGACTTGCTAAAGATACAAAAATAAATTACGATCCCAAATATCACTAATAGTTAAGAAGCTAATAATCTTCAATCTCTGAACCATTCCTGAGATAACCAATCCTAGTCCAAAAATGAATCCAGTTAGAGAAGCCACGGCAACATCAATTATCTTTGATTTATCTTATATATTTTATAACACAAAGCATAACACTATGAGTGCTACACTTGTGCATAAAAATACTGTGGATATAATGGAATAGTCATAAGCAGAAAAGATGTTATCAGAAGGACCATAGAAGTCTTTATTTATTACTAAAGGAAAAGTCAGAATTTATTCTTACCCCAATATCTGAAGGTTGCAGTTATGAATCCCATTCCCATGAATGTACCTACAGCTACAAATGATCTTATGGACAATCTAGGCAATCCACATACTCCATGTCCACTTGTACAACCATTCCCCATCTTTGTTCCAAAACCTACTAAAAACCCACTTAAGACACTTCCTCCCCAACCAATTCCTGTCAACAATTATTCTGAGTTATATGAGGGGGATGCACCATACAAAATAGATGATTATCTAAATTAGTTTAAATATTTATACCCGTTGTCATAAATTTTGAACATTATACAGGAGGCCAACATTACGGAACTCATAAGACTTAATTTCCAATTCCAGCTTCCTTTATCAAAAGTTATCAAACTATAGTATATTCCACTAAATCCTGTTACTCTACCCATCAACATGTAATGGATGCTTGTCGCCAATCCTATCAAAAGTCCTCCAATCAAAGCTAAGTATACATCTTCTGGATTCCAACAGATATTATTGCAATAACTCATTTAATTTATTAAAAGATTTATTTGCCTTTTTACAATTTTAATAGTTAAATTAACTATGCATCACATTTATTTTTAGATTGATTTCTTATTTCCTATATTATTTAATTACCAATTCATTTATAATAGAATCATCTATAAAGTATACTTTTAATATGGTTATCATTATCTAATATTAAATTTAATTCATATTAAAATTTGAATATTTTATTATTTATGATTGAAAGAAATCGAGTTTCTAGTCAATAAAAGCTTCCAACCTTAGACTTATCGTCTACAAATCGAGGAACCGCAGACAAGTTGAAAGTTAATGTAAAAAAATTTCCCATTTAAATAGATTACAATTTAATCAGGAGATGCTTAGTTCATCAGTTTTCGATCTTTAAATGAAAAAAATCCTAGATTTCCCTTACCTCACAATTCAGTTGATTCCTCCTCTAATTTGAATTCAAGCATTTAGAATGATTTAAGTTAGAATAAGAAAATAGTTTAATTATTGGGCAATACCCTCTACCGCTAGAAATTTGAATATTAGGAAGTCCAAGAAACCTTAATAGTAATTCATTCAAATATGTTTAGAAAAAAATGAGAACAATGACTAGAATGTAAAAATATGTAAAGCGAATACCCCATAAAGTAGAACCATTTTAGAACCTAGAGAAAATTGCTTAAATAACCCAATAATAATAAGTAAAAAAAAAAGTTTCATTTCCAATGTTTTATAACGGTGCCTTCTTCACCAAACTTTAGCATACTTGGATACCAACTGTAAGAGAAAATACAATGGCAGCAGACTATTAAAAGAGAATATACATGTTTGGTGGAATAGGAAGTGAAGTCTTTGGAGATATGATTGAATATGAAATATAATTTGGGAAATTTAGAGAACTTAAATAAAAAGGAGATATTCCATTAAATAGATATGGACATTGTTTGCATTGCATAGGCTACCCTATGCTTTTATCTACTTAATTTTCCTACGACAATCAATAATAAAATCCTATTAATGGAAGGCAACTAATTATTTACGGAGGAGAGATGCAATTTAACTCTGCGTTAAAAATTAGAGAAAATTTGAGTGACACCAGAATCTATGATATTGAAACAGAAACGTGGCAATTACTCAAACCAAATATAGAGTGTATACCAGAGAGCAGACGATCATTTGGAAGTTGTATCATAGGACGAGGCTTATTAATTATGGGAGGCATTAGAAGTAGATTCACAGTATTTAATGATCTTCATTATTTAAATCTAAGTAATTAACTTAATTAATGTAGGTTTATGCAAATGGGCTCCTCTTGAAACATAAAAGAATCCTTTTATAAAAGGGCTTGCATTTTAGTAATTAATTTGTGTCTATAACAAACCTTAGTATATCTTCGAAAAAAGAGAAACACGGTCTAAATAATTAAAAAATTAGGATTATGAAGGAGTCTATTGTTTTGGTGGATGCTTTATTGATGAAAATAAAAACACTTAATATTATAGCAATTTTTTAGCAATTTTGAAATTCGATCAACCATTTAATAATTGGGTTATACCTGAAATTACTGGTAAACCTCCCCTTCCCAGAATCTAACATACTGCTTCCTATATTCAAGATATGAATATTATTGTCATCTTTGGAGGAAGAGATGATTAAAAAATCAACCCATATTTTAATGATTTATTCGCTTTCAAAATCTTAGATCGAGAATGGATCCAGCTAGACATCTTTGGGAGCATTCCTCGACCAAGAGCTGCACATACTGCTTCAGCTTACAAAAGCTAGATTTTATATTTTGGAGGTGTTAATCTAAATGGGTATGTAGAATTTTCTGTAAATATTGCTGAATTTAGTTAAAATTAAATTCGTTAATTGGCAGCTGAATATAGGCCGAATGACTAAAGAAATGATTAAGAATTAGAAAAGGAAGAATAATAACCCTAGTCTATTATTAATAAACAATATTTTTCTTTACATTCAATTAACCCTGCACCTTTAAAGAAACTAACTAAAGCTGAAGAATTAGACTTGTAAATAAAACAACTGTCCTTTCAAAATTTTCCAAAGCATCTTAAATGAACTGTAATTTATATAATTATTATATAAGTCATTCATTATTTAGAGTCTTCATATAAAATAGTCTTAGTTTCAGCGCTTTTAATTTTACTTTATAAAAAAAACTATACTTTTTCATACTTTAAATATATTTTTAAACTTTTTTTTGATATTTAGAATTAAAATTTTCCAATTACTGAATAATGCACTCTACATTCCCTTAAGGAAAGTAATTCTCATAGGATTAATATTGATCGCATTAAATTGGACAATGAAACCATTTATTATTACTTATTAAATCATCCAACATATTAAACTCCTTAACTTAATTATTCGATTCCCTTTTATTTAGTTTCAAACAAGGAAAATCTTAATCTTGATTTGTAATTTGATCTACTTTGATTAATACTCTGTTCAAGGAACCTTCTGCAAACAATTACTTTGCTTACTCATAGTCTCCGTCATCCAGCATAATACCTGTAGTTTTTTTATGCTCAGTGTTTAATTCAGAGTAATTATTACTTTTTGACCTCTGAGCTGCTATGGCAACTTGTAAGGAATTCGAAACCTGATAACCGTAATTATCTTCTAAAAACGAATTAACTTATTAACTAATCTATTAATATTAAAATAGTGTATTAACTTTACTTCGTCTTCTAATAACTTTTAACCTGTTTGTTTCATTTGATTATTAAGCCATTTTCAGAATCCTTTATTCTAAATCTGGCTTGTATGTTAGAATGGGGCAATCAATTTCTTAATGATTGTATCTATCACAAAATTGACATTATATATCAAATATTCGATAATTCGAATTGAAAATTATTTAATCTTTGATATAATGAAATTTTTCAAAATCTTTTCTGTTAAATTGCAAAATATCTAGAAAATCTTATCTACTAATTTTATAGATGTTAGAAAAGCCAACGCTGATAGCAGAAGACTTAGGTGGAAAATTAGTAAAAAATTAATATATCCCAAAAGGTTAATTTAATTACAGTTTTGTGAATTTCATCTTGCTCGATTCATCAATAATATCAACTTCCCCCTCCTTGATGAAATACAGGTTCTTAGCAGAAATTTCACCTCTTTTATAAATATAATCGCCAGGTGTATAATTTACTAATTCCAACATTTTCGATAACTCTTGCTAAGTTCTTTTAGAAAAATGGTTGATCACAAATTTATCTTTATTGATAACCTTAGTTTATATATCAGTATTTAAATCTTATTATAGATTCTTAGGTAATAAGGAAATTAAATTATTAACATCCTCTTAATTCTCATTTTGTTCCTATTCTATATAATATTTCAAATAATTTCTAATTCTGCTCTAAATTTAAGGTTCTACTTAGTTCTTACTCATAAATGTATTCATTTACAGCAAAGATCTTTTATATTTTATTTTTGAGTCTTGTAGATTCTTTAAGATCATTCCTATTGAATTCATTGAATAAGCAAAAACTCCACTGGACAAAAACATAATAATATCTACATAAATAATTTCTAACTAACTTTGTGCTGTTATATCACCGTATCCAACCGTAGTCATTGTCATTGTTGCCCAATAGAAAGAATAATTATATTATTTCCATAGAGATTCATTGATTAATTGATATCTTATTAGCCATGAAGTTTCTTCAGATTTTATTCCAACATAATGCCAAAAACATGCTACAATATGTGCAAAAAAATATATTGAAAAGATCAAACTTAACAAATCCATTAAAAAGCTTGAGGACCCTTTAAAAAAGGCAAGCAAAAAATAATCAGATAAATACTTTTAAATCTTCCTGTATGTTACAATTAACTAACAAAATGTAATGAATTCACCCAAGATTTAATATTATACCAAATCTTATTAAATCATAATCCATAAAGCCAAGTTCATAAGGTCATTGCCTGCAGTTGTTTAAGTATATTATTCGATCAATTTTCTTCTCTTTTTAATCACAATTCCTTGGATTATGATTCCTTTATTTAAGGTTACAACAATATCGCTGATTAAGAATATAATAATGAATAATTAAAGGGCTGAAAATGAGATCAAATCAGATTAAGATTAAAAGGATAATAGGAATGGACTAAGCCAGAGGATCATAAAATTAATAATTGTTCCAATTGCATCCCATATGATAATAAATCCACTTGTTGGTGAAATCACAGGTATGCTTGATTAAGAAAATGTTGCTTTAAAATTAAAAAATTTAAATACCTAAAATTGGTTATTTTATGCTTTATTTAATATACTTATCATGAATCAGCTATTTTTTATTTTGTCTTAACACATATGAATTTGTAAACAGATTATTAATAAATTGTTATTTCATTCTTTCAGCCTTCAGAGCCTTTAAAAAGTTTGTATGAATCCAGATACTATCAAATTTAGTCTTTTTCAATGTTGTATTAACAGTATTAATTTCACTAGTCATTTTAATTTTTTAGTTTAGTTATTCCTATAGAATCATTCTAGGTTGTTTAGAATTGTTGCGAGTATGTGATTTGCTTCGATTTTAATCAACCATTTATCTACTACTATCATCCGAGATTTCAGATAATCTAGAAGCTGACTCACTCTTGCTGCTGATTTACCTAGTAAACATTCGAGGATTAGGATTAGATTTCAAATGTGAATTATGATGTTACATATTAATTATAATTATAATTCATCTTTTTTTTCCACATTTGCAAGTGGAATCTCTAAATCCTTTAATTATTCACACTTTTTTTGAATCCTTAATCTGATTCTGAATAAGATTTAACGAAAAAATAACAAATATAATATTCATAAAATTCTGAATCTAATTATCCTTAAATAATGAGCCATTGTTTCTTAATTCTTTAACTAAATAATCTCTGCTTTACTTTATAATTTAAAATCCAAACTGAATTCGAACACTCTCATTCAAAATTCTTTTTTAGACCCTCATTAATATTGCTTTTAACTTTTCTTTTTCTTATCTGTCTAACAATTATTTTAACTTTAATAAAATGATTTTCAATGTCTAAATTTATTCTAATTATGTTTCTTAATTTTTTTACGTTTCTGATGACTTTTTATTTTCTTAAATTAATATAAGTCAATAATCAATGTCTTAAGGGTCAAATTCACGTCTTAAAGATATCTGGGCAAAAAAATTTTGTTTTTAGTTAAATTAGATTAGATTTTTTTCAAATAATGGTTTAATCAATTATCTTAGCTTCAGTACATTCCATTAACCTTAAATTTATTGGGATTATAGCTTATTTAATAGTTTCAACATAACAGATATATTAGGTACTATTTATTATAAATCTCAAGAATTTAAAATAAATTTAAATATAAAATTTCGAAAGTTAGTTAATTATTGAGGCTATCTAGAATAGAATCTCAATATTAATAATGTATTATCAAAATTTAAAGGTTTTAAACTTTGTTCTGTATTTATAATCTGCTAAAAACTAAAATTACTCCTTTAAATTATATGCAATATCCTTATAATTTTATAAATTCATATATTTACTAAATATTTCTGAAGGCTAATTTAAAAATAGAAATTCAACTATTCTTGGAAATGAGTGAAATTTCAGCATTATAATAAATCAATTTTGAAATAAACCAAGAATTAATGTGTACTTGAGAGGAATAATGATAATCAGGAAAGTATTGTTTAATATCTGAAACTCATATCCCAATATTTAAACGAAACAAAAATTGCTTTGAGTACAATAATCTAAATGTTCTCCAAAGCTTGATATTTCATTTAATAATTCTGGATTAATAAGTCATAAAGACAAGAAGGCTTCACCAGAAAATTTTAGATTACTTCAACAATTAACCTGTTATAAGAGAAGATATCCAAATCATAGGAATGATATATAATAAATGAAGTTTCCACACAAGTGCAAATTTCTACATTTATCTTTTGTAACTTTAAGAAGTTGATTTAATGAATTGTATCATCTGAACTAGATCTTTATTATTCGAATTTACTTAAACTCCAATATTATTTGCTAATCCATTATCTATATTATAAAACATTATTTTATTTAATGAGTAATAAAATCTATAAAAATAATATCAAAAGCCTTTATTAAACACAAATATCACGTGCGAAAGATATATTTAAAACCTTAATTAACTATCAATTCCAAATAAATTCAATTCAATATTAAAAATATGAAGAAGCAATTCAAATTGATAATTGGGAAAGTTAATACACTTAGAATATCAAATAAAGGGATAAACGCAAAAAAACATATCAAAATAGTTAAAAACACTAAGATTTTTCTATTTAATAAAGTCATGAGGATCCAAATGATTTTTATAGAAATGGTAAAGAACTCCTACATTATTCATTAGCAAAGATTTTAAGAAATTTGAAAAGGTTTCAGGAGGCATTAGAATATTATGACTGTGCTATATAAAAAAATCCTTAAAATCCAAAAGCCTATAATTGTAAAGGTAAGTCAAAATATATTTTTAGGCAATACTTTAAAACAGTTGAGTAGATATGAAGAGGCGTCATAATACTATGATCATGCTATTGAAAAAAATCCTTAAAATCCAAAATATTATTTCAATAAGGGTAAAAATAAAATCAAACAAAAGCAAATATATTAGATGACATGAATAAATTTGATGAAGCACTAAAATACTATGATTAAACCATTTAGCTAAATCCTGAAGATCCCAACGTTTACAATAATAAAGGTAAGTTTACAATCAATTAAAAGCATTTACATTAAGAAAGAAATTCATGTTTGAAGAAGCATTAGCAAATTATGATTTGGCAATTTTAAAAAATCCTCAAAATCATACATTCTACATCAGCAAAGGTATAAATAAAAATATTTCTTAAGCAAATACATTATATGATATGAAAAGATTTGAATAAGCATTAGTATACTATGATTATGCGATTTAAATTAATCCTGAAGATCCAAAAGCATACAATAATAAAGGTATTGATCATAGATTAGTCGTAAGCAAATATTCTAAAAGAGATGAAAAGATTTGAAGAAGCATTACAGAATTATGATTTGGCAATTTTAAAAAATCCTGAACATCATGAGTTCTATGGAAATAAAGGTATAAATAAAAACATTTCTTAAGCAAATACATTAAAAGATATGAAAAGATTTGAAGAAGCATTAGTATAATATGATTATGCGATTTAACTTAATCCTGAAGATCCAAAAATGAATATCAATAAAGGTATTATTATAAGTTATTGATAAAGCAAACACATTAAAAGTGTTGTTTCGGAATAAGGAAGCATTATAATAATACGATTATGCAATTTAAAAAAATCCTGAAGACCCAAAGGTTTACAATAACAAAGGTAAAATTGCCACTGATCTTTAGCAATAACTTTAAATCAGATGAATAGATACGAAGAAGCATTAGAATGTGAAGATTGCGCCATTTCCTTAAATCCTGAGAATTCAAATTATTACTCGAATAAAGGTAACAAATAGAACATAATTTTGAAGCAAAAACATTAATGAATCTGCTTAGATTTGAAGAAGCAAATCAAAACTATGATTTAGCTATTTAGAATAACCCTGAAGATTCAGACTTATTAAATAATAAAGGTAAAATTTAAATAAATTTACTTAGCAAATGTATTAGTTCGTTTGGGAAAATATGATGAAGCATTAAAATTTTTTAGATTATGCAATTAGTAATAACCCAAACAATGCACTTTATTTTTTTAATAAGGGTAATAAAATCTAAAGAATTATGAAGGAAATGTATTAGAAGATCTGGGAAGATTTGATGAAGCGTTATAATACTATGACTATGCAATTTAGTAAAAGCCTGATGATCCAACTTTTTATTGTATTAAAGGTAGAAGTAATAATATTTGTAAGCAAATATTTTAATCAAGCAGAATAAATATAAGGAAGCATTATAAATCTGCAATTATGCGATTTAGATAAATCCTGAGGATCCAAACATATTAAGTATTAAAGGTAAAAAAATACTAATTTAAGGAACTGCATTACAATAGATGGGGAACTTTGAAGAAGCATTGCAATATTTTGATAAAGCTATTTAAAAAAATCCAGAAAAATCACTTTATTATAATGATAAAGGTAAAAGTTGCCAATTTATAATGAGCTAATACATTAGATAAAATGGGAAGATATGCACAAGCTTTGTAAAATTATGATTATGGAATTTAGAAAAATCCTGAAGATACAGAAATAATGTTTAATAAAGGTAAAATTTATAAGTCATTGCAAGCAAATACATTAATTCGATTAAATAAGTTAGAAGAGGCGTTAAAATATTTGGATTTAGTCGTTTAAAAAAACCCCTAACAATCTTGAATATTGTGTCGGTAAAGGCTTAACATTATTTAAATTGAACAAATTAAAAGAAGCATTACCATGCTTCAAATTCGCTCTTTAAAAAAATCTTAATGATACCTTAAAATAATAGCTTGAAAGAATAATTCTGATAATTGAAGAAACAATTGCAGATGAGATAATACCTTAGTAAATTTGAAATATTTTTATTAAGAAATATTATATTCTTTACAAAATTTGAAATCTTTTCATAAGCTATGATGTTTGATGATTCCATTGTTTCACTTATAACTTATTATACTGTCTTTGATAACTGAATATCTAGAAATATATATAGTAGTATTAAATATGTGAAAGAACAGTAGGACTAGTCCAAAGTTAATATTTCTGACAATTGTATCATCAAAAATTTGTTGACATGTTTTTAAATTAATAAAATAACTGCCTGCAGATATTGTGCTCCTATTATTTTGGAACTAACAATTTGTTTGCAAAACTTGTTATATAGCAGTAAACTATACACATCAAGACAGTTTCGCTAATTAATCAGGAGGAGTAGGAAGATGACTTAATAAACTCAAACTATGAAGGAATAAGTTGGTTTTTTAATTTCTGAATTAATAACATCCTCCCTCATTGAGAAGTAATACTATATCTTTACAAAAGGAGACATTATCATTAGAAGAGACTTTTACTACTGAATTAATATTGAGTACTTCAGTTCATTGATACACATATAACTATTCAATAATATTTCGATTGGGCACACTAAATTTAAATTATGGAGTGTTGTCTTAAAATTCATTGAATTATGAGTCAATAAAAAGCCAGTCTCATCTATTTAATTCAAAATACCTAGATAATTGAAATAAACCTGATGTAAAAGAAGCTTTGAGATCGAGCATCTGATTTATTTAAGAATCTTTTACAGGAAATTTTATTCTTAAACTTTTTCTGCAATCGCCTATTCTATAATAGTCACCCTCATTACCTAACATCTGTTCATTTTACACTAATTTGTGCAGAGTTCGCAGTTGCAGATGAACTGACTCTATCATATCTTAAATTTGTTTAATTTTGCTACACTAGTGTTGCATCAACATTGTTTCATTTTAGACCTTTTAGCGTCTTCAGTTAACATCACCTCATGTAAAATTACTTTGCTTTTACTTTCTTCCTGTCTTGCTTACTTTGTGGTTAAGATATTTACAATATCACCTGGCGCTTTTGTCCAATTATAATTGTATAATATATGTATTACTCTGATACCACAATCACTGGTCAGTTAAGTGTACAACATTGTTAGGTTTTTAATTCAGTTACTGAGGTATCCATTGTATTTATGATTTTTTATTTAACGGTGCTGTGCTAGCCCATTTTATAAAGATTACTAGTCTTTATTTAAATTAGTTATGTTTTGATTGCTAATTATGTAGTGATGCCAAAAGAGTGTCCAACTTTTGATACGTGGTTTTAGATATCATTCTTACTTGATCACCTTAGAGCATTAAATACTTATGGTAAAACCTAACAATATTATTAAGGAGTTGTAATATCATGTACACTTGGAAATTCCACAGGTGGATGCTGTACTAATAGTGATATTATGATGGCACATTTAATACTTAAACTCTGTTTTGAAAGGCTTCTGATAAAGTTCAAAATTGTTGTTTTATACTGCCCACTAGACTAAATACTCATAAATTCTTCTTTGTATTCATTCCTATTTATCAAGTACTTCAAGCAATTTAGCGTTTTTGGAAAACTTGTTATCATTTTCATCTTACGTTTTAAGCAGTAGTATGAAAGTTATACGAGATTCTTGTTTCTGTAATTGTTATTTCTTCTACTAAATAGGAAATCAATCAAATAAAATAACTAGATGCGTTAGAATCCAATATCATCAACCAGGTCTAAAGAAACCTTAAGGGTGGAATTCTTTTGCCTTTTAAGATCATCACACATGGCATATTGTTATAAACTTTTTCTCCAACCGCCTACTATTTTATTAATTCGTTTCTACACATCCAAAACATCATCAATAAAGCCAGTATCTCTGATCGCTAGTATATCATAGAATTTCATCGGTATCCTTAGTATTTGTATTTGCACCCGAATAAAACATGTGAGGATTCAAATTCAACATCTCCCTTACCTTAAACAGCAAAATCTGGTAATAATGCAGAGTCCCAACATTATTAAGTAATCAGATGTTTCACCTTGTATATATATACAGAGTAAATTCTAATGCCGAGTCAAACAACACAGTATTTTACGATTGATCCCTCTAATCACCTATAATACTGAAATAAATTTTGTAAGAAATACTGAACTCTAACATTTGTCTATAGGATGTTGATGACAAGACTCTTCATCAATTTGTGAAACATCTTGTAAATGATGTTCTGATGCTGAAGATGATAAAAACCTTTCCTCTCTTGAAATATAATGCTCATGCACGTCGTTAAAGCTAAGCTTTAATGCTTATAGTTTGATGAATTATGTGTTTTGGGTTTTTTTACTATTGTATTCAAATTTGATTGATGTTACAATTATATCACATTTGATGTATCGATTTAATCATTCCTTACTACTTGCACTTTTATGCCTCGTGTATTCCATCGTGTATACTCCTTATAATAATGAAAGGCGTAAAAGAATTGTAACATTTACTTTTTGAATCAAAAGGACAATTATGTCCTTCAGAAATATAGCTATGGATTTAAAACTTTTGGCATTCAGGCCTAAATTTTATATATTTTTTAGAATAAACTACTAATTACAGTAATGTTCGATAATTTACATCCTTCTTCACAGCCATTATTTGACACTTATCCTAAGTTTCCTAAAAAGCCTACTATTGTTTGCAATGATGTTAGCGATGTTATATTTATTTGATCGATTTTTCTACTGTGGCAAGTAGAATATATAACTTAGAATTTGAGCAGCCCTTAATTATCAAAAAGGAGTCATCACTAGCATCTTCACCTGAAAATGGATATATTCCATATTGCGATGAAAACACTTAGGTAAATTTACAGTAGATTTTGTGATTCCAAGTCCTCTCTTGCCGTTTATATTTAAAATATTGCTCAAAATAATATACAAGCTACATTCAATTCTCCTATATATGATTGAACAACGCTTGCTTAACGTGCACAACTTTGAACACTTTTTTTTATATTATTTATCAAGCTCTTAAGCTAGTGTAATGCATATTTCATAAGATTCTTATTCTTGGCACTGCCTGCAGCGTAGATGCTATAATTGAGGTAACAAATGCAGATTCAACTTATGCTTTACAGTCTTATGATCGAGGGGATTTAACTATTTAGCTAAAACAACTGACAAATTATATGATGGCTTATGCTCTCATAATAGTTGAAGTTCTTTTGCTTCCTGTTATCTCCAAGAAACAAAATAGAAATACTATCATTGTTTATAATTTGCTGATGATTAGGCTGGAACAATCAATTTGTGATCATTTCTATCATGAAGCATCCAATTTTTAGATTGGTAGTGATGGCTCACGATTCTTATTATGAATCTAAGGATGCATGAGCTTGCGTTTTATTACTAAGGTCTCAGCTTCAAGTAGCATTATAAAAGTTTTTCAAGTTATAGGTTCATTTATAACTAACTTTAAAATGTGACGCCTATCATGATGAACCCATTAAGATATTAATATTTCTATAGCACATTGTAATTATTTGCATTAATTTGTGCTACCAATAATTACTGATCGTTAGGTAGATTGTGTAGATTGCGATCGTATTAATGTTCATATGTTAAATATTATTTAACTGAATCTTATTAGACACAAACCCTCTACAATTTGATAAATAAATATCCAGTTGTGTAACTTTTGGTACCACGGGGTGACTGCAATTATTAAACTTGCACTTAGAGGTTGATGGTGCCATAGAATATAATGTTTTAGTTCGTAATTTGTTCTGTTGAATGGCTATCATGTATTGAGCAAAGAATGAAGTGCTTCTTGTTCGTAAATGTTCATTTTCATGACGCTTTATATTACGATCAAGCTCATACACTACTATCACCATTGGATACAACATCAACACTAGAGATTAACAGTAAAGATTTTTGTTCAACTCTTTACCTAAGTTCTTGCTGTCAGCCACTTAATCTCATCAATTTGTAGCTGGCTAATTCAGAAATAGTGCCATTCTATAATCTGTACTAATCATCACAAGCTTGCAATTTTTATAACTATAGCATTAGTTGATACTTCTGGTTAGTTTAAACGCCGCATTGATGAAGATTATGAAACATAACCAAAAAATCAGCTCTATTTATATAGACATACTCAAGGCGTATTTATGGATGTTTATATCTCACTGCTTGAACTTTTGCTAGTAGTTACCAACATATGTACAATAGTATCACCGTTACAAGATTGTCAATAATCAGTAAAATATATAGGGCTAGAGGAATTTTGTAGTATGAGTGCTAAATTCTGAGCAAGCAGCACATGTATTCACACTAATTGCACTATTTAAAAGGACAACCTCAAAGTATCAGTAAGCTACATATGGAGGATGAATATGTAAAGTAAGCATCACATGGGCAGATTAATGGTTCAATTCCTATTAAATATAAACTTTTATTACCTATCCAGATACCCTTAATATAGCTACTTTTGGATTTCATCATTAATTTAAGTGACGAAATAGTCAGGTTTGAGTTCTATCAATTAAGATTACAAGATTCAAGTGATAAGCATTAATAGATGAACCTCAATTAAGAATGAATAAGATAGATCTTTTATTATTATCAGAAAGCACAAGTGTGGGGTAGTTAACACATGGAAACATCAATTCTTCAAGAATTTCATATGTCTCTTTCAAGGACAGCTGAAATAAAGATGAGTTGAAAAAGCTTTCGCAATAATCTTTAAATTCCTCTCCCAATTTACAAACAATACAATGTTCAAGAGGTGTTTCTTCTTAATTCAGAGCGATTATTATAATTTTAACAAAGCGATTATCAATATTGATTATAATTTTGCAAGATATTGCCAAAAATGCAGGCTAGGAATTGGCCCAATGCTTTTTATGAGATTCATTCGCCGAAAGCAATTATTTTATATATGATGTAAGGAGGTAGGATAAATAGGTTGCACCTTCATCCACTACTAATAAAAATGAAGTACAGCTATGCACTTTTTTAAGATACATT